CTGGGAAAAATAAAAGAAAGAGAGACAGGACACAGCTGACGGGCTTACCCGGATCCAGGTGTGCTCACCAAGGGACGGAATGGGGGGGGTACAAGGAACGGCCTGTAATAGATATGTAAGGTAGGTATGCCTACATATAGCTAAACTACCTGTGTAAACGTAGTAATAGTGCTGTAAGTGTGTGTGAGTATGTGTAGCTTGGGCAGTGATCCAAGGGCTTGCCTGGCTTGTCCTTACTTGACATACAAGGCATAGCCCATCGAACAGTCTGTCCCCGCCCCGCATGTCACATCATCGAAACGAGGTGCGATGCGACGCTAGCACGCCGGCGCCGAGAGAGGTATTAGGCAGATTTCGTGATGTCGTTCGAGGAACCTCGATAGCGCTATTTCTTTGAAACGCCAGCCCGGCTCTAGAGTTGTAATCTGCCAAAAGATGTAGGTGCGTATACCTGCGCAGTGGTGTGTGTGGATTCGCGGGTAATTCACGGCGCACGATGGCTCCTTTTTGATTTCCAACGCTACAACGTACGATTCACCCCCTTTTTTTTCTTGCTCTTCCCAAAAAAAAAGGCTGAGATCTTGTCGCAGATTATGTGAAGGGAATCTGTGCTGGCACCGATCCGACACCGCCGGCTAATTGGTCAATTCCCTTCGCCTTGAAGGGATGGATGGGATTCCGCCGCCTCTAGTAAGGGTCCTCCCCCTCCTAAACGAAGGACGTACCGCCGAGCCTCGGGTTAGGTATGGTGATCGGCTGCGATATTACGAGAGGGTGTTTCTGGGGATCCTCCCGCCTGCAAATAAGGGTTTCTGCGACGTTACGACACACGCTTAGGACGGAGGACCCTGGATGGAATTCGTTCCGTACCTGGTGTCGGATCGTTTCCTGCAAACACCGTCTTCGTCTCCGTCTCCTCGTCTCTTTCCTCCTGCTCCTCGTCTTGACGGAAGGGAGAAGACCTAAAGAAGAAAACTCTTCCGACGGGAACAGTGGGAAATTGACCGGAGGCAGACCCACGGAGCGGTTTATCGTTAGTAGAAAAAAAAAGGAAACACCGAGATGGAGTCGACCTATGTCGGCATGTCTGCACTGTATATGTAGGTATGTAGGACCAGGTATGGACGCACGGCCTCGCCAAAGTCGAGATGGTCATTCGATGGCGTGGTTTGCACAAGATGGGTTATGTGTGGACTTGGTGCGGATGGATCTGACCCATGCCCGCCCAGGTTGCATTAGATCGGTTTTATGCGTTCCACCGCTTCCGATTCAACGGAACCTCCCTCAGCCTCAAGTCTGCGTGTGGCTTGACTAAACCGGGCTGGCACCAGCCGCAAGTCGGTACCGAGGAGGTAGGTAGGTACTTATCTATATACGTCCTCCTCCTAGCTGGATGCATCGTCGTGCATTGTTGAACCCGACCTAGCCCACGAACCCGGTATGGCCATGATGCTCGAAGGCTTCTAGATGATCCGTCGAAGGCCCGCCAGCATGAATGATTAGCGACCGCCCGAAATTTTAACCAAGCAAATCCCCAGGGCTCCGTATCACCAGGGGGAAAACGGTGAGGGGCCACCACACCAATCTTTTTCTATTTATTGACCTCGGTCATGCGCGATTTCGCCAGAGACGGGGAAAGGGCTTCGAGTCGTTATATGAACACAAATGCGGTGTATGTATGGATATGCATAGGTACGGGTTCTCCCTCCTGGTCAGCAGCGATCCCGGGCCGTGGAAAGGTTCAAAGCGTTGGCATAGGTATGTGGGTAGGTACCTAGGTATGCTCGATTCTCCATACGTATGAAAGTGCAACATGCGTACGTACATACGTAGTAGTATTCTATACGTGAGCCTGCGGAGCTTGATCGCCAAAGAACCCTGCCTCAGAAGTCCAGTCTGGGTTAAGGTCGAGCGGCGGTGACGGCGTCCCTCGCGAGAGTGGAATATGCCCAACATTCCGAGGCCCCTCCCCGAGGTGCCAAGGGCAAGAAATAGAGGAGGCGGGTTGGGTTAATACGATTACGTGCGCACACATAGCCACTTACACGTAAGAAATTGATCGATAATCAATATGTCGGGGTATACGCAGGTTAGTCGACGGGGTCTGCTCTTGTTTGTTTTCTTTTTCTAGTAAGGAAGTGCCAAGTTAGGTTTCTTCACCGCTGAAGCCCTCCTCTCGCTTCAATCTACCCGCTTCGCGACAGAGCCGCTCGTGCCGCAGTCTGCCCGGGCAACGCTGTGCTGAGACTATCGATCAGCCGCACTCGGCGCCCGATCCAAAAATACATTCACTTGTGTCTAGAGATCGACGATGGCAATCGAAGGAGCGAAGGCAGAAACAGAGCCGTCGTCGAGATCCAGAGGCGAGGCCAGTGTGGCCGGTAGCGAGACAGGCGTACGTGTGTGTGTGTGTGTTTATGGGTGCCAGCAAATCGCATATTCCTAAGCCACGAAAACACACTTCTCGATACCGCTAGTCAGACGAGAAGGTTGCCGACTTTCGCACAGCTGCCTTCCAGCCTGCCTCCCAGCTTCGCAAGCTTCGAGGGGATCCTACGGATAATTCGACGTCGATGCCACCAACCAAGACCTCGCGCTCCCGACGGATTGGATGAGTGGCTCGCTCCCGTTACGCACCCACGCCTATAGGGTCGTCTTGTGCATTCTATGCGGTCAGCTTGCTGAGCGCCGAGCGCTGCACAAGGCGCACATCCTGATGTGGAGGTGGGTAAGGGTGGCTTTTGTGTATATAAATGTTCGAGATATGCGTGGATAACTACCCCACACCAGGCAACGCTATCCACTCGTGCATACCTGATCACAGCCAACGTATACAATATGTCTCATACAAAACACCGTTCTCTCTCTCTCGGTCCGTCCCCCTCTCTTTTTTTCTCTTCTGCTCAAGCGGCGGGCGGAGCGAGCTTCGCTTCCCATGTCCCTCGCGTGGGGAAAACGCACGGCAGCGGGCCTCAATCTCACGAAGCGCTAGCGACAAACGCGTCGAGGACAATACCCGGACCGCCGTATACGCTACTCCCTACTACGTAGTATCGTCAGGCGATAGTGTACACATGTACATACGGCGCACAGTGCGTGGGTGCGTCGGCGGCGGTGGTAAGGCTGAGGAGCTGGGTCGTCGGGGGGCTGTGGGGGCCGCGTTTTACGGAGCAGCCCCGTCGCAGGGCGAGGATGGCGATGACGAAAAACAATGCTTGCCGTCTTGGTAGCAAACGGGATGAAAGATTCGGTGGCGTGCGACGACGGGAGGGCTGGAGACAGACGGCAGCATGTACATAATTGCAGTAGGGCATCCTACCTACCTACCTAGGTGGTAACCGTAGATAGATGGATTGGATGGGATTTGAGTGCCCGCGAAGGGCCCCAACGAGATTCTACCATGTACTTACCTTGGGTACCACTTGCCTTGGAGGTTAGGCACTGACCTAAGGCACTAACCTAGGTCCTTGTTTGGTATATACCTATATATGTATATCCTCTCGGTGGGGAGGTGGATATGTACATATGCGGGTCGCACACGTATACATTAGGTAGGTACCTAGGTACTTGAATCCGCCAAGCCTTTACTTCCTGGGGTCCTTGCCTTGTCCAGCTTCCGAATCTGGCCAAGGGCCCTCACATGTGGCTTGCGCGCCTGTGGCGTCCGCATTCCCTATGCGAAATGAATGCGTCCCGCTCGCCGGATACGCTTAGCTCAGGAAATTGGTAGTCGCTAACATCTATATGGGTATGCATATTTCCTGCTACCCATCCTCTGCTTGCATACCTATACCTTACCTACCTATATGCTGCCTATAGCTAGGTATATCTTGCGTGCTATCTCGTATCGTATACGTGCGTGCGAGGTGTCTACTCTACGTACGTGTACGTCTTACCTTCGTCGCCTTATCGTGATCGATACGTAAAGGGAGGGGGGAGGCTACCATCGGTTTCAAGAAAACGACTTCTTGGAGACTCCATTGGTTGCCAGCCCCGTCCTGCACCCGTTTTTTCCCTCTCCTCCTTCGCGGGGATCCATCAGTTCGACCTCCGCGAAGCGCCCACGTAAATAACTCGAATAGCGGCGGCTTACCTAGGACTACTCCCGTTATTGGTAAGCATGACATTTTCGAACGCGTGAGCCTTAGGGATGTGGGAGGTTTAGTAGTTGGGGTTATCCCGAACCTGGTTGGCAGCTAAAACGGGTTTGCTCACGCCAGGCCGCCCCTCCTCGCAAACGGTGAGGTAGGTTGCTACCGCGAGAGCGAAGGGGGGAGACGACCAGGAATGGAACAGAACAAGTTTTCAATCTATCTACGTGTTGCTGTTGATGGCACCTACTCGTAAGTCATGGCGCCATGGCCATGGGCAGAGCTTTCCAGGTCCGGGTCGGGTCACGTCGGTGCATGATCAGCATCAGGTGCGGCGTAAGCGGGCACAGAAGATGCAAAGGCATCGGCGGATGTCAAATCCTTCTCGGCTCCGGTTGTACGACGACAGGGCCGCAGGTCGATAGCTCGATGGAGGGGTTGGGTCACACACGTAGGCTTCGTGTTCGGACCTCGTCCCATCAAACGCCGCGGACGCGCGCGTGTGGGCTACGCGATCCGCAGAAGAAGGAGGAGAAAAAAACTTCTCTTTTCTGAGACGACGCGGTCAAAGTGGCCTGGTCGGATGCGACGCCGGGCGAGGACCCCGAAAACAGGACGACCCGTTTCGTTTCTTTCCCCTCTTTGTCTGTAGCGTGCCTCGGCTGCAGGAACAGAAACACATGTCTCTTGAAATTTTTTCTTTTCTCGTGTGCGTCTGTGTGTGTAGTGTTTTGCGAAGCTACTGTCGTAAGAAATATGCTTGTCATGTGTAACGGCATCTCTTTTTCTTCAACACGACAGACCCGTACCCCTGTCAGCAAATCGCGGTGGTGTATTGGTGTTTGATAGTTGGAGATGCGTTATTAGCTAGCAATTCTCCAGCGACTTGCCGACGGAGCGGGCAGACCTAGGATTGCCAGGCACAATGGGAACTTCCGCTTGCCTTGTCCGGGTAGGCACACACGTGGTAGGTTAGATACAGACGGCGAGCTTCGCTGATGCCTATGACAGCTGCCTCTCACTACAAGGCTATTATTGTCTACAGGCCGTCGTGGGCACCGTTCTGCCCGCCTCGCTGCCCCTCCCTTCGCTGCCCCTTCGTTATGCCTACCACGGCGATCGTAGTCAAGGTAGGTGGCGAAGTAGGCGGAAGATGACTATGAGCTGAGACATCAATAAAAAATTTTAGAAAGGCAGTTGATATACCGTCAACAGGAAGCACAAGGGCAGTCGGGCACGGGCACAATTGGTTAGGGAAATCGGAGTGGGTGGGATGGAGGTGAGCTGTCCCGCGGGGTGAGGAAACACAGCAGCTGGAGAGGCCATCCAGCAATCCAATCGCGATGTGGACTTCAGCCATCCAGCATCCCACCATATCGGTATCACGGCTTTTTTCCTGACTGGACCGGCTCATTGGGATGCCTGCTGGCGGCATGTGGCGCGTCTCGTCAGCCCGAGCAAGCAACTCCCTCAACATCGCTACTCTCCTTTTTTTTCTCCCCTCCTTATCTTTTTCTCTACCCTCTCTCTGCCACCTTAAGAGGGTTGCGTCGTTTCTTCCTTCTGCCCACCGGGTCGCGCGGGTGGCTTCTGTCGTGTGCCAGTGGCCGCTGATAGCCAACTCGGCCCTACGCCTCATTGGCAACGAGGGCAGATGCCTAGGCATAAGATGATCTGATATATGGCCGTCCTTAAAGCAGGCATGGTCGGTACTTTTGGTGACCCCGCGCGTTGGTGGAGGGGGAGTCACCGCGCAGGCCGTAAAGCCGGCCCCCAAGACGAGACGGACAGGTATGTATGGACGGATAGGCAGGTGTGTTGTGGGTTCGTGTCGAGAAGTGAGGTGAAGCGCAGTAGGAGCGCCGATGCGTATGTACAATGCCTACATAACATACCTGCATGCATATCCATCGATACCATCTTGGTGCGATCCGTGATGTGCGGAGCTGAACGCAGAAGGGGATCGATCCATTGCACATGACACGCATGATAAATTGGTCTTTTTGCGAAGTCGTGCAAGAACGCGTCAGGAGGCGACGATTGGCCGGGAGCGGTCGGTGGTTTTGGTTGGACTGGCGCGACATTCTGCCCTGTAGTCTCGCAAGAGATTCGTGGGCTGAGATGGCGACACTAGCCTGGATGGTAACGGGGGACCCCTTGCCCACGTTCCGTTCGCGATTCCATGCGAACTGGCGTAGGATTCACCTCAAGATTGCAACGGTATCAGCCAGGAGCGCCAGTACGGGACCAGCGCAGACCGGGCTAAAGACTGTGAGTAGGACTCGGGTCGCTCATATATGGCCCCCTACTTGCCCAACCTAAAGTAATATGTGCACACGTATATACCATGTATACATACACGCATGCGTGCCTCATCCGTAGGTGTATAGAAACCATATAGTGCCGTGCCTGGTGACGGATAACGTATGGCGGGCGAGTGCCATGGCGTAAGACACCGAAAAAGGAAAAAACCAACGTTCTCTCTCTTATCTCTTCTCGGGAATGTGTTCTACACCCATACGCCGGACGCTTCGGCGACGAGGGCGCGGGGTTTTCAAGACCTCTAAATGTGTGCATTAACATCGTTTCTTACGGGGGTCTGGGCGATCGACTAGACTGGACTGGACTGGCTGCATCCGGGAAGACAGATCTGCAGTCATCTTATCTGGGTGCCGGTAGCCTGTCGTATGCTGTGTCCATTTGCTCCCATGTCGTGCTCTAACCTCAATAACCTGGAGGAGGAATGCTATTACCTGTAGTGCCCTAGGCACCTAGGCACCTATCTTACCTCTGTACATACCCGTCAACGGACGATTAGCATCCTCCCTCTCTCTCTGCCACACACACTCTCTCTGCCTCTCCCGTAGTGGTATCCAATAAAGATGAATGGGATCATCATCTCCTGAGATGTAATAGCAGCACATATTCCCTCCTAGTAAGCCATAACCGCCAGCCAGCCAGGAGCCTGCGGCGGAAAGAATGCTCTACCCAACATACCGGAGATGACTGTTCTGGATCGGTGTTGGCGCCGCTCCCTATGTATATGTCCGTTATTGCACTCGACATCGGTAGGAGGTGTGTTCAGGGGCTGTCGCGTTGTACATGCATGCCTCCATACACGCACATGGCTGTACAGTAGAGCTGGAGTAACGGAGGGCGTTCAAGCACAGTGTGGTCCTCACCCGAATTACAGGAACATCCGCGGTCTCCTCCTTCTATTTCAGGTCCAACCCGGCTTCCTCGCGTTCCGTATCGCCTATTTATTCTCACTGTGGCGTCTTGTCGCAGCCTCCGGCCAACTGCGCGCTGGCTGTGCGCTGTGCCCTAGGACCTAGGTCAACTCCTCTCCAGAAGGATCCGTCTAGAGGTGCTTACGAATGCTCTGTAAATATCTAAACCGTCTCGCCCTGGTTGGCTGCAATATGTAGATGTAGCCTACTCGTCCATCTATCCGTTCGGCGATAACTGGTCGCCGCGTATATCTACCTGCCTACTCCTGTAGTTAGGTATGGCAGCAGCCCTGAGAGGGCCGAGAAAAGCGGCCGGCCTGCCCTAAAGAAGGGCATTATTACGTGCATGGACCTATCAGTGCCGAGCTCTCTGCAATGCAGCATTTGCACCAACGGCCTACCAATGGCCGGCTGCATTCGCGAGAGGCCTTACCAAACAAACAAATGACAATAAGACCTGACCTTCCATCGAGGCAACCCTATCTCGTGAGGACGCGAGGGGAAGATTTCGTGATTGCTACCGCGGTGCGAGCGACGGACTCTCATTGGCGACGATCACGATGAAGACTTACGATGCCTGCTCGATGCCTTAGCTACATTTCGAAATTTATTGCGTGCCGTCAAGTCCATCTCTTCAAAGACGGGATACTCAGGGTTGGGAAAGGGGGGGGGAAACTCTCCTTTTTAAGTTAAGTTATAATGTTCGAATATTTTAGCAATTCAAATTGAGTGTAATGATGGATGAAAACTTAACCCAAACCAGTCTTTTACCATGGATCCTGAAGATAGGTGGGATTACCTATCTACCTACCTTCGTACACACATATACGTGCATATATGTCCAGGCCCAGGCCTTATACTGCATATATTACACACGCAGACAGACAGGCAGACAGACAGACACACCAACATGCTACATAATTTACACCGCACGGGCAACCAGCAACCAGGCAACCAGTCGACCTGTTCACGATACTGTGGCCCCCCCGCAAGACGTGGGCGTTGCCGTGTGGTATGGCCCCGTTTCACGTCCCGGACTTCCCTTTTCTTTGCGAGTATGCGTATGTGCACATGTAGGTAGGTATGTACAAGCCAGCCTAGGATAACCTTCCGTCGACAGCGACCTCTCACAAGGACGGACGGGATCCGGGTGTTGCTTAGACGGTACGCGCAGGCGGTCAATTCACGCAGCAATCATGGATGTCCGCTGTTTGGCACGGTCGTCGGCCCATACGACCCGAAGGGGCCGTTCTCCGGCTTGTCAGTTCGAAGCCAAACAAGAAAGGTAAGAGACGCGCAGGAGAAATAGAGGACGAGAGGGAGAGACGGGACCAATAATAAACTGAAAGTTGGCCGGTATTTCCATGCACCATCCAATCTATCCTATGCTCTCTACCTTTTTTTTTCTTCTTTCCTTTCTTCTTCCCGAGGCGACACATATACACATATATATATATATATATATATATATATATAACCCCGAACACCCTACCAACCTAATTAATAGCGTGAGGATATGCATATATACCTCAGTCTATTATGTACAGGTACATGCATCGTAGGACATATAGGCAAGGCACATTACATACAGTGGAGTCCTTTACGATCTGTACGTTAGCGAGGACTGGCTTTGCGGTGTTCTGGCGGGAATGTATATACGTCTACTGTATAGATACGGTACGTGCAAAGGTACCTACCTACTATAAAGTAAGGTACCTCGGGGTAGGTGGCACACCCACAGGTCCGTACTCATACCTACCCAGAGCCAAATGAGGGTACGTCGATATGCATGTACGTGTAAGGAAGTGGGCTGCAATGTCAAATTGCTTGCTTCGACCTAAAAAAGGCTGCTTGCAACTTGCATGCCAGGGTCTTGCCTACCTTTGGGTACCTACCAGGTCTACGTATACCTCTACGCAGTACCTATCTTAGGTACCTAACCTGTAGGTACGCAGCACCTACCAGGCACCTTAGGCACCTACCTCCTAGGAGATAGGTAGGTACATACCTACCTAGGTAACCTATGTGCCTTCTAGGAAGCAGCAGTATGTTGGGGCATTGTGCATTAGGTAGGTAGGTGCGTTGAGTACCTGTATTAGCAAGTAGAGGTATCCTGGCCTAGGTAGGTACCACGCCTTAGGTACGCAGGTACGTAGGGAGAGCAGGGTGCAAGCCAGCTGTGTGTCAGGGGAAGAGGAGAAGGGAAAAAGAAGCGGGAAAGGGGACCCTATCTAGGGAGGAGATGGAGGTACCTGCGCGCCGACACTCGGTAGGTGTGGTACATACCTACTCATGCACACAGATGGCCGGGTGGAAAAGCCAAGACGAAGGGGTAGGCGCTGGAGCTGCCTAAGGGAGACCGCCGCGATAGGGGGAGGGGGGTGGTTAGGCAGGCAGGCGACAGGCCGGGAGCGTCCCCCCCAATTTATCGCTAACCGCAGTCGAACTCGCCTCCGGCTACCGAGCCTGTAGGCACCTCACAAGACGCCGATCTGCCTACGGTCGAGTTGCCTAGCCAGGTGGAATGCTCCCACATTACAGGCTCTCACGAACGCGGTGCCCTGCTAGGCTGATCCCGGCCCCTGCTGACTTGTGTGTTGTGTTGAGGCCCTGGGCCCTGCTGGGCTGGTACCTCCAGAGAGGCACGTAGAGGGAGTACATCCGTCTTAGGTACCCTAGGTACTTACATACCTGAGGTACACACACGCCTGCTGAGGTCGGCGTGCACAATCACATTCGCAGTACCTCGACGCGGCCGGGGAGGGCTGTACTGGGTGGCGCTGCGTAGTATGTACAATAGCCAGGGCCGGTACCCGCGAATCCTGCGGTCAGCAGGTACTTACAATGCCCATTGTACCGAGCCTGCCTGCTGGACAGGTAGGTACATACCAGCTATCACGCTCCGAGCTTAAGTGGTTCAAGGCTCACTGCAGGTGCTGAGTGGTTGGCTTGATAGGCTGGCTAGGCTGCTGGTGCTTTTTTTTGGCCCTTCCTCTCTCTCTTCCTCTCTCCTCTCCCGCTCACTTACACTTTCTACCTTGCTACGTAGATGGGATGCTCGACCGACCCGTGCTGGCCCGGTGTCTTAAAAGTACTTGTTAAACCAGACCATCTCTTCCAATCCCTTTTCTTCTCCTCCATCCTCCTCCAACTCGAGGCCATCTCTCTCCTCTCCTTCCTTTCCTCGCCCTCCTAATCCGATCCATTCATTTTCTCCTCCTCAGCACTCGTCCTTACTAGAATCCCCTCGTCCACTTTTAAGGAGGGAAGGAGGAGAGAGAATCCCGGGCCTCCTCGACAGCTCCAGACACCAAGAAAAGGGCAGGGTCGAGAGAGCACAAGCGACAAGGGAGAGAGAGACGAGAGTCAAATAAATGAAGAGAGAAAGCAGGAGAGATACATCTCTGCTTTAGGATACCGATAGTCTCCTTCAGATATTTTTCCAGGTAATAGCCAATACTCTCTTGGAATCCCAGATTCCTGCGACCCTTATTACCATCACCGTCCTCATTTGACGAGGAATCCCTCCTAATTCAACCACGTCTCTCCCTCTCGTTACCTCCCTCCTCCGATATCCATCCCGTCACGCCAGACCTGCCCGCCCACCCCTTATCTCCTCTCCGCTAGACGGCCGATTCACTACCTCTACCGTCCATTCCTCGGTCGATCCCGCACACCACACCAGTGCGCGTCTCCCTCCCCCTCTGTCTTGCCCCCTTCCGCCGATTGATCTGTCGCAAGGAGAGCAATCGGATAGCCTTGTCTAGCTTGCTGGACACAACACCGGGCCCTTCGAAACCATCCGTCTCCTCTTCGTGCCTGCGGTACCAGGAATCTAACTGGCTCATCACAATTACTCCAGAAGAAAATATCGGTTTTAGACTCCACTCGGGTCTTCAACCGATTCGAGGATCTCACCAGCGAGCCCTACATGAACCCTGTCGCTCGATCATAATCCATTAGAAGCGTGCAAAGTGTAGAGGTACGTCGCCTATTCTGCAGTTAGTAGGAGTTGATCTCCCCCCCAATCCTTCCCGGGGAGAAGAGGCAGAAGAAGAAAGAAGCCGAGACGCTTCGTGGAGTGGTGAAGAGCGTAGGGCCAAGACAGACAGACAGAGAGAGAGAAAGAGAGAGAGAGAGAGAGAGAGAGAGAGAGAGAGAGAGAGAGAGAGAGAGAGAGAGAGAGATAGAGAGAGAGAGAGAAGCGATGTGCCAGGACGAGGATGAAGACGTTGTGTGATAACTCGAGGTTCTAATATCGGGCATCTTTCTGTGCAGTTGCATACCCGCGGTCACGTCAGCGTTTCCAACGGTACCTATAACTCGATCACTCACGCACGCTTCAGTCTTGTTCGTCGAGCAGAGCCGCTCGGCCTGCGTGGGACTCGTTAACTCGCTGTTCCCACCGTCTTCGTCAGGAATTGCCCTAATTTCCTTGCGGTTCATCGTGGCGGTAAGGGAGCTCTCCCCCCTTCTTCAGCGAAATTATAACACAGACCAACGTCATCTTGTATGCACGTGTGCTGCATTAATATGGCCCGTCGAGAATCCAGTGGTCTGCGAGTCCTATCTGGCTGCGTGCCAGGAATCGTTCCCCACAGATGCTCGGTCGAATCAGAAGGCCTGGTGTTTCTGCCCCTGATCGTGTGGTTCCAGAAGGCCGTGCCCTGATCCGTCTGGCCTGTCTCTGGTCCACGATTTGTCTCTCCCTCCTCCCTCTCTCTCCCTCTCCCTCTCCCTCTCGCTCCTCTCCTGGCCTTGGGAAATGTGGGTTCCTGGTTCCCGACGCTAATCCGCTTTGCCAATCCAGTGCCCAAGTCGCTCTCGACGTCTCTTTTAAACCGCCGCCTCTCCGGCCCCTTTCACCTCGTCGTTTTCACCGTCTTTCGGCAGCCCATTCGGCCACGGTCATTCTTTTATTTTATTTTATAATACTTGATACAATTCATCACGCTCATTAATACTGTAATAATCGTGTCGTTCGTCCAGCTAGGATTATTCACTCATTCGAATTCTACCTGTTGACGGCCGCCCCCAACCTCCTAATACGCTCTCTCTCAGCATCAAGATTCCTGGAGAACCTAATCGTCACTCTTTTTTGAGAACGTGTTACAGCATCCACCTCAACCTCAGCGGACACCACGCAGCCCTAACCGCCGGCTCGACCCTCGTGAGATATCCTCCCTTGCACCATGGCCTACTCCACCTCAGACTCCGGCTTCTTCGTTGAATCCGATGAACCTCGACACCCCCGCATCAGCGCGAAGGATGCCGCCAGGATACTGGCACGCAACCGGCAAGAGATGATTGCCAACGAACTGTCTCGCCTCGCCGGTGACGAATACTTGGAGGATATCATGCAGCACATGCGACACATGGAAGTAGGTGCTCTCTTTCGCTGCCGGCTGACTCCTTCTCCTATCCCCTCCCCCGAGGCAACCCCCTGAGTTGCCTCGGTGGGAGGCCGAGTACGGGGGAAGGGTGAGCCGGGGACACGGCCTCGGAAACTGACAAGTGGATAGGACGAGACGCTACCAGATGCCAACTTGATCGACATGCAAAGAGAGATTCAGTGGTTCATGAGGCCGTACCTGATCGACTTCCTGATCGAGGCCCATGCCGCCTTTGCCCTTCTACCGGAGACGCTCTTTCTAACCGTGAACCTCCTTGACCGATACTGTTCCAAGCGGGTAGTGTATAAGCAGCACTACCAACTGGTTGGCTGCGCAGCTCTGCTGATCGCCGCCAAGTATGGCGACAAGAAGGACCGAGTGCCGCAGATCAACGAGCTTAACAACATGTGCTGCGGCCTTTACGACTCGGGAATGTTCACCCAGATGGAGATGCACGTGCTCAACACCCTGGAATGGACCATCGGGCATCCGACTGTCGATTTCTTTACTCAATTAATAGTTGCCGAGGAAGCCGACGACCGCGAAGTCGAGCATATGGCAGCCTACCTGTGCGAGATTGCGTTGTACCACCGCGACTTTGTTTCCACCAAGCCCTCGATCATGGCACGTGCCTCGCTTGCCCTCGCACGTGCGATACTCGGCCAACCCGAAGCCAACGACGGAGAGTGGGATCACGACGAGAACGTTACCGTCCTGGCCCTATCTCAACACCTGCACCAACCCTCCGTTACGCTATCGAGAAAATACTCCTCGCAGCACTTTTCCCGTGTCTCCGGGAAGCTGTCAGACTTCCTCGCCCAGCAGGCCGCTATCGCCCGACGAGCTCAGGGCCCTCCCTCTCCCCCCGCCGAGACCACCCTGTCCACCAAGCAGTCCAGCATTTTCAGCACCCCACAGAAAGGCCACTGTGCTGCTTTGGGTGTGGCGGACGGATACCTTACTCCGCCCATCACCCCCGACGGAGTCTGTTTCGGCGTCGCGGACCCTATGAACAAGTATGTTCCGCCTCGCTGCCCGGTGACGCCGACACCGCAACCCACCGGCGTTCCCGGGTTCCCGCAGCAATCCATGCAGCAATATCCGTCATCAACATACGCGTACGATGAGTACAACGCACAGCAGATGGTCTCATAATTCTTATTCCCTGGCCTAGCAATACCAACTACTATCAGTAGACGTATCCCACCAATTCTCTCACGTGAACGACGCTGCGTTTTGACATCATCCCATGGATGTTTGTATCATTGGCAGAAAAAAGATTGCATAATTGACGGTTCAGGGTCATCTCCATGGCATATTAGCGACTTGCTTGATTTTCTTTTCTTTTTTTCAATTTCTCAGTCATACCCACTGCGCGTGCCATCTGCATCAACCACCAAGACGAACGATTGTCGACCAAAAAAAATCTGATTTCTCCTCCCTGAGAGTTGGGGCGTTATTTCTATCGATCCAAGGATAGGGGACCACGCCCACGTTGCCGCATGCGAATTACCATGCGGGGGAGAACGGGAGGGAGACAAGAAGAAAAGGGGTGAGAGGGAAGAGCGGGGATGTGTGGAGAGTAAGAGAAGGAAAAAAAAAAAGAATGGCAATTTGTGAAGAATAGGAAGAGGGAAGGAAAAGGGGGAGGGTACACACTACGCACACGGGCACGCATGCGATGCGAGCGATTCCGCCAGCTGCTCTCGGGAGGATGCCTGAGAGGACGTAATTCTAGTCTGGCGCGCAGCCGATGAGATTTGTGGAAGCAAGATGGACGGGCACACCACACGATACGATACACCGATCGACTTCCCTGCCGCAGGGGGGGGGGGAGAAGCTTAATTCTCGCGGAGGAGCCTTTCTGCGGATTCCGACCTGGGCATTCCGGGGTTTTTTTTTTCGAACGAGGCCTTAGATGGTCCCTTCGTGTCCATCACCACCGTGATTCTGCTGCACATGACGATTGCATGCCTGCCGCATCCGTACATATCAATGGAAAAGAGTTGAAAACCTCTACACCGAGCAGGAAAAATGGACGGAAACCTTTCTTCGCGTGGTTGCGATTTCTAGCTGTGATGTTCTCGTGATGTGGTTGGTAACAGCAACCAGCGGTCACGACAGAGTTGTGATTTGTCTGCTCGCGATGAGGCTGCCCCCTTTCGGCGTTCTGCGTTCTCCTATTCTCGTCCCAGGACCTTGTATTGCAGGCGGCATATTATAAGCCCATACCACCGCATTGGGGATGTCGCATAAATTCGGGCTGGCCATGTTTCCGGGTCTGGTGCGTGCGTGGGTGCTCGCCTGGCTCGGTGGTAATAGGTGCAAATCTATTATTGACTCGGGATAAGTCGACCGACCTTTTTTTTTTTCTTTTCTCCCTCTTCCCTTGCTATCCATCCACCGCACACGCCTAACCCAATGCATTCCTACCTTGGAATCCGCCCAACAGCCCCTGTAAGCATGGAAGCTAATGCAGACGGACCGTCCTGTTCCACAGTGAAGCAACAGCATAGATTGCGATTTGCAACGCATGTCCGTCGAGCATTGTACGCACCAGATTACAGGTGCGTACGTAGGAATGTATGCGTGTGTAGCACGTATGTAGGTATGTGCAGGACAGGCTCGGGCTAGCGAATGCGATGCTGACCCGAGTCGACTGAGTCACTCTGGTGCCCCCCTCCCTAATGAATTACTGTATGCCTAGCTATTAGTGGTGATGATATCTGGCTGTGTTTTACCGTATACGTATCTCTATACGCATCTGTCGAGCTCCAATTTAGATGTACAGGTATTAGGTGAGAGAATACGTGGGCCCGAAGAAGGGGGATACGTAAGGTGAGGGCGAAGGGAGGAACGTGCGGAGAGGCATTGAGACACTCCTGACTGACTAACCGTCTGGTAATAATATTACTTGGGTTGGTGAAATGAAACCGAGAGGCGGCTGGCGTCCGGTAACCGTCCCCCCCTGCTCCGGATGGGAGGCAGGCTGGCAGGCTGGCAGGCTGGTTAGGCACGCCAAGGAGCCTAGGTAAGGTAGAAGACGGGTCTGGGAGGGGACGGCATTCCAAATATTGCGAATTGGCCTACGCACCATATAAAAAGAGACATGCATGCATTGGGGGGGACGAGCAAAACCGGGTCCCAAAATGGAGATAGATAGATAGATGATATATAAGGGCGGGGAGGGGGGGCTGAACGAAGAGGCAATTAGGAAGAGGAGGGAGATGATTCCGAGATAGAAAAAAAAGAGAAAATGTTGATGAGAGTGGGATTCGAACCCACGAGGGTTTCCCCACGAGGAAGTGATGTTAAGGTGACCTTAACCTCGCGCCATGGACCAACTCGGCCATCTCACCAGGGAATTTCGGGTGGGAGCCGCCAGCGCTATCAAGCTAGATGGCGGCGACGGCGGCTGGACCTGGCCGGCTCCTGATTGGGCAATTGGAGGGCATCGGGGATAGGAGGTACCTTACCTTAGGTACCTACCTAGGTACCTACGTACCTACCTGTAGGTAGCTCAGCTGAAGTATGCATATATATATAATATATACCTCTTAGGTTATGTATATATACGGGCATGGATATGCCTGCAATAGAGACCACAGCGAGAGAGGTTGGGATAGCCTATGTATGTCCCGCGGCGTCGATAGAAGCGATAGGTAGGTACTAAGGAAGAAGAAGAAGAAGAAGAAAAAGAAGAGAAGGTGAGGAATAAGATACCAGGTAGAGCCGCATTGCAGACAGATAGGTGAGCAGCACGTCGTGGCACTTCTGCTGGCTGGCACGCACGCTGTGCTGTAGGTATTATCGGCGAGCCAGCCTCCCTCGGAAGGCCTCCCAGCCAGCGGAGAACCCACCGTGACCACGTTGCGTCCCACACCGTCTTCTTCCCCCTTCACCGTCAGTTGCCAGCAGGCTGTCTGCCTGTACGTGCGTGTCTCTGTATGCCCCGGACTTCCACGGGCCTAAGATAGACCACGACTGCGGCAGCAGAGTGCGGATATCAGGTAGGTACATACGAGCGAGCACGTACGCTCGAGAAACAAGCAGCAGGAGATGAACCAAATGAACAAGTGAACATGCTCATTACCTACGACTCGGACAAGAGAGAAGACGCTGCGTCGTGGGGTTCCAGGACTGCTCTCGTGAGCGTAGGTGGTTATACCGCCTGGTAAGTAGGTAAATAGCTGGCTTGCACAGATGCTGCTTTCTTTGCCTACCTTCCTCTGACTTGCGCAGATGCCCTGCGCCGGGAGGCCCGTAGGTGAAATGGTCGAGTACGGAGCCGAATCGGCATTCGCGCATGGGAATGTGGGCTTTATATACACCTTTCCTCGTATCCAGAGTCGTCCTCTGCCAGTCTCCCGTTGGGCCTACGTCCATATTACCTACATCCGTACGTATATATATCCATACTTACCGGCCACAGGCACCTACAGCCTCCACAGGTGCGGGTATAGCTGACCTCCCCGCGCCACACGATCTCCATACCTACCTCCCACCAGATCCCCGCCGTCAGACCCCTCTTAACCACCTAGGCAGCTACAGAACAGAAGAAGCAGACGCCGTCGGGCAGATACTCCTCCTCCTCCTCCTCCTCCTCCACTATCCCCGCCCCCCTTCTCACCACGCGCCAGGCCCAGTCCCGCGTCGCACCAGCGTGTCTCCGCAAGCCTAGCGCGGCCCGTCCACACACACACACCTGTCACGGTAGAAACCGACACACGGCAGGCTGCGGGGAAGGGGGGGGGGGGCCGGCCCTAGAGGAGGGCGTCAGTAGAGCTATACCTACCTACGTCTCGATAACTCCGCAGAACAAACGGCGGCCGTGGTATATGCCTATCAGGACAGATGACCGAGCTTTTTTACAAAAGGAATAGATGAACTTTGGGAAACTGCGGCTATTATGCCCAAACAACTTTGAGATACTGGATAAGTATAATAGTAAGCAAGTAGGAGATGTATCAGTAGCCGCGGGTGTGAACGGGGTGAGCGAGCGAGCGAGCGAGTGCCGGAGAGAGGAAGCGAGGGGATGGGCGTGTGGGAGGTTAGTGTGTATATGGGTACCTAGAGGAGGCGGACGGCAAAGTCAAGGAGCGGGGGGAGGATAATACGGAACTGCGATATCAAGGTGTTAGTATTACGAGCCGACTATTAATACTCGACCAGAGGGTCGTTGAGACGAGAACCCCCGGTTGACCTCTCCGCGTTAGCATCGCCCTTCAAGCTAACCTGCCCCTCCGCGGGCCACCGAGTGTTCTGTATAGGTTTGCATACCTACAAACGTCTTTTCCCCATCAATAAAGGTTGGCCTACTTACGGCTTACAAGTACTCTCTCTACGGCACGCCATGATACCGTCGCGAAAGCGCCACATCACCACTCGAGCAAGCTGTCGTTTGGGCCGAAGCGGATTACATTAAGGGGGGCTTCCTTTCGTCTTTTTGTTATTGCCGTATCGTCGTGCGTTGAGGTTAACTACATAGATGCTTGCTTGCTTGCTATGCTACCCGATCCGTACACCACTGCTTCTCGTCGTCGTCGCGGCCGCTGCCGCTGCCGTCGCCATCAACCGGGAAGCACGTCCGGCAGCAGCCAGCCGGCCAGCAAAGTACTAGACACTTTCCGCCGAGGATCGGTCGTAGAGCGAAGTCGTTGTTGTTATCGAGTTGGCAAGCGAGTCCATTTCTTTCCGTCCCGCCTCCCCCCTTAAGCCCAGCCCAGCCCAGTCCGGCCAGCCCCATTGTCGTCGTCGTCGAAGCACATATCTCCTCCCTTTCTCTGTTCCCCTCTCCCCCCCTGCCTGTCATGAACCTTCCTCCCCCTTCCTTAGATACGGTGCCGACTCGAAGAGAAGAGAGTGCACACAGAAGAACAGCACCAGCTGTCGCCCACGGCAACGCCGTTGCCCTCCCCGAACCCCGGCCGAATTTCACGGCAACCTCCCTCCCCAGCCCGTCTCTTCGTCACGCATCTGCCGCGTGAAGCTACCCCACCTCAGGCCGCTTCAACCGTTCTCGCACGTCGCTTGCGACGCTCGGTGCTGTGCCGGCCCCTACCTACGTTACGCCGCGGGAGCCTAGGACGCCAAATTCTCGGATCTATTGGGTCCGGTAGAACTTCTTGTAGAGCAGGTGGAGCAGGAGGTTGACGTTCAGCCTCAGGTTGCCCTCGAACACGTTCATGAACTGATGCGATTCGAACTGCGCCTGCAGCAGGTCCTCGATGGATATCAGCGCGCTGGCGCCCGGGATCTGGATGTGGCCGCGGCTGCCCTCGACGTTGAACACGCCCACCTCGTCGCACGAGATCGTGAGGTTGATGTTGCTCCAGTCGCGCTCCGACACGCCCAGCCACGACACCACGACGCCCTTCTCGGCGAGTGCCCGGACGCTATACTTGTAAGAACCGAACTTGGGAACGCGTCCGGAGCGCTCCAGCTCCCGCTGGTGGTTGTACTGCTTGGTGAAGGGCAGGAGGAATCGTTTTTTCCTATTTCGCGACGTTAGCACCGTGCACCGTCTACACCGAGAGAGAGAGGAGAGGGGAGGGGGGATGGTTTGAATTACCCTTTGTTCTTCTGCAGCGTGGCCATAGCTTGCTCGATGTAATCGTCGTAGCTCTTACGTTGCTGTTCCAAGTACTTGGCCTTGTCATTCAAATTGGTAAGAGTGAGCCGCACGCCCTCCAGCTCGCGTTGCCGCTGTATCCTACGGCGGCTCTTGGTGCGGATATCGAGTGCGATCGCGTTCAACACGTCCTGGTAGTAATTGTGTTTGGTGATGCGCCCCATGTGCTCCAGGCGCATGATGTTCTCTAGGGCGTTGCGCTTCATATCGTAGTACGACATCCGAGTTACGTCGACCATGTTGACGTCCGAGTACGCTCCTTTCGTGTTGCTGCCGGATGCGAAGTCCTCGTGAAGGAGTGCTTGCCACTTCTGCTCGTCCTCCTGCGTCGGTGGGCGCACGAGAATCTCGAGGAGGTTGGCGCCCGTCTGCACGCGAATAATGTACAAGATGCAGCGCTTAGTCTCCATGAAGAGTGCCTTGGCATCCGCGTCGGGGTCCTCGATATCGTGGAGCTTGGGGGTGAGGAACATCTGGATATCCGACGGCCCGGCCGCGTTCATTTCGCTCTCGTTGTTCTTAGCGCTCCCCAGATCCTGCAAGATCTCGCGGAGGATATCGTCGCGGCTCGGACAGATGGCAGGTATTTCGTGTGCGATGAGCGAGTGGATGGCGAAGACGTCGGTCATCTTGATGTAAAGAGTCGGCCTGTTCTTGGCGTAGAGGTCGTTGAACTCGTCGATGTCGAACGTGCTCTCAGCATCGGCAACGGAGATCAGGTCGCTCGTGATCTGGGCCAGCCGCTCGACGGACTCGCCTACGAAGGCGTTGAGGGGTTGCAGGTAGATATTCTCCCCACCAAATGGACGACCGGACGCGATCTGGCCGAGGACCTTGGCAACCTCGCCGAGGTTGCGCTTCTGGAGAGGGCCTAGGCTCTTCTCGATCACGCCCACGTGCTCGGGATTCAGCAACGCCGGCTGCAGGTAGAAACGCCAGACCCAGTTCCCGACGATCTGAAGCACGCTATGCGGAGGCTCGCGCTGGAATCGGTCGCGTAGCGCCTCGAACATCTGCTGGCAGATAAACCGCAAGCCGTAGGGCATCCGGTGCAGCAGATCCTCGAAGGCGACGAAGAACTGGTCCGATATCTCCCGGAGATCGCGGAGGTGGTCGATAAACATCTCGCGCGTCTCCGGGTCCTTGATCGCGACGTCTCGGGTTATGTCGAGCGGCCGCCGACTTGGTCGGCCGGTGCGAAGCTCCTCGTTGTTGATGGCAGACCGGTATATCTGCATCGGGTCGCTCTCCAAGTCCAGGGCGGGGTCCTCGACGATATTGTCTCGTATCAGCGGGCCGAGCAGGTCGCGCAGATATTTCCTGTCTCGTGGCGATCGGGTGTAATTGCTGAGCAGCTTCGACCAGAAATAGTTGCTGCGGAGGTACTCTTGGATGGAGCTGCAGGCGTCGACCTCCTCCCGGATCGACCTCGCGATGAGCTTCAGCAGGTAGTATTCCTCTCTCCTCTTCTGCGCATACCCGAAAAGCCCCATCATGAGCAACTCGATGCGTTTGATCTCCTTCTCCGCCGTGCCCAGCTCTCGAACCCGTCTAAAGAGTCTGGCTAGGTATTGTGGTTGGGTCTGGAGGTTGAAGAATAGCTGCTGGTACGACTCTAGCTTCTTCCTTGAGCTCTTGTTCAGGGCCTTCAGGTCGAACTGGTTGGCGGAAGAGATGCTGGCGTTGGCCAAGACGTTGCTGGCGTGTCCGCCGAAGGTGTTTTGGTGGCGGACAACTTCGTCGAGGGTAATCTTGTTCTTGACGAGCAGAGCGATCTTGATATCGAGCTGATCGATATACTGCTCGAGCATCTCGTTCTGCCGGACCTGCTGGACCACCGTCTTCCGTAGCCTTTCGAATTCGACTTCCTCGTTGAAATCGAAATCGCTGTCGTTGAGCAGGTGCACGAAGTTCTTTACGGCGCCGACCGGGGGATTCTTCCCCGTCGTCAGACTCCTGTACGCTTCTCCTTGAAGCTTGGCGCGGACGAAGCTCTGAATCTTGACCACCTTTTCCATATTCTCGTCAAAGTGCTTCTTCTTGGCCGCGAACTTCTCTCGAACGACGAAACCCTTGGCAAGACTCTGCAGCTCTGCCACCGACTCTTCGTGCTCGTCGAGCTCGGCGAGAAGCTGGCCGACGTTGTCCCGTAGGAGCATGGCTCGGGCGAGACCTTGCAGTGCGGTAACTTCGTCTTCGTGAGATTTCAATTCGTCGAGGAGCGCATAATGTTGCGTCCTAAACTGGGCACCGCGGATGCCGGCCTGAAGTTCGGTGATACTCGGCGCGTTGTTTTCGAGGGCATCGAGCTCAGCAGCTACCCGCTGTCGCTCGAGCATGCCTCGGGCCTGAGACTGGAGGTCGAGTATGGAGGATTCGTTGTCATTCAGCGCATCCAGCTTGTCGGCAATCTCTCGGCGCACCGCCGCGGCGCGGATGTGAGCTTGCAGCGACCCAATTTCGGGAGTGTGCTGCGCAAGTTCGACCTTGGTAGACTGAATCTCCTGTCGAAGCAAGTTCCCGCGACCGAGGGCCTGGAGCGACTCCCACTGCGGAGCGAAGCCAGCGAGCGCCTCACGTTGCTCGTGGATCTGGTATCTGGTTAGCATCGCCTTGACGGCGGCCTGCAAGCCGGTGATAGCCGGGGTCTCGTTCTCGAGGTCGCGAAGATCCCGATCGACCCTCTCTCTTCCCAGCATTCCTCGTATCGCAGACTGAAGCTTTACTACGGGACCAGTCATACGACTCGTCTCCTGTTTCTGAGCGACGACTTTCTCGCGCGCTAGGTAGCCTCTGAACATAGCCTGGATACTCCGCACTGGGCCGTCCGCTCGCTCTAATTGAGATCGAGTTTCTCGTACCTCGTCGCGGACCTTTGCCGCTCGTATCAAGCTCTGAAGTGCCAAGATGTCGTTTTCATTGCTCTTCCAAAAGTGTTCTCTGCGCGCCATTCTATTTCGAGCCAGGAATCCGCGGGCAGTGCTCTGGAGGTTGATGGCAAATGTCCGCATCTCGAGCCTGTAACCCGCGACCTGACGGGCCCAGTCACCCCGGATGCGCGACTGGAGATCAACGAGCCACTCCTCCGAGTCCCATAACTGCTGCATGATGGTGCCGAGCCGTAGTCGAAGCATGGCTCCTCGCATCTGGGATTGGAGGTCGAGGATGACGGCTTCGTTCTCGGACAGCTCGCGATCGATCCGCTCCTCCTCGGTCTCTTCCGGTTCGGGCGTTGGTTCTACGCCAAAGTCGGCACTCATATTGCCGAAGCTAGGCATGTTGGCCCCGAGCTTATCTAGGCCCTTCTGCATCGCCTCTAGCTCGTGGTGCTCGAACTCTAGCTGGCCGACCAGGTTTCCTATCCTGAAGTCCACGATGCCCTTGCGGAATAGGAGCCAACTCAGGGCGTGCAAGCAGTAGATGACCTTGGGGATGTTCTTCTTCTCGTAGAGATCAATAAGCTCAAATCGGAAGAGATCTGGCAGCTCAACCTCGTCCAGGTATCGGAAGAATGCGGCCACGTTGTCCCAATGTCTCGCTTGCAGTCGTGGATGTCGGAAGATGCGATGCCGTCGGTCCGGGTTCAGGGCTTCCACCACCTCGGCTAGGGTGACGCCGTCTCGCAGGGCCTCCTCCAGCTCGACGATGGGCGGGATCTGGCGGTGGATGATATCCTCGATCCACTCCTTGGCTTCGCCGATGTGGCATAGGTATTCGTAAGCCTGGAGGAACTGTCTCTGCTTGTCCATCCAGTTGCGGCCCTCGAAGCCGTAGCGGTCGCCGCGTTGCCCATTCCTCGCGCCGCTCGCGTTGCCCGCCCTCTGTAGTCTCCGTCGGCCGCGCAGGCCAACTACCTGCTGGGCCGGGGAGGTGATGGCAAAATCTTCGGCCTCCCCATCCTGGGCTAGCTTGGACAACGTGCGCAGTTCATTTGTTGAGGAGCGACCAAGCTCCTCTAGGTCCGGGGCGATGAAGGTGGAGTGGTGGACCAACGCCTGGGGGGAATGCGGGGAGCCGCTGCCGCTGGACACGCCCTGGCGTATAGTTTCGGGCGTTGAGAGGAATAGCGAGGAGGGCCGGACGGAGGGTTTTGATGCGGTAGTAGGTGAGGTTTTCCCTGCATTTAGGGAAAGCTTGCTGATGTCAAAGCTCTGCCCGCGCTCGTGGCGATCGCGAAAGGGCGGCGTCTTCTCGGGCTTGGGATCCGAAACCGGCGTCTGCGGGAGCGGGCGTAATGACTGCCTGGCCAAATTGTACATGGCTTCGGGGCTCTTCTTGGGCTCGTCAGATGCGCTGGGACGGCGCGGCGGGCGTCGGATCGCGGCCTCACTTAGACCGCGCTTGTGGCCAAGGGAGCGAGCGGGGTATCCATTGGAGGCGACAGAGGAACTGGGACTTGGCTGGCCGAGGTCGTACGGGTCGGAGCCGAAGGAGCCGGTCGAGTAGCCAGAGGATGCGGATGAGGTGGTGGATAGCTGGCGATTAATGGTATTGTTTGTTGTGTAGTCAACAGTGTATGTCTGACGGAGTGGATGAGGCCGGTTCGACATCTCGATCAACTAGACCTGCGGGTGGTGATGCTCTTGGTCAAGCTGGATGGTAACACTGGCCGGTATTGACGCCCGCATCACAGCTGCCCGAGCCGGGGAGGGTTTCTCGGAGGGCGAGCGGCTAGGGTTGTTGTGGTGCGAGATGGTGACGATAAGGCGGTGACCTGGTGGCCTTGGCGACTAGTTCCCTCGGCTTGCGTCGAGGAGCGAGGAGCCGTGCACAGCAACGACGACTCTCTTGGGATCGCAGGGTGTCAGCAGGATGGCGTCTCCTATAACATGATACGGTAGGCCTGAGGGTTAGAGGATGCGCGCGTCCGCGGCGCACTCATAGGAATGGGGACGAGGCGGTGCAGCGGAGCAGAGGAGATGAGGATACGCGGAGAAGGACACGGGCACCTGGGGACAAACAGGGCGGCCAGAAACACGCTGGCATGCAATTAAACCTCCAAAGGGGGAAAATAGGAGAAAAAAAGAAGAGAGAGAAGTCCGGAATAGTATCGCGTCGTCGAGGTAGTTGTCGAGAGAAGGACGTGTATGTGTACTAGAGAGAAGCGACTTGTGGGTAACGGTGATGTGAAGGGATGATGACGGTTATGAACGGAGCTTGGAGGGTCCCGGCGAGACGAGCGCAGCCCGACCAGAGCCACCTGGTTCGGGAAGTTTGTTTATTTATCTGGGTGGGGGGCCAACCGGGCGAGGGTGCCCCGCCTCCACCAATCACAAGGGGACCACACCACAGAAAAAAAATAATGCCAAAATAGGGATTATGTAATGGTGCGGCCCCGTAGCGGCATAACGGCATAATACATCCACATTGGTATAGCACACCCGATAAGGGCATAGGATCATGCCCCCCGTAGCTAGGCACTGAACCTAGCCTAACCTGCCTATAAAATTGCGCCTGTAAAGCCCCCGATAGGTACCTAGCCTACACTGGTCTAGGTACCCAAGACGTCGCATCCCTACCGGCAGATGGCCGTCGATCACTGCGTTTCTGCTTATACCTAGCACTAAAAGTCTCCCAGTTAACAATATACCCCCACTGAATACGGGCGGACCACACAACCTCGAAGTTACCTATTAACATTTTCTCCCCCACCCCCTGCCACATCGGAACGGAGAGGGAAAAAAAAATTTACCTACTGAAATTCATTCAGTACGCTTTTGGAGGAATTTTTTTCTTCTCTTCCTTTCCTTCTACTTGGGAAGAAGATCGCCGCACAACCCGTCGACAGGTCAATTTTACATCTCGACGTCTTCGACCTCACCCCGTCCTGCTCAGCCTTCTCTTGCCTGATTTTCGGGTTTCCGTGCTCGCAGGATGCCTTCCATCAACGGAGCCGTCCCGGTCAACGGCAACACCAAGTTTCGGGACTACCACAGCGCTATCGAGGCCTTGGGGGAATATCAGTCTCGCGATGGCCTCGGCATCGAGGAGCTCACAGACACGAGGCAGCGTGGCGGTCTGACCTACAATGACTTCCTGGTCTTGCCCGGTTACATCGGTTTCCCTGCGTCTGAGGTCGTGCTGGACTCGCCCATCACCAAGCGTATCACCCTCAAGACTCCCTTCGTGTCGTCCCCCATGGACACTGTAACGGAGCACGAGATGGCCATCCACATGGCCTTGCAGGGCGGTCTGGGCGTCATCCACCACAACTGCTCGCCCGACGCCCAGGCCGACATGGTCAGGAAGGTCAAGCGATACGAGAACGGTTTTATCATCGATCCCGTCGTCATCAGCAAGCAGACCACCGTCGAGGAAGCCAAGGCGCTCAAAGAGAAGTGGGGATTTGGCGGCTTCCCTATTACTGGTGAGTGTCGCCTGCTTTCCTTCGCTTTTCTTTCTCTCCTCTCCGGCTCGCGCGCCCCCGCGCCGGTAGGTAGGCGAGTGTCGTATCGCATCGCATCGCATGATTACAACCTTAGTACTATAACTTTCGTTCCACCGTATAGACAGCAATGTCATGGGGAGTCAACTTAATTTCTATATGAAGATGTCGATTGCCGCAGTCCTTTGTTAGCTTTGCAAAAATTTGACGGTCTGGCTAACGCGCGGCGCGTAGAGTCCGGCAAGCTTGGCTCCAAGCTCCTGGGCATCGTTACCAACCGTGACCTTCAGTTCGAAGAGAATCTTAGCCAGGCGGTCGACAAGGTCATGGTGACGGAGCTCACCACCGCCCAGCTCGGCGTGACCCTGCCTGAGGCCAACAAGATCCTTGCGAAATCTAAGAAGGGCAAGCTACCCATCGTAGACAAAGACTTCAACCTTGTGTCCATGATCTCCCGGTCCGATTTGACCAAGAACCTGCACTTCCCGCTCGCCTCCAAGCTCCCCGACTCCAAGCAGCTCATCTGCGCAGCCGCTATCGGCACCCGACCAGAGGACAAGATCCGCCTGCAGAAGCTAGTCGACGCCGGCCTCGACATCGTCGTCTTGGACAGCAGCCAGGGCAACAGCATGTATCAGGTCGACATGATCAAGTGGATCAAGCAGGAATACCCCGGCCTCGACGTCATCGGCGGAAACGTCGTGACTCGTGAGCAGGCCGCGACCCTAATCGCTGCGGGCGTGGACGGGTTGCGGATCGGAATGGGTAGCGGAAGCGCCTGCATCACCCAGGAGGTCATGGCCGTCGGCCGTCCCCAGGCGGCCGCGGTGTACTCGGTCTCGTCGTTCGCGGCGCGATTCGGAGTGCCGTGCATCGCCGACGGCGGCGTCCAGAACGTCGGCCACATCGTCAAGGGCCTGGCGCTCGGCGCGTCGACGGTCATGATGGGCGGCCTGCTGGCGGGCACGACGGAGTCTCCAGGCACGTCGTTCGTCTCGCGCGAGGGCAAGCTCGTCAAGGCGTACCGCGGCATGGGCAGCATCGACGCGATGCAGGACAAGAAGGCCGGGGCGGGCGGCAAGAACAGCCAGGCGAGCAACGCGGGCACGGCGCGGTACTTCAGCGAGGGGGATAGCGTGCTCGTCGCTCAGGGCGTGTCGGGCGCGGTGGCGCACCGCGGCTCCATCGGCAAGTTCGTGCCGTACCTCGCGGCGGGCCTCAAGCACTCGATGCAGGACTGCGGCATGCGCAGCCTCCGCGAGCTGCACGAGAGCGCGTCCAACGGCAGCCTCCGCTTCGAGGTCCGGACGGCGAGCGCCCAGCTCGAGGGCGGCGTCAACATGGAGAGCTACGAGAAGAAGCTCTACGCTTAGTTTGGCTCGCCGCGATTTGCACATATCTATCCGCACACACGCACACGCACATATACGCACAGAGCTTTTCTGTGTCTCCAGTACGTCTCAATCAGCAGGCAGGAAGGCGTTCACAAAACAACCGAAAATAGTCCGAGAGAGAGAGAGAGAGAAAAGCTCCGCGCACGGTTGACAGGCCGGTTCGAGCAGAAACACGAATGGGAACGGAGCAGGGGGGATGGCGGCACACCGGTTGCGGATGGGAATCGATGGTTTGGACAGGAGAAATACCAAAAAGTAGGGCTCGTCCCTTTCCGCCGAGTCTTGTAAGAGACGGGTGTCCTGTGTTTGCGGCGGGCCGAGTGGGGGGGGAACGGGGGGATAACAGGGAAGGAAGCAGGAAAAGGAGAAGGAAAAGGAGAAGGAAAAGGAGAAGGAAAAGGAGAAGGAAAAGGAAAAGGGGGGGACGAGAGACGGAAAGGGGGATACCTACCTCTCCTCTCTCTCTTCCTTAAATCACTACCATAGGCATTTTTTTTTACGATAGGGGTTCTTTCTCTCTCTTCTTTTTTTGGGGGCCCACGCTACTCGATGATACCAATTAATGCATTTACGGCGTTTTGTGTTTTTTTTTTCTGGGTCGGCGGATAGAGGATAGGGGGGGCAGGTCATGTCGGATCGGACCGGGGGGGGGGGGGGGGGGGGGGGCCACTGCGGGGGCACGGAGCGGGCGCCGGCGCGGGTCGATGTTCGGTGGGAGGGGAGGGGGGAATAGGTCGCGGCTATAGATAGGTTCGAGCAGGGCTTACGCGCTGCGGCTGTATATACCTACCTACCTATGTATTTACCAGTCAGTCAATTGATCGATCAATCAATCAACCTCTTTCTCCCTCCTAAAGCTTAAGAGGTCCCCCGTCCGAACGTAGTGATGCCCCGGGACGTAGGTAAGAGTTTTCAGGATAGAGGTTCCGGGGTTAGCTGCACACCACGCGCGTTGCCGGGTCCGATGGTTAGGGAGCGGCCGTGACATACCTACCTTACCTACCTACCTACCGGTAGACTAAAAACGTATCCACCCACTACCCGACCAACCAAGCTATCACAACGAAGAAGCGTCTTCGAGCTAGACTAGGTAGGTATCTCAGGCAAGGCATGGCGCGACGCGGCCGGTGGGTACCTATCCAGACCGATAGGCCGGCTAGTAGGGAGGGAGAAGGGGGGGCTGTCATGGACGGCAAGTCTTGCAATTTTGACGTGTTTATTACTCCTTTTTTCCCGTACAGATAATGACTCGTATATATATATATATATATATATACCTAGGTAGGTATATGCACGTATATCTCATATCCCATGTCCCCGTACCCAAGGTATTCTATCTATTTATCCCCCCATCCCTTCCCTATCCGCTGTTTTCGCCGTCCCTTATACAACCACTCATTAACCCCCCCCCCCCCCCCCCCGCTCCTCCACTCTCTCTCTATCTGAACTTTTACCCCCCGGCTCATCGCGTCTTCCCTATCGTCCCGTACTGCGTGCTCGCGCTGCCGCCGCGCTTCTTCGCGCTCTTGCCCGGCGAGCTGCTCCCACCGGCGCTGCCGCTACCCGCGCGCCGCGGCGGCCGCACCCCCTCGATCACGCCGTCCGCGTCGCCCAGCGCGCCGCGCCTCCGCGCCCCGTCTTCGTCTTCGTCTTCGGCCTCGCTGAGGTCGTCGCTCTCGTCGTCAGCGTCGTCGGCCGCGTCCAGCTCATCCTGAAACTCGTCCAGATTCTCATCCTCCGCCTCGTCGTCCTCGGCCGCGCCGCGCGGCCCGTCGCCCTCGACGATGAACCAGGCGGGGACGGCGCCGAGGGCGGAGATGGCGGCGAGGAGCCACCAGGGCAGGCCGACGACGTCGTGCTTGACGCCCCAGGTGAAGGCGGCGCCGGCGAGGGCGGGGCCGCCGGCGCGGCCGAGGGCGCTGAAGGTGGTGGCGAAGCCGTTGAGCGTGCCGAGCACGTCGAGGCTGGCCGCGCTGTTGGTCAGCAGGATGGTGGTGCAGGGGAAGCCGACGATGACGGCGAAGCTCTTGACGACGAGCACGGCCGCGAGCGCGGCGAGCCGCGCGCCCGCGCCGCCGAGCAGCACCGTGTACGGCGTCGCCGCGTACACGACCGGGAACGTCACCAGGCACGCCTGGAAGCACCGCAGCACGCCGAACCGCGCGCACAGCGGCGGGAACAGCAGGAACTGGATCAGCCCTGACACGATCCCGTAGAAGGCGAAGATGCTGCCGATCCGCGCGTGCGTCAGCCCGAACCCGCCGCTGAACACGAACGGCAGCGACGTGTTCTCGGGCGTGTGCTCCTGCGGCGGGTAGTTGAGGAACACGGCCAGGACCTGGTCGAAGGCGACCGAGTGCAGCGCCAGGAACGTGTACGCGACGAGGTTGACGACGCTCTGGCGCGTGAAGACGGCGCTCATCGGGAGGGGCTTGGCTTTCTCGATCGGAGTCTCGACGACGGCGACTCTCGCCGCCGACTTGGGCGGCGCGCCGGCGGTCAGCAGCGGCGCCGAGGCCTCGGCATCCTGCAGCGAATAGCGGCGGAGGCGCTGCGCCCCTCGGTGAGGCTTCTCCCTGAACACCTCGGCGATGCGCTCGCCGAGGACGAGGCCCCAGTCTCGCGCGTGGCGTTTTCTGTGCAGGGTCTCCTTGAGGAAGAGGACGCCGGTCGCGAGGGAGATGAGGAAGAAGAGAGAGCCGATGATGTTGGGAAAGGCGAACGGGTACTTTTTGAAGAACTCGCTGTTACCGAAGAGGCCCGGCCAGTTTTCCGCTGGTTTGGCGAACATCCCGCCGAACGCTGGGCCAAATACCGACCCGACACTCCAAACGAGCGGCATGACGGAGAAGGCCTTGGGCTGAAGTTCCCTTTCGGTCACCATCTCCGCGACCATTGTCCTGATAATCCCGACTTGCCCGGTAGTCAGCATCCGGGGGCGCGGAGAACGGGATATATCAATAACCACGTACCATTTCCATTGCTCGCGCCTTGTATGGCACGAACGATGATCGCCATCGATAAGCTCGTCGACATACCCCATGCCAAGAAACAGATCATGGTACACAGGAGGCCGGTCATGATCACAGGTTTCCTTCCTAACCGGTCGGAGGCCCTCCCCCACGCCACGGCCGTTAAGCTCTGTGCCAGGGAGAAGACGGAGCTTGTGATGCCGGCCCATTTTGCCACTTCTTTCTTCTCGACGCCGAAGGAGGATATCATTTCGGGAAGGTAAGGGAACACGGAGGTGTCTTGAGTAACCGATCGTTAATCGTGAGAACTTTTTCACTTTGAAGAGAGCGCCACATGCAAATGTTCGCAACTTACAAGCAAGCGGTTCGGCGAACCGTGCAATGGCTAAGAAATCAAGTTAGCTGGAAGTACGCAGAGCGGATGAATTATCTGGCTAGGCCAGTATAGCAGTCTCGCTGTGAAGGCCACCTTCTAGTCCTGGCCGAAATCTCAATTACACGTAAAGGTTTTCTGAGGCCTTGCGAGATGTCTTTGGCACCATATTTGTTTTTTAACCAGTCACGCAGCAGCGAAGCGAAGCGGGCAAGGCGCGGCAACTTTCAAGGTCTTTCGGGTGCGGACACATTCCACGACACGGGAACAAATATATTGAGCAAGATAGATACGTGCAGCAGCCGGCCCGGGGAGGCGGGACAGGCTCTACTAATGGTCTCGATCCACGGACTTGTGAGCTTCCGACAGATTGATATCAGGAAACCCTCCCGCTAGGCGATGTCGGTTGGCCCGAACGTAGGAGGTTGGTAGGCAGGCAAGAAAAAAAAAAACGATTCAACGCTCACCCAGTATGGCCAGTTGCTGGACCGGCAGTTTCGGGCCATGATGGCTAGCTGGAGTCATAATCGTCGTTCTCGTCGCCAAAAAAAGACTGGACTAGATTCTGTATCGCTGCGAAGGCAGGTAGGTTGCTTCAAGGAGGAGAGAGCTAGATGGCCGTTTCACGTACGAGCTCCCCCGTTCGGCGTTTCTTTGTGTACGTGGGAGCTAAAGAGTGTGGACCTTGTCCGAGCGTCAAAGGAGGAACGAGCGGGTTTTGGTTTTTAGGATGATATGGAGACTACCGCCACCGCGTCTACGTGTCCGTAGGTCTAAGACTCGCGTGGGCCCAGGACCGAACGAGAGAAGAGAGTGGAAGTAAAGACGACAAGATGAAAAAAGAGAGAGACGGCTTTCCCTGCTCTCTGCCGCGGCGGCGAGGGGAATAAAACCTTATAAAGCACGAGGGACGTCGGCCAAAGTTACCAATGGCAACCTACACTCCTAGTACCTTAGAATGGCTAGGCTTGGGTACGGGCTGGGTCATCGCATCGGCGCCTGTCACCGGAGTGAGGGCGAGGGTCCCCTCTAATATCCACTTTCGCCCTTGTCATATAGCGTAGCATGCAAGTTTCTTGGACCTTGCTACGCTTGAAGCGGGCCTAGTTCGCTGCCGCGATGATTCGCCCGCCCGCCCGCGCCGTTCTCTGATTTGCGGCTTACCGCACGCAGCCTCCCCGAGTATCGAGTCTGGGTGCGGTGGCGGTGGGTCGGCCCAATCACCCTGGGAGGAGAGTGCTTGACGTAGTAATAGGCGTTACCGTAGGGGTTGGTGAGAGAAAAAGTTGCGAGTGCGTGTAGTGTGCTCAGAGTGTGGCGTAGGGTAGTATATGCCCTGCATGAGAGCTGAATTTTTTTTTTCCCCCTAGACGATGACCCGAAGCAGCTACTTGCCGGACCGCGTTCCTCGCCTTGTCCGGTGCTAAAGGTCGATCGTCGTGAACGAATATTCGTGACAAATGATACCAGTCGGAAGATTTACGAACCGCGAAGCGCCTGCGTAACCTACCCAGCCACAGGGTACATTCGATTTCGAGCGACTCTTAAGATCGCTGGTCCTTCGTCCTTCTTGTGTCCTTCTCCATCATGGTTATCACGGTAGATTGGATGTGTAGGCAATGCTCGCAACGCATAATCAGCCATCGATTCGCAAGGGCAGCGACTCGGGGAGAGTCAAGGACCTAGGCGTAGGCGTAGGCAGAGACGAGAGATGTCCGGTGTCGGACGCGATAGCGGGAGACGCTTGTTTTCCATGACCAACAATTGAGGGCGCGCGAAGACGAGGGGGAGCTTGCGGTGCGGAGGGGGGATGGATTGGAAATGGGCGAAAGGTGACAAGTAGCAACGGAGCCGTGTCAGCGAACTGTCGAGGTCACACGGCCAACGTCGGCCAGCCTCCTGATCATGCAAAGACCAGGGAGCGAAGAGGTGATCGACGCCGCGTCCTTCCTGCGTGGTATTATCGCCCTTGGTGCTGCCGCTACCTTAGGTACTTCCCCTACCCCATCACAGGTATGTACCTACCTCCTAATGTACCTGTCCGCCTTCCTGAGGTACCCGACAATGGGCAGGGTACCTCCCAAGGTGCCTAGTAGGCACCCTCCTAACCTCATAACAGCGCTGTTATTTAAGTGCCTTAAAGGTACCTAACCTACCTTAGGTACCTCTTAGCACCTACCGTTGGGTTTTAAGGTACTTAACAACACATAGATATATGTCAACTCGCCTACTCCAGCTAACATGAAGGTGCCTGCGTGCCTGCATTAGGTTAGGTACCTCTCTAGGAGGGAGGTGTGGCATCTCGTAGTACCGTGGTACACGCCCGCGATGTACCGCGTCGGCGTGCTACTCCAGGAGCAGCGCGAGCTCGTCTCTACCTAGTTATCTGCTCGCGGTCTCCCCCCCCCCATTTTCCCGCTGCTGATTGGCCCGCCGCCTTACCCCTCACCCGGCCCCGCACCGACGGAACCCCCGGTCTCGTCTAAGCTTTGTCGCTGCCCTAGCCCTGGCCCGGTACACGCAGGCCCGAGTATCTTCGCGACGCGAGACACATCGCCCTGCGATCCAATGAACAGGTGCAATGCAGGGCCAGAAGGCTACTCAGATAGGTAGGTTGCGTTGACTTGCGTCGAGGAGAGGTACCCAAGGTTAGGTTAGGTAGTAATCTCATCTCGTTGAGAATGCGATTGCAACTCGCCATCCGCATGGTTCCAACTGCGGCCGGCGGCGCGAAGCCATGTGATCTGAATAAGCTGCTGTTGGTGTTGCTCAGCAGGATGTTCGCCAGGATGTTCAGCGGCCTGCTGCCACCACTCGCTGCTCGTGTTCCTCTGCTGTGTGGCGCTCCAAGCGCTCGTCAACCGCCTCCAGCCTATTTATTTATCTACCATCTGCCTACTCCCTTGCCTGGGCTCAGCTAGAAGCTGCTTGCTGTGGCTTTGTCGACGGGCAAACGCCGGCCGGCCAAGCGAGAGTACGGGAAGCCAGATGCGAGCGAGATGTCGTGGTGCGTATGCTGCACATGTCGATTTGCAAAGGTGGAGACAAGCATGGAGAGCGTCGGCGGTCCCGTGCATGCTACGCTCCGCGAACTGCTGCGGCCTAGGCTCGTGCCACCGAGTCTGTCACATATCATCTCCCTCCTCGCCATTCATCCCGGCGACGATAAGAGCACACGCACACCCGCAAATTGAAGCACTGCTACCACCAAGCAACACCAACCGCATAGTTCATCTGTACGATGCTGTATTAACAACTACCGGCATAGCGGTGACCTTATCGACACTCAAAGGTCCGGTGGATCGTGACGGTCAGGATGACCGATGACCGACCAGACCAAGCAAGCACAGCCATGCAACGCGGAGCATGGCGAGAAATAGGTACACGTGTAGCAAGGCCCGTCGTCGCCTTTCGTCAATCAATCTGGAGAGGGATCACGGGGCAACAACTCGGACAAACCCGCACAGAACTCGTACTTGTAACAACAACAGCCAGGCATGCACAACGCCGATGCTGCCGGTACTGGTCTCTCCCTGAGTCCGGCATGCTAGGTCTCCCTCTCTACTGTTAAGCCCCCTCTTTTTCACTCGTAACGAACGACAACTCCTCGTGAGAAAAAAGACAAACGCAGATCTTGGTACGCCCCTGTGCCTTGAATCATTCCCTTTCCCTCCCCCCCGTAAAAAACTCCCGTGTCTATGCCGTCAAAAACGTCAATGAAGAGTGTGGCTCTAGTTCCACGCCTTGGAGAGTGGGCTCGCGATCTTAGGCGCGAACTGCAGGCTCTTTCGCCGCGCGGCCATCAGGCGCATCAAGATGCCCTGGTCCTTCTCACGTTGCAGCACTCCCTGGCCGAGGTCCGCGTACACGCTCTTCTTGGGCGGGCAGGTCCGCATGAGCAGCTGGTCCCTCTCCGGCGAGTCCTTGTAGTCGTCTCCCGCCATGGGCGAGTCCGGGGTCACGTCCATCGCGTACCTCGCGACCGCTTCCGGCGCCGGCGTCTTCGGCACGGGCGTCAGCATGCTGAGCTCCTTGTCCCAGTCGTGCTCGTCGAGCTCGTCGTCGTCGTCGTGGCCGCAGGGCGTGCGCATCCAGACGGTGCTGTCCCGGCGGCTGGCGTGGTTATTCGGGACGGTCTGGCACTCTCGGGCAGAGCCCCCGGTGTTCTTCACCGGGGTGACCAAAGTGCCGTTGAGATTGGCAAGGGCCTTGGGCTCCATACTCTTGCGACGGTTCCGTCCACCACGTGGGACGAGGGAAGTGTCGATGTAATACGGAGCCTCATCTAGCCACTCGTTCTCGCGCTCGCAGCTGTACAACCGCATTAGTACTACAGTAGCCATGATACGCATCAGTATTCGTGAACTTACTCCAAGACCCAGCTGACGCCGACGCATTGTACGACGCCGCCGCTCTCCCTGACCTTCTCCAGGGTTCGCTTGCCTCCATCTTTGTAGACAACGTGGGTAATTCCCACCTTGGAGGTCGACGCCTCGCCAGTAGGGCTGGTAGGGTTCCAAGGCCAACTCTTGACGCAGCGAGCACCCATCTGCGTGAGAAGCTCGACAAAAACGCTGCTAGCATCGGCGCCATCGCTGGTGTGCACGTCAACAAAGGCGACTACGCCTCGTAGCAGGGCGGTGTTGAGGTCTCGGCGAGGGGTGCGGGCGGGGGTACCCATCGAGGACCAGATATCGCCTTTAGAAGGCGTAACGGGGGGGTGCTCGACGGCGTCAACATCGTCGATGTCCATCTTCGACGCGCCCTCGGGCGAGTACGAAATGACGGTTGCGCTCCGGAGGTGGCCGGCTGGCCGCTGAGCGGGAAGCTTCGACGCGCTCATGCTACGTCTCTTCGGAATCCTCGGGGTAGAGTCGTCCGCGGGCTTCAAAGGGACTTTAGAGACGGTGTGAAAGGGCCCAGAAGCAGCCGTGGGTCGGACAGGGGTTGCCGGGTCGGCGTGACGCGCACCGCCATGGGAATTCAGCAGAGCGGGATCGATGGGCACCGAATTCTCGTCGCCGTATTCCTGACTAGCGTCCGACACGGCGTCATCATGAGCGTGGTCGTCGGGCTGAGGAGCCTCCACGAGAGACATCTCATTCGCCTCCGCGGCCAGCTCGACATCCTCCGAGGTGATAGGCATCATGTCAAGGTCAACCTCGTCATACTGGGCAGCGATATCGGCCTCCAGGGCGGCCTCGATAGCCGCTTGGTTCTCCATTTCGGCACGAATCCTCATCTCTTCGTCGAAGAAGCCCTTGGACGGCGTAGAGCCAGCCTGCACGGACTCGTTGTCGCTCACGAGGGAAAATCGGTCGGAATCGGGAGACCCAGGTGCTGCACCGGCCTGCTTCTGAGGGCTTGAGGCCTTCCACTCACTCAATTGATGGGCGAGCGGGGTGAAACCCAACCTAGGTCCTTTGGAAATGGATCGGATGGCTCGACTGGCCGCTTTCGCGGCACTAGAAGGCATTCCATTGCGGGGGGTCCTGATGCCGCTAGGCGTCGGTGTGGACGGGACGCCGAGGGTCAGGGTTGAGTTATCTTGGAATCTGGACAAAGTCTTGCCGCTGGACGCAAGCTCGTCTTCTGAGTCGGAGAGATAGTTATCCTCCAAGTCTTTAGCCCGCAGTCCAAAGGCCGGGTCGACAGCCTGTTTGGGCGGGGAGTCCGGAGGCGCCGTAGGAGCTGGATTAGCAGCCTCCTCTATCTTTGCCTCGGCACCGTCGATATTCATAACCTCGCTAGGCGACTGGTTACTTTCGGCATCAGCCACTTCAGGCTCCTTCTCAGCCTCGGTCGACTGTTGCGAGGTAGGCTCTGCCTCTTGACTCTCCACAGCCTTGGCCGGAGGCGAGTCGTCTCGAAGAGCCGGATCCGCATGTCGGGGGAGCACGGCAGACAGGCGGCCGGGGAAATCGAGCTGGGCCGGGGACTCGAGCTCGCCCTCGCCTTCCTCAGGCTGCTGGTCGGGCGCGACTTCATGCTCGGTGTTATCATCATGGTCTTCAGGCAGTTGCTGCTCTTCAGCCGGCGCCTCTTCTGGCACCGGAGATGTCTTGGGCGCAAATAGCCTCTTGCCTCTCTCTTCCGGGGGCTGTGCAGCAGGTTCCGACAGCTTGAACGGAGATGTGGGACGCTTGGCTGGAGATTGAAAGAGAGACATCTTCATCGGGGAGCGTCCTAAGTCGTTCGGTCCTTGTGAAAGAGGCTGGAGCGCGATCGGAAAGTGAGGGCGTTTAGCAGGGGATTGGAGAATAGGATTACTGGATAGCGATTCTGCTGCATGCTCATGGTCGGCCTTGGAGGCGAAGATTAACGACGGGATCACGTCCACCTTTTTCGCGGGCGACTTCATCGCATCCTTCCAGGGAGACGGCGGAGGCCGGCGAGCCGGACTACCAAATACGGACGAGTTTGCTGGCTCAGGCGCCTCCTGCGCGTCTTCATCCTCATCCTCGTCCTCGTCCTGGGCGGGCGGCTGAGGCTCGGGGTTTCTAGCATGGGCGCGCGGCTTCACAGGGCTCTTCATCAACGGCTTTAGAGGGGTCTTCTCTAACGTTGCGAGCTCGTCGTCGGAACCGGAATCCTTGGATAGCGCCCGATTCTGAACATCTTTCTTAGGGCTCAGCGGGGACTTCTCTCTAGTCTCGGCAGCCGGCGTGGATCGCGTGCTAGCCCTCGTAGCTCGGCCGCCAGCAGCTGGCTTGCGAACAGGCTTCGCTCGCATTCCGGTGGCAGGCTCAGTGGCCGTCTTAGCCTTGCCCTTGATGATGGCGGCAGGCAGCATGTTCTCCTTCTCGGGCTCTTGGAAGCTCACCGTCTTCTTGGTGATGCCGCCGAGTCTTGATGCAGGTCTAGAGACAGCCGACTTCAAACCTGGGGTTGGTTCGGTGGAGACAGTAGAGGTGGCGACACCAGTGGTAGCTTTTGCGACTGCCGGACCCCGAGTGCGTGTCACCTTTTTAACTGGTTCAGCCGTGGTGATGTCTGCCTTGTTCTCCTCAGCCTTTCGTGCACGTAACCGCGTGGCCTTGGCCGGCTCCTGCTTTGGGGCAGTTGTGGTGGCTGTCGTAGTGGTGGCAGTCTTCCTGGCCTTGCCACGCGTAGACCTAGCTGTAGTAGTTGACGCATCCTCCATAGTGATGTCTGGCTCCGGGCGGGGTTCGGACGCGGCAATCTTCCTCGGGCGGCCTCGGGTCTTTGCAGGCTTGTTCATGGTGCCCTTCTGTTCAGAATCCGTCTGGGCGCCGTCCTCGTCTTCCGTCTCGTCGGATCGCGTCTTGCGCTTGGTGGCACGTGTGGTAGTAACAGCAGGAGTAGGTGTGGGTGTGGGTGTGGTGGCACCAGCTCTGCCAGCTGCAGCAGACGGCGGCCTAGTCGAGGCCGGCTTGGAGGCAACCGGCTTGGACACGATAGGCTTGGACGCGGCCGGCTTGGACGTGGTGGTAGCAGCATCCTTTGCAGCGGCGCGAGCACGCGTCATGCGCTTGGGTGGGCTGGCAGCTTCCATTGTTCACGAGCAAAAAGGAGTACGGGATGAGGAGAAACGGATAAAGGTATAAGGTGGTTACCTCTGCAGGAAATTGAACAGGTTCATTCGACATCAACCAACATGCACGTAGCAATGCTGGGTGGTGTCGCCGGGGGGATGTTCAATCGTCGTGGAGGAGGTGGTGGTTGAGGTGGGAAGGGGAGAGAGGGAGAGAGAGAAGCAGAGGATAATTGATGGTGTGCAGGATTGAACACGGTCAGTTCCGAAATGCAAGTGCGGCGCGGTGTCTTATTTTTCATGTTTTCTTATTTACCTGGTCATAGCTCCTTCCTTCTTTGACGTCCTGGTCCCACTTGTTGGCCCATCAACAATCACGTGGCGCCTTCCCAATTCGTCTCCTTTAATTGCCTGAGGCAGATACAACATTGCCATTCTGCTTATATGTATCCCTACCCGGTACCTGCATAGACACTACCCAGCTACCTAGGTATGCAGACATATACATCAATTGAAGCACCAAGCAGGCCTGCTGTGTCTTCACCAATGAAAACCCCTGCTACTCATTATTTCCGCTGCTTCGGACAAAGAGAAGGTTTATGCTGCCCTCTCACTTCATCTCCGAGTATACGGAGAACTGGCAATATAGAAATGCCAGTGTCCGAAGGGCGTCAGCGTCGATCATCCAAGACCCGACCCTATCCGCTCTCCCTCACTCAGTTACCCATCTTCGATCTTCGAATTCCGCAGAAATATACAGTCGTACGTCAGGCAGGAACGGGCGATCTCCGGGTCTACGTAGATAATAGGTACCTGTACGAGCGTCGGGCAGCATATCGTAGAGCTTTCCCAACTACCTAAGGTATTACCTTGGGTGCCTATATTGGGGATTCCTCATTTCTCCTGTCAAATTCGGTCCCCGTTCTTAACAACCTGCTATCTCCAGCCTAGGTTAACAACCCGCCACCACGATCAGATCGTACAGGCGCTCGCTTTTTTCTAATTGACAACTGAACTAGAAATGCCAGTAATTTGTGCCATCGGCTACGTACTTCCCGTAGTCTAGCCATCATCACCGCAGCGGAGAACTAGCTCGCTACCAGCGCCGTGGTACGGGTCCTACGCGTAGCTTTGCGCGAGGTATCGCGTTGTCCTCTCTCCTAGGTAGGTAGGTAAGCAGGTAAGCAGGCTATATAAACGGCGAGGCTTCGTCTCGGTCGGCTACCAAGGGATGCAACGTCTTTCAACAAAACCTCTGGACTTGCGCGGGAACCAGTAGAGTCACTTCATCCCATATATCTCGCCCCCCTCTCTCCTTCGGCGCTTCCCTTAGAGATGGCTTAGCAGTACGGGAAAGATTATTTTGTGTCGTGCTAAATAGATGTTGTTCTCGCGGGAATGGGTAATTACTGCTACGTGCCTTTCGACATGGAGTCTGATGGCAAAGAATTTCGAACATTCACCCTACTCCCTGGCTTGAAGGAGCAGCCGTTAGAATGCCTTCTGGAACACGGGGATATAGCCGCACCGCCTGTCTACGATGCCGTCTCTTATGTTTGGGGGGATCCTCTCGATAGTACCGAGATTATATGCAACGGTAAAGCCTTGACCATCACAACCGGGCTCGCAGCAGCTTTACGGCATCTCCGCTCGACGTCCGCAAGGAAAAGATTGTGGGCAGACGCTATATGTATTAATCAGAACGATACTGACGAGCGAGAGAACCAAGTTCTCCGCATGAAAGATATTTATAAGGGGGCTAGGGAAGTTTTCATATGGCTCGGCGAAGAGAGAGAGGATAGCGACAAAGGCGTCGCCGTCGCTAAAGACCTCGCCCGAGCGCACCTTCAATTTGAAGAATGCGGCGGCACGCTCGAAACGCTGAACTTCGACGACGAGAACGTGCGGAGGCTTTTTGGGCGATTTAGGGACCCTCTAGAGTTCCCCCGACTGTCGGCTTTCGCCACGATCATCCGGAGGCTTTGGTTCACGAGAGTCTGGGTTGTCCAAGAGCTTGCGCTGGCCACCGAGGCGACGGCGCACTGTGGGGATTCGTCTATTAGTTGGGATGACCTCGTGGTTGCCATCACGGTGCAGGACCACCTCAACCTTTGGCTGTCTGACCACGAGCGCAACGCTTACGTCTTCATCTTGGAGAGAGCTCGCCGGGAGCGGAATATCGGGCGGGACCTCCTCAGCGTTCTCTTCCGGTACCGAATCCTCAACGCTACCGACGCGCGAGACAAAATTTTCGGTCTGAGTGCTTTAGCCGAAAGTGAAAACTCCGAAGCTGGGACACTGCGGCCGGACTACAACGTTAGCACTGCTGAATTGTATGTCGCGGTGGCAAGAAAGATCCTGAAGGATTCAGAAGACCTCAACTTGCTTTCGGTTCCCCGCCGCTTCTTGGGCACGTGTCCTAGCGGCTTGCCATCTTGGGCACCCGATTGGAGCAACACGAGGCTCACCGCGCCGTTGGGCCTGGTCAACTACTCCGATATCAGTGAGCTCGCGTTTGCTGCGAGCGGACCCTCGCGACCACAAATCAGGCTCGGCGACACCGACCTGGCTTTGCTCGGCGTCTGGGGCCACGATGTTGATCGAATCGCCTCTGTAGGGACGGTTCTAATGCTAGAGCGTCTCCCGCGCACAAATTACCACGGTGTCCGCGTTCCAAAATGTGCCTTCGTCTTAGACGACTGGTCTCGCGTTGCCGAACTCCGCAAGTCCGAACTGTACAGGTCCGGCGAACCGATCCGCGACGCCTTCATTCAAACCCTAGTGGCCGAGTCGTCACACGAGAGCGTCGAGACATTGCGCAGCCAACTTGACATTCTCGAGCGGTACGCAGTCATAGCTCGATGGGTTTCGTTTTTGCCGGAATTTCTCCCGAATTGGTTGGTCGATAAGATTGTTGGCTTGGTTCATGCGGCAGTGTTCCGTGGACGGACGGACCGGATGACCTTGAATTTCCGGAGACATCTGTCGTCGCTGGCCGATCGGCGGGTGTTCCGGACCGAGAGGGGATACATAGGGTTGGGATCTGCTCTCGCCGAGGTTGGCGACGAAATCGTAGTCGTCCAGGGCGCGAAGGTCCCTCTTATCCTGCGGGCGAGAGAGACGCAGTGGACATTGCAGGGCGACTGTTTCCTAAAGGGCATAATGCAAGGGGAGGCGTATCACGAAGACAAGTGCGCCTGGATGTGGATTGTGTAAGATCCTCTGCTTGCCTGTCTATCGAGATGGACAGCGAAATGGTGTTTTTTCTCTATACGTATTTTGTCTTGCTCTATACAAATCCTGTCTCGGCAGATGTGTAGAAAATGACTAACACGACGACACACGCACAATGACGCACGCAAGAATTTGTGGGAAGGAGCGTAGAGCTCTGCTGATGAGGAAGGAGAGTTCAGCAGAATACTTAATTACACAGATAACCGTGGCGAATTTAATTCACTTCCGTTGAAGTCGAGCTTTCATTTCGATACCGTCTAATACCCACTATCGTCGTCGTCGTCGTCGTCGTCGTCGTCGTCGTCGCCGCCGCCATTACCATCTCCGGACGCCGTTCGATCTCGCAGGCGGAGCGCACGGGGCACACTTAGCGCGACCTATTTCGTAGATCCGCCACGGGAGCATACGAAATGCCGCGCCTCCACGGTCGTTGACTCCCGCATCCCCCTCGTCCGGATCCTATCTACGCCTCGGTAGGGAAGGACGTGCGATTTACATGCATGTGGCTGCATGGGAGGATTTCCCTCCTCCATCTTATCGGGCCCGAAGCATTCGACCACGCGGCGGTTGACGATACGTGAGCCGAACCGCCCAGAATTAACCGGACTGGTGGCGTTTTACGTGCTGGTGCTTCGTGAAACGTCCGCCAAGCTGGCACTTTAACGACGAAGCGCCCGTGAAGAAGAAGAAGAAAAAATACCGACCCACGATTGCGTGTACACTTTAGGCACTAGAATGCTATAGGTACGTGGCCCATTGGCGCAAATGGATGCCAAGAATTTTTGTCGCAAGCATACGGAGTACAGGCAGAAGCGTTTGGATTTATGGCGATGCTCTGGATAGTCCGATCGCTCGCGTGTTATGATTCCTTTGGCGGAGGGTAATCGTCTCTTGATATGTATTATGATTTAGCTTGGCCGGTTAGACTTATTATAGTGCTCGCTATTCTCGTGGAAATCCCACCACGATATCGAAATCGACAGCCTCTTCCTCCATATACTGAGGAGTCGTGGTGTACATACAACTTATTGACCCTTTTGTTAGATTATCGGCTGGTTAGGTTGTCGGGGTCATCTCGTCGTTGACCCCCTAGCGCTCAAACAACTCCTTGTCAGGGCACTGTCTCAACCCCTGCTGCCACCAGACCCCGGCCCCGGCCACCCTTCCCGAGCTGGCGATAGAACCTCCCCGAGCAGGCCTGCGGACCCATCGAATGCTTCTGCGCGTGAAATTTGATGCCCACACCCTCACGGCCGTGGAATGGGGACTCGCCTAGCCTCGACTTGCATCAGCTTGCATAAAATTTACCGTCGTGGAACTGCGCTCGAGGCCTGAGAGGAGGACTAAACTAGCAAAACCCCAGTCGAAACCAGCTTCGGAACTACCATGTAGTATTACACCAATTCCCCTTGGCTCGACAAGCTCTCGAATGCATCTGGGCGCGTGGGTGTGTATGGCTCCATCACTTATCATGCCTTTCCCCATCCTTTGCCAATTTTCGTCTCCTTCTGAACTGCTGTTTCTCTGGATGGCTTTCTCATTCTCCTAAGCGCCGTCACCTGTTAGTTTCCCCGTAATGCTTGTTTCGAGTCCGCTGTCGTTCCTTTTCTTGTTCTCTAAAGTGCATATGCGCCTGGTCTGATGTTTGTTGCTCGGGGGACAAACCGGTGCCGGCATTCTTTTCTTTCATAATATCGACGGCTTATACGGAAGCCTCGAGCATTTTCCTACTACCTCTTTTCTTTCCCGGGTTGATCCCGTATAATCTGAAAAACGGCTGGTCTGTTCACATTCGTTCGCTCGCTCGCTCGCGCACGTTCGAGACTCGGGTCGTCGTCGATAAGTAGCTTCGCGGCCACGGCTGCAAACCGAGTGAGGATATCTGAGAGGTTCGCCTATACCTAGTTCACATCCCCGAGGATGAAGGTATCGGCGTCCCTACTTTTCGTGCTCGGCTCCCTGTCGCTCGTTCAGGTGCGTGCTACCGAGCTGGATTTCACTATCCGGTACTGAAAGTATTTACTATATTAACCACTCTGCAGGCCAGCACCTACCATTATTATGACCAAACTGAGAAGAGAGGACTGCTGGATCAGCTGCTCGCCCGTGGAAATGGAGATGGGAACAGCCGCGGGGAGCGCCAGGGACAACGGCAGGGACAGCAGGCTGACGGCGTGGTCACGGAAACGTTGAGGCAGACCGTTACGATATCGGCTGGAATCATCGGAGGATTCTTCAACAGGACCGTCACAGTTACCCAAACGGCTGCTGGCGCTATCGCCACCGGAGCGTAGGTCTTCTTCGTCGACTATTCGTCGTGCTTTCGACACACCAGAGCTGACACGATGCAAATAGACCATCGACCGTGACGGAGAAAGCACTCACTTCGACGATCACTCAAGTGTCTACCATCACCAGTGTCTCTACCGTCATACAGGCGTCGACTGTCGTCCAAGTGTCTACGATAACTATGATGCAGATGATTGCATGCGGGACGCCGGTAGGAACTCCGGTCCTCCCCGGCGAGGCCTCACTCATCGCGTCGTCCGCTGCCCGAGCAGCTTCCTCAGCCTTGGTCGTCATAGTGCCGCCTGTAGGAACATCGTCAGCCGCGGCCACGCCATCAGCTTCCTCAGCGGTAGAGTCAGTTCCGGCGGTGTCTTCCTCCGCCCCGGTCAGTTCCAGTGCGATAGCGTCGAGTTCGGTCGAGAGCATCGTGGCGACGTCTTCCTCCGCTGTCGCACCTGTCGACTCTTCGTCTTCAACAGCGGTGGCAGAAACGTCGGCACCGGCAGCATCAGAAGCTGCGACCTCGGCGCTAGCTGATACGTCCGCCGTCCTAACATCGTCGGCGCCAGTAGAGACAAGCTCTGCGGTTGAAGCCACCCCCTCGACTACCAGTACCGCCGCCGCCGAATCGTCGCTTGTTCTCCCTATCCAAGGCTCGACGTCAACTACAGAAACTGCTGCAGCTCCTAGTACGACCGCACCTTCCGCTGCCTCGCCTACGCAAGCCATAACTACGCCGCTCGCCGCGCAGTCCTCCCTCCAACTCCCCGTCGAAACGCCCACCGTCCCGACAGGAGCCAATAATGCTGTGGGGAACGTGCCTCTGCCTGCCATCACAGCGACGACGTTCGCCGGCGTAAACGAGGGCCCTTCGATCGACCTTAGCGGCGTCACGCTTACAAACGTCCTGAACCTGGGAAGTCTCGGACGACGCGCTCAATAAGACGAGGTATAGAGAGCAGGCCGTCGTCATGATTACTAGCAAGGGCAGAATGGGATTCGGGTAGGGGATTGCATACGCTAGCTGCTTGCGATCTGCGAGGTGGAGTGGTTGGTTACCGTCATTATAAAGTTAATCAGGTTCGGCTCAAGTTGGGATATGGAAGAGGAGGCGGAAGGGGGAAACGCGAGAACAGACGGGATTCCAAACAGCATGAATGTATGATACGCTTCGCTTCGTCCTCTTTCTCCGTCCGCCTGTTGTCGCGAGGTGAGAATTGAAAATTGAAATGCGGTACTGCGCATGCATGCGGATTGGGTCGGGTAGCTTCTAGCGCACACGTGTTGTGATTGCATGGCCGAAAGCGAGCAAGCCATTTGTTGTTGTAACTATGAGGGTATCTCCTTTTTCTTTTCTTCTCTCGGACGAGCCGACCTAATCATGCCTAAACGCCGCCAGTATGCGAATTTTAATGGATTTCCCATCCTCTTACCCGCCCCCCCTAACGCTCTCGCCCCTATTTCACGACTTATTCCACCTTTCGCCCCTTTGCATCTCTCTCTAACTCACGGGTCCTCCGTCTCCGGCGCCTCGGCCGCCTTCCTTCCTCATCGCCGCCTTCAGCCTCTTGGCCTGGCGCTTGCTTATGGGCGGGCCGGTCTGCGCGCCGGCGCCCGTGGCCGCGGCGCCTTCGCTCTCGGCCGGATCGCTGCTGTTCTTCCTCTTCTTCTTCCTCCCCTTGCGGGCGGCTTCGGGGTCGGCGTCCGCTTCGCCAGCTTCAGCGGCGGGCCGGCGGGCGTCCCCGCCCGGGGGCGCGGCGACGTCGACGATGCCGACGACGCCGCGGAAGCCGGCGCGGCGCAGGGCCTCGTTGGCGACGACGGCGCGGGGCACGGGGCCGAGGGCGGCGGCGCCGCGGTCGGGGGGCAGGCCACCCCAGACGGCGAGCAGGTTGACGAGGTCGGCGGGGGCGCGGAGGGCGGCGGGGGCGGCGGCCTCGCTGGCGAGCAGCAGGCCGCGGCCGCGGGTGGCGCGGACGAGCTGGGCGAGGTTGCCGGCGAAGCAGGCGCGGGCGCGGGCGGCGTCGGCGGACGTGGACGCGGCGAGGGCGGGCGCGTAGGCGACCTCGAAGCGCAGGCCGCGGGCGACGGCGGCCATGCACGGCTTGGGGCGCAGGCGGAAGGGCAGGCGCGCGGCGAGGTCGAGCGAGATGAGCGCGGCGTCGGGCGCGCCGGCGCCCAGGCACACGGCGTGGAAGGCGCGCTCGGAGCGCGGCCGCAGCGCCACCAGGTCGTAGGCCTGCGCGGCGCGCGCCAGCTGCGGGTTCTGCGCCGGGTCCGAGAACGAGACGGTGATGCGGTGCAGGACGACGGCTGGCAGGCGGGGGCGAGGCGGGGGGGCGGAGGAGGAGGAAGGGGTAGGAAGGGGAGGGGCAGGGGCAGGCGGGAAGCGCGGCAGCGGGTTCGTCAGGTTCGCCGCCAGCGGCGCGTCCACCGCGTGGTTCAGCGCTACCACGTCGTACCCCAGCTCGGCGCTGAAGCGCAGCGTGCGCTCCAGCTCGGCCGCCCGCGTCCCGGGCGACCACGCGATGTTGAGGTCGTAGAGCATGCCTGCAGTCGTCGGCTAGCCGCGGCAGAAGACGCCGGGCCTGGCGAGATGCGACGCGGCCTGGATTCGGCTTTGGGGTGGTGGTGGTGGTAGTAGTGGTGGTGGTGTAGGTAGCTGGTGTGGAAATGCGAATTATGGCGTTTTCTGATTCCTGGTCCATGACCCCACTCAGCCGTTCTCGACCTCAGGTTGCCGTGTGGCACGTGATCGCGTTGAGGAACGTACGCGAGGTACGTAGGTACATACTAGTCGTAGGCAGGGCGGGTGCCGATGACCCGCTATCGATAGTGGAGCGAGTCGGGGGGCCGACACGTTACTGGCTGGAGGGGGAGGCTGCGACCCCACCGACAAGGCTTGGCCCAGCTTGGCTGCTGTTACAGACTCGGTACTTGGATGGGTACCTGATGGAGTACCTGAAGATAAATATAACATACCTATGTACGATACGCGTGCTATATATGTACTTCACATGTACCTCTTCTACCAGGGCGCACGCCGTAGTGACAATACTGGCATTGGCATGGGCACAGCCTCCAGGTGACACGCAGCCATCCCATTTGCCTTTCTCCCCGACGAGCAGTCAAGCCAGTCTTCTACGTAACATCATGATCCGACAGCCACTCCCCTCCCATATTCTCCTTTATCCTTCTCCCTCTCGCATCGCACGCTCCTTTATATCCCACGCCCGAACTAGACCGCTATAACTCCGTCTGGATTGTGTAAGAGAGAGGAGAGATACCTGCGCTCGGTAGCCGACGCCATCTACGCCTTCGCTCGGCCGCTCCCAACCAGCGCAGATTCGCCCACCCACGACACGGTACCAAAGCGCTAGAGTCGTCGCCGCACGAGCCCAGTCCAGTCGAATCGCCCGCCTGCTACTACTACTACGATGTGTCTCATCTTCACCTGCGGCGAGCACACCTTCCGCAAGGAAGTCGAGGGCTACGAGGGCCTCACCTGCCAGTGCCACAACTGCGGCAACTATGCCGGGCACGCCGTGAAGAGCAATCCCTGGTTCACCTTCTGCTTTATCGTGAGTACCTCTCCTCCTCTCTCCTCTGCCCGTCCGCCTCGCGCTAACCGCGGCTGCGACCAGCCCGTCGTCCCGCTCTCCTTCCACGGCTACGAAGACGTCGTCTGCAGCATCTGCAACTTCGCCCAGCCCCTCGAGCACCGACCCGACGTCCACGCCATGAGGCGCGGCGCCGCCCCCGCCGGAATCCCAATGCAGAACCAGCCCCCCGGCCCTCCGAAGCCCGGCGTGCCGCCCCCGGGATGGGGCCAGGGGCCGCCCGGCGGCCAGGCGCCCATGAGATACGGCTAGACAGACACGGAGAGGTCGGCCCGAGCTGTATGTAGGATCGGTTGGTTGGGGGTGGGAACGGAGTTGATGGGGGTGACAAGAGGTGATTACGACAGCGGACGGGCAAAATAATGAGATGGCAAGGAGCAAAAGAAAAAAAAAGAGGGGGGTAGCGGGGTTGCTTGCATCACGGCCGGCGTTCAATGAATTACGACGGCCTGTCGATAGGATGGATATTCGCTCTCGCTCTCGTTCGAGAGGTGTTTAGATGTGACCAAGATGAAAGCTGGCGGGATGAGCCGTAGAAACGGGGTTCTTTCCCGCGCTTATGTTTATAAGTTTGGAGTTCGGGGTATGTACGAGGGCGATGGTCCCTCCAAGTGTTGGTGCTTTACGCGTGCTTCTGCAGGAGTCGCCGATATACATATACATATGGGAATGGAAGAGTCTTTAGGCTGCCTACGGGATTGTATCTCTGCTATCGCGGCGCATACCTGCGCGCGTAGTTTTGCCATTGCCGCCTTTCCGTGAATTGGCTCCTCCTCCTCTCCTAGGGGAGTATTCTACGAAGCTGCGGTCGCGACGTGGCCGCTCGTGAACACGTCCGTAGTGTCAGGCCATACCTAGTGTGAGAAGGTCCCACCGAGGCGGCGGGACCACGCTCCTCGCAGCCGAACACCCCGGCCCTCGGCCGTCCTCTCGTTCCGTCAATCTAGCACGGGCCGCCACCCGCGGCGCCCGACGTACCCGACGACGCCCTCGTCGCGGAGCACGTCGGCGGCCAGCCGGCCCGTCACGACGCTGCGCTCAACCTCGACGCCGCGCAGACGGAAGGGGAAGGTTAGGCGGCCGGCGCCCGCGCCCTCTCCGTCGTTGCCGCCGCCGTCATCGCCGTCGCCGTCGCCGGCTCTCTCCCACACCGCGCGCCCGCCCCGCCGCGCCCGCACGAACCCGCTCCCTGCGCAGTCCAGCGACAGCAGCCACCGCCGGCCGTGCACGCTGCCGATCGTGTTCGCCGCGCCGGGGTACACGTTCGTGCGCCGGACCTCGGCGTCACCGTCGCTAGCCCCCGAGTCCGAGTCCGAGGTCGAGGGCGCAGGCGCAGGCGCAGGCGGCCGCGCGCCCGGGCGCCTGCGCCTGCGCTGTCTTCCGCGGTCCGGCGCCGCCGCGTCGCTGCCCGGCGCAAGCCGCAGGCTGAGCACGTAGGGGCGCGGCAGCCGCGCGCCGCGGAGCTGCAGGCGGATGCGGCGGGCGCGGAACGCGCGGGCGAGGTTCTCCTGCTCGGTGGGGCGGGGGGCGTCGGCCTGTGCTGGCGACGAGGAGCAGGAGGAGGAAGAAGAGGAGGAGGGGGCCCGCGGCGGCGGAAGCACCGCGTACGTCCCCGTGTCCCAGATGAGCAGGGAGCCCGCGGCGCGGGAGGCCGTTTCCGCGAGGTGGTTCTGCGGCGGCGGGGGCGGGGCGGGTTAGACGTGGGATTTCCCCGGGGGAGGGGGGAGAAGAGCCGGAAAAAAGAAGGGGGGAAAGAGGAAAGAAAAAACGCACCGTCAGGCAATGGACCCGCGTCTCGATCGCGGCCCGATTCGGCCGCCGGCTGTTGGCGTCGCCGGGCAGCCCGTACGCGACGGCCCACGACGCGCTGCTGCGCCCGTTGATCTGCAGCCGCAGGTCGTAGTGCGGCCCGGCGACCGGGTGGTCGTGCTGGTGCACGACGAAGTGCGCGCCGCCCGCCGCGCCCCAGCTCGCGCGCCACAGCGCCGCGCCCCCGGCGAAGGGCGCCGGCGCCGCCCCGCCCAGCCGCCCGAGGAGCTCCGCCGCGCGCGAGGCGTCTGGCTCCTCCTCCTCCGCCCCGCGGTTCTCCGCCGGTGCGGGGCCCGCCGCGGCGCGCGACCCGGGGGAGCTGCTGCTGCTGCCGTCGCCGCTGTCGGCCTCGTCGTCGGTGTCGCGCGCCGGCCCCGAGGGCGCGATGCTCCACTCTAGGTTCCGCTTCTTGATGAAGGGATTGGGGACGAGCTCGGGGCTGGCCCTGCGCTTCGCAGCCATGTCGGTTGCGTAGAGAGGGCGGCGCCGATGCGCCTCAGGCTGCAAGCCGGCGCTGCTGCAGGTCTTGATAGTGGGTATGGTGACCGGCGGTCCCTGTCGGTGTGGCTAGGGGTTGGCAACCTGGTGGTGTCCGATCTTCCTCCTGCTACAATCTGGTATGACTTAACCGGCTGCCTGCTTCCTTACCTTACGCAGCGGCGCTGGGGACTGGAGAAGGGCAACTCGGTTAGGCTAGAGAGGATGGCGGTTCTGTTTGTTTGGTGGGGTAAAAGAAGCTGGTGGCATAGATCGGGGTGCGGCTTGAACTAAGTATACTTCGTTGAGGGTTGTGCTACCGCCACAAAGACCTGAGATACCCAGGGGGTAGTGAGAGAGAGTGTGTGTATTTAACGTCACGGCGCGTGCTACTGGTTACGACAGCGACAACTAGGTACAGGAAAATGCAGGCGGTCGGCTATTCGTCCGTTCAGTCGGCCCCCCCCACGGCTAGACTTCCCCGGTATCGCGCCAGAATCCCCTAGCTTCCCCCGTATTCCCCCCCGTAGTCGTCCCCTACTAGGCACAGACGCCTATGAGACGGGTCAGCGACGACGGCTAGACTAATGTGTTCTCGAGCGTCCGAACATCCGTGGATGCACCCTCGGCGACGCTCGTCGCGGGTGGTGTTGTTGTGGGTGTTTTACCTCCCCCAGGAGGCGGCGGCGGGAACCGGAGGAAAGTTACACCGATCGAAGGCAACAGTAAAACCCCCTCTCCGCCTGCCGGTTGGCCCTATTAGCGGTAGGGCCGGGACCGTGAGCGCCTGTGTCCAACACCCTAGGCGTTGGTATCCTTGCTCAGGTTCCGATCTCGTCGGCCGAGACCGGAGAGCGCATCGGTCGAGCCAATGGGGCGCGACCCCAAGGCGGGGCATGGAAGCCGATGGAAGCTTGTCGATGATGTTTGCCGGTCTCTTGACCGAGACCGGGAGACCACCTTATTCGTCTGGGGGAGCGACCCCGGCTGGGCGGAATGGGGTGGTGTTGCCTTTGTGCTCTTCCTGCCTTCCCAGCGTGGCAGGAGAGAGGAGCCCAAGAGAGTATCGACCGGGTCGTCGAGGACCTCGGGGTGCGTCAACCGCCGCCGTAACCAAGATGGATTCTTAGCCGGCGCCGTGGACGTTTAACCGCACCGAGGCGCGGGACCGAGCGGAGCACGGGACCGAGTCGAGGGTCAGGCCGCGGGGGAGCGAACCCAGGGTGAGGAGGGAACGAGGGACTCGTGATGCTTTCTTGGTGTTTTGGGGACCTCTCAGGATCGGAGTCCTGGTTGGCTGAATCCGAGCCTTCTGCTCCTGATTGGCCGGAGCCGCCCAGAGAGTGAAGAAAAGGAGAGAAGGTGTGGTAATGAGGGAGTGTCGCATAGATGACAAAATATTTATACCAGTTGCGGGGGGCTATAAACTGGAACCACTTTTTGCTACCTCGTCGCCCTGATGCTATAGGTATAACAACTAAACATCTCAACTTAGTACGGTCTGTCTAGGTACTAACTAACACGTCTTAGGAGGTCAAAGGCCGTCCCTGTAAAAATGGAATTTAGACCCTTAACTCAGAAGAGTTGCAAAAGAAAAGGCTGATGAGAGTGGGACTCGAACCCACGCGGATTGCTCCACTGCGATTTTCCTATTCAGGTTAACCTGAACGCAGCGCCATAACCACTCGGCCATCTCACCTGATTCGATACTGGCTGCAGCCCTATTGGCAACCATGCCGGCTACTCCAAAATCGACCCCCTCCATCCGATCTCAAGCTCGATCGCAAACCGCGCTGCATGTAATCGTTCCTCACTTGCTGGAGCTACCCCATCTCTGTAATGTGCACATGCATTTTGCCTGTTGTTGTGGCTGTCTGCATTTATCCACAGTGCCATACAACTGGCAGTTCCTGGTTATGGGTAGGAGAATCGTGCGCGTAAACTTTCTCTCGGCGCGGCCTCGACCTGCGGTAAAGCCATTAAGGTCTTCTTGATGAAAAAGGGAAACGAAACTAAAAGCAATGAGTAAGAGAGAGGAAACGTCACCGAAAGAAAGCAGCGCACTTGGGGACCGAGATACAAATCTGGGAAGGGTGGCACTTCGACTACCCTTACCTACACAAGCTACCTACGTGTTGACTTATTCTCGGTTTCTCTGATACGGTGGTCACCTCTAATCTGATCCGGGCAGCTGTATGCTTAATCGTACAGGTGCAGTTTACGAATTGCAAAACGCGGGAGTATATTAATGTATCCGTGTCGTCCTCTCTGGCTTCATGATAGCTGGCTTGTTTACCGGCGCGGTGGCTATGGCCGTGATAGCTATCCCCTAAGCCGATTATCCCGAGACCCGGCGTGGGCGGAAAATTGGATTAGTCGTGGGCTAAACAGAGCTAGGCTATCGCATCCTAGCTACGGAGCGTAAGAATAATCTTACAAAGTCCTTGCTTATCGTGAGCCCGAATGCCTCATGGCCCATAGACAGTTCTAGTCTATATCACGCAGCGTCCCTCCGGGCCCCGAGAATCTGGAAACTCTGGATTAAGGGTGTGGCGTTGGCCTGCGTGATACGGAGCCTTACGCGGCTCGCGTCCGCGGGTGCGCGAAGTCTGTCGATACGCTTATACCCCATCGATGTGCCAGTCACCAGCGTCCGGTAGGCGCCGTCCACCAGTGCGTCGATGGCGTACGCGCCGACGCGCTGGCCGAGCGCGACGTGCTCCTGGACGACGAACGCGTCGAAGGTATGGACGGCGCCGAGGTCGACCTCGAGCCAGCCCGTCGTCTCGCCGTCCTCAGCCGCCCAGTACGTGTCCGTGTTGCTGGTGTCGAGCGCGTTAGCCGGCCCGTAGCGCGCCGCGTCGCCGCTTCGCACGCTGCTCGCGTTGACCGTGTGCCCCGGCGCGAGGATCTCGCGGTCGAAAAACGCGTCACGCTGCGCCTTGAACTGCAGCAGCGCCTCCGCGTCCTCCCGGACGATCTGCCCCGTAGTGTCGGGGGGCACGTCGAGTAGCAGGTTCACGCTCCGTCCCACTGACTGCATGTACATCTCCGTCAGCTCGTCCGCCGTCTTGGGCTTCTCGTTGGCGTGGTAGAACCAGCCGTCCCGCAGGCGTGCGTCCGCCTCGGCCGGCGTCCAGTAGGCGCCGTCACGCACCCCAGTCTGCAGCTCCTCGCCGGAGTAGCGTGCCTGGTCCTGGGTCCGGCTGATGGTGTGCCAGTTCGTCGCCACCGTTACGCCGTCCTCGTTGCCGACCCAACGCGCGTCGACGCCCTGGTGGCCCCACATGATGGCGTCCGGCTGGTGCTGGCGGATGATGTCACGGAAACCGGTCCAGTTGAATGTCTGGACCGTGCTGGAGCCGCTGTTCCCGTCGAGCCATAGCTCGGATACGTCGATGGGCGAGCCGTCGCTTAATCGCATCGTTAGCAACTCCGTCAGCTGCTGGGAGTAGAGCTCGTTGTAGTCGCCCGGGCTATCGTCGCCAAAGATCTGCGGCTCGTCGTAGAGGGTGCCGGCCAGCTCTCCCTTCGGCATGGCCGGGTCGCGGTGGATGTCCCACGGCGACAGGTAGATACCGAACTTGATGCCGAACTTCTTCGCGGACTCGGCCGCCATCTGCACGACATCGGCGGCGAGGCCGTTTGCGACACGGCTACGTGCCCATTTTCCGTTGCCGATCTTGTATGTCGTCGTGTTCGTGTCCCACAGCGCCATGCCGTCGTGGTGCTTGGCGGTTAGGATCATGGCCGTCATACCGGCGTCCGCAAACGACCTCGCCCACTGGTCCGTGTCGAGCGCGGTGGGGTTGAAGACGTCGGGCGTACTCTGGCTCCTGCCCCATTCTTCGTCGGTGAAGGTGTTGGGGCCGAAGTGCACAAATGCGTAGTATTCGAACCGATGCCATGAGAGCTGACGAGGGGACGGGGTCCGCAGATACGGAGCGGGAGGAGCTTGGGCACGGACAACTGTCGCCAGCCAACAGGCGGCACCGATAAGCCGCAACCCCCATCGACGGCGTGATGCGGGCCGTGCTGTGGTAGCTGGCGTTGCTGTGGTTGTCGGCATCGCAAATACCGGTCGCGTGAGACACTACTATAGGTAGGTAGATGGACCGGCGTCGGCGCGGTGGGAGAACAATGGGCACTGCTGCCGGTTGAAGTCGATATGCAAGCGACCTACCTATCTATCTGGCTTTACGCGGGAGGGGATAGACGACCATATCCACGTACCCCCTCTCTCCCCCCCGGCTTTCCTCTACATGGGGTGCCGGTCGGGGATCATCTCCCCTCCCCTCCGCCCGGCCCATTTCCCTAGAGGAGGATGTTGCCAAGGCGGACCACAGCCCTATTACCGTTGTGAATGGTGGAAATGGGGTGGATATTGCCGTAGGGATGTTCCTGATTGGGAAGTTGGCCAACTGCCTCTGGGAGCAGGACATATTCTGGTGGGAGAGGGAGAAGGACAGGCGGTGGAAGGCCACACAGGCCTGACCTGATGCTGATCTCTCCAGGCTATAGGTAGGTAAGTAGGTAGGTAGGTACTCGTTGAGATGCTTATATTTTGGTTAGGAATCTTGTGTGTCTTGGGGCACACATATCCACACCTGGGTGTAGGCAACTAGTCGCTGTGTTGTAGGTAGGTAGTAGAGTGATCTACGATGGGATCTCGATAGGAGATCTCATGGTGGTGAGAGAGTCTGTAAGGTACCCGAGGTAGGCATGTACTTAGTGAAAATATGCACAGATACGAAGTTAGTGCTCCCATTGAGCAATAACTGTCTCAACCACATAACATACCTCCTAGGTACCAGGTACCTACTTTAGGTACCTCTTTAGCTACGGTGCCTAGCCTCCCTTTAGCCTAGCACATGTATACATGACGTGATGCAGTGGTTCAGAGGCATCTCGTCGATATTGCTAATCTCCAATGTCGCAATTTGTAAGCTTCCCCTTTCTCCCCCTTGCGTTTTTCTCCCTTTGCTTTGCCGACTTGGTATACCAGGGTCACATGATGGCATCTTCTCTTCTTAGTTGCCTCCTCACGGTAAGTGCACGAGTGATATTGTGATGTGGTCCTGCTGGGTTATGTCAGGTAGTAGGTACTTAGCTATAGTTACGGTAGCTTATGTCTGCTATAGATGTACATGTCGGCGTGCTAGCTTCAGGTAGCTTCACACAGGTAGGTACCTAGCCTGCAACGGGTCCGTCTACGGCAAGAGGGGTAGCTGGGTACGGGCTTCTCCGGCTTGACACGTACCGGCACATCATCGCATCATCCCATCCCATTTCCGCCTGTCCCGCCTTTGTACCTGGGCTAGCCGGTAGCACATCTGTCTGTTCGCGCCCAATCGATAACTCCAACCACCACCAAAACCATCCCATACCTTGACGTCCTTCTCTTCTACTCTCCTCCCTCGAGACCCCCTTCGAGACCCCAATTAGCATCGAACAAGACACCTCTCTCCCTCTCCAATCCTCACCTCTCGATCTCCTCTTTTTCTCCGCCTGCCGTTTCCCGAGAATTCCATTGCCCACATCATGTTCAGCAGACTAGCAGTTCGTGCGGCCCAGCCGCTGAAGCGAGTAAGTATCGCCTGTCCGGAACTCGGAGCTCAGCTATCTATCATGATACTACCACCACCACCGCTACCACCGCTACCACCACCAACAACTGCAGATTGGAATGCTAACCGGGGTCATCTGCATTTAGAATGTCGTCTCTCGCGGCTATGCGACCGAGGCCCCCAAGGGCCGCTCCAACACCCTCCTCTACGCTGCGGGTGCCGTCGCTGTCGCCGGTGCTGGGTACTACTACTTCGCCGGATCGTCCGCAGGTGCTGCTGCTAAAGAGGCCGTTAGTGGCCCACCCAAAAAGGCCTTCACCGGTGGCGAGCAGGGCTTCATCTCCCTGCTGCTGAAGGATGTCCAGACCATCAACCATAATACCAAGAAATTTATCTTCCACCTCCCCGAGGACGACCAGGTCTCCGGCATGACCGTCACCAGCGCTCTGCTCACCCGCTTCCAGAACGCGGGCGAGAAGCCGGTCATACGACCGTACACTCCTACCAGCGACGAGGGTGAGCCCCCCCCCCCCATCATTGCGAGGACGAAGGCGGTAGGAAGTTGTGTGGGGTTAAGGGAAAATAGGAATACGCTGGCTAACTGGGAATTTCTCGTTCTTGGAATCATACAGACACCAAGGGCCTCCTGGAGCTCATTGTTAAGAAGTACCCAAACGGCCCCATGTCGACCTACCTACATGACCTGGTCCCCGGACAGCGCCTCGACTTCAAGGGCCCGCTGCCCAAGTACCCGTGGGAGGCGAATAAGCACGAGCACGTGGCGCTGATCGCCGGCGGCACCGGGATCACGCCTATGTACCAGCTGGCGCGGCACATCTTCAAGAACCCGGACGACCGGACCAAGGTCACGCTCGTCTTCGGTAACGTGTCCGAGGAGGACATCCTGCTCAAGCGCGAGTTTGAGGACCTCGAGAACACGTACCCGAACCGCTTCCGCGCCTTCTACGTCCTCGATAATCCACCCAAGAGCTGGACCGGCGGCAAGGGCTTCATCAGCAAGGACCTCCTCAAGACCGTCCTGCCGGAGCCTAAGAGCGGCAACATCAAGGTCTTCGTCTGCGGCCCGCCTGGGTTGTACAAGGCCATCTCCGGCACCAAGGTCAGCCCTACGGACCAGGGCGAGCTATCTGGCATCCTTAAGGACCTCGGATACACCAAGGACCAGGTATTCAAGTTTTGAGCGTGGCATCGCTCGGCGTGCGTCGGTTCGCCCGCGCATCGCTCGGAAGTTCACAGCGGGAGGTCGGCTGGATGCTTGACTGACCGCCCGGCCGGATCATCGGGCGCAGGGGTGAAAAGGTGATGTGGCTCGGTTTGGAAGAGTATGGCGATTGGGTGAGGGGAGAGCGGGCGGCTGGCTTTTATGTTTCCTGGCCCGAATGTTGACAGCTTACACCCTCGGAGCTCACGTGATCTCTCGCCGCTTTTGCACAGGCTTGCACCGGTGCTAAGCACTCGCTGCATACCCTGCATAGGCGTTAATCAGGTTGTGCCATAATAGCTGGGTGCGAACAGGCTCGCCTGCGATCGGGGATTTTGGGAGGGCTATCCAGGGGGTTGAAAATGACCACCCCTGGGAGCTAAAATGGGATGCTAGTACAGCCTTTAGCCAGGATGCCTTACGGCCCTGGTCGAGTAGTCCTTGTGTTCCTATATGTATGATGTGCCCTCTTACCCTTCGGGTCCTTATTCTTTGTGTCCCGGCGAGTAAAATCCATTGTTATCTTAACCCTACCCCTCCGATGAATGTTATCGGGAGACCAAGTTCTTCTACCATTTCCCCGTCTAGTTTTTACTTTCGAAAGGCGGGGTGCTACGAAACGAGTACTAGGATGGCTGCTACGGTGACTATTACGACGAATAATAAAACGAGGCTGGGCGGAAAGAAGGCACTCCAGAACGGATTTATAGCAGATCGGTTAAAGTTCGACTCTTACCTAGTCCGTGAGAAGTTAAGGCCAAAGAGCGAAGCTAAATACGACCGAGAGCTTCGAGTATGGGCATCGTATGTTGATAAAGGGTAGATAACTACTGAAGGTAGCGTTGACTCGTGGCAGGTTCGAGAAGCTAAATCCCGGTGTAAACCCGCTCGACATGTAGTATTTGAAGCTGTTTGCCGAGTTCCTCGACCTTACTATGAAGGGTGAGGTCCGAGGTAGGTTGGACCCCCGAAAGCCGAGGGCGGACACCGGTAGCATACGAGGTGCCATGCGCAGATTCTGTAACGCATGGGAACGAGAGAATCATTGGGAAATCCCGTACTATATCGAACAGTTCATGGCATTAGTAAGTACAACCCATCGCCACGTAAGCCGCGGCGCCGTCGTAACACCGTTACTGACGAGCTAAAGTTTATAGATGGCGAATTAGCCGACAAAATTGGCTTGACGAAGAGTAGGAAGAACGGTACTGAGAAAGAGTTAAAGACGCCCCTAACTATCGAAAACTACGTCTATATGCAGGAACGCTATTGGTATAACGACTTCCACGAGTATCTATATAAAGGGTACCGAGTCGACAGTACCAATCTTTCAAATAACTGCTACTTTACCTCTGCGAGACTTACGGAGGTGTGCTAAGCCTTGCACCAGGTTAGTGCTGAGTTGAATGGAGGGATAAGTTTGATGATTGACCCTTATATCAGAACCTCGAGTATAGACTCTCATGGAAGTACGAGAAACCAGAATACAGACTGAAGTTTAAGAGGGAAGTTTACGAAGCTATAAATGAAAACTGGTAAGTTATAGAAGTTTTAGATTCTAGGCCACCGAGGAACGGGAACTTTAGAATTATCGAGTGGGCAAATAAGAAAAAAGCCAGTCTTCCCGTAATGGACCTCAAAGGAGCCAAAAGGAAAAGCCGAGAGAGCCAACAACGTGGGGTTATTAGGCTTTAGATTAGGTCGTACGTGCCAATTTTACCGCCAGTTTCGGCTTGTATTCCGCACGCCGCAAAGCCCTTATCAACGCAAATGGTAAGGTAGTCTACCTCTTTGAGCCCATGGAGCATAGCTCGGTTATCTAATTCTAGATAACAGCTATTTACTTGGCTAAGTGTTGAGGTTCGCCTCACAGAATAACACGCATGTCCTTGTCAACGATGATCTGGGTAATATATCCAGCATCGACGATGCGGCAAATTACCTCCGGGCGGAGCTCCGAACCGACCTCGTCGAAGATTTTCTCTCCGCGATAACAAGGAGAAACCCCGGCATCTCCCAGACGCTCCCGGTCGAGGTAGAAGAAGAGCTGGGGTGAGCTAGGAATACGTCTTGCTGTAGGGCCAAATCGAGAGCCTAGTCTTACCCTAAAGCTCGAAGGGGCCACCTTGGACGAGACTCGCACAGAACTTCAGGCGCGGCGGAAAATGCTCGACGATTAGCGCCGAAGGCTTAAAAAGAAGGCGCTGGATAAATACCAAGAAAGCGAGAAACTAGTATACGAAACTTTCGAGAGTTATGAATAGGGCGACTGGCGCCAGGGTCATTTCGACCGCATCTGCCATAAGCTAAGCTACCCCTCCACGAACCACCCCTTCACGGATTAGGACCGAGCGTAGAAAACCTCGGACCCCTGGCCCCGCGGCGGCGGCGGCGGAGCAGCTCGCGCGGTCCTCGGAGGAGTCCCCGGCCCGAGGAAGACCAAGAGAAAGCCTGCTATCCGATAAACTCGCCGGTCCGCCATATCAGATAACCATAGGGGGCAGCCTGCTGGGCAAGACAACGATGTTTCACAGGGCCACGGCTTGAGAGGCTTGGGGTACGTCTTCTGGGATGAAGAGAGGCTGGTTGGGTGACTGCTAGAATTATGAAGATGATACCAGATTGGCAGAAGTAACAAGGCATTTCAGGCGCTCGTCAGCCTCGTATTCTCTCAGTGCCGTCTCCCTCCACTGCGTCCAATCTTGGTCAACCCCGAAGGCTTTGAGTATTGCATTTGCCAACGGCAAGGCGTACGACCACTTAGGCTCCAAGGCCAGACCCCAAAAGAATCTCCTCACCTTTTCATCGGCCATGCAACTAGCTAGCTCGGGGTACCCCCTTTCCTCCAAGGCGCCCGCCAACGCAACATCGTCCACGCTTAGCGACACTTTGCCACGGCACAACGAACTCATGTCGGCGGTAACAAGTGATGGCCCGAAGGCTTCACGCAAAGGTACGACGCGTGCCATCTGCCAGTCAATAATACCGGTGACGTTGAGGTTCTGGTCGACGAGCAAGTGGTCGCCCTTGTCGTCGACGTGCTTCAAGAAGAATTTCTCCGGAGTTTGCGCTTCCGCGCTTTGCTGGGCCAGTCGCGCCGCGTTATCCTTCAGAAAGCGGTACGTCAGATACGCATCGACTGGATACTCGGCATAGAGTTGACCGTCCGCAATGAGTGCTAGGTACTGCTCGGCAAAAGCAGTGTAATAGGCGATGGAATTATCAAATGGGCCCTCCGGAGTGAGGACGACGAATCTGTCGCTCGCCACCGCCGACACTTCGATGCCGGATGACTGGAAGCATAGAGATCCAGCCTTGGGGAACGGATGCTTGGCCAGTTCAGCCAGGATGTCTGCGACGGCACTCCAGACCTTGGCTTTCTCGTCCTTGGTGGCCTGGTTGCCACATACGCCATCGCCTGTCCACGGCTTCCCCGGCAATTCTTCCACGAGAAGGAAGCTGACGCCGACACTATGGTCAGTTCCAAAGCCGCGTACACCATAACCGAAAGCCCGAGGTGCGGGCACAGCAGTGGTTTCGAGAAACTTCAACGTGGCGTACTCGCTGAGTATCAGGTACTCTGCTAGCGAATCTGGAAGGCCGACGGCGAAACTCGCAACCCGCGGAACCCTCAGGAGCCAGGAGGGAGAGCCGTCGTGGAAGCGAACGCGGGCGTGGTAGTTGGCGCTTCCCATGAGAGCGCCCGGCCCGACTTTGGAAGAGTGCTCGATGCTGCAACTCCTGCCGCCGTTCAGCCTAGACGCAAGGTCGCATACTGCAGCGTCGTTGATCTGAGAGCGGAGACGATCGATCTCGGCGACAATCCGCGATACGTAGGTGGCATCATCCAAGACCTATTCATCCGACCGCATTTAGTTTTTTTTTTCCTCACGGGGGGGTGTCCGAAAATGAGCTCAGGTGTGGGGAGGTAGAGCAGATCGGCTTCTCTCACCTACCTCGCTGCATTTGTGGAAAGAGGGGGACAGGTGAGCGAGGCATAGGTGACGGTTGCAACCATCGCATCCGCCAACGGCCCTGACACTTGGCCTTTCGCATTCTGGTATTGAGCAGCTGAAGAATCTTGGCGCCATTACGCGTTGATATATGAAGCTGGCTAGAGGTAATAGCCTCCCCCGAGCCTTGGTTTCTCACGGAGGTCGCATTCGGGGCCATTCTGTTGGCAGTATCGTCTTAGTTGTCTCGCACCATTGGCTGAGAAGAGAGGAAATTGCAGCATCGACTCCGCCAGGCCGCCGGGCTCGCTCTCTGTGCACACAACGGGGGGGGGCTCAGTTTGGCGATAGTTTCGGTGCGAGTCGCAATGGAGGTCGGAAGAACGCGCCTCGCAGCTAACCAGTCGTACCAACGCAAGTGAAGCGGTGCAAGGGTCCCGACCAGTGTGCCTCTCTGCGGTTAAGCGGCACCAGCGGGCTAGGTTGGGATAGGAAAGGGGGGTGGCCGTTGTTGGTTTATACATTTGCGGCCCGAAAAGGCCTAGGATTCTTCCGTACGATAGATGGGGCGGGGGGGAGGCGGAGTCGGGCGTATGGGTCGGACGATTGAACCAACAAACTATTACTACTACTACTACTACTACCTTTACATTGTTAGGGCATATCGGCTAGGTATCACGGCGGGCGTTATTCGTAATGATAAAGAGGCGGGAGCTTTTACGGAGACAGGAGCAGAGAGCATAATTAGATAATACTTACTAAGAGCGAGAGCAGAGAAGAGCCTATAGACTTTTCTCCCCTCCTCGGTAGCCTCTAAACAAAGGCGCAGCTATAGCAGAGGAAACCGATACTTACGAGCAACTTTCCACTGGTCGCCCCCCTTTTTTTCCTCTTGCGTTGGCTGCTTGGTCGTTTAGGTCGTCTTGGATTGTTGTTACTGATTGGGCAGGTAGGAAGAATTCCCTGCAGCGCGCGAACGCGGGGCAAGTCATCAGCAGCAGCCAACGTTTTGCTGCCTAAAATAGCGAATTATTCGTACGGGCGCTCGTGAGTCACCAACACTGGCCGTAACTGTGCAGGGATGACTGACGTGTCCAGGAAGCAACATAAACAGCATAACGGGTCTGCTCGTCGGCTAGCCTTCACAGGTTCCACAGCCCCGTTGCCGACTTAGCCTCCAACCGACTCGGTCCCCGTTCGACTGTTGGCCGAGGCGCGCAGGGCCCTTGTCAACACCCATGACGCCGAAGGAGGCTAGGTTGCCTCGTCGCCCACAGCGCCTTCTGCACCAACGATCCTTCGGCGCTGGCAAAGTGATGTCGACAACTTGCCCACTTGTTCCGCTTGCGTCATCCCCATGCTTCATTTCAGCCCTTTTGGGAGTGTCGTTCGTTGTTCCAGTGTTTTGCAGTAATGTGTCTCCCTGAGTTGGATAAGCTTAGAAAACCGCACTCAGGCTATCAACACCGATACGAGGAAATCAATTTTACAGCAACAGAAAATTGAAGTAACGGGAGGATAACCCAAGCGTGTCAAAGCATGGGGTCCAGAGAAGCGTCCCTGTAGTTTGGTTCCAATTTTGGCTTCGGAGTAAATTTGATTGGGGTGGCAGAATGAGGCTCCCAGACATCGTCCATAGTCAGCACATCCTGCACACCCACTGCACACCCACTGCACACCCACTGCACAGGTTAAGAGATAGCTAAATAATAAGAAACTCGAACCGTCGCCTCTTTGCCTGCTCCCCTCCGCCTCCCCTGTGGAGTACTAGTATCGTGCAGTGTAATGTGATCACCCGCACTGCTATGCCTAACTGCTAGTCCGTGATCATTGTCGTCTCCGATAGACATAGAGAAGAAGCCGAACGAGAGGAGCCTATAACACTACTGCCCGCTTTCCTCTTCCCCGCTCCCTTGGAGAGATCGGTGGGGCGGATGTGAATACTACGCTATAGTACCCTGCCCGGCTCCCAATGGTCAACCATCACCTCGTAGTAGGGTTGAAAAAAAAAAGCTGAAGGCTTTGAGTCGAGTTTCATTGCATAATAATACTGAAGAGAAGCAGTATAGAGAAGCTGTTGAGAAACTGTGACTGAATAACCACAGCTGCTAGCCGCTGCCCTAAGTGCCGACCAACAGCTCATAAGGACCTATCCACGTCAGAACAACGTAATCCTTTACCGTAGGTGTCTTTTTCATAGTAAGTTTGTCTTCGCTCGTCCCTCGTCGTTACAGAGAAGTAGTATTATTTGCTGCTTGTTAGGGGTTACATCTATTCTCAAACCCCAGGACCTTGGCCCGAGGTCGATCCTCTCCTAAACAGCATATGATATTAATAGCTCATTGGCGGTTACATTCTTCAAGCCAATTCCTTTCCCTCCTAATTGCGGCGCGTTCCTGTGCCTGGCGTAGATCATCTTCGGCGGGGTAGTCTATCGTGTCTATCACGTCTCGGAGCCGGAGATCCGGGTCGTCTTTCCCCAGCGGCTTCCGCTCCCACAGATCCCGGTATATGCCCGTCGTCTCGACTGGCTCCTCCGGGTCGACCCTCCAGCGATTATTTTTGTCCCCGAAAATGGGCAGGGGGGAAGTTCCAGGGAGGGGAGCTTCCGAGAGCAGAAATTGCGAGAGCTTTCGCTTCTGGCTGTCGAGAAGCCGGTAGATGCGGTAAGTCGAGAATTTCCGCTCTGGGTGCAAGTACACGGCTTCGGGCTGTGAAGCCGGTTAGAAAAGTAGTATCAAGGGCCGTCCTTCGTCCCGCTGAAACTAGCGTCACTTACGTCAACGTCATCGGCGGAACCGGGTTCGCGCCTGTCAAATAACACAACGCCTCCAAAAATGCGGGATTCGGCCCAGTACCCGACGCCGTCGGCAACTCCGTCAGGATATTGGTCGTAGTAGCGGTATTGCCTGTGCTGGAACAGCGTAGGCGGCGCCCCGTCGGGGTTATAATGCCAGAATAAGAAATGATCCTTTTGTGGCTCCCAGGTAGCAATGCCGTCGTCCTTGTGGAAGCTGGTGCCCAGCTTATACAGCTGGACGGCAATTTGGTGGATCGACACCGCAGCTAGCTCGATGAGCCTCGTCTGGAATGCCCTCGAGCCCGGGGAAGAAATCTTGTATTCGTGAAGAAGCTGAAATCGATAAAAGTGGTCAGTCAGCGGCTACGAAGACAGAGGCGGGGCAACAAGTGGCTTTTGCTTGCCTTGGAGCTAATCTGGAGCGAATCAACGTCGAAGTCAGCATAGAGCTGTCGGGCTTTCTCCAGGGCCCCAGGACAGAGCTGCTTATGCGTCTTGTGTAGAGGGTGATCCCCACACAGATAGCCGCTACCAGTGTAGGCGTCTCTCTCAACCTCGGATAGGGGTAGCCCGTCAACAATCTGCGCTAAAGTGATCTCCGCAATGTCGGTCGATAGCACGTTTCTAATGGCCCGGGTGAGGATATCGCGATGCGGGCCCTCCCCAAGATTAGCGAACGAAAGACGCTGAAACTTGGCCTCCAGGTCGTGTATGTCCGCCGGCTTTTGCGTGGCTTGGGACTCCATTCGTGCTAATGTCACTATACGCACACGGGATGAGTTGAACAGTTTGGGGCTGGGGGTGGTTTGGATGGGCGCGGGGTTATCTGTGTTCTTTGGGAAGGACTTTATAATCAGCTGATATACCTAGGTAGGGTAAGTGGCACATTTGGCTGACACATTTAACTGTGGGGTAGGTAAGTACGGAGTTGCATTCTACTTCTAGGTAAAAATGATTCTTTTGATAGGTAAACCCCGAGGTAGGAAGGAGTGTAATTAGTACGTATGATATACCTATTCGACTAAACAGCCATAGGCCCGTACCTCCGTACCCTTCTCCCTATCGTAAGGTACGCACTCTCCTTATTGGAAAGTTTACACGTGCTCTCCTTATCAGTAGGTACGTATTCTCCTTATCGGGGGTACGTACTTACCTATTTATCGTAACCTTCTCCTACCTTCTGTGGCAACTTCTTTTGGTTGCAACTGCCTTTAATTTACAGTCTTTGATTGCAACTACCTACCTTAGTGTAGATCTTGAGGTATCTAATTGGTTAGCACCTGTTGGCTAAGCTCTTGTAACGCTTGCCTATTTACCTAAAAGGAGGTTTGCCTATTCACCTAAGAGGAGGTTTGCCTATTCACATTAAAAGTGGGACATCCTCCGTAGACAGGGTAAGGCGCCTACGAGGTTGGTAGGTGTATTATCGGCTAAGCCCCAAGAATAATAACTGTTGGTGTTCCTAACAACCAACAGCCCGGGTTGCATTCCCAGCCCGCCTCGCCCTCGCTGAAGACCATGTACATAGGTAGGTATTATTGCGTCGGCCTCGGACGACTAATGGGTTTGTATATTAAGCGCCGCCTAGCACCAACATAGTGGACGCCCGAGGGCCGCTTGACATCGTGGCGAGGCTACAGCTCAAGGTGCACGAAGAATAGGAAAGAAAGTGGAAAATATGGTTAGGATTAGCCGCCTAGAACCAACATAATGGACACCCGAGGGCCGCTCGATATCGTGGCGAGGCTAGGGCTCAAGGCGCACGGGGAACAGGAAAGGAAGTGGAAAATATGGTTAGGATAGCCGCTGGGCCTCCGAAAAACGTACCTGCCCAGGTCAGTCCAGAATCTGTCTCGTGGCAGTCACGGCTGAGCAAGCGATTTCGAAGTACCTGCATCTTAATACCGCCGAGGCAGGAGCGTACTCCTCCAGGTGCGAGTCGGGTATAAGAAGACCTGTCAACTTCGTCCCCTCTTGCTGTTCCGTTCCAAGCTATTTCACCTGTCGATTTTCCTTGCCATTATTTACCTACATCGTTGATTGTCTTTTTCGACGCCGATCATCATTTATGCCAGTCGTTTCTAGCTAAGCACCACCCAAAATGAGCAGACGGGGTATTAACAGAAACGGAGTTCAGGGAGTTCAGGTATACGTGCGACGGCAGGGTGACACTGATTATGAACAAATCCAGCCACAGACCGACCTTTTCCCATTAGTCGGCAATATCACCACCGTCCTGGACAGAGCCTTCCTCCTCCTGGAGTCTGAACGGGGTTGGGACGGGTTAGAGACGATAGCGCGTGGCATAGTTGTTGGTCGTCGGGAGGCCGAGGATAACTGTCTGTTTCCAGATCCTCAATTCCCGTCCCTCGGGGACGCAATACGCCATTTCCTACAAGCCATGAAAGGTGTCTTCCCGGACATCTATCTCACATATCTTGAAGGCGAGGCCCTCACCGCACGATACCCAGTGGAGCCACCGTTCCGGTCCTTGCTTGAGTTTGACACGTTGAGGGCTGGCGAGCTGAGAATACAGTACCAAGTACGCCAACTCCCTAGCCATGACACATTACCCCTGCTAACCTGCGCTGAACTCAAGTACATCTATAACATGGCACAAACGCGAAACAACGACTGGTTCAATACATGGGTTTTTCGAATGGCTCTCAGCATTGCCCACGAGCTCACCCATTTTTTCACGGGATATTTAACTGGGGATGGCCGTCCCATTACGCCACCCGGCGTGTCCGTCCGGGGATGGCCCACTGGTGAGGCTGGTCGCGCCTGGGAACTGGAGACTTTTGGAGGCATAGTAGAGTTCTGGAGTGAGGGAAGAGATCCCTCGCAGCCGGGAGAGCCGATTATTTTTGCGGATTTCCGATCTACTACGCCAGGCCTGCCAGTGTCCAGGAGCTACGTCGAAGCTTTTGCGGGAGGAGGTATGTAATATAAAGAAGTTAACAACGAGCAATATCGTTGCTTCCGCTGTTGGTGTAGGCCAGATACCTAACGTTATGACAATGCAGTGGTACGCCTTCCCATCACGCCGTCCAGAAGAGCGCGACCGATCACTCGGCAACAGCTTCAGGCCGCGGGTCGCCGAGAAATGAACATTCTACGGGGATCTAGAGGCACCGGTGAAGCCCCCGGAGTCTCAGTCTCACGCGCGGGCCGAGGGGGCTCTAGCGGATCAGGCGCAACGACCTCATCAACCACCCGGAATCGAGCGCCACCGCCGCAGCCACTCACGGGATATTATTATCCACCGGCGGATTCTGAAGATGGCAGGGACCCCTACTACCGGTGAGAAGACTGGATTTGGGCCTCATCGTGTGGTGTGTGTGGTGATAAGGTTGCGTAGGACGAAAACCTCTTGTGGGTGAGATGTGGAACCAATGAGCAAGTTTCATAATATTATCTGCTTTCTGTTTCTGCTTATGTATAGTGTAGTGGTGCGGTAGGACTAGGCCACGTAGCCTTTCTGATGTGTATTTATATGGGTTTTGCAACTAGTTTCTCATCGTACAATCTTCATCTTGTAGTTATCGCATCTACAGGCAATAGACCACTCTTTTCAAGATGCCTTTCTAGCCTTCTAGCCTCCATCGTCTCTCTTCTCTTCTCAGCTGCTTTTACAGCTGGCTAGTCAACAGTTTACAGCTTTTCACAGCTGTGCTCTTGTCTGATCGGCACTAAGCTAGCTGTTGGCAGCTGTGGTCCTTGTCCTTTCCGGGTCACCTGCAGCGTGCCCACGCTGTTCCTCTTCAACATATATTAACAAGACCATACATAGTAGAAAGTATCAACCTTGGCTGTTTTTTTGGTGAGGACAAGGTTGGCCAGAGGCAGGGGGTTGGCCCGTGATCAGGTGACATATGATAGGTAGTGCGATTGATCCTTATCTGCACTTGATACCTCGGAGATCTATTCGAAAATATGATTTGCTGAGACCCGAGGGTCCTCGGTAAAATCAGCGTTAGGGCGGTACGGCAGCAATAGAGGTCGAGCAAAAAGCAACGAGGCTATGCCAAACTACATATAGAGCCATTTCCTCCACCTCCGGAAGGCAGGATTCATACTTGTCGATCTATTTCGTGTCTGCCAAGCTACACTTACTATGATTGTGCGTAATGCTGACGAGACCTTCCTCTCCTTTGTCGAGCCACCCTTGGTCTTGGGAAGGCAATATACCGTTTGCTGCGAGCAAACGGTTTCTTATTGAAGCATTACGGCCTCGCAGGACCTTGGCTGGTAGTGTTTGGCAGCAAAGATGTCCTACGGTCAGAGCTTCAAGTATTATCTAGTACCGGCAAGCGAGTGGCGTCAGAATTCAAGAAAGCGACACAGAATGAGAGTAACATGATTGCAGCGACCGTAAGAAGAGATCACGTCGTTGGTATAATGCCTAACTAATGGATATTGCAGGGTGCTATCGTTGCCAAAATAGCAATCACAGCCTTATCACTTATGGACCTCAGTAAAACACATTGGACTGAAAGAGGCCTCTTCAGGTTCTCTCTGGCTTCCTCAACCATTGCCGTGTATTACGCCAGCAGCCAGCACCGTGACTTGCTTAGGCCCCGCAGAAGTATAGGTCTCAGAAGTACCTAAGGTAGTTATTACTACCATTGCCGTTTATCGCCCCTCCCTATTGGCCGCCTTAGAGAAAACGCGATTCCCTCCACCGCAGATTGACGACCTGCCCAAGCCAGCAACAGACCGACTACCGGTTTGTGTACGGATAGCATAGCGGCACAGCAAACGGGCGAGCCGGCCCCAGGATCTAGGTAATACAGCGAAGGTATCCAGCTAATCTATTGCTCACCGGCTGCCCAGCAAACGCCGCGCCCGGCGACACGACCGCGACGAAACGGGCGTAATAGAGCCCATGCTTCTGCCCCTGGGCGGCCGGACGCGGCAAGACCTAGTTCCGCCGCCCGGGTGCAGCAGCAGCAGCAAGAACGACAACTACGCGTTCAACCCGTCAGCAATGAGACTATCCTCTACACACACCGCCCCTAACACCCGCCGCCATCTCGCTACCTCACCGCCGCACCTAAGCGGTGGCTTCTTCGCCTTGCGGGCATGATTACGGCACGGGCCGGTGGGAGAGCAGGGGTGGATAGGGGGGGGGGGGGATGGGCATGGGGTGAGAGAGTAGATTAGCTCTAGGTTTCGCTCGCTTTGTAAAGGGGGAGTTGCGCGAGGGGATCCTGCCTACGTGTAACGCACGAGGGAAAGGTAGGCGTCTACGTGTTTACGCGAGGAGTGGCCTTCGCAAATCGGCCAAGTCCTTCGCGTAGGTAGTAATCCATTGCATTGAGCCGCGATGGGGTTCCGATTCCTCCGTGGCGTCTCTCTACGCGCGTAGTTACGGATCCGCCGGAGACGTGGGTTGCATGACAGAGACTATGCTCAATGCCTCCCCCCCTTCCCTCCCCTCTCTCCTCCTCTGCTTCTTAGTCTCTGTCGCTTTCTTGCCCCGCTTCCTCGCATTGAAATAATCGCTTACGTACCTTGCTGACTCCCCAAGTTTCGTTCTGGTGGTAATACTGACAAATATCGACCCCCTCTCTGACGGCTTACCATTTAGACATGACACAGCGTCGTGGGCAGACATAGGTCGAGAGGGCCAGGCAAGAGTCGCCTGTGATCCTGAAGGTTAGGTTAGGCTGTAGTGGCCCACTGGTAACGGGGCTTTCTTCCTTTAATCCCTCAATACGCAAATTTCTCCTCGTCCTGGTGCCCAAAGATGGAAAACAACCCGCGTGACTACACACGCGAGGACACGCGCTCTCTGGCGTTGATGCGTGTGGTTTACGTATGTGCGTACATCTGCATGTCCACAAAGAAGCTTCCACAACACGGGAGAATAGCTCTCTGTTGCAGAGTCATTAACAAATAGGCAGGGAAGCCGGAAGTTCGGCACACGTCTGCGTCTCCTAGATGTTGTAACGTTCTCGACGAGAGATACTAATATCAGCCTTCTCGCAGGTCGTTAGAGTGGTTGGGTACCACCTCGCAGCCTAGATTGGGGCATGAGAGCCTTCTAGACTCGGCGTGATGCGAGGAACTTAAGTAGATCGGACCGTCATGGTCCCCGTTGGCATGATGGCGTAATGACAAGACTCATGTCGCATCATTTGGTTGCCTGTATTCTCCGGAGATAATATTAGCGAGGCCACCTCCATCCTGGATTCACGGTAGCGGATTTCTTGCGGCTGGAAGCCGGGGTCAATATGTGCCTTTTCAAAGTGGCTTGTTATTTTTACGTACTCAATGGAACAGAGCACGGGAGTAAGTGCTTGTTTGGAGCTGAAATCGTCAGAATTAGCTGGCCCAGACCCTTGACATTGATGACTCCAAAAAGAAAAGAAAAAAAAGAAAGTGGGAGCAGAGGGGAGAGGCTGCGCGCTGAGGTTGCAGCAGCCGAGGTTAGCCCCTCGATGAGCGGCGGAAATATACGCTTACGCACTCAGCGAATGGCTCGTCGTCAACACCTCGCGAGTTCTAAAAACTCCAGCATGATCTTCGATAGGGTAGTAGTCGTTAAATTAAGCCTTCCCCGACGGTGATATGTAAAGAGGTGGGTCTTTCATGGTGAACTTTCGGCTTTCTAGTCGGGCGTCGGGCACCAGGCGTCTCACAAGAAAGCTAGATACATGCCGTGATACGCATGTCGAGCTGATGTCTTCGTTTGCTTGATCGCTGGCTCTGGGTCGTATTCAAACTGAGAATGATGCGGAATCGGATTCCTCTTCGTGGACCCGCACCTACTAGAGCCAGGCCGTGATAGGCTTCTGTTCTCTCCTTATAGGTGATCTGATATGCCGGTTAAACTCCCTTAGGACACGCACCGACGTTTGACCGACTATTCTTTCCAGCTGGCCCGCGATTCCGTACAGGTAAAACCTCCCACCATTTGATTTGTTGTGGTTGCCCCTTGGCATCGCGATTTAGTACGATGTCCACAAGTAGTGTGGGGCAGACGAGGTTACGCGGTGATTGGCGACATCCGTCTGACGATTGACGAGATATTCGTCTCGGTAATTTCCTTGCGTAGAATCTCCAATATGAGGATGCCCTTGGTCGGGTACGGGGAGGCTCATGAAGGGGCCGGTCGAACCAACAGCACGCGTGCATGGAATCTGGGGAAAAGAAGGGAAATGGCCGGGAGGTCGTCTGCGCGTGGAACCCTGGCGAATGCAGCGTAGCATCGCACCATGGAAAAATTAGCCAACAGTTCGAAACGCAGTCGTCGGTTGTCTTTAAGCGGGCGTTGGGAAGTCCGAAAAGAGGTCTCCGTTACCGCGCGTGGCGCTTCGGTAAAGAGGCGCTTATTCGGCGAAGGCAGGCAGGGCAGGCCTTTGCCACGGTGTACCTGGCCGATATCGACAGGCATGGACCTGGCCCGCATTGATGTGCCCGAAGGTATACCTACATGTATGTATATGCATAGTACACTCTGGGGATGATCGTCCGTTTTCGGTCCGGGTATACCGACGAGTTGATATTATGCTTGACCGGGATGGCCTTCGTTGGCAGGGGAATACAGACATCTCGCGATGGGGATTCGTGGCCGGGCCACGTAATAGGTAGGGGTCGTAGAAGAAGCGAGAAGTTGCTCGCACACGAATTGCGAGAGCGTGGCCTTATCGTCGGCGCCAGCGTGGGCACCGCAGTCTTACGAGGTCACACATGGGAATGGGTGGGAGATGGGGAGAAGATAGGAGGATGTCGAATGGCAACCTCGGCGCGGCTTTTGCGAGCCCCGAAATCACGAGACTGGGAAAAATCCCATTGCGACTGCTCTTTCTGCTGCTTGCTCTTTCTGTGGGCATCATGACCAAACATGACGTCATGGAGCGAGACGGGAGCAAATCGTCCGGTTCGGGTCCGTCCGAGCACCCCGGTTGCATCGTGACTCGCCAGGTATAAGTCGCCAACTGAAAGAACAGAGCCTCTAAACAATTGTAATTTGGAGAAGTTTCGTAATTATTCGTTGCCAAAAAGCCCATACGCCAAATTACAGAACGTACAATTTTCGTCAGTCGGATCGCTCCCCCCCTAGGTCGGGAAATCGACAGGTATTGCGGCCTGAGCTGAGACTTGGTGTCACCGGCCGCTATCTACACGCAGCAACAATGTGGTCAGATAAACACCAACCCGGCCCACCGCTACAATCGGGGCCGAGCCCGCCGCGAGCCTGGACAGAGCGCTTGTTCCACATGCTGCCAGATTACGCTGGCCCATACAGCGTCGGGGTCATGGAGATAGAGGTGCCGGCCCGTGAGCCGCGGGTCTTCTCACGCATCAAACGCAACCATAAGTATGCCCTGCGCATGGACACCGTCCTCTTCTCCGTATACTACCCTTGCGACCCCCCCTCGCCCGACGCACCCAGCCAGAGGAGGCAGAGACCCAGAGCCACGTGGCTGCCGAGACCGCGCGCCATGACCAGTAAAGGATATGCAAAGTTCTTCAACATCCCGCATCTGCCTGTGACGGCATATATTGCGGCCACCACCATGTACACTAAACTTCCCGCTTTCCGGAACGCCAAGCTCGCCGGCCGTCACGCCGCCGCTACGCCGCGCGCTTCTGGCAGCGCTGACAGCCAAGACACCGCGTTGGAGAGCGGGGATGACCAACCCCGGTTTCCCGTCATTCTCTTCAGCCATGGGTTGGGAGGTTCGCGGACATCCTATAGCGCGGTGTGCGGCGAGCTAGCCAGCAACGGCATCGTCGTCGTTGCGGTGGAACATCGAGATGGCAGCGGCGCGCGATCCTACGTCAATATTCCGCCAGGCGCCAAGCTGGCAGCAAGTATGGACAGCGACAGGACGGGTTCGAACCGCTACTACAAGGTTGATTACATATTCCCTCGAGGTAACGCTCAGGACACATCGCCTAATAACGTCAGGGGCGTGGATACAGAACTCAGAAATGCCCAGATTGAAATGCGCATGTCCGAGATCGAAGAGGCCTATCATGTTCTAGGGCTGCTCAACAGCGGGCAGGGGGCTTCGGTGTACAGCAGCAATTTGAGGAAGAAGGGCAACGCAGGGTCAAGCTCCCAAGGTTTGGAGGGAGTCGCTTGGTCCAGTTGGGAAGGGAGGCTCCTGTTGCGGCGGGGTGTTACTGCGATGGGACATTCATTCGGCGGAGTAACGACAGTCGAGATTGTTCGCGAGAGTGACCGGTTCCCATACATCGGCCAGGGCATCCTGCTGGATGTGTGGGGGCCGGCAACCCCGAAAGTAGGAGAACTAACCCATCAGTCGTTGCGGAAACCACTCCTCGCTGTTAATTCCGAGGCATTCATGTATTGGGCAGAGAACTTCGAGAGACTCGGCGATATCGCTAGCGAGGCGAAAAGCGGGGGCGCTGCCTGCTGGATGATGACCGTAAAAGGGTCAACCCACCTTTCCCAAACCGACTTTGCGGTCCTTTACCCTCGCTGGGTGTCGCTGTTTATGAAAACTCTCGTTAACCCGAGACGAGCTGTATATCTAACCGTAAATGCGTCCTTGGAATTCCTGAACCGGATTTTACCCCCCGAGTTCACCGTACGATGCGGCTGGGCTGACGAAGGGATCTTGCGCACAAAAACACTGCTAGTAAACGAGCTGCCGCGCGAACACCGACCTGAAGATAAATGGATGGCTAGCCGTCTTCGGATACCCCATGAACTGCGGCTCCGTGTGGCCAGTTGGTGTCGATGGGGGCGTAGAGCTTCGATAGTACCGACTGATGTAAAGGGTAGGCGATTAGAGGGCCTGGTAACCCACGCCCCTGGGAGCGAGATTTGGATGCACTATGGCCCGAGTCAGGGGTGAATGTACCTAGCACATGTTAATCCAGATAAAGGAGGGTAGGCCTAAATAGAAAAGTAGGTTGCGCAATAGCATATTTTGGCATATTTTGGCATATTTTGGATGCTGAAAATCACTTTGCCGTGTTTTGATGTGTGGAGGAATGGGGTCGCTCTATCGGAAAGTCCCCCGTCAAGCCATCCACGGACCCGACAGAAGTCCACAACAGAAGTCCACGAAAAAGACCGACCAGGTTTCCACAAAGGCGGAGCTGATTATACACTACGAGCCGACACGTCGTGCCAGGTAGTAGTGACGAATCAAAATGAGGCCTGGAACGATCTGTCGGATCAATATTTGCGCAGGCCTACATATGTATGGGGGGCCTTCACACACACAGCTGGGCAAATCGTGGGCGGGATTATAGGGAGAGCTGCCCTCGCGGTGGTAGAAGCAGGGGTGATCCCGTCTGTGGCTCAAGCAGCCAAGACACCAAGAATAGAAAGAAATACGAGCTGAGGCTGGTAGCGACCAGCAAGGGGGCAGCTTTAACGCTCCCAGATGACTGCGTAGACAACTCGGATTTGCCAATGAGGCGCCGTCCGACGAAGATGAGTGGAGGGCAGAGATTGTTTGGTTCGTCAACCGCGCAGGCTGGCCATACCCTACCCCTACCTAAGCTCCGGGTCTCGCCCGGCCTGCGCAGCTCAGGCGGCCAATGCGATGACAGCGGCTCTCAGGTGCGGTGGGGCACATCATGAAGCATCTCCCCATTTTTCTTATTTCCAAGGCGTCAGTCCGGAACAGAGGGAACCGGAGAAAAGGTCGACGCCGCGATCGAGCCACCGCAATGTCGCGCCTTTTCTGTAAAAATGAGAGGAAGTAACCTGACGGATCCACTTGCGCCTCGCCGGCCGAGGACAACTTGTGCACCCACGCCTCTCGACGTCGGTTTCCAGCCGCATCCGGGTTTTCGTGCCCCGGATTGGCCACAACCTCGTGGCAGGATTGCGTGGGAGCGCATGTGAGGGCAGAATGGACACATGCGGCGAAATGCGGAGCTGGAGGACGGCTAGAGGGGCAGCGAGAAGACTTGACGGCAGGGCGATCGTGTGTTCGCGAGAGTTTGAGATGGCTATTCCGGGTAAAGGCGAGGCAATATATTCCGCCGAGGTATGACGGAATGGGGTCGTGACAATGGTTCCCCCTTCGACGCGCCTGGACTGGGGAGGTCGCCGTCTTGCCGCTCCCGGTTGAATATTACACGGTAAACCGATTCCATCGGTGGTTCGAAAGGCGTGCTGATCACGACCTGAAAAGTGAGCAGAGTGGAATGGCGCCCCTCTCGTGAAGCTCCTGACGGCCGGGCTGAATCCTGAGGGGTGGCCGGCAATGCGTTCTCCTGTTGGACCAGCAAGGAAGCTAGGGGGAAATGCGTACCTTGGCTCTCTCTAAACAGCGACGCCGCGCAAGGCGTGTACGGCTAGCTCGTGTTGATAGGAAGCCAGGTCGTATTCTCGTGTGTTTGCCGTAGATGCTGGCGCGAGTCCTAGGCACGCGGAGAGGGAGCTGATCTGAAGCCATCCGCAAGCGCAGTTGTTTTTGTTTGAGCGGATGAAGTTGCCCAGGTGTGCTTACGGAGTCTATGGCGTCTTGGGTACCTGAATACCTCCCTACATTCCTGCTCAGCCTAGCACCACCTGCACTAGCCCATTCAGTACTAGATTCTGAGGAGGTGCCGGTGCTTTGGGTGCCCTAAATAGGGAAATGACAGGTAGCTTTAAAAAAAGAGGCTAACAGGCAGTAAAAACAACCGAAGACATTCTATTAACCACGACGAACCCCGCCATCAGGCCCTAATTAGGTACCCAGTCATTCCGAGATGCGTGACGACGCCAGCCGGAATGAACGAATTCGGTACGCGCATGTAGACATATGCGTAGACGTAGGTAGGTAATAAATCCGTAGGCGGCTCGTACGGCATGCTGAGGGAGAAGGGGAAGACCCCCCTCTCCCAAAAAAAAGTCTCTCGCCAAGCAGTTCGGGGACCTGTTTCGCCTAGAGGTAGGCGAGGAAGTACCTAAAGCCTGCAGACGCGCCAACCTTCACATCCGCACTCTAATTATGTGAAATGTAATCTCGATCTGCTCGCCGTTGACATAATGTGTCACGCAAGAGCAATCGGAAGCCAGTGGGTGACGATTCTGATGATTAATGGTCTTATATATGCACTTCTCGGCTTACACGGTTTGCGCCCCAGGTGCTCGCGCCCGCGCATAGGTAGTACGTCGATAGATCCCTACAGGTAGGTATATGCCTGAGCGATATGCTGCTGAGGCACCTAGGTAGGTAGGTAGCAGAAATTACGGGGTCTATGCAAAGACGTAGGGCTTTTACGCCCGCCACTTTCCAGCACCATTGGAACGCATCGAGGTGCTCCCGGACCGACCGGACGGGTGTGCAGATATTAAATACCTACCTACCTGTCTAGGTGCCCACAGGACTCAATATGTACATACAGCCAGCCGTGTCCGATGAATCCGGCACGTGGAATGCTCTCTCGAACCCCTATACTCGATGGTCTTAGGTAATATCAGATACCTACCCCCCTCTTGACATTAGGTACATCCACACAACGCACCTGGTGGCACTTGGCCTGTGTGCTGTTTCTAGCAGCGCTCGGGGGTTGGAAGATGATGCAGGTATGGTATGGGGTGGTGTAATCGGGGACTATTAAGTGTGGTACCTATCGAGGTACCCGAAAGCCCCTCGGGAGGTTCCTAGGTACTTACCTAAGGCACCTACACAACTTGCAGGCGGATGGCGACAACAAACCTGTCGGTAACAGGTAACCTTGGACAGGCACGTATAACAGCATAATATTAGCAGGTGGCCGACACTGCACGAGACGTTACCTACGTAACATCCCGCTTATTGTCGGTAACGTGGTGGGATGGAAATGGTCTGCATATGAGGTCTCTCCCACCGCCCATCGATCGATCCATCTAACCTGCTCCCACATTCGCATCTGTCGAACCCATGGCCCCAGCCTACCGACTGACCGTCGCCTAACCCCCCGTCTCGTGTCCGTTCCGTTTTCCTCATAGGTCCACGATGGTCCCTGGCCCTCTTTTCTCGTCCCTGGTTACTACTGTGCAGAGCTTTGCGTCCAATGTCTCTAGCTGTGAATAGGCGGCTAGCAGGTGGGAAACAAACGCCGTCTCACCTCCGTCATCAGCTCGTATTGCCGAATATTTCCCTCTCTCTCTCTCTCTTCTCCTTTCCCCGTTCCCACGATCCATCCAGGGCCAGCTCGTCTTAGCCAGGCTCCTAGTCACTCGTTTCTTCACATTCGCATCTGGTCCTATGCCTTTTGCTCTGCTCGTCTCCTCCCTATCCAGCAACTCATCGCACATATCGCCCGAGTTGTATGTATCCCCGCTGGACCAGTTGACCCTGATTATTACTTCGTTCGTTAGTCTGCCGACACCGCCTTCGCGCGCTTACCTACTCAGTTGACGCCTTCTCTCGTCGGCCTCGTCTCAGCACGCTGTTGCAGTTGGTCTCCGCAGCCTGTCTACGCCTCCTACCGACCCCTAGCCTCTGCTGATTGGCGCCGTTGAGACGGGCTGGCAAATTTAGGGTAGAAGACCCTGGGCTCAGGCATACATACCATACATGACCCGGCTATTCGCACATACGCAGCTGGAGGCCAAGACGACCGGGATATAGTCACTGGTTTTCCCTCCCCCCTCTTACCGACGCCTTGAACGCCTGCCGACTCCTGCCCATCTCTCATTGCGACGATCCCACTAATAATAACGCCACCCAGTTGGTTCACGCCCCTACAGAACGTGGTGCCTCGAGGACGCGGCGGCCCGGCCCTCCATCCCACGACGGATCTCAGGACCAAGCTACGTACAAGTATTTGCGAGCCGAGTTGCTTGCCCAAAGCAAGCGTTACTATTGCTCTACTGCATGCTGGTTGACGCGTAATCCCCAATATGGCGAAAGTACAGAGGGCAGATCCAGACCTGCGCTCTAGGTCGGATAGCTTCCTGAAGATGCTCGAGCTGGAGAAGAGGTACAAGGTATGTCAATCCTCGGCATGCAACCCTCCTTGCCATCCGCTTTGGGATATCGATCCCTCCCTCCCCCCCTTGCGCCGTGCGCATTAATACGTCCGTCATCTGCTCACGTCCTATAGCTGCAACGAACCCAAGGCCATGCCTTCCCAACGACCGCGTCGCCAAGTATAAGTCCCCCCTCTGCCCAGCCAAATAAACCGTTTAAGGCTCGGCGTGCAAGCGGACATCCTCCGCTTTCACACCAAACCCAGATAATGAAAGCCGTGCGGCGGAGCTCTGCCCTGCCATCGCTTTCGATATCTATACCTCCTTTGTCGGCCGACGGTCCTGTCGCCGAACCGGATGGATTTGTCAAGGAACCCCAGCCGAAGGAGGAGCGCACCAAGACGGTGACCTTCTCGGGCCCCGACAAAGGCGACGACGGCGATTCTTCCGACCAGTCCTCCATATGCCAGTCGCCAAGCTGGGAGCACTACGGCCGGAAGAAGAAGAAGCCCAAAAAGCGGGACGCCGAGAAGGGCAAGGACGAAAAACCCGCCGGTCCCTTGAAGAAAAAAGGGAACAGACTGAGCAAGGTTCCCCCGTCTAAACCACAGGAAGCCGAGCTGCCGGGGACGGAAAAACGCTCGCACTCGGTTCCCGAGTTAGACCTCAACTCCAAGTCTGACCGGGCGAACCAGGTGGCTGCCGATCAGGTTCGGTCAAACACTATGTCAAACCCGAAGCTTCAGGGTCAGCAGAAAAGTAGGGGATTCTTCTCCAGCTTTAGGCTACAGCACGGAAACTTTGCCGCCGTACAGAAGGTTATCGAGAGCCGGCGGATGGATAGCGATGGAGGCCGGTCGGCAGCGTCGCCTATGTTACAACCGCATCCTGCCCTCTCCGGGGCGGACCCCAGCTTTGCGAATCCTCGAAAGCCTCCTTCAGTCGGGTCAGCCGTCTCAAACTCGACTCGGTCTATTTCGTCGCTGGACCAGCTACCGCCAACGGTCCACAATTCGTCCAGTTCAGGTCATGGACGCTCTCAATCATTGCTGTCGTCTACTCTGAGCAAGCTCAGGGGGCCATCTTACCTTTACTACCGCCCTGCTGGAGGTACTGATAACAAGCACCAGCGTCCTAGCAGCTCTCACGACGTCGAGATTGCGGGGAATTGGTCTAAGGACCGACCGGTCGGCCCCCCAACTAACACCGCTCAACGACTTCCCACCTTCACCTTCCCACCAAAACCCAAGCGGGCCGCTACGCAACCCACAGCGGACACTATCCCCCGTAACACACAGGATAAGGTTGTTTTGAGAGAAGCTGAAGAGTCGAGGGAAAAAGGTAACGCATACGAGTCTCCACAAACCGTATCATTCCGAAGCCGCCACTCCAAACTACCGCATACGCCAGCGCCCAGTCAGGAGGTAGCCGTAGAGAAGGAAATACGCCCTAGACCAGAACGCGCATCTCGACCTACAGGCCACCCGGTTGAGTCTCCTGAGAATTTCGATGGACTGCCACCCCCGCAGCCTAGGCAGTCTAATCTAGAACATGGAGGTCAGCATCATACTAGACGCCGGACAATGGCTTACGAATCTCCGCAAGCAAAGGTTTCGGCAGAATCGGAGCGCACTCCGAGGAAACCGCCGTCTGGCCGGCGTGATAACGAGATCAATGACGATCAACTGAACGGATCGGAACCTGTTTACGATAAAGAAGAAGAGGGGGCATATGAAGAAGACCAGGTTTCTACCGGCACACACTCATCCACCACCCGGCCCCTGCCGCAGAGGCAGGCTCAGGCTTCTTCTGAACCAAATGGAGTAAAACACGTCACATTCCCACCGAGCCCGAGTATGATAGGAAGAGCAGTTACCTTTCAAGGGGTCGAGGAGCATGTGGAACAGAGAATGGTGGTTGAGCCACCGAAAGCTGAACAACCGGCCAGCATGGGGAAGACCGCTCGCACTGAGAAGCCATCACGATCAGAGAAGTCATCTGACTATTTCTCCTTCGTTAGCCAGTCATATGCCCCCCCTCCCTTGGAACTGCGACCGCCTATCGATAGTAAATTTCCGTCTACGCGGATTGATGAAGAGCCAGAGGAGGGTGAGCTGAAACATGTTTTGAAAAACCTCCCAATAAAGGTCCAGGTCAACAAGATGCTCGCTTTTGCTGAAAACACGTCCCAGGCTAGCATTTCGAGCTCCAGTCCTACTACTAGGGCGACGATACAAAAGCTGCCCAAAGACTCACCTTCCATGTCTTCCAACTATTCGGATAGCGACGTGCCCCCGTTTGAACGTCTTGGCGTATCGCAAAAAGTAGCCAGAGTTCTCACTGCAACAGAGAGTTCTAGCACATCCGCGTCTCAGTCTAATACCGAGCCAAGTCGGGCCACGTCCGAGAGATCTTCATCTTCGACGTGTGATGACACCCCTCCGACGCCAGACAGTCCACCCCCGCAATCGCACCAAGAGGACGTAAAAGATCGATCAATGGATTTGAGAAATAACGAGCAGCGGGCTTCACGAAGAACCTACCACCCCCCAACAGTCGAATCATTTCCAAAGCACAACTCACGACCCGTTAGTAGAGATGGGGACATCCAGGATGACGGCTGGAGTCGGACCGCGTTACCCATTGATCTAGACAATCACTCAGAAGCCTCCGAAGCGAATAATCTCAGTGGCATGGCCCCTGGTCTTCAGCTCGCGGGGAGCCCAGGCCCAAGGATCTTAGAAGATGATGCCAAGGAAAACCCGAACGAGGAGGCACCCTCCACTGGGAATCTGTATCAGTACACGATGCCGCCCCGCGCCTATTCTGCGATCGATCTCCACTCAGTGGGTTCCCTGCCGAACTCCAAGCATCCACTGCTATATCCTAAGAAGTCCAAGGGCGTGGTGTCTCCGACCAGCCTCCCCAACTCGTCATCTCCCGAGCTAACCGACGCGGTGACTCCCCGGAAGTCCGCGCTAAGGACATCTCATAAGAGCAGTCCCCGTAGCGACGACTCTTCGTCGGCCCTAGTCTCTTCCGGCGCCGCTTCCTACCTGCAAGAAGCACGGAAGGCTGCGCCTATGCCGCCGCCGGCGGTCTCGACGGCGCGAGCCCTGCGGTCGCACCATGTGCAGAAGGCCCCCGCGGGTGTCGTTGGCGGCGGAGGGAGGGAGCCAGGATCTAGCGGGGCGCCAGCGGCGGCGGAGAACGGGCGGTCAGAGCCGCTGGCAAAGATGCTGGTGGAGTGCTGCAGTTGCAAGTTCTTCCACGACATGCCTTCGCGGGTGTACGAGTGCATGGCGAAGCCGGACTCGCTCGTTGAGGATAAACTGCTCGGCGTATCGGCGACGATCACGACGATGGTGCGGTGCCCGTGGTGCGGCCACGGCATGAGCACCGCGTGCTGCGCCGGCTACGCGGCCGTCGTGTACCTCAAGGAGAAGCTGCACGGGAAATGAGAGGGGAAGAAGAGAAGAAGAGTAAGGAGGGAAGCTCGTGCCGTAGACCGATCTCGCCGTGGATCTGAGTCGGTCTGTAAATGCTGCTTTCCTCTCCCAACGGAGTCGAGAGTATCAGAGACAAGGCATTTACACCCGGTATTCCTCTACTGGAATCTACATTGCTTTCTTGGCTCGATCTTAGACTAGACGACCAACCATTTTCCTATTCTTCTTTATGTATCTAACGCAATTATTTTTCTCCTGTACGGATTTCCCTTTCCCCTTCTGTTCTTTTCCCTTTTGATTCGGGCTACTTTTATTCCGCCCTCCCCTCTCCTCGCCTCCTCCTCTCATGGCCTTACTACACCACATCTCATCACATATTAGCTGTCGCATTGAGTTCCTGATCGTGAAAATCGTTAATTGAGTTTGGTTTACCGGAAGAGGGAGGCGAGAAAAAGTTTTTAAGGAATAATTTGCAGATGGTCGGTTTCCTTTGTTCCGTGCAGAGATCCTGGTCTAAGGGGACTGGTAGCCAGGAGTAAGTAAGGTGAAGGGAGAGTGAGTAGCGAGAGTGCGTAGGCGGTGGAGGAAGCTAAAGAGAAGAGCAGTGAAACCAAATTTGAGGTGATGTCTGCCTGTCAATTTCGCCTGCCGAGGGGATGAAGGCGATGAGCTATCACGAATAAGACGAACCATATATACCTCCTTAGTTATGTGTGTATGTGTGTATGTATTACATAGAGGTGCGCACGGCTTGCCACCTTTCCCCGGCCGGCGGTTCACGGGTAAGAAAAAGGATACGGGGGTGATGATGAGGACAGCAAGGAAAAGGGGAAGACGATGATGGATACGTGGGATGCGAACTAGGTTTTATGAATATACGAGCACTACTTACTATAAACGACATTATGGGCACTGCGAGATCCCCTCGGTGGACGTTTCTGCTTAATATCGCCTAACTCTATGCATCTCACCGGAGTCACGGAGGTACGGTACATGCGCTCAGCCGCCGCGGGATACAGGTCGCCGCCCGCGGGATGAAGCCGGAGCCGGGACTTGGGAATCTATCTATATTCTGAGTTGTTTCTCTTGGTTTATTTTCTTGGGCTTGGCTGCCTCGTCGATGAGGTCATGTTATGGTATTGGCTCCGCATCACGACGCAAGGGCAGGGGCTCCAACGTAGCCAAGATTGTTGGCGGCGGTGCCGAGATGTCGAGGAAGCTTGAATTTACGGTCCTGTCAGCTGGGATGGTATTTCTTGTTTTTCTTGTTTCTATTCGCTGGTTTAGTATTTTCCCTCTTTCTCCGTGGCTGGGTAATATCTCCAGGCAGCCTAGGTCGGCCGGTAGGTGTGTGCCCAATTTCCAAATCGCCCACTCGCCTCTCTATTGCGCGCCTCCTCTGCTACCCCCCCCCCCCCCCCCTCTTCTCGCCCTACTTCTGCCCCTTGGCGGACCACGCCGCCTGGTTCGCCTCGACGTAGTCGCGGAAGGGCCGGGGCTCGCGCCCCGTGACGCGGCGCACGATGTCGGCGACCGCCGGCGTCGGCGGGTAGTGCTCCTCGAGGCCGTCGCGGATCGCGACGTCCAGCGCGGCGAGCTGCTTCGCGTACGTCTCGGGCATGCCGCCCTCAACGAAGCGCGCCGCGACGGCCGCCTCGTCGATCTCCTGGTACGCGACGGGGCGGCCGAGCACGGCGGTGAAGGTGGCCGCGAGCTGGGCCAGACGGGATGTTAGCGGGTTCATCTGGCGCTAGGGCGGACGGCCGCAGGGGGAAGAGAGGGGAAGGAAGACGGGACGGGGGGGTTTCTTACGTCGTTGTAGGTTAACAGCTCGGGCCCGAGGACCAGGAAATCGGTGTTGGGCGGCTCGGCCACCGTCAGCGCGTGGAACCCGACCGCGGCGATGTCGTCCGCTGACACCCAGGGGATGCGCCCAGCCCGGGTGGCTGAGTGCAGGAGGCCGTCCTCGACGAGGCCGGCGGAGTGGACCGGCAACAGGAAGTTCTCTGCGGGTCGGGTTAGGCGCTACCTAGGTAATATTCATCCCCCCGCGCGGCCGACGGAGCGGAAGAAGGGCTCAGCTCTCTCTCTCTCTCTCTCTGCTCACCTTGGAACCAGGTGGGCCGCAGGACGGCCCACTCGACAGCGCCGGCGTCGCCGAGCTCGCGCAGGTAGCGGTGCGTCTGGCCGGTCAGCGGGCCGCCCTCGGGGATGGCGCTGGCGCTGAGCAGGACGAAGCGGGGGGCGCGGCCGCGCGCGCGGTCGACGAAGGCGCGCGAGAGCGCCGGCTGCTCGGGCAGCGGCGCCTCGATGACGAAGACGGCGCGGATCGGCGACGGCGCGGCCGCCGCCAGCACCGCCTCCCACGTCGACTCGTCCGTCCAGTCGAACCGGACGCCCCGCGCGAGGCCACCGCTGCTGCTGACGCCGGCCGGCAGCGCCCCCGACCGCGAGGCGACCACCGAGGGGATCCCGGCGGTCTCCAGCAGCGCCGCGATGCGGCTGCCGATCTTGCCGGTGCCGCCGAGCAGTACGACGGCGCCCGGTGGTGAGGGGGTGGGTGCGGACATAGTGTCGTTTGATGGGTGCGTTTTGCGGAGATAGGACGGCGGGAAGGAGATGGCGGCAATTACTGGAGAAGAGCCGAGGAGATTGCTTTAGGGACGGGCTATATAGGCGGGCGAACAGGGAGGTGCGCGGTATCTCGTTTAAGGGGGGGATGGGAAGCGTTTTGGCTGTGCCGAATGGGTTTATACACGGGTATTATCATAACGCTAAGGAATTGCTTAGTGATCCCTCTGTAGAAACCAGCGCGCCGAGCATTGCCAAGCCGAGCATCGTCCAGGGGGTCGACGATAGGTGGTGCCGCGATCCTCGGACGAGCGTAGGGGATTCTGCAGCGACCAATCACGCCAGAGCGGCAGGCCGAGTCCTGATCGAGTCGGACTGAGTTGCGCCGTGCCCGCGCCGGGGTCCCTGACGACGACGGAGTTTAAGGGCGTTTAGGCCGGACTTTGGGCGGATCTGACATCAGGAGAGACGTGCGCGAGATAATGGGCACCCATGCGCTCAGGAGCGGGGGTGGTCGACCCGACAGGTCGTGAATACGACGTATATGGCCACAGCTAGCGACGGATTCGACGCCAAGACGGGCATTGTGTTGTGCAGCACTGGCCCAATGTCGTGGGAATATGTAACCGTGGGGATGCGAATGCCGGCGCGTCCGTAACCACAACCCGGAGACAGGAATATCGCCGTGGTTAGGTCCCGGATATAAAACGCGGCCTCGATCCAACCCAGCGTACGCCGATCCGTCTGCTTTGCCCCCTATCTGCATGAACTACACCGCTCTCCTGCTCCTATTACCGACTTCTAGCTATTCCAAGAAGCATCAAGTCAAGCCATGGCCGCCGCGTACGATATCCAGACCTTCCTCCTCGACCGGGCCAACATCCACGACACCGTGATACGACTGGTAAGCGGAGGTCAGGGGGGAGGGCAGCGGCAGCGACAACGAACGCTGACGTCCGCGGCACGCAGGGCCTCAACTCGGACCTGAACTCGACCGAGGGCTACGTCCGGGACGTGTACGCGCCCGAGGTCGTCATCGACTACACGTCGCTGTTCGGGGGGGCGCCGCTGCGCACGACGGCCCGCGCGTGGGCCGAGATGCTGCAGCCGATGCTCGGCGCGTACGACGCGCGCCACCACGTCGTGTCGTGAGTTGCCCTCCTCGCCCGGCTCCGGCGCGCGCTCGGCCGCTGACCTGGCTATTCCGCCCCCTCGCGCGCGCGCGCAGCGGCGTCCTGATCGAGCTCCCGCAGCCGGCGCCCGGCGTCGCGCGGCCGGACCGGTGCGCCGCCACCGCCAACGTCTCGGGCCACATGGTGCGGCGCACGGCGCGCGGCGGGCCCATCATGCACAACGGGGTGAGTGTCCCCGGGGAGTCCCGGCCCGGACCGCGGGGGGGGGCCACCGACGGCGGCTGACGCGGCGCAGGGCCGCTACGCGCTCGAGCTCGTCCGGCTCCCCGAGCTCGAGGCCCGCGGGCTCAACCCCTGGCGGATCAGCAGCCACGCTACTACGCTCGCCTGGGAGGACGGCAGCACCGATGTGATGGCGGCTGTCTCCGGCATCGGTCACTAAGGAGGAGGGTGGGGTCGGGGGATGAGAGGGTGGAGGAGGATGGCGGGAATGTTGTGGCTGGCGTCGAGGTGATTTACCGTGAGTCCGCTCACACGGCCTCCTCGCTCGCTTGTTTAGGGAGCACAGGGAAGGGGGCGTTGCCGTGTCCCGTGTGCTTTCTTACACATCGGAAATGGTTGGTACTAGAGCGAGTTTCTGACGGAAGCATGAGGAAAGGGGAGCAATGGAGTGTGATAGCTTTCATTTCCTCGGTACTCTCTCCTTCTAGAATCGAATATGCACTACCAGAAATTGACAGGGTATTATTTTTGTTACTTACGGATATCTCCCCCCGCTCCCCTCTGGAGTCCCGTTAGCGGCATTCGAAGGAATTCGATGACGGCCGTTGCTTAAGGCTGTGAGTTGGCCAGGGTACGAGAACGGAGCATCGGGGATTAGGCATCTACTACGTGGCTAAATAAAGGGGCTTGAATACTTATAATATCCCGGTCTGTCTCTTGACTGGGTATATGACGCTACGTGGGCCTCCTCGCCGCTTCTATATTCGCATCGATCAGAATTCGCGTTCCCTATCCACCTACGGTAGGTAACACGTTGTTATATTGGTAGAGAGCCATCCTGTGGTACTCATCCAATGGAGGTTCAAGGAGACTCTCCATCACAATGCGGTGAATCCTCTGTCATATACTCGGAGACCCGTAGCTCGATTCTTCATCCCTCTCTTAGGGATACTCTCTATCCAGACGACCACTGGCCGGAACCAATTATGGAGAAAATCCAGCATGCCACACGAATATATGCCGTCTCGTGATTAGGGACCGTTTCTCGCGCCCAACACGAGTAGAAGGAAATCAAAATAGGTATCCCGCTAGAAGAGATGGCAGGTAAGGGAGAGCGCGGGCCTGGCCAGCTCTAGAAGTGAGGCGCGTTGAGGAATAGCCCCATGAGGATGCCGCCGAGGGTGCCGGCGATGGGGATGGTCATGATCCACGAGAGCAGCAGCAGACCGACACGCTGGAAGTTGACGGCCTTCAGGGTGCCGTTGCACAGGCCGACGCCGACGGTGGCGCCGGTGATGCACATCGACGTCGAGACGGGCAGCGAGTACTGCGAGAAGACGAGCACGGTGATGGCGGCGCCCATCTCCATCGAGCAGCCGCGGCTCGGCGAGTGGTAGGTGATCTTGTTGCCCATGACCTTCATGATGTTGTAGCCGTACGTGATGAGCCCGATCGAGATCATGGCCGACAGCACCGCGAGCTGCCACACCGGCACTGGCGCCGTGGACTCCCGCGCCTGGCCCGTCGACCACGCCGCGTAGATGACCGCCCACGGCCCCACCGAGTTGCCGATGTCGTTGGCGCCGTGCGCGAACGACGCCGTGCACGCCGTCAGCACCTGCACGAACGAGTACGTGTGCTCCACCTCGTTCGGGTACTTGGTCGCGTGCGCGTACACCCGCTGCATCCGCTTGCCCTCGGGCGTGCCCGCGATCCCGGACTGCGCCGCGTGGATGTCGTAGTGCAGGCCGTACAGGGCGCCGCAGACGACGATGGCAGGAACGCGCTTGAGCAGGATCTTGACGTTGTGGAGCTCGTAGATCTCGCCCGAGCCCATCGGATTGTCCCGGAGCGTGCGCATGGCCCAGCCCATGGGGCCACGGCTCTCGAGGAGCCGGGCGTGCAGCCGGTCCTCGCTCTGCGCCATGATCTCCTTATAGCTGGCCTGGGTGGCCTCGACGGAGGCGGCCCTCTTCTCGGCCTCGGCGTGGTCGGAGATGGATTCGTGCGAGCGGTTCGAGGAGACGTGCGAGCCGTCGTCTTCCTGGACGACGGCGTAATTGGGGACGACAGCGCGCTCCGCGATTTCGGGGTTCGGGCGGTGGAAGAGGAGGGGGCCGTAGATGAACATCCACCACTTGACGCTTTGGTCCCTCCTGATGACTCTGGCGTGCACGAAGGGGACGAAGAAGATGGCGGAGAGGACGGCGACGCCGCCACCGGTGCCGAGAGTGACGGCAGCGATATACCAGCCGGGCTTCTTGCTCAGGCCGAGACTGGGAGACCCCTTGTAGACGATGGATAGAGTGCAGACGGTAGCGGCGATGAGGAAGAAAAACGGAGAGGAGTATACGGCCCAAGGCACGGGGTTCCTGCGAATGTGCACGACAACCTTGATGAGCGTGAAGATAACGGCGGCGAAACCTGCCGAGATGGCCGGGGCCATGCCCAAGCCGGCAAAGATAGCCCCTAGCCCCTGACCGCCGTTCCATCCCCACTGAACCTGAGAGGCGCCGACGGTCGCGACACCGACACCGGCGACGGCAGAGACGAGAGAGTAGGTCGACGAGACGTGGGCGGAATGTCGCGTACACCACATAACCCACGAGGAGGCAGCGGCGAGAGCACACGTGAAAGCGAGCATCTGGACACCAGCATTGCCGCCGAAGGCTTCGTTGGGGATGATCTTGTTCTTGATGGTGTCGGCCGTTCGCGCGCCGACGGTGATGGCGCCGAGCATCTCGAACACGGTGCCGAATATCATCGCCTGCCGGTACGAGATGGATCTCGACGAGACGCTCGTCGCCCAGGCATTTGCAACATCGTCTGGACGGCGAAAGAGAGAAGTCAGATTCTATGCACTCGACGGCGCAGAAACAGAGCCAAGCGTACGAATACAAAGATGGATGGGGGGGACAAGCAAGGAGACCTGGAGTAGGTCGGAAGGGGGGGGTAGCTCTACGTACTGGCGCCGTTGTTGTAGGCATCGAGCATCGCAAACAGCGTGCCGATGGCGAAAATGTAGTCGTACTGATGAAGAGCCATCTTGAATCGCGGGACAGTACGATGACGACGACGACCGAGGTTCTCAGAGGACGGTTGCCGTCTGACGGGTGAAGAGAAGAGATAAGAAAAGGGTCTCACGCAAGAGCGGTGGACGATAGGAATATTTTATATGCCCTTCCCCGGGCGTTCTCCCCTCCTTCAGAACGCCGCTGAGACTGCAGTCTTCAAGCCACCGGCATCCACGCTCGCCTGCCCTACCCTGAACAGTCTGACCGAGGTTTGCCCAAGATGGTGTCCGTACTGTAAGGCGTGTTTGCGGCAAGACACTCGAGGTTGACTTCAACTGGACGGAGGGGTCGACCTGTGCATCGCCCTCGTGCAGCGACGAGTGATATTCGATGGTCCCGATCAGCTCGAGCAAGGTGAATGTAGGTTAGACCGGTATGTAACCTGGGTCCCCTGCTCGGCCGATGTACCCAAGACTTGCGAAGACCCGCTGGATCTGGAAGTACCGGCTGGGCATTGTCTTGGGAAGCTTGTCGGTCTCGCTGCCGCTGCGAGCAGCATTGGCAGGCTTGGCAAAACGGCAAAGCATTCTCTCGCTGTGCGGGTGCGGTGCACATCGGTCTGGTTCGTGGTGAATTTCGAGGCTGATGCTCTTGGCGGGGGATCCGGACCCCAGCAGGTCCCAGTCGACGCGAGACGGGGTTCACCCAATGGACATCTCCAGATTCCCCCACGTGTGTCCATCTCTCGCTGTGAGCGGCTGCGAACAAGATACCAGGGGGGGCCCCCGGCCAGCCCGCACCCTCGGATTCTCGACCGACCAACTCGCCGTCGCCAGGCGAGAAACAAGCAAGCTGGCCAAGCCGACCAAGGTACACCCAACACGCGCCGGACCAACCGACAGCTGGTGTAGGCGAGAGCTCGACGATTCCTTCCCGTGATGGAACGTTTCTAGAAGAGCGGGCGAGGGGCGAAGGACGGAAACAAGATGATGATGGGGCGTGGGCTCTGGCGTGGTTGTCACCCACCCTCGCACGTCACGGACCGCACCAGGGAATGCCTCTCTCCGTCTTGCCGTCTATGCCTCCCCGTAGGGTGTTTAATATATTTAATCTGCTGGCTGCGGTCACCCTCGCTCCCCTTGCGCGATGCGAGTCGCCTATTTGTACCACTCCGGACGCAGTGAAACCGACCCCTTCGCGCGAGATCCCTACACGTTCACTCACGCCTACTGACACACGCCTACCGCGAAACCAAACCAACAGGCACACGCCCACATGCTCATTACTTATCATCTCTGTTCTACTCGCGCGGATCACCGACGGGCACCTAGGTATACGCACGCTAGTATCCACCCGTCGAACCACGCTGCCTGATTTGGCAGGTTGATTCCCGTTAGCCCCGTCCGACGATGGTGTGCCTACGCTGCGGTCGTACTTCTATGGGCGGTGCCGGTGCTACCCAGGGCGCGCGTCAGCCGTCTAGAAATACGCCTAGCGCAGCCCGTAGGCGACCGGGGCCTGCTGCGACGGAAGCGCGCTGCTTTCAGCTCGTTCACCGAGTCCCTGCTCGAACAAGACCTCGGTCACGAGCCTGTGGTGGGATTGGGAGGTAGGGGGGGGAGGGAGGGAAGGGGAGCTTTCGCACGGCTCGCTTCTGTTGGGGCCCTTGTAACAGATACGTGTTAAGATAAGAGGAACGGAAAGGAAAAGGGAAAAGAGGGAGATAGAGAGACAGAGGGAAGACGGGAAACAGGGAAGGGAGAGACAAAGGAAGCGGAATAGGCAGCTCGTAAGGTGGTAACGTAGGAGAGAGAGCTAGCCAGTTACACGAGCGATCATCGTAAACGCAGGCCCAGAGTACTATGTATATATTGCCTTCTACAACCCTCTCACCAGCTAGCAAAGGCCAGCTCCATGGGCCGATGTATTATGCATGTACGCACGGTGGACGTAATAGGTAGTGAAACGCCACCCTCAAGCGCTGCCGTCTTCGGGATGGTCTCCCGCCGCTTAGACACTCTCGAGTCAGGATTCTCCCCGGCGGAGGAAGAGGGAAGCAGGGAGGGGAGGGGGAAGGGAGGGCGATAACAAATACGGCATCGTACGCGGCGGCGAAGGCATCTGACATTCCTTCCTTTTTCTCGTCCTACCTCGTAGGTACCCGTCTAATATCCCTCTCTCACCCCATCATGAGGCCCAGCACGTGCGTCGAAGCTCGCACGCGCATTTGCTTGAGCTTCGAGCCGCCGCCGCCGGGATTGTCCCCGCTCCTCGGGGATAATACACTGGCAGGACGCATCCGTTCCCACATTCTACCCACATTCGCTCGTCGAGCGATCCTGTCGGTCCCGCCTAGCCCCGGGGGGACTCCCCTACCGGCGTACCCTGCAATGGGCATCTCATGCTCGGGTTATCCGATGCTGGTTAGCTACCATTGCGCTCCTGTGTACTATGTACGCGTACATGCCACGTTGTTGCGTCGCAATATTGGGATGCTCTGCGGAGAGATGGTCCAAAGAGCTAGGTAATAATGTCGCTCTTCGGACAGGGTGGACGCGCGTAGCGTTTTTGGCTACGCTATTAGGTCACCGACAACCAGCCGTTTCGACTAGATTCTGATAGCTTTCTCTCTGCGCCCTAACAGTGCCCCTCCGTGCTCGCTTCTACGCGTGCCCCTCTTGATCGAGGCGTATGTGGCGTTCTTCGGGTGAAGAATTTGTCGGGCTGGAGAGAAAGCCGAATCGCCTTCAGCTCGCTGGGCAGTTCGAGCTAATATTATAGGTATCGGTAGTCCCCCGGGCAGGCTTCCATCCCCCTATGCCACTTGGGATATCTAGATCCTGCGTTGCCTGCCAGAGGCGGAGATGGGTATTTTTTACATTTTTCTTCGGCTGGCGTATGCTAAAATCGAATATCTAAATCATTGTTCTCTTATCTCCCGCTGCGCCAGACGGTCCGACCTAAGCCACCAATATTATTGTACATATTCATTCGGGCATAAAAGGCTACGCGCAAGGAATTGCCGGCACCGCTTCTTATCCCTTCATTCTCCACTCTCCCATTCTTTATCTCCCTCATTCTTTGTTTTTTTGGGGGGGGGGAAAAAACCCCCCCTTCTTATCGTTTTCCCCTCTCGCTTCCCCGAGCACGCGCATGGGGAGCTGTCAGGCGGAACTTTACTTGCGTTGCATCGCATTCTCGGATAGATGAGGTTTGTACGCTGTGACGCGGATAGGATTGAGAAAATAGAAATTTATGTCGGTAGGCTGTGGCTTGTGGCGCGGTTCTAGCCCTGGAGCACCCGTCGGTTCTAAGGGGAGATGCCACGCTTGAGGATATTAAGATGGCTTTGGAGGCGGTTGGAAGTTGAAATTGAGGGGCTGGATAGGGGCAGTTCAAGAGGGGGGATTTTATGTTTATGAATGATCAATGGGGTCGTGTTGATAGGAATGGGAATCGATATGCTGAAAATTGTGCGTATCGTGGCCTTTGAGCAAGCGTTCGTATGGATGTTCGACCGCAGATATTATGATTCAGGGAAATAAAATGGAAATCCAGCATGCTGACATATCCGTCCAATGTTATTATATATTGCGAAGTCACTAAACATAAGCTCTACCTGAGAGGGAGTCAAACCAGCATTGAGAGTCTACGCAGGTACGCGTAAGCGCCATAGCATGAATAAACTAGTATTAACTGGTGGATTTAAGCATTCAGAAACACCCCAAACGTTTAAAAAGAGGGCCAAAGAGAATGTGATTTTATCTCCCCCAGCTAATACTCGCTTGCAGTGAGCCCTTCGGTTCCTATCTTGAAGCAGGCTGAAACCATGAGAATGTCAACAACTGGGCAATACCCGTATAACTCAATGACAACTTCACCCGTTAAGAGAGCTCAACCTCGATCATACTCTCCACCGCCCCCTCGTGTCTGTCAATCCTTACCACCTTAAGCCCCACACTCTCGATAATCTCTCTCCAATGGGCCTCTGTCCTCTCGATCCCTGAGTCCAACACCATCAAATACATATCCACAGCGCACGCCAAAGTCGTCGCCTCCTTGAGTGGCATGATAACATCGTAGATCAACAACTTGCTATACCCCTTCTTCATAGCGCCCTTGATGTTTTCCACTATAATAGTATTTAGGGTTAGTGGATGCTACGAAAGGAGTTTAACGGGAACAGAAGAGGTCGCAAAGATACGGCTGAAGAACCGCGGAAAATTACTGAGCCATGTGGCAGGGGCACAATAAGGTGCGGAAAACCCGCCAAATCGGTGATTTTCCTTTTTCTGTTCTAGGGGCAGGGCCAGCCACGGAAGAAGGCGAAGAGGGATACCCGGACGTTGCTTACATATGCGGACACAGTTGGAGTCCGGCCAATCGTGTAAGATGCTGTGGAAGAAGTAGGTGCGCGCCCCAAGCAGAGGCTGGGGGTTGTAGAAGTCGTGCGGCATGCGTGTGATGCGTGCGTCTAGACGCGGGGTCCCCTCGATAGCAGCCTGTTTGTCGGCTTGGATCTGGAAGTCGACCACCTCCGGAAGGTCCTGTACGAAGAGGAGGCCCGACGGGAGCGACGGATGTCGGGCAAGGAGACGCATCGAGTCCATGCCGTGCAGGCCGGCCACGTCGACGAATAAGGCCGGTGCTCCGGGGGACAAGTCCGCACCGGAGGCGAGGCGATTGGTGTCATACACGGCTGTCCAATCCATCTTGTAGGCCGTGAGGGCCGTCACTGCGAAGTATTAGCCCCTGAATCCCTCGAACGTGTATCTGAGGAATCCAGGAATGCGAAATCGTGGGCGCGGAAGTTAAAAGGGCGCCCCCGAGGCACGAATAGTCCCCGCGGAGATAGGGTCGCCTTTTGTCAAAGACTTTTGATAGAGAAACACTTACTCATGGCCGCGAAGCTCGGCGCCAAATCGGGGTTCTCCTTACAACGCGCCCAGAACGGATCCCCGAAGGTATCGGTGTAATTATCGAACCGATCGAGATCAAGCGGCTCCGCATAACCGATCTTAGCTAGGAACTTGGGTAGGTTCGCGCTGCTGAGATAAGTGTGGTCTAGGCTATGATGAGCGTAGGTATAATGTATCTACTTTTCTCAGCCGCGAATACTCACGATGCCTGCACCATCTTGCCGATGTCGCCTCCCATCGCCAAGGAGAAAGGGGTAGGCTTCCAGGTGTCAACGTCGACCTCCTCGAGGATAAATACTGAGGTGAGGTATCTTAGAACACGGCCTGTAATATCGGGCCATTTCGGATATCAGAATTTATGCACGTGATATCGACAGGTTCGAAGTTTAGGGCCGGTCCGTGAGCAGCCTGTTTACGTGAATGAGGCGATGCGGCGAGCAAGCTTACGTATTAAATTCGGTTCTACCTGCGCATTAGACATGCTCAGAACCTCCTCCAGAGACCTCGAGGCGCCAGGGGCACCGTTCTTCTCAAGCGCCGCCCATCGAGCCCAAATGCCGAGATCCTTCACAAGGATCAGGCCAGCGATAGCGAAGGGTTGCTCGGCCATCAGGGCCCATGCGTGTTCTACCGGGGTCTCAAGCCGGGCTAAAAGCCCACGCGCTGCTTCCTTCGCCTCAAAGCGCTCAAAGTCATTCGCGAAGTTCTCCGGTCGAATCGAGTTCAATTGCCTGATAGTGTCTGAGGACATGCTACAAGGGGGGGGGTGGGGGATGTTTGACAGGGAGTACAATTTAACTAGATAGTATCTGAGAATGGGAGTTAGTAAATACCCTTCTGGTTGTTGGGAGGTGGTTGAGGATGATATCTCTACGGTTTAGAATCGTAAGGGCGCGGGCTCTACTTAAGCAACAGAAATTAACCCTTTTAAGGCTGTTGGTATTCGCGACCATCTACTGACACCGCTGGACGGCGGCTACATCATTGGATGTGATGCTGTAGAGTAGAGACTGCCATCTCCTGCTCTGATTTGTCGGATTTGAAGGGGTTGCTGACTCAAGCTATACGCTTGGCCTTGGAATTTCGGGTCTGGCTTCCATTCCGTATCTCGTATTAATTTATTAAGCTGACAGGGTTTGGCTCTTATGTTATATGGCGAGGAGTTGAGTCTTTAGTTCGCGACCCCCGTGGCGTCTAGACCAGTCTAGGATGTTTAACAACGGCTAGGTTGTAGTAACTGATAGTAATTAAGGAACCAACGTGACCGCATCTAGACTGTAAAACTGAGGCCTGTCCGGGGTGGTGACCCGCAGGATCCTTACAGTAGGCGAATGGTAGTTGATCCAATGAAGGTACTTTACGAGTGCTTATGGCTGGGAAATGAGAGTCTCATGATAGCTGTAATAGTAATATAATTAGCGTAGCGAAGTCGCCACTTTACCACGAAGTTATTGGAATGCTGTCAGCTCGGGTAATAAGTTAGGTTACCGCTTTACGAGCCACCCCTCTACGGACTACTTAAAAAACCCTTACTACTATTATTACTACGTAGGTAATTAAAGCTATTTAGATTATTAAAATTAATTAAAACCTTCCGATTCCGACGATACTATCCTGATATAGTTTTCCGCTTACGATCCCTCGTTTTTAGCCGTTTCTTGCGCCGTTTCCTATTCGTTAGGTACCTTTTTATCGCTTACCTCGTCCTTATATACGATCCTATCTTTTAACGACCTTTTTATTCGCCGTACGTTAGCTATACGTACGAAGCGCTTTCCTAGAGCTAGGAGGACCTTCCGATAGGTCTTAGGAGTACTTCTCTTGTTTTTTACGGCGTTATATTTAACCTAGACCTTTAAAACTACCTTTTCGTTCTTATCCCGATCTTAGCTATTGCTAGACTTTTCGATTAACTACGTTAAAGTAGGGATTTTAAACCTAATTACGGCGAGTATCTCTTTCCGAAAGGAAACCCGTAATTCCTAACTATATAAAAGCGTTTTAATATATTCGTCGACTAACGATGCTATAAAATTAGGTATTTTAGGTCTCGTAACCGACTCCGATAGCTCCGATCGTACGCGAGGGATACCTTTATCCTTTAAGACTACGAATTTCGACGATAAAGGCTTCTTACGATCCCGTGGAATAATCCTAGCGGTTATTTAAGCCTTCTTAATATTTCGCGAAGTTATTATTTCGACCCTAGCTAATCGGTATGCCTTTAATATATCCGTTTTAAAAGGGTATAATTAAAGAGCTACGTTTTAGCTCTCCTTAAGGAGGCTTTTTAGCCGTTTTTTTACTAACCCGAATACTTTTACGTTTAAAACCTATACGACGTAACTATAGTAAGGCTCGTAAAAGACGAGCTATATCTTATTATAGAAATAATACTAAAGAAAGGCGTCGTTTATATGCGACTCGTAGCCGTCGTAAATTAAGACTACTTATATATTACCGAAACGAATCCGAATATAAGGAATAAAGATATCTTCGAGCTAATTTAACGCGATAGTATTACTAATCTATCCTTTAGATAACGCTTAAAACCGCTAATCCTCTTATAATTCGCGAGTATCGTTAGGAAACTACTAAACTTAAACGTCGATACCCTTAAAAAGTACTATAGGAGGAAGAGGCTTTCCGCCGTATCCTATATACTTAAGAGTAATAATTTATTAGCCTTTTTCGACGCCTTTCTTAAGTACCGTATAAGTATTAGCCTCGGTAATTACCTAATGGTTTCCGGCGACGCCTTAAGCGATGCCTATTTCGTCGACGTTAAAGAAGCGTTCGGGAGGAATAACTATTAATTAAGGAGCCTTTAACCTATCGAAAAAAAGGTTAATATTTACCGCCGTAGCGCCCTTAATTCGTTTATAATCGATAATCGTAGCCTTCGCCGACTTAATCTCCGGGTTTCGAGCTAAGAAACGATAATGCTAGTGCTTTCCTAGCCGTCGAGAGCTACCGTTAGCGTTAAGTAAGCGCTAAGCTATAAACCTAAACTAAGAAAACGCCGGCGCGAAGCCTAGCCTAGCTTACGTAATAACCTAACGAGTTAATTTAACTTCTTAAATAGGTAATAAGGCCTAACGGCTTTTATTTAGCTATTCTTTCGTCGGTTTACCTTTTATACGACGTAATAAGTAGGAACGAAGGATATATATCTTAAGGGTAGCTTTACGGATATTTATACCGCATTAAACGTACCGAATAACGGCGGCTACGCGGATTTAGACGTCTTTTAAAGCCATTACGAGAATCAGTAGGAATTCAGGAACAAATCGATAATAAGATTAATTACGGAGGATTAAAACTAATCGAGAAATTATAGGTTTTATAAATAAGGGCATCGCGAAAAAATACGCGTTTATAGGCCTAAACGCGGTGGTCCGTAGAGGGGTGGCTCGTAAAGCGGTGACCTAGCTTACCGATAGGCCCCTGTACCAATCACACCGGGCACCCAGTCCATGACGTTTAGTAGGGATTGTATGTTACCTTGTGTTTTATCAATTTTGGAATTGCAATAGGGTGAAAAAAGTTTCGATGGGATGTAAGAAAGAATCGCTTTACTGTGTTTTAATTTAAGATGGTGTCACATACTAATTGGACCAGCCCTTATATGCCTACGTACCGCAAAAGCGTATCGCAAGGGTCTACGTTTTACGCGACAGATGGTATATAGATAAAAGTGGATAAGTGGAAATAGAGTAACTAATATCACATTTTACCGTAGGAACAAGGCTTAGCAATACAGCTAAAAGGCATATCGAGTAGAATGAGAATGAGATAACAGGGTCAACTACTCATATTGGACTCTAACTGGGTATGTAAAGGATGTGGTGGTATAATATCCTAAGTGCTCCTCTGGGAAGGAGATCCCCGGGCTACCTGTACTGTCGCAAGAGGTTATGGGGGCTTTGGGCGTCCTACAACCAATACAGCCCCATATTTTATGCTACTTTAGAAACCTCCTTGTCAGACATTCCCCAGCGCTCACCCATGTCTTCGTGTGATGCATACCTCCTGGTTTTATACGTGTCTTTGTAATTCTATGCTGTGTATTCACACTAGCTCATCAAATCCAACTTTCTGTGGCCTTTCTGATGCCCGCAACCATGACAACTTTGACTTTCTCCGGTTTTTTTCTTCTTTGGATTAGAGCCTCACGCCTGCTTACTTAAGTTAGTCGTATATTGGACCTGCCTCGGCACACTCATCAGTTATTTCTCATAGGCTTAATGGGTGAAGGAACGTAGAAAACAGAAAAGGGCTCCCCAGATGCTGGTTCCCAGACTGCTGGTAGCACTCGCTCTCTGTGTATACTTACTGCTGTCGCCTGCAAGTACGATAGCCTCATCTTGCCAAGATCGTTTCGACTCGTTCAGTGCCTTGCGAATTCGAGTTCTCGGACACCGGCTCGCTTCACCAGATAGATCAGGCGTTCCTGTCCCAGCTATCGTCTCTACTAGATCAACATAAGCTAGACTAGGCCTAAGGTCTCAGAGTCCTGGACAAACACGACTCGGAACCAAGGCAATATTCATAGTAATAGGAGCCGTATATAATCTCGTCAATTAGCAGTTCTAGGGCCTAGTAATTCTCCTAATTGAACAGTAGTTCAGGTTCAGCTTCTCAACGTTTCGTATACTTAGATGACTAAGTGCTTACGAAGCAGCAGGAAGCGAGCTGGCCAAAATGCACACACATACCCAGGGTTTAAAAATAAAAAAGTTCAAGTTTTTAAGTCAAGTTTAAGTTAAGTTTTTTTCAGAAAACTTCTTTTTCAGTCAAGTTCAATTGAAAACTTTTTTTTTTTGCAACCCTACACATACGTAGCTACGGCTTTTCTTTTGCAACTGCCCATACGTCTCTTTCATTTGATTCACTCCAACACATTTGCGAATCGAATATAATGCCGCAAATATCCTTCAATCTTTCTTCTAAAGTCGACGTTTCCGATGCAGAAAACATTGCGCGGTATGTCCAAGTTCCCGCAATGCAAAACGGTCCGTTGTACCGGACGATGTTTCCTCTGTCCGACACGATAACCGAAACGCAAAGGGATGAGATAATTCGCTGGTATGCCGACATGTTGGAAGATGCCTTCCAGGACCGATGGGAAAGCTTTTTGAAGGCACGGTCCATTGATGGCACACCCGTTGGGTTCTGCGGGTGGACCGTTATAGAGCGGAATCGTGAACAAGTCGAAGCGAACAATGGTCAGGCAAACGAGCCGCCAAAGAAAGAAAAGCGCAAGAAAACTTGGATACCGGAGGTAATCGATATAGATGGCTGGTCCGCTCTGTCAAGAGCCTTGAGAATGGAACGTGATCGGGTCTTGAAGAATCTCGACAATATATGCCGTATGTTGATTTACGTTACGCTTTATAGCACCCTACTGACAGGTCCTGCCTCTAGGCCTGACGTTTATGGCGGTAAATCCGAAGTATCAGCGGCAAGGGATCGGTTCGGCAATGATGCAGCGGATTTGTGAAGAGATTGATCAGCATGGACGATATGCATACGTGCTCGCAGCCCCGGACGGGGTTCGGCTGTATACAAAGTTTGGCTTCGAGATTGTCGGTCGTGTTGAGACACCCCAAGGTATTATCACAAGCATGCTTCGGCAACAGCGACAATCATAGATATGAGTCTAGATAGTGGAATGTTTCGCGTCAAGTAGATGCAGCAGCGCTTTCCAAGAAAGCTTTTTGACCACTCGCGTAGGAGGTATTTTAGAATAGACGGTTAGCACCATCACCGAAGCGAAGTGGGTGGGATTGTCAGTACTAGAGGACAAGGGACTAAATCGTCTGCTAATGACTTAGAAGGTGAGATAAGTACTCAGCGACTATGTTCGTAGAAAGCGGCTTGCAATTATGATAGAAAAAGGATAGAAGCAGATAGGATAAAGAAGTGATGTGATTGACGAAAATTTGGTGACAAAGTCTGCATGCTTCGGGAAACGTATTATTCCAGCCACAAGGTACACTGCGAGTGTCCTGCTAAATGAATCAATTGTTTATGGGTGGAGAATGGAGATAGGTGAAACTGACGAGAAAGCGCGTGGCCGGATGAGGAACGAGTTATTAGTGATTCCAAACATAGTCATAGAGAAATCGTTCGCACCCTTTAGAATTAAACACGGTTGAGTAATGCCAGAGACGTTGATGGTATCTCAAGATTGTTTATAACTGATGGCTGGCGCGCACGCAAATATGCTGGGTAAAGAAGCACGTTAGGTGTGTTGAAGTTGTCGCACTAAATTTAGGGGGTCATCTTTCTAGCACGCGTTGATTCGAAGCCCCTTGTTGTGGCTAGTACGACTGCAAACTACCTGGGGCACTAAGCAACGTCAAGGGCGTGCTGACTTGACATTAGCAGATATTGCTCTGAAGGGGCGTCGGTCTCGAAGTATCGGTCATGAGGTTCATAACACTTCATTTCAAGAGTAATAAGTGATCTTGTGCATCTTAACCTTATGTATTTCTTAACCGCGAACAAATGAAAATAACTAGGTAGGCATATCAAAGGTGAAGCGGGGTAACGTTTTGTCATAACATCACTCCAAGAACTGCCGTGCGATGCCAAGCATCACCTCGGATGTGGATAGCTGGGGAGGTGTCGGTGGAATGATGGGAATATAGGTCCTGCTGCTGGCCGCGTCAATAGTGGTTTGAACTATGGGTACGGGAGGCTGTGGGTGATATCTGGGAAACCGAGCGCTGGGGAGGGACGGTTCGCATGGGGAATATGCGGTGGATGGGTGTCTCATAAAACATTCCGCGCAGTCATGGTACCCGATGCCTCACAGCGGAAGTTGGAGATCCTGTCTGGTTGGGGAAACTCGGTGAGCTTAAGCGAAGCATCTACCATTCTAGTCTAGCTCTAATTAAGAAGTCTCCCGTTGCGACGCAAAGGTGCCGATAAACTTAGCAAGCTTCTCTGCACCCTCAAGAGGAACCGAGTTGTAATTACTCGCTCGAATACCACGCAGATCACGGTGACCTCTCAGCCCAGTCAGCCCTAAGGCAGCAGCCTCCTGCAAGAAAGCCTCCTCTGCGGGATCGCCACCTTCAATCCTGAAGCAGATATTCATACGTGACCGCACCGTTTTATCAGGGATGATCTGATAGATACTAGGGTGAACTTCAAGAGCTCTGTAGATTAGTTGAGCTTTCTTTTCGGCCACAGCTTGCTGTCCTTGCACTTTTGAATGCTGTCGCGACAGCCTCTTCAAAACCTGACCTGCAACATATACACTAAAGAAAACTTGATTAGTTTAAATCTTACCTTGAGGAAAGAGGATATACTTACTCAAAGATACTAAGTGTATTATAGAGGCTATTGTTCTTCGCAATAGTTTCATACTCGAAGATGCGAGGCGGGATAGGCAGACCTAGCTGTCTCATTAGAGTCGCAGGAGGCTGAAATGTTATAGGCGGGAGGAAGCTTTTATGGATAACTACAACGGTGATACCAGTCGTTCCGAGGTTCTTCTGAGCGCCGAAGAAGATGGCTGAGAAATTCTTGATCGGGATCGTCCTTGAAAGAATGTTGGAGCTCATATCGGCCACGACAATCGGTCTATTAAGCCCCGGCTCAAAGGCCTTGGGAAATCTGGGGAATTCCACGCCCTCAACTGTCTCGTTATCGCAATAATAGACCAAGGCGGCATCCTGAGAGAGGTTCCAGGTACTCTCATCCGGAATCGTTCCAAATTTGCCGCTATTTTCCTTGCGGCTATCCGCCACAATATTGACATATTCCGAGCCAAAGAGTCGCTCAGCTTCAGCCGCTGCCTTCCGCGACCAACTACCAGTGACGATGTAGTCCATCTTGAGATTCTTCACAGCCGATTTAAGCTCCGGCACTGAGCTACCAATCTCCCTGTGTTTGCGCGAAACCCAAGCGCCAACAAAGTTGTAAGCCACAGCGGAAAACTCCCCCGACCCACCGCCATGCATAAAAATTATCTCGTAATCGTCTGGGATATCGAGGTAGGATGCCAGATCAGCTTTGGTCTCGTTGATGATATCCGTAGCTATGGCCGACCGGTGCGAGTGCTCGGCGATGCCTAGACCAGTATCGCCATAGTTGATCAGAGCCTTGGCAGCATCCTCAATTACCTCAGTAGGAAGAGCCGCTGGGCCTGGACCGAAGTAGGTAATGTCTGATCTGGAGGGCATGGCGTATATGGAATCGTATCGGCTAGGGTCTGTTGAGGCTTGAGTATCTGACTGATAGAAGACGGACCGGCCGGACTTGGAGGGATTTGTGACCCGGAGAGATTTCTAGCTCTGGGGAATGTGGAACGGAGTTCCTCACAGAGAAAACTCTTGAGTGGTCCGATTTGTGCGTACAGCGTCACATGACTAAGCATGCCACGCTTACCGGGAGCGGATAGGTGAGCGCCTAATTAGCCGTACACGTGACTACTCCCGCGCCTTAATACTTCGGCCACGAATATACCTACCTAACCAATTCAGCACGAAATGGCTTCAATCGACGGCCACCTCCCTCCTGATGCCACAGACGACGGCTGCCTCCCTCCTAGCCTCCCTCCCGAATACGTACCTGGGTATAAAAATCCCGGGATGCCCTACTTTAGTCGATTGACGCCTGGGCCGCGCCGCATGGTTACCTATGCTTTTAAATCTGGCAAGTTAACGATGAAGGCAGGCAGGCGTATCGTCACCCTCGCTTGTGATCGGTCCGGCCCTCTACCTGCCCGTGATAAGGCACGAAAAAGACGTACTAGATCGAAAAGGACTAGCTGCCTTTATTCAGTACCAGGAAAAGAAGTTACCGACGGTAGCTGGGTCGATTTATCCCCTAATAGCTCTACGACTGAGCCCCTTTACGTGGAGAGGTCATCCCGATCAATCTACCTCTAAAATATACGAACAGAAGTTTCGTCTTTGATCTTTTCGTAATTAACTAGCAATACAACGACTTTTTCTCCGCTTAGAGTACTATCAATAATCAAGAGCGAGATGATGGTATCTTTATCCTCCAGCCTCCGAAGGGGACACTAGAGATCAGCGGGTAGTATCTGCTCGGCCACAGCCACGGCTGGAGATCGGAAAGCTAGGATTATGCAATAATGAGGGTCTTCGCTCTAGCGGATGCTGAATAAATAGAGGTCTGCATATTTTTTTGTAGGGAATGCTGAATAATGAACGTCGGTAGGCTTAATATGTCGGAGTCTATGGCGTGTTGCTTGGGGACGTAGGTATATTTCACGTCTGCTTCTATTATCATGGCTTGGGACACCGGTAAAAAGCCCCCTACTTTGTTCCCTCCCGAACAACCACGTCTTCTCTGAGCAGTGCTACGCCACTACCGCAAATCCAGCAAAGAAGTCTTCAACCTGTCTCGACCCATCGCCACGTAAAAACGACACGACCTTAAGCCGAACTGCACGAACTAAAGAACCTCGAAGGTTCAAGAGATACCCGCCCCACATCTACTCCGATCATTGAAGATCAGGGCCTGGTTGAATTGTTCTCGTCACAGGTTGCTCGCCAAGCGGGCTAGGGCCCGAGACAGCCAAGACTATCCACCTAACAGGGGCGGACGTCTACATAACTGTTCGGGATGTTGCCAAGGGCAAGCAGATCGCCGAAGAGATTCCTGCAGATGGTAAGCCCGGGAGGGAGAGAGGTCCATGAGGATCAGCAGTTGTCCACGGTTTCCGACGCCATCACGACTAGCCACTCCTCGGGAAGACAATCTCTCCAGCAAAACGTAAGATAATAGATCCGAGTTACAGTTCGGCACAAATCATGTTGGTAGGTAATTCCCTTGTTTCCAGTATTAGGTAATAGACATTTCCTTAGGTTACTTCCTCCTCTTTTACTTAGTCAAGCATGCTACCTTGGCTTCGGTAAGTCCCGAGTTCAACTCCCGCGTCGTATCGGTGTCCTCGGCCCATCAGAGAGGCAAAATCAACTTTGACGACCTCATGTTCTAAAAAACCGAGTATACCTACTTGGGTCGTACAATCAATCCAAGCTTGCCAATATCCTCTTGGCAAACGAACTGGACCGGAGATAGCAGTCCTCAAACCTGCGGGCCTTGAGCCTGCACCCAGAAGGCATCCTCACTCCTCTCACTCCTCTCGCGAGGTACCAACCAACGGCCTAAGACCTTCGAGACAACCCATTGCTCTTTACGATGTTAAAGAACCCCGCGTAAGGCGCCGCAACTACCGCTCAGGGGGCTAGCCGCATTCGTTCCGCCACCCCTTCGGCGCCGTTGGGAACGGCCGCATCGTCACCCCGCGGACGGGGGGAAACGGCGGCAGGCGGGCACAGATGAGAGCAGCGAGATTGCGGTCGCGTGTGAGAAGGTAATAGCCGGGAACCTAGTCCGGGACATATTATAATAGAGCCGGTATTTCGAGTTCTAGGATATCGATTCTGAGTAGACCAACAAGGCGGCGTCTAGGCTGGCGGGTTGAGCAATATTAGCCCCAGAGAGCGGCACGCCCCTAGACCGGGGAGGTATTAAGACGTAAGGCAGGGAAGCATTCATAAGTAGGATCGCAAGCCATTTTATCCTAGATAAGCGAGATCCCTGATCAACTTGCTCACCAATCTTTAGCCTGTGACTCAGCCTCTCTCGAGTCACTCATGAGTGACTTGTCCCCAACCCCCATTTCATCTCCACGACACATCCAAGACGTGGTACTGGAAAGCATAGTCGGGGCATGGACTTCCTAATGTTGGCGACCACGTACAAATCTCATGCCCGCCTATCCCTATGATAAAGGGGGCTGGCTGGGAACTCTTGGTCGAAATGTCTCGTGCCGCGGAGAAGTTACGTATCACTCGTGCAAAAGACTCCCATTGAGACATGTGTTTTCCTTGATAAAGTCCCTCGCTCTAAATTTATCTACCTTATTTGATCTCACTCGCATCGAAGTCGCTCCAAAGCACGCATCCAAGGCTTGCAGGGCAAGGAGGGTTTAAATGTGTCCTAGGCGAGGCGAGGCAAGTCACCGTGCCTAACTATGAATCATCCAGCTGACGGGACGGCGATGGTGTCGTGTCCGGGATAGCCTCGGCGGAAATACGCTGCGCTTTCATGCCGATCTGCTGACCCTACTAACACCACGCTCGTGGTTCTCTAAGTTGCCCGAGTTGCTAAGTCTTTGCCATGGTACTATTGTGCCTTGATTCAACACGAAGTTATCGTCGTAATTCATTCACCTCCTCATCGAATTTCTACTACCGTGAACTTATACGTAGGTTAGTTCGAATTAGGGATACAAGAGCATGTTGGGGGAATGAGGCATTTTTCTCGGCAGCGGTCAATCTCTTCATTCTTTTCGCAGGCCGCCCCTTACAAAGGTAGGCCGATGCCCGCAGTATAGAGGCCGGTCTACAACGGGCTCTCGACGCGATACGAACCACGGATATTTCATATAATCATAGAGGCATAGAGCATATTAGAAGCAAAAGCACAGCACCCCACCGCACGCCGTACCCAGCGAGCTGTAGCGGACAACGGCGGCGACGGCGTTGTTCTTCGCATGTGTAGAGGGTTTAATAACGTTCTGTATGCACTATCGACGAGCGCCCTAGACTAAACATATTAATCTGCTTGCGGCTATACCAAACCGTGTCCAACGAGAGAGAGAAAGCCCCGAAAAAGAACGACCGTGGCGGCGCCCGATGCAGCCGCAGAGTGATGCCCCGGCGCACCGCGCCGCCCCTCCTGTCCTAATACCCGTCGCCAACGCCCCCGATGCAAAAGCCGGCCGCGCGCCGCCCAACCCATGCCGTCAACCGTGTCCGTCGATTGGGACGGCGAGGGAAGGGAAAAAAAGAGAACAAGCTGTGTGGAAGCGGCCCCGCTCCTGTTCCCGCTCGCGTGCCTCTTCTCCTAGCGAGGCGGAGAGAGGGCGAGGAAGTACGCGGATTGGAACAATACTAGGCGGAAACTAGGTACGGGGGAACGGATGGCGACGGAAACACGCCCCCCCCCCCCCCCCCCCCCCTTCCTCCTCTTCTTATTCTTATCCTTATTCTTCTCCGTTTCGCGCTCGATGCCGAGCTCTAGCCCCGCGGCCCTGAGCCGCCCCTAGTACGCGGCGACGGGGCGCCCGTGGTAGGACCAGTCGGGCGTGCCGGCGGAGTTCGCGAACCGGTAGCGGTCGAGCTTGCGGGCGCCGTGGCGCTGGAAGGGCCACTGGAGCCGCCATCTAGAGCGCAAGCGGCTACCGGCCGTCGACCCCGTCGCCGTCGTCGATGCCGTCTCGTCGGACAGGTTGGTGGCCCGGTGCGTCTGGCTATTCATGGCGGGCTCGGCGTGCGTCGTTGTCCTGGGTCGGCTCGTCCTGGCTGGATGTGGCTGCTGGTTGGTTGGTCGGTCGGTCGGTCGGCGACGATGCGGACCGTGTTCTTTCTCGTCTGCGATTTGCTGCGTCGGATGCGTGTTGCGGTGTTTTGTTCGATGGATTTCGCGCTGGAGAGAAGAGAGTGTGTTGCTCGCTTATAATACCTTCTGCGATGCGGGGGATGTGGCTTCGTGGTGTCTGGAAGTCCCTAGAAATCCGAAAGTCGAGGCGCTTGGGGGAGGGGGGATCCGGTTTAATACATTGCAACATCAGCCGGAACTCCCTCCCGCCCTTCGCTGGCCTCTTGCCCCCCTAACCAGGGTGTGGACATCAGCTGTTGCAGGGATCACTCAAGGCAGCCCGTAAGACGGGTTGGGGTGTCATTTTCTGACGCCGTATCGGGCTCGCGGCATCGTGATTCGACGGCGATGGTATCATAGACATGCGGCACGCCCTCCTCGAGGGGGCTTAGCTGTGAGTCCGACCCCTATTGGCCGGCGTAGGCGAATGATGTCGCAGTGAGAAAGCCGCCCCAATATGCGTGATGCACGGAATCGCTCCCGACATTAGCCCAATTGTTGCCCGCCGCGTTGATTCTTGATTATATCCCCCCGATCAGATTGTCGCTTCCGTGGATAGCCTGCATCATCGCTTACACTGGCCAGGGCAGAGTCCAGGGGGGTGTAGTCGACGGGGACATAGTGGAGAGGGTTGAAGAGGGGAGAGCAACATTCTTCTGCAGCTTACAGACATGTCCTCTGCAAAGAAGTCGAAGGGGTGCGTGAGACGCCATCATGGGCGTCGCGCTGGCGGGATAATACCCAGTGAGGCTCTACGGTAGGCAGATAGCATGATGTCCTCGAGGAGAATATATTGCACAATGGCGCCGTGATTGGATCTTGAATCGTATCCCTTTCCCCATTGATTCGCATTTCCAAGGGCCTTACTGCTTTCGTTGGTTCGCAGAAACCCGTGCCATGGCGGCTTTCCAGGTGGGCTTCTACACCACTGTCATCCTCGCCGCGTTGAAAGTTACCCTGATCGCGGTCGAGATCATGCTGCACGTTCCTTTCCTTGTAAAATGCTACGAGTTTCTCATCTCGTTCCCGGGCCGCTTCAAGTTTATTTTAGTATACTCTCTTCTCAAGCCCCTGGCCTTCCTTTTCCCCTCGTTGAACTGGGTCCCGCCCGATCCTGACGGGGGTCCCGCCTCTTTACTACGGTCATTCGGATACGTCTCCGCGTTCTTTGCTCTAGTCCTCGGCGGCGTCTCCTTCGTGGGGCTCGGCGCGAAGGAATCCGACGAGCCCGGCCAGTGTGAGAACGCGGACGCGGACATCGTGGGAGACGGCGTCCGCGCGGCTGCTTGGATGCAGGTGGGCATACTATTTCTGATAACCTTCACCGGGATCTGGCACCCCCGGGAGACGGCAGTTAAGGAGATCGGCGGCGGCTTGATTATAACTCACGTGTCGCTGGCGATCGCCCTCCTGGTGCCCTGGGCGCGTCGGGAGCTGTCTCCCATCGACGCAATTCTCGGCGCTATAATCCTCGACGCGCAGGGCAGTTCCCTTTCTATACACCTCGTGACGAAGGAGACCCTCGCAGCTCGTTGGCAAGTGGGAATAAGTCTGCTCGCCCAGCTGCTCGGCCTCGCCATAGAGGGCATTCTCGTCGGCAGCTTTACCTCGGGCCTACTTCCCTCACAAGATTGCGATTGCTTCTCGGTCTTCTGGTGGGCGTGGTTCAGCAACTGTCTGGATGACTCGCCCCCGAACGATATCAGGCCTTACTGGATCTACTTCGCGTACCGGTTCCTCAACATCGCTCACGGCTCCTACTTCGCCGTCATACGTGCCGAAACCTATCACCAGGCCGAGCGATGGGATATCGAGAATCCGTGCAACCCCGTGGACTTCAGAAAGTGTCAAACCTGCTACGAGTGTAGCTACTGCCGCATTTGCAAGAGGAAAGCCGGCTGCGATTTACACGGACAACTTCAGACACCATTACCGATCCCCGGCCAAGACAAGGATGTGTGTCCAACTTGCAAAGGATGCATAAAATGCGGATACGACTTTGGAGGGAGGCCGACAGGCACCGAGTGCTGCGTCGCTTGCCACTTGTGTAAGGGATGCGGCCACCACATCAGCGACCGACAAACTATGATGCTCTACGGAGAGCGGTTTTCCGAATCCTTTGTGACCGTGAGCGTCAACTTCCTCGAAAACAGCGTCCTGGCGATGCTCAGCATGATCTCGGCCGAGGTCACGATGGCTATCAACCAGGTGCACAAGACGTCTCCGTTATACTCCGTCGGGCAGCTAACGGCTCTCACCGTTGCTGGTGGGACGGTGATTCGGGCGCTGTGGTACTTCATCTTCATGTTCTACAAGGGAACTCGTAAGTGGATGGCGTTCCCCATCCGGAAGATTAAGCAGCTGACCAGTGGTACTTGTAATTTTCCCGTTTGCCAGGCTAGAAGTGCCTTTGCGGGATTATAGATAATAAAGGGGGATCTGGCGTTTAAGATGCGTAGCGGAATTAGAAATTCTGACGCGTTTCTATTTATACCCGACATGACCAGTCGCTATATATCGATATAGCTACGTATCAGGAAAGGCTTAAAAAGGCCTCTTGGTGAAGAGAGGATTTGGGTCCCGTGGTTAGGGCTAGGTCATCAGTACCTACGTTGTCTACGGGGAATATCAAGGAATGCAGTAGACGGAAGCACGCGACGAATTGCTCCCTTCTCCTGGAAATACAGAGCAAAGGAATTTCCAAGCGGAGGGGGTAGTACCCGCGGCAGACTTCTGAGAGATGACTGGCGTCATGTGAGGCGTGAATGCCCTGTTACAAGCGCATGTGTATGCATAGTTACCGCTACGATAGAACACGAGGCTTAGTACGCCAGATTGGCGGTGAGCGAGTCGAGAGACTGGGGCGCTGTCGAGCCCGCCGCTTGCCAAAGGAAAATTACACATATTATCGTGCCTAGATCGCCGAGCAGAGAGACATCCACGGCGACATTTGTCCTGAGGCAAAAGTCCATCATGCGAGGCTTTCTGTAGCCGGCCTGTTCCTCCTCCCACTCGGGGAAGGGATCTCGATTCAGATTGCTGAGAACGTAGCAGTCCACCTTCTAGAAGACGTGATTCGGTGTACCCGCCCCTCACACGAGCTCAGCCACGCCTCCGTCAGCTTACGCTCCAGAGTATATCTCCTTAGGGCCAGACATACGTCCGATGTCGCCGTCATCCGTGGCCTCACCAAAGCTTAGTCCCTCTGTCCCTCCCGTGCTTCGCCTCACTCCCTCTTGGCCTTCGTCCCGCTCTCCTCGCGCCCCGTCCTCGTTCCCCCTCTTGCCGTCACCGCCTCCACGCCCTTCACCACCAGCCACCGCGCCAGCACCTCGTGCAGCCACCGCCCCGCCCAGCCCTCCAGCATGGTCGGGCCCTCGCGGCCGCGCTCGCGCCATAGCACCGTCTCGTTGACGAACACCACCGTGGCCTCCGCGGCAGCGCGGTCGAACCCGACGTCCAGCGCCCCCCGGACCACCGGCCCCGTCCACCCGGTCGGCGGCTCCAGGCGCAGCACCGCCCGCGTTGTCGTCATGGTCCGTGGTCCCTCGCCCCGCGCCGTGCCGGTCCCCTCCTTGAGACGGCACCGCTCCCGTCGCCGCGCCGAGACCACGTACACGCCGCACACGCGGTCCCCGACCGCGAATTCGCACGCGCTCAGGTACGCGTCCTCGAAGCTGCGCGCGAACATCTGACCCTCTCGTTCCCGCGCCTTAGCCGTAACTTCCCGCTCTCTATATTCTCCTTCCTCACCTTCGCTCCTGTTATTATTGTTCTCGTCGCCCGCATCTTTCTCTCCCTCTTCGTTATCCTCCTTCTGCAGCAGCGATGACATCCCCATGCGCCGCATGACGCGGGCCTGGGGCGTGCGTGCAAAAGCGCACATCGTCGCGCTGAGGTAGCTGCGGAGGAGCCGCTCGTCTGCCTCTTCATCGTCGTCGTTGTCGTCGTCGTCGTCTTGTCCCCCAGGCCTTCGCACCCCGCCTTCGCCTTCGTCGCCAGGGGATCGTGCGCGACGGTGGGCCGGCCGGGCTGCGAAGCCAAATTCCGCACGTAGCGCCCCGGTCCCTACCGGTCGCGACGTGACGCGCTCGCGCGTGACGACGTAATGCGACGGCGCGATGAGGACGGTCGGCGGGATCAGGCCCCGGGTGAGCGCGCCAGGACCGCTCGTGTCCGCGCCTCCCGTATCCTCGTAGTTACCACCGTCGTCGTTGGCGTCGCGCTCCGCGGCGCCCTTCGCGTTCGGAGCCGGAGGGTGAGAAGGGGCCACGCAGGATCCCACGAGCTCGGTTAGCGCCTCGGGCGGCGCGAGCCGACACCCGGCGGCGACAGTGCGGCGCGCGACGGAGCGTTGCAGGTATGCGAGGTACGCGGCTGGGAGGACGACAGCGGCGGCGACGGCAATGGAGGCGAGAGTGGACGGCGTAGCAGTCGTCGTTACCGTGGTTGTTGCCACCGTCGCGGCCGCGGCGGCGCGGGAGCTGGCGAGGGTAGAGAAGGGCATTCGCAGTGACGATTGTGGAATGAATGGATGGAGCTTGGAGCTTATAGGTAACAAGTAGGCGTGTATACGTTTGTTAGTGCTAGAGGAGAGAGAGGTGGGGAATTGATGGCGATGGCGATGAATGTGGATTCCGCCTAGATAGAAGACGCAAGAAGGAAAGAGACGCGAAGGGGACACAAGGAGCTGAGCACTAGATAAATCGGACCGAGGACTTCCCGTAAAGCCCGTAGGTCTCGCGATAAAACTGTCGGAATCGCTCTAGGTATGGCGCAGGCTAGAACAGAGAGCAGAGCACGGACAGCAGACGATGCCGGCGCGTCGCCAGCATGACTCGGCCCAGCTGGGGACTATGTATGCAGCGTTTGCAGAGGCGAGGTTGCCAATAAGCTCGGGTAGATGTCAGCCCTAAGAGGCGACATGGCGATAAACGGCTCGTATAATTCGCCTTCGGACTCGCGAGCCAAACCGAGAGAGGCCGGAAGCGGACCTAATTCGGTCGATGACAACGGGCCACACGTGAGGCCATTCCTCGCTGGGTATACCGCGTAATTATACCGCGTAGGGGCTTGCATCTAAGCATGCGAAAGCCAGCTCTTAGCTCTAGCTATGTACACACCAGGCTAGATAGGGTAGGGATGTATGGAGCCAAGACAGTTCCGACCAAGCCATTGGGGGGGGGTGTGACGACGGGGCGGCGGCTTGGGATAGGAGAAGTATAGGTGGGTAGATATTGATATACACCCCTGTACTGACTTCACACACACGCACAAGTACAAAGAGCACTACACATCTGACATCCGTCGATTTCGACCGAGCTTCATTTCAAGCGACACACACATATATACACACTTCTACTTCTTATAAGACGGCAACGAACCCGTCCGTACGGGGGTTATATAGGGGGAGGGGGGCAGACTGGGCCATCGCGAGACAGCCAGAGTGCGAGCACAAGTGCGAGCACAAGTGCGAGTGCGAATATGCAACTGCCAGCACACACATACGAATCCAATTGTATACGAGGCGTATGCGTTGATAAGTCAAGAAGGGGGCATGACGAGGTATATCGACGGGGTGAAGAAAAAGGTGAGTTCACCTGTTTTGCCAACTAGAAAAAGCGAACAAAGATAAAAACGAAACAAGGAGGTATTCCTTCTCGAGGAAGACCCCCGACGCAATGCACCGTCGCCACCTCCCGGGAACGCCTCCCGCTTAATTCAAACGTCTTCAAAGCCAAGGGCAAAAAAAGGCAGCGCACGCTAATGGTGGTGATCCAGCGATGGCTGCTGTCAGCGGACGTGACAAGGAGGCAGCTATACCTCCTCGGCGCGATCTAGGGTGTCGAGCGGCACGTAGCCCTCGTCCTTGCGGGACTGGCGGCCGAACACACCGCCCGCGAGGTCCTGGACACGCCCGACAACGCCACCGAGGCCCCAGCCGCGGCCGCGCTTCTTGAGACCGCCCTTGTCCGCCAGCAGCGCCTCCTCCATCCACTGCGGTCGCTTCCAGAACTTGAGCAGCAGCGAGCTGATTACCACGCTGACGCTGCTGCACGCCATCGCCGCTCCGGCCGCCATCGGGTGCAGGTGCCATCCCAACGGCAGGAACAGTCCCATGGCGAACGGTAGGCCCACCACGTTGTACAGGCACGCCCACGCCAGGTTGAGCTTGATGCGCGTAAAGATGGTGCGCGACAGGTTGAGCGCCGCGGGGATGTCCATCAGGTCGTTCGGCCGCATCAGCACCACGTCAGCTGCCTCCATCGCGACGTCCGTGCCGCTGGCCATCGCAACCCCGACGTTCGCCGTCGCTAGCGCTGGGGAGTCGTTGATACCGTCACCGACCATGGCAACGCACTCGCCCCGCTCCTGGATCTGGCGGATGATGTCCTGCTTCTGGTCCGGCGACACGTTGGCGTAGACGTTATCGTGTGAGATGCCAACTGCCGAGGCGACAGCCAACGCAGTTGACCGCTGGTCGCCCGTCACGATCGCTGTCTTAATGCCCATCTTGTGCAACACGCTGATCGCCGCGGCAGCACCCTCCTTGATGGTATCCGCGAGACAGAGGTGGCCGGCGTACTTGCCATCGATGCCGATAAAGACGTTTGTTGTTCCGGCGGACGACGACTTCGACTTGTTCGCTTTCGAGTTTATCTCTTCCGAAGCCTCTACCGCATCTTCTGGTACGTCAACCCCATTCTCCCGCAGGAACCTGACGCTCCCTATAAGCACCTGGTAACGGGTGCGGTTGGAGCTGGTAGCTGGCTCGACGACCGCATCGATGCCTCGGCCCACGACAGCCGTGAACTTGCCGATGCTGCCATCGATCGTTGCCTCGGCATCTAAGCCGAGTTCAACGCGTGCAGCTGCTAAGACGGCTTTGCCAACCGGGTGCTCGCTGCCCATCTCGGCCAGTCCTACAATCGCCCACCAGAGCCGTCGGCGTGAGTCATCGTCTTGCCAGACGGACGGCGTCTTTATGCTCGCGACGCTCATCTTTCCGTAGGTAAGCGTTCCCGTCTTGTCGAGCACGACTTGGGTGATTTTCGTTGTGGTTTCCAATGCGGCACCGCCCTTGACCAGGATGCCGTTCTCCGCGCCCACTCCCGTGCCGACCATAACCGCAGTGGGCGTTGCCAGACCGAGCGCGCACGGGCAAGCGAATACGATGACAGATATGCAGAGCTGAACACAGACCATCAACTTGCCGCCGCTTTCAGCCTTGAGGAAGATCATGGGAGGATTATCTAGGACATGGCTGAGTATCATCCAGACGAAGAAGGTCAAAAAGCCGAGGACGAGAATGGTCGGTACGAAGTAGCCCGCGAGGGTATCGGCGAGTCGCTGGATAGGAGCTCGAGTAGTCTGAGCGTCCTGCACGAGCTTCACGATTTGGCTGAGCTGGGTGTCTCGGCCCGCTCGGGTGACGCGAAAGTCGACCCGGCCGTGACCGTTAACAGTTCCACCGATGACGTTGCTGCCCTTCTTCTTCTGGACCGGGATCGCCTCTCCCGTGACCATGCTTTCGTCAACGTATGTCTCACCCCGCACGATGACGCCGTCCGCCGGGATCTTATCACCGGGACGTATAATGACGACGTCACCAACGGAGATGAGCTCGGTAGGAATAACCTTAGCTTCCGCTGCGTTCCCGTCGCGAGTCGGCGTCTCCGTCTTCCCCGACCCCGCGACGGAATCCCAACCTTCGGCGGCCTTCTCAGCCGCGATCGGGTCGGCATAGATAGTAGCCATAGAGGGAGCCAACGACATAAGTCGTGAGAGAGCCTTTGACGTCTGCCCCTTGGCCCGGTTTTCCAGGAAACGACCGAGAGTGATGAATGTGATTAGCATAGTGCTGGTGTCGAATATCGTTTTCGGTCGGGTATGTGGTGGGCAGACGACGGAGACAACCATGGCGAAGCAGCTGAAGAAGAAGGCTGCTGAAGTACCTAGAACGACGAGCACATCCATCGTCGGAGACCTGTGCTTGACAGATTTGTAGGCTGAAACATAGAAACGCTTGCCTATGCCAAACTGAACAGGTATCGTCAAAACCAAGCAGATGACATCGCCTAGGTAAAGGCCAGGGAAGATAGAGAGACCTCCAAAATCTAGTGCGGGGACGAGCATGGGGAAAATCATGCCAATGAAGAAGACCGGGAGCGCAAAGGACAAGGAGATCTGGAATGCCCTCTTCCATTCTTGGATTTCCCTCGTCTTTGCTAGGGATTCCAATTGCGCGTTATTATCGTCGTTATCGGCGACGAGCGCATTGAATCCCAACTTCTCCACCTCTTCGACGATCACGCGCAAGCCCGTCAGATTCGGTCGGTGAGACACGGTAAGCCGGGACGTAGCCATGTTCAGCTTAGCGGAGCTAACGCCGGGGAGGGTGGCCAAGGCCTCTTCAATGGTTTTGGCGGCCGAGGCATCCGGGTTTCCGTAAATCTTGAATTGCGACGTCGCAGACGTGCCGGAGTGGTCCGCCGCGGCGAACACGGTCGATATGACCTTTGCGCCGAAGCCCGCGTCTTCGACGATCTCGGCGATCTTTTCGGGCGAGATCTTGGTCGTGTCGTGGGTAATGACGGCGCGCTCCGCCAATAGACTGATATTGAAACGCAATAGACCGTCGAGACCGGAGAAACTTCCCTCGACCGCGGACGTGCATGCGCCGCACGTCATCCCTTCAATCGCAACTGTGGTCGTGGCAACCATCGAGTTCGATTCGGTCTCGCTCGATCTCGACTCGCCGGACTTGGACAACTCGCTCGATACCAGAGTCGCGCCGAACCCTCGGTCCTCGATGATTTCTATTATCTTGTCGGTGGACAGCAGAGACGCATCGTGCTCCACCACCGCCCTCTCCGAAAGCAACGATATGCTGAAATGTTTCACTCCCGTCACATCCGCGAAGCCGCCCTCAACGGCGGAGGTGCAGGCCCCGCAGGTCATTCCCTCGACAGCGATAGTCGTCACGGCGGTCGAGGGCTTGTCGTCATCATGCGAGCGGTCGAATCTCGGAGTGGGCAAGGGGGTGGGTAGGTCGGTGGAGAGAACCTCGGCCTCGAAGCCGCGGTCCTCGATGATTTCTTGTACTTGTTCGGCAGGTACTCGTTGGGGGTCGTGCATGACCACAGCGCGTTCCATCACCAGACTCACCGACACGCTTCCGACACCGTCGACGCCCTTGAAGCCCGCTTCAACAGACGAGGTGCAGGAGCCGCACCTAATATTCGACTGCGTTAGTCTCAGGAAACCAATTGCGCCAGACGGTCCGGGATTAGGGGGTCGTACGTCATGCCACCGACTCTTAGAGTGGTAGTAGCCCACCGAGCAGGCGTCCCCGGACTCCGTTGGGAAGATCCGGAGGGCTCCCTCGGCGAGACCTTGATGTATCCGGGAGCCATGACGGCAGTTCGGGGGCGAGATGAGCAGAGGCGCGGACGGTGTCGCTAGACCTGCTATATTTTCCACTTTTTTCTTCTCGCGACGTACTGGATTTCTATACAATGACCGGCATATTCTAGGGGTGTGAGGTCATATCGCGGTAACAAAGGGCAAGTCCTGGTGTGCCGGGACGAGATCGTTGTGTGAGGGATTCCGGCGCCCGGCGGGAGTGCAGACAGTTGTATGTTCCCTTCTTCTCAGGTGGGGTTTTCTGTAGATAATTACAACTCTGCTGTACGGTTTGGTCGGTATTGTCAAAACCCAGCAACGAGGCCGAGAAAGAGAGAGCTGGGACAGACGAAGAGAAGAAGAAAGAAAAAAAGAGATCGAACGATCGCAGGACTTTGGGTTGTGACAGGATCTAGGTTTGCGAGCTTCCAGTCAGGGACGGGACGGGGGACTGAAGGGGGATAATAACGATGGCGAAAGGCGCGGACAGAGGGATGAATAGGGTACCTGCGGATCTAGGTAACTAATATGGATAAGTTGAGCTTTGACTAAGTAGTGGATACCCGGACAGGACCGTGCGAGCCTAGTGAAGGGACGGCGGGGCTCTGCTAGTAGGCTTGGTGGGCACAGTGCGGTGCAAGCGGGGGGTGGGCCAATACGGAGTAAGTGTCTTGTACCCTGTACTTGGCTCGGGTACTTGGCACCTGGGCGTTTTCAAACATGAATCGATAAACCCAGCACCCAATACGGGATTCCGTCAGGTATATGCGTAGGTACCTGTGCTTGTGCGCACACTCTGAGGTAGGATGGAGGCCGGCCGACAGGGGGGGGAGGCGCTCAGGGGGGGATCTGTTCGACCTGCCTGACCTGGCAATGGAAGCGATCTTGTTCTCGAACTGGAGGATCCGGATCACCACGTCCTAAGGTAGTACGCACGCCGTTACCCATACTACGTTTACACATGCTTATATACAGGCGTGCTCATGTGGACGGGCACTGCTATAGTGGGATTCCGATCCGAGAAGCGGGTTGCTAAGCAATGGTGGCGAGATTGATGTGAATACGTAACGGGTTTCGGTAGCACCGTTCGGCAGACGTAATCGACAACCCATGACGAGGACCATATATCATACAGAACGCGATGATCCGGGTTTTCATCAGGGTGACAGCAACCAGCAAGTTGCAAGCAGGTGGCCTCGGTCTCGAGCAGCGAGGGCGAGGGGGAAAGCAGGTAGACTGGCCGTCGCGACGAAAACTCATTTGCCGAGCCCTCCGGTAGGTTCGGACAGCGCGGAGGAGGTGGGAATTAATTAAGACACCGTGGTCGTGGGGATATACCTAGAGGGATGTTGGCCAAGATGCGATGGTCTACCTAGGTAGGAGGTAGGTAGTGGCCCCGGGCTAAGGTATCTAAGAGCGAGTCTGACGGTGTATTTGCAAGTTCCCTTTTTCTCTTTGCGCGTCCCGGAGGACGACGTCCGTCTATCCTGCTTGGTCGGCTGGGCTGGTTCGTAGAGACCCAGTACAGGTACCTACCTATAAGACCTGCCCTAGGCCGAGTCCAACAGGCCCATAGCTGTCGACGCGGACCGCTCTCTGCATTACGCACACGTACTACGGTAGGGCGAGGGCATGCCCTGGTGCCATTTGGTTTCATTACCAGATAACTTCCGACCTCGACCGCGTTGCGGTTTATGCAGCTTACGTACCTCCACGTCTGGATACCCAGTATTGATGGGATATCAGGAGGAGGTACCTGTGTCCTATAAGTATCAGCATAGTGTATCGGTGCAAGGCAAGCCGAATTAGGGACCTGATTGCGTACGAAGGTACGTGAGCACATGCGATGCGCGGAACGACCGGGATGCGATAAGATAAGGCAGGTGGGCAATCGGTAGGACGGACCTTAGCCTCTGCCGAGCCTCGCTCCATCGCTACTCCCAGCTATCTTAAGCATAGGGGGCGTGACCTGCCCCGCCGTGAGTTAGTGAAGTACTTCATGTTTACGGCGAAACAGCAGCTACAGCATAGGTATCTCCCTATCCGAACACCACCCCTGGCCTACCTAGGAGAGGAGGACGGGCCTTGGCGCTCCGTCGAAGCGGAAGCTCAAACGCCCTTGATACGAAGTTAGCACAACCTCCCTCAGTGCCACACCAACGAGGTACCACGCCCACCCACCTTACCACGTTCGAGTACCACACGCGAGATCCATCTTCACCATCGTCAGCGAATCCCCGACGGATCAAAGAGGATAGATCCCTGGGCGTTTCGTTTCCCATCCTTGCCGATTTGCACCCCTCCCGTTTCTAATTTAAACCCCCTAATCGAACAACCAAACTCTCTCAGCATCCTCGCCAAGCCGTTTATCTGCTTGTTGCTTCATCCGCGGGGCACTGTAAAGTTATCGACCGATCGACCGGCAGCCGGAACGACGGGGCCACGACAGGCACGGCAGGGAGAGGCGAGGCGAGGCTGAGCTGTCTGGCCCGGGTCGCTCTCCCTCCTCCGCATCCCCCAAACTAGAAACACTGTACCTATCGGCGATAATCTTCGTATCCCATACCTACATCATCCTCAGCCTTGTGCGAGCCTGAGCTCGAGTTCACTAGGACCTTCATCATCACGAACCAGCCATATTGATCTCCCGGCGCCATCATGGAGCAGACTAAAGCGCTGAACGCTCTCGAGGTAACCTTCCTCTCCCCTGCGTATCACGCTCTCTGGTGGTTATTGACTCCCAAGCACGAAGCCGTCATATTCCATATATCTATAGAGATCGTATAGAAATCATAACTAACCTTCTCCTCCCACTAGCCATTCCTCGCCCTCACCAAGTCCGCCACCGCACCCCGCGCCGCCGCCGACCTCGTCACCCAGGCCACCTCGCATCCCCACACCTTTGTGTTCGCCGAGTTGCTGCAGGCCCCGCAGATCCAGGCCCTCTCCCAGTCGCCCGAGCACGCCCCCTACCTCGCCCTCCTCGAGATCTTTAGTTTCGGCACCTATACCACTTACGACCGCGCCCGCGCCGACCTACCCTCGCTTAACGATGCCCAGCTGCTCAAGCTGCGCCAGCTCTCGCTCCTGACCCTTGCCCGCGACCCCGGCGCCAACCTGACGTACGCCGCGCTGCGGGAGAGCCTCGGCCTCCCGAGCGGCACCGACGACGGCGGCCGCGCCGTCGAGGACCTCGTCATCAGCGCCGTCTACGCGGGCCTGCTCTCAGCGCAGCTCGACCCGCGCCGCCGCACGGTCTACGTCCCGCGCGTCGCACCCCTCCGGGACCTCGAGCCGAACTCGATCCCGTCGATGCTGACGGCGCTGCGCGCCTGGTCCGGCCGCTGCGCCGACACGCTGTCGGACCTCGAGGCCCAGATCGCGGCGGTGCGGGCGTCGGCTCGCGAGCGCCACGACGAGGCCCGCGCGCGCCAGGAGACGTTTACCCGGCTCGCCGAGGAGCTGAAGCTGGGCGAGCTGTCGCCGTCGGGCGACGGCCTCGGCATCAGCGGGCCGACGCGGGCGGGCGTCGTCCACAGCCGCCACCAGGCCCGGCTGCTCGACCGCGCCGTGGCCAACCTCGTCGGCACGCAGTCGCGCAACGGCAACAAGCGCGGCAGCGGCAGCCTCGAGCCCGGCAACGACGAGTGCGACGACGAGGCCATGGACCTCGACGAGGAGGAGCCGGACGACGGGTCCGGCGAGGGCGGCGGCGGCGGCGGAGGGTTTAGCAGCGTGGCCGGGGCTGGGTTCGGAGGCGTGGCGGCGGGGGCGAGCGCGGGAAAGAAGAGGTCAAGTCGTCGGAAGATTTAGCCGCTCTCCCAAATTTTATGTGTGTTGGGACTGAGTGGGCGTAAACGAGTCAATGGACACTAAAGAGGGGATTGATATTGCTATGGTCACGATGCCAGGGGAAAGGGGGAAAAGTAGGAGATTAGGTAGCAACAAAGAAAGAGGAATTACGTTGTAAGGAAGTGTGCTTTGGGAAGGACTGCGAATACCACTATCCACACATACACTCCTACCCACCCCTACTCGCTCCCCTATTCTTCAGGAGGCGCAAGAAATCAGAATGAACCTGGCCAGTCGTGTCCGCGCCCCCAGTGTACGTAGATCCCCGCGAGCACACACCATACGCACTCTGCACGAGTCAAGGAAAGGCAGGGAGGCGAGGCAAGCTTAGGATCGCATAGACGCTAGTAATTCACCACTAGTACTAGGTACTACTACCACGTAGACTACAAATGGCCGCACGCGCCGTCCTCCACGCCGTCTAGTCCAGCCGGCTTCACTACAGCTACGCGTCCCTACACTATGAAGAAAGAAAATAAAATAGAAAAAGAAATACACCGTCGCTTCGACGTTCGCCCTATCGACGCCTGCGAGCCCCAGCAGCACGCGGGGTGTGGGGCTGCGGCATCTAACGGCGAGAGCGCTCAAATCAGAAAGCCAAGACCTCGCGCAGAGACGAAAAAAGTTTTAGTTTGTGGGCGGGATCGAATTCGTGTGACGTCGAGCCGGGGGGGGGGAGAAGGGGGGGACACCTGCTACCTACTTGCTACAGGACCTACGCAGCTCCGTGCGTACTCTGGGCGTGAACTCACCGCATCGAAAAAGGAGAGAGAGCTAGATCACTTCACAGCAGCACAAGGTTCCGCGGTCACGGCGCACGATTGCAGCTTAAGGGGGGGCGCGGGGATAAAATAAGGCCGGCCCGATGATGCGGCCCTGCTAATACTAGTATTGGAACTCTAAGAATAAAAGGGGAGGAGGGGCGGGAGGGTTGGCTCCGTATGAGGGGAGAGAGGAGGGAAAAAGAAGGGGAAAAGAAGTGGAATAGGGGAAGTGAAGAGGAAGAGAGAGACAGAACGGCGAGGAGGAGGAAAGATACTCCCTACGCCAACGTATGTAGGCATGCGTGCCTTCGGGAGAGACGAACGGGTGTGGGCCGTTCAAGTCCGCCGGGGCAAACAGGAGAAGAGTAGAAGAAGAAGAAGAAAAAAATCCAAGACGCGTCTAATAAAACCCGTACGCCAGCCATGTATGCCCTCCCCTTGCCTCCCTTTATCCCCCTCCCCCTTTGCTTTCTCTCTCTTTCTCACTTGCCCCGTAACGGCGGGCAGCATCACCTACCGAAACGAGGTTTAAAAAAAACAAGGCAACCCGACATTGCGTGCTCGCACAACCTCGATAGTATCGCACATTCCCTCCACCTATCAGCCCTCCGTAGCAGAGTATTAACTCAAGACTTCTGGCGAAGCCGTTGCAGACCCTAGAACACGGAAACTCCGGGAAAATATAAAATTGTCGTGACGTCGTGACGTGAAATCCATGGCGCACCACCGGTAAGGCGGCAGCGAGGAGGGGCGGGAAACAGGATGCGCCCCCCGTACTCTCACCCTAAAGCCTCTTTCCGGGCACGAAGATGAATAGGACGCAAAGTGCCGCATCGAAGATTGCTGTGATGGCGAGAACCATGAGCGAGCGCTTGATGATCAGCTTGCGGACGTACGGCTCTCGGATGCGGGAGAAGTTGAACGGCGTGTATTCGGTAAAGCCGAGGAGTCCCATGAAGGGGTCGAGGGCGTACTGGTACGAGGCCAGGAAGTATACGCCGATGGTGAATGGCAGGATAACCTATATTTTCGGTTAGCGAATAGTCCCCACACGGAAATGCGGGTGATGATAGGCGGCCACGTACCCAGCATCGCGTCAGACGGGCATAGTCGAGGAAGATCAGGATGAAGCCGGTCCAGAATCCGCCGAAGAGGGAGATGAGGCCGATGATCAGCCTCGCAATGATGGTAGGGGGAATCAAGTTGCCCAAGGCACGGGCGCGCAGGAAGCCAGGGAATGCGTCCCTCTCCATAGCCTGGAACACATAGTCTTTGGCTGCATCAAAGACCTCCGGGTCGTCGCGTCCGTTGTCCTCGATCTCGCGGGTGATATCGGTCGTAATCGAGCCGGGCAAGGTGATCTCGCGTTCGGCGCCGGGGAGCACGAAGGTGTAGAGTATCTTCTCTACGGACGCGCGGAGATCGGTGCGAGCGACAGTGTGCTCCGGTGAGTTTGAGTCGGTGATGTGATGGGGCGTGCTGCCTTGGGTTTTTCGGTCTCGGCTGCTAGCCGGAGAGTCGTGGATCCCGAGGCTAGGCTGATCCCGAAGGAAAGCAGACATCTGAGCGTCCTGCTCCCTCTCCTTCTCGCTGGGGTACGCTGACGGTCCGGCAGCAGGTAGATCGCCCAGGTTATCCAAGGCTTCCAGAACTCGCGAAGACCGCCTCGACTCCTGCTCCAAGTCGGGGGTACCAATCAAGACCGATCGCCGAAGTTCCCGAACGTAGTGACGGCACAACGACATATGCTGGGCCACATCAAGCCTGTCTTCAGTAAGCGAACTGGACTTGCGATCAGCGCGGTAAGGGACCATACCAGAAGTCGAGATAATCGACCGATCGTTGCTGGTCACGCATGTAGATGTAGAACGAGAACAGGTCGACAGGAGGATGCGTGCGACGGCTCAGGACCTCGAACAAGGTCGGCAGCCGGTTTCGCGTGACATCAGGGAGGGGCGTCGGGATATCTCGCGGCGGCAAGCTGAGCCCGGGTTCGGCCATGTTGACGGCTGGTGAGATGAAGTTGACGGGTCGCGAAGATGGGAGTGGATCGGCGAGAAGATTGAAGGTATTGACGACAAGGGACGTGTCGTGAGAACGGTCGCAGGGTAGATTCCCCGCGTCTCTCTCCCTTACTCTCTGTCACTCTCCTCGACCGCGAGTGTGATGATATCGGACCAAGAGGGGGGTGACTCTGTGCTGGTTGGTCAGGACGGGACGGTCGGGCGGGATTGGTTTCTCGGTGGGTAAGTTGTTAGAATCAATCGCATCGAATCGACGAATCAGTCTAGGCAGGCTGGTTCACGCAGCTGGTCGAGGTAGAAACGGGAAAACGAGTGGAACTGCGCACCGCGCAAGGTGTGCTGGTTAGGAGAGAGGAAGGGGGGAGAGAAGAGGCCGGCGCAGGAGGGATGAATTGGGCGTCGAGGCTTGAAGAGGGCAGCTCGGGGAACAAATGGGGCGGACAGCGGCGCACTGGAGGTGGGCTAATAACGAGTCGCTGGCTGCGAAAATCCTGCCTTACTGGTCGGGTCCCTGCCTGGGCCTGTCACCCGGCACCCAAAGTGATTTATGGGAGCCCCGTAACCGTCCAACGCAGCAGGTATCCAGATACACGACGTTCCACGCGAAAACCAGTTTCTCGGCGGGCGGAGACCAAGTACCGAGTACACGGTCACACCAGTACGCGGCCCATCAAACCGTCCTGCGGGCGGGTCCGGTAGCATCCATCCTGGTCTACATAGGTACCTGTATGTAGCCAAGCACAATCGTGTACTCTGTCAATGTATGCATAGGTTATCATCTACGCTATTAGGCAGTGCCAGTCCATACCACCGGCCAGGACAAACAAATGTTTCGCTCTCAGCCTTATTCTGTATGTATGAGTAGATGCACCATCCCTCGAATGCCTCGGGCAATCAACCTGCCTCCGTGCCTCTGATATGGTACGAAATAGATACAAATAGTTTTCATACAATGGGTGGATGTATTACGACAGCATCCACCCAAATTCGTCTGGCGTCAATCCGCCATCAGTAACGTGTACAGCTGGTAGCACGCATTCTAGGTAGCGATACCGTCCATTACGTGTATGATCGCCCACCTGTGCCACACTTCGGAAACACCTTCGCCCGTCCCCAGGGAACGTCTCCCCATTCCTCCAATGATCCTGCGACGATCCTGTGGAGCGCAAGCCACACCCAGCCACACACACTTCCCTTGCGCTGCACCCAGCCAGTCTTGATTGGCCCGCTTAGCCGAGCTTTCTCCACTGGTCCTGCCCTCACCTGCTTCCCACATCGGTGCATCTTGAATTTTCAATTTCGCATTGGTAGCATTGGCAGCGAAACCGCAAAACACCACCAATCTTTCTTCGACCACCGACGCAGACAACATCCCACCCGCCAGCCAGCAAGTCTCCCCTTCCCGGTCTCCGTTTCCCGCTAGAATTATCCCCAAACAGCAATCCCCCTTTCGCCAATCGCGTAGCCAGATCTAACCGTCGTCGCTCGATCAGATATGTCATCGAAAGGAAAGAAGCCGGCGACCAAGTCGGCCATCGAGCAGGTCGTCTCGCGCGAGTACACCATCCACCTCCACAAGAGGGTACGTCCGCCGCTCGAGACGCCGGGGGCGATGGACGGGACGAGGGAATGCTGATGGGACGAGTAGCTGCACGGCGTCACTTTCAAGAAGCGGGCTCCCCGCGCCATCAAGGAGATCAAGGCCTTCGCGCAGAAGGCGATGGTATGGCCTCCCTACAACCCCCCTCCCTCTCCCTCTCCCCGGAAACTGCCGATTCACCCACGTATACCTCCCCTTCCGGATTGTACTTGGTTGGGACGGTGGAAGCGGAAGGGATGATAATGGAATGGTTTTGCTAACGTGATTTTCTCTTCCCCTTTTTTTCTCTGCGCAGCAAACCTCGGACGTCCGCATCGACCCCCAGCTCAATAAGAAGGTGTGGGAGAGCGGCATCAAGGGCGTCCCGTACCGGCTCCGCGTGCGCATCAGCCGACGACGAAACGACGAGGAGGACGCTAAGGAGAAGCTCTACAGTTACGTCCAGGCCGTCAACGTGAAGAACCCTAAGGGCCTCGTCACGATCGTGGTGGAGGAATAGAGGCGGCAGGCGGGCGACGGCATATCGCGGCAAAGAAAAGAGAAAGAAAAGAGAAAAAGCAGCTTCGTACTTGTTTCGTTGAGATACCGGCTAGGTTCGTGAAGGGCATGGTTTCGGAGTTCCTTCTGGCTTCATGACATTTAGATTCACTAGTGGATGAATCAAGACCCGTGAACACAATAAGCCTGGTGCCGTTTCCAGCTCCTGTGCACCCATCGTGTTGCCCGTAGAGACGGAGTCGTTCTACACATCCGTGGGTAAAGACTTATGTCGCACGGCACGGCAACCCGGTCACATCACGACGCAAGGCAGGAGACAAGACTTGGAGTTGAGCATAATATAGAAATGCAATCGTGTTCTCGTCCATATGTGCAGACGACAGAGGCCGTCCCTAACCCCTTAAAAAAACACCGCCTGTAAATGCAACGTATAGCGTCCGCGACAGGCAGAGACAGCATCCTCGCGGCCTCCATCCCATCCACAGTCCAGCCACACTCAGGCTACCGACTCCGGTTCTCCAATGCTATCGGGGCATGCGACTCCTCTCCCGCCCAGGGGGGTCCCGAACCTGCCCAGGATACGGCCCGTCGAAATGGGGCGGGGAGGGTGTAAAACGCATGCGAGAAAAAGCGATGCTAGTCATCGTCGTAATCGCGCGGCTGCCTAGTCGTCGTCCACGTCGCGGTGGCGGCCCAGGACCTTCTTCTTGAACTCCTCCGCGTCCTTGTCCCACAGCTCGGCGGCCTCGCCGTTGAGCGGTGACGCGCTGCGGCGGCCGGCCGCGTTAGCACCGGTGCGTGCCTCTAGGGGGAGAGGGGGAAAGGCTTACTTGTTGGGCTCGCCGAGCAGGCTCTGGAGGCTGAGCAGGACGGTCTGGACGTTGTAGGCGGCGGTCCACTTGTCCTTGAGGATGTCGAGGCAGATGCGGCCGGAGAAGTCGACGTTGGGGTGGTAGATGGGGGTCTTGAAGAGGACGGCGGGGGGCGCGTAGGGGTAGTTGGGCGGGAAGGCGAACGACAGCTTGAAGGCGAGCCCGGCGTACGGCGTGTCGTCCGGCCCGGCGATGGTCGCCGCCCACGACATCAGGTTGCCGTCCGCCGACGGGAACGCCGACACCCCCGGCGCCGGCGACGTCATCAGCTGCATCAGCTCCGTCTGCAGTCTACGCGGGCGCACCTCTGGTTAGCGAGGCCCAGGCACGGCAGGTCGTCAATGCGTCGACGGGTTGGGCGTCTCGGCGACAAGCCAGCGCGGAGAAGGCGGTGTGTGGGTGGCGGTGGTTAGGGGGTGCCTCACCTCTTCGTCACACTCTGTGCGTCAGGCCCTCGCCGCGCGCCGCCGAGCTTGGCGGCCTGGACGCTGCCCGGGGCCGAGTTCTGAGTGTCTTCCGCCTCGTACTCCATCGTTGCTACAGGTAGGCCGAGTGCCGTGGCTCGGGCGCTTTCAGAAGGGGACAGGCGAGAAATAGGCGACGAGCAACGAAGCCTCAATCGAGGCTTGTCGACGAACTACTGTTGTGTTCGGCTGGCTGGAGCTAGGGTGGCCGGCAGAGTAAATAGATGTCAGAGGACGACGAGAAGAATAGTAGTCAAGCTGGAATGTGGTGGCTGCTGGCGTTCCAAGACAGCAAGCCGTGAGAGGTCGGGGGGCTTTGGATGGTTGCACAGGGGATTGGTACCGACGTATGAACGAGAGGCGGAAAGAGGTGCAAGGACGAGGAATGCCTACGGTGCAAAGGGGGTTGCTATCGTCCGGATGGTATAAACTATGCGTGTAGGTGTACGGATATCGTCTACTACTTGGGGATTGCGAAGGGAAAAGGGACGACGGGAAGGGCAACGGGGGAGAAGAAGGGAGGTGTGTATTGGTACAAAGGGCAGTCGGCAGGACCCATTGGTCAGTTTGGTAAACAAGAGCGCATCGCCCGCTGGCCGATGGCCCGGTCGGCCTGCGCCCATGGCAACCAGTAGCGATGCGGGGCTGCCCCCCCCCTCCCCCTCCCCAAGGCGCCCCCGGCAGACGCCGCAGTCCCCATCGAGCCGCCACAAAGCCTGTGGCTGGGGGGGACGGGCGACCTCCCATTAGGCGCCCTAGGGACCTAGCCTAAGGCACCCAAAGCCCCCAAAGCCCCCAAAGCCCCCCTAAAGGCCACCCTAGTAGGTACCTAACATCACCGTCGCCAGCAATCAACACATACCTACCTACTTCTTCCACTTATCCTCCACTCACAACCAGTCGCTTCGTCGCCTCTCCCAACCGGAAAACATTGGATCGCGACGGGGTCACGGCCTCCCCTCCGTCTTTAATTGATTTCTCTCTGACGCGTCGCAACGCGTCTCGATCCCATCATGGTATGTACGTGTCTCGAACTGTCGCTACCTAGTGCACCCGTGCCTGGAATGGCGCCTCCCTGTCTATTGCTTCGCGTTATGACGCATTGCTTTGCACTGTTAAGTTGTTTCTACCCATGCACCCGAGTGCTGTATGCACCCCCATCATCTCTCCACGGCCGCGTCGTCATGGCTCTGGCGTTTCCCTTCTGTTCATCTCATCTTCCCGCCCCATCCTTCCTTCACCCCACTCTATTTCTCCGTAGACCAAGCCAGCCAGCCGCGCCGTACTTCAGACTTCATCCGAAGATACAACGTTTCGGACCGTATCCGTGGCTAAACCATGTCGCAGTCTCAACTAGACCCCCTGCCGAATGACCTCCCTTTCCGATTCATATCCAAGACTATAGGCCGAGGAGCATATGCATCGTAAGTCCAGTTGCCCTAGGACATCACTTTTACTCTGCACCCCGTTACTAATCGCCGCGGTAGTATCAAAAAAGCTATACCCCTAGACGCGCCCTCGCCCGTCTTTGCGGTTAAGCTGATCCACAAGGGCTACGCCGTCAAACATGGCCGCATCTCGGCGAAGCAGATCGCCATGGAAGTGTCGCTGCACTCGCACATTGGCCAGCATCCGAATGTCATCGAATGGTTTGCCACGGGCGAGGACCACGTCTGGCGATGGATAGCCATGGAGTACGCCGAGGGGGGCGACCTCTTCGACAAGATTGAGGCCGACGTGGGCGTCACCGAAGACATCGCCCAGGTGTATTTCCACCAGCTCATCAGCGGCATAAGCTTCATCCACTCCCGAGGTGTCGCGCACCGCGACCTCAAGCCCGAGAACATCCTCATGTCGGAAAACGGCAACCTGAAGCTCGCCGACTTCGGCATGGCGACCATGTTCGAGTACAAGGGGCAGCGGAAGCTCAGCGCGACCATGTGCGGCAGCCCGCCGTACGTCGCGCCTGAGGTGCTAGCGTGCGGCCGCGGCGAGAAGAAGCCCGCCACCGAAGTCTCTAAGTACTCGGCCGAGCTGGTCGACATCTGGTCGTGCGGCGTGATCCTGTTCGTGCTGCTCGTGGGCAACACGCCGTGGGACGAGCCGACGGCGCAGAGCTGGGAGTACCAGGAGTACGTCAAGTCGCACGGGCGCAGCTCGGACAGCCTGTGGGAGCGCATCCCGTCGGACGCGCTGTCGCTCCTGCGGGGCATGATCAGCGTCGAGCCCGCCAAGCGCTTCTCCTTCGCCCAGATCCGCCAGCACCCGTGGTACACGCGGCGCAACAAGTTCCTCGCCGACGACGGCCAGATCTCCGACCCGCTCAACCTGGCCACCAAGATGCTCGAGAACCTGCGCATCGACTTCAGCCAGCCGGCGCCGCCGGCGTCGCAGCGGCCGTCGCCGCCGGACGCCATGGATGTCGACGGCACCGCCGCCGCCGCCGCACCACCACCGCGCCTGTCCTCGACGCAGCCCGAGACGCCCATCACCGACGCGCTCTTCGACTGGGAGCGGCCGGCGCCGCGGGCCCTGGCCGCGCCGTCGACGCAGCCCGCGGGCGCGCCCGTGGCGGTCGACGCGGCGACGGCGCCGCCGTCGGCGGCCGACTTCTTCGCCGCGCTGGCCGAGGAGCCGTCGATGAGCCAGTTCTCGCAGACGCCGGGGGTGCCGCTGACGCTGACGCAGCGCGCGCGGCGGTTCCGGGACATCGTGCCGGCGCACTCGTTCACGCGCTTCTTCTCGCACGTGCCGCCGCGGCTGCTGGTGCAGCTGCTCGGCGACGCGCTGCACGCGCTCAACGTGCCGCTGCCCGCCGCCGCCGCCGCCGCCGCCGACCCGGACCCGAGCCCCCAGCACGTGGCGACGCTGCGCGTGCGCACCGCCGACGAGCGCCGCCAGGGCCTCCACGGCGAGATCCTCGTCGACCGCTACCCCCGCGCCCCCGGCGCCCGCGAGCTCCTCGAGGTCCGCTTCGTCAAGCTCAAGGGCGACCCCCTCGAGTGGCGCCGCTTCTTCAAGAAGGTCGTCCTCCTCTGCAAGGACGGCGTGTACAAGCCGGACGCCTAGCGGGCGCGAGAGAATCCGGCGGCGGACGGCGGCGGCGGCGACGGCGCAGGGGCGGGCGTGCCCGGGCCCGGGCGGATGACAGGGCGGGATCGGGCGGCTCCCGTTCGGGGCGCGGGCCCTTGCGTATAGGAAGTGCCGGTTTGGTAGATAAAGAGAGAGAGAGAAGCTAGGGTGCGGTAATGATGGTTACGGTTTGGCTCGCTCCAAGTAGTTCCTTGGGGCAGGAGTCGCACCCTGCGATATGATATACGACGGTTTGAGGGTTTGCTGCCACGGCTTCGCGATAGGTCGACGGTGTATTATTACGTACGCGAGTTTTACCCCGGTGGGTTAATGAGATACGACAGGTCGTGGTTAGACGCCAAAGTAGGCTGGCCATCGGCCCATGTAGAGGCGGTTGCTCCTTTTTGGGGTGTGCGGGATTTATGTATCGCTAGGAACTTCAGACGCCGCCGCGTCTTTTATCTAGATAGGGAGAGCATGGCAAATGCATGCCGGTTTGCGATCACTAGGTAGTATATAGCCAGGGTTGTTTTGTTAGGTACTAAGTACGTGTAGTATTATAGATGCTGCGATTGTGGCTGCACGTATAACTCGCTGTCGTGGGTGCCCGGCGACGTCTTTCGAGGGCGATTCGCTCGCTCGTAATTTAACCATTCTATCTCGTCTTCTTGTCGTAACTTGGGTAGCGTTGAGATTGTCGCCGGCGACGCTAGCGCAACCCGCGCTGCGGGCTAAAGGCGACTCCCGAAGATGGATCTCTACCTACATATTTAATTGCTTGATAACTCTTACCAAGCTATCACGTAGAGAGCTACCTGGACCTAAACATGGCTCTCTACCTCTTCTCTGGTTACTCGCTTATATAACTCAACTCCCAGCTCCCTATTATATATATATAGGTAGCTCACATCTCCTTTATTCATTTCCTTCCTACTTAGCTAGTCAGTCAATTCATCCTCTTCTTCCCACATTCCGTTACTCCCAGCAGAGCAACCTCAGTCCCTACGTAGCTCTCCCGATCTACGTAATACAAGCATATATCTTCGGTTTATCTTGGGTGCGTAAACGTAACGATGCTCCATAGTAGTTTCGCTATACCCATGCATCCTGTCGCATCTTTCTTCCCCGCTCCGCACCTCCTGGGAACCACGCCACATGAACAACTCGGCAACTTCTGAATCTACCGCGATGTCCTGCACGCCCTCGACTCCCGTCCGATGGAGGGGGGACGAGGCGGGCCTGGTGACGCTGGGTCGGTCGAACGAGGCTTGCACTCGTGCGCGAACCATCGTGCGACAGCCGCGTTACTTTGAGGGGCGTGATCGCGAGATCTTTCTAAATTCACTTTTCAAATCTCCCACCAAAGATGTCCGCCGAATTTCACTCGTGGATGAAAGCCAGGTTCTCTAACATGGTCGACGAGAGTGTGGAAACCTAAGGCACGAAGGCATGCAAAACGGTGCCTTGTGATTGATGGATATGGCAGGAGACGCACAACTGCTATATTTAAGCTAATATTTCAACAGCTGGCTTAATTCCTTCAATTTAACAACAACAGGTTCAGCTTTCAACACGTCTTGTATGCCTCACGATAGAGGCAACGAGGCCCTGAAAGCGAACCGCCAAAACGCACAAGAGTTCCCACATCGTTGTACCCGACTCAATCGATCACAACTACAACTGAATTGCATATGCCATCAATGTATCGGATCGACGACTAACTCCCCCAAACAAGTTAGCCTTGGACGAGCAATGTAGGTTCATTCAGCCCTATTTCTCCAACTGTCAGATGTATGCTAAATATAATCATGAAATAGGCAGCGTTTATGGCTACTATCCTTTAGGTGACCGGGACACGCCACCTGCAGAAGGAGACGTTGAGGTGAGTGAGGTATGGTGAGACCACGGGGTCCTGTGCTTACCAATATATGTTGCTTAGGTTTCTGCTAAACCAGATAGCGGTTGGCCACTCCATGCTCTTAGGGTCATCGATGCGCCAACTGAACAATGTCGATCCAAGATGGGTGACGATTCTGTCATCTATCACCACCGCAATCTCCTCCAGTGTGCCCATATAGGGGCTCGAGTAGCCGCTCTGAGTACGGATATGTGCGTCACAGATATCGATGCAACCATGAAAAACTTTTAGCCGGCCAAAACAAAAGTAAGACTCACTATAAACGCTTCCTCCATATCATTCAGTTCCAATCCGTATGTTGTCTAGCTAGTATACTTATGCGATCTTAGATTACATAGCCAAATCCGGCCGGCAGGTTAAGAAGAAGGATGCGGATATCACGTCATCGGGAACTATCATTCCAAAAAAGGACGCCCGGCGCACCATATCTGGACGTGTGGTAAAGAAACAGACAAATCCTTCACGTTCCAGAGGTTTATCTTCTCGGGCCGGAAAATCTTCCACCTACGTAGCCTTTCCGATGAGTATTTATATGGGTCTCGCACCCAGATTTTCATCGTAAAATCTCAATCCTGTAGATATCACCACCTACAGCAATTCACTGGTTTCTCGATATGCCTTCAATTGCCATCACCATCTAATCTTGCCTTTTCGTTTCCCAGCTGCCGTTTCAGTTAGCCGATCAACTGATTACAGCTGCTTGCAGCTGTGATCTAGTTCGATCGGTACTGGGCCAGTTGTTGACAGTTAGGTAGACCATTGCCCATACGGGTCTCCTACAGCGTTGCCCACGCTGCTCCTCTTCGGTACTAAGAAGGTAATTATGTGCTAAGCCCTGGTACTAACCAGGGCTCTACTACTAGGTATAGCCTATTGCATTTTTTTCCCAGATGTAGATATGCGACTCCGTAGCCGACGTACCTAGGTACGGGAGCCTGTCAATGGCCGGGGTTTTATTTCGCTACCTAGGTAGGTAGGTATACTCAGAAAAGCATTTATCTACGCTGTACCCCCGATACAGGTCTGAATAACCCTGGATAACCTGCCAAGTCTCTAATCTCTCCGATGCGCTGCAAGGAGTAGGTAAATCTCCGTCAAGCTTCATTGTGGTAATTCGATAGTGCCGCGTCGATTCTACTTCGATAACAGGGGTATCCACGACCGGTGGTTGAGAACTCTATCGACGTCAGCCCGCTGGGCGCGATCCCGTTGCCTCATTGCGAACTGATGTCGCAGCATCTTGGCAAGTATATCGCCGACTACGGCAACAGCCATTAGCAAAGACCGAAACCTCCTAGGTAGGTAGGTATATTAAGTAGGTAAGTGGTCGCTTACGATGTACGAAGTGCGGGTTTGGATCTGCCGCCCCGTGGTTGAAGTAGTGCGTGTAATCGTCCAGCAGCCTGTCGATGGCTCCCTCGTGCCTCAGTTGAAAGAGCGGCCGGACGGCTGTGTACTGGTCCCCGGGACGCCATGGGTTTAGCGGATACGTGAACGGGTGGTATCCATACGTCAACAAGAATCCAATACATCCCATGGACCATATGTCAGCTGAGTGGTCGTAGCCGATCATTTCGCGCTCTGGAGCCAGGTAATTAAGCGTGCCACCAATACCCGGCCGGGCCGGCGACATGTCATCCGACCCGAGGTACTGGGCTTGGCCGAGGTCAAGGAGCACCGCTCTCCCCCTCGATACCACTCCAATATTGCTTGGCTTTATGTTGCCGTGGACCCAGCCGTTGTCGTGCATGAATTTGAGACCCAGCAGTGCTTGACGGAAAATCGCAGCCGCCTCGATCGCCATTCCTTTGAGTCCTCTGTTGGGACCGAATTTAGCCCAGTGCCGTGGTGTTATCGTATATTAGGTAGTGTGCTTGTGAGATCGACTTACCCGACGATCCCCTCGTCCGCTAGCGCGTGCACTGTTATCGGCGCCATGGGCTCTAGGACGAGGCAAACTTCATCGAAGATAAAGCTGACCGCGTTCTTATCTTCCCTGGGGTCGATGGTCTCCTTTAGTCGAACAAGTCGTCCGCCGTCGTTGTGCTTCTCTGCCAAGGCTGTCAACGCCTGGTACGCGGCAATTTCCCCGTCCACAAGGCTTTTCGACTCGGAATCAAGTGCCATGATCTTCACAGCTACGACCTCGTTTTTCCGGTTGGAGCCGAGGAACACACTGCCAGTGCTACCCTTGCCTCGTGGCTCACCTAGGGTCCACCGTCCGATGGTCCTGGTGTTACGGCGTGGAGTCGGCATGCTGAGGAAAGCAACGGGCGGCGTTGTTATGTTGCCAACCATGTACTCTCGCCGCTTGCCTATAAAGCTGTTTGACGACGCAACATCTGTGTACTGGAAATCGTATTCCAAGAGACCCAACTGAATTTTCATGTTGTGCTGGTTCAAGGCATGCAATTCCCTGCCGACTGTGACACCGTTGACGGCAAGTCTTGCCAAATGCGAACTAGTCATGCTCGAGACGAAGAAGGCCCTATTGTCTTGATCAAAATTGAATCGAACATGAGAGCTCCGGAGATTGATATTGTGGCGCTTCGAGAAGGCGGTGGTGCAGAAGAAGATGTCGGTGTAGGGTTTGTTCCCCCCAAGCCCTTTGCCTGCAACCCACCCGACATCAGGCTCGTAGGGCGGAAGCTGGAGCCCCAGGACGTAGCGTCCCGTCCATACCATACCCTGGTAGCGATTCTTGCTCTTGACATCAGTGTCGGAGTCGGACGAGCTTTCGCTGGAATTTTCGTCCTCGAGGTTGTCCATTTCGCGCTGGAACCGAAGCACGTCCTCGTGGTATCTCTGCCGAGACTCGACACTTATGCGCTCGGCAGCGGGGATATCCTGAAAAGCCGTCAGTGCGAAATCACGGAGTGACCCAGCCTAGGTGGGAAAACGCAGTCTTGTTAGAGCGATGACGCGGCTTCGAGGTGACGAACCATCTGGGAGTTTCGCTTGGTCCGTTGACGGCTCTGCAAAATGGCATCGTACACGCTGCTGAATGCCAATTTCGCGAGGGCGTTTGCGGGCTCGAGGGTGGCGAAGGACAGGTCCATCGTGGGTCTACCTAGCGATGAAGAAAAGATGTTGACGAGAATAGAGGTTGACGAGAAAAGATGTTGACGAGAAAAGAGGTTGACGAAAAAAGATGTTGATGGGCACCTGTGGCTCTGCGGGACGGGCAGAAGAGAGAGGAAGTAATGCCGCTGGCCTTAATACCTCAGCGGCAAGCACCAACGACGCGTCAGTAAGCTATTCCACGATCGCGCCCTCTTGAATCCCATTAGCGCGACAGTCGATCATCCGAACACGACTAGATTATAATTATCGCTAGTTTTGAGTTCTCCTATGCCGCTGAGCATTGCGCGTTCGGAGGACTTGCACACGAAGTTTTACACCTGGCTGCCGCAGAGGAAAATTCAAGGTGGTCTCTGTCCCATCATAGGTAATTATCCAGAACATATTGATCGGTAGGTAATTGCTTGATCAAGTCCCGTTACGACCCCCTGCTCAAGGAGAAGTATGTTTTATTTCGTCTATATAAATTATACACACCATAAACCAACGGCCTATGCAGTGAAACCGGTGAGAATGTGGGACGGACTGGGGGTTCGGGTTCTATTATTGTTTTATTTCAATAATTAATATATATCATGATTATACACTTGGTCGTGATACGGTCGCCTCTACACTACACCATGAAGCAGGAATTCCTACATTTGATATTCTATTATAGAGTGTAGATTAAACCGCAGAATACTCCTCTGGGCAGTTCTAGGCTGGGCCGAAATGGTTGCCCTCAATCCGGCATTCAATTATATTCACCCTTTGTCTGTCTTCACCTATCTGTGAGTCTTTATATGTTATTATCTACTCCAACAGTACGCTGCCTTGTATCTATGACCTCCCCTTTCGCATTAGCAGAGAAACCTAGCTAGTGTGTTCGGCCGAGTTATGCCTTACCCTCATAGGTGCAGGGGAAGTTGATGCTGATGGCGTACGTGAATCGTAGCTAGGGTATATTAGTCTGCTCTGCAAAAGAGACCGCAAAGCCTTCGAGGAAGAAATGGATGCCTAACTTGAACTTGGCTCCATAGTATCTGTTAGAGAAAATCAACAATGTAGTAAATAGAATGAAAGGGCCGTATTACAACAACGTACTTACGCAGCTACTGTACTTTTACTGTAGTGAAGCTCGGCCTGGTGGTCGTCTTAGAACCATCGACGATTTCCTCGGCCTTTCACTATCACCATTGCCTGGCTCTCCGTTAGACTCGCCTCCTATGGTGGTGTCTATTCAAAGAAATGCGTGCATCCAGTACGATGTAGCCTAGTTGATTGCCCAATTCCACGGCGGAGTGCCGGCTCGAGTTTTGCTAGAAAGTACTTGAAGCCTGGCATACAGCAAATGTAAAACTTTCACGGTTCTTCTCTGACATTCTCCATGACCTCTATTTATATGCGTCTCTTGCCCTGGGAAAATATTCAATAGTCTCACCTTCCGTACGCCTAAAATGAATGAATCGACTTCCTGTCAGTCACCTGTGCAGTCGTCTTTAAACCCCTGTCTTCCTATCTAGAAGAACCGTCGACCACGTAGGTACTTCAGACATCAAAACTACTGACGATGGCGTATATCACGGCTGGGAATCCCGTCTGGGACGACATTGACGCCGAAGCGGCTAGTGGCTATAACGAGGGAGCGCGGTTTGGTCGCGACATCCCGCTCTTCGTTATATGTACCTCGGCCTTTGAGGGACCGGCCGTCTACACCAGAGTTGAAATCTGGCGTACGATCCAGGCGGCGCTGAACGACTTTGCCGAATACAACCCCAGAAGGCTTGCCTGGGGCCCGGGATGGCCGCGTCGTCTTTCTATTAATCGCGACCAACGCCTACGGAGCCGATCCCTCCTTTTAGGCCCAGCCTTATACGAGTACCCGATGCCACCGTCCCCAAATGCAGACGAGGAGGATCCGGATCTAGATGCCGTTATCGACTACCTCGTCATAGACAGAGATGGCACCTACTACGGAGTGACGAGATACCATCGCGGCGAGAGTTCGGGATGGTCTACTAGTCGGACTTATTCCGCATTCAGAGCTGTACACTTCTATAGGGACGAAGACGGGATCTTGAGAGAATGGGAAACGGATGAGGACTTATTGAATGGGGAACCGACGTCCTTCGAGATGGACGAGCTGCCGATCAGTATTGGTTCGCCGATCTCACCCGTGCTTTCCGTCCGTACCCTCTTCTCTAACTCCGAATCGGCTAATTTGGACCGGGCCTGGGACCCGGAAGCCAATCTAGAGCCAGATGGGCAGAGGGAGACAGAGCATTCGGAACAGTCCCAAGCGGGCGAGGAGGGACGGGAGGGAGCAAACGCAGGTGGAGGCGACTGGGACAGTGGAAGTGTCTGGAACAGTGGAGGTATCTGGAACGTTACATATAGCGAAACCTGGGGCGACGGGGGCGACTCCTGGTGATCCACGTCGGGCTAGGAGGGTAAGGTCTGCTAATCGACGACGCTTTTTCACTTCTGACGAGAAAGTTCGCACGCGCTCGTCCTCCGCCGAGACAGGCACGCACGGCTGTGATCTCCGCTTGACTCTTTATTCTGTCCCTCTTCTCTCTCCGTTGCCGGTTCCGTTGTAGCAGATATGTTGTGTTAGGTAGATTGTGTTAGATACCCAGGCGCCTCGGGATGGCCTATTGTATTTACTTAGTAGGAGGTAGTTGGACGCGCTGAGTAAGCAGAATTGATTACATAACGCGATGCTATTTACCTCGGCGAATGGATCATTAACTTTGTTGGGGCGCTCAGATGCCTACGTCATGTCGCGTCAACCCTTTCGTCTTCATCTTCTTCCTCACTTTTCTTTCGTGCCGAAATCTTTTCCACGATGCTAATTACACGGTGATGCTGTATGCTGCAACTGCTCGAAGCATATCCTCGACGACTGCTTCTCCCTGACCCTGAGCCACTCTATACGCGGCGGAAAATACCGAGTCGACACATTTACTCAATCGAGATGCCGCCCAGGGAAGACCCAGCTCGTGGAGCCTCCGCTCGCTCGCCTATGCGCTTCATCTCCGTCGACAATGTTTTGCAATATGCCTCGGAGATCCCTTCCGGCCAGCCGCGCGTATCCCCCCAGCGTGGCCCCCGTAGCATCGCCGGCGTTCGAAGGGTGAGCGGAGGGGGTCTCCCCAATCTAGCATCGCGCACGGGACAGCAGAACATGCCCTCCCGGACGACGAGGATTAGCGAGAAGCTCGTGCTATTGCCCGAAACCGTCGATGGGACTGAGGCTACTGACGAAGATGGCGGGTCTTTCCCCGTCGAGGATGAAACGAGGCCGTTGAGAGATGAGGAATTAGACGTTCTGAGGAAAAGAGGTGGGCTACGCGGCAAGAGTTACGCTGAGCGGCTCCCGAAATTCGAAAGAACCCAGAAGCTACCCAGGCTCACGGCTTATTGCACCGCGCAGTCTTACCGGATGAGGGCAACTTCGGAATTCCTGCGCAGGAAGCACGATGCCAAGACGAAACTCTACAACGACTGTCTCTACACTGTCTACCATACCCCCCTGCTCTCCGGAATCGACGGCTACCGCATTCGGAGTCGGCCCATACTCAAAACCCCCGGCACGGGAAAGACGGTCCTCGATCTCGAGATCGAACGGAGCGAACGGAGCGATGAGCACATGGGGTACTACGACGAATACACCGACGGCGAGCGGGGTGGGAGCCCTAATCCTGAAAATGGCGGCTATCACTCCATGTCAGACGGGAGCGACGGGGACGCCGAGAATCCGACCCAGGAGCACCAATCCCCCAGTCCGATCAACAGACTCGAGCCCGATGCCAAGGAGTTTGCAGAGATGTTTTTATTTTCGTATGGCGTCGTTGTCTTCTGGAACTTTTCCGAGCAGCAGGAAAAGTCCATCCTGGCCGACATGACCTTTGCCGAAACCGAGACCGGGGAGGCCCTGGCCACTCGTCCTCTCGACCAATGTGACTTCGAAACGGAGGAATTTCACTTCGAGTACAATGCTGACGTGAAGCGGCCGCGGATTTTCAACGACATGATCACCCTCCTGCCCCGGTCGGATCACATGGTCAAGCTAACCATCAGCCACGCCATCGCGCAGAGCACGAAGCTCTGCCTATTCGAGGAGCGCATGTCTGAGACTATGATAAACGCGCAGCACGTTCCAAAGCGGCTTGCGCTCACCGGAGAGCTGAACATGACGAGGACCGAGATCGTAAAGATTCTGGGCCGTCTATTCAAAAGCCGGGTCGACATAAATCTCTGTAAGTGGTGGTGTTTTTTTTAAAGGAGAAAAGAAGTAGGAAAATGGATACATAACTAACGAGTTGCAACAGCATCGAATATCTTGGACGTCCCTAATTTCTTCTGGGACGCAGAACCTACGCTACACCCGCTCTACGTCGCGATACGCGAGTACCTCGAAATCGACTTACGCACCAAGGTGCTCAACGAGCGATGCCGCGTGTTTCTCGACCTGGCGGAGATCCTCTCTGACTCGGTCGCCGACGCGAAGATGAGCGCCATAACGTGGATCATCATCGTCCTGATCTGTCTCAGCATCCTGGTCACCGTCACCGAGGTCGGTCTGCGGTTCAGCATGCTCTCCAAGGGCAGACAGGGCGGCGACGGCGAAGACGTCGTTGGCCCCGGTGGCGCCGCTCTCCCCTCGGGGTGGGTGGCCGTTAGGTCCAACGCGACGCTCGAGGAGTTGAGACAGTGGGGCGTCAAGCTTAGCGAGGAGGAGAGGGCGGCAGTGTGCGGCGCGAGTTATATCAGTACAACATTTGCGGGCATCTAATTTTCACGCTCGCCGTCCCGCCTAGCGTTCAGCGACCCCGGAATATCGGCGTACGGAATTAATTGCCTTGGAATTTTATACCCGCACATAAAAGGATTCATGGCATGCTTTGTTTTAAGGACTGAAGGACTGGTTCGGTATCCGGCTACGATTAACGTTGTCTGATTATGGGCAGCTATGTACGTATGTCACGAATAGGTACATAATCCCATCCCATATTCCGTCACGGGATGCTCAATACATCATCCACGTTCACCACCTGCCCCGTGGCCATTGACTTGTTGGCGGCGATGCCGGTTAGGATGGAGAGGGCGCCGTCGACGTGACTGGCGGCGCGCATGTACTCGTCGGTGGTGGGCTCGCCGAAGAGGTCGTTGAGGAGGACGGCGTCGCCGCCGCCGTGGGCGCCAACGCCCTCAGGGATCTCGATCTCCTGGGGCTTCTCGAAGAGCTTGCGGAGGACGAGGGAGCGGCGGCCGAGGGCGCCCTCGGCGGCTTGCTCGCCGCCCGAGTTGACGTAGCTGTTCTCGACCACCTCGAGCTCGAGGCGGCCGGCGGTGCCGTTGAAGCTGACGCGGAAGCCCTCCCAGGGCGCGTACGCGGTCAGCGAGTAGGTGAGCACGGCGCCGCTGCGGTACCGCACCAGCACGCTCATGGTGTCCTCGATGCTGACGCCGTCGCCGAACACGCTCTGGTCGCGGTAGTACGCGTCCTCGTGCTCGGCGTCGAGGTAGAGCGCCTTGAGCTGCGGGTGGTCCTCGAGGTGGAGGGCGAAGGGGTCGCGGCGGGCGGCGGCGCTGCCGCGCGCGCGCGCGTACATGTCGGCGGGGGCGACGCCGCGGCGCTCGGCGTTCTCGCGGCCGTAGAAGCGCAGGTCGCCCTGGGCGTAGACGGTCTGGGGGCGGGTGCGCAGCCAGAAGTTGACGAGGTCGAAGTGGTGGGTGCTCTTGTGGACGAGCAGGCCGCCGCTGTTGCGCTTGTCGCGGTGCCAGCGCCGGAAGTAGTCGGCGCCGTGGGCGGTGTCGAGCAGCCACTCGAAGTGGACGCTGGTGACGGTGCCGACGGCGCCGGCGCGCAGCAGCTCGTAGACCTTGGTGTTGTGCGGCGCGTAGCGGTAGTTGAAGGTGACGCGGACGCGGCCGCCCGGGTTGCGGCGCACGGCGGCGAAGATGTCGCGGCACCGCGCCGCGTCGACCGTCATCGGCTTCTCCGTCACCACGCTGCGGCCGAGGTCGAGCGCGCGCACGATGTAGACGTCGTGCGTGCGGTCGATCGTCGTCACGATGACCTCGTCCGGCCGCGTCTCGCCCACCATGCGGTCGAAGTCGGCCGCGGCGAACGTCGGCACCGCCCCGTGCCCGAGCTCCGCCAGCCGCGCGTTCGCGAAGTCCATGCGCGTCTGGTTCGTGTCGCAGAGCCCGACGATCTGCGACGTCGCCGCGTAGTCCTGCGCGATCGCCGTGTAGAAGAAGATGGCGCGGCCGCCCGTGCCGACGATGGCGTACTTCTTGCGCGCACGCAGCGGCGCCGTGACTTCGGCCATGGCTTCTGCTTTTTTTTTCGTGTGGTTTGACTTATTTGCGCCTATAGGGGATGTGAGTACGCATGACACGGCCTGGCTGAGCTGAGTCTACTGGTATCAAAGGCCAGTTTATCCCCTCTCTCGCAATGCGGATTTGGTGCTAGATAATTACCACCGCCTGCTAGACGGGCAATATGTTAGCTCGGGAGGTCTAGAAGGCGAGCGAGAGAGGTCCCCCGCCAAGGTTATAGCTATACCGACTAAGCCTCCCCGGTACCGCGCGATGGAATGACTTTCTGCAGACGAGTTGCTCTTTGACTGCCTACCTCCCAGTGTCGGGAAAATGACCGGCGAGCCCCACCGGTGACGAGTTGGAGAAGGTTGGGGGAAAGGTCCTCTCGGGTCCGACACCCCCTAGGTATATCATGGGTTCTGCCTAACCGGGATACCGTCTCCCAATCGAGTTATTGAGCTACTCCTCTATACACCTACAGCCACGCCCACACTTGCCCAAGGTATACCGACAACAAAATGGCTCTTTTCACCGGTGAGCGCTGCTCACTCGCTTGGGCTCGTCTCTCGACGGTTCGCGAGTTCCTAGTCGCGGGGTGATTTGCCGCTCGTGATAGATAGGGTTGGATCGCTTCCGTTAGCCCAAGCGAAACAGCGGGGGTAATCTTCGTCTACTACGTAGTATTAAACCGGTTCTTTAGCCGGGTGGGGGATGATCCGGGGTTCGTCTCCTCCCCCGGCTGGGACTGGTGTGGGGGACTCTGGGGGACGTGACCTTGCTGCCCATCGAGTTGTCCGTCCCCCAGACCAACCAGCGTCTCGGTTCGCGGGATCCTTGCACCCCCACGATGATGGGGGCCATCGCGCATTTATCTTTGATCGTAAGTTGCCGGTTAAAGGCTTCGACGCTCGCCCCGGCAGCCGGAAGTCTGCCATGCTCATCCACGGCTAGAAATCGAATGGGAGTGGTGGAAATCAAGAGAATCGTTCCCGTGGGCCCTTGGCGCGTCTGCGGATTTTGATATTCCCACCAATGGGCACCTGTGTCGAGTCTATGTGTGTTTGCTCGTCGTTGATGCCTTGTTCGGATATCGGTGTCTGACGTTGAGGTTAGGCTAAGTGGGTTCGCGTTGTGTTCCAGCTGAAGCAGTGTGCTGAACCGACCTATGAAGATCGGCGCGGCGCGAGGTTAGTATCAAGATAATACTAAATAGAGAGTCGGACAGACGATAGGTGCTGTCTTTTACGTTCTGCCGTACGGTGATGCTGCGATAGAGTAAGCTCGATAACTGGTGCCTTCAGCTCTCGCTACGTACTTATGCTTCTATAAGTGATGGCCTTAGATGAAAAGAACGGGAAAACATGTAAAGCTATACTCATGGACGGGGAATATGCCGAGGCAGGCCAACCTCCACCTCGATCTCTTGCGACTCCCCCAGTTCTCCGCAACAGGGGTCTCCGCATCCAGTTTTCCACTGCTGACCATCTACCCGGGTTTCTGGGACCTCACTTGGTAGAGGGAGCTATATTTCGCCTGTACCCTTGTTCGGGGGCCGACCGCGGCTGTTATTATATATAACCCTCACGGACGTCGTGACATTCGTCTGTCTTGTTCCTCTTCGCTACTCTGTATGGTCAACATGGCGAATGGGAAATCTACCCCAGCGGCGGCTCAAGCCGACGATGCTATCACGCCGGCCAGGGAAGCGCCCGCCCGGCATCCTACCGTCAAGCATATTGATAAGGCCGCCGAGTTCATCGCTGAACATGGCGAGGTCACATTTGACTACGAGGAGGAGCACCGAGTCCTGAAGCTAATCGATAGACGTATCCTTCCTCTCATCCTCGGCGCCTATTTCTTCCAGCAGCTAGACAAATCGTCTCTTTCGCAGGTGTCTATCTTTGGCATCATCGAGGACGCGAATCTCAAGTCTCTGGAATACTCGTGGTTGGGGTCCATCCTCTACTTCGCCCAGCTCATCTTCCAACCCCTCGCTGCCTTTATCCTCGTCCAGTACCCTACCGGTAAAGTCATCGGAGTAGCCATCATATGCTGGGTACGTGTTTGTGGCTCTTGTAACGTTCTTATCGCATCTCTTGTCGATGAGCACGGCTCCAGAAGTGGTAGCCATCGTTGAATATAAGAGTCTCAAATGGACTGTTCACGGACTCTTCAAGTTCTTATGAGTAGTAGTTAATTCACGTTTCTTATAGGGAACTTCCCAAGCCATCATGGCAGCGTGTACTAATTTTGGCTCTCTCCTGGCCCTGCGATTCCTACTCGGCTCCTTTGAAGCGATGATCGCGCCGTCCTGTTTGGTGGTGACGCAAATGTGGTGGCGACGTTCAGAGCAGACACTGCGGACTTCGTACTGGAACGCAATGAACGGCATGACTTTCATCGTCGGTAGTCTGGTGGTTTATGGCCTCGGCCACGTCCAGAGCGAAAAGATATTCCGATACCAGACCGTTTTCATTTTCTGCGGCGTCCTCACCGTCATCTTTGGCATCGTTTTTATCACCTTCATGCCTGACTCCCCTATGGAGGCCAAGTTCATGACGGAGCGTGACCGCATCATCGCGGTGGAGAGGCTGCGCGCCAACCAGATGGGTGTCGCGACCCGTAAGTGGAAATGGGAGCACGTCTGTGAAACAGCCCTGGATTTCAAGACACTCCTATGGTTTCTCCTCATCGTGGCCATCTCGATCGCCAGTGGCGGCATCAGTACTTTCGGTAACCTCATCCTCAAGGACTTCGGCTTTACCAATTTCACCGCCATCCTCTTTACCATGCCGACGGGTGCCATACAGGTCTTCGTCATCATCGGCTCGGCCTGGATCTCTACCAAGATCGGCCGGAAGGGCATCGTCATCACTGGAATCAGTGTTCTGCCAACTATTGGTACCATCCTTATGCTAACGGTGCCCCGCAACGAGAACAATAAGGGGGTGCTGCTCCTAGGGTACTACTTCGTCCAATGCTTGGGCGCCATCACGCCGATGGTCTACGCATGGTCGGCCCAGAACACAGGCGGTGACACTAAGAAGAAGGCGAGTTCCGCTATGATGTTCATGGGGATGTGCACAGGTTAGTCATCTCGAAGCCTCTTCTGTCTCTTTCCTATGACCCGGTCAGCCAGCCAGCCAGCCAGCCCCTGAAACGGTATCTCATCTTGAATCCCGTACCGGATCTCTCTACTGTTTCTCGTGACGGCAGGACTACACCTCACAAGACCGTATCGCCAACTAACGTGCTAATAGGAAACATCATCGGCCCTCTCCTATTCAACACCAAAGACGCACCGCTATACCGCCCTGGTCTCATTGCCAACTTGATCATGTTTGTTCTCGTGGGCATCCTCGGATTGTGCGTTCACACCCCACGCCTGGTCTCCCTGTTCTGCAACGTTTGTCTTGGCTAACTGGCGAAACCGCGTAGGCTCATCCCGCTCTATCTTATTTACCTGAACCGAGTTCATGCTAAGAGGCGTGAAGAGGTTGGCAAGAACGCTAACATCGTCGACGAGTCGATGGTAAGGAGGAAGGACATGCAAGAAGGCAAGGCGGTCGACTTGGACATGAACGTGCTGACTGGGCCGAGTCTCGAAGACGATAACGGTCTGAACGACCTGACGGATCTGAAGAACGAGGATTTCATCTACGTCTACTAGGGTCGTATGTGGTCATACCGTACCTAGTGGTTAGTACCGGGTTGTAGGGAATGGCGGTGACCTATGTTCAGTTACCTCCGTAGCAAGTGGTCCTCTGGGTCCTGATACTTACCGCGGGTTGTAATAGCAGGTATCTTCATCGATAGCCTGCCTCTGTAGCCAACGTCATGTCCATGGCGTGTCGGGAACGCTGAATATATAATCCCATATTGGATATAGAAGAATTTCCTGCATTTCGGTCCGCACAGGTTTTGCGTTGACCATCGCTTCTGACTATCGAAGACTCCGCAGTACCTCCTCCTCCCGAATACCTCTTATGTAGCTACGTATAATGTAATAATACGCATGCTATGCCATCGTGGTGTGAATTACAAAAGTCATGCAATTGAACGCAATCCCGCCTCCGATTTCTTCGCGACATCGCCAGCATTAGTCGACCCGATGAGCCAAATCGCAAAAGTTGACTGACTGCCGATGACGGAAGCCGCCGACGTATAAAAAGTCGGGGTTTCCCCTATTACTCCCTTCCTCCCCTACCTCCCTTTCTCCTATCCTGAATTTTCCCTTCGATACACCCCCAGGGAATACCACAGATCGAAGATCACGATGGACACCTCAACAGTGAGCAAAACGCTTCATCGGCTAAGCCGACTCAATTGGTGCTGAACCGATGAAAGAAGAGTTCTGGTATATCGCCTCTATCCCCTTACTACTCTTGGTGCTGCCGTTACTGGCGCCCCTATACGATTTCTCGAGGGACAAGGTATGCTAAGCAGATAAGATATATATTGCAGCTAGATGTCGTGGCTGATGTGCTATGAGCCTCCTCACCCTCCAAAACGAGGCTAAAGCACGATCTTGTCGGATGAAACTTGAAGGAACCGGATGCCTCCGAGGATGCGGACACCACGGCCCTCTCACCGGCAGCTCCAATAGCGACAGACCCATTTTCTTTTCAACAAGTCAGACGGGGTGTTGCACTGACGCCTTTGACGATGTCGCCAGAACCTAGGCGGCGGACCCCCATATCAAGTAAGGAGGGTACGGAAGCCCATATACACTAGGGAAAACCCCGTTTTTGGAGGTGAACGCCCCACTTATAACGTATAGGTACACGCCCCTATTAAGAGGGATAATACAGATTCGGTACGTAACCCCGATAATACGATATATGAATTGCGTGGGCACGCTGTAGGGAGATCGGATAGGAACAGGAACAGCCCAGATGCTGGCAGCTGGCCCAGTGCCGATCAAGCAAGATCACAGCTGCACACAGCTGTGAACCGTTGGTCAGCTAGCCGTATATAATAGTAACTAGAAGTGGTAAGAAATGAGAGCGCTTTTAATATAGAGGTATATTGGCAAACGAGTGAATACGACCTATATGGTAGTCCATGGTAGGAATATAGGTTGAAATAAAGATTGATACAATTCCTACGTGACATGTTATAAACAAGTAGGGAGATATTGTGGAAGATCCGGGGCTACGGCCGCGACGACTTCGTCATCAACGTCTCGACCATTGGGGCGCCAGGCAAGCGGTGGCTGCGGGACCTCGCGGCTCTCTACAACACGAATAGCGTCTGCCTAGGCGGCATCGCGCCGGAGGGTTCCTAGTGCCTCCCGGCCCCGTCCGTCGCAGGGTTAGATCACGACGAAGGCCACTCGCCACCGGCGGCGCCGGTGCTACGGACCCCCGTCGCTTTTGCCAAGGTCCGGGCGGGGCGACGCGAACCAAGAACCCACCACGAACACGGCGGTCCGGGCCACGCTAGAGATGGATTAGCGGACAGTGCTGCGGAAAATATGGATTTGCGTAGTGGATGGTGTTTGAGGGGCTGCCGTCCAGTTCGATAGTAGCGTGGGAAGTCATGTACCTTGTGCAGCTGGTCGTGGCTCGGTACCATTTCGCGAGTGACGAGAAGAGAATTGTGAGGCGGACTAGGTAGTGTAAGCGAGCGAGCTTGGTTCTAGGGAAATCAGCGGACATTTTTCCTTTGTCCCGGGAGCGGCTCGCGTAACATTCCGTGCACCCAGATGCCTGGCATCGTTTGTAACGGTTTTGTTCCATCTTACATGTCGCAAGTGTCCTGCTATTAAGCCAGCCACTATCACCTAGGTGCATGTAACATGCAGCCATCCTCCACCTGCTACAGGAAAACTTACATATTTAACATTGGCCGTGTTCTCTGCGTAATTGTGGTTGATATCATGTGGTAGGCTACACGCCTGGTGACAGCACTTGGTCACTGTTAGGAATTAACCCTACGTTGGCTTAGGGGACGAAGAGATCGAGGTCGAGCGGGAAGGATTTGGTCTACGACCACCCGTCTGCGTGATTTAATAATAGACCCTTCCCTTCCTCACCAGTGGATGCCGCCCTCTGCCTAGCTTGACGCGCGCCTCATCTCAGGAGAGCGAGGCCCCTGAGCGGCCACGCGAGAGTCGGCTACATGGATGTCGGTAAACCGGGCGGTGTGACGAGTCAAGTGTGCATGTCGAGGTGGCACGGTCGTCGCACGGCAGCGGTGGTCGTCGCGGAGGACTCCTGTGCGTACAAGATCGACCTGACCAGACCGGCTGCCTGCTTGGGCACTGAGATTGGAGGCGGGAGCGAAAGGAGGTGAGGTCGCGAGGCGTTCCCTGCTGATGAGACACGGGAGACGAGACTTGACAGGTCTCCCTGGCCATGTGGCATGTCTCGATTCGGCCTTAACGTGGTGATACGGAGGCGGCGGGCGCAGGCGTACGCAGGCAGCCTCTGCGGGTGTCTGGCGATGCGGCTCGGCGGGCGGCATGGCGAGATTATCCAGTAGCATGCGAAGTAAGTGAGCTGCGGAGCTGTAGCCTTCCAGAAGGATTCCACGGACGACATCCTCGGGCCTATCCCAAGCAAAGTCGACGGGCCCGTCACTCGTGAGCCTTGGTGGCGCCGTCGCTAGGATACAGACAGCAGCATGTAACCGGCCTCTCCTGATTACGCGCGTAAGCAACTTGCCGTGGGAGAGTGAAAGGTACACGCACGCAGGATATGCCTACGGAAACGACGGTGGTACATAGGCCATAATAGACGAGCGAACTTCTATCGGCGCGGGATATAAAGAGTCGAGGGCGAGGGAAGAATCGGCGGCAGACGGCAGGGTCAATATAAAAAGGGGGAGGAATCGTTATTGGAGAGAGTACCTAAGCGATAGCGAGTCTTGTTATGATGATAAGCCTATTTATAGCGATGGTATTCGTTGATACAACTATATCGTAATATCCGGGTTGGCCTAGGACTGATTCACGTGACTTTAGGCAGTGACGTCCTGTTTACTGTGCCGTTCCTACTGTCCCGCGTCTCGCCTCCCGACCGACACTCTCCCCGCCCAGGTCTGGGAATACCATCGGCGTCACTGAGTCGGTCGTAAATTGGCGAATTCTTGAAGTTCGGCGTCTTCGAACGACTTTGTATTCAGTTCCTGGTTTAACTCTCGTGGTAAATCATCCCCAGCTATGGCCACGGATTTAACCCCGAAATGGCACCCGCTGCCGGCAATCCCTGGCCTTCCGGCCCTGATGATCTCACCGCACTTCGGCACCTCGTCATACACACTTCATGTCACCGACCTCGCCAACGTATGGGTGGAGAGGCTGGGCCGAAAAGGCATATTGCTGCGAAGCCTTCAGGAAAACACAAGCATCGACTTGAGCGATGGCGACCCCAACCAGTGGGTTGTCTTTCTCTCAAAGCTTGACGCCGCCCTGAATCCCACATCGGCGGATCACCATAGCACTAGCCTTAGCCTGTCCGCATCGTGTCCAGATAGCACGTCTACGGGCAATCTGGCCCTCCACGTCACATGCGTGCTACCGGAGCCGCTCATGCCACTTAGGTGGCCTATCTACTTGACCAAGTGCCCCCCGGCCACTCTGACCACGGAACTTGTCTTGCCCCTCATCCAAGCACATCATCACCGGAGCTTGGAGGTCGAGAATCTGATAGCGAGGCTGAAGGAGAAGGATGCTGTGATCGCGAAGCTAGTCGACAAGCTAGATGCTATGTCGATGGGGCTGGAAAATGTCTTCAATTCCCTCCCTGGCAAGCGCAAGGCCTCACGAGAAACGGCCGAGGAGAAGGTCAAAGGCCTTGCTGCCTTTGATGAAAGTGACTGGAGATCGAAACTGGATACTAGCCGAGAGCCACCTTGGGATCTGGCACGCTTGCTTTCTACGGTCTTTGCCGAATCGGGGTTGCGTTGGAGCGCAGATCCTGAGATCAGTGCTTCCGATCAACTTAATGACTGGTGGGTACAGCTAGACTCCAATCCGCGTACCGCCATCAAGCCCAAGATGGAAATACCGAAGGAATCTCGGGAGACACCTCCCCGAGAAAGCAAAGCACCTCAAGGGAATGACGACGATTTCCAAGAGCAGACTCTGCCCCCACGCCTACAGTCTCATAGGCGAAAGCGTGACGCCTTTCCAGCCGCGGACGGTTCGACTGGCGAGGGTGGTAGTGCTGCAGAAATCCCCCAAAATAGTCTATCTCCCTCGAAAGAAAATCCGCGTGCTCGAATAGGTGTGCTTGGCGGCAGGGAGAGGACCGGCGATGAAACTTCTGCCAGCCGGTCTTCTCGGACCATCCGTGCTGACGGGGACGAAACCGCGTCGGAGCCCGAGAACGAGCCGGCGGATCGAGATGTCCCAAAACGACAGATCCAGAAACTAGGTACCATCTCCAAATCGAGGAAGCTGTCATCTTCGCCAGCGAAGGCCTCCTCTCCTATACCTCTGCCAGCGGTAGTAGGTGATAGTGGTGACGAGACGGCATCCGGCTCCGACTCTGACGGCGGGCGAGAAGAGCCAGCGGGTATTCGACCTTCTTCTCGATCAAGTATAACCCAGAAGAAGCCAATTGGGCTAGGGCGGATTGGTGGCAGATCCAGAGCAACCCCGGAGCCATCAGAACAACGGAGCGCGACACCGGCTGAAGAGGAGGACATTAAGATTACAAGTCCGACCAAGCCTCCTGGGCGGAAGCTTGGGGTAATCGGAGGAAGATCCAACGCCGGAATAAAACGCCAACACACAGCATCTCCGGCGAAACCGGCAGAGCCGGAGACTGAGGAACAGAGAGTGGAACGCAGGCGAGCTGACCTAGCGAAAGAGCTCGAACGCAAGGCCGCGGCACCGACGAAGAAGAAGCGGAAATTCTAAGCGACACTCTAGTTCTTGATCTTCTGGCGGTGGTATTGATACCCGTTGATACCCCCGTTCTTGGAACGCTCGAATTTGAGACGATATTGACCCTTACTCAAGGCCTAAGCATACTCTGTCCCTGTTACAGCGCCCTAACTAAGTCCCTTGAAACATGTGTTGTGCTAGATAGAAATTGCCTGTCCCGGGCGCTGCAGGGCCTTTAACTGACAACGATGCACATCCCCCCCCATGTAAATGGCTTTCGTGGCCTCTGGTATAGTATTATTTGGCGTCGCGGAGTAGACAAAGGTTATGTAACCTCGTGTCAATATCTCTCTAGTAAAAGAGGTAATACACGTATCCTCTATGGGAGGACAACCTACAGTTCCACGAAAACAGACACGGCGATAGAAGCGAGGAGGGGGTTTCGACACCCTCAAATTTGCATAGACTTAATACTTTAGTCACGAATTCCACTACCGAACCGGTCCTGGGCAACATCAGCAATGTCCTGATCCCGCGACTCCAGTCGAAGCCACGCATCCGACACGGCCGTACCCGAGTCGAAGTATCCGCGAGTGGCTTGAATATTTGTACGCTATACCTGCGTTTTAGTTGTCCTATCGATCTCAGGAAGATGAAACTATGTTGTTGGCGATAGACCCAGAGGTATAGTTCCAACACATCACTACTCATCGAGGCCCCTATGTAACCCCTCCCATGCATTTCAACATGGACGGGGGAAATTAGGGGCCGCAAGCCGGAATCTCGAGGAAACGTTACGCAACCAATCCGCGTATAGTACGGCGGTATCCGTACGTATATATCCGCGGCGCGGAACCCGTTGGTCAGTCATGAAGGGATGGGCGATACAGAGTGATACTTGCTCGCCCAACCAAACCCCCAGGAAGTGCCTCATACCGCCCCGTTCGTGCCTCTTGGCCCCGAAATGCGGAGAAGTCCTCGTCTGTCCCGCCTTCAATCTCCCCTCCTGTGTGCCAGGGGAGCTGCACAGAGCCGTGCGGATCTACGGCAGAGGCATCGGGCGCGCGCCACCACGTCTGGACAGTGAGAAGTCTCCATCTCTCGGAAGATTTCGGCCGTCGGCCAACCATGTACTGGTACTCCCCGTCCTCCTCGAGATAGCGGTCTGTCTGCCCGTCTACCGCTAGGTGACCTGGTCTGGCGGCACATGCGTGCAACCGCAAGCAACGCCCCGGCTGGTGGCTCCTGGTCTCCTCCGTCTGATGTCTAGGCAAACCCCTGCCCCCCCTCCCCGAGTACCTGGGTGTGGCATGACGTACGGGCGTCGCGAATTGTCGAAATCGCCCCCCATGCGACGGTCTGCCACAGGCCAGAACACGGGTCCCAGATTCCCCATGACTCGGTTCGCGAGCGCTGCGCGTGCCCCTCTCCTTTCCGCTCCGAGGCGATGCTGGGCGTTTTAAAAGCCGAGGCGGTCGTGCCCTCGTGCTATCTCTGCCTATCGCCCTATCTCTCCGTCACCGTTCCGTCCGAGGCGAGCGAGCGAGGACAAGGCTATGCCCGGCGGTCTAGCGGTGGACGACGACGTGTAACGTTGGGCACTAGCCTCCTCGCTCGCTCTGCTCTGCTGCTCGCCAGAACAGGCGTTGCCTATTTCCCTAGCCTTGCGCGACGCTAAGGGGGTGCGTAACGCATCTGTTACGTGTATATGCTCCCTCTATCACGTTGTGCGATGCGGCCAGGGTAGGCCGGCAGCGGTGCCGACGGCGCACAGGAACACAAGGACGTCGTGCTGCAGGTAGGTGCCCATGTACTGGTGGCAGCCTGGACCACCGCCTCCCCTATGAGATGACTAGTTGGTAAGTTTTCTCGCCTGCGTGTGTCGTCAGGCTCGCCGCCCGCCGGGAGCTTCACAAGATCGAAGGGGGAGGAAGGGAGGCAGGGAGGGAGAACATGGATGCGATACGTGCGTAACTCTCGCAGGTTGCGCGACATTTAGGATACACGGCTCGTAAACGTCCTCCCGCTAACCTCGTCGTGACGTTCCTCCTCGTCCATGACGCGTGTGTTTCGAGATTGCCCACGTGCCGGATGGATCGCCGGCGTGTCGATACCAAGAATCTGTGCACATGAGAGACATCGGATCGGACAGTGCCACCACTATCACTGTTCGGAAACCTCCGCGTCTCGGTGGGCGTACGTAGTTGCCCAACTCGCCACTATCCGCATCGCTGCTTGGCCAGGGGAGAGAGGGATGGAGGACCTTCAGACCCAGCTTAGAGGGGGGGGCGCCCATGGCTGCGCAGGTATATCATTCATACATACATACCTACCTGCATGTATACGTTACAGGAAGGGCGATCAAAGCAAAATAGATTATGTCGGGGGGGGGAGGGCCTCCGGGCCTGTCCGAAACCTCCAGCACAAGGCGACAAAAAGGACGAAAGCAGCGGCGGCGAGACCCGATGACGGACGGTAGTGTCGTCGAAGCCTTACTACCTACTACTACGAAGACGGTAAGGACTCGAGGGCTACCGGGGCGCGGCAGGGTAAGGGGGAGAGGAAGAGGGGAGGGGGAGGGGAGGCAGGGAGGGAAGAAGAGAGGGGGCCGAGCCTTGGTAGAACGGCGGCCCCTAGCTGTCGCATTTCTGGCGTGTTACACGGCAGGGCCTCTCGTGCAGGAGGTTAGATTGCGGCGCGCGACTGCGGCCGACCAACAACACGCCGTAATGGGGTGCGCGAGTAAGGGTGGCAGGTGAGGGTTCGTCGAGGGAAGGGGGCGAGGGGACGGTGGGAGGGGCGGGGGGGAGACATGCGCAGCAGCGAATGGGACGGAGGAGGCAATGGCAGACGAGAGCAAGGCAGAGATGTGAAGAGTTGGTTAGGGCTGCTGCCGTGCTGTGGTTCGTTCTGCTAATATGCTTCTTTTACGCAGCTCTGGGCGTGCCAGCGCTAACCACGACGCCGCCACGCGCCAACTAGCCAAGCCGGGTTGAGTGGCTTCACGCGCACCGGGCTGGGCTGGGCTGGGTCGCTAGCGCTTGTTTCAGAGGACGACGACAAGTTTTCTTCTTCTTCCTCTTTGGGTCATCTCACGTCGGGTCGAGCGAGCGCTCAGCGTGCACGACATGCATGTAGAGGGCTGGCTGGCTGGGCGCCGGGACAGGCCTTGCTTACAGGTTACAGGGTTAGGGAATAATAGGGGTTGGAGAAGAGAGAATGAGAGGGGGGGAAGACTCGGGAATTGCGCTGTCTGGGATCAAGTGCTTCTCCACGAGGCACGCCGCAGCGTGTTCCCACTTGCTTTTCCCTCCTGCGTCTTCTTCTTTGGAGCCTCCAAGGGTGTTGCCTGTTACTTGGTACTCGGGACTCTGCCCTCTCCCTCCCCCCTGGAGCGCTGGGCTAGAAGTTAGGGGGGGTGGACGAGATGGCGGGGGGGTATTAGGAGACGGTGGGGGCGAGGGAAGAGAGCCCAGAGCCGGCGGAATGTCCGGCGTCGAGGAGAATTGTGACGCGAAGGGCCAAGAGAGCCACCCGGAGCACGACGGCATGTTGTCGACTCCTCCGGCCCTGGAGTGGAGGGCAGCGCAAGATTCGGGCACAGCACCGCGTGCGTTCGTTGCTCATTTCGCGCCGTCGATCTCTTCTCGCGCCGGTTTCTGTCTGCGGCGGGCATTAGCGTCGAACTTCTCCCTTGGGTAAGGCTCGTCTGCCTTGGCGGGAACCGCGAATCCTTGTCTTGCGTAGCATCGTCTCGTCTCGTCGATGCAAATTTCCAGGGTGGTGGATCGGACAATTCGCGTGGTATCATCTTTGCAAGATGGGCGTGTTGGGTAGCCGTAGGTATATTGTCTCGAGGTATATCGAGATGAAACTACGTGTAGTGCTGCTGCTGTGCCTGGAACGGTTCTAATGCACCTCTACGAGTGTGAAGCCCGCCCTGCTTAATTGGCGTTGCATTCGGCAACTTGGTAATAACAGAAACATGTAGGTAATACTCTGGGTAGCCCCGTTACGTACACACGCGAAAGGTGAAGTCGATACACTGCCCAAAGGTAGTATCGATAATGCTACGGGGGCAACAAACAAGAGACGCGAGACCACATCGACAGAGGACACAGCCAGCAGTATCATTACGAGGCCGGAGTCGCGCCCCGGCCCCATTCGAAGGAGGCAAAATCGGCGGAGGGTGGGAGGGCTCTGCCGTTCTAAGCGGCGGCACCACAGGCCCGGCGAGAGCCAGACGACGTACAGATGATGCCGGACAGCTGGGCGCACATCGCCAACATACGGGGTTGGGGGTTGTGTGTGTTGTACCTAGCACTTCGCAGCTCGGTCGGTCGCCAATACATCGCCGGATCTTGGCGATCCGAGCCGGGAGGTGCCGATACACTGTCCTCTCAACGCGCCAATAACCCCTTCGCCTCCTGTCGTAATTTATTCAACGTGTCCTCCTGTCAGTCCCCCTCGCGAGTCCTACCGCTATTGCCATCTCCGATCCGGCGCCTAAACGTCGATGGGTCTTGCTGCTGCTTCGCTGTGGCGGTGCGCAAACGGGCCATCGCCCCAGGAGCGGGGCCGGGGTGGGATGCGATGCCGCGCGACCCCGTCGACAAGCCGCCAGGTGCCGCGCCCGCCGCTGCCGTCGAGCTACTAGCCGGCGCCACGTCTACGTCCGTAAATATCGCGCCGTCGCTAGGAGCACTGGCTTGGCTTGCCCCGGCGGTGCTAGGCCGGGCCCGAGCCGCCTCGCTTCCTTCCTCGCTAAGTTGCTTGACGAGAGGAATGGAATTCAGACGGACGTGCCTGGTCAACGAAACGGGGCATTTTGGGGGGGTGGGTAGGTAGGTAGGTAGATCTTTTCCTCGCTGCGCGTAGACAGCCTCGCTTGCTCCCAGTCGCCCGCGGCAAACCCTTGGAGTTGCGTCGTAGGTAACACAGAAACGCTCGGAGCCGGCTGTAGGTATAATACGGAGACGGTAGAGGTACGTGGCTGGGAGGATAGCGAGGAGAGCCGCGGAGCTGGGGGGAAACGAGAGGCAGCATGGCGGTGTTGACTGGGTCTCTGGCCATCAGGTATATTGCCTACCTTGCCTACCCCATATTTGTTGCGGGCGTGTCTAATACCTATTACCAGTCGACCCCCTCTCCCGTTCCCGGCGGGTCAAGGCACACGCATGCCCCGGAGCTGAGCAGAATTCCCCTAGTATCCCGTCGCCTGCAATCGAGATAACGCAAGCGACCAGCGGGACGTTTCCACCCTTCCTCTCTTTTTTTTTTTTTCCTTTTTTCCTTTTTTTTTTTTTAAACTTGTGCACTCCACTCCCACCCCATTAGACCTTCTAAGCATCCCCAAGCGCGGCCCCCGCTCCGCAGGGCGCGCTGCCGAGGACGCCAACTTTGGGCCAGCGAGCTCGATCGGCTGGGCCAAGGCGCCGTAGCGGGGGCAGAGCCCAGGGGCAGCTAGGTACCGCGATGGCGGCAACGCGCCTAACTCGTCCCCCCCCCCCCTTCGGGGCCGGAGAGACAAAGGAGCAGCAGGCCCCCCTCTGGCGCCGCCTAGCACGCGCGTGGGACCGACTGGCTGCCTGTTGAAGCCTGGGGAGGTGCCCGCCGATATTGGCTAGACGCCTATTTACACGGACAGCTTCTAAGTGGGGGTGCGGGTGACGAGATGTGCGCGGTGACGTTGGTCGCGATGATGGGTGGTGGTGTAGGTGGGTATGTGAGGGACGCTATAAATAAAGGAGGTAGGTAGGTAGGTAGGTAGTATAGTGACACGGGGTGTTGGACGGAGGCTTGTCGTATCGTGCACCGGATATTACCTGACACGGTTTACTACACTACGCAGTCCCAAGACAAGATAATAACGAGTTGTTCTCGCCAACTTTCTCCCCGCCTCCTCCTCTACACCTACCTCGCACCAGAGCGTACGTGCCCTAAGTAGGTAAGTAGGTATAGGCTGCAAACCACCCCCCCCCTCCGTCACGGTGCCACGCCCGCCCTACGCTGGATATTCCACAACCACTGCGGCCGCCTGGCCCGGGGCCTCGGTCTCGTCTAGCGTGGGAGAGGAAAAAAAAAAACACGATTCTTACCTACCTACCCCTCACACACACGCCAGTGACGTGAAAACTGGAGCGAGAACCGCCCGCCAGCACGGGTCCGAGGAGGGCCAGTGCCTTCGTGTCCCGTGGTAGGTGGGTGGGTGGGTGGCTAGGTACCTGGATAACAGCGACCTAGGTAATGAGTAGGTATACCTACCTACCTACCGACTGGCCGGGAGGGATCGTCTCATGAGCTCTTTGCATTAGTTAGGTAGGTAGGCAGACGAAAATCCCTCAGGCCGGCGCTGCCAATCAGCCGCTGGTGGTTCTCTCCCGGCCGTCTCGTTCGCTCGTCGAGTGGATTCTCTCGGTGGAGCAGTGCGAGGACGGGGATATTAGCAAGCCCCCCCCCCCTTTTTTTTTTCTTCAACTATTACCTACGTACCTGGCCTGGTTGTTAAGTAGGGATATACCTGCGTCGTGGGCATGGGTGTGGATGGCTGACGGCGCTGCTGCTCGCCGCCGCCGTCTCGCTCGATCAGCACACGACGCGGTGCAACGGGTGGGAGGTTCTGACCCTCTCTCTCTCTCTACGTAAGCCCCTGCCCTCAACTATTACCTATGTAGGTACTCCCTATAGTCCGCGTGCACACACACGTGTGACAAGCAGCACGACCCGGCCGCCCACCCGTCTGACAGTCAGCTGGCTCTCCGATTTCTCCGCCGGAGACGACGCTTGTCGATGGCAGCTCGACTGCTTCACCGAACAACACGTCTTGACGAACGGCCGTCCGTCCTCCGCTCGCTCGTTCGCGTCGCACCCCCAACGCCCTCGCAGGAATGCGGCCTGCTAATGCTGAGGAGCGCAGGCAGGAAGGCAGGCTAGCTAGGCTGAGAGGAGAAGCTCGCACACCCACTGGCAGGATCTGCAAGTCATGTATGTACGTGGGTGGTGGTAGGTAATATGTGCATGCGTATACGTGCATGCATGCTGCCCCATGCTCTTAATACACACTGCGCTGCCTCTTCGGGAGCGATCCACACACCCCTACCTCTGCGTTCCCCTCTGTCTCTTCGACCGGGTTGCCTCGTGCGCTCTCTCTCTCTCTCTCTCTTGGGATTAGCCGCCTGTAGGCAGACTCCTGAAAGAGAGAAAGAGAGAGGCACATAGAGAGAACAGGTCGAAAGGACCGTGCTTCGAGATCCCAGATCCCAATCCCACCCCGCCCGTCGGTTCCCCCCCCCCTTTTACCCAGAACGGCCGGCCCTACAGCACGAATCTCACTAGCGGTGATGTGATACTCTAGGTATGCTGAGATATTGCCGTTGTGAGACGCCGCTAGCGAGGAGTAATGCCCCCCAGGGACGTCATGCGTGGCACCAAGACCGCCTCGCGTGCCTCGTAAGGGTCATTGCCACGACCCGTCTAACAGACCACGGCCGTGCTCGGGCTTGCGCCCCGGGTGATGGAGAAGCTTATTCGCACGCGCCCACACGTAGGCATACATATGTGGTGTACCTGTCCACGGCCACACATACAAGGCGGGCCAGGTAGGCGAGAGGCTGGATCTACCTCCGTCGCCATACAGAGGTTCGGACGAGGCATACCTACCCAGTATTATCAGTTGGGGGGGCGGAGGGAGGGAGAGAGAGGGGGTCGGGCTGCCGTTTCGCGCAACGGGCATGGGTAGACGCTCCCAACTAACCGCAGGCGCACACGTTATACCTATATTATCGATGGCCCCCCCCTAGGAGCGATCGACGCCCTCTCTCTCTCTCTCTCTCCTCCCTCCCCTGCCCCCCACATATTAACATCGACAGCCAGTCAACCCGGCCACGATCGCTGCGTGGATGGGGCAGGTTAGGTTGGGGTAGTTAAAGCTAAGCGGCGCCGATCAGGCAGGCCGAGGCGGGGCGCGAGGGACACGCCAGCCAAGCCCAGCAACTACCGATCTACGCACCGGCAGACCGAGCGCGAGTTCGCTCCAATGAGCGAGGGGGCCGGCTCTCTGCCCAACCTCTCGGCGCGTCGCGGATAGATGATGTTATATATGCCTGGGTATGTACGTCGGTATATATATAGATATTAGATAGGTAGATCGCCTCCTGCAGGCGCACGCCGATCGAGAGCGGCCGCATGCCTCCAAGTCACGCAGGTTATTTCTCGGCTCCGCCTGGCTGTGTAGTTGTAGTAGTAGTAGCGAAGACGGCTCGCGAGCCAATGGCCGAGCAGAGAGGCGAGAAGGCGAGCCGAAGAGATACGAGGAGGAGGGCCCGAGAGTATGGTTGCGTTGGAGTCGCACGGGAGAAAGCACCCGCCTGGCCTGGGTAGGTATGCGAGGTGAGGTAGGTTAGGTAGGTAATGGTTGATGCGCTTCTTCTCTAGATAGCGCGCGGTGGGACAGAGAGGCAGGCAGACAGACTACTGCTCTCCGCATACGCACGCACGGCTGCGTTGGGTAGGTCGGTATTGTCTATAGAGCGACTGGTAAGTAAGGTGGTATCTAATATCACCTCCCTTCGTCGCTGATAATCTCCCCGTCTCTCACGAGCTGGGACCCCGGGGCTCGGCCAGCAAGAGTGAATGTAGTAATAGACCCCCCCCCCCCCGAAAAAAGGGAACCAAACGGGGTCAAAAAGACAAAGGAGACCTACAAGCTTCTCCGCCTGTCTGTCTTTGGGTGCCAACCCATTGTTACCCTAGCGTCGAAAGCAGACGCCTTCGTACCATCCACCACTTATCTTCTTCACGCCTTGTTGGGATAGAACTCCGCCCATCTATCTGCCTACCTAACCTATACCCGCCCCATCGACAACATAAGCGGGGACAATAGACAATAGTAACTACCCGCGCCTCGACGGCGGGGGCCCCAAGTCCCACACGCACGAACTGCGCACCCCCCCGCAGCATGTAGGTAGGCATTGCCGGCGCGAGAGGGAGACGTGTCTGAGAGCCACGCGCGAGCCGAGACAGCGCCCCCTCTCCGGGTGTGCATATACCTACCTACTATACCCGTAACTACACAGCCGACAGCGCTAGTCGCCCTGTGAGCGCGTCTCTGCGGTTAGCCCCATGCGCACGCCTCTACCGAGCCAGCCGGGGAAGAAGGAGGGGGGGGGCGTCGAGGGAGGCATGAGGAGCGAGGAGCCGGCAAGGCTAGTAAGTAGGTATGGCGTCGGCAGGTCGGCGGCGGTGCGCGGGCGCCTGCGCCGTCGGCGATTTGCGGCGTCGAGCGCCCGATCACGGTGCCGTGCCTACATCCCCGCTGGCCTGCCTAGCTGCCCCGTACATATTCCACATACCTACCTACCTCCTACAGACCCGTCCGCATACCCACGTACCCACGTCGCGGCATCTTCCTCGCCGCCTCCCCCTCCCCTGGCCTCTTTCTTCTCAAGGCACCGAGGAAGACCCCGGCACATCGAGCTGCGGCCTTGAGAGCTTCCCTGCCCTGGCCGCCTCCCCTGTTCTCTCCCCCCATGATCTCCAACAGGGGGGGGGGGGGGGCAAGGGGGATCCAGAAGCCGCACCCCCCTCCTCCGTAATCAAAAAAAGCCCTGTCGGTAAAGGGAACGGCCTCGCCTCTCCTCTCCTCTCTTCGACGGGCCCCGCGCATGTATGTATGAGTATGTACGCACGTACGTATCGTACCGTAGGTATCTACACCCCCCCCCTCTCTCTAAAGTGTGTGCGACCCGCAGGTCTGTACACAGACAGACAGGTAAGGTAGACAGACAGACAGGGCCGGAGAGCGCACCGCACCGTCTGAGACACACCCACCTACACCCCCCCTCCCCGTCCCGACGGAGTGGTAGCGAACCAGACGGCTGCGCGCGTTGACAAGGGAAGGTAAGGTGGTCGTCTATGAGTAGTCCCCACTCCACCTTCTTTTCGCTCGCTGCGCCGGTTCGAAGGCAGATCCCAGCATACGTCCCCCCCCCCCTCTCAGAAAAAAAAGAGCCCAGGACCCGAGTCTAGCCTCGAAGCGTCAGTAGTAATAAAAGTAGGTACATCCTGCGAGCGCGTCGACGTGGGCGCGCATGGGTGTGCTAGGGGCCTGGTGATGGACGGATAGGCGGATGGAACGGGCTTCCTACCTAGGTAGATCTGTAGACACCTTGGGTGCCTAATATCCCCATACTTACCTCCATACATACAGTCCCAACCGCTGTGAACAGGTTGACGGGCCGGCAGAAGAGGGACCTACCCAGCAGTACTGACGAACTAGTACCCGCCCGAGATGTTGTAGTAAGGCGGAGGTATTCAGGATCGCGACATGGCCAGGATGCATGTGGTGGCACAATGATTCATATACACGCAGAACGGGCGCGCATTCTAACGCCCCGGCGTCTTGTCTCCCACAGCTCTCCTTCCACCATCGCGGTCGGTCAGCCCCCCCCCCCCCCCCTGGATCCCTTCTCCCCTGTCAACTCCCCTCGCCCTGGGCCGTGTCCCATCCTACTCACTATTACCACTACCTCAACCCAGAGAGCGGCCGCTATGATGCCGCGGCAACGCAAGACCCTGCTGTCTTCTTCCACGCTTAAGCAGTAATTTTCCAGACATCAGAGCACCCCCAGCTATTCTCGCACAACCCCCCTTACCCAGATAGTAAGTATGTACCGTCGCCCGCAGCCATGACCCTGATCACCACTGATTACTGTTCTCGTAACCCCCTTCCCCAGTAATAGATAGATAGACAGAAAGCCAGAGAGACACGTAGGTAGACATCTCACCGCAAGACGGCCAAGTAAGTACAACAACGAACAGAAAATAAACCCCCGCAGTAAATACAGTAAATCGACATTGTGGTATCTAGATTTCCCGGTAAAGCAGTAGTAATCGCAGCCGCGGTATCCTGCCAAACACCCGCCCCCGCCCCCGAACACCACCGCACCTCGCTCGCTTCTAATATTCACCAGTTTCTTTTTTTAGTCGACTCGCGTTCCCGCCCAAGCAACCAGACACCACCACCTCCTCCTCCTCCTGCCTCGCCCTTCCCTGCCTCTCTCAACTCCCCAAAACTCTCTATGCAAATAGAATGTGGCCAACTGCAGTTGGCGCGTGTGCTTGTACAAAATACAGTGAGACGGGAGGAGAAGAAAAAGGAGGTGAGCGTTGGTTGAGACGACCCATTGGGACGCGTAGCAGGAATAGAAAGCAACGCAACGTACACGAGGAAAAGAAAAGGAGCTCTTAACCGGCGAATAAAAACGAGCTTTCCGCCGGCAGAAATCGACTACCAGACGCGAGTTAGGAGAAAGGGGGAAAAAAGCAGATAGAAAAAAACCAGCGCGAATGTCGCGTTTCTTTGCGCATTTGGGATTTATCTTGTAAAAATAAAAGAGAAATCTGGTCCCTCGCCCGACAATGCTGCCATATCTAGAGAGACACCTCCTCTTTCTCGCGTCGTCCGTCCGTCATGTGTTTCTCTTTCCCGGGCTCGTTTCCCTAATAATTTTCCGTTTCCTCCTCTTCCATATTTCCCATTCCCAAGTACTCAGTTCTATAGTTTATCGATAGAGTGGGGAGTGGCCCGATAGTTTATCTCTTTGTCCTGCCCCTTTTGCGACCCGATGGCCGCAGGGTAGTATAAGTCGGCGGTCGGGTCCCGCTGGGAAAACTAATAGGCAACGGGGTCGGTACGGTTCTGAGAGTTCTGAGCAGACGCATAACGAGGTCGGATGGACAGCGGATGAATCTAGCGCCGTAGAGGCATGGGCGTTGCGAGTGAGCAGATCTGAGAATAGGCAAAGTTTCGTCGGGATGTTGGGTCTTAATGCTCAGCAAGGGATCCGAGATGCCCTCGACCGCACAAGAATATCTCGGGAGATTTCGCAACGTGAGGCAATAAGAATGCCGATGTCTTCTTTCTCATGCGCCAAGACGCCTGGACAGGAACTGTGGGGTATTAATAGATCACGAGTTAACGAGTTGACACGGTTGCTCAAGCCCCCCCCTTATTCCAAGCAGCGCGTATCCTGCTCTCCTTCTTCGTAGTGGTAGTAAACGGTATTGGTAGCGATCACGGAGGGGGAGGAAGTTTCGTGACGCTTGATTTCGCAAATATCAGAACCGTTCGTGATATTGGGAACTCTGGTAGTATAGAGCAGGCAAACAGGATTGCCTCGCGGGCCGCGGAGTTCCAAAGTCGTATGTCAGCGTTTGTCAGAGTCTCCTCGTCTAGTTTCGTCGTCTAGTCTTTGCACTTGGAAAATAGCGGATTGTATGGTAGGTAGGTAATATGTTGGTGGTGCCATCCTGCGAGTGAGACAGGGAGAAGACGATGGTGGTATTGAGATTTTCTTTTTTTCTCCCTTCTTCCCGGGTTCCTACTGGTGATATAAGGGTATAGATTGTAGGGTGTTGGAGTCTCCACCACTATGCATTTCTGTTGGATGGCCTGGCATCCCGGGTACAGCTACCGGCATCTGTTCATAGCGTCGTTACACGGAAAAAGGCGAGAAGAAAAAAAAATAACCGAAATCAAAGAAGAACAAAAGGGGAAAAAAAAGGAGCAGCATAGAATGGCTCCGTCCCCGCAAGGGAATGGGGGTATCGAGTAAATAAATCACGGCTCGTAAACATTGCCGTTCTCTCGATCTTGCCAGTAGGCGAAGGAAACATTGCTGTCCCGCATCTCCGATGCATCGGGGAACATGCCACTGAGGCTTGCATTAATGATTGACGACGATGCTTGTTCGTGGCTTGCCTGCCCAGAACTTGGCAGTGGTTGTTGGTAGATTCCCGTCACATCTCCGAAATTATAGAAGCTGCTGCTATGATGATAACCTGCATGATGGCTTTGACTGTACTGGAAATTGTGGGGATACGCGAAACTGTGATGAGAATCCGTAGCCGGGAGTCCAGCGGGGTGTAGTGGGGGCGTGAATAGCATCTCGTTTGCAACCACTGGGTTGGCAGGTGTTGCTGACTCGGTTCGAAAGTTGGGCAACGGATACTGAAATCCCATGTGTTGTTGATTATACATCATGTCACGCACGGGGTGGTGCTGCGTAGTTCCTGTCAGAGTGGTCATGCTGCTGCTGCTGCTGGCACGGTCGGCCGCTACATCGTTCCGGCGTTGGATCAGGGTCGCCCTTCTGCTGGCCGCTTTAGACTTGCTGGCACTAAGTCCGCCCTTGCGGCCCGAGTTGGCACGTCCGGAGAGGTTTGCGCGAGAGCGTCCGTGGGATCCTAGAGCACCACCCCGACGATTGGATGTCCCTTTGCTGCGGTAACGCGTCGTGCTCTGCACACCTTGCACGGCCCAGTCCTCGAGCACCCATTCTGTCGATTTCTTGGGCTCCCCTGACTCAGTTAGGGGTTCTCCAGGCCTTGGCTGACGGTCTCGCTTGATAAATGCCTTTGTTTGATTACGTGACAGAGATCAGCCCCTGAATCTTGGCGCGAAATAGGGTTCGAGCCTTGGCAGCAAAAGCCAACTACCAAGCAAGCAACCAAGCAAGCAAGAGCGGATGTGGTGAATAAATAGAAACAAAAACACTTACGTGGTTCATACTTAGGTTGTGCCGGATGCTGTTCTGCCAGCCTTTATTCTCACTCTTTCCCTTATCGGTGTTCTCTCGGAACCACTGGTAGAGCTCTTGCAAGGTCATCGCATGGGTCTCTCGACTCATGAAGGCTCGGTGTATCAGCACGGCATATGGCTCTTCCGTCCTTGCTACGTCGTCGGCATTCTGCTGGCCCGCCCGAGCCGGCTCATGCGGCTCGTTTCCCGAATTGATACTATACTCGGCGCCGAGGCCCTCCTTTACCTGCGTTTGGTGCTGGGAGATCGGTTGGGGACTGGAGTGAGGTACGTCGTTTGGTGCGGCCTGTACACTGTGGATCGCATTGTGGTCGTTAGTTACGGCTATGCTAGGGTCTCCGTACAGCGAAAGCGACGCCGTCTGGTCCGCGACATCTTGCTCGTACTGCTCCGGCGCGTGCGGCTGAACAGTGTATTCCGAATTCATGCTAGGGTCGCTGAGAAACGAGCCGTGAAAGCTGAGCTGCTGCGTGCTAGGAGACCAGCTTTCGGAGCTAGCTATGGATGGCCCAACCGAGCCCCGGGCACCCGGCGGAATCCCACCAACGCCACTAGCAGGCGAGCCGCGGAAAGAGCAACGTTCAATGTCTTCTACCTCACAGGTAGTAGACGGTGGCGTGGCCCATATACCTTGCGACGAGGAGGTGGGGACTTGAAGTATCGACGGCTGGTACGACGGGAGAGAGGTGTTGAGGGGTGGACCGTACAGATCCGGCGACTGGGATGACTGGGGATGACGGTGCTGGGTAGTTTCACCGACACCAAGACTTGGCGGTTGGATATAATAGGTGTCTATGGTGGTCAGGTCAGCCAACCTAGCGGCTGCTTGTGCCGAACGGTTTGGTCTAGGGCCCAGCGGGCTGTAATGGGGGGCGAAATTGACGGGCAAGCCGTCGTCAAAATTAGTCTGCATGCTGAACCCTCGAAAGCTCTGTCAACCAGCGTCCGGCCCGGGCACAGGGGAGCGTGCGTTTCCGAATCAGAGGGTTTCAGCCCCGACGGAGAGGATTGTGTTTTGTGGGCAGCACGCAGGAGACGAGCCAGCTAGGTGTCGGTGACAAGTTAAGACGAGAACCACAAGACTTGGACTCAAGAGGCGTGCTCGAAGAAGGTAGGGGTTGCAAAGAGCGGACGGAGGGCGTACGGCACAGGCTGATAAAGGAAAGGTGGGTTGGTGGTGAGAAGAAGAAGAATGGAGAGTAATAGTATTGGATGCGGTTATGTGTTAATGGAGTTGTGTATGGAGGGGGGGGAGGGGGGGGGGGTTGATAATTTCGGCAGAGGTAGATAAGTAGTTGTCCAATTTGGCAACGGTGGTACTCAAGAGACTAGAGAGAACTTGGGGTAATCCAGGCGCTCCCACTTCTCGTCGCCCTGGGAATTCAGATGAATAAGAGGGGGACTGATGGTGACCCTAGTAACTACAGATAGCGCGAGTCGATCCCGGATGGCGGCACGTAGTTGGCTGGACGAGGGCGAGAGTACCTGGGTACGACAGATACAGGGGAGCTCCAGGCGAGGGTGAATGGGGAGGAGAGAGGAGAGGAGAGGAGGGGAGAAGCGAGGGGGATGTGGAGCGGGATACTTGAATAGAAGAGCGTGTGTGGGTGTGGCGTGGGAGTTAGCGATGCGTGCGTGTGGTCTGTCTGTGGTCTGTGGTCTGTGATAGTGTCGACATGCCGGTGTAGGTGGTGCGGGCCTGTAGATGCGTAAGGTGGTTCTACGTGTATCGGTACATCGATCCGAGGCCGGAAGAAAGGAGGGCGAGGCGAGAAGACCGACGAAGAGACAGGAAGTGGAGGGTTGGGAGGGCGAGGCACGGAGAGAGAGGAGAGGAAGACGACGACGACGACGACGAAGACGACGAAGGAAAAGAAGGCGAGAGGACGAGGGTACGTACCTGGGAGGCGGGAGACGGGCTTCTCTGCAATGATGTCGGTATGGCGACCCGTGGCGGCAGACTAGGAAGGAGGTCGAGCGAGGAGGAGACGTGCTCCTTCCCTAGACCCCGTCAGCACGCACTGGTCAGTCCCCTGTATATTGCCGTCGAGGGTATACCGCCAGAGGTATACCGCCCGAGGTATTCCTCTCTACCTCCTACAGCCAGAGGCGTATGCCTACAGCTAGAGGTGTATACCTACCGCCAGAGGTACGAGAGAGGTAGAGGAAGTATACGGCTAGATATAGGTACTTATACAGCCAGATGTATACAGCCAGATGTATACAGCCTCTCGTCTCTCGTCTCTCCACACAGGTACCTCCACCTGCTAGCCGGCTCGCCCTCGATGTACCTACCTACCTTTCGCTCTGACTGACCGACTGACTCCCGCCTCGAGGAGACAGGGCTTGCGCTAGGTAGATGTACCTGGCCTCCTGGCCCCGGTGCCCTGCCCTGTACTTAACCGCGTCGCTCCAGCCGGCGCACTCTTCCGTCCGAACACGTACCCTCCTGTCCCCTGTGACGTACCCGCCTCCAGCTGGGTACTTCCCTGGCGCTGGACGGGCGGCACGGCGCTGGCTGATAGGGCCGCCCCAGCCAGGGCGAGCGGGGCCTGACAGTGAGTGTGGATTTCCTGCCTCTGTCGTTGCTGGGTTGGCTGGTCTGGTGGTTCAGCGAGGCCATTGGCGACATCGAGAACTGGTCGAGCCCGTGGCAGATGAGAAGGCGGGAGGGAAGGGGGAGGAAAGGGGTGACAGGATGTAGCTGGGTAGCTGGTCCAGAATAGCAACTTACATGCGCGCGCGCAGCACAGAACCGACACCGGTAAAGCCGCGGCGGCCTATAGCGAGATGGCCCTGAGCATGGGACTAGTAACCTGCCAGCACATGGGTCAACTGTCCTGACGGCCGGGTTCCCTCTCTCGCTGGCGAGGCCTTCGCGAATAAATTCTTTACTCCTTCTGCTCTATTAGTATCCTTCTCTCCTTGCCCCGACGGCTTTGATCACTACCCTTCCTTTGCAAAACCGCCCTTCTTTTCTCTCGGTATATTCCCTGCTCGTTCTCGCCTCTTCTCTCCGTTCTGTCCCACCAGAAAGGGCACAGGGACAAGCTGGGTTCAACAATAGAGTCAGGGTGCTGTGGCGTAGTCGTGCCATCAATGTCTGGCCTAGACGGCCTTTTTCCTCTCGCCGTTGCACAACCACGAGGGCCGATGGCAGTTATGTGCGTAGGGGTAGCTACGTATATATAGATATAGATATAAATATAGGTGTATGTATAACGCCTACATAATATACATGGGAATAGACGCATCTGTCTCTATGTATGGGCAGGCAAGCTGGTGTGGGATGCGTCCGTAGCATGTGTGCAGGTATGCGGGTGTGCTCCCCGTACATGGCGCTCCATGCATGCAGCGTGTGTTTCTCCTTGTGCAAACGGATCCGCGTTTCGTGGGTAAAGTGTGTGTCATCCACAGCATGGTCATCGGGGATTTGTTGCTTGTAAGAGGCTCTAGGTCAACGGCGACGTCTACTATATACGCCGCACGCAGAAAAGGTGAGAGTAGGCATCGCCCAAAACTGCCCCTATGGGATTGGGTGGGAGAGGCGCGTGGATAGGGAGAAAACCCGGCCATGATCTGAGAAGGGTTCGGCTTCCCCTGCTGGCCAGCACCTTGCCCGCTCCCACAATGCCATTCTCTCTATTGCTCAGCGATGAAAGCCACCTTGAGCGTGCGGTGTCCTGCATAGGGGCGGGATTAAGGCCCCTTCCCGCCCCGGATGCCTGCATCGTGAATGAGACCATGGCAAAATTTCGCCAAATGTAACCAATCACTTTTCAGCCGTCGCACGCTTTGCCAGGACCTGCTCTCGCAGCCTTACTAGAATAGACCTGAAACTATCCCGAACGAGAGCGCCCCTGGTTATTTCCACTATATGCACATCATGGCAGCATCTTCTAGAATCCCCGTCGAAGCTCCGGATATGTAGCAGCCCTAGGTCAGGTCTCCCTAGGCGTAGGCCACCAGCGCTGGAGAGCTTCTCACCACCGGCAAGAAGAAGTAATAAATGCCAGTTGTCACGTGGAAATGCAAATGCCTACCCTTGCCCAATCTCGGTATCTACGCTAATATGTGTTTTTCTTCTCCTACGTGAGCCCAGTGGCGAGGGTTATTACAGTAAGGTAAATCAGCATTTAAGACGATTGGTGACCCAAGAAGATGGAGAAGCCAGCGCGCCCTAGTGCCTAGAATATACCCCCACACGCATCACATTTCCAGGAAGCCGAGAAGAGCAGGATCAGTGACTGTGACCAGTACCGGACTCCCGGTGCTGTGTGTGTGGGAAGTACCAGAAAATGTCTTGTATCGCTCCATAGCCCATAGGTAGGTACCTCAACAAGAGACACCGCGACTGGGGAGGCTAAGCAGCTCTACGCACACTTGTGTCACGGAGATGGAGGCACGGTATGACTGGACAGTATACATTCCGAATGTCAGATTGCCCATACCCAGGCCTCGCTGTCCGCCCACTTCTTCAATAACAATGTCATTCTCAGTACCGTGCACAATACAGTATTCCCACTTCCCAACACATTGTCAAGTGACCAGAAGCGTTGGAATCCATACTGTGTACTTCCCAGCATTTGTTTGCCATCGGCGAAACAAGTGAATCCAACAAGGCTAAGCCATCTTTGTTTTCTCTCTCTACTTTCGGTAATAAATCTGTGCGTACAGTATTAGTACTCATCATGGTGTGGTGGATTCGATGAAGAAGCGGGGGCCCTTACCTTCTTAAACTGGAAGTGGAGTTGAAGAATACCCTTTGAATACGGAAGGTCAGCTGAGGCATATTCTCCTATGTGATTCAGACCCCCAAGACTTTCGCTGTTGTGTCATTATAATCGACGGTGTTGCGCCTTGCCGGCCAAGAACGGATGGTGGAGAGAAGAGGAGAACAAGACAGACACTGAGGGTACGAAAGAGATTATGAGAAGCATTACCTTGTCAAAGCTACTCTTAAAGCCGCGATCTCTCTTAGCGCTATAATCCCACTCCCGATCCACGATGCGGAACGCGATATCCTCGTAGGGCGGGCCGGCAATGAACCGAATCAGGCATGTGTCTTCCTCGCCTGCGGGCGTGAACGACTCGCCCCGTCGCCTCCCGTGCTCGCGGATGATCTTGAAGGTAGGGGCTTTAGTCTTGTCGATGAGGTCCGGGTAGAAGATGTTGAATTTGTAGCCCTGGACGACTTTGGGTGGCGGGTTGTCGTGGTCGTAGTGCGTCTGGTTATACTTGTTCCACTCATAGCCCATCTGTACTCGGTTGAAATACCGTGGCTTGCGAGGCCGGTATTTGTCTGCCCACTGAGGCTTCACGGCGGCTGGGACGGTCTCCTCGGCTGTGAATATCTCCTCGTTCTCGCTAATCCCTCGGGCAACCTCCCGCTCGTACAGCGCCTTGGTGGCCTGGGAGAAGTCTTCATTGCCCGTCGTGGCGAATCGTGCGGTGCCAGGGGGCGGCGCGTTACTGCTGCTACTGGCGCTGCCGGTGGCGGCAGTGATGGAAGTGCTATGTTTTGCCTTAGGGGCAGGAGCCGCGGGCGTGTCTTTAGGTTTTGCGAGGGCAGCGTTCCCGGGTGAAACGGACTCGGCAAGGATCTTGGCTTTCTCGGGATCTCGTTCCCTCAGAAGCTCGATCCTGCTCTGCCTGATGGATTCGTAAATTTGGTTTAGCTTCGCCTTTGCCTTGAAAATCAACAAACTCTTCAGCAGCTGTTCCCAGTAATCGGTGTCCACCACCTCGTCCGACTCCAACTTGGCGTGTATCTGACCCTCAAGCTTCTCCAACTGCTCCAGACTCTTTGGTCCTAGGATCCTGTCGACATCGGATATGACAGAGCTCACGGCGCGCTCCTCGGCTCCCATGGGTTTTAGCCGCTGTTTCCTATCCGCGCAGATTGTCTTTAAGGCCAGCCAATAGTCCCTGTTTCTCTTATTCGTTTCTAGCGTGTGGTACGACGTGATATCGGCATCGAGTTCATCAAGTTCGGGTTCCTTAAGGCCATCCACTACAGTGCTGGGCGGGAGCACGTCAATGTCGACGTCGGCTTCGTCATCGTCGAAGACGTCGCGATCGGTATCCACGTATCGCAAGTTGAACGCGAGAAGGTCGATAGGCTTGGCTCGCCCCTCTCTGACGCGAATGTCGGCCTTTTTTTTGGCTTGCTTCAGGACGAACTTGTCCTCGTCGGCTACGAACTGTCGTGACTGCTCGTCTTGGCTGACCCAGTTCTGAGGACCGGCGCCCGCGTGTTTCGGTTGCGTCGGCTTCGATGGTTTCGTGATCCTGTTGTTGGGATCTCGTCTAGGAGATGCGATATCGCGGCGTGGGGGCGACTTACGGCCGTGTATCATAGCACGTCTGTCAGGGTTCATGTTGTCTAGCGAGCCCAATCTCGTTCCGCGTGTCGGGAGGGTAGGGAGATAGAAAATGGAGCTGTGCGTTTGCAATGAATATTCTTGTTGTTACTAGGATGACCCGATGCCGTCGGTTGACGTTATGTAAGCGGGAGGTTTAGAGTGGGTCCTAAATCCCTTCCTGTTTTCCCATATCTTATCGGTCGGCCTCACCGAGCTACACCGAGGTTGCTCCTTACACCTAACTAGGTGAGATAATAACCCCGTAAAGCCACATCCCCAAATTTTCGTGATTTTACCTTGTTCCCATACCTCAACGCTTCCTTAAATCACTTATCACATTTTCGTTTCCCAGATCTACAAATTTGTGTGTCTATATTCAGGCCATAGTACGCTCCCTTCTCCTTCATTATGGATTGTCGGGTCCGCAAAATCGACCTAACGACCCAACAACTTGGAAAACAAGGTCAACACCATTAACAACCAAACATCCTTTACGCGCAACCCACGTAGGCGAGCTCTTACGTATTAGTTGTTCTGCCCATAGTGTCAAATATTAACTTGCTGTTTGAGTTCCGTATGTTCCACCTAGGTAGGTGAAGAGATCACTAGAAGTTAAACGCAACAAAAGCAGAAGGGAGAAGAGATGAGGTGGTAGATACACAGCTAAGATTGTATACGATTGCCAACAGGAATTCTCGCAGGCATTGACGATGAACGAGTGTCTATACGTGACCTGAATATGGACGACGGGCCGGCGTGTGGCTATGCAGCCCCTAGCACGCCGATGCCAACTTATCCAGGCGACAACGATTCGAGCAGACGATCAGCACACGGTAGTAACCAGTGGCTTTGGAGCGCGGGGGCGCGAGGCTTGCATATATCTGCATACCTACCTACATATATCCACCTACGCACGCAGCTCAACCCAACCCTCGTTACTCTGCGCCGTAGCCCCGCACGATGGCAACCGACACGGCGCGCCTCCCGCTCTAGATCCGGGAGACGGGCGGCGTTCCGCTAACTGCACACACCTCGGTGGCCGAGCGCGCGTTACTGGTGGCGGGGAGCGGGCGCACCCTAGCGCTGTGCGGCGCGGTCGGAGCAGCGGCGGAACCACGGGGCGACGGTGCTCGGCACGCCGGCCGCCGCAAGCCCGGCCTCTTCTACCCCACCTAGGACGTCGACCCCCTACGCGACCGCGCCGGCCTCCGGTGTGCCGCTGCCCGCGTTTACGTCGCCGCCGACCCGCTGTGCCCGGGGTACGGGGAGGCGCTGCTCGGGCCGGACGTGGTCTAGTTCGGGGGGCCGCCGGACGAAGCGATGCTGTTGCGGGCCCGGCCGACGTGATGCTGCTGGCCAGGACGACGGCAGCCGTGCAGCCCGCTGTCAACTTCGTGCGCTAGGCCCAGCGCGCCGGCGCCGTCCTCGTCGTCGCCAACCCCGACCCGGGGGGCTCGCCGCGGCCTGTGCAAGAGGAACTTCTTCCAGGCGGACGCCAGCAAAATCCTCTCGCCGATATTCGACCAGGCCTTCGGCGTCGAAACCCACCCGCCTCTTAAATTTCATGTTTCTGCAGTATTGGCGATCGCGTTTCATGTCTGTCGAGGATTGGGCACCTGTGGTAGAGCGCCGTGGGTAAATGACAATCTGATTCGAAGAGCGTGGGCCCTCGTCATTAACGCAGGGGGCTAGTGATAGATCGATTACCCCAAGAACGAAGCAAGGGAAACAACCCCCTATTCGACATAGGATGGCGATGATAGGCAATGACCTCCATCAACATTCTAACGGCAGGGTTACTTGGCTCGAGGGTTCCGATGATGCAAATCAAGGGCGCCTGTTTGGATTCCTACTGCCTCAGAATGCAGAAAGATCTGTTTCGTTTATGTTGTTTGTTTTAGTATTGGCTCCTGCCATGGCCCTAGCAGCCATGCAACTTGTATTACCAGCGAATTCTCTCGCAGATATTAACGGCGCTTGCAAGTCGCTAGAAAAGGTAGTCGAAGATGGCGAAACGGGTAAGTGACTTGCAAGGGAGGTAATATCTAACAAGGTGCCGAAACTTGAATTCTACCCAAGCGAAGTACGATCCTTTGTGTCAGGAAGCAGGGGCTCGCCTCATATGGCAATAGAGAACGTAGAGGGTGTTACTAGTGACCGGAGTCGGAGGAGGGTCGTGAATCTCAGTTTGGACCGCTCTCCCAGATGTATCTTCCAACTGGCTCTGCAGATCGTGAAGCTCATCTACCAGCTCATCGGTGCTAGCTATGCTCGAGGCACCGTCAAAATCGATGAATGTCGCTTTACTGTCATGAATGAGACAATTATGCTTGTTAATGTCCCCATGCTTAATTCCCAACCGGTGCAGCGTTGATAGGACCAGGTTGGCACCGAGAGGGGTCTTCCGGCCCTGCGCGAGTGCTCTTTAATCGTGATTGATCTGCGCTGTGTAGGTAGGTGGGTACAGAGCGAAAGACTCCGGCGTCGATTACCTGGGGCAAGGAGACGACGTAAATTGTACGCGGTCGAGTCGATTTCCACCGGCTGGTAAAGCGGTTTAGAAGAGCCGAAATTAAATATAGAGACCATCACTAAGAACTTGTAATCGCTCCATTGTCACCGAGACCTTTAAAGGCACTAAGAAGTCACCACACAGGCTAAGGCGGTCGATTATATCCGTTGACTTTGCGTGTGGTATTGGGTTCCTATTCGTATGTTATCACTAAGCTGCGCAAGAGGTTCGAACCCACCATCATACATGGTAGCATGGTAGCTCTCTAGCATAGTGTTATCGTCTGCTGCCTCGGTAACATTGTTGCCTTCCAAACCGAATCCAGCTATATCTTGAGAGGAGTTTAACACGGCGACGGCGAGGTTAATAGTACATACATCATTAGCCCTAAAAGGTAATATTCGAGTTGCGGACTAACTCTCTAATCGGGAACAAAATCGGCAGCACAGGGCCGGCACGTAAGTATACGTTTGTAAACTCCGCGGCTCACCATGCCCCAGGGCCCTATTCGCCGCGCCCACCACGGGATCGAATTCGCTGCGCTGCCCCCCTGCTCAAGACCCAGAGGAGGAGCACCCGGCACAGGATGATCAGCCGGACGAGAATAATTGCCTGTTGTATTTCGCCGCTACCTCGGCCGATAACCGAGATAGGGAATACTCCCGTCCTTCGACGCCAAGGCCACGACCAACCTGCTCTGCTTCGACTCTACCTCCCCCTCCTACAGCAGGCCCGCTCCTATCCCCCTCAGAACCGCTTCCTCTCCCTCCCGCGCAAATTATAGCGCCAGAGGCACACTATGCTGCGGGCCTCGCACCAGCTCTTGACATCCTCGGGCAGGACCTCCTCGACCTTGGGCCCGGACCGTTTGCCCTTGCCCTTGCCCTTGCTCTTCGCCTTGCGCTTCCCTCCCGCGCTGCTCCCCTCCCCGCTCGAGCTCTCCCCGCTCCCCAGCTCTCCCCCCTCCTCCTCCGCTGCCGCCGCCGCCAGCGGTCCGCTGTTGAGCCAGTCGGCGAAGTCCTCCAGCACGACGGGGTCGTACAGCAGCATCTTCTCGTGCCACGACGGCTGCGCCGGGTCGCGCGACCGCGGCGCCGATGTCACCGCGCGCGTGATGCGCCGGAACAGCCGCGCCGTCCGCTCGTCCGTCTCCGCTGCCGTCAGCGACAGGTCCGCCGCCGGCGGCGACGACGTGCTCCGCGACGACCGCGACCGCCCCCACGACGACCGCGACCACCCCCGCGACCACCGCGACCGCCTCCGCGACCACCGCGGCCGCCCCAGCGATGCCTCCGAGTCCGACGCTGAGTCCGCGATCTCCACCGTCGTGGACTTTTTCTTCGGCGCCCGGCCGCGCGGCTTCTTTGGGCTCGCAGCGGGGGCCTTCTTGGCGCGCGGCTTCTTCGTCGTTACGGCAGAGGCGGTTGTCTCCGCCTGCGACGTCGTCGAGTTCTTTCGGGGCCGACCACGTCGCTTCGGCTGGGGCGCCTCCGCTTCCTCCTGCGACACCGTCGAGTCCTTTCGCGGCCGGCCTCGTCGCTTCGGCTTGAGTGCCTCTGCCTCCGCCGTTGCGGAAGAGGAGTCTGTCTCCGCCTGTGACGTCGTCGAGTTCTTTCGGGGCCGACCGCGTCGCTTCAGCTGGGGCGCCTCCTCCTCCTCCTCCTGCGACACCGTCGAGTCCTTTCGTGGCCGACCGCGTCGCTTCGGCTCGGGTGCTTCCGCCTCTGCTGTTGCCGGCACCTTCTTCTTAGGTCGGCTCGTCGCGGCCGTGCTGGATATCGGCCGTGTCTGCGCTGTCGCCGCGACCGTGTTCTTGCTGGCCCAGCACTGGTCGAGCAGCGCGATCATAGCCTGCCGCCGCTTTATCGGCTTGAAACCGAACGACGAGACCTGTGCCGAAAGCTGGGTGTCGCTGAAAAGTTCCCAGTCCGGCTGCGCGTCCCTTCTAGGCTCGGCTTCGGCTCCAGGTCGGGATCCCGCGTGCTCCTCGTCGCTGGTTTGGATGGAACGCGTGTTGTCCGGCTGGGCGCTCGGAGGCGCTGACTCTTCCATGTCGGATGATTTCAGAATATCGTTGATGTCGATGAATTGTTGGCGCGAGTCAGCTACGGGCTCGCGGTGCCGGACTACTAGCTCGGAATCGTCGAAGAGGTCGACAACATCGACGCTATCTACGCCTATTAAATCACCGTCGGTATCTCTCGCGCCGGCACGCCAGAGCCCCTGGTTGCTGTCGGAATCGGCAAACGGGTCCGAATAGTCGGTTCGATTGGACATTCGCATCGCTAGCTGAAGATTCTTGAGGGTCGTAGGGGACTCCTCCCCGACTAGCTGGCTCGAGGTCCCGAAAACGAAGTCCTGGTTGGTCGTCTGCTTCATCGCCGAGCTCGGAGACAGGAGAATCGGGTTTCCCGCGGTGCCTGACTTCTTCTTGCGCTTTGGGTTCGCGGCTGCTTTCGATCCCTTGCCTTTCCCCTTGCTATTCGACATGAGGGCAGTCTGATGCTCAACAAGCGCCTTAACGCTGCCGTCCTCGTCGAAGTAGCTCAGGAGAGATTCCTTCGTAGACGGGCCTACGAGGTCCAGCTCAGGCATCATCGGTGGCATATACGGGGCGGTCGCTAGTTCAGTGAGCGTCCTGGCCTTCTTCTTCGCGTTAGCTGGCTTCGAAGGGGACGCCTCCCTAGACTTCTGCTCGGCTCCGTTGTTGATGGAGACACATTCAATCAACTTCCGCTTCTTCAAAACTTCTTTCCGCTCCGATATACCCGATAAGGACTCCCCCGACTCTTTATTACTTCCATATTGGCCATGCAGTGTTTGAAACACGTCCTTGATTGCTGATCCCTTACCGACGGAACGCAGCTCTCGGTTATCCGGTTCCGGATCGAGGAGCAGGGGATTGTCTCCGGGAGGAGGCGTCCAGGCATCTCGCCGTTTCAAGGCGGGTTCAGCGTGGTAAGGGGCACTGTCGGGTTCGGTTGCCGGCTTGGGTATGCTTTTATCTTTGAGTGGCTTTTCCTCCGCAGTTTTCGCGACACTTTCTTTGGCTGCGAAATGCCTCGACACCGTTTCTGTTTTCGCTCTCGATTTCCTCTTGACCGCCTCCTTGGTCACTTGAGTTTTCGGAGGACACGGACCTTCACTTCCTCCTAAGTCCTGACGTTGGGAAGCTTTTTCTTCGTCTTTGAACTTGAGCCGCGACTTCGCTTGGGGTGGTAATTCGACTAGGATCGGCGTCTCACTAGGCATAGGTATAGCTTCCAGCGCGGGAACCTTCTTCCGGGGTCTGCTAGGCTTTGTCTTTTGTAGCGGCGAGCCGGGGAACTTTTCGCTTTCGATATCGATCTCAGGTGCCTCTCGCGGGATGCCTGCCGCGCTCGTAAAGACAGTTCGCACATTGTCGGGGGTGGGTGTAGCCTGATTTTCGCTTCGCAATGGTGGCTTAAGGACCTTGGCGAGTATCTCGCTGGGAGAAGGCAAGCTCGGCGATGACGAGAACGAGTAAGACTGCTGCCGCCTCGGAGGAGACGACATGAAGACCTCGGCTGAAGACATAACGGACCAGAGCTGCAGGGCGAAGACTCGGCTGCGCCGAGCGCAGCCCCAGTAGCTAATGACAAGCAGAATGGTTGGTTTTCTGTCACGTCCAAATTGTCGTTTTTTCTTATTAAAACTTGATCGGGCGATGGTATTGTTTGGACGGAAGGGCCAATGGTAATAATGTCTGCAGACACGGCTTATGTGCAAGTGAAGTTGCCGTAACACATCTAGAGTAGTGTAGCAGATTACGCGGTAGAGACAAAAATAAAGGGGAGATCTGAGGCTAAATCCGAGGCCAAGACCCGCGATTTCTGCGCCACGAAACCAACCCGAGGTCAGCTGACAAAACCTCTCACGTGACTAGCGCCCCAGCATTAGGATAAGCCCCACGCTGTGCCCACCAAACATTTTCTCTTTGCCGAGGGACCCAAAATTGCAAGGCCAAATTTCTCGCTTCTCTCAATCAATCAACGCATCGTTACCCTCGACCGCGACACCCGACGCCCACGTACTTCTGCCACCGAGAACGATTCGAGCGCCCCCGAAAGCTAGCAGACGCGAAAATGGAGAACGACAAGGGAGAGCTCGTCGACCTGTGAGTCTCCCTCCTATTCCCTTCCTCCTTTTCCTTCCCAACTCCCCCTCCCCTTTTATACGCACCCGCGAGGGGACTTCGCTAACGACGCCCCCCCCCCGCCGTCCTCCAGGTACGTCCCCCGGAAGTGCAGCGCCACGAACCGCATCATCAAGGCCAAGGACCATGCATCGGTACAGATCTCCGTCGCCAAGGTCGACGAGAACGGCCGCCAGATCCAGGGCGAGAACCACGTGTACGCCCTCTGCGGCTTCGTCCGCGCCATGGGCGAGAGCGACGACGCCTTAAACCGGCTAGCGCAGCGCGACGGCTTCCTCAAGAGCGTCTGGAGCCCCGTCCGATAAACGACCGAGATCGCGAGGGCGGTGTGAGGTGGTGATTGAGGTGACAGTGGTGGTGGTGGTACGTGGCCCGCTCTGATCGTCCCCGCTTCGTTCCCCGGCCGACCGCGCTTTGTTATGTTCCCACCATATCCTGACACGACGGCAGATAGGCGGGTGTTGGTGCTCCTAAGAAATTCGGGGCCATACGGTTAAGGCGTGGGACTTGGTTTTAAAACTGCATCTAGCTGGTTAGGACGGATGGCCGCAACCACGATTGCGAGCAAACGGAACAAATAAAGAATCAAAAACAATTCATTCTGAGCTAGAGCCCCCCGGCCCTCGCTTGGCCTCGGTAGAATGTGTATACGATAAAGACAGCACCCGGCTAGTAAAGTGTCCTCGCGTCCACCTCTGAGTGACTCTATGGGCGAGGACTCTGGGGCTACCGCGATAGCCCCCGTGCCGAAGATTGATAGTGGCCTTGAAAAAGCCGTGATGCTCGAGATGTTCATCATAGCACAGATACGGGCCAGACATTACGCGTTTTCCCCGCCAAATACGAGCCCACGTTTCGACAGGCAATACAATCTCTTCGTATCTAGTAGACATCATGTTTTCGTGATATTCCTAACCCGACATCAATTAATGTACGGGACCTGCTCCTGCGGCGTCATCCCGTTTCGTGGACTGTCTTATATTATCTGGCAGCCGTATCCCCGTTGCCTTCGCCAATGTACGAAGCTTAAAAAAAAAAGGTCCTGTGTTAACACAGACCTGCCCACTTTATTATTTCAACCCTTTAATTAATTAACCACTGTTCTGCTTTATTGTCTTCTCACCACGAAGTCCGTCTGTCCGTCCGTCCTATTCCGGCCGCCACACGATTGACATCCACCTTGTCGCTCATAGGATCGAGCAGTACAGTATTTCCATGTTAGCTACTTTGGGAATTCGTGCGAAGCCCACCCGCATTCTATAGTCATGTTGCATATAACCTAGACGCGTACATTCCAGAACTCGTAGATATAGGCTGGCATAGGTAGGTATAAATTACTACGTGACAAGTCTAATTCGTAATTGAGACCCCGACATCTCTTTATTGACTCTAGATTAGTAGGTTGGACTCTCACTAGTTCTAAGCCTAGTATGATGTGCAAGTGACTGACGGATTGCGCGTGGAGCAAGTAGTAGATGAGACGAGATAGGTTTCATTGATTGACTGACTGACTGGCAAGCTAGAAGCAGGGAGAGTGACTGCGAAGCTAGTTAGGTATCCTATAAATACATGCTCGACCTGCTCCAATACGCTAGGTTGCTCTCCCTGTAGGAGTAGATCTTGGCCACCAAAGAGCCACTCGAGGCGTATTCCTACGTGACAGAAGCGAATAGGAGTTTCTCTACCCGCTTAGGGCAGACTCAGACTCACGGGATGAGAGAGATATTGTCGGATTTCGGTACTCCGTGGGGCGGGGTCCAACATAGCCCACCCCGCAGGAGCACTCCAGAATCCTCCCCGTCGACGGCCATCACGTCGACGTCGCCCTCAATCTGCAATATCGACTGGATTGAGGGAGAGAACAAGGACACGGCGAATTGTTCGATATCGCCAGATGGACCGGCGTGGGTTAAGGGTGCGGCAAGCGTCTGCCCACCCTCCTCTTCTCTGTCATTGTCATCCGCCCCGAGCTCGTCGGTGTCCCACCCATCCACCAGCCGCTCCAGCTCCGAGTCTTCGCCCCAGAGACCGCCGATGATGGTGTAGAAGATGTGGATCGCCTTGGCGGTCAGCGAGTGGTCCTCGTCGTCGAGCGGCGGGCGCGGGCTCACGTACCAGGCGACTCTGGCCACACGCAGGGCGCCGCAAAAGTTCGAGAACGTCTCGTGTGTGAGCTCGCGGGCCCAGGGGACGGAGGAGTGCATCTTGCTCGCCATGTCCACTATCCCGCTCTCCGGGCCCCCGACGGCGGACGCGAGAAGGGGCTGCAGGCCGATGGTGAAGGCATCGGCAATCTTCTCGTCGATTGCCATTCTAATGCCCGTATCGGTGGGATTATCCAGATCCACCGATTTCTTCAAAGCCGCGAGGATCTACATGTCCTCGTGTTCTAGGCCCATGATGGTGTCGCCGGCCGGGTAAGCCATCCCCGCTTGGGGGAGCATGCCTTTCAGGGAGGGTGCGTTAGACATCGTGTCTAGTTGTGCTACACGAGTCATTGTGTCTTCTTGAGTCGAAATTGCGGTCATGTGCGACATTGTTAGTGGTAGGAGGTCGCAGGGGGAGCGGTGGTGGTGGAAATGATGGATATGAGAGTGACGAGGGTTATGGATGTGGATTTATGAATATCGAGGCCGCGGATATGGCCGTTCAGGTTTCCGATGGAACAAGTAGCGTGGAATGCCTCTTGGCTAAGAGTTAGGTTGCGATGTGTCCACGATACCGATAGAAGTCGGGTCTTTCGCGTGGCAAATATGGATGAACAGATGGGTGAATGATATTTTCGGGGTAGGAAGTTAGGTGGATAGGACGTGGGTGGGGCCCGTGATTTTATAGTGAAGGAGACGGGGAAGAGACAGTGAAATCAGTCTAGTTAGGTACCTCCTTATCTTATAAAATATTAGCTGTTTGAGGACGGCGTGCTTCGTGTTATAACTCGACGATCGATGAGAGAATGGCACAATAAGTTATATAGCCACACTGTACGATCGAATGCTAAACAGGACGGTTGCCGGGGGGGGGGGGTGCCGCAGCTTGGACGGACGCACTGTACGGCGAATGCCCCAGTATGGCAGCACCAACTTGATCCCGACGTTGGCCAGGTGAATGTTACTACTCCAAGTGCAGCACGTCCCACGCCAGATATATATGCGAAATACTGAGTGCTATACGGAGGATTACTCCGCTGCGCCCCGTCTGGAAAACTGTCCCACATAAGCTTCGGGGGGCTTAGCACATTTTCTTTCATTATACCTTTCCTCTGGCACGGGGCCTCTCCAACGCCGAAGAAAAGGGAGAGCGGGATGGGGGAGGAAAAAAGGACAATTAAGTTTAGACGTCCGCCGTCTGGTCTCATTACGGACAACTACCCAATTCCGATACTCTGATCTCCGGCTGGGATCTCCCTGTTCTTTCTCGTGTCATCGCCCATCTTAGCAAAGTCAATCTCCCGCCTTCTTCTCGCACTCCGCAAATGTTCCCCAGCTTGGGCCTGGGCAGAAACGCTCATCTTATACGTAGGCATAGAGAGTAGACTGCCACACTGAGGGAGTGAAAGGGAGCGCGCCTCGAGTAAGCAGAAGATGCACCTCTGTCACGTAGCTAATTCCAAGCAACGTGCTAACCGGCGGCTTGTGCCCGGAGCGAACGATGCGAGGTGCCGAAGAAGTGTCTCGTCTTGCAAGGCGTGTATTGATTGACTACCAGGGAGCTAATAACGAGAAAGGAGAAAAATAAATGTAAAGCCGGCTAGTGCATAGAGTGCAGTGGTGCGGTGGGAATAGGGCATGCAGGCCTTTTGATGAGTGTTTAAATGGGTCTCACACTAATATTTTCATCGTACACACTTGAACCTGCAGTTATCACAATGCCTACTATAGACTTACTTGATTGAATTCACTCGTTTCCCGTTATGCCTCCCTAAGTGCCATCTCTTTCTTATTGGCCCCAGCTACTATTACAGCTGGGCTGTTCCTGTTCCCATCCAGGTTCCCCTTACAGCGTGCCCACGCTATTCCTCCTAAATAGGTAACCTAGATGTTCGTCCATATTATGCTATCTAGGCTGCCCTCTACGTAGGATTAGCCCTTTGCCGAAGAGTTATTCGAGGCGTATCCCTCCGTGGCCGCCTCCGAGGCGTCTCGTCCGCATCTTGTCATTGATATGTAGAGAAATATTTTCGTCGATACAACGAGGCATAGTGGCCCCAGAAGACCCTAGAAGGGTCCACTGTTGCGGGTGAGACATATACTGTTGTCTGAAGAATACCTCGCGGGGCACAGTGGTCTAGCTGGCCTGGCCTCCTACCTTGGAACTGACAGCTGTGGGTTAAAATCTCGCTCCGTGCGCTACTCCTACAAGACCTGGTTGTCCTAAAGGTGCAAATCGCTGTGAGGAGTTGGGTGTGCACATACTAAGTGGTCCGGCTCCGCTCCCGCAACAGGCTGAGGGGGTACTGGGGGACAGTTGGCGGGTCTACTGCAGGAGGATTTTTTTTATAAAATCTTATCCTTTGTTGATGTCTCTATTTTTACCGATAGTGTACGAGCTTCTCTACCTATTGCCTACACTTTCTCTGGCTCCTTCTCGCGTTGATTGTACCGATCGACATTTTCTTCTCCAGCGTTTTACCTAGGTGTCCATTGCATTCCTAGGTGGTTGCTGGGTGATATGATGGGAGTTAACCAACTGACGTGACATGATTATATCACGCCCAGGTTTCGACAGGAAATCGTCGAACCAGAATTTCGTCTCTCGTCACAGCAAAGGAAACAAATATATCGTATGGTCTATGTTAACCGTTGTCTTCCTGTCCTTTCAGCCAAGTGGGCCGTCGTCGTTGCTTTACGGTTTTGGCGTTGCATTTGCGGCTCGTAGGGCTGAACATCCCCGCCAACCATCATCCCAGCCGGCCAAGCCGCCAAGCCGCCAAGCCATCTGACCTGGGATCGCAGATCGACCGGCTGTCAGATCGATCTTCACAGCATCATGACGCACGCGATATCGGGGAAAAGAAACAAGGGGGCAGCCACCGGCGTCTTTAAAAATGAATCTCCCCTCGGCCCGACCGCATATTTCTGCGAGCCTTCTTTTCTTCACCTTCTTCTATTCCCATCACTCGACTGCTAATAGGTAGATGGATGTCGTGCAGCCTTCTAAGCCATCTTCCCGTCGCGAATTTTCGATCCCTTGCTTGCAGCTCTCCGCCCTGCTCGCCCCGTCTCCTTCTGTCCCTGCGTTTCGCCGTTTCGCGTCAATTAAATTTCTCGACGTCCCCATTGAGGATTCGATGTGCCCATCGTTTCCAGATGCCACCACAACGGACTGCGAAACGAGACGTCTCGGACAAGGTTGCGCCCGAGTCGTCCAACAAAAGACGTAGAGTCGACCGCGATGCGACCGATCCGTTGCACAGGCCTCACCATTTTGCGGCCGAAGCTGAGGAGAACGGTGTCGTTCTGCGCAAATATTACCCTCCGGAGATGAGCAACGCGCGCGCTCAAGCCTACAACGACAACGAGATCCCTCGCCCCATCGAGAAGCTAAACGCCGCGCTGGAGGCAACGGCCAAGACGCGTGAGGGAATAAAAGTGAGGGATGCCGTGATGCATTGGTTTAAGGCCGATCTGCGGGTGGCAGACAATCGCGCTCTGTGGGAGGCGAGCCAGAAGGCCCAAGCCGCCGGCGTTCCCTTGATTTGCATCTACATCGTTAGCCCCGAGGACTTCGAGGCACACTCGACGGCCCCCGTGCGAGTAGACTTCGTGGCGCGCACTCTCCACGAGTTAAAGCGCGATCTCGCCGCTCTCGAGATCCCTCTGTACATCGAGACGGTCGAGAAACGAAACGATATCCCCGAGCGCATAGTGGACTTTATGGAAGAATGGGACGCGTCCCATTTGTTCGCAAACATCGAGTATGAGGTCGACGAGCTGAGACGCGAAGTCAAGATGGTGAAGTTGTGCGCGGAGAGGGGCATCGCCCCGGAACTCTTTCACGATACGTGTGTCGTGCCGCCCGGCGCCCTGCAGACGGGTGCTGGCAAGCAGTACGTCGTTTACTCACCATGGTTCAGGTCCTGGGTTGCGCACGTCCACCAGAATCCGGAGCTGCTAGTCCCGTTTGATCCCCCGGCCCCAAACCCGTCGGCAGCACGGGAGAAGCTGGAGGCACTCTTCGACTGCGAAGTGCCCGACGTCCCCGAGCCCAACAGGCTTCCGGAGGAGGACGCCGAGAGACTTCACGCCATGTGGCCGGCGGGAGAGCAAGCAGCGAAGGATCGGCTGGAGCAATTCTGCGACGAGAAGATTGCCCGGTACGGCAAACGCCGCGATTTTCCGGCCGAAGCCGCAACGTCCTCGATCTCGGCCTACTTAGCCGCCGGTACGCTGAGTGCGAGGACGGCGGTGCGGACCGCCAGAGACCGCAACAAGACGAAAAAGCTGGATGCTGGCGTCGAGGGGATCACGACTTGGATCAGCGAGGTGGCGTGGCGTGACTTTTACAAACACATCCTGGCCCACTGGCCGTATGTCTGGTAGGCTCTCGCTGTTACGCATCCGCAAGTCAACCCTGCTAACGCGACACCAGCATGTACAAGCCATTCCGGCCGGACTACGCGGACATCGAGTGGTCGTACAACTCAGCGCACTTCCAGGCCTGGTGCGACGGCCGCACCGGGTTCCCGATCGTGGACGCGGCGATGCGGCAGATGCGGAGCATCGGGTGGATGCACAACCGGTGCCGGATGATCGTGGCCTCGTTCCTGTGCAAGGACCTGCTCCTGGACTGGCGGATGGGGGAGAGGTTCTTCATGGAGCACCTGATCGATGGCGACTTCGCGTCCAACAACGGCGGGTGGGGGTTCAGCTCCTCGGTCGGCGTCGACCCGCAGCCCTACTTCCGCATCTTCAACCCGACGCTCCAGAGCGAGAAGTTCGACCCCGACGGCGAGTACATCCGCCGGTGGGTCCCCGAGCTTGCCGCGGTCGAAGGAAAGGCTATCCACGACCCCTACTATCGCGGGGCGGCCGACCAGGCCAAGCAGGCGGGCTACCCGCCGCCGGTCGTCCATCACAAGGAGAGCAGGGACCGCGCCCTGAAGATGTACAAGGAAGGCCTCGGGCGGGACGGTCCATGAGCGCTCATTGTGCTGGTGCATCTAAGGGGGAGCACATTCTGAGACAGAATTTTGTATACCTACTACAAGGTTTACTTTGTAAAAACATTAGTGTACCCAGACCTTCCGACGCATGGAACGATCCGAAAGGGTACCCTGTCCTCTAACCCTCAATTGCATTTTAGAAGCACATTTGTGCCCGTCGACTGGTAACTCTAAATTTACTTGATTGGCCACCGTTTTGTACGTCGGACGCTGTAATATAATTGATCCCCATCCCCTGTACTGGGCGAGCACTCATGTTCTTGAGCTCTTGTCAAGGCTATAAGCCGTGTCCCTCACCCCTCTCTACCGTTCCCTAGGGTAGAAAGAGCTGGCGAGTCAGAGTCTCTCCCCGGGCTCTGCAGTACCGGTCGGCAGAGTGTCAACTCTAGAAGCCAAGTACAACGAATATCTCTGAAAACTGCCGCTTCTCGCTGGAATAGGTTGTACCCAACATGTCTGCGCAACGCGTTGCATGTTGTGGTGGGATTACGTAAGCAGCCCAAGAGACGGTTCTCTTACGTAACAATAAGATCCAATAGGTGCGTGTTACGGGGAGGTTTATTTAGACCTCAGCATGCTGTGGCATCTCACCCGTGATCCCTTGCCCGCCCCTTTTCCCAACTGTTTACTGTGACCCACCACCCGCACCTATATCGAAAGAAGGACTTCAATGCTATTATCTCTTCCGCATTCGTTTCCGCGGCTGGTTCGGTCTGCTCGGGCACACCGGACGGGTATTATTCCAAGTCGGAGTCTCCCCTACAGCGCCCGCGATCGCCGAGCCATCTCCACTCGCGCCGAGAGTTACCCCATACAAATGTGCAGGGTGCCGAGAAGCGCTGCATTGCACTCCGGGCCCTTAGCGAGGCGACGTACTCCTCCTACTAGGTCACCTATCATGCCACCCCAAGCGCATTTTTCTTCGGCACCGGAGGCGAAGAAGAAGCCACAGGAGCCGCGGCCGAGTTCAAGTGTCATTCTGCTGTCGCCCGAAAACCAGATCTTGCTGCTCCATAGGGTGCAGACATCGTCGGCGTTTCCCTCCGCGCACGTATTCCCGGGGGGAAACCTTTCCGACTTCCACGACGGAGAGGTGCCTGAACCCGGAAAGGCGGAGAGACACCAGGACTCGGAGCCGTACCGGCTCGCCGCCATCCGGGAGACGTTCGAGGAGTGCGGGATACTGCTTGCGCGGGAGGCCGGCGGCGGAGAGGCGCTCCTGAATATCGCGAGTGCCAAACGCGACCAGGCGCGCAAATCGATCTACGACAATAGCGTCCGTTTCGTACAATGGCTTCAGGAAGTCGGCGGCACCGCAGACACAGGTAACCCGCCCAACGCCGCGCGCCGTCAAGGCCATCCCCGTCTCCTCTGCCAGCCGCGTTAACATGGCTCAGCGAACCTCCTGCCATTTACTAGGTGGGTGACCCCTGCAGCGCTGCCCCGCCGCTTCACCACGCAGATGTACATTTACATGCTCCCGCTCTCCACCAGCGACGATCCCGTCGTAGCGGCGGCCCGGTCCGAAGCCATCGTCCCAACCCCAGACGGGGGCGTCGAGATCAACGCGGCGCGCTTCGACGCGGCGAGCACGTGGCTGGAACGGCAGCGCAGGGGCGAGATCACCCTGTTCCCGCCCCAGCACTACTTGCTGCACGTCCTCTCCCGGTTCCTGACCGGGCCCCCCCCCGATGCGCCTGGGCCGTCAGAGTTGGCCGCCCATTACGGATCGCAGAGAGAGAAGCTGAAGAGCTTCCTGGCTACGGTGCCTACGGCTACAGACCCCGAGGCCGCGGCACATCATACCTCCCAGATTCCTTGGGCGGATAAAGTCCTCTGCCCTATCTCGCTCGGTGTACGGCGGAGCGACCAGAGGGTGATATTAGGCCTCGACAAGCCCGGCCCGGAGCTCGAGCCGACCGGCAGGGGCGGTGATTGGGAAAACATTGTTTTGGCGAGATTTTCTAAGGGCCATGTCAAGGAAGTTGAGGTTAAGGGAAGGAAGGAGATGCACGCGGAGGAAAGAGAATACGCAAAGAGGTCAAAGAAATCTAGGTTATAAATGCGAGAGCCTCAAGATTCGAGTTATAGGTCATCGGCATAACTGGCCTCCCTAAATCGCGATCTCATCGGTTCCCACGGATACGTTCCGAGAACAAGTTATCCTACGTGCTCAGACGGTCAATACCGGCACTATAAATATTCTATCACCAATGACTCAGGCAGTGCGGCCGCCGTGACTACTACCTCCCGTTCGGCTGCAATTCGAGGAGTATCGGAGAAATTGCAGCGGCTATCGGACATGTCACATCTCCGACTCACGATTCTGTCACCATGCAAACAAGACCGGCGACAGGTCGCACATAAACCGCCCACGACCAACTGGTATTTAATACACGCACCAGAGCAGCCCATAGAAATCCACCGCGCCGTTTATACGCTTCAGAGTCACCAACGCCACCTCGCATACTACCACCATCTCAACTATGAAGCTCACCATCACGCTACTCCCATCCCTCCTCTGGCCCCTCTCCAGCGCGGCGCCCCCTCCCGCGGAGAGCCCTCCGCCCGGGGCCTCAGGGGCGCCCTTCGGACCCGCGATCTCGGCGCTCCCGGAGCTGCACGGGAACCAGTCGTCTTCTTCCTCCTCCCATGCCTCCTCTTCTTCTTCTCTGCCCCGGTGCCCTGCGCCCCTGCCGCACGCCCGCTCGCCGCTGTCGCCGCCGCCGGACTACGTAGCGACGACCGGGGCGCGCGAGGGCCAGACGTCGTTCTGCGGCGCGAGCTCATTCGTCGACGTGGGGGCGGCGGCGGCAGCGGGCGCGGCGCCGCCCGCGCTCGACTGCGCCGCCCTCGCCGACCGCGTCGTCCCGGGGCTTGCGGCCGGGTACTGGCGCTACGACGCGGCGCGCAGCGGCGGAGGCCGCAACGCGACGCCGGCCCGCCGCCTGCTGCAGAGCGGTGCCTGCGCGTTCGGCGTCCTCAGCGCGGCGCTGCCGCCGAATGCGTCGACGGCGGCGGACGGCACGGGGGAGGGGTGCGGCGATGGGGGCCCGCGGGCCGACGGTGGTGATGGGAGGGCCTGCATTCGCGTCGGCTCCCAGGACGTCATGGATGTGGTCAACGAGGCTCTCTGGCGGTTTGTGGCAAACGATGATGGAATGGACACTGGGGGCGGGGGGGGAGCCGGGTGTAGGAATGGAGAAGGACACCGGCACCGGCCTGCGACAGGGGATATTATGGCGAGGGTTGCGCGTCAGAGGGACGCAGAGGACGGGCAGGTTGTCACCCTGGCAGCGGCCGGGGCCATGTGGTGCGATGACCCAGGCGCGATGGTGAATTGGGCTTTGTACCACGTCTGAGTGGCTTCTACCGGAAGAGGAGAGGATGAGTGAGATTATTTCTGGGTGTCAGGCAGATCGCATGGCAATTCCACTCAACAAGCAGTTAGCCATCGCTCTCTCGCTTGAAATCCCCCCATACTTCCGAGGTTTCCACTAGGCCTTATTGATGCCATTAGCTTTGTCTCCGTAAGCCTGTTCACAGATATCGTGACTCGACTCTGGATCAAACCCATGGTTGTGGTAGCATATAGTCATACCCATGTCCACCTACGTTCTACACTCCACGTCGACCCCTTTCTTGTCAAACCTGAGTGACAAGTACCGTGCCATCATTAAAATCGACACTGTGTTGCCGCCGATACCGCTGGATAGCTAGGTAACTGTCGCCGCCCTGAGCCGGCCTGGGGAACCCTAACTTTCCCACCGACGCATTCGCTAAGGGGTCAGCAAAAAACATCCGCACCCAGGACGTTACCTAAGCTAGCCGCTGCAATCAGACAACCATCCACGGTGAATTCCTGCCGGACGATCACTTCTTCCCTCGGAAAAAAATACCAATAGAGAGCAGGAAAGGCGATGGCGACGGCACCAGTCCACCCGCGCGTCGGCGTCGCGGCGCTCATCCGCAACGCGGCGGGGCGGTTCCTGCTCGGAAGGCGGAAGGGCAGCCACGGCGCAGGTACGGAGCTCCGTTTCTTATAGTAGTAGTTTTGAGGTCGTTCTGGCCGGCCGGGTACCCACCTCCGACGGGTGCGTGCATCCGTCAGCGCAGACACCCGGAAGTACTGCCCTCCCCCTTCCCCTTCTCCCTCCCCCTCCCGGCCGCGCAAGAGAAAAGAGAGGAAGAGAGAAGAGAAACGAGGAAGAAACAGAGGCGCGGAGACCACCGCTCGCTAACGCGACGGCTTCGCAGGGACGTGGGCGTTTCCGGGGGGGCACCTGGAGGCGGGGGAGACGCTGGCGGGGTGCGCGGAGCGGGAGACGGCGGAGGAGACGGGGCTGCGGGTGCGGGGCGCGGGGGTGGCCGCGGTGACGAACGACGTGTTCGCCGCGGACCGGCACTACGTGACGGTGTTCGTGGCGTGCCGGCTGGAGGACCCGACGGCGGCGGCGGAGCCGGCGGTCCGCGAGCCCGACAAGTGCGAGGGCTGGTACTGGGTCAGCTGGGAGGAGATCCGCCTGTGGTGCGCCCACCACGACGACGCCGACGACGTCGCCGCCCCCGAGTGGGCCCACAACAGGTGCTTCCTCCCCGTCCGCAACCTCCTCCGCGACTACCCCCAGCTCCCCCTCTCCCTCCCCACATAGCCGCGCGGTTGGTGGCGCCAGGGGGTTGACGGGGGTGTTCCGACTGCGTTAGAGAGGTTACGGGGCGCACCTCACTACGGATAGGTATAGCCGTGCGTAGGCGCGTTGCGGTATTTCTTGGGCGATTCGCCGAGTGATGATAATATTGCTCTAAATCAGAAGCAGCCGCGACGTTCTTGATATTCACAATTTCAACGTGTGTCCTATGTGCCGGAGGCTGGTAAAACTAGTAATCTACCCGTCTATCTATCTAGCCACACTCTTACTACGGCTTTCTCCCTCCCTCTGTCTGCCTACAGACTATTTTCGATGGCGGCTAGCTCTGCCATCTGTGCGGCGATCTCAGCCTTCGCCGCGTCGGTCGGCTCGAGATACGGCCGGCGGGGTTTGAGCTTGTTGGCTGCGTCCTGGATGCCGGCAGCCTTGGCGGAGTGGATAGCGACGGCGTACTTAGTAGCGGCGATGCCAGCTTTACAGGGCTGCTCGGCGAGCGCGGCCTTCTGGTGCAGGGCGAGGGCAGCAGCGTGCTCGCCGGCGCGGTGCAGGGCGTAGATGCGCGAGATGACCTTGGGGAACACGTTGGCGAAGGCGGCGATGCAGCCGGCGGACCCGACGCTGAGCCCGCCGATGAGGAAGTCGGACTGGCCGCCGAAGGTGGCGAACCGGTCGGCGGGCAGCTCGGCGGCGAGGCGCGTGATCTTGGCCACGGAGCCGCAGGTCAGCTTAACGCCGACGATGTTGTCGTGGGCGCGGGCGAGCCGCGCGACCGTGGCCGAGTCGAGGTCGACGCCGTTACACACGCCCGGGAAGTTGTAGACGAGCACGGGGAGCGGGCTCGCGGCTGCCACGTCGGCGTAGAAGCGGTCGACCACCGCCGCCGTCGTCGCCTTGCCGAAGTACCCCGGCGGCAGCACCAACGCGTAGTTGGCACCGGCGGCCGCGGCGTCGGCGATGAATTCTAGGACCTGGCGCGTCGAGTGGCCGCCGCACCCGGCCATGATGGGGAAGGCGGGCCCGCACGCGCGCCGCGCCGTCTCGAGCAGCGTCCGACGCTCCTCGCGGGTCAACAAGAAGGTCTCGGCGTTGGTTCCTAGGATGACGAGCCCGGCGAGGCCCGACTTCGAGAGGTAGGCGTAGTACGTCGCCTGCGACTCGGTGTCGAGGGTGTCGGTCTCGGGGTCGAAGAAGGTCACGGCCGGCGCCCAAATGCCGCTAGGGGGAACCTTGGGGAGTGCCATAGTAAAAGAAATCGCACAACACGATCGACAAAGAGAATGAAGCCTCTACGTTTCCCTTTCGTTTGTTTTTTTGAAGAATCAGGGCCTCTACTTGGTTCCGATCATTCTTTCCCACCTCCTGCGACGACGGCGGCCGCTATAGCCAGACGTAGGTAATATACCCGACCGGGGTCGGGGCAGCGCGGGGCGCGGGGCGGGTGGCGTGGTAGGGTTCGGTGCATCTGAGCCGATGGGCTTCCCTGTTGGCCTTCCGCTCTCGGCGCCGCCAAGCAGACCCTGGATGCCAGGGGGGTGTCCTATCGGAAGGCAGGGAATGTAGTGATTGTTATACACGTATGTATGGCTCATGATGCTTATGCCGACAGACGATATTCTACTTTGGCTGTAGGTATTGAGTCTCTCAGGGGTTGACGATGAGCTGCGGGGGTAAGCTCGGCTCACGGAAACCAGGGCTATCATACTCTGTGAGCTAGCTCTCTGGCTTGCACGCTTATGGCGGATGAATTAACTGGTCTCGTCCTGTAGTTATGCCTGGCAGACTTAGCCCGGTGTGAGATGATGCGATCGCGACACTTTCTAGCGCTCCTATTACCGCGCGCGTCCGTGGTGGACATCTTCCCGCGTCCTGAATTTTGGCCGCATAGATTGACTGCATTTTGCGCGACTTAGGGTGGTCTTTGGATGAATTTCCTCGGGCGAAGGGGATAGTCGGGCTCTTCCACACTCTGCCATGCTGTGCCTACTATTGACTGATTTCTAGACGAGTATGCTTTGCATTTGCTGGTAGGTAGAAACGAGGGACTTGGCTTCACGGCAACGGGTCACGTGCCACACCTGAGTGTCGGAGGATTCAGACATCCGTGACAGTAACATGAATAGTAGCAGTGATCGTAACGAGAATAGAATTTCAGCCATTACGGGTAACGTACCTTGGGTAGGTACCTAATTACAGGGCACCATGGAGATGACAGCTTCGTCCCCCTTCGACTTCAGCAGGATGACGTAATAATTCCTGGGCACCTCACCGTGCACCACACCCCACTTTCCTCACGTAATAAAACTGCGCTGTAGGTACCTAGTACAGTTGATAACCCTCTGGCGCCGTAGGACATGGATGTACCACGGTACGTACACGCCCGCAACACGTACCCAGGTACCCCGGGTATCCTATTCTTTTGCGCCTTTCATGACTCGCTGCCTCTCATCCCTCTCTCCATCCTACGTTCGAGGTCTTACCGGCCATGACCAGCGCGACAGGCGCCCACATTTCTCCCCGGCTCGAAGCCTGTCGCGACTCGCTATGCTAGCGAAAGCCCCGACCGAGAATACCCAATGATCTATCCAAGTGGTTCCGTCTCGCGCCTCTCTCGACCCTCCCGACACGAGCCATGATGTTATCGGACTGGGATAGTAGCACCAACCCGTCGGCACTGTCGCCATGTACAGCCAACACAAGATCATGAGGAGGCTACTTGGCCGACAGAATCCTGATCCTAATTCTCACGATGGCTCCATCGGCGTCACAAGCTCGCCCATGATCCCGACCCTGCGCCCGAGCGCCTCCCAAGATGCCGTGTACCCCTCTGCCGCCCCGGTAGCCTGCCTCGACCGCTCCGCCGACGGTCGCACTGCCGTCTTGGGCGGCCGCCACATTCTCAAGACTATACGATTCGATGGACTGCAAATCAAGGAAGGGATCGATGTCCGCTCCATCATCACTGCCCAACCCGCGAATAAGAGCAATGCCAGCAGCGTCACGGCGGACCAGCTATCGATCAAGGATGCGCGCTTATCATCCCACCATGGCAGCGACCTTACTATATTCACCGCTTGCGCGAACGGCAAGATATTCATGTACGATATGAGTCGCTTGGGGTCGGGGTCCGGCGTCGAGTTCATCCAGAGCAGAGAAGATTCCAGACAGATCAACAAGCTGGACTTCAACCCCCACCGGGGAACGTACTTGCTATCGGGAAGCCAAGATGGCACGGTGCGCTGTTTTGACGTGAAAGCCCGCGATGCTGAGCGGAGCGGCCCGACTTTCCGGGTATTCCAGTCTTATCGCTGCAACGCCGACGGAGTCAGTGATGTGAAGTGGGCACCTAAGGATGGCATGATTTTTGCCTGCGCGACCGACTCCGGCGTCGTCTTAAAGTGGGATATGCGCAAGGCCACCGCCCCCCTCCTGAAGATCAATGCTCATGATACACAAAAGGGAGCCTCTTCTATCTCCTGGCATGCCGACGGCGACCATCTAATCAGCGCCGGGCTAGATAGCAAATGCTACGTCTGGGACTTGTCTAAGGATGCGGAAAAGAGGCAGAAACCGAAATGGACCATCAGCACTCCCGCACCCGTCACCTCCGTTTCGTGGAGGCCGGGTCTCTGGTCGGCTACCGCCCAAGGGCGTCGAGCTGCCCAGATCGCCGTTTCGTACGACGATGGCAGCCACGGGAAGAAGAATGGTATCAATTCGGTTCACGTCTGGGATTTAGCCCGCCCAACGATGCCGTACAAGGAGATCGACGTATTCGAAAGCTCGCCCAGCGCCCTGCTCTGGCACGACCAAGATCTTCTGTGGACAGCCGGCCCAGATGGCTTCGCTCAGTGCGACGTGGCGTTCGCCCCCAGGGTCATGGACCGGCAGCCGCTCTCCAGTCTCGCATTCTCTCCCCGAGGAGAGGCGCTCATGGTTCTCGAAGAGAGGATTCACTCGCCCCGGCCGCGCCCGACGATAATGGTACACCAAGGGCTGGCTACTTCTTCGTATAGCTCTAGTCCCACCGGCCAAATGCTCAGCATTAGTCGAAGCGACTCTGAAGAGGACGTGATAGGCAGTTTTATTGGCGCGAGACGCCGGCCGGCGGATAGGCGCCGCGCGGGCAGCCGACCGTCTCAATCCCTCAGCACAACGCCGCCGTCTTACCACGGCGGGGACGACAAGGTTATTCCTTTAGACCAAGTCATGAAATTAGCCGGTCCATTCAAGCCGCAGCAGGTCATGGCAATCGGCCGAATCCCGGCGGCTCCGAAGATAGACATGTATCGCCATCTTTCCCAGCAATATCTGGAAATTCTCGACCAAGATCTTCCCCGCACTAGCGGAGGGAAGCCGTTTGACGAGCGGGTAAATGGGATTATGGAGCGGTATGCACGAGCTTCGGAACGCGTCAGCCAATTTAGGCTAGCACAAACGTGGCGTATATTGGCTTATGCTGTCGGCTTGCTGCTCTCTCGTCGTTCGCAATACCATCTTCAGTTGCGATTAGCCCGCCGTGATAACCCCATCATCCACATCGACGGGGCTGATCCCGACCGCAAAGCGATATTTTCGCAGGCGGATATGTCCCCAGGCCTGATAATGAGCGGAGATGACACGCCGAGGAAGCCGTCCTCTGTGACATCTCTAGAAGGCCTCCACCACCACCCCGGCAAGTCGCTGCTTGCTGAAGAGATTGTGAGCGAATCGAATGTGCCGACGCCGATAGCTCGGCCGGTTGGAGAAGAGCTGGGCGGCTACCGGGGACACTTCGACGGGGGAATACTGACTTCGGTGGAAGAGATGGATAGCCTCAACCTACCACCAGCCATCATCCCGGAGAAGCCTAGCCCGCGGAAGCGGCTTAATTCTGCATCCTTCTCTACCGCCAGCGAGGATAGTCAGAGATCGCACACTGAAGGCTACGATTTTTACGACTTGGAAGATGCTTCCGAAGGTCTCGTCAAAGCGATCGATGTTCCTATGAAGAGGGAAGTTCCCATGCCGGTATCCAGCTTCAGACAGCCGGGGAGCCCAAATAGACGGCGAAATCCTGTAGTTAGACACGATTCCGACGAGAGCTCCACTCAGATGTTTTCGTTGTCGGATGCAAATGGAAAAACTTCGACAGGGGCCGGCTTATTTGATGGGACTACACATCCAATCCTCGAGAGGGCCGAGAGACGCGGCCAGGATTCGGAAGAAGAAGAAGCAGAATACGGGAGTAGGATTAGGGGAAGGCCGATCGATGAGTCTCCGGAGAGTGGAGGATATCCGACCCGACTGTTATTGGAAAGGCAGGACTCCGCCACCACCGAGGACTTCATGATATCCCAAACCACCAATTACACGACCGACAGCGACCCATTACAACCAGCAGACGATTACTCGCCTCGGAAGGATTCTACCCAAGAGGAGAGCTTTCCTACGAGCTTAGGCCAGAACGGGATCAACATAGGTCATGGGGACGAACCTCAGCCGTTGCATGTGGCAGATGCCGATTTCCTTCCTTGGATGGACGACCCCCCATACCCTCATCCTATAGCGGGCGATGGTAATCCTCAGGCTCCAGTTTCTCCTATTAATCCATACGAGATATTGTCACGAGCGTTAGCTTTCGAAGCGAGGAAATCTACCTTGAATGCGTCAGCCATGATTCTCCTCTTGAAGCCGCTCGTGCCTGACGATGTGATCGACTCGTACCAAGCCGCCTCCATAATTCGACAACACCATAGTCGCCTTATGAACATGAAGCTGTTCGTCGAGGCCGCGTTACTGCGCAACGTTTGCGTTCGCGGGTGGCCGGATGGCCTCGGAGACTGGGGCGAGAATTACACTGCGGTTTTCACCCAAGCTCAACAGCGTGTTTCCGTAGGTTTCATTTGCACGCAGTGCCACAAGCCCCGCGAGATCGACCGCTCGGATGTCAAGGGTCCCGGCGTCTGGAAATGCGACCGCTGCCGTGCCGTAGTAGCGCCCTGTGCGGTCTGCGGACATCGAGACGCTACGGCTCAGCCACTTTCGGCAGTACCTATTTCGGAAGGGATTGAGACGATCGCGCGCCCGTCAGATGAGCCTATGTTATCTACGTGGTGGTATTGTCCCGGCTGCTCCCACGGCGGACACGCAACCTGCCTCCAAGATTGGCACGCGCCCGTCCCGCCAGTTCCGAAAGCAAGCAAGGAAGGATTCGCGGCTACAAACCCCTTCGCGTTTCAAGACGACATGTTCCCGGAGACGAACAGCGACGGCTGTTGTCCCCTCGACGGCTGCGGGCACGCGTGCCTCCCCGGCCGGTGGCGCAACGAGAGCACCGCGGCCCGCACTGAGGAGCTGGGCCGCGTGGTGCGCGAGCAGACGCGCGGCAGCATCCCGGTCACCGGGATCCGGAAAAACGGCGGGGGCAATAAAGATCGGAACGGCCGGACGGGGAGCGGCAATAGCAACATCAATAGCACGAGCACGTCGATGGCCTCGACGCCGGTCCGCGGCGACGCCATCGAGGTGCCGCAGAGCCGGGCGGTCGAGAGCGTGCGGGAGACGCTGTCGGCGCCGGAGCAACTCTTCGGGGCGGGCGCGGGGCTGAGCGGAGCTAGCGGCGGCAGCAGCAACGGCGGCGGCGGCGGAGGCGTCTTGTCGGGTATCCTGAGCTCGAGCCCCGGACGCATAGCGGCGGCGGCGGCGGCGGCGGCGATAGGCGCGACGGCCGGCGGCAGCGGAGGCTCGGAGCGCAGGAAGAGCGTCAAGTTCGCGGGAGCGGCCAACGAGCGGCGATAGTTTCGGTGGCCCCGCCTCGGGCCCCTCCCGGCGGACGCGGACGCGCGGGCGGACGAAGGCGCCCGTTTCATTCGTTAACCTTTTTCGCACGGTAGATGAGTTACGTTCATGTTTCGATGTGGAAGCAGGAAAGAAAGAAAGAAAGAGACGATTCATGCGCACGATGCGAGGCCGTGTTACGGAGACTCCCGACGGCGGTCGAGGGCGATCAGACTGCGCCGTGTCGCGCCTAGTTGGTTCCGAACAGGGCGGCGCGACATATCCGGGTGCGGCCGGCGAGGAGATGTGTATATCGTGTACGAGTAAGGGGACTTGTGCTGTTGCTCTATTATTTTGTTCTGCATTTTCTCCGCCTGCCCGGTGGATGGCGCCGGCAGGCTTATTCCCCGGCGACGGGCTCACACGTAATACCGGCCAGAGAAGTGGTTGTTTTTGTAGCTGTAGTAGTTATAGGAGTAGTGGAGGTGATAGTGGTAGGACTAGGAGGACCTCCAAGGCGCGGCCGTATCCCCCCCTATGTCGGGGTGAAATAATGTGTGTTCTTATTCCTTACGCTTGGTCTTCCTTTAAGAGGGAGAACAATATCAGTTGACAGCCCTGTCCCGCGGTCGTCTCAGGCCCACGACACACAGGCCCGCCGCGCAGCGCCCATCTTAAGCGCCGGGCTTACTCTATGTATGTAGGCGAGGCGGTTTCGCTCGCCCGCCCGCCCCGCCTCGTCCGCCTCCACGCCCCCGCGCTGACGTGTGTATGCATCTCCCCGCGGGCAGTCGACGTTGCGCACACCGGGCGGCCTCTGCACGCGGAGTCGCACGGCAGAGGGCGCGCTGGAACCGGGACAGTGTTGTCTAGGAGGCAGGGTTGGAGGAAGTATTATGAGACACACGCTCGCATACACCGTATTACGTGCAACCATACGCCAAGCCAGCTGGTACGAGTACACACGGCGCAACAGTATTACTATTACTACATCCGCCTCTTGTTGCGTCCTCGTTCTGTCCCACGTAGAGTAGTCCTACTCTGTATCCTCGCTCGCCTCCTCGCTCTGCCCTCTTGCTCCCGGCCGCGTTCCCGAACCAACACCATCTCCGTTCTTGCTTCCCGCCAGCTAACCACGGTTTCTTCGCTCCCGTTTCCTCTCCTTCCCCCTTTTCTTCTAATTATTCTAGTTCCTAGCGGTGTGCCTGGTATCAGGCACTGCTGGTGGTGGTATACGCCGCCGCGGCCGCGGGGAGCAGTAGAGCAGACATAAAATAGAAAAGGAACAAAAAGGGTACATGTATAAAAGAAAACTAGGCTTGTGAGGTATGTCGTATTGGGGCGGGATGAGGCGTCGCTCTTCTAGCCGCGAAACCTCAGAAACTTCAAGTTATTTCAAAAACGTGCGGAACCATCCCCCCGGCTCGTCAGGCGTGCGCCCCGACGTTCTCCCGCATCCCCTTCGTCCGCAGCGTGAGCCTAGCACTCTCGTCAAACGGCACACCGACTACGGCACCGGAAATGCTCTCGTCATGGCTCCCTACCGCGGCAGACAGGGCGGCGGTGGCGACTAAATTTCCGTTACTCGTGGCCGTGGCCGTGGCATTCTCGTCCCTCCCGATGGCTCGGCCCAACAGCCGCTCTCGATGTCTACCGCCGAGGGCGTCACTATCCGCACTACCAGGCCGACTACCGCCCGTACTGCTAGCCCCGTCATCGGTGATGGAGCCGCCGCCGCTGCCCATCCTGCCCCTCAGCCGGCCAGCCCACAGCCCGCGAACGCCGCCGCGCTTGCGCTCGGGCACCTCGTCGCGCCCCGCGCTGCACACGTATAGGAGGTACTTGAGGTTCGGCAGCGTGTGCCGGATGTCGACCACCTTGAGCCCCGCCGACGCGACGCACAGCGCCTCGATGTCCTTGTTGAGCAGGAACCAGCCGTAGTCGAACCGGTACTGCGAGGTCGCGCCGCCGCGCAGAAATAGCGGGAATTCGCGCTGCGAGTCCGGCAGCAGCGAGATGTCGTCGCGGATGCTGCTGCGCGACCCCAGGGGCGAGACCGGGTACGGCAGCGGCACCGCTAGGTAGTGCTGTAGGGCGTCCGCGAGCTGTGCCACGTAGCCCAACCCGGCCGACAGCGAGTCCTCGGTCGCTGCCGACGACGTCGGGTCGTAGTCCGTATTGGGGAGCGACACGCCGCAGATGCTGAAGGAGAGCGCCGCGCCCGAGGGGTCCGGGGTGATGGGGAAGATGCGCGTAAGGTCCTCGCATATCCGGCGCCGCTGGCCGTGGATGCCCTCGCGCGTAGACGCGAGGAGAGCCCTCGAGGCCGGGAGCTTGGTCTGGGCGTGCTTAACGTCCTCGCGGGCCTTAGCCTGCGCGGCCCGTCCTTCGCTGATCGCAGCACGGCGGGCCTCGATAGAAGCCTGGAGCTCGGCGCGTCGTGTCTGTGCTGCGCGAAGGGTGCGCGTCTGGGCGGAGACGTATTTCGACGCGACCTGTGCCGACTCCTGGGCCTGAGAGACGACGTCCGGCGGGGTGCGTTCGAGTATAGAGTTGATTTGCGCCGTGAGCGTCTCGCGGGTAGCCAAGGCGTCCTGTATGGAATTGTCGAGGTTCGAGAGCTTCATCAAGGCATTATACGAGGAGGTCGGTAGGGCGGGAGTCTGCTTCGGCTCGGGCTTCGCGCCGGAGAGGTCGAGGGAGTATATGCCATCGATAAGGTGAAAGACGAGCGAGTTCGGGGGGAACTGACGGCCTCGCAAGGTTCCGAGATAGTTCAAGCAGCGTAGATCCACGGCCTCGGTCAGTAACAAGGTCCAGCAGAGCTGCCTCTTGGCCCATATCTTGATGGTGATTTTCGACTGTCTCGTGATAGACGGTCCAGCCTGCGACAGGTCGAAAAAGCGGAAGTTGAAGTTGATGGAACGCTCGCGCACCTCGCTGATATAGAGAGGCTCTCCCTCCTCTCCACAGTGCAGCGAGAAGAAGACGTCAGCCGCTCTACTGTCGACCGCGTACTCGAGCTGCTTCTGGCGGGTCACAGGGTTGGCGCCGGCAAGGGTGCTCCGACGTCGCGCATTGGCCCGCGGCATCAGGCTGTCGGAAGATCGCGCATGATGAAGCCGGGACGGGCCGTCGTGCAGGGCCAGCGTCTTGGTAGAGGGGAGGTCGGCGTCGAGGTCGTCGATGGCCCGGCCGTGGGGCCGCGTAAAGCTCAGGTTGCGGAGGTATATCCCCTGGAGATGTCGTAGGCGCCGGTTCTCGGGGAGCATGATTGGTAGTGCTGCTGCGTGGGCAGCGGGCTCACGAGGACGGTCATGGGTGGAAAGATGGGAAAAGATGAATTTCGGCGTTGGCGATGACGAATTGCAGGGCGTCGGACAAGGGGGGGGAAGTCTTTGCTTGGACGAAATTACAGGTACGAAGTCGGTCTCTGATTATGTAAGGAGAATCCCGACATGATTAAGGTTATGTTGCCAAGACTACGTCATATACCGTTTACCCGCATAGTATGCACCTAGAAGTAAACCCGCGCCCATCAAAGCGAGTATTCCATTTTCCATCACGGCGCCATGACCAGCCAGCATTACTATAATTCCACCACCATCCATCTCTCTGTCCTCTTTCCACACTATATTACCACCTCGTATATTCATCACGTAAGGATTCCTGCAAAGGTCAACGCTGGGCTACGAAATGGGTGTGCCGACAGATCCTGCCTCCCGTCGACGTGTCTCCCGAGGACGATCGTGTTAAAGACCTTACCATCCCGACGGGTTTCGCTGCCTAAGATACCATCAGTGTAGTAGTCGGCATGTGTTTTGACTTCCACAAAAAGGCATGCGGCGGTTACGCAAAGGCCCGGTTAGCTGCTTGGCTAGCGAAGGTTCATGGGATCTTTGCTTCTCGGAGAAGTTGGCGCGATTCTCATGCTCAGTCAAATAGGATGAGAAACGTGAACACCTATATGCCTTCGAGAGGCTACTATAACCTATGCAGCTAGCATTTGACCCCATATCTTCCTAAGTTAGGTCTCGAATGAAGGCTATATAAATGAACTCGCCCAATGGAACAACGTATGCCTTGAAGTTGTCAGGCACACAATACCGCTACCGAGTTCAACCTACAAGCTTCTACCTCTATAAGCATGGGGAATGTCTAGTGCTGGCCCTCACCGCAGTACCTTCGCATCTCGGCACCCCATAGCAAGTGCAACGACGGAAGAGAACGCACAGAGGTGTCTACAACACGTACCACGAGCAGAGCATATCCTAGAACCTTCCCACCCATCTTCCCAATTTAGTACTGCAGGCGTGGCTTCTTGAGGCCCCTCTGCTCCTCATATTCGCCACGTCGAGCCACTTTTCGCCTGCCGAACGTTTCAGGCCCGTCCGGAGACGCGACTTCACGGAATGGCTCAACGTCCAGGCCATGTGGCATAAGGTCCTCCAGGGGAAAGCTCTCCCGGATGGCTAGATTATGCCAGAATGCCCCGTATCGCATAGACTCTCGCATTAGACTAGAGAGAGTGCGGCCTGGGCCAGAACAGTCCTCTACCTCTTCCAGCAGCCTGGGAAATATTTCTGCCTTGTCCTTATAGATCCGTACATCTTCGTTTTTCCACTCGAACGGTTCCGCCTCCTATCAATCACGACGGCGGCGAGGGAAGGAAACTATCAGGGGCAACGTAGCCAAATTCCCTGTCAAGAACTGCTAGAATCCGATTCGATCCGTCCACTAGAATATTGCCGAAGCGCAGATTGTCGCAGAGTAGCTTGTACTAGGCGGCATGCTTGGAAGCGTAACGTTCCGCGAGGGTCGTGAGTATGTGAATAGACCTATAGTCGTCACGCGCCTCCCGCTCGTCTCGGCTAGAAAGGGGGTTATCGAGAAGATGAGAAAGTCTCTGCTCCGACAAAGCGTGAAAATAGTCGGTCGCTAAGTCAAAAGAACCGTCCGCAACTGCATAGAATTTGTCAGCAAATGACTGGCCATCTATGTGAAGAGACCGACTTCCAACTTGAACCCCTCCCAACCATTCTATTTCATTCATTTTGAACATTGCGGGACCTGATGTTACATACCAACGACAGCATATAGTCGCTTCCTCGACCACGGAGAGACTCCCGATATTTTCAAAGTCGTGCTGGAATAGCTGGAGATAGATATTTACAGTCTGCCTGTAGATGGTTCCGACGACTGAATCGGGATATCTTTCTCCAGGGTCCAATCTTCGTCCAGGAGCACGCCGTCTAGCGAGATACGATCGACGAAGCTCGTGATAATATAGGGCCCTTGGCCCTCGAGTTCACCGTCAGCGACGCCAGTGGCAATGGACTTTGGAATGGGGGTCGTGGTGATGTCCTCGAGGAAACGCATCACGACCGCTTCGTTCTGGACCTTACGCATTGCGTTTATCGCATCCCCGGGGACCGGGAACCGGAGGATCTATTCGTTATCACCCTCATTGAAAAGGATTCTCAAGCAGTAATCGAAAGTTTCTCCGATCCGCTGGATCACTCTGCGTGGTTATTCTTGGTGGTGTTGCGGCGCGATCGTTTCGACACAGGATCGATGAGCATGATGGTGGTCGTGTGATGCGAGGAGCGTCCACCCATCTTCCGCTTTCCTCTGGTTCGTAGCAAAAACATTTTTATTCACTCACATCAGGGGGGCAGATTTGTACGTGAGCGAAACCGAGTTAGAGAAGAGGCGATCGTGGTCCGAAGATCAACACACTGCGTTGTTGCATACACAAAATGCCAGAAAACAGGAAAGGGGTACCTACAGACGCGGAGAGTTTGGTTTGAAGAACGCTCAGTAACAAGGGGACGCGGGGCAATCTCGCGAGCGCTCAAGCTGCCCATAGGATACCTTTCACACCTCTGGTACAGATGATGCAGCGGCGTCGATAATGTTGCTGACCGAGGTGGGAAACTAGAAGAAGACAGCACACGGCGAGGCTGTGGCATTCGGGGCTCGCTTCGCGCCCTATGTGCGCCAAGACATAGCGTTGCAAGGGCAATAACTACCTAAGACAAACCCTGTGTTTACCTGTGAGTTAGCGTCGTCCGAAACCACTCCCTCTGCGAGCCCCTGGGGAGAGTTGATAATTATCCTTCTCTAGGCCACCCCCAGCCCGGTTCCTGAGGCATCCAGTGCCTTTCTATGCTCAGCCTATTCAGAGCCAGCTCTGCACTTGTTAAAGCGGCGAGGCCCTACCGCCCAACGAGGGCAACATTCGGAACTTACTACATGTACTCAAATAGCAGAACGAGGCACTGCCACCACAGAACCGGTAAGAGCAAAGTGTGACGGCGGCCATATGACAATAACAAGCCCAAATCGACGCTCGATGCAAGGCTCAAAGATTACCACCTTGACTATGAGTTTAATATAGGTAAGGACTGCGTACGTCTCACTTCCGTGGCAGTCTCATTTTAAGAATTCTTTTCAGGACGAGTAGGGTGTCGCAATTTTGTAGGTAGGTAATATTACCTACCTATTAATAGTTGGCGGCAACGCCTTGCTTGCGCTTTGGCAGTCCCGCGTTCCCTGCTTGGGATAATTCAGAGCGTGAGCAATTCAGTATACTACCTAATAATAGAGATACCTATGGTAACTCCGGCTCAGGACGAAAGGATCACGATTTCTCCAGCATCCGTATCCAAGAAAAGAAATGCAAATGTGTCTACATTTTTGCGTGATTGATTATGACTGTAATTGTGGTTATTGGGGCTCGCCGTGCTTACCCGACCACGCGTATCCTAAGTACTAATATTGCCGGCGAACCTCCGACGTTGCGGACACCATTTTATATTTCCTCTCAAAAACGACCAGCACAAGAAAATATTCGGACCCCGCGCCACGACGCGCATAATCCCACTCAAGTCGTGCAGCAGCAGCCTACGTATGACGAGGTGAGAGCAACCGAGAATCCAAACCACGCAGAACGCGTCCTCTCTCAATCATGTCGCGTCGAACCCGGTCCGTTCCTCGAGCGCGAGCGGTCACCGTCCCGCTTGCGGACCTTGGGTGGCCTCGACTCTCGCGGGTGCGTCTCTGACTGGACATGCCGCTTCAGCCTCGTGCTGTGACGCGATGAATCAGCTGGTTAGTTCTCGGCGCCGGCGAACAGGAGTTCCCCCCCTCGTTAAGACGGAGTTGCTTACATACATGTTACGCAAGTACTCAACCTGCTCCTCTGTAGGTGCGCCGTCAAGCCACTCCGGAGACCCGATAACGCCGGGAAGCCCACGCAGCCCGTCCGCCGATGCCATACCAGCCGACCCCGCGCCCTCGGTCGAGCGAGGTCCGTGGCCCAACGATGACACAGCTGAGATGGCGGACGCAATTGCGCTCCATCGTTCTCTACTGCATTTGTCTCGCAGTGAAGAGCTCGTATCAATGGATAGCAATTCGTATGTCACCATATTGCTCAAATATCTCTTCAAGGGGGACACCGTATTCATTAGTTGAGCCGAGGCTTGTTCTACAGCCGGGAGGGCGTTCTGGGTGAGTGTGAGCAAGATTCCGGGGGCCCCGATTTCTAATTCCTTTACCCGTTGATGTTGAGCGATTGGCCTAGAAGGAGGCACTGGAAATGAAGGTATAGTCGACAAGAAGCTGCGAGAAATATGGTTAGATGGCGAAGTCCTCTCGACATCTGTGGTAGATGTTGATGTGATCTTACAGCTCGTGTTCACTATTGGTTAGACTTATCGTAGTGTCAACAAGGGAGGACTCTCGAAGGAGATCGCTAATCTCCTCTAAGGTGGCACCCCAAGCGCCTATGCCTTGAAAGAAAATGCTCTCGGACTTGACCATGGTTGCAGAAAGAAATTGACTCTATGATAGGCAAATAGGAGAGAGAAAAGAGGATACTCTCCGAAACCCTCTTGTCGAGTTTCCAACCTCCGGCCAAATCGCGTTTTATAAGACGGCTTACCTTCCTCTACATGCTCGGGGTATCAACATACGGGTGACACACGAACCCTCTGGTGGCAGCTTTTTTTTCCCTCGGCATTTTGTGACAGGGCAGGTAGGGCGCTCAGCCGCGGCCGAGCCTCGGGGTAAGTAAAACAAGGCATCTGCGAGTCGACGTCCTCAAGCAAATGAGGAGAAGTCAGAACCGTCGCCCTCGGCCCCAGATCCAAAGCGTACGTGGCAGGCAGCCGGGCATCCGGGGGAGATGGCATAACTAGGTAGGGGAGGACAGGGGGGGGGGTAGAATAAGATAGGTAGTAGTCGATTCGATGTCCCCAATGAAACTCGACAAAAGGCGGTGATGTGATGGTGTATGCGGATGATAAGGCAAGCAAGTGGAGGAATACTACCGGAGCGACGAGCAGATCAGGAGAGGCGAACCTGTCCCGGAGGGCTGGAACCTTTTTTAGGCGCACGTAGGACTGGGGGTCCCCGGTACCGCGACCCGACGGTCTGGGTGTAGCCTGGCTACAAGCACCTAGCCATCTTACGACATGGAGGTGACTACGACATGACCTACATCGAGTTTTGTCGCGAGCATGCAACTAGCGGTGACACCTACGGACTAGCCTATAGGGGGCACCGATTCGGTATGTGATATTGCAGGCACAAGCCAGCGTGCCATCACAAATTATTCAGCGACGTCCCCCCCTGGGCCATTCCCCATGGCGCTGCAGGTTGGGTATGCATGTTGGGACGTCCAACAGCAGGGGGGAGGGGGAGGGTAGGGCTCGCCATGGCGGCGGCAGTGGGTGGGAGGCGACAGACATATCACACGTGTAACCCAGCGTCACGTCGATCGACCTGGCAGAAAAAGCCCTTCGTTCTCATGACTCAGCGGCAAGAGAGGGGGAGCGGCTGGAGGGACGACGTCGGGGCGACCGGATGGGAACGTCCTCTGATCAAAACGGTTACATCGATGCACCCCGAAGACAGGCGCTAGGCGGAGGGTCGAAATTTTACCAGCGCGATACGATGCCGGCAAGAATGCTACCTTGCGCGACGAGTAAATCAGACCCCATAATTTCCAGTTTTTTAAACACTCCTTCTGCCGTTTCAGAGACAGGGGGGGAGGGGGGTAGGGGCGGGTCGTCAAGTAAGCAGGGTGCCAAATGAGAGAAGAAGAAGACGAAAAAGAAGGCATCGGTATGATGGGTGGTGCGTGGAACGGCTCCAGCTCCCGGGACTGCTGTCCACGATGGCAGCCCTGACCTACGTGGTACCCGTTCATTACGCCGTGCCTCGGGCTTGCATACGACTTGGACTCTCCTTGGGGGCCGCATTGAGATCGCTACGTTAGGAACACAATATCGAGTATGCCTCGCTTGGCTCTCGAGTATTTCCGCGTCGTGTCCGGGCTGAACGTTCCCTGTTGATAATATGCGCAGATTCTTCATTCTTTCACCTAGGTATTATTGCCTGCCACTGGTTACGCCGAGCCGAGATCTCCGGTGCCTTGCATGACCAAGATCAACTTTCTCTCTCTCCAGGTGAAACAGAGGGAAAAAAAGAGAGAGGGCACCCCTGCGACCAAACGCCGGATAATTCGGGGTCTCGACATTTTCCTTGCAGCGGTCTTCTAGCTTCGTTTCGCCCGGGTGGGCATTGCTACCTACCGTAGAGTCTATCCGACTAGGCTCATGCACCGCAACCCCCCCCCCTCTCAGGGGCCCGTGTTTAATATCGCCGGTACGGCTCGCGGGGGTCGAGGCGCGTCTGGGACTTCTCATTACTGTTGAGCGGAAATTACCGGAGCCCAAGATCGCTCGCGGAAGGGTATCGAGTGACCGAAATAGACGACAATAGGGCCGGCGCCCAACCAATTCGCATACAACTCATTCCCCTCGTTCCCTCCCCTCGTCCCGAGGTACAACGCCGCCGGCACTTGGGAAGGTCCTTGGATGGTGCCGGGGTCAGGACAAGATGGGCAAAAGCTTGGCGTATCCAAAGTTTACGATCCCCGATTACGCTATCGGCGCGGGCGTACGAGCGCATGCAGGCGACGACGACGAGGGTGGCGCAGGCGAAGCATGGGTAGGAATCTTAAATATGGGCGAGAGAGCCAGAAGTTGGCGTGCGTGTGACAACTTCGTAGGAGTTGATCCGATTTCTTCGCAGTCACGCTCGCGCCTGGGAGAATCACCTATAGGTATCAAATCCTCTACCAAGGAAAACGATCCCTGTCTTTGTTCCTATGGTACGCAGAAGCTCGCGACCCTGCGTTCAAGCCTAGAGTCCAGAACGCAGTCCGGCGCAACCTCGACGCAGCGCTGCTGATCCCCCGTATCGACCTATCCGCGACAGGATATTCGAATTGTGTGGAATCATGCGTGTAAAATTTTTTTCTCCCTTTGGGTTAACCCCCCTAGCAACACACCGTTGCAAAGCAGGACGAGACGTACGTGTTACTCAATAACTGAAGTGCCAGTAAAGGCACGTAGTCGTACCGAATATGGATAACCGACACCCGAGGGCGATGCCAGCGGGCCAGTTATTAATAGAGTAGCCCTGACGGGTGAATAACATGCCCTGCTGACGAGGTGAGCGCGAGCGATCGCGGTCGGCTGGGAAGACGTGGCAGCGGTGTACTCATAATCTCAGTTGTGCGACAACATACCCATGTTGACAAGAGGCTAGGCACGTCTGCCCTAATAACAATGAAACTAACCTTCTCCAGCTCCGTTGAGAGACGAATAGGAACGCGACAATACACAAGCAGATGGGGATGGGCATGGGAATAGGAACTCGGATTAGGATCCGTATAGAAAGAGAGAGAAAGAGAGGGGGAGAAAAAAATTGTACAGTCGTAATATTCAACCACCCCTGTCAACACCCTATTTCGACCACCACGGGGCGGACGTGCGAAGCGAGGACTCTCTAGGCCTACGTAACAACTCGTCACAACTCAGCTCCCGTCGCGATCCAGAGGCAGTGCTAGTAGTATCCCCCTCTACCAACCCATGGTAACCCCCCCGCCCCCCCCCTTTCACCGCGTCTGTAGACGTGTTGTCAACCCCCCTCCTCCGCCCCCAACTCGCCCAGCTCACAGCAACTTGGGTCCGCATACGAAATACCTGGGTCATATCCCATCTGGCAAGGCAGAATATGACGAGGCGCGTGTTGGCGTTCGCTGAATTGCATTACTGAGGGGCAAGGGGCCTGGCCCGCGGGCGTCTCCCCGACGGCGGTGTCGTCAACGGAGGCAGGATCCGGACGTGAAGGCACTTCGTTAGAGCACGGGTATCCGTAACTCCGGTTTGTCTGGAGGAAGCACGGTGAGAATACTGTAGCAACGTTGGCGGCCCCGACAGAGTACCCTCGTTCTGCCTTACGTCGAGTGTATTCAGCGGGGTCTCAACGATACCTATCCGAGGGGCGGCAGGTGAGAGACATTTCAGTTCTCTAGAGTACTGAAATGCACACCCCTGTCTGCACTGCTCCTCCCCCGTTCGCCAGCAGCCAGCCCGGGGATCACACAGCGTCGGAGTGTCTCCTACCATCAAGCACAATGCTCATGTCCTGGTGAATGAACGGAAAGAATGGCATCGAGATCGAACCGTGAGGTAGCCGATCTCACTCTCCTCGTCTAACCTGAAACTTTGACAACCCCTCCTTCTGCACCAGCGGGATGGTCCAAGACCCATTCATTGTGGCTATTCAGGAAGTTCATCTCCGTGGCGGCCTCCGTCTAAGTCTTCCCGCAGCCAGAGGTGAGTCAAAGCCATCGTACCTTACAGCCCAGAGACCGATTGCCAACTCTAGGGTTCGATCACCATGCAAACGTTTTGAGAGATGACCCGTATTGTCGCTCAGTTCCTCGCAGAGAAAACCCCCAAACAATTCAAAGAACGCGGTGAGAAGGATGGCGATAACCTTCAAGACCAGAAGTCAGGAACCCCCCCCCCCCCCTCCTCCTCCCCCGCGCACGATCACGAAAAAAAGGAGAATGCCATCAGATCCCACGTGTCGGCCTCACAAACCCTTCAAGGCAATAAAACATGCAGTAGTGATTATCTCCGCTCGGGAACGGTCAGTCGCGGCCAATAGCGAGGCGAAACTAGTTGTTGTTGACAAGTCTCCACGGTGGGAACTCTAGTCCCCCTAACCCAAAAGCTGCCAACTCCCCATACAACCCATAAGCTAGAGTAAGAGCCCGCTCTCTTATCCACAACCTGGATCCACGAGAAGAATGTCGACATCGGAACGTCGCCCGGCCACGGCGGATTTCCGGCGCAGGCGCACTCTGTGGCGACTGGCCGGTAGCCAGCCACAGACACACCCGACAATAATAGCCCTAACAGCTAGGAACACAACAGGCGAGGTGTCCGCGCCGACGCAGCCAACTGATCCTGGCGCACCGGAGGAACTTAGGCCCCCCTCGTCATCGTTCGAACAAGAACAGCAACAGACTAAGAAAGACGTCACTCGGTCGACACCAGAGGCTCGAATCGCCCCGTACGAACAGCAACCGCCCCAACCCGAGGAGGTCCCGAGAGCTGACGGGTCCACCCTCCCCACGTTTCGGCTGGAGAATCCTTCTCTGAGTCCTCTCGCGGAGACCTTCAGCAGGCGAGACTTCCCTGGGGAGATGGTTGATGACATTGCCGCAGTGAGCAGGTCTCAGGACGAGACACCCGCAGGAGCGCCTTTAGCAATTGTTAGGTGTCCGCAGGCCGGCGTCAACCCGATACCCAAAGATGCCGAAGCGGCGGGGTCTGACACGATTGGGACGACAGACTCGAGGGCTCGGTCTGGCCGTATGTGGATTGGATGGCTTTCTCGAGGCAGGCGAAGATCGACCCCAGGAAACGGCCGTCTTCAACACGATCGGTTCCATGGGTGCCTCGGCCTGGTTCGATGCTCGACTTTGCGGTATTATTTGAGGCACCTCTTACGAAGCGAGGAACGCCAAGGAAACGTATGGCCACCCCCTTTCTTTTTTTAATAAAAAAAACCTCCCTCCTGGACAATAGAACAAGGCCCGAGACGAAGAGCCCAGAAAGCAGACGAAGCTGGCTTTAGAAATGGCCAAAGATGGCAGTACCTATCGCCGGCTATTCTGCCGGTACCTAATCACAAAAGAAGTTCGCGGCCCAGGGGAGGAGGCAGATCGTTGACGGGGTCGGAAAGGGGCGTAAACTACGTACCACGGTTTCCAAGGCCGGCGTAGGGGCCCTCCTGCGGCGGAAGATCTGGTGTGAGGCCCTCAACGGCTCGCGAACATGTCAGCTGCTAAACTCCAAACGCATTAGGGACTACGAGAAAACGCCAGACGGTGACTTCGAAAAAAAAGAGTTGCCGAAGAACTTCGAGCGGACCTACGGATAGAGGGCTGGTTTCCTGTCCTCGAGGAACAGGTTAATATTGTTGTTCAGGAAGGCCGAACGAACCCGTCTCTCTTCTTTGCGTCACTCGAGTATAATAGGGCGACGGTTTATTACGCAGGGCCGTTTTCGCCGTGTCTAAGGAAGTGAAGCGGAGTGGTTCGGCGCATACTTTATGTTAGAAACGTGTACGCTAGGATAAATCACGTCGCTCAGGTGCTGCACTTTTCCCCTGCTCTCTGAGCGAACCTCTTCGTCAACAAACGCCGTGCTAGCTGTCAAGCCCTTAGTCCCGCAACACTACCCAAAAATCACAAATCTCTAATGGGAGGCTGGTCCCCTACGGGGTCCGCCAGCGTCTTTCGGAACGAGGCTAATAGTCAGACCATTCGTCTCGTATTTACAGAAGACCGGTCCCCGCGGCCCGCGAAAGGCCTTTCGGAACGGGTCTTTACAAGAAGCCTTTCCTTCCTCAAAGCGTATTCCTCTTCCCTTCTCATCTAATTACGAATTCTTCGAGAGCGAATACTCCCGTCTTTACCCCTTCCATGAGGCAACCGTGCATAACCTCAAGATCAATTATGCAGCTTTCAACCGCCGCGTTAGCTGCCTTGAGAATACAATGGCCCAATGTTGAGGACTTACCTCAATCCCACAAAGCGCCACGAATCCTCTTGCCGGCGCAAGATACACGGCACACTAAGTCCCGGCAGCCCACAGATATGGTCATTTAGACGGATTGCCGCGTCGGTGACACCGCATAATCCCATCTTCGCTGCCTGGAAGCACTGCAGATTCAGAAGGGGTGGAGGGAACATGTTTTCGACGCCAATCTTTTCAGTGTCAACCCATGCTCGAGCCTGGCTACACTCGTGGCCCAAGAAAGAATCCCAGACTCTCTCAAGGTAAGACTCTTCTACTTCGTCAGGTGGGAGCCAACAAATGCGCTTGCCATACCTTACGGCAGGGTCCACCTTGAAGCTTTTCATGATATCCGTGATTCTGGGTTCGATTCTTTGGATCGTGTCCACTCGAAAGCCCGTAACGATGATGGTTTTCGTCTTCAAGTCAAACTTACAACAGCTTTGGGAGTCTCCAGTAAAAGCGAATGTCCATGAGACCTCTCGTGAAAGCTCAACCTTGTCTAGCCACCTCCGTGCGTAGCGCATATGGCAGAACATTGATAGGTGATTGACCGGGAGAGTAAAGTCAGGCGCCCAGGAAGGCAAGCTGAACCTTCTTATCTGGTCGATAGATCGATTGACCTCTACCAACCCAAGAAAGTCGAGATTTCCTTCCTCCTTGTATATCAGTTCCGCGGCGAGCATATAAAGGTCACACACCGTCATATCGCAATACCTCACTTCCAGCTGTGGGTTAATCCCAAATCCGCGAAGAAGCCCTAGGATTCCGTAGACTTTGTCTAGTGGATCGGTGGCTTCATACCTTCTCCCGACAAATAAAAGGGCAGACAAAGGGCGCTCCCGTGAGGGGGTCCCATTCAGATTGTAACCAGATCTTATGCTAGCCTTGAATATTTTTAAGCATTCGAGGAGACCAATACCTCGTAGGGCTGCGTAGAAATGTCGATACTCTCCCGTGACGGCGGTTGCTTCGGAAAGTTCGTCGGTAGAGCTATCCATCAATACTAGTGTCGCCTTGTTAAGTCGAGTCCAACTCGCGCACCAGTGGCCACAAACAAGAATCACGTCCCTCGCCAGGACAATCTCTTGTACAATCCACATTCGCGTCCACCAGGACCGTGAGAAGAAGTGGCCTAGTGCAACCCAGAAGCTTTTGAATTTCCTGTTGTGGGACAAATGGCGCATTGCGGACTTTGCATCGTCCGACCACCAGTCCAATAGATTGGATAGTCCGTAAAGCAGTCGAAGTGCTGGAACGGTGTATTCATCTTCTTCCCCCAGCCAGGCAATGACGGTTGAAGCCTTCGTGTAGATTTCATGCATGAGCGACACTTGTTGACTGCGTTCCTTCTCATTGCTCTGGTCAATACAGACAGCATCCATCCAAAGGTATGTCGGAAAAGTAAACTGCTCATGAACTGTCTGCTGGGCCCAGGTAGGATTTTTTTGACAGACGCAGCTGAGGTCGCAGCAGGACAGTTGGTTTTGCCGAAGTTGCCTGAGTGCTGCCGCTAGATTGGGCCGGATTAAAAGGAGCTTGCCATCGACACCATCTACCCACAGTATAGACTGCGGGGATTCGTCGCCCCACGCGTAGGACAGGGCTTTATATTCCACGTTGGCATCGTCCAGAGACACCCTGTCCAAGGAACCAATGAGGGGAGACCCTGGCGGCCCTGGCCTCAATCGGAGCAGGCGGATTGTCCGACCTGGAAGGGAATCGTAGGTGTACCGAAGATCGGACGCCATGATGGGCAGTGATGGTTTGGCTTGTATAGAGCTCAAATAAGGACTGCTCAAGTAAAACTCGAATTTCAGATCGGGATGTTGAACAAGGAGACCGGACCCTGCAGGCCCGGCCACGGCCTTTCGGAATGAGTCATGGGGGTCTTTTGTGGCCTGGGAATTTGGATTGTGGCCTACGAGGCCCGCTGATGCCTGGAGGAACGAGCCTATGCTGGGCGGCCCGATCAACGTGGCGCATGGTTGTGGCTATGTATGAGCTGCATCGAACATTCTGGCATGAGGCTGCAGCTAGGCGGCCTCGAAGAAGCGGTTGGGATGGACTGGGGAAGACGCGCGGGTGGGTGGGAATGGGCGGAAGTTGGCTGGTACAAGGGGAGCGTAGGTATAATTTATCCATCCTCTCCCGGTTAAGAATAGGATCGTGGCGATGGAGGCGAGGCGGTCGTAGAACTGGGCTACGGTCTCCTTCAAGGCATGATCCAGATAGGTACAGTGCCATTTCGTCCGGCGTCAAACGCCTGCCGGCGACCCGAGTCGCGGTGCCTCAGTATCCACTCGCGGAACAGCTTGCCGTCCGATTGATACGGCGGGGGAGGGTCGCGGCGGTAGGTATTCCTCCAGTTCGTCGGCGCTATTACTTATCCGATACCGTATGGTAGATCCCAAAACAGTTCCTAGAGATTCTGGAGGAACCAGAAAAAACTGTAGAGATAGGTAGAGTCGGGGTCTCAGATGCCTTCTAACTCGTAGTCTCGAATCCAGCCCGGCGGTCACGCAGCCTTGTGGCGCGCCAAAGTATGACCGGGCCCCGAGCAGCAAGAGAGGAGGATGACTTTAATGCTGTGTAGGCAGCTCTCACGGATCTTTTGATGGCCCGAGTTTACTAAGGGCGCGGAAGGAAGAACCTTTCGTTCCTCAAGGCACAAGCTAAGTACCAAGTGTCTTGCAAAAGAAGATGAGCGTCGATTCTAAACCCAATCGCAATTCCAAGTCTTCTTCCTCGAGTCGGCTTGGCGGAACCAAGGATGATCGAGAGCCTCCCGCGCAACGATCCTCCTCGCCGGATCCAAGTTTGTCATCTTCATAACCAAATCCCTGAGCTCCGCGTCCACGTAATGCCACAGCGCAAAAGGCTTTCTCGGTCTCTCGGCATCAAAGTCAATTGCGAGAGCGATGAGCCGGTCGAAAAACACATTCTCCTCTCCAACGTGCTGAAGCAGGCCCTTGAAGCCGTCCTCGTCTCCGAAATAAGATATATGTCTCCGGAGAATATGCCGCCAAGCGTCATCCCCACGCAGCTCTTCGTCGCTCACGCGAAAGATCATGTCGTCGAGCATCACGTAGACGACTACCACCCCGAACGAGAACAGGTCGGACGGCGTGTTCTGCCGAGCACGTGCCCAAGACTCCGGGCTTCGCCACAGCTGGCTTCCACAAAGGCAACCCTTAAGGTTCTTGTCGGGTGGGAGGAGTACTGCATCCTCCAAGTCTGAGATCTGAACACTTTTGATGGCAAGATCGTCGCCGGTCGTCTCTTCATAGTCAAGAAGGATATTATTGGGTTTGATGTCTGGTATGACGTCAGCTCCCTAATTAGGTATTCCTAGGGTGCTACGATGCCACGCAACCAAAGTAGGACTCACCTGTGTGGATGATCCCTCTATCATGAAGCTCGGCTAGTCCGGTGAGAGCGCTTCTGAGGATGCTTCTCTTCGTCTCCTTCGACAAGGGCCTCCGGCTAATCTGAAGGAGGTCGGCAGCCAGAAAGTGATAGACGAATAGTTCCGAGTCTGGGATGATGTCGATGACTGTCCGCAAGTTGGGACACGAAGCTAAAGATTTTTGCAGATCTTGCTGGTACTCGAATTCGCCCGGTATCATGTTTTTAACAACAAAGTTTTCTCCCTTGTCACTTGGCACGGATACTTAGCTTGGAGTCCGAGTCATCGCTTAGGGTTCCGGACGTATATACCTCGCCCGGTAGACACATAATAATGGATCTCGTCGCTCAGAAAGAACCTCCTGGATGCTGTATGTTCGCCCTGAACGGCCGCGAAGAGCTGTTCCTATTGAAAAAGGCTCGGGTTTTGTCTGCGACAGAGACGACATTGTCCGGTGATAAGGGTGGTAGCACTGTTTGATACAGAAGAATCGGGTGGCAGATGGAAATTTGAATTTGATCTGCGTACGGGGCAAAAGGGTCGAAGGAGATTTGTGAAGACTGGATGCTGTTCTTAGACACAAAAGCATAGCGGAGATCTCAGTCTTCGGCATGAACTTATTATTACAGTTGTTGAGGTTAGAATTTTTGAGGTTAGAGTTTTAGCCGACGCCCCCATGCACCTTTTAATTACCAGCGCTTATCCGCATGGTCCAGTACGGAGTCGCATATCTACTACATCTGGGAAACCCCCTATTTTAAGGTCGAACGCCTCATTTTATTATTTATATATACGCCTTTAATTAAAAAAAGTATATATATTTAATATTAGTTTACGATAAGTTTATATTAAAGTTATAATAGCCGTTATTCTAATAGTTTGAAATTATATAATGATATTAAATCTTCTTTATTTTAAGAAATATATAGCTTACAGCGAGGACTTAAATTTGTTTTTAATTAAGAAAAATATTATCGACCTTACTATTATCCCTGCAAGCCATTTCTGAGCACAACACAAGCATCACAAAACCAATGCACCAATTGTTCTCCTTCTGCGTCCCGCAACGTGGCATAAAATCGCCGCGACATCGTGCCCTCGTCCAAGGCGCAATGCTCCGTACGCGATCCCATCGAATAACCCTCTTTCAACCCCGCTCCCTATACTTCTCCGTCAGGGCCAGCAAAAATCAACGGCAGACCAGCTGGTTGGCGCGCTGGGGAATTCCGAGACCACCACTCGGACCTCGCGTCTTCCCAACCTCTGGCTTCGAAACAATAGACGTATTCGACGGCGTCGAAGAGGAAAACCTGTCGATTTACAAGCCCGAGATATTCTATCCCGTTCATATCGGGGAAGTTTTCCAGAACCGGTACCAGGTGGTTACCAAACTCGGATTTGGCTCGAGCTCCACCACTTGGCTTGGCCATGATATTCAGTATGTCTCTCCTGCCACAAACTCTTGTATAATACATTCTAAATGGGGTGCTTCCCCGGAAGGGACGGTAAATATGTTTCTCTCAAGGTCCACACCAACACCGTCCAGAGCAGTCATGAACTTGGGGTGTATGAACACCTGAAGAAGCACACACCCCTCCTGAGCCCGCTTCACATCCGCCCGCTCGAGGGATCCTTCGCGATCCAGGGACCACATGGCAGACATGACATTCTCGTGCAAGAGCCTCTCGCGGTATCTATGCCTGATTTCCAGCACAAGGTACCTGGGAAGGTTTTTCCGTCTTTCCTTGTGAAAGAAGCCCTGAAACAAGTTGTTCCCTGCCTAGACTTCCTTCACTCCGACGCTCATGTCATCCATACCGGCAAGTCGTCCCCTCATCATAATGGCTGCTTCGGGCCCCCAAGCCGAGCCATGAAGTGAGATTTATTGGGTTCTAATTTATGCTGAAGACTTCCATCCTGCAAATTTGCTCATCGGCTTGAGTGATCCGGATGAATGTCTCGCCCAGGTAGAGGAAGCCGAGCTCAAGAGCCCCGCACCACGTAAGGTGATGAAGGATAGGACAATCTACACGTCCTGCGCCGTGTACGGCAACATTGGCCCGTTATATCTTTGTGATTTCGGTCAGGCTCGGATTGGGGATGAGGGGTCGGGAAATGTCATGCCGATCCCGTTCAGGGCTCCAGAGATCATACTCGGTATGAAATGGAGTTATCCGATAGATATGTGGAGTGTGGCGCTTTCGGTAAGAGAACCCCTTTCCAGACCATCTTCTCGCTTCATATTCAGCCCATCATCTGAACCTGGCAGACTTGGTACTTGCTTCAACCGAAGATGCTCTTCGGGGTTTACGATACCGATAACCTGAGGTTGAACGACGCACACCACTTGGCGAACATGATTGCCTTGCTCGGTCCACCTCCGTTGGACTATCTCAAACGGAGCGAGAAATACTTGGAGTTCTGGAATGAGAATGGTAAGTCGACTGCGATCCAGCAACAGGTAAGGACTAACTGATTCTTCGTTTAGGTGACTGGAGAGGAATCGCTCCTATACCCCAGGAGAAGACCCTTGAGTCTCTCGAGAAGTCACTAAATGGCGATGAACGGGCGAGGTTCTTGGACTTCGTTAGGGCTTTGCTTCGTTGGGCCCCAGAGGAGAGGCTCACGGCCAAGCAAGCTTTGTCACATCCTTGGTTGACTGCTCCCTACAAATGATTCGTCTTCGTAAAGAGGCTCGTTGGGTGGATACTGTTGCCACAGATTGGTCGCAGTCTTGGAAAGGGGCTGGTGGTTGGTCCGAAATCTAATGAAGTGTCTCGTCCTGCTCAAAATTAGGAAATCTCCTTGTAGACATCACTCAACGGTCAAGTTACACCGAATACCCCATCTCCCAAGGCTGATGTCCATAACTCCAGATAGTCCACAGCGCCTTGTCATCCACCTCGGGCCATAAGGTCGCCAAACGTCTCTTGCTCTCTCACGATACACACAATAAAGAGGACTGGTTGGTTCGACAGTCCCTCAGATGGACCGGCCCCTTTCCGAGAGATGCTCAAGAAGTGGCCCGACTCAAGATAACAAAGACAATTGACGGGATGCAACGTTTCACTGTGTCTATGCTGTTTCCTAACAAAATTAGACTTGAACAGCATCTCCCTCCTCACTCTAGGTCATGCCTCTTCCCGTTTCCGTCAGTATAGTAATATGTCCCCGTCTGTGGATCCACGTAAACCGGGTATTTAATGTCACCTGAATGCCGATGGAGAGGAAAGCCATTTCTGAACCCGATCTTCGCGACCAAGCTCTATTTTGTAAGTGCCGTCCTCGTGGAGGTGCGCCGTGAGGAGTCTGATCTTTTTACTACGCTTTTACGGTATGTAGGCATATGACGGCTGATTCGAACAACTGCTCACAGGCGGAATTGAACCCTGGTGGTACAACCCCTTTCGGTGGCGCGGCGCCTTAATGCTAGTTCTGGTCTAGCTCTGGGGCTATCAACGCGCCGGGGTTAGAGTAGCTGTCGCTCGTCAATCGAGAACCGAGCCACTAAGCCAGCAAGCTCCTTGGAGTGCTAACCGGGCTCATACTATCACATAAAACGTAGACGCCCACATTATGCTCTTGCGGTATGTAGGCATACAAGGGCTGGTTCAATTGGTATGTGACACCAAGATTTTTCAATTCAAGCTTAGCAAGTCGCTCGAGAAGACATTCGGGGACTGGGGACATGTTGAGATTGGTAGTCAGCAAAGAGGAGATGAAGATATATCTTCCCGCCTATAAGCTCCTCATCGGCACGTAGGAGAGTGTTCAAGAGGTGGGTTACGGAGATGGTGCGCACACTTGCGAGATCTGGTCTTCTCCTTGCCGGGCGTTGGCGGCTACTGATATAGGTCTTAGTGCGAGTCGCTCTTTTCCTACAGTAGGGAAGACTAGACAGACATGTATCGACGGGAGCACACCTTCCTCCATCATGCCCCTTTCGTCCATTTACAGGCTCCCCCGAGGGTAAATACGGGCGGGCGCGGCAGAAGGCGTTGCTGTAACTGCGCGACACCTACCTGCTCCCAGAAACGTGAGAGGAAGAGAGTATGGGGACCAAGGGGTTGATTCCCCATTGTGATAAGACGTTGGCGTTGTTGTGGTGGTGGGAAGTTGTAGACCACGGGAACAGATACCTGCTTCCTTCAAAAGAATCCCCCTACCGAAAGTGCCTATTCCTTACTGCCATATCCTACCTCTAGTCCCCTACGACCGCCTACTGACACAGCAGAAGAGATTTCGACGGGGCCATGTTTCTGAGGGGGGAGCCCCCTTTTCCGTCTGCTGTATCTTTATCTGCTCTTCTCTCTCTCTCTTGACTTCGAACAATCTCACCGCACCTCACACCACTGCCATTGAAACACACCCGGGGGACAGGGCAGGCACCTGCCTAAGACGAGATCAACCCGTAGACTACTCCAGCAGCAACCCCCTACACCAAATTCATCCTTCCCACCATGCAACGACTACGCGTCGGCGTCTCTGTACAGGTACGTGTCGCATCGGCAGTTACCATGCCTGCTGAGACTCGCCTGGCCAAGCTGATCCTGATATTCGGCTGTAAGCCGGCGTCCGTGAATAGCCATCCCGACGACCGTCTGCCCCCCCCCCCCCCCCCCCCCCCCCTTAATAATACCACCACCTCTTCTAGCTGAGCAGAGCTTTCGCCCGACCACGACACGCGTTTCCATCTCCCCTCCCCTCCCTCCCCTCAGCCAACGCCAGCATCTTCGACCGAGTCCTCTTCCCTTTCTTCCTTTCAATTCCCGGTCCCCCTTTACCGTCTCGCCCGGCCGCGACGATCTACCTAACATCGCGCGAGAGGCCGATCACGCACCTAGACGGGACCGCAGGCGCGCCACGATGCTAGTACTTCCTGAACCGGTAAGTAGCCGGCGCGCAAGGCCCACCACCGCCGAGTTGTCGTGCCTACTTGCGCGCACGTACGTGCATACGCTACCGGCGGGCCGTCCCGTCGCTCGGTGCAGACATTACCTACACTTAGGTAGGCAGAGCGGATCCGTTGCGCACAGAGCCCGGCCGGGTAGTCGGCTGGGAGGTCCTCGCATCCTGTGGAGACGCGCGAAGAGGCTCGACGAACCCACCCTGGGGATACAGTACCAGGACACTGGGAGAAGAGAGCGAGCGCCGCCCTTGCAGGTGGTCGTAGGGATGGTGGTCCCTGAGAAACGATAAACAGATGCTGCCTAATAACCTAGGTATGAACACTCCAGGCCTCCCTACCCACTGCAGACCTGTTCACCAGCGATACGAGAGGAAACGAATATACGATGTCGTAGTAACATGCAGGTAATACGAGGTGGGTAGCTAATTAACTACCAGTAGGATATAAAACCCAAGCGCTCGCCTCACGAACCGACAATTTAATCACATCTCGGGTATCCGAGTTACGCGTTATAATACAAAAATCTCAGTATTGGTAATATCAGACAGCGTAAATCGTTTGTTGGAAATAGTTTCTATCCTCCTAGCCGACAAGGGAAATAAAGGCGTCTACGTTTTCGCGTGGCGGTTTCCGTATGGATCGGACGCTCGTTGAGCTGCTATCGTCAAGTCCCGCCTCGTCCCGTAACCCCAATTAAATCAAGTCGAACTCCCGCTTTCTCTCTGGTAATCCTGGCCAAAATTGATGCAAAGGGGGAGATGAGCTTGAAGGATGGGCCCGATGGCAGTAACTTAGAGAGGGAGGCGGATAGGACGATGGACGAGCTGCACTACGCTGGCGTGACGGAAGTCTGTACGGGGGCGGCCCGTGAAGGGGCAGGTTAGCTTATCCACCACGTAAAGCCCCACCTCCTCGATGGAAAAAAAGGTTGCTTCCTGCTCGCGGCGCAGTAGTCATCCTAGGGTATGTGAGCCGGCGCGGACCCTTCTTGGGGGAGCGAGCTCGCCCGGGGATCCGGACTCTGAATCCATAATCTCTTCCGGCCCCGACAATCGTCTTTTTCGTCCCACATTAATCCCGACATGTTGAAGTCCACACGCATGATCCTGCCCGCCTCCTCATTCCACACGAAATTGGGGCCGCGATAATCCTCGTCCGTCACGCCAGCATAGTACAGTTCGTCCATCGTCCTATCCGCCTCCCTCTCCAAGTCTATGCCGTCTGGCGCATCCTTCAGGCTTGTGCCCCCCCACGATAGGAGCATCATATGCTTAACCACACTGAGGTTGGGGAGCGGATAGGCGCGTTCGAGAGTTATGATCCCTAGATAGACGGGGATCACGGTCCCCTGGAGTCGCCGGCAGTGGTGGTAGATAGTGGCTTCATGTTCTAGAGTCCCTCTCTGGCGCGACGTAACGCCCTTAGCTACAAAGGTGTAGCCGTAACCGTCGAGGCTGAGCTTGAAAAGCGTTCCGACCGCCCCGAACATTCCGAATTTAAGCAGGGACTCGCACCTGTCGCTCAGATTCTTCGCCAGTTGTTGCTGGACGAGCGTGCACAGTTTTGCACTCGATATGCGGTGCCCGTCCCCAGATCCGATGCCGCGATGAAGACGCATGTTAGGGCAACCGGGGTCTAATTTACTCTGGTTGGCAAGACCGCGAAGGCAGGCCTGGGTGCAATATTTCAGGGTCGGGCGTCGGACCGGGTTTGGTAGCCAAGAAGAGACGGCGCGTTGCGTGGTCTGTCCGCTCTGCGGCAGGTTGGTTTCTTCGGATGCTATGCTGGCATCCGCGGAATCCGAATTAGGGTATTGGACTGTAAGACCGAGCCTACTTCTCAACTTAGATGGACGGCGGTTAAAGCCGCTATCATCGCCCTCGTCGTCGTCGTCGTCGTCCTTGTCTCTGCGCCTACGAGCTGGGCTATTGCTCCGAGAATCCGAACTAGCGTTTTTCCGGGGGGGAAGGGGCCACCTCGGCAAGTTTTTCGTTGCTCTAGAGATCCAGTCCGTATCAAAGGGTTCCTCACTCATTGCTAGGCAGATAACAGTGGCCATTTGAGCAGCTGTAGACTCACGAGCTTCTTCTTCGCCCCACGGTTGTTCCTGAGTCGCGGAAGGGACATTAGCCAGATGAAAGTAGAGGACATCTGGCTCGTCGTAACGGATATGAAAGAGGATGAGGAGCTCTCCCGAGGTAACGTAACCGTACCTGACGCCGACCCTAATCATATAATGGAATGTTTGGCAAAGGACTTTTGCAACCAGAATTTCATCAGGATCGCTTGCTTCGTCTGGAGTGACTTGGCCCGGGACATTTTCGTGTGATGGGTCGCTCCGCTGTTCTTTAACGGCCCGCCCGCTTTTGATATGTTGGACCACGTCGAGAAAGAGTGACTCTGAAAAGGAGCCGTCTAGAACCTGGCGAAACGTAGATCTACGTACTTTATGTGCCGCCTTGTACTCGCCGATTATGACCGCTTCTTCCGAACCGTCGGGGAATTGGTGCATTCCCCAACGGTCCGGGTTGGCATCGCGGGGATAGCTTGAAGACTCCTCCCTGGCCGGGGATTGGGATGACGGGCGGCTGTTGAGTCGCCCGTAAGCATTATAGGAAAAGCGAAATTCCATCCTCGTGGTGACTTGGCCGCCAGGGATGAGATACGCATTCGCAATTAGTGCGGCAGGGTTTTCGTTGAACGAGTAGATGAACCCGGCAACGTCCAGTTCACTCCTTAGTGGTGTGGCTGGGAGAGTTCTCTTGATGGCCCAGACCTCCAGGACGGAGGGGAAGCGTCGCTGGCCGGCTAGCGTTTGTGCCAGCGTGGCAAAGCGGTCGCGATGTATCTGCGGAAAGTCGGTCCATCGTCGTAGGATCCGGGGGTGGAGCTTGCCACCGACCTCGGTAACACCTCCGCCAGCGACGCGGAGACGGTTTGCCTCGACGACAAAGGCGGGCCGGACCTGTAACTGAATCTGGTAGAGGTAGTCAAATAACGTTGTGGGGGCCCGATACTCTCTCTCTCTGGCTTCTGCCCTGGCACTCTCTTCTTGCGCCCTGGCTAGCTCTTCTTCCGCCCTTAATCGAGCTTCTCTTTCACGTCTCAGAGCTTCCAGCAATTCGGGAATGCTCGCGTTGGTGTCCTCGGCCATGGCGATGGAACGAGCGGGGATTCTGGGAGAAGAGGTCGGGGGTGATCCGGATAGGTCTAGTTTGTTGCGGTGGTCATCGCCTCTCGCATGGCTTGTTCCAAGCAGCGTCTTGCGACACTGTAAAACAGCACAACATTGTAGATGGCAAGTTTAGCCGCTGGGCGCACCGCCGAGAGGAATCACCAAATACCTAGATTGTGCGCCATCACGTGACGAGGCCGCGGTCGTGGGCAGGTGGAGGCGGACCGGCTGCCTGGCGTCACTTCTGCTAGGCTTAATACGGAAGCCCATATCTACACTAGGGAAAAAACCATTTTTGGGATAGGTAAACCCCGGGGTAGGAAGGCTTAAGCCAATGGGGTCCGCAGGAGCAAAGTACCCATAACGGAGGTGGTGATAATACCTACACACGTGCCGACAGGATCAGAGCGTAACGCGTAAAGCAGATTCATCTCTTCCCTGGCGACCTGCGCGTTCGTGTTAGGGTGTAGGTATCCCGTTCTCATTAGGCGGGTAGGTAGGTAAATAAAATGTCGTTTCCGGAAACTAACTTGGCTACGTCGTCCGGGGTTATGCAACGGCCTTGCATGCCACGTGATCAGCCACGTGCACATACGATCCATGGATCCTCTCCCTATCCTCCCTCTTTCCCGCCTGAGAACCCTCCTAATCTCCGCTGTCCTGCTGTGGCAGCGGCGGCGAGAAATGTAGGCAGGCGGGTATGTATAGCGCCTTGGGAAGCCTAGGGGCGCAAGCTTCGACGCCAATACCTACCTAGTTGGCTTACCTAGGTACTTCAGAAGCGGCGAGCGCACAAGACTGACTCTCCGACTGTCTCGGAATAGACGGGGTTTTCTTGGTACCTATGTGTAAAACCTATGGCGGCACCGCCTAGCTGCCCAAGCGAGTCTACCTAAGCAACTGATCACTCAGCCTTAGCCGTCCCCCCAAGGCTCACCGCAGTTATTTACAGGGTAAGAATGTAGGTAGTTCTGGGTATGCCAAAAGGCGCCATTCGGCCGACGGTACCCAGGACTATGTGTTCGTGGCGGCATTGGCAGCAGGTATTAGTTAAAGTCACTTCTTCTTTAGCTTCTTTTCTCTCTTTTGTTGGGACCTAAAACTAGCCACCCCGCTCCGCGTGCATGAGATGTTTCTCCTACATACCATACAGGGAAGGGGGGGTCTATCGACACTATGTCTGCAATCGCTTTGCTTTTATAACTTAATACGACGTCCGTATAGATATTATAGTAGATGAAATGCTAGCCCGATATAATCACCGTCTACCGATATAGTTACTATTTATATATTGTAGTGGTGCGGTGGGACTAGGCCACGTAGCCTTTTGGATGAGTATTTGTATGGGTCTCGCACCCAGATTTTCATAGATCAGACTTACTCCTGTAGCCATCGGTAGGCATCACTACCTACAGCTATCCACTCCTTTTATAACAAGGGGATATGCTTAGAATAGGTTCAATTTAACTAATAATTCTATAGGGGGTCTTTTAGGTCCTTATCTTCTTTTAAGTTCTACGTTCCCTTCTTGTTTTAATATAACCCGGAAGTATCTCTATACCTTTATACCTTAGTACCTTAATGCCGTAGTTATCCGAAGCTTATTTAGGACTTTTCTTGGTAGGTCGCCGAAGTAACGGCTTTAATGCCCGATATTATCCTCCTAACCTTTATGGCTTAATTTATTAGCGTAGGGTTTCATTTCCGTATAATACTATCTCCTTTCTTCGGAGGAGCTCGTTCTTAAGCGTAATACCTAGGCCTAATAATTAATAGGTTTATTAGGGTTCTATAGGTAGAATAACTTAACGGCTTCCTTCGTTCCTTCGGTAGTAAAGTACTCTTACGGTTCTTAAGTTTAGTAGCGCTTAGCCGGTTAGCCTTATTACTTTATTAAGTACCTAATAACTTCTCCGGTCCTTACGGAATTTAGTACCTTATTTACCTCGTAATTTTCTACCTCGATCGGGGCTACCTTCCGTAGGACCTAGTTAAGGTTAAGTAACTCTTAATTACTAGCGCGGTAGGATTCGATAAGGGATACGTAAAAGGTACTGTAAATACGCTAGCCTTTCGGGAGTATTAGAGTTACGGCGGTAAGGGAAACGACCTTTTAGATCTTAAAGGAACCGAATATCTTCTTATTTATTTTCTTTATAAGGCGTTTGGTTTTAATGTTACGGGCATTTAATATAACGAGCTATCCGACTTTTAGAGGGAATTCCTCCTTTCGGTATTTATTTACTTATTCCTTTATCCGCTACCGTGCTTTTTCTAAATATTACTTAGCTTCGTTATATACCCGAGTTATCTAATAAGTATAGAGGTTACTTCCTAGATTCTTAGGGGTACCTAGAGGGGGGTTATATATTACGAGGTATTACTTATAGTTAGCGTAAAAGGATAATATACCGGTAGTTATTAAAGCGGTATTATTATAGGTAAATTCGGTAGTAGGTAGTAAGCTTTCCTAGTCGCTTATTTCGTAGTTTACGAAGGCGCGTAGGTATACTTTTAAGATTTAGTTAAGTCTTTCCGTTTATTTATCCGTTTAAGGGTAGAAAGCGGTATTTATTTTAGGTTTAACGCCGAGGAGTTTTAGGACGCCTTTTTATATATAGGAGATAAATCGCGAGTCTCGATCGGAAATAATATTTAGGGGGATTTTATATAGCCGCTAATAACTACGTATAAAGATAGGTATTAGGTCTTCGGCTTTTTTACCGTCCTTCTTTAGCGGAATAAAGTACGTTATTTTAGTAAAGGGATTTATAATAACCTAAATAAAATCGTAGCCGTTAAATATTAGTAAGTCCGTAATAAAGTTTATCGCGATCGTTTACTATGGTCGATAATATAGTTCTATAAGCTATAGTAATCCGAACGGGATATATCGGGATACCTTATTTTATTAGTACTCGCGGTATCCTTTAACGAATTCCTTAATTATTACTTCTAGGTTAAGTTACTAAAAGTTACGAGTAATAAGTTCTATGGTTTTATTTATACCTATATATCCCGCTACTTTAGTATCGTATTCCGATTTAATTACTTCTTATTATAGGTCCTTAGGTATCTAGAGACGGTTTCGCCGATAGAGAAGGCCTTCTTAGAGCTTTATTTCCTTACCGAGTAGTTTAACTAGCTAAGCCTGGTATTCCGGGTCTTATATAGCTATCGTTTTAACCTATTTAACGAACTCTAGGGTTTAAGCGGGTATTAGGATATTACTTAGTCGTACGCTAAAGAGTATTACCGTAGGTAAGCCTAAATTTTTTAAAAAATGCTTTTCCTATAGAACCGTCGCTATCGGTTAGTCCTTAGCTCCTCCTTTTTTAAGGCGATATTAGGGTAATTTAAATAGAATATCGGCCTTTTTATTTTACTTCCTTAGGCGATAATATATTATAAAGTAATACGAGGAGAGCTATTAAGCTTAGCGGGCTTAGCGTCGATTTAGTACTTTTGCCGTAGTAAAGTACGTTAGGTTTTAATAGTCGGAATATACTTCTATTTAATGCTAAATACCTTCGAAATAATATCGCTACTTCTCGAAAGCGTCGACGATTATTAATAGTTCCTTGTTATATATTTTATAATTTATTTCCGCTAGGGTAAGTCGTCGTAAGAAAAAGGCTACTAGTTTTAATCTCCCTTTATTATTCTTTTATAAGAGAACCGCGGAAATAACGAAATCTAAGGCGTCGGCTTCGACGATTAGAACTCGGTTAGGGTCGAAATATATAAGTACCGGGGCCTTCGTAAAGGTTTCTTTTAATTCTTAGAAGGCTTTCTTTATCTCGATTTCCTATTTCCATAGCTTGCGGTCTTTTTTATTAGCGCTAGTAATTAGCTTAGCTATACCTAAGAAATTACGTATAAATTTACGGTAAAAGTTAGCGAACCTAATAAAGCTTTATAAGTCTTTAAGTATAGCTAGGGTACGTTAGTTAAGGATAGCTTTTACTTTATCTTTAGATATAGTAATACCCCTAGGACTTATATTATATCCTAAGAATTTAACTTCTTACGTTCGCTAGGTATATTTCTTTAGGGCTACCGCTAAATGGTTTTCTATAAGCCGTTTTAAGACTTCCTTAATTAGGTTATTATATTCCTCTAGCGTATTAATATAAATTAGGATATTATCTAGGTAAGCGATAACCCCGGCGTTTAAGAGGTCGCGGAAGATATGATTTATTATTACTTAAAAGGTAACGGAGGCGTTAATTAATCCTATGGGTATAACTATATATTCGTATAGCCCGTAGCGCGTTTTAAAGGCGGTTTTCCATTTATCGTCCTTCTTAATCCGTATTATATAGAACCTAGATTTTAGATTAATCTTAGTAAACTACCGCGCCGTTTAAAATAGGTTTTATAGTTCGTTAATTAACGGAATCGGATATCGGACGGGTATTATAATTTTATTTAGCCCCCGGTAGTCCGCTACCGGTCTTAGGGCGCCCGGGTCCTTCTTATTTATAAACATTATAGATACGCTATAGGGGGCCTTGGATTTTCGGATTCTTCTTATGGCTATTATTTCGTCGAGTTAGGGTTTTAGGGCATCTAGCTATCGTTCGTTTATAGTATATAAAGGTCCCTATGGGGGGGTAGTTCCCGGTCGGAGCTTAATAACGTAGTCCTATAGTTACCGATTAGGGAACCGTTATCCGGCTTCCTTAGTTATAATAGAAACGAAGTTACGAAATTATTCCGGTACTTATACTAGAGCCTTTACTTCTCGTACTATTCCTACGCGAGTTAGCCGTAGGTAGTAACTCTAGCATCGTAACGAATTAAAGTATAACCGTCCGTTTATAAATAGTCCCTAAGGAAGATATTCCTTTATTTATTATTAGGGTAGGATAATATCGACCTCTTTATTTAATTTATTAACTTCCTAAGCGATACGGTAGATATATTCGTAGCTACGGAGCTTTATTTTATTAGTATATTAGAGTCCTTTTAACGAGATTTCCGAGCCGTCGAATCTTATTAGGGTTCTAGCCCTGGAGCGTTAGTTAACGGGAAGGCGTAATTATTTAACTTTAGCGGCGTTAATTAAGGATACCTTACTACCGGTATCTAGGAGGACTCGTAGGAGGTATTCTTTTTCTTAATAATTTATTTATATCGTATAAATAGGCCGTTTACCTAACCTTAATTCGTTAGGGTTACGCTAAGGGATTCGTAGTTTCTTCGCTATTAATACCGCTCCCGTTACTTCTAGCGTTTTAGGCCGTTTAATAGCCGTAATCTTCGCGTAGTCTTTATCGCCCCTTTCTCCCGTCTACGCTTACGGGAGGGCTTTTAAAAATCCCGTTCTTTATCGGAGTCGGATAATTCTATAATACGGGAAAGAGTTTCCTCCTGTCGTATAATAGTATCGATCCTAGCCCTTTTATTAGGTAGTAGCTCGGATTCTTCCCTTCCTCTTTTTCCCGATAAGACTTTCTTAGGTAGCGCCGGTAAGTCCCGTCCTTCTAAGTCCTTTTTTATAAAACAAGCTAGGGTTTAGTAATTATTCCTTCCGTATTTCTAGTAAGCCTTCTTATTCTTCTTTTGCTAATCGATAGCGGCTTAGTTAATCCTAGCTAAAGTTTCCTTATTACCTACCTATCGTAAGTCCTTAGCCGGTACGGGTTTCTTATTATTCTTTCCCTTACGTTCGTTTACCGGTTAGCTTAAGCGGAAGCGAGTCTCTTTTACGGGTTACCGCTATTACTAGTCCGCTTTCGTATACTCTTTTTACGAAGCGGACCTTCCTTTTCCCGAAATCCCTAGGTTAATTATTATGTTTTCGTAAATTTAGCCGGCTTTTTTAATTATTCTAAGGAAGGCTTTATTGCTTTCGGGGATACTACTTAGTTATAAATAAACTAGCTTAGTTATTTCGTTAAATAAGGTACGGGCGATATAATTCTAGAAGGTAATTCTAGATTATTAAACGATATTATTAAGGTTTATAAGCTCGATAAGGTACTAGGAGATATTTCTTTAATACTTTAGTTCTTATATTTTCTTAGAGTTACGATATCGTTCGGCGGGGTCTTTAAACCGTTTTTAAAGTACTTAGGAATATCCCGCTTACGTATCGATAATTATTAACCTTTTTACTTAGGCTAGCCGTTATTAATACTAGAACTAGGCTTTTTCGGTAAGTATCGATCCTATCTAATTAATCTTCTAGACGTTCCGGGTAAAGCTTTCTTTATAAGTTTCGAGGTAGGATTTAACCTTAATTTATTATAATCGGAACTTAACTAAGTCCTTACCGTTATAAGCCGTAGGTTTAACGAGGTATATTAGATTAGTCGTTACCGTAATACTTCGTCGATTATTTATAGCTTTAATTTAAGCTCTAATTATACGTTCTTCGGCCGGGTCGAGAGGCTCCTACGGCTCTTTAGGGGCGCCGGGCGGGCGTCGCGGCTTCTACGGGTTCCCGGATTCTAAGTCGTCCGAATCGTCGGAATCCCTTAGGTTTCTTAAGGTATTCCGCGGGATCCGAAGCGGTTGCGGTAGTCCTTACCCGGTTCTTCCTAATATAAAGGCGCCTATCGCGGCGTTTTAAAAACGGATTCTTACGCGCGCGGCGGTACGTTTAGCCGCGGCGTCTTAGAGTACGTCGTCGGAGATAATTTCCCTTATTCTAGCCTCGTTATTAGTATATTTTCCGGTAACCGTTATCGTAATACGGGTACCCGGCGCGGGAGTAGGCGTTCTTATCCTTTAGTTAGCTCCCGTAATAATAAACTTAATATCCGTTAGCTTATTACTTAGTCGTCGTTATTAATATTTCTTAATTAGATTAGCCGCGTAAGCCTTAAGGTCGTCCTTAATTAACTAGGTTTTTTCCTTTATAGCCCCGGGGGTAAGGTATTTTTTACTAAGGATCTCGTTAATTTATCTATCCTTTTACGTAGCTTAGGAGCTAACGTCCGTTATTAATTTATTATATTCTTCGCGTAGCTAGGTTAAGGCTCGTTAGTTTTATAGTACGGCGTTTCGAAGTTAGTTTATTACGGTTATTTATACTTTATCCTACCGGGTAAACTTAGCTACGGTTTCCTATACGTTTTAGGCGAAGTAGGTACTTTACTTTACGACCTATTTCTAGAACTCGTAGATCTATATCTTCGTAATTCGGATACCGATAACTTATATTACCGTAGCGGTTTAGTAAAACTATCGTAATTATTCGTATTATTTCTTTAGGATCGTATTTTATTAGTATTTTACGTCGACTTAGTTAATTAATATTACTAGGCTTTAATATACCTATTTTATTTACTTATGTAAATCTACGATTTACTACGGAGGATTACGTATAACTACTCCTAAGTTCGCGATTTCCGGAGTATCCGCTATAACTACCTTATATTCCTAGGGTTAGTATACGATAAGGGATTTATTAGTTAGTTCGGGAATTAGCTCCGGCTAAGGCGTTAGAGTAATTCGTTCGGCGTTCTTTACCTTTAATTCCGTTATTATAGCTTTTAGTTCGTTAATCGTAGCTATTATCTAGGCTACCTCCGCTATAAAGATCGGCGCTATTTCCGAAGTAGCTAGTCGCGGAAGTAAGAAAGTCTACGCTTCTAGTTCTTTAATAAAGGGTCGAGGTTAATCCGGTAGTAATGGTACCGAGGCGGCGGCTTTAACGTATAACGCCGGCTTAGGCTTTTCTTATTATTAACTTATAGTAAAGTTATAAAGGTAAGAATAATATAGAATTATTTATAACAAAGGGATATGCTTAAAATAGGTTTAATTTAACTAATAATTCTATAGGGGGTCTCTTAGGTCCTTATCTTCTTTTAAGTTTTACGTTCCTTTTTTATCCTAATATAACCCGGAAGTACCTCTGTACCTTTATACCTTGGTACCTTAATACCGTAGCTATCCGAAGCTTATCTAGGACTTTCCTTGGTAGGTCGCCGAGGTAACGGCCTTAATGCCCGATATTATCCTCCTAACCTTTATAACCTAATTTATTAGCGCAGGGTTCCATCTCCGTGTAATACCTTTCTTGAAATGCCTTTCTCGCCAGTCCATTCTAGTCTTTCCTAACTACCGTTTTCAGCTGGCCGATCAACCAATTACAGCTGTTTACAGCTGTGATCTAGTTCGATCGGCACTGGGCCAGCTGTTGGCAGTTGGGTAGCCCTTGTTCGTGCCTCCATCACAGCGTGCCCATGCTGCTCCTGTTCAATATAATGTCACTAAAAGAGTATATTCCATAAGATTACCCGGTTACCCCGTAGCGTATTAGGTACGTATCTTAATACCTTTATATCTTCTTACGTATTAAAAGGGAATAAAGTTAATACGTTATTAAAGGGGCGGATGGGAAATAGTATAACTAATTAAGAGAAGGAAGACGAAGACAAAGTTACGAAGATAGGGGCGCGTATGGCGATATGGCGACGGGGATGGCGAGAAAAGAGTGTACATCAACCTACACTACACGACGGTGACTGTGAAGGACGCAGGTTGATGGGTGGATGGTTGTGCAAGACCCATATAAATACACATCCGAAACCCCGCGAGGACTGGTCCTACCGCACCACTACACTAGAAATCCCTAGGCTGCTAGGAGTCCGTATTACTCCTAGGACTCTACGCCAACCACCGTGACCCTAGGCCTGGACAACACACGGGTTTGGGAAGACATATATTAGGATTTATCGGCCGGCAGGTATTAGGATTCCACGGGCTCGAGATCGGAAAGGAGGTAGAACAAATACTGCGTGTACGGGAAAATGAGTTAAGTTCGTGGTATGGAGAGATTTTATTTGATATGCTTACGTTGGGGGAAAAGGTAAAGATAGCAACAGGCTTAGGGGTAGGTCAGGTAGGTCAGGTAGGTAGGTCAGTTCTAGGAAGGCTTAAAGTAAGTACCTAATAGGATATTCGGACATGGTATCCGGATAGAGATGAATGTGTACGTGGTTATGATAACGATATTAAAAATATAATAAGAATGAATAATCAAATCAGCACCATAACCCTTGCCTAATTCTATCGCCCATTCGTAAGAAATGAGGTTACTCTTACTTGATTGAATTACCGTATTAACATCTCGATTCCATTGCAGACGTACTGTCCATGGACTCGCTACTCCCTGTATGGTAGGTGATCTACACTCGTTACGCCGACCAACCGGTGAGGATCAAGGCCGTGTTATCTAGATCCATACGGACTCAACACTAGAAGCAGGCCATCGGTAGAGGAAGAACCAAAGCAAAAAACAATTACCGCACCTCACTTTTGTTGAGCCGGGTGCGAAGTGTCTAGCAAACCAGGAAGACGGTTATATACGAGCGAGAGAACGGCCGAAGACGAGGAGTTGACAGATCGCAACCTAGCCTATTCGCGCGGCTACTATGCAAGCAACTTAATATCACACGCTACAAAACATGGGAGTTTAGCAGGTAACCGTATTACAGAGCGGAACCATGTCTCAAGACTCATCCATTTCCGGCTGTCTGTCACGTCGACCTCTGGGGATCTTAGAGTCCTTTATGTTTCACCAGAGGGATATCGGTCAGCGCGTGGGCCGCGACCATTGGGCCTTCTGCATAGCGTTTCGCCTAACCTTCCCGCCCTCCATCGCGAAACCGATACCCTGCCTGCGGCGCGCATGGCAGGTCCTCCAGTGGCAGCATCCCGCGTTGGCGAATACGATCAGCAGCGATAGCGGGGGGCCCTATGTGACGGCCAGGCCCCTCGATGCTGAGTCCTGGGCTGACGACACGTTCGTCGTCGACCACACGAGTACAACCGCGAGGGACCTCTTGAGGACCCTTCTCCCCACGCCCACTGCCACCTGCCACTGGCTGTCCGCATCGTCGGAGCTTGTCCTTCACTCGTCGCACTGGCGCGTCGACGGCGTGGGAGTAGCCATGCTCTTGCACCAATTCATGGGCGCGCTGGCCCAAGCTGCGCAGCTGGGGCCCGAGGCTCCGCTGGAGGCTTTGGCGCCAGACTCCGGGCGCCGCCTATCGCTCATGCCGAGAATTGATGACCTATCGCGCCCGTCAGCCCGTGTAGGCGGTGAACAAGATGCCTTTTCCGCCGCTTTCGGCGAGATGCAGGCTAAGATCGCCCGCAGCGGACCCGGCATTGGGCTGCCTATCCGGCCGGGCTCCGCCGAGTCCGTGCCCGGAGCCACCGACTCCGCACTTACGCGCTTCGATGCTGCCACCACCGCCAAGGTCATGGCAGCCTGCCGCGCTAAGAAACTCACGATTACGGCCGCCATACACGCCGCAATCGTTCGCGCCACTGCCGGGTACCTTCAGAATCCGCCGGCTACAGCATTCACGTCGGTTCTGCTGGTTAATTTACGGCGGGCGCTGGACGTGACAGCCACGGCAGAGACCGAAGACATCTCTACGGTCGTCGGCTCGTTTTTCACGGGCCTTCCCGTGTGCATCGAATCGGTGCTTACCAAGGACGGCAAGAGGATCAAGGACTTCGATTCCATCGCCGACGATCTAGGGCAAGTTTACAACGAAGATCTTGTTCGTCTTCTCACCGCAAGGGACGGAAGCGGCCTGACGGCCGATCTCTTGGACCTGGGGGCACGGTACATCCAGCAGAAGGAGAAGACTCCGAGAGTGTCCGTTATCGAGGGCGCGCCACCCACGGAGACGCCTGAACTGAGCAGCCTGTGCATGATACATAAGTTGGTACAGACAGAGTACGGATCTGGCAGCTACGAGCGTGTCACGGTGGATGATATATGGATAGGCATCGAGATATATAACAGATATGTCCAGCTTCACGCCTGGATTTGGAAAGGTGAGCTGAGCCTTGGCGCGTGTTTCAACCAGAGCTTCTACGAGAAGGATTTCGTTGACGATTTCCTCAAACGGATAATGGAGGAGCTTCGGGAAGGGTGTGGGGTTGAGAAATTATTACACGGGGATATCCATACAGCCAAAATATAGGTCGGGAGGATAATACTAGGCAGGCATTATTATACGAATAAGGCAGTAAGGTCGTCAGTACGGCGACCTACTAAGGAAAGTCCTGAATAAATGCGGCTACCTACGGGATATTAAATATATAGATATAAGGTATTGTCGCGTAAAACGTAGACGCCCACATTACGCTATGCGGTATTATGTAGGCACACAAGGGCTGGTTCAGTTGCTATATGACAGATATATAGATATATTAAGGATATATCACCTCGGCCGAACGACCTGCCGAAGACTCTCGTGGCTCCTATTATAGCTTTAGTGTTAATACATGAGACTGTGTCGATACTGGGCTCGAGAACTATCCCAGGCATATTTCACGAATAAGCTGTTAGAATTCTTAATTACATCCTGTAACCATTATTTTAAAAATTAAACAAAACTGTTTATATCGATAAGCAGTAAATCTAAGAAGTTCTTACGTTAACTCAATTAATTTAATCAATCACGTCAGTACATCCTAAACTCTTTACATTTCTTTCCGACTTTTCAGAAGGGAAAATCGTTTGTATGTAAACTTATATTACCTAGGTGCAAAATACCTGGTCCGTGAAGGGCTGGCCCATGGAGGGGTAGCTTCACTTACTAGCCAAGCCAACCGGGATTTTGTTGAGCTCAGGTTGCGCTTCTAATCCTTCATAATAAGGGGGAACAAGGGTGCCGAACGGGAAGAGTAGTGATGGGCCGTTGTTCACCAAAATTCTGTCCCACCCAGGCCGCTTGCGCGGTAAAGGGATCCTGTAAACTGCAGCAGATCGCGGGCTCGATGATGGCGACAAGACGCCCGCGGAGAATTCCATCGCCAATGGCGCAGCTTGCAGACGGCTGACTGTTGACAGCGCAGACGCCGTGAGACTGTGATCGAGCCACCGTAGATTTTTTATGTGTCATGGACCCAAATATCTAGCATTGTAACGCGATGCCCCCAGTCTTACATATTTCTCCTAACAGGCCAATCGGACCATAACATCCGGGCGAGTCGATGATAAGAACATAGGATGCACCTCAGTGGGGGAGAGGCGGCATTAGTAACGACGCACTGTGTGCTCGTTGAAAAAGAAATTTAAAAAAAAAACCGTAGAAAAGCGAGAACTGGGCAGTTTTAACTGGCTGATGTAGAACTTGGAAGAAGCTGAAGACGGTTCATCGCTAGTAACTTACGTCGGAGTTCCAAATTCTTCCCGCAAGTGCATATTCGAAAAATAAATATGTGTGAAGAGTTATTGCGATCAGAAATTGTAGTTTTCACAGCTGCCTACCTGCTCGCTATATCAACTCTGCTGGAACTATTTCGCGTTCTTGGACACCGGCTACACACGGACATGTCGGCCTGAGTTACGGTTGGTTGCCATGGGTTTGGTATTTCTCTGACGACTTCCTTACACCCGCAACTGGCGGGACATCAAATTTGACAGGGAACAACTCATTAATAATACCATATTATTCTCTGGTTGAACAAAGCGTCATTCTGTTATTCGGGTGCAGCAAATAGCGCGCCGATGCGCCCGCCACCCCAGGAAAACAGGACACAGCAGTTGTCTGAAGGTGGCAGGAAGTACCGAGCCTATCCAGGGGGACAAGATAGTGTGAGTGTGTATGAATGAGGTAGGTAGACTGACTAGCTAACTTGAAGGAAGAAAAGGGAGTATGGAGCTAGCCTGTAAGTATACACCCACACCCCACCCAGGTAGTAGGCCAGGTTGCTCTCCCTATAAGGGGCAGCTCTTAGCCAAAGAGGCACTTAAGTTCCCTAATCCCGTAAACGAGGTATCTGGGGCCGCCTCTTGCTGGTCCTCGATGCTCGACTGCCTATCCCGTGGCGCTGATATGGGAGTCAGCGTCTGACTGGGAGAGATGATGGCGTTCGAGCTCTTGGAAAGGCCCAGTATCTGAGAGTGGGGGAACGTCAAAGTCCCAATCAGAGGGTAACTGATCGATAGCTGATCAAATCTTCTTAACGTGTAAGAGCATCCGCATCTCGTAGACATTCTTTGTAAAGCGTCAAGCTGTCCGCTTATCTTCCCCGGAGGATCGATCTCCGACGGTAAAATCGCCGACGAACGGGGAAAGCTCATCGAGCCGCTCTTGAGTGAGGGCTTCGAGCTTAAATCTTACGAGCAACCAGGCTCCGAACAAGAGTTAAAGGAATAGCGTTATTCCACCCTTTATTGATGCTTTTAACTAAGCGCTTAAGCTCGGGTGCACCGTACGTAGCGAGGCTACAGAGTGGGCAACAAATAAGGTGGTATCCCGCGTCACTCTAGCCTCGCTCCTATCTTCTAATATCCATTGACACGTTGAATCGAAAATATCATGGCGAAACAACGAGTTTTTAGAAAACGTCAATAGTTTCTCGCGGAGTAAGTTATGGCAGAGGGCTTTGTTCGCACCCGCGATACCGAGGTCGGATTTATCCATCAGTAAAACTAGCTTTGGCCACGAGTAGCGCCTTGTACCGTAGGTCCCCATATGTAGCAGCCATCTCATCTCTCGGCCTCTGGTCTCTAAGTGTAACAGAGCTAGCCCTACTAGCATTCGATCGTTTACGGCTGAGAGAAGATGACGACTTCTTTCTTATACCTAAGTAAACCCCCCATGTCGGGATCTTGTTCGAGGTAAACCCGTGGTCAGCACGCTTCTATTGCCCGGTGCGAAATGGGGTGGGTCTTATCGTAGTCGTCGTCGTCGTCGTATATTGGCGCGAGCGAGACAGTACCTAGGTGCTCGTCGCTTCTTCAGAAAACGACTGTCTGGATCAAGCTCGGGGGTAATTATGTTGGATTTCAGACGATCGCTTCTAGCGTCTGGATTTTCGCGGCTCGGGCGATGAGTTCGGGAGTTGGCGTCGGTTCCTATCGCTTGCGTTCAAGTTCGTGCCGTGGTGTGGGAGATGATCGGAGAGCAACAAGATGTAGAAGGGCAGGACTCAAAAGTCAAGATGGGAGCTCAATTGGTTCAAGGACCTCCGTGGCATTCGACTAATGATTGGCCGCCATGGCGGGTGGCCCCGCACTGTGCGATCCCGCCTGATTCTCATTTTCGATGATACCGTAGATGCGAAGTCGATAGTATCGACATAAATCTGCCTCTGGACTCTGATAACGAGAGGGCGAAGACGGCAGGATTCCCAGCATGGCTAGCGACGAGAAAACCAGAATCACAGCTGGTGTTGAAGCCCAGATCTTAAGATTGCCACGATTGGTCGAGGCATTCATTACCTAGGTACCTTATACTACACTGAGACTCGGGTTATCCCCCTCAGCTTCGGCCTCCACAGCGGGGCAAAGCGCCGGACCGTCAGGGGTTATGCCCCGCACTGGGGATCTCTCGAGCAACAAGAAGTCGACTTCTCTCGGGGGCTGGGCTCGTGCCGACCGGCATAAAATGATGGTATTTTGACGCCTTGATGTAAGGCCACGCCCGCTTATGCTCAGCATTCCTATCGGCCTGGAATCTACCTGAGGCCGACAACCGACGGGGTGCGATGATTCTGTGATTACCTAATCCCAGCACCCAGCCACCTGGTTAGCTAACCGACAGGTGGCTCAATGTGCCTTTCTAGGCACGTTGCCGCTGTCAGCTGGCTGGCAACAAGTGCCAAGCGGGAAACTTGCTCGGAATCGGCCCCCACCAGGCGATCCCCCCACCAACGACGCTACCGTACTCCACGAACTTGCTCATGTCATCTCTAGACGGTGTCAAGACAACGCCGGCGGGGAGTATGGTTCAGGAATGGTTAGGTTCGGTATGTGTACAACGCGTACGGAATTGCAGAAACGGTGGGCAGAGTATGGCTGGGGCGTACTCAGAAAGCCCAAGGGCCGCACGTTAGTCGATTAGCCCGCCGGCAGCAAGGCAGACAGACGACGCCCCAGAGGCGTTAAGCCAGTTCCAGCTTGTCGACTAGCTGAGCCTAGATTCATCCTCGCTACCCGGCACACCAGCAAAGCCACCTGAGGCTATGCATGAATCATTATACCTTCCTATCTAGCCACCGAATCTGACCTCCGAGCGATCCTGCTGTCGACCTCGCCTCCCCATACCGCCACATGGATCGTCGCTCGCCAGTTCACTGGAACAGTTCGTCCCGCAGACGTTCCCCCTCGTCATACCTTCCAACCCCCTGTACGGTTTGTCATCATCTCGACCTGCTTCATCAACCTGCTCGTTAACCTTCTCGTCATCTTACCTCCCATCATCATATCTCCCTCCGTGACATTCATCTCCTGGGCACATCACCACCGCGCCCAACGTGTCCCGCTGTCTGCGCCCGCCATCTGCCTTCCATCTACGATTCGCAGCTGCTGACCGCTTCTCCTCGCCATGGCTATCGTACCGATTTCCAGCCACGTGAGGTCTCCCGACTCCGGGCAAAAGGATAGCCGTAGCGAACCACCGCCGCAGTATACTGCTTTCGCTGAAACTGGCCAGTTACTTCCAAGCGTTGTCGACGAGCTGACATCGGCCTTTTCTGCCCTCGAGCTCCCGTCGCAGACCCAGGGTGTGAACCCCGACACCTGCCTGGTCCACCTTAAGCTTCTTGCCGCCTTCAGCAACTTGAAGGAGGAAGTGGGGTCCAACGACGGCCCCTGGGGCCTCTATGATGCGAGCATAACCTCCGGGGGCAAAGGGAAATCTGCAACCACCCCAAACGACCAAAAACGCGATGACGAGACCCGTGCCGGCTTGGCAAAACTCCGGGAGAAGCGGTGGGCGCTTTTCGTTGCGAGGGCCGCGGACCGATACGAATCCTGGTGGAGCAAACTCTCGACGAGCCGACTTACCGCTTTCGACCTGGACGAGAACTCCGAGGCGTACGGCACGTTTGCTTCCAGCGGCAATGCGCTTTCGTGGACCGAAAATATGCTGCCACCCCTGGGTAAGGCCGATAATAGCCGCCGTTGGCCAGGCTGTCTGCTGACGGTTGACCAGATGTCCTGATGGTATGGCACGCCCATATGCTGAACCCCAAGGCGTATCTCGAGGACTGCCTGCTGTATTGCCTCAACGGACTCTGGACGGCGGGTATGCCATGGAAGCTTATTAACGAAGCCATCGATACCAACTTCAACTACAACGTCTCGCAAGAATGCAAGAACGCTTGGGAGAACATCGTTGGCCGCAGGTGGGACAACGCTGAAGACCCGACCACCAAGGCACTCGAATGCCCCTCTTGCTTCGAGACCAACGGTGTACCGTGGACTACCTGTGGCCTGTCTGAAGATGGTGATAGCGGCGACACCAGCCTCGAAGGCGTAGGTTACGGGGACGGAACCTTCGTATACGATTGTCGCAAGTGCGGTAAGGTTCTCACGAGGGAGTTTCTCGAGGTCGGGAGGTTGGCGAAGGATGTACGACATCTTCTCGTCTACAACCGGCCCATGCCGGGCACCATACTAGACAAGCAGACGGGGATGCCGGAGAAGATGCCTACCGAACCTCTGATGAAGGCCAGGTTAGGTCGGACGTTCCCGAATAGGTTGATCCAGAACCACCTCCATGGCCAGATACAGCAACTGGTTAAGCCTGGGACGTTTCCGACGCCGTCGATGGATACCGTCCGTCTCCTGGTAGACGAGGCCATGAAGGACGAAAATATTATGAAACAGGTAGATGGGGTGGCGGGGAGCGATGCTTTGAAGAGCTATCGCCTCGGTATGTTGGCCCGCATACACACGCGCAGGATGCTATCGCGTTACCGGGGAAATTCTTCGCCTTTTGCCCTCGAGCTAAGTGGCGCGGTGCTACGGCAAGGTGTCTTCACAGAAAAGATGATGAAGGTAAAATTTTTTTCCCAAGCTCTCTATCCCCTATCTTCCTCGGCTCATTCCTCCTCCTCCTCTGCTTCTTAGATCGACTGGCTACACAGTCCCGCGGCGCGCGAGACGATGGATCGCCTGATCGGAAAATATCAGCGTTTCGTACTGATCATGGGGCGATACCCCAAATCTACCGCTGTCCCAACCCTCGACGTCGACCTGGCCTGGCATACGCACCAGCTGAGCCCCGCTCTGTATGCCCATGCCATGTTGTCCAAGACACGACGGCTGATCGACCACGACGACAAGATCGACGAGAGTAAGCTTAGCACCGCCTTTGAATGGACCAGTAAGGTGTACCAGCAAATTTACGGCGAGGTGTACTCCGAGTGCACGTGCTGGTACTGTGAGAGCATCCGGGCGTCGCATATATCGTCTATAGGGAGTATGTTGGGAGTGTCGCAGAACGAAAAGAGTATGTGTTTTTTTATCGGTAACTACTATCATTCCTCCCCCTTTTCCCTAGTCACATTTCCGCTGCTCCTCATTACCTACACCAGACGGGCCCATTTCCCGATGAACTCACAATCCTACCACCTATAGTATCCGAGAACTTTTACAAGTCAGGCCGCGCAGAGCTCTGCCCACCGGGCAACTCGGCACACATATCAGCACACAATGCTGTGCGCATGAACGTCGCGGACGTGCACCAGAACGCCGTACGCCGCCGCCAGAGCCTCGCGCACCAGTATCATCTTAACCTGAACTACGACCGTGCGCAGCGCCGTGCGCGCCGCAAGGGCCGCGACCTGCCGCCGAGGGAGGAGTATTATACGTCCTACTGGGGGCAACCGTACATGATCTACGGCCCGTATATGTCTCCCGTGTATCCTGCACCCAGTCTCTATCCCAACGGGGACCCGGGGACAGACTCGTGCGTGGACGGCCACAACGGTGGATGTGGCGGAGGGTGCGGCGGAGGATGTGGAGGGGGGTGTGGCGGCGGCGTAAGTTTCCGTCTTCTCCCCCCCGTGTTATCTATGCAAGTAACGCCTGCTGATTCTTTTCTTCTTCGTGTCCGGTTTGCAGTGTAGCGCCTCCAAATCAGCCTGCGGTGGAGGCGGCGGCGGCGGCGGGTGTGGCGGCGGGGGATGCAGCAGCGGAAGTGTAAGTCCCCCAGTCCTCTCTCCCTATTCCTCGCGATTGCGGTATTCATTTTCGACGTCCTACCTTGTGATTCCTTCCCGTCTCCACCATGTAGCCCTTTCCCTTCCACCAACAGCCGCTGGCTAGTAAGCGAAGCTGCCCGTCGAGTGTTGCTAATGACTCGTCTTCCTCGCGTGGCGTAGTCTGGAGGCGGAAGCGGAGGCGACTAGACTCATTCCGGAGTCTGCTCGACAGCTGCTGGCTCGCGAAAATGCATAGCCGGCTTGGACGAGGTTGATTACGGAGGTTTGCTCGGATACGGAGAGGAGGACATCGTTGCGCACGTGTATAGCGTGCCGGGCCTAACTGCCTACCGAAAGATAACCAACGAAGCGCCCATAAAGTTGTCTGGAGATACAGGCAACCGAGAGAAGAATGAAAACAGAATCGGGGGGTTTTTATTTCTCTCTTTGCTCCGGCCACTCTCACTTTACTAGGAGGATTCGGCATTTGCAGCAGTCTTCTCTTTGTACGCATACATGCAGCAAGGTAGCTAGCTAGGTATACCGCGATCATCACATTTACATTATGCCTCGGCGGCTTCCCCGGCCGTGTTTGCCGTTCGCCCCGTCGCGTGCTGAGTCCGCTATCCGTCCCCACATACCCGGAGCGTGCCAACCGAGGGAAAGGGGGGCTAGGACGGGGGATGAGGCTTGCGTGAACTGTGCGAGAATAGGCAGACACACCGCGGGGGATATAGTACGGACTTGCGCAGGATTTCTACGCTGGCTCTACGTGCCTAGCTAGGAGGGCAGAGGCGGTAGACGCGACTGAGTTGCGATCGAGCGCTGTAGGCGCGCGTTGGGGGGCGTAGAGGTAGGTGGACACGGGATGGGTGCGTATGTGTATACACATGGATATGTCGATACCTCCTCGTCGGACGACGCCCGTATGGCCCCCTGTGCTATCGTAGGCACGGCCGCAGGTTAGAGAGGACGACCCGCGGACAGGCTCAGGAGACAGGGGACGGCTGCGGCTCTGCCTCCTGCTCTCCGGCGGGTTTCGTGTCGTGGCGGGACGCAGGGCCAGGCGGGGACACTCTGCCTGGAAACGGCGTACGCGCGGGCTGCGCGTAGGAAGGGTAGAGGGGTCGATAGTTGGTTCTTACACGCACACGCACACACATACACACACACAGAGAGACCGGGATATAAACATATATACCACCCTCTCCACACCCCCCCCCCCACCAAAACCCTGGGTATATAAAAAAAGATCATCCTATATAAATGTAGGAACTCCTGGAGCCCCGCTCGCGTAGCACTGCGCGCGCTCGCGCCCGCCCCTGCTACCGGAGCAGCAGGCCGGGGCGACGCGCGCGGGGGAGGCGAGCGCGGACTATGATGGTCCGGGGCCGCGCGTGGGCGCCTCTTTTCGCTCTGGCAGCGCCCCCGTGCGCCCAGGCCCTCTCGCGCGGGCACCGCGGCGCAAGACGCGTCGCGGCGGCGAGAGCCGCGCCCGTCGGCCGGCGGCCGGCGGGGCAGACTACGTCGCGCGTGGTCGGGTGGCCTGGGGACGGGGCTTGCTGCGGTGGGTAAGGGGGGTAGGGGATGAGGGAGCGGGGGGAACGGGGAGGAGGCTGGACGGTGAAGGCGTGGGGGGTATAGGTAGGTAGGCAGTCTTCTCCCGGGACGCGCACGAGGGCGGTCGGATGCAGAGAGAGAGGGGAGAGGGCGAGCGCCAGGCAGGGCATCCCGAGCTCCGCGTTGAAGTCCTCGCACAGCAAGCAAACTCAGCTTCCACGCCCTTTTCCCGCGAGGATTGAGGTACTTGGTGCCGGCCAGCCTCGACGTCGCTCACCTCCGCTCTCTCTCCTCTTCCCCATCACCGTCTCCCTCTCTTCCCGCATCCCCATCTCACCCACCCCTCTCCTCCGGGCGGAAACGCGGTGCGCGCGTGTAGGGGGGCGAAGCGGAGAGAGAAAAGTGTGTGTGAGTAGGGTAAAGAAAAAAGAGCCAACACTCGGACTAAATAGGTACCTAGAAAAAAGGAAAATTTTAAGCAGGTATCCAGGTACCACCCCACAACGGCTTATCTGATGGAGAAATGTGCGCACGGGCCCTCACCCCCGGCCAGCTGCCCGATCGGCTCGCCAGTCGTCACGGCCCGCCGGAACGGCCCGGCCGCGACGTGCCCTGACTCTGCCTACCTACCTTACCCCCTTGCCTCCCGTCGGGAAGCGTGTTGCGCCGCAGCACGTCGCGCCAGCTCTCGTCCCGTCCTCGTTCGTGTTGTCGTGCGATGGTACGACCAACGCGTTTGTGCGAACGGGGGGTCCAGCATACCTAGCCCACTTACCTAACAACTACCTACCTACCTGTCCGCCCGCCTCTCAGATCCCCTCGTAAGCTCCGTCGTCGTCGAGACCCGGGGGAAAGAGCGCCAGGAGATTGATATACCGAGACAGGCGGGCACTCGGGCGGACGGCGTTTCTACGAAGCCGGCGTAGCACAGGGCAAGCTGGGCCGCCTGGGAGAAACCTGGCGTCGGGACGGGTCGGGCTCGGGCTGTGATGCGGGGGGACCTAGGTAGTGATGCATCCGCGTAGCAGCAGCTATCCCCCCGGCTCTACTGTGCAGCCTGTGTCTCCCGCACGTCGCTTAGAATACGCAGTCTCGGGCGGCCTCGAAATAACCGACCCGTCGGCCTATCGTCGTAAAACGCAGGTAAATAAACTCCGTTGCGAAGAGAGCGGGGGAAACTAAAACGACGCGTCGTATTGCAATCGACGAGCATCGGTAACTACACCGTAGGAATAAAAAAAGCATGAAGAGCAGAGGCACTCCCTACCTACATGCACCATACCTTCGTCCGTCGTTCCCTCGCCGTAGATACACATCTCCCCCGTATACCCCTACACCCCTATCCTCGCCCTACTAAGAATCAGATCAGGCCGGCGCGCGCCGCCTCGCCGCCGCCCTCCTGCAGGAGCGTCTCGACCTTCTGCTTGCCCTTGCCGAGGCCCAGCGCGCCCTCGCCGACGCCCATGCGCCGCGCCACGTAGCGCTGGGCGACGACGCCGACGGCCAGGCTCAGCGCCTCCTCCACCCACTCGGCCGCCCACTCGCGCGGGTCCACGCCGCCGCCCTCCACCACCTCGCGCAGCTCCTCCGGCACGTGCGCGCTCGCGCCCCCCTCCGCCGCTGCCGACGGCCCCTCGCTGTCCCCGCTCGCCGGCGTCGGCGCCGTCGCCGCGTCCAGCCACCGCGCCCACTTCGCCGGCATCTGTTGGCTCACCGCGCTGTACCGGATCTCGTGCACCGGGTCGAGCACGTGCACCGCGAAGCACACCTGCGCGTCCGCCGCGCTGTCGTCGTCGTCGTCGTCGTCGTCGGCGCCCGTGTCCGCCACCGCGCTCGCCTCCCGCTCCGCCTCGTCGGCCGCGCCGCCCGCGAACAGCGCCGGGTCCGCGTCCGTGGTGATCGGCTGCACCGCCAGGAAGATGTCGCTCGTCCGCACCGGGTTGTCCTCGCTGACGGGCTCGAGCGCGCGCTTCTGGGCCTCGGCGACGCCGCCCAGCGCCTCGAAGTAGTCGTGCGCGTAGCTCTCGGCGCTGACGCGGCACAGCTTCGTGCCCTCGACGAGCCCCTTCACCGCGCCCAGGTCGCGCGGCGAGCCCCCCTGGCGCCACCAGGGCCCGTCCCGCCAGCCGGCCGAGCTCGACGAGCCCCGGTAGAAGGCGGCGTCGGACGACCGCCGGGCCGTGTTCTCGAGGCCGCGCTGGACCACGAGCAGGTCGCCGCCCTCCACCTGCGACATCACCCGGCTGAAGACGCCGTAGACGAGCGGGTCCAGCGACGGGTAGCCGACGATGTCGTGGGTGATGTGGATCAGCAGCCGCTCGTGCGAGGAGATGGGCGGGGCGAGCGTATGGAGGATGTCGGCGAAGGTGGGTAGGGCACGATGGCGCAGGCCGTCGCCTGTCATCCGGGTCGTCAGCCGCAGGAAACCATCGGGTATACCCTCGCAGAAATGAAGCGGGAAGAACAGGCACAGACTGGACTGGGGATAGGCGTTGCCAACGTTCGATACTCACCCAAACCTCGCAGGGCCCCCACGTTGCCTCTAACCTGCTCGGCCCATTTCTTGGCTTCCTCGTTCTGCTGGATCTCCTTGTACGCGGCCTCGGCCTGCTTTATCGCCGCATTCGCAGTAGCGCTGGCCGTAGCAAAGATGCCACCCCACCACCCGCTTCCAGCAGCGGGGGCCGTCTGTTCGACAGACCCCTTCTTCTCGGCGTCCTGGGGCTCAGAGCTGGTGGCGCTCGGGGTGAAGCTGGTACGCAGGGAGCGGGTGCTCTCGACGGATTTGCGCGCGGCATTGGCTGGCCTGTCTTCGGAACGGCGGACGGCGCCTGGCGGCGGGGTTGCAGTGCTGGTCCGCTTGGGCGCTTTCGAAGCGGACGTATCTTTGACGCGAGGGGTGTGCGGTCGGGCCGGCTCTTCGCTGCCGAGTTCGTTCTCCAGCTCGGCGAGGATGTCCTGCTCTTGCTTGTCGCCGCGGGCTTTGGATGCGGCCGACTTGGATTTGCCGGCGGACTTCTTGACCGTGCTCTTGTCGCTGATGTCGCCGAAGAGCTCCCCCAGCTCGTCGGCGGTGGACGCCTTCGATCGCTTGGCCGACATGTCGGATGCAGCCGGCGGCAGTCGGTGGTCGGTAGCTTATGGGTGTTTGCAAGAATAGCAGCACGGCGATAACAGGTGGTTGAGATGGCGGAAAGACGAGCAAATGATGATGGGATGGGCAGGAAATGGAGGGTCGAGGTGCGACGAGTCGAGACTTTCCGGAAATGGACTATATGGGGAGTGGTCGCGATTGGCGGTGTCCGGTAGCGGGAGCAGCGGGGTGTTGGCGGGTGGCTACGAGTGCTGTTACGTGCTATAAGTGGCGGTACATGGGGGGGCTGGTTAGGTACCCACCTTGTCCCGGCAGGGGTTACGTCGCGGGTCTCAGTGATGTACCTAATGTAGGTGATATGATGCGCTCTACTGGACCGGGCGGCGGCGGACCAATGGAATGCCGCAGCCGTTGGTTGGTAACGCCGGCCGTGCCTCTTCCCCTTGTGTTTTCCCTGCGTCTTCCCACCGGGCGCCTCGTCGTACGGGCTGGCTCCGGCGACGATTCGCCACCAGCGGCAGCCGGGAGTTGGGTAGCGAAAGACGGCATGGTCGATGGCGTTCCGCGATACGAGGAGCCAGGGCAGCAGCAGGATAGTAGAGCCGAACACGTAGAGCAGGCCAAGAACCGGCCGAGGTCTATAACAGAGGCAATCCGAGAGCAGCTGGTGACGTAGCAGCCACGGTCACACGGCAGAAGCAGAAGTCAGGCTGTGCGATGGACGTCTATAGGAGCGGGAGGCATGCGTATGTGCGGGTTCGAGATGCTATGCCGCCGCCCACGTATCCCATCGTCAACAGGCAGATGCAGCCGCAACGATACACCAAACCACAGCTAGTTACATGAGGTGCACGGGAGATAGCTACCTACATCCTGCACAGGCGCCTTTACAGAGTAAGGTACCTAAGCTAGGCTATGTTATGCCCCCGCGTGGAGGTAGGTGGTGATTGGCAATGGCGATATCGACCCGTGGTGGTGGGTTCGGTAGGTGACTAACGTGGGAGGCATCGACAGCGGCAACGGGATCATCGGTATGATCTGTATCATCAGTATAACCTGTGTCAGCAGTAGGATCTGTATCAATGGTAAGGTATGTATCAGAAGTAGGATGTGCTGTCGTTGCAGTGGTAGTGATCGCGAAGACGGGAGTGCTGGATTACCTAGATAGGTACCTCCCAAGGTAGCAGTACCGGTACCACCCAGGGTACCTCGCATGCGGCGGCAAACAGGCAGGGGTTACAGGTACCCGAGGGAACAAGTGCAGGGTCTCGGCGAGGGAGTCGGGGCACGGGATCACCCAAGGGCTGGCGGCGGATGATGAAGGAGCTTGTCGTCACCATCAGCGGGTTGCCCAGATCAGCGGACGCCCAGAGGCTACGAGATACGTACCCACAGGCGGCCAACGCTAGACCGCATCGGGGCCAAAGGGAGCATTCTGACCTCCAGCGTGTTATCCCATTGGCTGGAGACCTCTGCCCGCCATGCAGCCGGCGTAGTGGCTGGTATCTCCCGATCAGGACACGCTCTGTGGCTTGAATCAGAGACCGTGGGTACGTGGGCGGGTTGCCTGGGTTAACGGGCGATGCTGGGGCCTCACGCCGGGAGGTACGTGGTGGGTACCGCTGCGACACCTTGTCGGGACGAGCGCAAAAAACCTGACACAAGTCGCTACGTACCCAACTTACTATGCGCTGGGTACACGTGAGATACCTGCTGTGTGGATAGCTGGGCGGGTCGCGCACATGTACCTGCACATGTACCACGCCCCCGACAGCTTGACGGCACCGCCTGTGCAATTTGCTGGTTTGGGCGTGTATTCAGGAGGTAGGTAGATGTAGCTTGATGTCGACTTTTCACTCCTCCGCCGTTGCGTATCGCGCCGTCGGGCCAAGTATTGGATTCACCATCATTTCCATTTTCGCTTCTCCCTCTCAAGCTCTGATTTCGATGCCCGGCGACGCATCGGCTTATATTGGAGTATTCTCTCGATCTTCTTTCCTGACCTTGCCGCACGAGCTTATAGTCATTTTCCTCCGTGATTCTGGTCTGCCTTGCTGCTGCGACAGGTACCCAGGTAGCCGAGAGAGGTCCATCCTCCATTCAATCTCTCTCTCTCTCTCTCTCGGCCGCTGCTGTCTCTCTCTCTCACGCACGAACACACGCTGTCTTCCCCAGACCAGCTCCTTTTATCTCGTCCCGCGCTGCCATCCTGGCACACCACCCGCAACCACCGACAACCGCACACATACCTTTGCCCGTCGCCTCTCTCTTCTTACATCACGCACAAAACCCGCCAGCCTGATCCGGCGCTTCGCAAAATTGCTGCGAGTCGCCTACCTGCTAGTTAGCACACACTAGCTAGCAGGTATCGCATGCCAACCAGCTTGAGCCGCTCTTCTTAAATCTACTCTACCCTCCGCTATATCTCACTCCTGCCACCACTGCTGCCACCTCCACCTCGCCAGACTCTTCCTCTCTACTCCCTACTTGTGATATATACCCCTACTCGATCCTCCTCTCCACCTGGTCATTGCCGTTCTCTCTCTCTCTCTTCGGACATCCCGCCTTGACCGCTTACAGCCTCTCTCTTCCGGGAGAAATCCTCTCGCGGCGTCGCCCACGGGTTACTATCAGCATCCAGTAAGTCAGGTTCTCCCGTGCTCAGCATATTTGCCTATCAATCTCTCCGTCTATCCTGCCTTGCCTGCTTTTGCCCCCCTTACTGCCTGCCCACTACCTGATCTGCCCACACCTCCCCGTCCGTCGTCGACCCTGATACTACTCTCATCGAGAATCATCCCCTCTGTCTCTCCTGTCCTGTCTCCCCCTCTCCTTCTCCCTCTCTCTCTTCTCTTTATACCTAGAAAGTCCATACACGCAGATATCAGCACCTACAGACGCCCATACATGCCCGCATGCACGCACCTAGCATACGTACCTACGTGCAGACGTTGACTGGAGGATCCACGTCTAGGTACACGCCTGGGTAACACGGCTGGATCCACGCCTACTTCTTTGCCGGAGGTGTCTCTTGGCTTGCGTACCTCTCCCTCCCGACTAAGAAATCCATTCACTCATCTGTGTACCTGTCAACAACACCCATTTTTTCCCTTTTCCCCACGTCTTCGTTTCTGCGCCTTGCGACAGCTCGAATCGAGGCGAGTTATCACGCCCGATCTGGAATTTTCTGTCCTGCTCTCTTTTTATTTTTTCACTGCTTGACGCAATCCTCTTCCCTGGTCTCTCCGCCGACCGCGCGCGCCTCGGACGTGCTGTAGTCTTTCGCCTTAGGCCCTTTCTCCACTTACATAATCTCCGAACCAAAAGCTCACTTTTCACTTTTACACTGATTCAACTTACACCCGCCTTCGCCCCGACTTCACCCACCGACCTCACTAACACCCGCAGCCAGACTGCCGCATCAGATCCCTCCTCTAGTAGTCCTCATGGATTCTCCAGGCTCTGCCCGAGCGCGCAGTCGCTTTTCTATTCACAAGCGCTCTTCATTCCCCACCACCCAATCATCTCCTAACCCGGACCCGGTTGATCTCGCCGAGCAGCCTTCGTCAATCACCCCTTCTCAAGTCCCGAGCATGGCTTCTTCCTCTTTTACCTTCGAGGTCCCTAGTCCCCCCTCTCTGAGGGGAACCCGGATGCGTACTCGTCAGGTCGAAGGCGCCGCCGCCGCTTCGGATGATGCCGATAGCAAAGGTGGGCGTTTCCTGCGAAAGCGAGCTCGCGTGGACTACACTTTCGACCAGCCCGACGACGAGGAGAACCAAAACGCAAAAAGTGCGCCCATCACTACGCGCGCTCTAAAGCGACGCAAGACTGACGTCGCCACCATTGACGCCGACGTGGAAGATGAGGCCGAGGCTCGAAGCAAGCGACGCGCTTCCGAGCAGCCCCAGTCGTCTTCGTCCTTGTCGTCATCACGCCGACGCAACCCTTCTCGAAAGTCTACCACTGTTGAGCCTCAGCCTTACGTCCCCGAGCAGCAGGGGGACGATGTGCAAGACACCATCGAAGTGGGAGGCCATCAGAGCGACGAGTCTGATCTCTCCGTCCACAAGCGAAGTAGCACTGGCTCTCACCCGGGCTCCGAGGCCCCACTTCGAAATGTTAGCAACTCATTCGAAGCTTCCCACCCTTCCCCATCTTCTCAAACCGCACAGCCTCCTCCCTCATCTCCCCCTTCTCAGTCCTCTCAGCCCTCCCAGCCTCAGACCAACAACAACCCGCCTATCCAAGAAGCAACCAAAAAACCTGCCGAGCGCCAAGAGCCACAGGGCGAAGCGAAGGCTCCCGAGAGTTCCGCTTCGCACGCCCAACATCATCAAGTCAATGGGGACAGTAAAGATGAAGACGAGCCGAACTCTTTAGAGTATCTCACGCCATACATCGCAGGCTCCCGCGTCTACTACCCCGACTACCCGGAAACCGAGCCTGAACCCGAACCTGAACCCGAGCCTAAGCTGGAGGCTGAAGTGGAAGCTGGACCAGAGGCTGAACCAGAAGCCGACCCGGAGGGTGAGGCTGAGGCTGAGGCTGAGCCAGAGCCAGCCGACCCAGAGGAGGAGGCTGAGCCGGACGCGGATGCCGAATTAGAGCCTGATGCAGCGAACGAAAACGGGGCTGAAGAGGCTGCCGGTGATGACCAGCCAGCGGCCGACGACCAGGCAGATGGCGGTGCTGTTGTAGAAACCGACGCCAATTCTCCCTCCGCATCCGCAGAGGCAGCCAATGCCAATAACCTGCCCGTTGTGAAGAAAAAGTTTGCCTTTAAAAAAACGAGACAGGCAACTGACTTCACCCAACTGTTCACGGATGTCAAGTCCTTGTCCCCCAACGAGCTACATCGTAGGGTCGAAGCTGCAACCTGGGCCCTTGTCGCATGGCAGAACGAGTATAACGAACTGCGAAAGGTTACAGACGATTACGATAACTCGGTGCGCTATCACAAGGAGGAGGAGTCATTCGAGCGCCGCTTCAACATGGCAGTCGGAAAAAACCCTGCAGCCAATCCACTCCGGAAGGAATTTGTCGTCAAGGGTATCAGAGCCCCAAAGACGGAAGATCCCTTAGTCGCATATACCCGTCAACAAGACAGGATCATGGCAAATGTCTACGGCTTCGAGTACGACCCCAGGGATGACAAAATGGGCCAGCAGGATCCCATTGCCCAACGCACCGGCCTAGGTCGCAATGGACGATTACGCGAGAGGCCCAGACAAACCGCAAAAGCAGCCGAGGCAGACGATCCCAATATCGTCCAAGGAAAGCGAACTAGAAAACCGCCGACGGCGCCTGATAGGGGGTCGACCGTTAGTAGAGGATCGACCCCGGCACCGACGCAACGCGGACGACGTCGTGGAAACCAGGCACCCGCCCCAGACGCAGATGCTGAACAAACCCAAAAGCCTGCAGCGCCAAATTCCGTGCCGGAGCCTGCCGACCAGGAAGCCCCGAAGAAGAAGGGAAGGGGTGGTCGCCCTCGCAAAAATGCTATCACGGAACCAGCACCGGAAATCAAACCCACTCCAACAGCCGAAGAAGAGCAGGCCGAAGCGGGCCCCGAGTTGCACCCCGAACCGGAGTCCAAGCCGCAATCCAAGTCGGGAGCTAAAGCAGGAGCTAAGCCGCAACAGAAGACCCGTATCAGACTCGAGTCAAAGCCAAAGCCAAAGCCGGAACCCACGCCTGAGCTGACACCGAAATCAAAGAGAGCAGCCGGCTCTGTTGCGGAAGAGGAACAGCCCTCCCGCAAGCGTAGACGCAAAGCGGCCGAACCCACCCTTACGCCTACTCCTCTCCCCGCAGACGAAGGGGATGCGGCGGCGAACGGTACCAACTTGCAGGCTCCTACGAAAGTGACCCCACGAAAAAGAGCCTCCCGAAAGGCGGACAACCCGTCGACATCCTTAAATACGACGTCATCTACGGCCGCGAACCAGGCCGACGAGCCTCGCCCTCTAACCGCTTCATCGACTGCGACTGTTGAGACGGTGGCCTCCAACGGCTATCAGCTCCGCGAAAAGCGTCAGAGGAAATTCACCCTAGATGTCAACGAAGAAGACGGGATCGGTGAGCCTAAGACCAAGCGCGCCAGACGTGCAGCACCGAAGAAGACTGCCAAGGCCGAAGACATCGCTCCCGCACCAGAGCCTGCTCCCCCCGCGCCGCGAGGGTCGGAGGCTGGCTCTATACTCAAGCCTCATACCATAATCAAGCTGAAGGTTCCCCATCCACATAATGCCGCCCGTCCCACTTCAACACCTACTGCATCCGGCACACCATCCCTTGCTCCGTCCAGCCTCTCGACCGCATCCCACGTGAATCACATCAACGGAACCAATGGCAATGTTCTCGCCAATGGAATTCACGAAAACGGTGTCGTGGCCGACGGAGAATCCGGTGCAGTGGACCCTACGAAGGATTACAATTCCATGACGAAGTCCGAGAAGATGTCATTCTCCATGAAAGGTATGCTAGATCCTCAACGCCGACACGTTTTCGTCGTATGGAGTAAATGAAATACTGACGTGAGATGGCAATAGCTCGATGGGCATCGGGATCGATGGGCACCGCCGTCGCAAAACGACGTGCCACCTTGGCTGCCAAGAAGCAGAGCGCCAGAACGCCTGCGCCTAACAACGCCGAAAACCAAGCGCCGACAGCCGCGTATGCCCTCGAGAACCACAGGAACCATGGCCCTGGCGGTATGGGGCAACTATAAAGAAACCCCATCATCAACCGCAGACGCGATACCGCAGACGCGATATCCGAATATTTCCAGGCGGTATCACGTCGACGTATAACGAGCTGTATCCTTCCGGCTCATCACGTTTGGCTACCTGCAAACTAGTATAATCAGTTGGACGTACGCATAGCAAATTTTGCTTCAACATGCCAAATCACACGACCGATCGGAAGCACCACATTGTCATGAGAAACGACAGTTTTTAGAAAGAAAGCACGCGACATGAAACCGAACAGACATCACCCGAGAGTCCATTTGGACATAACCGATTCCTTCTAGCGTTACGACTCGGCGCGGCACACATCAATATCAGCAATAGATACACCGTCCTCGTCAAAATGGGGACGGACATGAGGATCCAGACGAAAAAAGGATATAACGCAGAAGCCATGAGCGCCAGAGGCGGCGTGGTAAGACGCCACAATAGTTGCGATAACTACATCAGCAGTAAATACAGGATATTGACGATGATTTGGAAGTACAAAGCTTCCAAAACAAACCCTCTCGCACATACAGACACACTCACTCACTCACTCACGCATATCAACTACCCGGGAAGGGGCGGCTCCATAAGAACAGCCACATCGAGAGATCCAGGATGCCCAGAAAGAAATAGAGCATCCATCAAACATCGAGGTGGGCGGGAAACCCACCTCCAACTACGTCTCCCACCCACCACAACCCCCTCCTCACGACAATCGCTCACTCGTACCCACACATACACACACACATCGACCCACAACCTTTTTTATTTTCCCCTTGATCGACGACCAAGCACCATCGTCAGATCAGATCGCACACAGCATAGCACAAGGGATCTTGTTTTTTTTTTTTTCCAGGAGCATACGGGAGGGGCGGTAGGAAGGCGGCGGCAAAACCCGGAGACAGCGCATAGACGGAACGGAGGACGGCGGGGGGTGGTAGTAGGAAAAGGAGGGGCGGGCGACGAGCAAGCGACGGAGGGGAAGAGGACGGACGGACGGACGGACGGACGGACGGATCTGGATGGATACCCAGCGGACAGACGGATAGACAGACGCCTCGCCGCGCGTATCCCGGCGCAGCGTAGCACCTCGTCGTTGCCGTTGTCATCACTTCGGCATACAGGGACGGAGGGGGGTAGGGGGGAGAGGAGCACCCGCTGGCACGCGCGTGCAGCAGCGTAGGGCGGTTGGTTCCGGTTGGTCCGGTTGGTTCCGGTTTGGTTCGGCATTTGCATAGGGGCGGACGCATGGGACCTCCCGGCGCCCTCCCCGCAGCAAGGAGGGGGGGCGCAGGCCCGGGGGGCCGAGGACGCTAGGAATACAGCGATTTTGCGACTGATTTACTGCTACTGCTACTTACTGCTACTGTGACTGTGACTGTGATTGTGATTGTGATTGTGATTACTTCTGCCGTAAGGTGTGACGGAAATCTATACCCCTATCACGCTCGGGTGATGTAGTGGGAGGGAGATTCAAGTCGCAATTGGTTCACGTACGAAGGCTTGAAATGGGCCGTCAAACGACACCCCAGGATTGTGTGTGTGTGCTCGGTTTCTCTTTTTTGGTATGTAATTGTCTCCTTTACGCCCCGTAGCCGAAATGCAAAGCGACCGACCGACCAGACCAGTCCAGTCCGCCGAGCCCATACCTACTTACTTCCTGTGGCTAGCCAGACAGGCGAGCCACGACGGAGAAGCGTATTAAGCATGCCTGTGCGCATCCTCCCCCTCCCTTCCTCCGTGCGTGGTGTGTCGCGGAGGCGGCCTGGCCAGGTGGTGAGAGTTTGTCCCAATCGTGATGCGCTCTCTCTTCCTCTCTCTTTTCCCCACGTGGAAAAGGGGAAAGATCATGTAAATCTAACCTCCTCTCTCTCTGATAACCCCCTCGAGCATGTCCCCGTCCCCCGTTTACATCACAACACCGGTGTTGCTAGCGATACGCTACGGGCAAGGGTTAGAATGTGCTGTGGTGGGTGGGGGTGAGGCGGAGGAAGGTTCACGTACAGGCCATAACTCAGCAGCCTCCTTGCCGACGGGTCCGGTAACAGCGGAGCCCTTCATCTCACCCTTGGGGTTGACAATCTAAGAATTTACACGTCAGCACGGTGCTTCCAAGCCACTCCGTAAACGCTGCATGTTGCAAATTGGCCTGGCACGACCCCGCCAAATTCCAAATTTACGCGGCCGCCTCAGGCCCGCTGCCCGAACAACGATATATAACCACAAAAGAAAACACCACTCACCACACCAGCGTTATCCTCAAAGTACAGGAAGACGCCGTCGGTCCGCTTCCAGGGCTTGGATTGCCGGACGATAACGGCGGGGTGGACCTTCTTGCGGAGCTCGGGCTTGCCCTTCTTGACGGTGGCCATGACCATGTCGCCGACGCCGCCGGCGGGCAGACGGTTCAGGCGGGCGCCGACGCCCTTGACGGAGATGATGTAGAGGTTTCGAGCGCCCGAGTTGTCCGCGCAGTTCATGATGGCACCGCTGTTGTCCTCGTGGGCCACTCGTTAGCAAGGACGCGCCTCGGTTTTCGTAGGGGCGCGAGATCCGACGGTCGCTAAGACCTAGACTCGTTCGCTTCGGCTGGGGAGTTCGGGTGGGCGGGGGAGGGCCTTCCGCACTTACACAGGCAGACCGAGGGTCATCTTCAGCTTGCCGCCGGGGGCACCACGCCTATGCATCGCCGAGTTAGCAGGACCGCTCCAGCGCAGCGTTCCTCCGTCCCAGGCACATCTCAATTCCCGCCCCGCGCTACCGTCCCTAGGATAATCCCGGGCCAGGCCGAACTGGGCTCCCGCGATCCAGCTCTTGCACAGTGAATGGGAAATGGATTCCACTAGACACTGCCCGTCGATAGCCCTCCTCAGCATTTTTTACCAACCAGTCGTCCTGTAACCAGACGTGTTCCCGCCTCTTTATCCCGCCATCCTATCTAATATGGCATTTCCCTCCTCTTGCCGGCCTCTGTCCCTCCTGACCACCTAGCCGGAATCGTGCGTCTTCGAAATCGAACAGAATACACTCACGATAATTTCGCCATTGCTGCTTAATTTGTGTGTGTTGCAAGATGGTCTGTCGACGTGAATGGTGCTTCCAGAGAGACGAATTTCCGGGGATTGCGAGCTGGTCGTTGATCGCGGAGGCGTGGGAAAAAAAAATTACAAAAGTCCAACGATGGCAGGCTGGGAAGGGCGCAAAGAGGTGGTGTGCGGCTTCAGAGAGAAAAAACCCTAGGGCCCCACAAACTTGACAAGCGATTCCCCAAAGGAGCACCACGGTCACGTGATAGTAATCCTACCATATGTACCTTCGTACCTGTATCCGTATGTACCTAGGTACCGCCTTCTTTGCCACTTGGTACCTACCACCTTGCCGGCGACCCTACGTCCTACCCGGTACACCAGAGCCATGCTATCTACGAGGTAATTCTATCTCATCGACTTCGGGTTAATGGCTCGTATGATCGACACTCAAACCTACGTTAGATACCCAGGTATTACACGCTAACACGAGGAATTCACACACATCTTAACGCCTTACGATGCCTCGACTTGTCTATTCTGCCCGGCTAAAGCATTCTACCTAGACGTCGACGCGGCCGGCCTCGAGCCCCCCCGGCGCATCTAGTGGTCATCCCGGTCGGACCAGGGCTTGACGGCGTCGAGGAGGCTGCGGTGGACCTCCTCGTCGCCGGTGGCGGCCAGGACGTCCTCGAAGATGCCGCCGGCGAGCTGGCGCGCGAAGAGGAGGTGGCCGGCCCAGACGAAGTCGGCGTAGGAGGGCCGGGCGCCCTCGAAGAAGGGCCCGGCGGGGTCCTCGCGGAGCAGGGCGCTGACGGCGCGGAGGTGGGGGGCGGCGGCGGCGAGCACGGCGGCGCGGCCGGGCGTGCCGGGCGCCACGCCCGCCGCCACGTCCTCGAGCGCCGCGCCGAACGTCGCCTCCCGCGTCGCGCGGAAGTACGGCTGGCTCGCCGCCGTCAGCACGTTCGCGTGCACCGCCGGCAGGTAGACCGGCACCAGCGCGCCCATCGCCGGCGCCAGCTCCGCCACCACCCGCGCCACGTACGGCGAGTCGATGCGCGCCGCCGGCGTCGGGTGCTGCGCCTCGACGCGCTCCGCGATCGCCGCCGAGTCCATCACCCACGACCCGTCGGCCAGGATCGCCGTCGGGATCGTGTACTTCTCCGTGTCCGCGGGAAAGCTGGCAGGGAAGGTTAGCGGGGGGTGGAGGCGGAAGTGGGGCGTACAGAGTAGGCTCGAGAAAAGGAAGGGTTTGCGCGCGAGTTCAGGGGGTGAAAGGGGGAAGCGACCACGAACGCGCTAGCGAGACGACATGGCGACTTACTGGTCCTTAAACCGGGGCTTGATATCGGGATACTCGACCTACGGGGACGGGACATCATCAACGCATGCTCTCGGAGTGAATCAGTAGCGTCGGCTATCAGCCGAACCTACCCATTCCGTCCTGTAGGGGAGCCCCTTATAGTTTAGGAGCAAACGAGCTATATTTCACCATCACGTTAGCCGCCACGGAGTATTATCGGGTACCCCTGAGGGGTTTATGTGCCAACGTCTTTTACGCACTCTTCCACGGGTTCAATGACCAGCACTTGTTGGGCGCCCTGGACGGCAGGTCGAATAGGACGATCTCCTGGCTAGCCATGGTGAATGCAGCGATATGTATCGACCGAGGTATGTAGGACGACGGCGGTAAGGGGACTGTTGGGGGAAGGGGGTGATGTCTGGAAATCGAGGCAGTGAGGGACCTGGCCGACAGAGACAGGTAGGCACCTATGTGGAGCGGATGTCGGGCTCTAATATATCTACACATATTACATAGGCATGTAGGTATATATCTACAGATCTACGAAACGGACGCACCGTATCGAGACCCTACTCATACGCTTTCGGTGCCAAGACACGCTCCCATCTAGGAGCGGATATCGGCGTGGAGCTCGCGAGTAGCAATGCCGAGTAATATGCACGTAAAGGCGGTGGTTGTTCTGATTAGGGCGCGCATCTTCACCCTCCTCGCCTCCCAAGCCAATGAGAACTCGGCCCGGCGGCTCCCCTTCGGCAGACGACCCCGCCTTCTAATGACGCATCGAGACAGCAGTCTCCTGGGCTCGAGGACGAGGGCTGTCATCAATGCTTCGCCGTTGCATTCGGCAGTGCGGATTCGGACGCGATTGTCCCCTCGCCCTGGTCCGCACCCTTCGCAGCTCTCTGCCAGGGAGCGTGACCCTCGAGGGCGACCTCAGCAACCGCATCCCTATCCAGCGCAGCGAGGGCGTCGGTCGATCTCAGGAGGCATCCAATGCCATAACGCCCCGAACTCGATGCTTATCGCGGGTCGGCCCTCTCGGTCTCGGTCATCTCTCCTCCTCCTCCAGCCCCACATCGCCCGGTTCATTTACAGCCCAGGTCCCCTAGAGCAAGCGTTTCACATCATTAGGTGGGAGCGCCGATAAAAGCGTACGGGGGCCATTTTGGCCGACGCGTAGGTATATTAACCGCTGCGCAGATGCATCGCGAACCAAGCTGCCTGGTTAATTACAAATACGGAATGCGGCTCCGGATTTATAAGAAACGCGGGTGCTGATTAATCCACGTCGTCTCGTTGTCTGGCCTAGATATACACGTAGGTACCTAGTAGTAGAGCGTCAGCACAGAGACGGATCTTCCCAACAGGTGCTGTGGATTCCGGCATGTGGGCGTAGGGAACTTGTACAGTAAGCAATGTCTACCGGAAGCACCTGAGGGCATTCATTCGTCGCGCGTTTTTTACAAGCATTTCCAGTCCGCTTTTCGGGGGATAGAATAAAATAAAAGGGGACCGGACTGCACATGTCAAGATATCTCACGGGTTGATTAGTTGATGCAGGTTGATGGCAGGTTGGCGGTAACAGCGCCCTGTCCGATTTATTTAATTACCTACCTAGGTACCTATGTAGGTACTCCATCACGTGACTATTGGCACGCCCTGCGACCCGAACTTTGCCTGTGGCGTCACTTTTAAATTCACGACATGTGTCTCCTAAAGGCGCGAAGACATTGCCTTGAGGTAGCAGATATCTAGTAACAAATGGGTCTTCGTGAACTTGCATGGATATTTACATGTATAGGTAAGTTTCTTACTACCGGGGAACAACCTACCTAGGTATTTTTACTCTGAATCCCCTTGGGCCGTATGGCGGCTGCGTAAGCATGGCTGAATTTCCCGATGCCAGTTCTTCCAATCTTCCACTTTGGACTTTCAATTCGCTACAGTATTTCTCTGTTTTTAGTAAGCAAGGGCGGGATAGACGCTGGCACAGCCTATTAAAGCGCTCCCCCAACAGAAAATCGATGTCTCTCACTACCTTGGCTCTATCTCCCGAGGTAAATACCTCTTTTTTATTACCTCCAGCATCCCTACCTTGAATGCACGCACCGCTATCTTTTCTCTCCAGACCCAAGATGTTGCCTATGTAACCGGCCTGGCTTGAGTCTTCAATCATGAACCCCCCCATCTCGTTAAGTCTTCTCCTTATTAGCCCTCGTCAGAGTCTTAGTTGGTTAGAGAGCTCTCTGGGGCATTTTAGTAAAGGACTGCGAGGGTAAAGTTTCAAATCCCGTCCGCCAAAGCAAGCTTTAGTCGCTTTAGATAGTAATGATCGACTATAGTCTACTACATTAAAATTCCATTACGTAGGTATAGGCGGCCAAAACCACCTCTACTGCGTCTTTATTTGCTGTAACACTATAGCATAAAATACACGGGTAGCAGAATGATTCTTCCGTTGTGGTATAGAGCCGCCCTCTTTGGCGCGTGGTATGTACCTACGTGTCGTGTGGTGAGAGAGGGCATTCTGTAATGATAACGTGATGGAAAGTCCTCACTGGCTGTCCCGCTTTGATGTGCAGAGTATTCCAAGAGCTGAAGACTTCCCTTCACTACCTAGGTACCTTAAAGCTGCGCTTAGTTAGAGGTTGAGAATGAGGTGTAGGGTGGGCGGGGATGGGAGATTGTTGGGCTGGTATGCGATACTGCTATATTCCTCAATGCGGTTCTCGATAAGTTCCAATCAGGTAGGTAGGTATAAAAAGTGCTAGTTGATCCATTAACCCCCTCCCACATTGTCTTACCCCGATCTGCGAAGCATCAGTATCAAGACGGATCTTCCAGTTAGATGGGTACCTCAGGTAATTGTCTCTTCGCGTATAGATGCCAAACATATGCGCGTAAAAACAGACTAAACTACCTTGTAGGGGACAGAGGAGGTTTCGCTATCTCATAGATGTTTTCGAAGATGGTTTATCGTGTTGGTTTTTCTTGGCCGAGGCTCAAACGGTTAAGCTGCCTTGGCTAATGGATTTCATCGCACTCTCAACGCTACGGGAATCAGCGTGGCCTTTCCCGGACCCGTAACCATGTAGTTGGGATCCTAGTTTCTGTACTCTTCTTCCTATCTTGCGTATGTACCATACCTAAGCTGCCCGGTGGACGATGAAGGCCTCGGCACCGTACCATGGCGACCTATACCGGCCCTTAGGCCGATGGCGGAAGCTGGACGCTTGACGCACATAGCCTCCGGCATTACCAGCCTATCCTCCTCTACGCTTCGGCATCCAGGCTGCATAACATCTACAAAATCCGATTTCGCCTAGTAAGTCCAGATGGCCTTCATTATTTATAGATGGTCGGAAGCCCGCGTCGCATCAGAAGAGGCCGCCCACCCCACGTTGGTAGAATATGCTAAGATCGAGGAATAATCTAGGGTAGAGTCTAGTATCGGGAAGCTAGAGCGAGAAATATTATCAAAGAATCCCGTCAGTTCAAGGCTCCGGCCCATTACCAGCTTCAGTCCTAGAGACGGCACTGCGTAATTTGGACCCTACGAGATTCCCTATTCGGTGAACGGGGACGGCCACAAGTTTGCCCTGCAACCCCATATAGCCAGGCAATATAGCCGTTACTTGAGATTTGTCACCCGCTTCGCCCGTCTATCCACTACCTTTGGCGCGAAGCGATCGGGCCGCATCAAGTTTACGTTCAACGAGGTCGGGGGAAGCGTGGGGTCTCAAGTGACAGGTTCCACGACGAACACGTGCCCCGCGGGTTTTCGTTACACCGCGACGCAAGCAACGACGAGTGACTTTCGTAAGATCCTCCTTGCAGCGTCGTCCTCAAACTCTTCGCGCTCTCGCGCAATGCGGCGCCGCCGGATGACCGCAGCCAATAGTTCAAAATGATAGCAACGCTGATACTAGCGCTATGTAAGACCAACGAATATAAACGAATCGGCACCCTCTTTACTCTCAACGCGTATGAGTAGGAAAGGGGACTTGGAATATGCGGACGGGTAGGTACTATTTCCTAACTAACGAACGCGACTACTAACTATCAGAGGATATCAGCACGGAAATGAGTGGCTTGGCAGTATAATTCGGGCTTTATAGACGGTTTGGCTATTACGGTAAGCCGGTTTTGGGCGAATTTCGAGTGGCCTGTCGAAACCTGGGGCATTGTGCACCCACGAATCTTGACCCTCCTTACGCCTCACGACTGGCATACGCAATGCAACCCTACACCCCGAAAACATGCCCACTCTTGATCATACGTCGCGACATCGGTGTTTAATCGTGCGACCCGCGTTGGTGCTGTTCGCGGTGCCGGGCACTCGGTCTCAGGAGCGGTCCGGAATTGACCCCAAGATTTAGGTGCATGCAGGTCCACGACTCACCCTATGGTGACCGACACTCGACAACCCGGCCACGAAGACCGGCCCTCTCCCGCACACATGCGGCCAATTGCCCACGTAAGTATAAGGCTGTCATCTCATCCCTTGCTAGCCAAATCGGATCCCGTGTGGGGCCTCACTACCTGCCGACCCGTAGCGTGAGCTAGGTATACCTACCTACCTCCCTACCATTGCCAGAATGTGCTCATCACGATCAAGCTCTTTTCCACCCAGTTCAAGAGCAGGCAGCAGGACTGCCTCAAGACTACTGTAGACTTGTTACATCGATGCCTCTGCACAATCTCGTAAACTCCATGTCGGTTTTCCTAGAACGAATGCCGCAATCCTGGGGGTCATGGTCATAGCTGATTGGGCGGTGGGTAAGCTGCAGTGGAGGAAACCCCCAAATCGACGGGTCCTACGCGGCCTCGATCCTCCCAGCCTCCCCTATTCTGGCCTGATTTTATCCGGTTGACTCACTGGAGAAACATCAGACTGCAACTTGCGCACAGTGGCTGCTTACACAACAAAATCCAAGGCGAGGGAAGGGGGGGTTCAGGTGAAGGATCTGCGGCATAGAGGCGTCCAGGATAGGAATCTATAGAAGAGGTTACTAAACGCAAGGGAACACGTATGTTCTACTAACCTGTTAGATCAACTACGATTATGTCGTCGAATATGCAGCGACCTACATCGATGTAGGTATTATGTGCCTAAGCCTAGCACGCATAGTGGGAAATTCGGTCTCGGAGGAACAAAATTGTATATCATTGGCTCGTATGACGGATCATCCGAATTCACCCCCCGTTGTTTCGGGGATATCGTTTACTACTTTTGCTCAGATGTTCGACCATGCAACTAAAACGGTCCTCCCGGGTGCTCCTCCACCATGCAGTCGACGGGGGTCGTTGACCATGGGTCCTACGTACTGCATACGACTCTCGCGCTCTCGGTGTCACGGAGAATAAGACGAAGCCGCGATGTCTCGTCCCTACACTCAACCCCGCTGGAACGATGCCGTGCATATATATATATATATACCTATAAGATTACCGTCGTGCCTTTGCTCAAGCCACTCGACAATTGCTGACATATCCCTCCCTCTGCCTATCAACTAGGATTGGAGAAATATCTCAGGCATCTACGTAACACAAACCTATCACTCGTAACCACCACGAGCACTCCCACGACCCCACGACCCCACGTCAAAAATGCCGCTGAAGGTCCTCATCATTGGCGCAGGTATCTGCGGGCCGGCCATGGCAACGCTGCTACGCCGCTCTGACCCGGAGACCAGCATTACCATTATCGAGCGGTACCCAGAACTACGAAAGAACGGACAGCAGATCGACCTGCGCTCGTGGGGCGTCCCCATCATCCAGCGTATGGGGCTCCTCGACGCCATCCGCGAGAGGACCGCGGTCGAGAGCGGCGTGGCCTTCGTTAACTCCCAGGGGAAGATCTGCGGCCTCTTCGGCGTCGACAAGACCGGCACCGGCCAGCAGGGCTTCACCAGCGAGTTCGAGATCATGCGCGGCGATCTCTCGCAAGTGCTCTACGAGGCCAGCCTGCGGGAGCCGAAGGCGCCAGAGAGCGGCGACGGGAAAACACACAACGGCCGGGCGCAGAACGGCAGCGGAGGAGACGGCCCCGGCGTCCGGTACCGGTTCGGCACGTGGGCGACGGCGATGGCGCAGGACGAGGACGGCGTGGACGTGACGCTGTCGAGCGGCGGCGTGGAACGGTACGACCTCGTGATCGGGGCGGACGGGCAGGGCTCGCGGACGCGGCGCATGCTGTTCGGCGAGGAGGCCGGGCAGGCCATGTTCCACCCGCTGGGCCTGTACGTGGCGTACTTCACGGTGCCGCGGGAGGCGGGCGACGACGACATCGGGCGGCTATACCAGCCGGGCGGGGGGCGCAGCGTCATGTCGCGCACGGGCAAGGGGGTGCGGACGCAGGCGTACTTGATGATCCGGACGCGGGACGAGGCGGTGCGGCGCGGCATCGAGGGCCAGCCGCCGGAGACGCAGAAGGCGACGTTCGCGCGGCTGTTCCGCGGCGCCGGGTGGCAGACGGAGCGCTTCCTCGCGGGCATGCCGGGCGCGACCGACTTCTACGCGCACCCGGTGGGGCAGGTGAGGGCGCCGGCGGTGGCGCTGGGCCGCGTGGCGCTGCTGGGCGACGCGGCGTGCTGCGCGGCGCCGGTGACGGGCATGGGCACGACGGTGTCGCTGATCACGGCGTGGACGCTGGCGGGGGAGCTGGCGCGGCAGCGGGCGGCGGGCAGCGGCGGCGGCGCGGATGTGCCGCTGGCGCTGCGCGCGTACGACGCGAGCGTGCGGCCGTACGTCGTCGAGGCCCAGCGCCTGATCCCCGGCGTGCCGCGGCTGCTGACGCTGAAGTCGCGCTGGGCCATCGCGCTGTTCAACTTCGTCGTCGGCATCGTCGCCTTCTGTGGCCTGCACAAGCTGTTCGGCCGCTTCGAGGCCGAGGACAAGGGCGGCCTGCGCATCCCCGAGTACCCCGAGCTGAAGCTCGCCCCGGTCGAGTAGGCGGGGTGTCTAAGGCGGGAGAGGTGGCGGAGGGGGGCGCGGGTGCTGGCGCTTCCGCGTTACGGTTGTGAGGGGTTGTAAGATTTTTAAGGGCATATATATATATACCTATACATGCGTTAGGGGACCCAAGGATAGGCTTCTCCGCTCTGCTTTACGCTTTGCTTTATGCTTATGGTAGCTTTGGGCTTATCTGACGCGTCTACGCGACGGATACGGACAAATTCTGATATAACGCGTTCGAAAAGCAGGAAGCGATTCACACTGTGCAGGAACGCAGGCCATTCCGGTAATACCTAACTAGGCAATAGTGAGTAGTAGGAGAATCTACTAGATAACTCCCCTGTGGCATAGATGTCTATCTTGGTAGCGTTTATTAAAAAATTATAAGTAGGTAGGCAATATTAATTACTACCTATCTTCTAATCATAGCGTTCGCTGAGATGCCGAGTTGGTTATAAAAATGGGGCTCACGAGGTGCAAGACCCCGAACCTTTGAATATCTCGAGATACTTATACTTACATCATCTCAGACGTCCCCGTACCCTTATAGCGCTCCGCGTAACCACGTAATGTCCAAGCCAGCTCTCGACACTGGGAGTGTACTGCTGAAAAGGAAGCCTTTCAGTGGTGGTGGGTTTAAAGAGGCTTTTTTCCCCCTTTCGTGATATTGTTCGAGGTATGTGTTGAATATAGAGGTGAACGGAGCTAGAGCTAGAAACCGCCCACTATCACATTTACACTGTGTTGATAAGGCGACCGACCGGGGCCAGGCGTAGACAGTGTCGGGTTATGGTTCCTAGAGGCTGCCGGTGATACAGGGGCAACGTAGAATGGAGCAGGCACTGGACTGGGGGTGCAGATATTTCACGGTTTTGGAATATCAATATAGGCTTAGGTATATTAAGGCCTACCTACGTGACAGGATATCTAGAGTTATAGGTACCTACTTAATCTGGGGAGGCTCCGTTTCGCCACAACGAGTCCGGCTCGGCGTTTCTCCGTGCTCCCAGGTCGTCGTCTTTGGCGCGACGGCGCGGCGGAGACTACTAGTGAGTCTCATATTGGCGGTTGTTAGTAGCAGGAAGCTCAAGACGTCGACGCGAAGATGGGGGAATGGTGCCGGATTCTCTCTCTCGTTGGCGCCGTGTCTCGGTGATATAGGGGTACCCACGCAGGTATTACTATTCGACATGGTAAACCTTTTCTTAGGAGAATGTGGCTGGCTTATAAGTTACCCGGGGGCGGAGGTTTTACCTAGGTAGTGGCCAACGTACCTAGGTATAGCTAACACTGCCGGCGTTGCAGTTACGGAGAGGGGAAGAAAACCCCATTGGATTAGGGTTCGGTATAAAACACTTGACTTACACTGTAACCCGCCGAGGTCCACGTGATCTCTCCCTCTCTCTCTCTCTCTATTTTTCTCCATCTAATATCTCTCTTTCTCTCCACCTCTCTCTTTCTCCCATCTCCGTCTTTCTTTCCATCTCTCTCTCTGCCTCTGCCACTTTATCTCGCCAAACCCACCCCAGTCTGCCAATTTCTGCCCCTGCAAGGCTCAGAGCAGATGTCAATGTGAAGAAAAGAAATACCCACGACTTGGAGCACCTCGCGATCGGGAGTTACCTATTAGTAATGGTAACGAGGTGCGTCTCTTGGCAGCTAACACCATACCGATAACAGCCTAGCGCGTACCCTATCGTCAGCTATCGGCTGCTACCCTGCTATCGATAAGCCAGCTGTCTTGCAGGTGGCCAACCCCGGTAACCTAACCCGCCTACCACTGGATAACCCCCAGTTACTTTACTCTGCTCTAGGTCTAAGTCCGCCTCCCAACTTTCACGTCTGCAACCTCTTTTTCTTTTCTTTTCTTTTCTCTCTACCAACGCCTGCCACCATGACACACGCGGCGCCTGTCGACATCGCCAATGGGAATGGCGTCGCCTTGGGCGCCCTCTCCCCCAAGAAGGTTGCCTATTTCTACGATTCCGACATTGGCAACTTTGCTTATGTGGCCGGCCATCCGATGAAGCCTCATCGCATCCGCCTCGCCCACAGCTTGATCATGAACTACGGCGTCTACAAGAAGATGGAGATTTACGTGAGCCCGCCTCGCCCCTATCTTTATTTCCCGCTCCGCACCGGGGGTCGTATGTCGCTAATTGCCTGTATGTCGCTAATTGCCTGCAGCGCGCCAAACCGGCCACGCGACTGGAGATGACCCAATTCCATACGGACGAGTACATCGACTTCCTACAGCGAGTTACCCCCGAGAACATGGACAACTTCCAGCGAGAGCAGGGCAAGTATAATGTCGGAGATGACTGCCCCGTTTTCGACGGCTTGTTCGAATTCTGTGGCATCAGTGCCGGCGGGAGCATGGAGGGCGCTGCCCGCCTCAATCGACAGAAATGCGACATTGCCGTGAACTGGGCTGGTGGTCTGCACCACGCCAAGAAATCCGAAGCCAGCGGCTTCTGCTACGTTAACGGTATGTATGGCCCCGTCTCTTCATGGCTTTGCCCGTCCCTGGCCTTGTTTTCGCACCTTCAAGCACCTGGCTGACGGTGTCGCTACCGAACAGATATCGTCCTCGGTATCCTGGAACTTCTGCGCTTCAACAAACGCGTTCTTTACGTCGATATCGACGTCCACCACGGTGACGGCGTCGAGGAAGCCTTCTATACCACGGACAGGGTGATGACCGTTTCCTTTCACAAGTATGGCGAATACTTTCCAGGGACGGGTGAATTGAGGGACGTCGGAATCGGGCAGGGAAAATATTACGCGGTCAACTTTCCTCTGCGCGACGGCATAGATGACACATCGTACAAGTCCATCTTCGAGCCCGTTATCGCGAGCGTCATGGAGTTCTATAATCCCGACGCGGTCGTCCTACAGTGCGGCGGCGACAGCTTGTCCGGCGACCGTCTCGGCTGCTTCAACCTGAGTATGGACGGACACGCAAACTGCGTCAAGTACGTCCGGAGCTTCAATCGCCCAACCTTGGTCCTGGGCGGAGGCGGCTACACGATGCGCAATGTTGCCCGTACCTGGGCTTTCGAGACGGGCCTGCTCGTAGATGTCAAGATGGACCGCACCTTACCCTTTAACGAGTACTACGAAGTAAGTGGACGCGTCGTCTCCCGGCAGGCTAAGCTGCTGCTACCCATACTAACTTTTACCCAAGTATTATGGCCCCGATTATGCGCTGGATGTCCGCGCTTCTAATATGGAGAACGCAAACAGCCCAGAATACCTGGAAAAGATCAAGAACCAACTGGTCGAGAACCTCCGACGCACTGCGCACGCGCCTTCAGTGCAGATGCAAGATGTCCCCCGCCGTTCCATGGGCGCGATGTCCGACGAAGAAGAGGCCGAGCTTGACGATCTCGACGAAGACGAAAATAAAGACGTCCGGATGACCCAGCGCGAATGGGACAGGCACATCGAGCGGGAAAACGAGTTCGAAGAGAGCGATAACGAAGATTTGGATCGAGCAAACGGCGTTCACCTAAACGGGAGCACGCGACCCTCGTTCAACGACTTCCGCAACTCGGACGCGGAGGGCGATAGCCGGGTCCCGACCCCTGCTGCCAACGGCACTAGCGACAACGTTATCAAGTCCAAGGAAACTGACGACGTGCTCATGGAAGATGTCCCGGATCGGGAGCCAGGACCTCGAGAGGAATCCGGGTCGCCCGCCAAGGCCGAGGGGCAGGAGGGCGAGGAGGCGAGTGCCGGAGACGAAGAAAAGAAGCGGGACACGGCGAAGGAGCCAGAAGCAGCAGCGACATCGGATAAGCATACGAGTGAGACCGAGAAGGGGACTGTGGCCGAAGAGAGCAGCAATGTGAAGGAGAAGGCCGAACCGTCGAAGGAGAAGGACGAGGTGATGCAAGATGCCGACGAGAACAGCAAGACGCAGCCGGCAGAGGCCGAGAAGCCAGCGAGAGCGACGTCGGAGGCGAAGACCACGGAACCAGCGAAAGTGGACAAAGATGGCGACATCGATATGGAGAAGCCCACCGCTGAACCGACAAAAGAAGATAGCGCCGAGTCCAAGAATGAACAAGCGGCCGAGAGCGCGGGCGCCGATGCTGGTGACAAGACGACCGACGGCAAGGAGAAGATCGGCACCCAGGAATAAAAAAAAAATAGCCTGCCTCTGTTTGATACCCAAAAGCTTTCTTTTGTCCTTTCTCGGCCGTCTTTCCCCGCCAATGATATCAATGTACCTATATGGGACAGGCGAAATTGGGGTATTATCACTGGGCTCACTCATGCAGAGTAGCTAAACAGCGGCGTTCTGGTTTGGGTGGCATCGAGCAGAGAGAGGGAGGGGGTTGAGAGCTATCTGTGATAATGACAGTACCACCCGCAGTTCAGCCGTAACAAAGACGGCATGCTTTATATTCACGAAGGCGAAGGGCGAGAGGGGGGAGGAAGTCGTTAATTATAGCGGTTAGATTTCATGAGCGTTATTTTCTCAGCAGGAAGGTGTTCAGTCCCCGGATTGCTGGCACGACGGCGATTCGTGGCACTATTTTGGGAGACGTATAAGCTGGCCGCGGTTCTACAGGTCGACTTTGCTCTACGACCCCGGTCCGTCGACTGGTGGTGACTCGCAGCAGGCTGGGATCCATCCTCTGCACCATCAGCCGCAGGTTCCACCCCTCCTCGTTGCACCCTGGAAACCCCGGTGGTGACATCGTGCCACAGCTGGACGATGTCGGCGGCCTTTCCGGCGGACTACGCATAGGTAAGATGAGGTTATGCTGTGAGTAATGTTTTGTTCGGTGCACCGTACATAATAGGTAAGTACCTAGGTATATCGGTTGCCCTTTTAGGCACCGTTAGCGGAGTAGCTGTGATTCGTGGAGACGGGCGAGGTCTGCAAGGCTACGGTTCACCGTGCGAGGCTGCCAACTGCCTAATTCGGACGACAATCCCTCTGATGCTGTCATACGTGTACCCTCACGTGTGTCGCGTCTTGGCCCGAGCTCCCTTATCGATTACGCGCAAAATGCCTTAGGTAAGTACCTGTAGTAAGTACCTGATATGCAGGCAGATCCGGGCCTCGTCAACACCCACCCATTTCTCCAAGGGTGCCTCTACCTGACCAGCTCCAGCCAGCTTCATACCGACCTACCCACCACCGCCCGCTATTCCCGCCGCCGCCGCACCACTACCACTACTATCACCACCACCACAAGCCCTGAGGTTGGCCGGCTCTCTCCTTTCTACACCACACCACTCGTCATTGCCGTCGTCAGCTCGGTCCGCGCCCGCAATCGATTTTGGGCCTGCGCAAATCTCTTAGCCTCGCGTCCCCGTCTTCGCCGTAGCGCCAACCCGACAGGATGGACCGGCTCAATAGAATGCTGGCTGGTGCTAGCGGCATGGGCCTCGGTACCGCCCCGGGAGCTGTGAGGACGCCTCTCTCTTCCTCACCCTGCTGCCGCTCTCCCGCGCCGTACCTGTACTAACAGTCGCCCCCGCCAGGACAACCAAAACCTCATCGACAATTCCGAGACCGTTTACATCTCCTCCCTCGCGCTCCTCAAGATGCTACGGCATGGACGAGCGGGCGTTCCTATGGAAGTTATGGGTCTCATGCTGGGAGAGTTCGTCGACGACTTCACCGTGCGCGTCGTCGACGTCTTCGCCATGCCCCAAAGCGGAACTGGCGTCGGTGTCGAAGCTGTTGATCCCGTATTCCAGCAGAAGATGATGGACATGTTGACCCAAACGGGACGGTGAGACCTACGCACCCTCTCCGCCCAGCTTCCCTATGCTTCCATGCTAACCCCCCTCCCTACCCTCCCAAGACCCGAGTCTGTCGTCGGATGGTACCACTCTCACCCTGGGTTCGGATGCTGGCTCTCGTCGGTTGATATCAACACCCAACAGTCGTTCGAGCAACTGACGCCCAGAACGGTCGCCGTCGTCGTCGATCCCATACAGTCGGTCAAGGGAAAGGTCGTCATCGACGCTTTCCGCCTCATCAACCCACAGTCGCTCATGCTCGGCCAAGAGCCGAGACAGAGCACTTCTAACTTAGGTCACCTCAATAAGCCCTCCATCCAAGCCCTCATCCACGGCCTCAACCGACATTACTATTCCATCGGCATCAACTACCGCAAGACCGCGCTGGAGGAGAACATGCTCATGAATCTACACAAGCACGTCTGGACCGAGGCCTTACAGATGGAGGATTACAGGCACGAGGGCGAGCAGAACAAAGAGCGGTTCAAGCGATTGGTGTCTCTAGCAGAGGGCTACGAGAAACGGGTCAAGGAGGAGACCGAGCTGACTAAGGACCAGCTCAAGACCCGCTACGTAGGCAAGCTCGACCCCAAGAAGCACCTGGAAGACGTCGGCCAGCAGCTCATCGAGGACAACATCGTATCCGTGTCGAGGCAGATGATCGATAAAGAGGCGACGATGCCGAAGAAGGAAGCCGCGTCGAACGGCCGGTCGAACGGGGACGATATGGAGATCGAGGAGGACGAGGAGCTATAGATCCGTACCCACACACACGCGCGCAGCGGCACTTGAAAAAAAAAAAAAAAACCTTTCACCTGAGCCTTCGCTTCTCGACAGTGTGTGTATTCATAGGCGTTGGACGGGACAAGTAAACACGGACTAGAAAGCTTACGACAATGGGTAACAGCTTTTGACTTACGCGATCTATTGCCGCGAGTGTGCTCGCGAGGTATCCCGAGCGAGCTGAATTTTAGATCCTCTAGCTTTCGTCTGGTTTCTCCTCCACCCTTCCTCTCCTATCAAGAAAGGGCATTGGCCAATGTCTGTCTAGGAGATCAAGTATAGGAGGGCTGACAAATTTCTCCTTGCTCAACACGCAATTTCCACGTGCTTTGTTCCTCCCTTGCTGCAAAGCGGGGGGTTAAGTGTCCAGGGACAATAGTCCTGTCCTCAAAGAAGAAAATGGTTCACCGCTGACGATTAGTAGGGGCCCTGTTACGAGGATGGCGTAATACAAAGAAACAAGGGGATTGTTGAGCTCGTCAAAGCTGTGTTTCGCAATATTTAATATGCTTGCCTCTCACACGTCGTCGAACGATCAGGGCACAGCGCAAGGTGATCTACTGAATTCACGTCCCGTCTGCCAGAGCGATAGCGAGTGTCTACCACTCCAGCATACCGGACGCAGTCTCAGAATCGCATGCCATTATCCGAAGAATTAATCAGATTTCACTCGCCACCAATAACCTATCAGACATAATACCACCACAATTACGGAATCCATCCCAACGAAATCTAACGAGCAAGTAAACATGGTCATCCACGCGACCGGCGGCTCCTTTGACTTCCTCGGGTCGTGCTGCTTCTGCATCCCGTGGAAGCCGTGGAAATCGCGCGCACCCTCTCCTCCGAACTCTCCGGCGTACCGCAGCAAACGCTACAACGCCCAGGTCCGGACCAACCTAAACCTGCCCGCACGGCCGATAGAGCTACTTACGCGCACTCGGCTTGATGAGAGCACCGGCAACAGCGAGGCCGGCAGTCAGACCATGCTCCTAGGCGAGCACAGACGCCCTGTTTCTCGCCCTGTTGCTCCAGTGCCAAGTCTACCACCCTCAACACTGTCACGAGCGCCAGGCAGCACCGGCACGCGACGCAGCAATGGCAGCGCGACCAAGAACCCCCCGCGCTGGTCAACGGAGCCGCTTGACGACGCGCAGCTGACGGAGCTTTTCGACGCTATCCACGCGACGTTGGCTCACGTGCCGTACGCCATCTGCGGCCTGGCGGCCCTGGCGGACCACGGGTTCACAGAGCGGCGGGTGCGCCGCGGTATTAGCCTGTTATGCCCGGCACACTCCAAGAACAACGTGCGGGCGTGGCTTGCCGCGAGCGGCTACGGCACCGCAGACGAGTACGCCGACTCGGTCGGGATTCCGATCCGGACGCGCCGCGCCGTCGAGGCCGCCCAGCGCAAGGGCAAGGGCAAGAAGAAGGCTCGACCCGGGCAGGATGCGGAGGAGGAGGGAGACGACAGCGAGGCGGAAACCGAGATGCGCCGCGTCCGCATCAAGTACCTCGAGGAGGGCTTCGAGTCCCTGGAGCTCGTGCGCTCGTGCCACAGCCAGGCCTGGGTGCTGAGCCTGACAAGCCAGCTCGACCACGTCGCAGCTGGGTTCGTCGACCACCACCGGAGGCTGCAGGCGGTTCGCGCCGCGGCGGGCCGCAGCCGTGGCGGCAGCAGCCGCTACGGCGGCAAGGGCGGCAGAAGCCGGAGCAACAGCGCATGGAAGGAGAAGGAGCGGCTCGACCGCGAGCGCGAAAAGGAGGAGCGTGCGCTAGCAACTATCGCTGGCGACGTGTTCTGGTGCCTGAACAAGGCCGCGTCAGCGCGAGCGCCGCTGAGTCCGGCACGACTACCGACGCTGCTGGGCGAGGCGTTCTGGACGCCGTTCACAGCGACGTACGGGGCAGCGGCGCGACCGGCGCTGGCGCGGGCGGGGATCGACGTGGCGGGGGTGCTGGCACGACACCGGGAGGAGGCGGCGGTGCGCGAACACGAGGAGATGCTGCGGCGGTACATGGACGGCGGCGACGGCGGCCAGGAGAGAGAGGTGCGAGGGCTTGGTGGTCGGCCCGTCGGCGCTGCCACCCCATCGCCACCCTTCGAGGGCATGCGCACGCTGCTCGCCGATAAGCGCAGTGTGTACACTCTGCGCGACACGCGTGATTTCTCCGGGTACAACTTCTCTCCAGTGTCGCCCGTGTTCGTGCCGTACACTAACCCGTTAGGCGGGCTACCGTCAGTGCGGCTGGGGCCCCAGCAGGAGGAGGAGGAGGAGGAGGAGGAACAGGGCAAGCAGTCGCCCGATCTCGAGTACGAGTCGGAGCCCGAGCCCGCGCCCGAGTCCGAGCCGCAGCAGTCGCAGGACGAGGGGAGCATGGAGGAAAAGGACCGCAGAGACGGCGCGAGAGCTAAGCCGGTCAACCGGCTCATCCGCAAGTGGAACAGCCTGCGGGATGTCGGCGGTGACACTGCCGCCGCCGCCGCCACGAAGTCCTCGCCGCTCGACCAGGGGCGTAGCCTGACGCGGAACCGCAACACGTGGGACCCGTCGCGGGGCGGCGAGAACAGCAGACCAAGGTTCTGATCACATCCCGTTCCTAGCTCCTAGCATCGCGCTCTCTCCGTCCTGGAGCGTGTAGCTATGATTCAGCCCGGCTTCCCTTGAGTGGGAAAGCCGCCGGTAAGTTCAGTAAGTAAATACCCAGCGGGCGAGGGCTCGCGCGGAGTAGAGCATTAGGAGGATACATTGGCGAACGACGAGGCAATAGGTAAGGCAAGGTAAGGTAAATAATGCTAATCAGTATGCTCAACGACAGCTACGAGATCCGGTGAGTACTATCGCGTAGACAGACCCGTTCATCCCCGTGCCCCCCGTATGATTCCGCTTCGGTGACAGTGTATACGTGCCAGCGCTGCCTCGCTGCCTCTGGCACTCGGCCTATCTATGCACACACATGCCGTACCTACATACACGGACTCGTCCATACTAAGCGCCTACCTACCCTTTGCCATCCTATCCCCACCCGTTGCGGCCTGTCCGCTGTCGTGACGCCCAATTAATGCGATATTCGCACCCAACCGGCCCTTTCCCCTGAAGGCCGCATCGCCCGGGGAAGAGACGAGAGGGGGGGAGGAGGAAAATAAAGGGGGGAGGCATTCCGCCCCAACATTCTGCCCCCGGTAGCGCTCGCCATCCAGGGCGTGTCGAGCGGCCGCTCTGGCAGTGAAAATAGAACCAAGTCCGCTTCGTCGGCTTTGGTTCGTATTGATGCGTAGCAGCACTGACGAATCCTCTATGGATGACAGTGTGAACTTCGTATAACAAGCCGTCACTCATATTAGTGTGTTTGATTAACACGCCTCCTTTTTCTTTTTCTCTCCTCATCCCAGTAGCCGCGAGCTCATTCGCTTATGCAAGCGGGTGTTGTCAAGTCCAGCCAGGCGACTTGTCGAAAGGGATCTCAGGTCCATCGCTCATTCTACTCGCGTGTCTATCTACTCAGGGGGGGTTCGTGTGTCCGAACCCGTCCATCTCGCTCACCTCTGTGCAGTTTCGAGTCCGACCCAGTCCCATCCCGTATGCCGCAGAAAGCATATAAACGCCGTGCCCCAGAGACTCTCGTTAAGACCCTCAGCTAGTCGGAACTCCCTAATCCGCTACATATCTCGACACCTACAGTGACAGTTCCGTGCGCGCTTTTTACGAAATCGTTCGCATTACGCGGTCTCAAGACAACTGCCAACCCGTCTCCAGACTACCGACAACGTCTCCGATACTTAACGGCATCTATATAATCTGGTTTCCGACTCGGACCTGGGTTCCCAGCGGACTGGCCAGCAACCACTAGGTACTTCATCTAGGCACACGTCGAATTTCCTGTGGACTAGTCCCCTGTCACCTATACCGGCGGATTACACCGTTGCCGCAGCAGGGTCTCGGCTTCTGTCTCATTCGACATCGTTTGCATTTCGTCCGCTATGCTAATCATGCCATCGCATTCTGTGAGCCGTCTCGGTCGCTCCCCTCCTTCTCTGCTTCCAGAAACACGTCTGCCTCACGGACAACCTAATCGAGGTCTTCTTTATCAAGGCTAATACCTCTCTCCGCTCCTCCGCGCTAGAAAGCCATCTAACTACTCACCAAGGCGAAGGAAACCTCGCCGTTGGGAACCTCTGAGCCACTGATTACGATTCCTGACGCTGCTAGTTACGGCCAGTTACGGCCAGTTACGGCCCCTAAGGTGCTTCTCGTACCTAGTCCTCGTAACCCTTGCCAGCTGTGTACAGAGCATCTTACGAACTGTCCGCACGTTAGCACACACACGGGTAATTTACCTACTTCGGTATTCACGTGAATAGGCCCTAGGTCTACAGACATACATTCACATCTAACCTGCTACCGGTAAAGGCGGCATTGCCTTCCCTCTCTTTGTCTCCCTTCCGGCCGGTGATACGGTAGACGACGCAACGATACGGACAACAAGAAAGACAATCAGCTTAGATCTCATTGACGGTTCACCAGACAATTACGGAAACATCATATAAAGCAAAATTGCTACGTCAGTTCGGAACTTGAAACTTAGCAGTCCCGAGCAGCGCTAATCTACGGAGTATCTAGAAGACTTACATACACAGGCTACTCGGGCTATCGTAAATCGAATCTCCAGCGTCTTCCCATAACAAGTCGCATCTCGTTAACGTAACGTTCCCCCCAGACTACCCTACGGGACATCCGCACCCACGACGCCGGCAATGGAGTTCTCACATTCAGGGGGCTCTATCTACTACCGATATCAGGCTTCCTTTGCCTATGACAGGTACAGGAGAACACTATGTTGTGCAGGTCCGCGGGCAAATGAAATCCGAGGACATTGGGGTTCGCTTCACACTCGTCTTCCAACCTACGATGAAACGAGAATGAATTATGGGCCAGTCGTCTTGATTAACGAATTGGGCCCAGGGCTATCAGGCCTGAAATTATATACGTTGTATCGAGACTCGACCCCCCCCTTTGGCGTTGGAATCGTTCTCGACAACCCCAAACCAACCGAGGCTTCGGTTACCAAGAACGACTTCGAGGAGCTTTTCGTTCAGCTGATGCTGCGCCAAGTCAACTTCGGCCTTAGCCAGCCAAGCGTGCTGTCGATACCTCCCGGCGACCGCGAGTCGGCCGCAGAGAAAATAGTGTCTCTCTTCGATAGCTCTCTTCGTTATCAAGGAAACAACGACAGATGGGCCGCGTCGGGGCGGAGGTATTTTACCGAGCGCGTCCGATACTTCACCTCGCAGGGGAGGTCGGTTGAGTTCTGTCTTCCCGCGTTCCCGTGCAAGTCATCGAACACGCACAAGGTCACGGGTGAAGACCCAGACCGAGGAGAAGAGCTCGCGCTAGAGCGCCTGAACGAGTTTGTGGAAGGCATCGAAAAGGTATATGCCCCGGGTGCAAAGCTCTGGGTAGTTAGCGACGGTCATGTTTTCAGCGACTGTGGTAAGTTGCCCGCCTTAGATAATAACCATTAAAGGGGTGTCGGACTGACAGAATCAGTCGGCGTTGATGACCAAACCGTGGACTCGTATGGTCGAAAACTCCACCAGATCAATCATGACATCGGCCTCAAGCGAGGAACTACGGATCGAGTTGGCTTTAAGTCTATCGTGGACTTGTTCGAACTCGACAGACTCCAAACCTGGTTTAAAGCCTCGCAACTTGATATGCCAACCATCGACCATCACATCAAGACACAACTGGCCGCCGAATCCGAGATGAGTAGACGTATCCTCATGGCGGGCTGTCGATCGCATTCATCTACGCTCCGGAATCAAATCGAATCGCAAAATCCGGCCATCCTAGCCTTGTATCGCGGGTTTTCCCGGTTCATGCTCGAGGACCTGAAATTCAACCGCTCCACGTGTTCAAAGAGCCGCTCGGGTCAGAAGAAGCTTTCTACCAAAATAGCCTTCGAGATGATACTGGTGAGCCACCTACCCACGATGAACTGTGAGATGACGCGAAATGCCACGGACGCTAACGACGGGATCCTCGATAATAGCGAAACCAAGCTTATTCCAATCTTGTAGAGATGCTCTTCCCCAACCACGTCCGCCTTTCGATCCACGCGTAAGTCACACACGAGCCTTCGCGCGGGCGGCTGTGAAGCGCATGCCGTGCGACACAAAGCTAACAACGAACATCTACTACCAGGCACAACAATGCCGGGCCTAAATTTGGCATCCAGTTGTTCGACCCGGAGAGAGTCCGAGCCGTCGAATCGCTTCCGCCGAACAACAGTCCGTCAATGAATTCACGCGACCTGTTGCACATACCCACTCCATGGCACAATTGTGTCGTGGAAGTGGCGGGTCACGAGTTTCTGTACGTGAGCAAGGCCAAGGTAGCCCGCGAAGCGCTGAGAACTGGCGAGATGACGGGAGGGCTGCGCCCCGAGACGAGCCAGCCAGAATATCCTAGCGTCCCCTGCTTCTTCTCCCTGAGTGTTGCCAGAGAAACAGAGAATGAAGAGGATGCGTCGGAGCATGCTGAGTGTCGTGCGGAGCCGTAGACGGACATATTCTTTTGGGCCAATAATTCTGACGTTCTCGGCGGCTCCTCACCTAAGCACGGGGTGGTATGACTACAGGAGTACGGAGCTTGTCGGGGGAATGTAAGGTGAAGTTGACGGCTTGAGGTTGGAATGAGCCGTTGTCGACTCGTTAGGGTACAGACGGATTGGTTGAGGGCCGCGGCGGGCAATAGATGACGAGGACAGCGACGTTGTGGAAGTACGTGGAGGTGTAACGACGGAGGTATTATCGTGAGAGGCTGTTGGGATATTCCTAGGTGTCAAGGAAGGTAGACCGGCATGACATACATTGGGTATTCGACGACAGGCTTATTAGACGACGGGGAATCACAGGAGCGGACAAGCTCAAACTATGGAACAATAGGGATTGATGTGACTGCCGGTCGGTAGTCAGCTGAATAGGATAGCCTACCTATGGTTGGCTCTTCTATGCAACGCCAGCAGCCCCGGCGATGTCTGTACCTCGTTCCAAGGAGGAATATGCCCATCCGACGTGCCACCACGGCGTTGTTGACAGCTTCCGTATCGATTAATGCCGTGTTGCATTATTAGAGTTTGTGCACGAGGGCGTGAATCCACGGATAGATTATGCATATATTGGTAGGTGTGTGGTAACTTTGAAGGACGGTCGGTGGCTGCAGCCCAGAGCCTACCGGGATATCATATGGGCTCTCGTCTTCTTAGGTCCTCCTGCCTGCTGCCTTTCTCGCGGAAACAGAAAATCTACTCAGGCGAGATTCCGATTCACCTAGGATGCCCTTCTTCTCGTCATCCTTCTTCCCCATCTTTTAGCATCCCTGCTCCGACGCTTTCTAGGGAAGCACTCCCAGCTACAAGGTCGGATTTCCCACCTGACTCGTGTTCGGCCAGCCGAAGTCGCCCAAAGGTACTCGTGATTCGGGATGGAGAGCATGAGAGATATGGCGATGTCGACATCGACAGCCACAGGAACATCTGCGGCTGCCGCGACCGGCACGGCCATGAATATGGGTGGCGGTAGCATGAACGTGGATATAGAAGGCGACAGCTGCAAGGTTTCTGTGAGCAATGCCTATTTTTCTCGATTCCAAGTAACATATGCACTGGCAGACGCATACATGTGCTGCTGAGAAACCATGCGTTCACAGCGAACGCTGGCTGATGGCGTCATAACCCCTACAGATGCTCTGGAATTGGGACACCGTCGACGCGTGCTTCATATCGTCTACTTGGCACATCCGGAGCGGAGGCATGTTTGCCGGATCGTGTATCGGCGTCATCCTCCTGGCCGTGCTTTTCGAGGCGCTACGGCGGACTGCCGAGGAATACGATAGCTACCTGGCCAACAGGATCGCACGGCAAGGCAGCCTCGTCGCCGCCTCCGCGATTAAGAGCGGTTCGAATTCTCCCGATCCTAACCCCGGTTCTGGTGCGGGCCCGCGACCGTCTTCCTCGGCGGCTCCTATCGTAGATGTGTCAGTTGCGAGTTCTAAGTACACACCCAAAATACACGAGCAAGCCATTCGAGCGTTCCTGTATACGGCTCAGTTTGTGGTAGCATACTTCCTGATGATGTGCGTGCCTCCACCCTACGGACATCAGACGAACGGGGGCGACGAGTGCTAATCACCTTTTACTAGGCTTTCTATGTATTACAATGGCTTCATTATCATTTGCATCTTTGTGGGCGCGTACATCGGCAGCTTCGTCTTCCGATGGGAAAAGCTGGACGCGTGAGTATCTCGATGGGCCCTCATTTTTTCTTGTATTGTGCAGTTCCCTTACTAACAGGGACAACCCCAGTCGGCAGAATACGAGTGCTGCAAATGAAGCTACCGCTTGCTGCGGCTAGTCCAGACATCTGCCACCAGGCATCGAGACATTGATGACAGGCAAAAGGGTAATAATGGCTGGCAGCTAATGTACCTACCTAGGCTGCGGAGACACTGGTTCATGGCAAAGGACGATATAAGTAACGCTGGCCTGGTAGCGAAAGAGGAGACCCGGCGTCGCGGTGTGAGAAGACATCCGCTAATTCTGTGTGCAACAGTGCTCATTCCCAATAGGTAAAATAGAAGAGCAGAATTATCTCCTTGAGAACCCTGGCGCACCGTGGGTGGGATCCGGGGTGACCTGAGCATTCACGACGAGGCGTTTTTGACTCGTAGACTAGCGAAGGGTCGTCGATTTCTAAGGGGAGTAAACATCCCTAGAGATGTGGGAATTGACGCCTGTGGTGAGGTCAGATGCGACGGGTGATAAATAGGGGTGAAAAGGGGGAATTCCTAGGGTGTCTGATTAGGTAAACAAAGCTTTGTGGTGGGTCCAATTGCCGGGTGTGCTTACATAATATGGATCGGCATTCACCATTGACCCCATCCATCTCGGAGTTTTTCTTTTCCTTGTAAACAACATTCCCACAGCCGCTCCCCCACTGCGTAAACAATGTCTACGATCAAGGACAGTTTCGTCAACCTTGAGAACCACCGACAGAAATTACAGGACACTGCGGAGAGACTCTCTACAGCGCTCGCACAATGGAAACGGTGGAAGGGAGAATATGAAGCATTGCGATCTGACGTGAAATCCGTTCCATCATCCTCTCGTCGACAGGACCTGAAGAAGGTTCGAGAGAGCTTCAAAGGAGAATTGCTGAATGAGAAGGAGCTGGTCGATATATTTGGCCGCGACGGCTCATCCAAGCCGGAGCAGATCGTCAGTAAACTTACTAATCGGTTAGACTACGTCGCAAGGAACATCGATACCCTCTCGAAGCAATTAGAAACGGTCGAGAATAAGCTTGCCGCTGTCACCGTGGTGTCAAATCCGGATGCTACCGACGAGGATGGATTACCCATAACAGAGATATTGGAAGAGCTGGACGATGACGACAACGTCATATCGTATAGCCTGCGAACCGCGGGAGAGAACCAACCGCAAGTCCTCGAAGCGCTCGAGAAGGTCGGTGTCACGGATAAACTACCCGATGAAGCTAAAGACGCAACGGCTTCCGAGACGTCGCAGCGTATCCGGGGTAGCGAATCAGAGCTGTCAAATAATGTCTCGACCTCATCGATCCAACAACTCAAGATCGCCGAGCACGGCGAGTCAAAACCCTCAAAAGGCGTATTGAGTCGGCCATCGGAGCAGTCCGAGGCGCCCCAAGCCGAAGAAATACCCAAAACAAAATCTGACGCTCGGAAAAAGACCGTTAGCTTTACGGAGGGCACGAAATTAGGAGAACCTGAGGAACCATCTGTGACCGCCAAGAGATTAGAGGAGATTCTTCAGAAGGCTAGAGACCAGCAGAGCATCATATCGGACCCTATTTTCCCTGCCGACGAGTCTCCGGAGGACGCGGCACTACGGGAGGACATGATCCGCTACAATAAGGAGACAATGGAATTCGAAATGGCCCCCATTGTCGCCGAATTACAGCTCGAAGAAGGATCTTCAGAAGATGATACTGACGATTATGAAGACGATGAAGACGACGACGAGGAAGACGAAGAGGACGAGTGGGGTAGGTCGAAAATAGCCCTCGATGATGAATGGAAACGCCAGATGTTGGAGCTTAAGGAACGGCTAAGCCACCATACCTTTGGCAAAAGCAAGGCATCAAACGATGAGGAAGACTTAGTAGAAGGTGTCGGCCGTATAAGCATTCGTCGTGAAAACGGGGATGTTTCAAACGGTGACGTCGGCACCACGCCCTCTCTACTGCCCGCAACAGCGGGTTCAACGCCAGCAAATGACTCTAAGAAGAGCGTCCGGTTTGCCGAGAGTCTTGATATTGGCGAGGACTCGGTTCCAGCAACGAAACAGTCAGCATCGGGCCAGCTAAAGGGCACCGATATAGAACCTCTTTCGGACGTAATGGAGCGCAAGAGCAGTGCGGCCCAGCCGGTGGTGGCCCCGTCTAAGAAGCCTTCTCGGTTTCGGCAGGGGAGAGGCATAGGTTCTCCGATGAACGTGAAGACGCCTACCTTCAACGGCGTCCCAATTGCTCCGGAGAAGCCCGACCTCGAACGCCATACCCCCTCCGGACCAGAAGGCCAGACCTTGGCAAGCTCGGTCCTAGAGCATGAGCCGTCACTGGAGGTAAAAGAGCCAGACGAGTTCGACGCGAATCTGTTGCATCAGCAGGTCACGGATGAGTATCACAAGATGCGCAACCGATTCATGCATCGTCAGGGTGGGTTCACGAAGGAGGACGAGAGCCCCATACGACCACTCGACGAGGACGAAGGGGGCGGTTCGAGACGAATCAGCCGTTTCAAGGCGGCGAGGCTCGCTAAATCGTAAAGAGGAAACTGGAACTAGGCTTACTATCACAGCGCAATGACGACGAGTTTCGTTCGCAGCCGGCTCTCTTGGCCGACCTCCTGCGAAGCTTCAGCATACATGCACACGTATGTACGTGCGTCTGCTTTTAGGTACCTTCGGAGGCCCCCCTCTTCCCCCTCTCTCTTTCCGATAACTCCTGCTATCGTCCCTCTTGTGGTGAAACCCCGTACGGGCGATAAAAGAATACCTAGACATTCAGAACAGACGAGATGGTCGTATCGTGGCGCCTATCAGGTACAGGGAGTGGCTACTGCACATTGCAGCATATTGCACTGTTTTAAGCAGGCCTGCCCCGGGCCTATCTCTCCACACCTACATCCCGGGTTGGACGGACACGAGAAGACCCTGTGTGTTGCTCGCTGCCCGCTCTCCAGCCGAGGTAAGACAATACCGTGGCCTCGTCGATGCACCACGAAACCGTCCCCGTCTGTACCGTGCACAAGTGATGCTACCTGTTCCCTCTCGCATCTGTTCCCGGCGACGGGCGGGACGCAGACGACGCGAACGGAACCGCCCTGACAACCTAATACTCGATGGGCCGCGGCTTATCTATCTGCGGCGGCATCACCGGCGGTTCCCAGATCGAAATGGTTGCTCGTCTCCACGAGCAGGGCTCTCTGACGCCGTTACCCTTAGCTTACTCCGTGGTTCTGGCGACTCGTTTCACCCTGTACATTTTTTTTTTGCCCTCATTGTCGAAGCATGGCATAGCACAGCATAGCGGAGCGCGGCGGAGCCGAGCTTAGCCTGTCTGGCTTCTAGCCTCTCGTCTAAGAAAGGGAAAAGGGGGAGGAGAGGGGGGGTGAATATTTCTGCGGGTGTGTGATTTGAGTTGTATATATATTTGTACATTCGACGGCGGATCAGGCGTCGAGGCCCGTTTCGTCGTCGCCACTTACACACCTAGACATATGTGGCTCCCCTTTGCCGCAGCCAAATAGCAGTAGTAATTCTTCTCCCTCCCCGTCGACTTGAGCAAACTCCCACATAACGCACTACAGCCGGTCCATTGGTGTGTGACGCAGGTACCTTTTCCGTTTTGTGTAATTTCTTTCTTTTCCCACCGCGCTCTTGCCCTTCCCACACGTAATAGGTAGGTACATAACCCTCACCACCGTCCCCATCCCCTCTCGCCCCCGTCCCGCCCCGTCCCGTGCCGTCCCTTCTCTCCCAGGCGTCGGGCCCGGGGCCCGGGGCGCTAGCTCATCTTGGCGTTGGAGAAGTCGAGCTCGGGGTGCTGGTCCTGGAACTTGCGGAGGATGTCGGCCTTGCGCTGGTCGTCGGAGGTGGGCAGGCCGAGCTCCTTCTGGCGCTGGTCGTACATCATCTTCTCGACCATGGCGCGCGTCTCGCCGTCGAGGTCGCCGAGCCGGCTGCTCTCGGGCTCGATCCGCGTCACGTCGATCCGCGGCGCCCCCGTCGTCACGTGCGCCCACCACTCCTGCTTGTTCGCCTTCTCCAGGTGGATCTCCAGCGTCTTCGTGCCCGCGCCCGCGCCCGCCCCGCTCGTCAGCGTCCACGTCGACCCCGACACGTCCACCGCGTGCGGCAGGTCGCCCTGTGCCGCCGGTTCCCCCGGGCCTGCGTTAGCGTGGGTGTGTAGTACCTCTCTCCCTCTCTCCGTCTCCGTCTTTTTTTTCTTTCTTTCTTTCTTTCTTCCGTATCTCCCCAAGGGTGTTACACACGTACGTCGATGATGGGGTCCTGGCCCTTGATGCCGGCCTTGAGGTGCTGGCGCTTGATCTCGACGACGAGGTCGCGCGCCTTGAGCGCCGCCGGCACGGCGATGGCGACGTCGAGGTCGCCGATCGTCTGGTTCCACGTGTACGGCAGGGCGGCCTGCTCGGCGGCCTCCTTGGCGCGGGCGGCGGCCTCCTGCTCCGGGGTGGGATCTGGGCATAGGTGAGCGAGCGGGAGCGCGTTGCGGCTGGTCGCGTGGGTTAAGGAGGCCTGGGGGGAGGGGGGGGGGTGGCAGCGGGATGGCTAGCTAGATAGCTAGATAGCTGTCCCGGGATGATGCGAACGAAGCAGAGAGGGAGGCAGGGAGGGGGAGCAGGGCGTACCGTTGTCAGCCATGGCTGGGTGCTATGCGTAGTCGTTGTCGACCGTGGGTGTGTGTTCAACTCGCTCTCCGTCGTGTCTGGCGGTTCTTCTGGAGGAGGGTTATGGCGAGTGGGTACCTACGGGGGAGCTCGACGTGAAGAGGGAGGCGAGGCAAGGAGGGCGAGGCAGGGTGGGGCAACATTGTACTGGATAGCGGGGCAGTATGGCAGCCGGATGTACCGGCGATAGCATTGAGCGGTACCCTTGACGGTCAACTCTCATGAATGCAGCTCGGCTTTGAAGGTAGTGGGTACCTGATATTTTGCGGCTGGATACTTTCCCCTACAGATAGGTACCGTCCTATGTAGACGCCACCGCGCTGTATTATAGGGGGAATTCTATTTGATTATTCACCCACCTAGGATGCAACTATGGGGCACATTAGGTAATGGTCACAAATTAAAGTAGGTACCATTCACAGTTGATTAATCGTTGATTAGTCGGGCGGCCCCCCTGAAGCTAAGTTCCGTTCCAAGCTGCGTCTCCTTCGAAGCTTCAGTTCCACCCGCCTCCCTCCTCCTCCTCCTCCTCCTCCTCCTCCTCCTCCTCCTCCTCCTCTCTTCTTCCTTACCGCCATCCAGAGCCCAAACCGCCTCCTCAGCTACCAAGGCGACCGCACTCGACCCCACGGTAACCCGACGGCTGTAATCCTCCCCTTAGCTTGTCCCCGTGCCACCGCGCTCCAATCCAATGAGTTACCACCAGCTGTCGGTGCACCTCGTTCCCCTCGACTTCGCCCTCCCGAATCGCCCACCACCCCAACGTGCCGCCCCCGCCCACTCGCACCCCCGAGTCGGGCCGTGACCCTAGTAGCAGATACCACCATCTCTGGACGTTGTATCCTACTTGCTACACAGACATTCCTGCCGTCGACGCAGCCGCGATAACAGCACAGAGAATGAGCGCGATGTCTCGCAAGAACGCGTCTACCGTCGCGGGGCGGCCCAATGCCGATCCTGCGTCCACCATCCCCGACGAGTTCTGCCCCGTGTGTAAGCGCATGCGCTACCTAAACAGAGACATGGAGTTCCTCATAAACCCGGAGTGCTACCACCCCATGTGCAGCAGCTGCGTTAACAACATCTTCGGCAAGGGGCCGGCCCAGTGCCCCTACGCGTCCTGCACCAAGACCCTGCGCCAGCGCGGCTTCCGTTCTTCTTTCTTCGGCGACCTGACTGTGGAACGCGAGGTGGACGTGCGCCGTCGCGTCCAGGCCGTCTTCAACATGGCCCAGGACGATTTTGTCTCGCTGCGCGACTTCAACGACTACCTGCAGCAAGTCGAAGACTTGACGTTTTCCCTCGTATCCGGTGGCGAGGCCGAACGCCGCAATGCGGAGGCGGACCTCCTCACCTACGAGCAGAAGCACCGCGAGGAGATCGAGCGCAATAAGAAGCGCGGCCAAACTGCGGAGGCCCAAAGGCGCCAGCGCGATGCCGCCGCGGCTGCGGCCGTCAAACAGCGCCGTCTCGAGGAGCAGCGCGAAGAAGAGAGCGCTCGCGCCGAAGAGGCCAGCATCAATGCCGAGGTTATGGAAGCCCTCGCCAAGGGTGAGCCCGGCACGGCCGCCGAGATCCAGGCTCGCATCGTCGAACGGAAGCGCAACCGCATCGCCGAGATCACCAACGCCAACTTCTCCAAGGTCTTCGAGAGCAACGGGTACCGACCCAGCTCGACCACCGCTGCTGCCCCCGGTGGCGCCAGCAGCCTACTCTCGATTCGCGGCCTCAAGGACCAGTCGCAACGGGACAAGGAGAACGACGACTTCCAGGCGAGGGAGTATTACTCCCGCCCCTACGACCCGTTCGCCGGACTCGACCTGGAGCCGACGCGCTACAAGCTCCGCGAGAACTACGAGAACCCCTGGCTCCAGGAGGCGCGCACGCGCGACGACCACCGCGTCCCCGGCTACAGCACCCAAGAGTACATCGCGCGCGCCGTTTTTGAGGCCTTTGCCGGACTCGGCGTCTTCGTGGCCGACGAGAAGGCGGACAGTCGGCGAGATGCGGGCACGGTTAGCGCCGGAGCCGCGGCCGCGCCGGGGACGACGAGCGGCGCGTCCGGCGGCAAGATGGAGGTCGACGACGTCTTCTCCTGAGCAGACGGCCGGACACACCGAAGATAGAGGGTGCCTGAACACGGTGCCGATCTACGTCACGATATCTACGGCTACTCGGATGGGCCGTAGAATAAAGAGTAGCTACAGCCACCATCTACTCACCTACTTACGCGCAACGGTATCAAGGAGTCCCTCTCGAAACCAGAGGGTAACTAGAAGGCATACTGGCACTAAGAAGACGAGATCACCTCACTAGGGTGACCATGTTTTGACACTACCTCAAGCCTGATGCAACTACGAAGAATATACCACGTCTCTCCACCGGGCCCTCCGCAGGTCCTCGCCTGCGGGAAAAATTTTCAATACATCACGCTACGTAGGGACGACCTCTCGCGTCATCCATCTACTCTATTCAGGTATCCAGTCTTGCACGGCGCACGTGTATGTCCGAGGAATCAGCATCATCGGAAGGGCACGAGGCGGAAAGTGGGAGGCTAGCACGGGAGCAGCACGAGAGGAGGAACACGGGACGTCTCCAGCTCGCGCGGCAGACGGGGGAACATGGGGGGGGGGGGCTGGATGCGGGTGCAACCTGACACACCACAGTCCTCCCGGATAGACAAAAGAAGCACAAGGTAGACGGCGCTCGCGCCCCTGTATCTAGAAGCGCGCCGCGAACGGCCTGGCCACCCCCCCAGGTCTATAGGTAGACGAGGGAGAACGGCGGATCGGCCGGGCGTAGGTAACCAACCCCCCAGCGGCCATGCGGCGCGCGGGCGGTATAGAGAGGAGGCGCATGAGGACCGGGGTAGAAGCTACTAAGCAGATAGACAGCGGCGCAGGCAGAGAAGAGAATGAATGTTTCGCGCCCGGTCTGGGTTATATCTGTCCATTGCCCGCCCCCGGCGCCAGCCCCTCGCGTCCCTGCCAGCCAAGGGGGGCACCCCGCTTCCTCGGCCCCAGCGCGGCGGACGCACCCCCCGTCGCGGCCGGCCTCCCCGATACTGCTTACTCCCCGCTTATCCTTGCACCCTTGCACATAGGTATACTATACCCACATAGCCGCACACACGCATATGTATATGTATATGTATATATATATATATAGGTATAAGATATATACCTAACCCACGCACCCTCCCCGCCCCTCTCCCCTCTCCCCCTCTCCCCCTCTCCCTCCGCCCGCATCCCTCGCCCCCCCCCCACCCCCGTTCCCCTTACCACCACGCCGCACATACCGCGAGCGAGTGCTCAGGCTGTATCTATCTCGACGACGCGGGGCGCAGACGCCGCGGGCGGGGCTGCGTGAACCTACACCAGACGCCGGCCGCCGGACCGGGCGAGCAGGGGTGTCTCCGTCCTGCCGCGGCGCCGTTCCGCCTCAGACGGATAACTACCCCCGACCGGCCGGGCCACGGCGCCCCGCCCTGCCCCAGACAACAACCGGCGGCGGCGGATCTGCTACCCTTCTAGATACGTAATGGCACCGCCGGACCGGGGCCCAATCCCTCCCATCTTCTCCCGCCCGGTGACCGCTCCGGGCCCGCCCAGCCGCGCGACGGGGCCGACGGCGCCGGCGCTGCTGCGGCTCTGCTACCGGCGCTTCTGTCTATCTCCCGCGTCTTGCTAGCTTGCTGCTGCTTTCTGTCTATATATATATATATATATAATTGAAAAAAAAACGGGTACTCCCCTTCCAACTCAATCCCGCCTCCCCCGTGTGCTGTGTCGCGCGAGATCGGCGGGTATGTGCTTACGCATTTTCTCCCCCTCCGCCGCCGGTACTAGCGGCAGCCGGTTAGACCGGGCGATGTACGGCCCGGCTGGCGGTAGTGATAGGGACCACCCTACGTACGCGTTGCAGGCCCGTTGTTGTGTCTCGCCAAATCCCATGTTTTTGTATTTGGTTGGGCTTTCTTCCCTCTGCCTCCGTCCTCGAGCTCGGGCTATACTCGTAGTAAACGGCACCACCCTCTTCTCCGTCCTTAACGTCCCAGCGAGAGAAACGAAGTGAAACTCCCAAAAAAAAGAATTAGTATCAACGCCTCGCTTTATGCGTATTTGAACAAGTTTTGAGGAGAAAACCACCCCACCCCCCCCTTTCATTATCTTATCCTCTCTTCGTCCGTCCGTCGGATCCTCGTGTTTCGTGCTTATTATACCCCTCCGATTCCGGGCTGCACCACCTCACTGCTGCCAAGGCGTCTGCGTCGCCGGCCGCGGGAACACCGGCATCGCTTCCAGATGGTCCAATCCTCCGCCTATGGGCTGCTGCCCGTGCTGCCAGCCCATCCCCGTCTGGTGATTCACGAAAGCCCCTTGCCGGAACGGATTCGTGCTGCCGGTTGGCTGAGCCATGAGTCCGCCGCTGGTCTGAGGCCGCTGAGGCTGGCTCTGTGCTTGACCGCCGAAGTTTCGGGCGAACGGATTGGTTCCCGTAGCCGTCGGTTGAAGCGGAGCCGGTGCCGGTGCCGGTGCCGGGGGCTGCGACTGGAAGGGAGAGCTAGAAGAAGGGTCTGAGAACGGGGGGATGGCTGATGGGGATGTACGAGCGAATGGGTTCGTGTTTTGCCGTTGTAGACCGCCTTGGTTTTGAGCATTGGTAGGTGCCAGGAAGGCGCTGTTAGGCGGCCCCGTCGGGTTGGCCATCATCATCGATGCTCTGAAGGGGTTAGTTATCTGCTGGCCGGGTTGGAGGCCGGTCTGCATAGGGGGCGCGAGAGTCCCGGCTTGGAACGGCGTAACCGAGTCTTGCGGTATAGATGGTAGGCTACCAGGCGAGAAGGTTGGTTGTGGCGTGTAGCCGCCAAAACCGGCACCTGTGAAGTTGGGCAGGATTTGGTTCGGTACGCCTTGCTGCGGGAACGGCCCGGCATTCGGCTGTGAGAAGGGTCCGCTATTAGGTTGGAAGCCCGTAGGCTGAGACACGAACCCGTTGGCCTGGAGCTGGACCGTCTGCGGAATGCCGAATGCACCATTCGAGGGCCAAGGGTTGCCTGTAGACACCGGTAGGCTAATCTGGCCCATCTGTAGCTGCGGGTTTGGCTGTACTGCCATGGTCGTCTGGTTCTGTTCTATCGAGTCGAAGAAGTCGATGAGATCCGGGTCTGGTCCTTTGGCTGCTTGAGGCTGCGGGTTCGACAGCGGTGCGGACCCGTTCGCTTTGGCGGCGGCAGATTTCGAGTCCGATGTGCCCTTATCAGCCTTTGCCGACAGCCCCGTGCCGCCCTTCTTCTTGGCGTCGAGCTCTGCTAGATACTGTCTACGGTGGATCTCGAAATCGGGATCTTTCAGGTATTCCTCGAGCTGACGCCGAAGATTAATCGGGGCATGCTTCAACTTCGGGACCTCGACTCTCGTATGGGGCTCCCATTGCCTCGCGACGGCTAGGTACTGGACCACGTAGTCTGTCTGCTTGGTGAAGGTCTGGTAAATCTCTAATGCCCTCTCTGCATCCGGTTTCGACATCTCGAAGAAATGACCTGGGGGCAAACAAAACGGTGAGTCTGATTCTGATTCGTAGGTTCATCATCCTGACTTACCCAAGATGTTGATCATAGCTTGGTTCAACACTTGAAACAGCGACAATAGGTCTAGCACCAGAAGCCTAAAGACGGTGATGGTGATTTCATTTTCCGGATCTTCGAGAACCTGTCTGGTGTCAGCACCTGCATTCACGATTGTCTCCATCTCACAATCGTGGCCACCGCAACCGTGTGCCCGGCAGGTAGACTCCGATAACTTACGTTGCACTTTAGTAGGGCGGTCAGTTGGCGCTCGACAGCCTCGGTCTCCCTCAGCAGCCCCTTGTCGACCGAGAGCTTCTCTAGGCGCGTCTCCTTGGCCCGAACCCAGTCCACCTTGGTGTCTCGAAAAGCGCGCACCCGCTCGGCGAGGTAGCTAGCATAGTGTCGTATGTTTCGGCCCTGGATTTGTGCTACCAAGCAAGTTAGACATGCCCGCTGTCTTGGGGGGTTGTGATGTCGGGTCGCTCCGACGGATCCCGCGTTGGCCCTCTACTCACCATCCGTGAAGGGACCGATAGCTATCAAGTTGCGGTGTTTCGCGAGATATGCCAGTGTCGCATCCGGAGATCCCTCCCTGATCATGAGGTGGATCGTTATCAGGCTCTTGAACACTACGGTCCATGTCGAATCTCGTAACCGGAACTGCAGCGCGCGGAAAACCTCTCCCACCCCTGCCTCCCCGGAGTGCGTAGCGACGAGAATGTGTTCGATATACTTGGTCTTGGGAGGGGCAGCCTATCGGGGAATATAACCATCAGCCGCGTGAACACGATTTCATGCAGTAGGGTAGTGGCCTAGCTCCACATCGGGCCCATGTAGGGGGGGATGGGGGGACTGACCTTGATCTTGGTTGCGCCCTTGACGGACTTCTCGAAGGAGCTCGACATGGTGCCGGAGCGCCTGCGAACGTTATCGCGGATCTCGACTCGGCTATTGGACGCGTCTATGGGGCCCGGACTCCTCTCCTACGGCTTGGGCACCAAAGCAAGACGTTCCGGCTTACGGCGGAACGAGAAGGGAAATAAAGACAAGAAGAGGGAAAAAAAAAAAAGGAGCGCGTATGGAGACGGCAACGGGAACTGGGAAGGCTTGTTTGTCAGAGTCGGCAGCGTCGGACAAAGGCGGCAATCGTAATCGGGTTGCGACGTAAGAGCTGAGCAGATTCGCAGAAGAGAGGCTCCGAGTGGGCTGGCTGGGCTGGGCTGCAGCGGCTCGATTCGGTGAGGATGGATGTCGGATAGGCGGACTCAAGCTGTTCGTCACGGCTGTCCCATGTCCATCGCGAAATGATTGGCGGTAGGAGAGAGAGTGCTGCTAATTTCCATACAGGGTATTACCGATAAACCCTATGCTGTCGGTAAGGATGATGGGACTCCGGCTGCGAGGCTGGTGGTATTTATTTATTTTTGGGGGGAGAAGGTGTGTGTGCTATTATGTGTGGCAACGAGCCCGGACAAGCTCGGGGGGGAAGAAGTGAGAATTATATGAGAGACGGGAGATTGGAGATGGTGCTGGAGTTGGTAGGTGGTGGTGGTAATAGAGAAAGACAGACAGATCGGCGCCAAGAGAGAGTGGACGTCGGCCAGTCGGCACCAGGCTGGTCCACACCTATCGATATCAGGAGGTACCTGGGGACGTAGGTAGATTGACCGCATACGATGTACCTGCACGCCCGACCTGACCTAACCTCGGTGGGTTCGGATGGATGTCTACCTATAGGTCCCTGCCCGAATCTATCGCCTTAGGTACCTACACCTAACCTGCCCATTTCAACATCTCAACCTTCGGACTCACGGACGGGACGAAGTCATCCCATACAGGTACACCTACGTCTACCTACCTCCTCTTTATGCTGATGTGCATCACAAGGTGTGATTGCTATCAGGTAGCCCTGGGCCTGCCACAGCTACCACCGTCCTGTCCGTAGGTATTATGTGCCTACGTGGATCTGACGGATGGATCTGCCATAGCGATCAATGGCACCGGTCCCCCTGCGGGCTCATATTCGGTGGAATCCGTGCGTGAGAAGTATGACGCTGCGCCTCTCATCATAACATCGAACCCGGCACATGTACATGCAACCGGCAGACCCTAATCCAGCTGCGTTGGGTACCTATCAGGTATCACCGAGCCAGATTGGGAGGTTCGTGGACACATGTGCACGCATACACAGCTTGGCCAGCGGCAGGTTCTGCGTAAGAGATGCAAATACCGCCCATCCTCCCCAGCCCACGCAAAGCACCTCCACGCCCGGTTATGGCCACTGGCCACTGCCCGAGGTACGTGCCTAGTGTACGTACGAACAGGGGAGATGCACATGTATGCTGTATCAGGTAACATTAGGAGGCAGAGTACGTGGGACCAAAATATAGGTATACATTGCTGCTGCGCATGTCTACGTACGGCTCTATTCGCCTGTGGCAAAGCACCTGCACTCCGACGGACGTCTACCCAGAAGAGAGCATGAGGCGGTCCGGGGCGGACGAGTGCTAACATGAGATCGCCTACGCTGGCTGGCCTATGAAGATAAATAAGTACTTGGGCAGGTCGGTACCCAACAAGGGCAAAACAGGAGATTACGCCCCTGTCGTTGCGGTGCATACGTGCCTAACAAATAGGAGCTGGCGTCCAGAGGTGGGATGCAGAGCAAACCGCCACGCCAGGGAGGAGGTAGAGATGGTCTGTCGATTCCTATCGACGGACCCAAGACACATATCGCGCACGTCCACCGGCTCGGACGCAATGCGCTAAGAGAACCTGGCTTGCTACATACATCAGGCAGTGGGACAGACGACAGAAGGTCTCGGGAAGATGTCGGTAGGCATGATCGCTAACGCGACGCTAATACACAGTCTTTAGGTGTGCTAAGCGAGGAGAGGCCGGGAAGACAGCAACAGAAAGAATTCGACACGAAAACCCGGGATAGAGGGGTGGGATCAACACGCGAAGACGAACAGGGAGGGGGGAGAGAGAAGAGAGAGAGGGAGGCAGGGAGGGGGTCGAAGGCTTCCTTCTGCAGATTCAAATATGGGGTATATCAGAGTGGCCGTCTCGCGTCCGATGTATAACAAGGTCGAGGTGTGTCGAACGCTTATTTCATGCTTCCGACTCTTCGTCGCAACAGAACCGCTTAAGCCCCGAGGGGGAGAGTTCTGGAGCTCGGAAAGGAGGAAGACATCATATGGTACACGCGGCTTTCATCATCTGTCATCACTACAGTCAGCGACGGGATCCGCGAGGGGCGACCACGCGGTCGTTGGCGGCAGCAGGTCAACTTACTTGTATTTGAATTGGAAGGATGAAGAAAAAAAGAGGAAAAAAAGGTCGATATGCAAGCTCCGGCCGACAGCCAAAAACGGATATAGGGACTCTGTAGGTGTGGAGCCTGGCCTGCGGACCCTGCGCATGGTGACGAGCCAATGGGGGGGCTCAACCTGCCCGCGCCGGAGAGGGACATTCATTTATCCATTGATTAGCTAACAAGACGTAGGTCCGGCTTGACGTCCAGGGACCTAGGTACCGTCCCAGGTGGTATATTAGGTACACCCCCTGCGAGTACGAGCTTGAGAAGTAAACGGAGCGAAATCGGCGTGCCAAATTACAGGTATCTGTATACAGCGACACCCAGCAGCCCCGCCAGACGCCGCTAGGCGCACGCCTCCCACCAGTAGCCCACTTGCCTACCTGGGCAGCGAGTAACAGAAGCTCACAAAATATTTTGCAGCAATCTCGCGAGACAGACAGACAACCCGGGCGGGAAAAGAGACAGCGCGAGGGGAGAATACGGGAACCACGGAACAACTTCAGGATCGCTAGAATCCGATGTCAGCTCTATGGCTAGGCTTCCCTCGATCCTGTTGTTTAGAGGCGCCCTGAGGTGTAGCCGCCCGCACATCCAAGGGCGTCGTCTGCCTCTCGTGTCTCATTCCCTCTCTCGAGTCCCGCTGCGCCAGCGCCCCCCGTTTTTGCCATGGAGCCATACGAGGGCTCTCCACGATGATGCCTCTAAGGACGACGCCTCTAAGGACGATGCCCCTAAGGACGTCGCCTCTAAGGACGACGCCTCTAAGGACGACACCTCTAAGGACAATGCCTCTGAAGACAGCGCCTCTGAAGATAGCGCCTCTAAGGACGATGCCTCTGAAGACAGCGCCTCTGAGGACAGCGCTTCTAAGAACAAGGCCTCTGAAGACAGCGCTTCTAAGGACAAGGCCTCTGAAGATAGCGCTTCTGAAGATAGCGCCTCTAAGGACAAGGCCTCTAAAGACAGCGCCTCTAAGGGCAAAGCCTCTAAGGGCAAGGCCTCTAAAGACAGCGCTTCTAAGAACGAGGCCTCCAGCAAGACCAAATCAAAAGCGCATCCGCCCAGTGCCACCACGTTTGACCATCTAGCCGATGTCTGTAAGATACACATTCCCTTCTTCCCCCTCCGTCGGCCCTCGAGAACTATGAGTTGACCCGAACCAAGTTTTCGGCATGGACCAGGTGGAGACCACACCGGTCAGCGAATTCAAGCGCAATGGCCAAGTCGTCCTCTACGGCTTTCTCGGGAAGCAGAAGGCCGTGAGCTCTGTCCTGAGCTTCTGCGATTTCGAGATTTCTAGCAGAGAAGTGGCTCTCCAGATCGTTTCCCAGTGGGACAGGGAGGGTTCGTCAAGCCACCGCACTCACAAGCAACTCCTGGAAATACCGGCCTACAGCCCCGTTCTCGTGTCGGGAACCCTTCAGCCGTCCGAGAAGAAAACGCCTTTCGACCCTACCCTCTTCTTCGCTAAGCAGTGGGATATCAGACTGACCGGAATAGCGCCCCTCAACAATTTCCCCAGCGATATCATAGTCTCTAAGGATGCTGTGTGGCCGCCGCAATCTCGCCACTTACAGCTGCGGTTCGACCACCTCCTCCGAGATCGGTTGCGCTTCCGCGACCAGATCCGGACGACCCTCACGAGGAAGCTGCAGGAATTGGATTTCGTCCACATCGACACGCCCATCCTCTTCAAGTCGACGCCCGAAGGCGCGCGGGAATTCCTCGTCCCGACGAGGCGGAAGGGGTACGCGTACGCGTTGCCCCAGAGCCCCCAGCAGTACAAGCAGCTGCTCATGGCCAGCGGCGTGCACAAGTACTACCAGTGGGCGAGGTGCTTTCGCGACGAGGATCATCGTTCCGACAGGCAGCCCGAGTTCACCCAGCTCGACATGGAGATGGCCTTCACCACCTCCACCGGCATTATTGAGACCGTCAACCTGCTCATCACACAAGTCTTCACCCACATGACGCATCATGCCATTCCGCTCGACGTCAACGGCGTACGGCACACCTTGACGACCTCGGCCACGAAGAAGGAGTCGAAAACTGGGTTCACCAAAGTCAGGGATCCCGATCTCCCCCGTTTCACATACCGTGGTGTGCCGAAACAAATAGCGTATATCCAATGTATAACACGCTACGGCACCGACAAACCAGACCTGCGCCTCCAGTGCCCCGAAGTAACGAATGTATGTGATATCCCAATGCTAAACGGCCCATATATATATATCTGCCCACCAACCGCAACACTAACACGAGGCAGATCTTCCCATTCACAGTCCCCCTCGACAGGAAGCTGGTGAAAAGGCTCGCCGACGACGACGAGAAACCCTACGTCGAGTTCTGCAAGTTCAGACTCAACCTGACGCCCGACAAGGCGTTTGACTTCATACACGAGTTCCTCGCGGGGATACCGAGAAACAACGAGCTCAATCTCACCCCCGGCTACCATCCTGTCGCCTTCGTCTCTGACAAGCTCCTGCTCGACGACGGGCTCGCCGATCTCGGCAGTCGCGCCGTCAGCTGGATCCAGACGTACAAGAACAACAACGGCTGGTGCGAGTTCTCCATGGGCGACATCCTCCTCGTGCACGCGCGGCCCAAGGCGCCGCTCGACGGCTGCTCCTCCACCGACCTCGGCCGGCTGCGCACCGCCGTCCACCGCGCCGCCGTCGAGAAGGGCTACCTGCCGCGCGACAACGACTTCGCCAGCGTCTGGGTGCGCGAGTTCCCCATGTTCACGGCGGACGCGGCCGGCGAGAAGGGCGGCCAGGGCGGCGGCGCCGGGTTCTCGGCGACGCACCACCCGTTCACGGCGCCGGCGAGCGCCGAGGACCTGGCGCTGCTGTCCAAGGACCCGCTGGCGGCGCGCGGCGACTCGTTCGACCTGGTGATCAACGGCGTCGAGGTGGGCGGCGGCAGCCGCCGCATCCACGACGCGGAGCTGCAGAAGTACGTGCTGCGCAACGTGCTGCGCATGGGCGAGGCGGGCGCGAAGCGCTTTGACCACCTGCTCGAGGCGCTGCGCGCCGGCTGCCCGCCGCACGCCGGCTTCGCGCTGGGCTTCGACCGCCTCATCGCCGTGCTGACGGACTCGCCGACCGTGCGCGACGTCATAGCGTTCCCCAAGACGGGGAGCGGCGAGGATCCGCTCGTGGGCAGCCCCGCCAAGGTCACCAAGGAGCAGGCGTCCACGTACAACCTCCGGACGTGAGGAGCCGAGGGCGGCAGCGGAAGGGAGCCGGGGAGGCGGAATGCGATGCGCGGCGCGGCGCCGTCGGGACGAATTCTACCCACGGATACCTAACGAACGTCGCGAGCGCACCAGGTGTCGGACATGTAGGCTATGCGGATAGATCGAGACCGTGTACGATAAAGGTGCTAGATCGACACGCGCGCGCGTTGACAGATGGGGGGTGGAGGATGTATATACTCGGCTGCTCGATACGCGCTCCATCGTCGGGCGTGCTTAGGTAGGACACCTATAAGAGGGGAGGAGAAAAAAAGAAAGAGGGGGGGGGATCAGGTGTGGCCAGAGGATGTAAAAAAGAGAGAAAAAAAATAGAAAAACCAAGGCATGAAAGAATGCCTTTCACTCTTCTCCAACTCTGGCACCCTATCTATTCGTCGTGTACATCCCGCGCAGAAAACTCGAGAGCAGGCATAACCTTGCTGCGTGTACGCGTGTACGGTTCGATAGTGTTACGAGGGACATGTTGTAAAAGACGGTCAGAATGTGCGAGAGAGCGGGAGATATTAGTCCTCTCTTGTTTCCGCAGCGGCTGGTTATCGGCGGTCTAAAGCAGGAATGCGACAAAAAGGAGGGGGGGTATCGTTTCCACCGCGTTCCGGCCTTCTCCTTCTCCCGTCTCTGTCCCCGCCTTGTCCTCCTCCTCCTCGTGATCGTGATGCCACAACCACCTAGCGAAAACGCCGTCGCGGGCGCCAATCTGTCTATCTGCTCAAGGTGCCTTCCTTCCATCCTACCCTCCCGTAGAGCCCTAGATCCGAGACGGCCCGCCCCCGCTCCCGCCGCCCTGTCCCGTTTGCAAGCTCTCCTCGAGCGCCCGCCTCAGCTGCTCGTCCTCGTCCTCGTCCCCGTCGCCGACCTCGTTCTGCTGCTTTCCCGTGAGCGCCGCCGCCGCCGCCGCCTTGCGGTATTCTTCTTCGATGATGCTCTGTCGCTTGACGTACTCCATGACGATTTCCTCCTCCGTCTTCATCGACGAAACCCTAACCAGCTCCTCCCGGTGCACCCGCTCCGACTCCTCTATGGCGCGTCGGAGGAGCTCCTCTTCCTCCTTGCTTGCGGCATGCGGCAGGGATTTCTCGGCCTGGGAGGCCTCTATAGCCTTCCTGAGCTCTTCGTCCTCGTCGAGGCCGTCGCTGTTCTTCTGCTCCGCTTCCGAAATCTGGAGCGCTTTCTTGTACTCCTCATCCTCGTCTTGGTCTCCCGAGCTGCGCTCCGTTTGTGACCTCTCGAGAGCCAGTTTGAAGTCTTCGTCTTCTGAAGTGTCGTCATGCCTGATGATACCCTTCTGCTGGTTCTGGTAATGCTCAGCCATGCTAAGCTGTACGGCCTGTTCGATCAACGCTGCATATTCCTCATCGGTAATATCCATCAAGTTGTCCGGTATGCGAGGAGGAAGTTGTGGCGGCGGGTTATCCCCAGGAAGGGGATGCTTAACATCGATGGGGTATCCATGACCTTGGCCAGTGGATATTTGGGACGAAGACGATGCAAAAGAGCTCATCGTCGTTGATCTTCGTCTCAACACCCCAACGCTCGATCGGATCGCCTGTTCGACCCTAGCGTCTTCGGTCGCGTCTCCTCGGGAGGTTTCTCGCACCGCAGCCTGAATTGCTTGCTCAAACTCTTCGTCCTGTGCACGTAAGCTGTCGGTACTGGGAGCGGTAGGGAGCATTTCGCCAACATGGGTTCCGCCCGTGGCTGCAGCCTCCGCCCGCTTTCTCTTCCATCCCCTCATCTGCCCATCAAACGGAGCAGCCCTTATGGGAAGCCAGCTGGTCCTCGCTGGCTCGTCGCTAGAGGTACGCTCCGGAGTAGCCGACCCATTCTCAGGCGGTGCGGGCGATACGTCTCTCGACTTCCCTTTCTGTCTTTGCTTAAACGCGTAGAAACCTTTGAGGTTTTTCTTCTCAGTAAACCAACGAGCTTCTATATCTTGGCGCTCCCCCGCCGAAGAATCGGCCAAATCCCTTCGGCCCTGGGAAATACGAGACGCGACGATATATTTATGAGCGCTCTGAGCGAACAGGCTGCGAATCTCAGCATGGACGCCAGCCATGGTGTATGCCGGGATAGACCACATCGCTACCGCGATAATTAGCCTTACCCAGTTTGATCGAGGTAATGTTGGTTGTCAGAACTTACCTGCCGCGGGTTTCAAAACAAGCCCCCCGATCCCTCTGCCGAACCCCTTCAAAAGCCCTATGCCGCCATCCTTCTCTGCACCTCTGATGGGCTGTGTAACTAGCCCGGTGATCCCGTCGTATAGCCCAAAGCCAAACTCTTTGCCAGCGACCTTGAGCCCGCTGGTGAAATCGGTGACTTTTTCTAGGGGGCGGACGGTGTCATCATTGTATAGGGTCGGTACGTTTCTAAAGCCCCTCGCAAGCCCCAGGCAGAAGTGCATCGGGCTTTTCATACCCGTCGCCACGATGTTATTTATGCTCTTACCAGCACCTAGCGCCCTCTCCAAGTTCCTGCTTCCGGCGTTCGGTGAGGTCGTGCCCGGTCTTGATGTCGAGTTACTATGCTGATGGCGAGGTGTAGGGGGAGGTACCGAAGGTGATCTTGAACGTTCAGAAGCAATTGATGCGAGAGGTGCTAGACTAGGCGCACTACTGTTTGGAGTCGTCATACCGATCTGGCTTAACGGACGCCTCGCCGCGTTAGTAGTAGATACCGTTGTGGTTGATGTTGCAATCGAATTGGTCTGGGTCAAGGGGTTCAGATTACCGTCCTCGCTTGAAACAACTGTGGCGGAATCGTCTCCAGGTTTCTCGGACGGCACTGACCCTGGGCCTTTAGCTGCTTTGAAAATATCTCGAGGGAAATCTGTTATAGACATGGCAATGCTTCCCATGTCTCCCAACAACGCAGATGTGGTTGCTGAAATCGGATCGGTCGGGTGGTCTTCGGTGCTGTACTCCTTCGCGCGGAACCTGACAACACATCAGTAAATTGAAGGCGTAGCGGATCCGTCGAGGCCCGGAAGCTTGCTCACAATTTTAGGTCGGAGTATTTTAGATATCCGTTGTCCACAAGAGTGGCGGCTGCCAATCCACTGAGGCGGACTTTGGATCGCCGAACACGCCAGACAGCGACTCGACTCGGAGCTAGCGAGCAGCGGAGCTTTTCGTAGTCAAGATGCCTGTGGAAGCTCTGTGCCCCGACATGGGTGCCTTTCTCTTCTCGTATCCTCTCTCCCAGCTCATGGGCTCGCTGTTGAGTTTCAGGTTTCAGTGCAACTCGGATGGCCTCGGCTAGCGTCGCCGGGGTCAGTCTCTTGTATGGGATGGGATCCGGGCCTGCTCCGGCCCTCGCTACCATAGCACCCCAAAAAGGCTGGTCCCCAAAGAACGGGACGACGATAGTGGGCTTTCCGGCACTAATCCCGGCCGCGGTGGTTCCGGCGCCTCCATGGTGGCAGACCGCGGCGACATGCTGAAATAGCCAATCATGGGGGACATTCCCAAGCATAAAGATGTTGTCAGGCATGCCGACAGCGTCCGCCCCCAGTCCACCCCATCCCTTCGAAACGAGAGCACGAACACCCGTCTCTGCGACCGCGTCGAAGATCGTCCGGGTCAACTCATTCGGGTCATCGACGACGATGGAACCGAATCCTATGTACACCGGGGGCGGGCCCGCTGCCAGGAACGCCGCTAGTTCAGGCTCGGGAGTATACGACGAAGCCAAGTTAAGAAAGTAAAATCCGGCGATGTCGATATGCTGTCCCCAGTCATTCGGTTTGGGGATCAGAGCCGGAGACCTGCAGTGTATACGTGAGACTTGTGCTCAACTTCAAGTATGCGATTTCTTGGACCTACCAGCAGTACGTGTACGGGATTCGGAGGCGAGTAAGCACAGCAGGCGCCCACATCAAGGAGAGGGGTTCAAGATCAAGAACCTTGGTGCGAAAGCGGTTTATCACATCGCCAAGCCCTTGCCAGGTCATCATTTCAACCAAGGCATAAGAGACATAATTCGTAGTGACCGGATCCGTATTCGAGGATTGAATATTGGCTAACGGTTGCGGGAATGCTCTTGTCGGTGACCAAGGCATGCTTCTCACATGTTAGCCAGGTGTTTCTTGTGCGCATTCGAGGTAGGGGAAAGGGGGCTCTCCGTACGTGAACATTAGGTGCAGAGGCACACCTAGCTTCTCGGCAACATGTATGTGTGCAAAGCTCGGAGGGTTTGCGATGATAGCATCGGCAACAAAAGCCCTATGACCCCCTAACTCTTCCGGTGGCGTAGGCGGTTCTTCGTCGGCGTCGTCCCCGCGTCTGCGATCGAAGCGCGGTGCTGGTCCGAGACCATCTCCCGTTTCTATGCAGGATCTCCAGCACCCCAGGACGATCTCCTCGATTCCCTTTCGTCTCTTCGTGATCTCCCCGCTCTTCAGCGCATCGATGCCAGGCATCAGCCCCGGATTCTTGACCATGAAGGCCATGAGTTCGGCGGGATCTCCACCGATATTGAAAAACTCCAGCCCATTCTCCTCCACGAACTTCTGGAAGGTGGTGTGAGTCGCTACTCTCACGCGGTGGCCATAGGTGTTCTTCAAAACTTGCCCCAGCGCGACAAACGGCTGAACATCACCTCGCGACCCGACGATTTGTATTACGACGTTCAACTGTGGCGGCGGCTTCTGCCCCGGTTCGCCGCCCAGGCTCGGGGGGATGTAAGGGGGCGGTAGAGGAGACTCTGCGGATGCACTAACGCTCTCTCTTAATTGATTCCGTAGGGTTGGAGCTATAATATCGGCCAGGTGGGGAGTTGTCTGATTGATATTGATGTTTACTCGGCCATCCTCTGCGACAGGTCTCCAAGTCAGCTGCAAAACCGCGACGAGTGCACCGACTGGTGCATAAATGGCCTACCTGTAACAGCAGCGCCAGCATCAAAGCCGGCCTGGTGGAGGGAGAGCTGGTCGTGCAGTTCGCTGTAAGCTGGTGGGACGTCTTCTTCGACCACGAGCTGGGGGTCTTCCGGGATAAGACCAGTATTGTAGCCCTCATGCACCACGACTTCGGGCGCGTCACTGGAGGTTGGCCGGCGAGGAGCTGGCGCAGGTTCGTCGGCCGCCTGTTTTTTTTCGTCGACGATAGCCATAATGACGGAGAGAACGATGGAACTACCGAATTAACTCAAGTGTCATATGGAAGAGGGTGATCAGGACTTATGGGGCGAAGGGAGGCGGAAGGGCAGTAAAGTTGACGTCCTGGGAGGGGATGCTGGAAGTAGGGAAGGGAGTGGTGACGAAAGGAGGGGTATCACATAAGGGAGGGGCGAACTGCAGCGATCGAAACTCGGATAAGTATCACAGGTGAGAAGGAAGCCGAGTCAGTGAGCATAGACGGGATTTATTGAGACGTGAGGTCCACGCCGTGAGCGTAGGTTAGTTGCTATGTCCTGCGCTGCCATCGCAGTGCCGCCGAGCTGGAACGCGGGTGTATTTAAAAAAAAAGAGCGAGGTAGGCTCACCTCCGATCTGATCGACGAGACACAGCAGGACAGGGGTGTGAGGGACCTGGCCTTACCGGCCCACGTCAGTTATATGGGTAGGACGGCCACGACCATTCACAGGGGATCCCATTCCCATCCGTCGAGCCTCCGAACCTGCAGCCGGCGGATACGAAAATTAAACGAAAAATACCGCTTTGACAAGCCATAGGTACCACCAACTACGTAGTAACGTGGATCAAGCGCATATGAAGCCACGGGGCTACAGCTCCACAGAGCTCGCGATCCTCGCATCGTGGGCGAATCTCGGTTTCGTTGACCGCGACAAGACTGGGCCGGTCTATGGCGCCGTCTTACATGCAAACGGCAACGGCACAGCAGCTAAGACCATTCTCGTAGGGAGCTGAGCTAGGCTTCCTCGTCAAGACTCGGGGCCGCGGGGCATGAAGAAGAGGAAGAGAGGTTGCGTGGCCTGGCATAGGGGGAGCTGGGATAGGGAAGCCTTACTTCTATTGGCCTCCGTGGCTGGGGTGGTGAAGAGGGAGGTGGCAGTAACCTGACAGATGACGAAACGATTGTGGCGGTGCATGCACCGACTTCCAATCACCATATTGACACAATACCTAGGTACTTACCTATCTACGAGGGCAGACTCGCTATCGTAAGTGGGAGGTACCCGATAACCTCATACATCCGCTGAGTACCTGCAAGAAACTTAATATACGCGTGCTATACCTCGGGCGGGAAGTAGGCGACATATCCGGTATGTACCTGCGTTCTGATATAGGTGGATTGGGTACCTCGTACAGAAGGCCGAAGAGGTATACCGCATAGAGGTAAAGGTACTTCCTGCCTCCTCTGTCCGTATACTTAAGTACCTAACCTACCTCAGGTACCTGCCTGTACCTAGTAACCCGCAGGCAGCGAGTCCCGCCGACGTCCCGACAGAGCAGAGCTTTCTCGCACTCGGACTCGTCTCCGGTTTGCCCATCCCAGGCACCCGCGCCAGTGCCGCATGCCCAGGAATAGCCACGGGGACTTGGGATTGATCTCATCATGCACCCGACTGCCGAATGCGATAGGCGGACCGAACGCATCAATCGGCCAGGGTGGAGGTGTCGTGAATCAACGTGTAGGTATATACCTACGCACTAGGTCCTGGCATAGACCTCCCCGACAGAGGATGGCACGAGGGTCACCGAGACGTCGCCGACCCCAAGCGACTCTATTTTTCCCCACATAAAGGTGACTGTCTCTATTCGGAGGCGTGTCTGCTTGTGTCCGTAATTGGCTCGTGGAAGTCGAGAAGTTGAGAAGTTGAGAAGTGGAAGAGGGAGAGGGAGAGGGAGAGGGAGAGGGAGAGGGAGAAAATGCCACTCCCGAACATAGTTCTCTATAAGCATGATATAGTCCCCTATAGAAGGCTGAGCGTTAAAAGAATCGAGAAAGACTTGGAGATGAAAACAATCTAGGCAGGGGAGGGGACGAAAACGAAAGCGGACAGGGAACCTGCCAGTTTTTATTAATAAGCGTAGGGCCTAAGTCCAGCAGTATTCTGACTGATCTCCTTCCAAGTATGATCGATGCTGACCGCAGTCTGCCACTTACTCTCCGTTACCGCCGGCCTGGGTCCCTGGACGGTAACTTAGAACCTCCTTAACTCCTTCTTTGCGAGGGGAGCGTTCTCGGGCTGACGCCATCTACATGGCGCCCACGATATCCTGCCGCAGTCGATCTCCAACGTCGCCGGGCCAGAACGATCTTAACACCGTCAACTCCGGCTTGCGATCCGCACCGTAGCATTGAAGAGGGGACTTGAGATGCATGGTGGAGGGATCGAATCACACGTTCTCGCGGAGAAGTCGAACGGGGACGCCTGGCCATGGCCCTGCGCTGGATTGTCAGGGGATATTCGTGGTGAGACCGCCTCGTCAGATCGAACAAGACGGCGTTTGTCTCTGATTATAAAAGCAGGCCGACGGCTGACATCCAGGTTGTTTCTTCGGAATGAATAACTACCTACCAAACCATCAGAGTCGGCGCAGCCAGAAACCATCAAAACAGGAAAAGGACAAAGCAAAAGATACGACTCGTGTCAATTGCGTCATACCAACATTATCCTCATCGCCATGTCTCCGTTTGGATTCCACAGTCGCTGCGAGGATGTCGCTAAGGCCTTTGCCGACAAGATCAAGGGCCGCACATTCCTCATCACGGGCGTCTCCGAGAAGAGCATCGGGGCCAACCTCGCCTACGCCCTCGCCGCCGAGGCGCCGGCCCGCATCCTCCTGGTCGGCCGGAACAAGAGCAGGATCGACCCGGTGGTGCGGCGGATCGCGACGAACTATCCGGACGTAGTGGCGACCTTCGTGCCTTGCGACCTGACCGACTTCGACTCGGTGCGCGCGGCGGCGCGGCGGATCAACGAGGACGCGGCGATCCCGCGCGTCGACGTCGTCGTTAACAACGCCGGCGTCATGGCGCCGGTGAAGTACACGCTCGACAAGCAGGGCTACGAGCTCAGCCTGTCGGCGAACCACCTGGGGCACTTCCTGCTGACGGCGCTGCTGCTGCCCAAGATCGTGGCGGCGGCGCCGGGCGCCCGCGTCGTCAACGTGTCGAGCCGCGGCCACGCGGCCGGGCCGTTCCGCTTCGACGACTGGAACTTCTCGGGCGGCGCCGCGTACGACGGCTGGAGCGCGTACGGGCAGTCGAAAACGGCCAACATCCTGTTCTCGGCGGAGCTCGGCCGGCGGCTCGCGGGGGCCGGCATCCGCGCCTACGCCGTCCACCCGGGCGCCATCATCGGCACCGGCCTCGCCGACCACCTCGGCGAGGGCGAGTGGCAGGGCATCTACGAGGTCGCCCTGCGCAACACGGGCCATGAGTTCCCCGCCCTCAACGACCTCAAGGACCTGTCCGCCGGCACCGCGTCCCTCGCCGCCGCCGCCCTCGACCCGGACCTGGACGGCCAGTCCGGCGCCTACATCGTCGACTGCCAGGTCGCCCGGCCTCTCGAGCCGTACGCCGAAGACCCGGAGAACGCGCGCAAGCTGTGGGAGCTGAGCGAGGAGCTCGTCGGGCAGAAACTCGAACTCTGAGCGGCCTATCGGATGTGTGATAGAGACGGGAGGAGTATTCCTGTGGGGAGGGCAAAAGGGGGGGATTTAGGAAAATCGCAACCTTCTTTTGAGGAAACGGGGAGACGGGCATGCCACACACCCCGTCGCGATCTTTGTTAAATAGCGACGGGTCGGGCAGTCAAATCAATAATATTACGTGAGGCTCTACAGTCATCACCACTCACCAGGTAACACCGCTTTCTGCACCAGAGCACACCCGTAACACTGTTCGAGTATCTCCACTCACTCCGGCTGCTAGCCTACGGAGTCGCATAGCTATAACTGGGAAAAAACTCCACTTTTCGGTACGTATACCCTAGGGGTGTGGTAGGTAAGAAGGTGTAGGTTGAATATTTAATTATACGTAGGGAAGGAGCTACCCTCTGGTTAGGTCGGCTAATAGGTAAGCTAGGCTACCGCTTTACGAGCTACCCCTTTACGAGGTAAACGATTTATCCCTGTAAAAAACCGGGAAAAAATCAGAAAAATCGGAAATTTACTTACGTAATTAATTAGCTTCATTAAATCAACATATAAATTTTTTGGATTTTTCGCTTAGTAATATAAAAAGTTATATATAATTTTAGGTTCTTTAAAATTATATTAATAGTTTCTTATATAATTTATTAATAACCTTATTAACTATACTTATGTCGATATATATATCTATTTTTTTTACGGTAATAAAGTAGGTTTATTACTTAATACTTTATTTTATAAATAGAAAAATAATTAGTATTAAGTAATCTTATTTTTATTCTTTATTTTTATTTTTATTTAATTTATTATTTTAAGAAAATTACGTTTTTAAATAAGTTAAAACTTTTTAAAATTATACTTATTTTTATAGTAAGAATTTTACCTTTTCGATTGTCCTATTTTTTTATATAAAGAGGTTCTAAAAAAGAATACTAAAAATTTACGTTGTAAATACTTAATTAATTTAATAGAAATTAGAAAAATAAAAAGAAAAAAGTTTACGTAATCTTAATTATTATTTTATTTATAGTATAAAGGATTAGGTAATAAATTTACTTTATTATCGTAAAAGAAATAAGTTAAGAGGCTAATATAAAGTATAATTAATAGATTTATTAATAAATTATATGGTAAATTATTAATATAGTTTTAAAAAACCTTAAATCGTAAATAATTTCTTATATTAGTAACCGAAAAATCCGAAAAAATTATATGTTAATTTAATAAAGCTAATTAATTACGTAAGTAAATTTCCGATTTTTCTGATTTTTTCCCGGTTTTTTACAGGGATAAATCGTTTACCTCGTAAAGGGGTAGCTCGTAAAGCGGTAGCCTATAACTTTATTCGTATATATATAAGCTATTACGAATATAATATCAAGCTATCGGGGACTTGCATTAAATATATATACCTCCTCCCATTAGGGGCGTATGTGTAGACGATAAAACTGGGGCGTTCGACCGAAAAGTGGAGTTTTTTCCCAGTTGTAGCTATGCGACTCCGTACTGGCCTAGGCAACTCCTAGCCGAGTACGCAGCATCGACGCCACACAAAATAAGCTAGGGCCATCGTCGAGGTAGCCCTGCCCTCCCGTATTGTTATCCCCAATTGATTCCGATTTCGTGAAAGAGCCGACTAGCTGGCCGGTCTCCCTTTAAGACTAACTGTGTGTATAGTAGCTCGTTGTTCTGGGGGAGATCGGTGACCGCATCTAGCTGTCTCACAGAACCGCTGCATTCACCGGGTCCGTTTGCTTCTCACCGTGGATGATTCCAATTCTGATTACGTTTGCCGCCTCTTTAAAACTCCCGCGATTAAATACAACACTCGTTTGGTACACCATCACAATCAAGGCCGGGGGATTCTCATCGCGCAAGCTGGCCAGGGCCTTTTTTCTGCTTTTTGTATGATACAATGTGCCGGTTACCCAGACGCCGGGAAAGCACTCCTGTCTAACATTCCTGCTGATGTTGACGTCGGCCCCCATCAGTTGTACTCTGCGTCGCAGCTGGTCGAGAGTCGCAGTGATCAGTCACCGCGCCGTCTCTCCCGGCCCCGAGACTCGTCTAGCTGGAGAATCGCCGGGTGATCTTGGCAATGACTGGCCAAGTTATTAGCAATGGCGCCGTGTGGGCGATGGGATATTGGGGGTAGCACGTACTGTGTAAGGCAACGACGCTAAAGATGAAAACCAGAGAGAGCACAAGGACGACGACAGGATCAACCTTCAGGCCGGGGGACTCGTCCGTGTAAAGCTCTAGAGGCAGACCTTAGTTAGTAACACATTACGCGACGGAGCATTGGAGTGCCCTCGCCCTTGACATACTCAGCATCGTGCTACTGCTCCCGCCGACGCCGGCGGCCCGGGTGCTGTTCGGCCGCGCATTGGCGATCTTCTCCTTCTGATCGGCGGCGGCTCTCCGTCGGATGGCAGTTCGCGCGCCTCCCGGGGGGGCGGGAGACGAGGGACGGGCGGTGCTGATGGCGGAAGACGCCGGCGAATTGACGGGGGAGGACGGGCGGGGGGAAGACTATATAGGAGTCCCGGTGGTTAGCGCGATTGCGAAGTTAAAGGGGGCAAGGAACTAGACGCGAGCGACACCCAGCTCGCGCGCCGTCGTGGCTGTCGAGGTTCCGAATGGCGAAATGGATGCGGCGTGGAGAAATGAACAACATACCATGGTGAAAGCGGAAGACGGCGGAAAGAAATCAGGAATACAAACTACGCCTCCTCGTACGTGGTGGTCCTGGTAAGGGCTGTGGTGAGCAGAAATGAAAATGAATGGGAGAAGAAGATGAAGTCGCGTGTGCAGGTGATGTAGAAGGGCGTCCGGGTCCGTAGGTGGTAGGAAATCCGGGGTGCAATTGAGGCCACGATTTTGGAAAGCTCCTTTGCGATGCACGCCAAGCCATGGCTTACCTAAGGCCTACATCGCTTGGCTGATGGCGGAGTATCTCTTTGTCCGGTGTCCCGATATGCGGGAGTGCTTGCCCAGGCCGGTTTCGTGTATCAGACTTAGGTAATTGCCGGCATGCCTTGGGCAAATCGACCCTATCGCGTGCCTGCCAAGGCGTCAAGCCACATGCGGGCGCCCCACCAGCGGTGCCCAACGCGAGGCGGTACCTCGGTAAGGTACCTATGTACGAGGTATCTGTAAGATACGCGACAGTGCCTGTAGGTACCCGGTACCTCCATAACCGGCCAGACGGGCGACGGCTGTGGCTTGGCCTCGCTCACTCTGCGGGGCCACGCAGGTCTGCCCCACTTGGATTCCCGTCCATCGGCACCCGGAAAAGGCACCTAACCAGGTTATCGAAACCTGCTCCCAAATGCCTGACCCCACCAGACTTCCCCATCTCGACCTGCTTCCGCTGCCTCATCATCCAACCCTGCTTCGATTCTTCCATACCCCTCTATTTCCTCCTCCCTCCCTACGACGCTTCGCTACCACGCATCGTGATGTATGTGGGGGGTGACGCATCCTGCTACTGGCGCGCCGCACGCTGCGACACCGAACACACAAGGCGCTAGGTAGCCAATGATCTGAGTCATTTTATCTCTGGTTCTTTTTCGTCCTCTTCTTCTGCCATTGATGTCTCCGGATAAGACAGCATTAGGAGGAATACTATAGAGGTGAGAGGTCCAGACCGACACACGACGCCATACCTACATTAATCTGCCTGGCAAGGCTCAGCGCCCAGGACTATACCCTTGATACCCCCCCCCCCCCCTCCCCCCAAAAGCAAACAGTGAGCCCACTCGTTTTTCCAAGCCAGGAAAAATCGACTGGCTCGATCTCGAGATTATCACAACACGATTAATCGCTCTTATATACTCATAAACACTTTCTCCTCCCCTAACTCACCTCTCGCCCTTTTTCTACGGCCCCAGGACCACAGCCGGCATGGATTTCAACTGGTCTACGCCCTTTCCCGAGGGAGTCATCTCCTTCCTCGATACCGATCTATACAAGCTGACCATGCAATGCGCTGTCTTGAAATACTATCCACATGTACCTGTCACCTATGCCTTCACAAACCGCACCCCAGAGAAGAAGCTGTCGCGCAGAGCTTTTGTGTGGCTCTGTGAGCAGATCGGCAGTGAGTCCCCAATGACCAGTCCCTCCTGCGCATTCTGATTTACCACTGTCTGACTCCGCGCCGCAGAGCTTGGCAACATTTCGTTATCCGAGGAGGAGCTCCGCTACTTGCAGACGCATTGCAAGTATCTCCCGGCTTCCTATCTTGGGTTCCTCAAGGAATTCCGACTGAAGCCGCGCGATCAACTAGTCCCGACTTTCACCCCCATAGGCCGGGGCACCGGAGCCGCCGACGAGTTGGGTGATGTCCACATAGACATTCGCGGCAAATGGGTGGACACGATTCTGTATGAGATCCCGCTCCTCGCCCTGACATCCGAGGCCTATTTCAAGTTTATGGACCGGGATTGGAACTACGACGACCAGGAGGACAAGGCATACCGCAAGGGCATAAGACTCCTAGAAGCTGGATGTATCCTCTCCGAATTTGGTACTCGGAGACGGCGCGACTATCATACACAGGCCTTGGTATTTAGAGGCTTGGTAAAGGCCAGTAGGGATGCGCAAGCGCGCGGTTTGGCGGGACGGCTCTCGGGAACTAGCAATGTCCATCTAGCGATGCGATTCAACCTACCACCGGTGGGAACCGTTGCGCACGAGTGGTTCATGGGTATCGCAGCCATAACAAACGATTACAGGCGGGCGTCCGAGGAGGCGCTGCGTCGTTGGGTCGGCTGCTTTGGTGAGGGCGTGCTAGGAATCGCGCTAACCGACACCTTCGGCACGCCGGCATTCTTGAGAGCGTTCAGCAAGCATATTGAGTATATGCCGGGCACTCCTAACATACCCCCTTTGAAAGACGGCACTAAACCTACGACGTCACCTCGGACGTATGCCGAGATCTACACTGGCGTCCGTCAAGACTCGGGCGATCCCGCCGATTTTGTGAAGTTGATGCGCGAGTTCTACGAGAGCCAGGGGATCAAGGACAAGAAGACCATCGTTTTCTCCGACTCGCTTGACATCGAAAAATGCATCGAGTACAAGCGAGTATCCGAAGAATACGGCTTCCAGCCCTCCTTTGGTATTGGCACCTACTTGACAAACGATTTCGTTCAGCTGAGCACGGGGAAGAAATCCATACCGCTCAACATCGTGATCAAGCTCAGCTCCGCCGGCGGAAACCCGGCTATCAAGATCAGCGATAACGTTGGCAAAAACACCGGCAACCAGGCGAAGGTCGAGGAGGTTAAGAAACTGCTGGGTTACGTCGAGAAAGACTGGGAAGGGGGAGACGAAACGGCGAGGTGGGGCAAGGCAGACGACGCTGTCTAGCCGTGAAGGGGTCGGCGCGGCGGGCAGTATAAACACAGTAAACGAGGCCATCGAGTCAGCTGCTATTGAACTAGTTGGTGGTTTTGCTTTGAAAGTCATAGTGAGCCGCAAATGAACATTTTTATTGCACCGCGCCCTGACCGCCGTCCCCCACTGACCATGCACTTATTGTTGTAGGGTGAAGACTTTATTCATACGTATCTGGACGCTGCTAGGTTAATAGGCCACCGCCATAGTTAAGAGAAGGACTTAATAGAGAGAGGTGCTATCGAGTTGAGTCGAGACAAGCTTAGCAGCAACGCAACTCGTCGTGGCATCCGCCTGGTGCGATACGCGTGGCAACGATTGTGGTCTAGACACTATTACCTATATGACGGCACTCTTTATCCCGCTCCCGCCTACCGCTGCCTCCCTTGCCGTCATAACAACCCGCTCCTCTCCGCGCTTCGCCTCGCCCTCCCGTCCCGGCATCCGTCACGGCACCCGCTGCGCTTCGCTGCCAACCTCGCCCTCGCCGACTGCGTCAAGTGCAACCAAAACATTAGACTCCCCTCTCCTCCTCTAGCACAGCGCCAGGAGCCGAGCGGGATGTCCCGGCCGCCACTACGTCTTAGAGGCTCTTCTACACCGTACCGCTATTACAAGGCAAAAGACACCGCCTATGTATGCTCTGCGGAAACACCAGCGGGAGAAAGGAGCGCAGCGGAGAATCCCGAGAACTGCTAGAAGCAAAGGCGAGACGACTACCTACTCCCGCGTAGAAAGCCCTACACGGCCCTCCCTAATCCACCAGCGTGGGTGTCGCGGTTGGGAGCTCGACTTCTGAGAGGTCTCATGCTTTCACAGATGTGTCCCAAAAGTCGATGGATATACAAACGAATATATCCAATGATAGAAGAAGGGGACAGTAGGGAAAGGTAATTTCTATGTGAAATAAATGAAAAGTATATTACGCTTTAAGTTTGCCGGTTTCATGCAGACGCCTCTTCTCGTATTCCCCCCTCTGCCTCTCCCTTATCCCCTACACGTCTTCTTGTTTTAGGGGGGTCCGTATTATTTTCTGGGTGATATCGGGTTGTACTCCTATCGTCGTGATATATAATAACAACGAAGGCTTAGACGGCGAGCGCAGGTATAGTCAGTCCAGTCGGGTTTGTGGGATTGATCAAGTCAACGAGCCATTTCCCTTCTGTAACATAGGGATCAGCCCTTATACTCTTACGTGACACATTCTAATGCGCATATCTGGGTGACTGAACGGATTTCGCGTGTCTTGGGCACTGCTTACCTGACATTAGGCTTTGGGTTATCCCTTTTCAATGAGGCTTAGGAGGGTATATCTGGCCGTGAACAGCTCGGAGGATATCTGGTTCACGTTCGCCGCGCAATGGGTGCCTTAATACAGCTTATTGTCTAGTTGTCCATACAATATACTCAATATACTTACACTTTTACTCCTCAGCTTCTCTCCGTCCCTCAGAACCGTCGTCTCGGGCGCCTCAGATTTGCCTCTGGGGATCGCCTCTGAGAGGAGCTGGAGGTTAGGCACGGCACAGGGGCAGGAAACTGGCCACGCCTGGCTTATTCGCGTATCGCGCTGCGGTAACTACGACATCATACTGATTGGGTCACGGCCTTGTTATTAAGGTATCCTGGTAATACCTTGCGCAGGCTTTTCCGTTTTAAATCCGGCACGGCCACGGATGACGCTTGCTTGAAGGCGAGTCGGATGGCCAGCCAGCTACCAGCCAGACCTACTAAGATGGTGGTATTAACGAGAGCCCGCAGAGGAGCGAGACTCGTGACGCAAAAATGAGACCACGGCCGAGGAACGAGTTTGTCGGCACATGTTTACAAGGGCTCTTCACGACACGGATTTCGTGAGCACGACCTATTGTCCGCAGATCGTGCCGCCAAACTTCGAGCACAGAGAGTATTTGACCTTCTTTTGTAAAGAGAAATTACGTGCCGAGGAGAGAGGTCCGCGGAAGCGAGAGGGCGAAGGGGCGGGTGAGGAGATAGATGAAGACCCAATGTTATACTTGGGTCAAGGTAACTCACGACCTCGAGGCATCTGGTGAGGACTTCATTCTGTCAGGGTATTGTAGGTACATCTCGGGCGGTGCCGACGGTGGAGTACGTGAAAAAGAGGGGGGATGGATATCGTTGGGCGGGGTAGCTTGTCGTCGCGTACCTATAGGTAGGTAGGTAGGTACCTTAGGTGTCTGCTCTGCGCTGTACTGATAGGTACCCGACAACCCCCGCATCCCCGCCGCGTCAACTGCTCTACCTACCTGATGGAAGGTACCCAAGGTACCTACCTAGGTGAAAGTACCTGACCTTATGTAAGGTACACGCGCACTCCCCGCCCGGCTAGCCACTCCGCGAGCTCTCCTCCTCGGCCTCCCTTTCGCCACGCTGACGTCTGCCGCTCTCTACCTTAGGCACCTAGCTATAGGGCTATACACGCAGAGCGTAGAGCTATAGCACGCTGCGCTGAGTCTGGATACATCGTGGGTTTCCCTTCTCTCGCCTTGATCGCGTTTATCTCTCCCTTCCTACAACAACCGCAGCCGGCCGTGCTCTCATCTCAGCACCGCATCGCCCTCGCTGTCTCGGCCTCTCTCTTACTGGCCCCTCGCATCCGCGCAAGCCCTACCCCTTTCCTTTCGTTGACCCACCACGGCGACTCATCCGTCTAGGTAGGTGATTTCTTCTCCTTTCACTTTCCGCGTTGTGCCGTATCCGCGCGCGGTGCAGCTGCATGGAGGATGAGCCGACGTGACGGCGGAATAGTTCAGTCTGTCCTCCTTCGGCCTTGGTGTCTCTCGGGACGACACTCCCCATAAAAACACGGATATATGCCTGGCGCTCGAATGGCCGAAGCTGACGCGGCATGTAGTATATATACTCTCCCGTGATGTCGGCCAGCGCTATGCCCGATAGTCTTGCTAGGGCACCACGCCGCCGCAAGCCAACGAAGACCTGGCTCATCGAGGAGAACGTGAGGCTCCTCTTCCTTATCATGCATGGGTATGACCGCCACATAACGGTCAAGGGGTGGAAAGCTATCGGCGACAAGGCCCAGATCGTTTTCAACGGGAAGTACACCGAGTCGGCGGTCAGGTAAGCGTGACGTCTTTCCTTCTTCGCTCGAATCCGATCGGGAGCCGTCCAGGCGCTGGACCTCGGAAGTCTAACTCTCACCCCTAGGCAGCAGTTCCGGAAGCTGCGCCGAAAGTTCTTCAACGATTACGGCGACAAGATCGGCTACGGCAACAAGGCCGAAGTCGACAATGAGCCCATCCCCAAGACCCGCAAGGCCCGCAAGACTCCTAAGACTGCGGTCCTCGCTGGCCGGGAGCCCTCTGTCGTAATCATAGACGACGACAGTGATGAGGACTCTAGCGGCGAGGGCCAGAGCGACGCGCCAGAGGCAAAGAGGGCCCGAATTGCGCTACCGGAAGCCAATGACGACGATGCGCCCGCTCCCGTTCCCGACCCTGACCCTGACCCTGACCCCGAGGTCAGGCCCGAGCCCGAGATCGTGTCCGACCCTGAACCGAAGCCTAAGACTGAGACTGAAACCGAGCCCCAACCCGAGCACTGGCATCAGGATGAGCTCGTGCATCGGCATCAGCATCAGCATCAGCATCGGCATCAATATCCGCATCAGTATCGGCATGAGCCTGAACGCGGCACCGACGGGAAGGAGTATTCTAGCGACTCTAGCGACTCTAGCGACTCTAGCGACTTAGACGGCGTCATCTAAGAGTCGTCTTGGAACCGCCGCGGCTTCAGGATCCCAGGACCCCGAGAAGGCCAGAAGGTCGTAGAAAGTAAAAAGTCGAAAGATAATCTGAAAGCATTATTTTGAAACAGATGCCCGGTTCGGCAGGCAGCCATCTCTGCAAGGTAGCTGCAAGCTAGATGTACGAAAAGGGGAAAAAGAAACGACGATAAAAAAAAGGAAAAGCTCGTAGACGTCTCGAAATCAAGATGGATTAGGTTGACGACCAAATAGGAATCCGAGGGCGACGATCCCGAGTCGGTATGATCCAATGGTTAGGACCGGGGGGTAGAGGGTGGTTCGCGAGCTGAACATCCAAGTCACGCGTGCGGGTCGGGATGTAGGAGACCGTCCTGTTTTGCCAGCTTGTAAACACGCCCATGTCCCCTTATTATTGCGCAACGAGATGCAGGCGTCTTCGCCTGAAATCCTTCCGTATGTAGGGGTCCTTAGGAGATTTCTCGCGTGGATGCGTGTGCGCGTGCGCGCGTGTGACTGGACGAGTCTATTCGCAACGTGTATAGAGAGAGAGAGAGAGAGAGAGAGAGAGAGAGAGAGAGAGAGAGGAGAGAGAGAGGAGAGAGAGGGAGGGAAACGGAGGCGAGGAGAGAGGAGAGATGTTTTTTGAGGGTCCATCCCACGCTGCAGGGAGCTTTCTCCCGTGTGCCTCGACAACATTGGCCCGTCCAACGGTCGCGATATGCTGGGGCCAGAACTGGCCGGTGCTGGGTCCCCTCCTCTCTCCCCTTGTGGCCCGCTCCGCGCCTAGTTTTTGTCCCGAGCACACCATCACCGTGACCGTGACCCTCCCCGAACGGCCTGTCGCCTTACCAATCGTCGCCATGTTCTGGGCGTCCGTCCTCCTTACTCTCCTTCCGCAACGGGACGCTAGCTGTGCCGCGATTTGCCTATGTGGGCGAGGATGGACGAGTCAGAGAGAGAGAGGGAGAACTATGGCTCACAACACTTATACAAATCAGCTATAGACCGATTTTCTCTCTGCCTCTCCCTCCCTCCCTCTGTCTCCGTCTCTTTCGACATTAGTTCGTATCGTTTCCCCCACCACTACCACCACGATCGCTACGACCACGACCACGACTACCAACCGCTACTACCACGACTACCGCCACTACCACCTCCTCCTCCTCCTCCCTCTCCGCCCTCTTCCATGTGACTCAGCGATATCGCTTCACCCCGTCCCTTGCGGGACCTAGAGTAAGCAAGCTCAAGCTAAGAACTTGGCTATCCGTCGCCGTAACGCATGTGAAAGAAAGACAAAACAAAAAAACCTCGTCACCTCGCTGTCCAGACCACAACGATCTCTGGTTCACACGGCAGCTAGTGCTAGCCGCTTTCTTCTAGAATGAAACAGGGGAGCCAGCGAAGTGGTCCCCTTGGGTGAGGCTTTAAGTGCGGCTCTCGCCAATGCCAGATATCCAAGCAGGCCTCGCGATCCCTAGCGTGGAGGGCGTGTGATAGGAATCCGAGGACTCCCGCTTCTCATCTTCTCGCTTCCCTACCCTCCCCTTCCTTCTAGCCGAAGCGGGCGTGCTATAACACTCGACCGGCGTAACAAGGTCTCGATTACCCGAGTAGTCGGCGATTCCTTAGTTGTCTTTTGCCCCTATCGACCCGCCCCACGAAGATCCCTCCCCCCACCTCCTAGGACCCCGGGGCAGACGTCGCCCACGTCGCCAAGTTCGCCGGGCCTGAGACGTGTAGTATCGTTATGTCTTAATCCTAACTGCTCTAGACGGATACCCGGTAAGGCTGATGGACGGGAGATAACCAAAGGCGCAAAGGCCGTCGAACCTATCTCTTGAGTCGGCAGTAGCGTCGGCAGTGATGAAAGGGGGCAACCCAATCTCTTTCTCGAACACGTCCTAGTTTCAAGCTGCTCCTCCCGCGCCCGTCCAGGTGTGAGTCAGCTCCCCGACCCGTGTCGGCGACTACTCATGCCCGACTGGATAGAGAGGAATCCTCTTTCCAAGGGTTTCTTCTCCTCAACGGAATCCTGTTCCGTTCTTGCTGTCCGCCTGGAGACTAGGTAGACCCGGGGGTTCCTAGATGCCCATGCACACATATCTTTCGAGAGCGCGCGCGAGACGGGCCTTGCTCCGATGGGTTGCCTCCCGGTCCGGTTTCAATATTAAACAAGTGTCAAGTATTGCCCGGCAGGCACCAGCCAGTCCCCCCAGCCGCGCCTCCGGGGAATTTCCACGACGCAGGCGATCGATCGACCAGGACAAGCCTGGTATGCCTCATCCAGTGTGCCGCCTCTGCCACGCCGGGCGACGTCGCCACCAACGTTCGACTGGCTGCAGGGAGCTTCCTATTTCTCCGTGTCGAGGCGGCCTAGAATCACGGCATGGACCTAGCAGCCGCAGTCGCAGCCTTAGCCCAGCGACCAGGCCTTCGACATCGTGATCCACGAGCTCCGTGTGGTCGTACAAGATACTGACAGGCACCGACCCTGTGCAAAAAAAGAGACGGATAATTATAGAGGAAAGTCGACATCCGAGCCCGCAATTCGACAGATATCTTGCGTAGTCCGTGGTCTCTCTCTCGCCATCCTCTCTAGCCCAGCTACCTATTCCGGACGGGGGGTCTACCCCCCCTTCCGACCCCCCCTTTTTTCTTCTCACTTGCCTCCCTTGATCTAGACACATCGCGTCTGTGCTACTCCATGATAGAGAAATTTTTTTTCCCCCATGCTCCCCTAGGGGGAGGACCAAGCGAGAAAGGGTGCAAGAACAAGTGTCATCTTAGCAGGTATCATTCGGGCAGGTAAGAGGCTATCACGTAGGTAGGGATTACGTATCGTAACACGTTGATTGTCCTCCCGCGGGAGTGTCGGATAGGCGAGCCCGTCCGTCTAGACCATCGCGGGGGACCAAGGCCGTCACGGTTCCCTCGCCCTGTATGGATCGCTTCCGAGGTTGACGTCGAGGACATTCGTAGCCCCAACCAGCTCTCCGTGCTTCGTAGCGGTCTCGCGGTCTGCTTTTCGCCGTCTTCGCCGTTCGCCTTCTCCTGCTTCGGGAACTCGCTGCACGGGCCGGCCAGTGCCCGCCCGAGGTGCCAGATGACGAGGACGAGCAGCAAGGGCAGGCGATCCATCGCGTGGGAGGTATGCCTCGTGGGGCGGAATCGGGCTCGAAGGCGTAATCCCTCCCGCACATTCTGCAATACGGTATATGATTCGAAGCTATAGCGTAGCATCATGGTCAATACTCCCCGCGTACGCGTGTGTTGCGTGCGTGGTGTAAGAGCCGGGGGGGGAGGGTAGCAGGGGAGGGGGGAAGCGGGCAGGGGGGCGGGCGGAATGGACCTTATCGTATAGCAACGCACCGTTATGAGCGCCAAGACGACGTAAAGGGCAATCTGCAGCGGTCTCCAATCCCTTGCGTTCTGATGGCCGGGCGCCAAGACACTGCTGCCGCTGCCGCTGTCGCCGTCAGGGGTTGGCAGTGGTGGCAGTGGTGTTAGGGGTGCTGCGGCCCCCACGGCCGCAGCGCGCCGGTGGAATGTGACTGCGAAGGGCGAGGGCGAGCAGGACGACGAGCTGCTGGAGGCCTAGGCCGGCGAGGGCAAACGTCGACGCCGATCTAGACGGCCGCGGCGCCGGCGCCGGGGCGAGGCCCATGGTGCCGCCGACGCCATGGACGACGAGGGCGACGGGCGCCGGGCTGGCGCGCGTGCCTGCCGGCTAGTCGAGCCAGGCCAGCCGCACGAGCGTCGTGGACGCGGACGCGTCGACCCGCAGCAGGAACAGCAGCACCTGCGTCGCCGGCTGCGTGCGGGCGTCTCCCACGCGCCGCCAGCACCCATGCGATGCGCAGGGCGTCGCCTCCCGTGGCCGCGGGCCGTGTTTCATCGGCCGAGACGAAAGAAGGCACAAGAACCAAGAACAAGGAAGGCCAGAGAGAGGAGGGGGAAAAAAAATAAAAATAAACACGAGCGTAAAGGGCGAGGGCGACGAGCTGCCGCGCGAGGCGAGGATGAGGCGGCCGCAGCCGCCTACCTGCCCCTTGCAGCTGCAATCTCCTGATATCTGTATATCTCCTGACCTGGCCCCTGACTCGCTTCAGCCGTGCCAGACAGGCAGGTCGAGCCCTTTGCGCAGCTGAGTCTCTCTCTATCCTCCCCACTTGCCCCCCTAGTAGACTACCTACGTACAGCTTACATACCTTGCGACGGCGGCGACGAGGTGTGCCGCGAGCTGCGGGTCGTGCGCAGTCGCGGCAGGCAAGACGTCGCAGGCGTGGGCCGGCACGTGGGCGGCGGCGGGCCCGGCGGCCAGTCCCAGTCGTCGTCGTCGCGCGCGCGCAAAGCAAGCAGCGGCTTCGCGACCGCCGGCGCGGGCCGGGCCGGGCCGGCCGCGGAGGCGCCGCATCCTCGTCGCCGCGATCGTCGTGCGCTCTGCTGGACCTCGGCTGACGGGATCAGGCTGGGAGGGGAAAAGAGGGGGAGGGCGAGGGCGAGCCTCGGAAAGGGTCTCCCGGCGGTCGGCGGCGTCGCGGCCTTCACTCTCTTTGCCTCAACCTTGCCCCTCCCTATCTCTCTCTCTCTCTCTCGCTATCTTTCCGTAAATGTATGTAAGATTCGAGATAGGTGTCATGCATTATTCCAGAGATTCCCGTCTTTTTCTTTTCTTCTTCTCCTTCCTCTTCTTTTTCCTTCTTCTCTTGCCCTCGCCGTCTGTTACTGTTCGCGCTTCCTCCTTCGAAGAAAGGCAAGTCTCAGCGAGGCTCAAGTTGCGGTGAATCAATAGGGCCAGCAGGGGTGAGTGTGAAAAAAAAAAACAAAACAATAGATCAACAGCTGGCGTATGTGTGCGATCGTGACACGAAGATGATATTCGAGATGTCGTGTCGCCCGAAGAAGGGGGCGACTCGGGGACCGACTGGCTGTCGACTCGGGACCCGGCTCGGAACAGCGAATCGTCTCAACAGAAGGGCACCGTGGCTTACAGGCAGCAGCAGCAGCAGCTCGGGATTGGGATTTGGAGATTGGAGAAGAGACTAGAGGGCGACGGGACGCGAGTAGCGTATCGAGGAGAGCTTCTCCGCGTGGTCTGGGTCGGGTCGGGTCGGGTCTGGCCTGGCCTGGCCTGGGCGGATGGGATTTGCTCTGCTCTGCCCGTCCATCTATCGACGGCGTCTGCACGTCGGGGCAGCTTTGGTCGCCACCGCCAGCTACATATACCCCAAGACGGGAACTTCCTGTGTTGGGACGGACCTACGCAATCGTGCGCGGCTGGAGATAGCCTCAATGCGTCGAACGAGCCCTGCTCGAGGCAGTGTCGCGCCTAGACCCGTGGAGCACTATATGAAAAGCCGGGGTTTAGAGCCTCACGAACGTAGGTATATTAAGTGCCACCTCCACGTGTGCTCTCAGCGGTATGCTGTACGATTCCGCCTCTGCGCCGCGTTGGGCAGCATTGCGTAGCAGTTCGCGCCTCTGCGCACGGGGACATTATCGATCGTAGCTTGTCTCTCTCTATCTCTCTCTATCTCTCTCTCTCTCTCTCTCGTCTCCTCTCGCTCTCTCTCCTCCGACCCTCTCCCTCTCGGTATAGCGTGGCGAGATAGCGTGAGGGGGGGAGATCAAGCCTCGCAACGCCTCGTAGGGCCCGATTCGCCTCCTCGCGTGGCCCTTTGAGGCTCACACTCTGCAAGCATTGGCTTCACCGTGCAAGACAATAAGATGCTGACGAATCTGCGGGTCGAGTCCGTCTCCTCTTCCCCCCCCCCCCCCCCCCCCCCGGCCCCCGGTCAGCCAACCCCCTCCCCCTTGCCAGAGAGTGCATGTAGATCTCGCTGTAGACCCGGCTGGAGACCAGACGATCATACGCCGCCGGCCGCTAGCGTGCGGTGATACTGCAGCGACTTTAGTTCTTTGTACGTATTCTCTACGACGGATTCCGTGCAGTTCTGGGTGCGTGGGCCGTGTTGCTGCGCGGGCGAGGTGGTTCGTAACCTGGATTTTCCTCAACACACGCCATCGCCCTCTGCCTGGCCTTCTGCGCATCAATGCAGGCGGGTTCGGATTGCTGCGATGTACCTACATGTGAAGACGATGTCCGCTCGTGCGTGCCGCCGTTGTCGAGATGCGTTTTCAATCATCTGCAGCCCTGGTTCTACGAGCGAATCCTGATTCCCCACGAGTCGCGCTGAGACTTGCCTATGCTGAGCCGCGTGGCGCTCGAGGGCGAGAAAAAGCAGTGCGTAGATATGTAGATTCATACTGGGAACGATGAGGAGAAGGAGAACGTCGACGGCCGTCGACATACCGTGCGGTAACCACGCAGGGTCTTCTCTCTCTCTCTTTTTCTTTTCCCTTTTTTCTTTTTCTCTTTTCCCTTCGTCTACGTCTCCACCACCCTCCTTTTCTCGCCCTGTATGCGGTTTCGTCCGTCTCTTTTCTTTTTCTCCTCTTCCCGTCTTCTTCTCGAAGGAGAGAACAACACTCTTACTGTTCTCTAGGACTGCGCTGCATGGCTATTGGCGACGGAAGAGTCGAGCGGGATGGAATCGGGATGCGACGAAGATCACAGAGAGAGGAGAATCCCACCCTGACCAAGACAAGGTACAGATGTACCCCCCTCTCCTCCGTTCCCTGCCCCCCTCTCTTCTCTTCCTTGACCCCTGGACAGAAGAGACTCTCTTCAGGGGGTCGGTTCGCTTGTGGTTGGGTTATGCCAAGCTTCGTCGTGGCCCCCCTGGTCTCGTCTCCCAATCAAGTGCCTTCGTCTGGTCGAATACACCGTTCTCGCTGGATGATGCCGTGGGATTTCTAGGTAATCCTGGGCTCCATCTAGCCACACCTATTTCTCGTTACCTTCTCGTTACAGTTCACCTCGCATCTGTCTCCCGGGCTCATGATAAAGTCACAGCTATGCATTACGCTCGCGGGCTAACTGGCTAGCCGGCTGACTGGTTCATACGTCTCCCTTACCCGTCCCCCCCCCCCTTCCTCTTCATCACACATCGCGGTGTGGCGGTTGCCGGACCCAGAGCTTCTTTCGCCATCTATCTCTGAAGGTGCCTCGGCTGGTGACCCCCCCACTTGGTACCATCTCCTCTCTCGTTCCCTCTCCCCTTCTCCCTCTCTCTCCATGTCGCCCTCCGAACCGGAAGTGTTTCGGGCTCTCGTGGCCGGGGTGCGGGAAATAGAGAGGGATTGAGGGGGAAGAGAGTGCGCGAGAACGCGAGGTTTCGCGAACCCTCCTCGGCCAGGTTCCCTCCTTGCCTGCAACCCACCAGCCGGAGGGTAGGTGGACAGAAAGGCACGCTTGTGCATTGCATTCGCCGTGCTAAGCGAGTGGCACGCAGGAGCCGTCGACGACCTATCGTCTATGTCTTGTCGAAGCTCTCGGCTGGCTTCTAGAAGACGCATGTTCTCGAAGAAACCCGCCGAGGGTGCTAGAGTGCCCGCCTCAAGTTACGGAAGAGCGTCGTCACCCACTCTTGGCCTCACGAGGGGAGAAAAAAGAAGAAGGCAAAGGAACACCGGGAACAGCGCGATGCCTTCCGGATTTGGGAAGTGCCATTTTCGAGTTGCGAGATTGCGTACGGCTACGGTATGCCTCGCAGAGGAAGAGCTATTTCTCGAGAGGAGCCCAAGAGGACGGCAACATAACAACGTCCGGGAATGCGAGTCTGCCCTGTTCTCGAAGCTGGGACGAGAGATTCCGGCTCGACTTCTAACTCGTCGCGGCTGGCAGTGCCCCTTTTCCTCCCACCCTTCCCCGGACGATAAGTCGCGCTACCATATCACCCGGCTTGTCGGAGGACCCTGAATTCCCTTTCTCTCTCTCCATATACCGACGTCCATCACACCTTGACGAGAAACCCTGCTGCAGATCCGCTGAACACCTACGAGAGGGCAGCAGTTCTATGTACTACAGTCGTAGCCGTGTCTGAACTGATATGTGACCAATGCCAGCCAGTACGTACCAGAGCTGACCTCCCCGGATGCTTGGAGACGGGATCTTATGCTTCTGATTAGAAGATTGATTGCTCTCGTGCTTTGCCGAGAGTCTGTCATCTATTTCCGAGCTCCCGGTAACCTGCCCCGTTTGCTACTATGCAAACGCATCGATCCCCCCCGGGGGGGCCGCGGGCGGCCGGGCGAGCGAGAGAGCGGCCAGCACGTTTCCCTCGCCCCCCTCCCCCCTCCCCCTCCACTCGCTCCCCGCTGCCTCGCTCCGATACTGGACATCCTGGTCCTCGGGGCAGGCAGGTCTCGCGTAATTGGTGTGGACGGGAAGAGTAGAGGTACCTAGCACTTGCAGATCTCATTACAAATGACATGGGAGAAGGGGGGAGGGGGAGGGGGGCAGCGCGGGAGAGCGACAGAGACTGAGAGAACGGAGACTTCTTCTTAGCGATCTCCGGACCCGGACGCATCGCAGCTCGGGGGCACCAGGTGTGGGAGCGCAGCCGGTGTGCACCCTTTGGTCGTCATCGTTCTGCCTCGGTCGACCCCAACCCAGGCCGTCCGAGGAGATGATACTGGCCATGCTCGCTTGTGTGCACCTGCACGGGGTTTTCTGACTCGCGCTATTCGAGTTGGGACCAACCCGAAGCTGAGCCGTCGCTGGTTCTCGTAGCTGTATTCGGCTGTATCCGAGTCGATCATTTCCGCTGACAGGGCCCCTTCTGGTTTCCTATCAGTTACCTGCCTACCCGTAGATTGTGACCACGAGCTTCGTATGCCCGTTCGCTCGTGTATATGTATGCAGTGTAAGGAGGCATGTAAGCATGTAATGCACGTCTGGTACCGTAGCCATGAAGCGTCACCCTTGGCTCGTGCCGGGTAGCAGATTTGGGAATATCCTGCCACCACGCTGCGTCATAGAAGGCGAGAGGCGAGCGGGGGCGAGTGTCAGAGCAGGCAGCGTTCTTCCTGTTCTTCTTGTTGTTCTCGATCTTCTTCCTCGGCTCTCGTCCTCTGCCTCTTCCCATTCTCCTGACCGCACCGAGCGGGCCGTAAGTATATAATTGGTACGGCCTAGGCTCGTGAGCGACCTGAATAACGTCAGCGGCTTCTGCGTATGGGAGGAAACGGAAAAAGGAAAATTAAGGGACTTTGCTGCCGTCGTAATGGTGGCGTCTTGCCATGGGAATGTGGGCCTGGGCAACACACTCTATTCCCCATCGCCGTGTCGTGCACGCCCAGGCCTATGGCAGAAATTATGGAGGAGGATTGTAGTTCTGACAGGCATGATAGAGATGAACGACATGGGGTGTCTGGACCAATGAGGCCGGCACACTGATCACGACCCCGGCCGGGCGTGGGCAGGCCCCGATACGCTCTCCATGGTGGCCGTGGTGGTGCCCGTCCTTCCCACCGTCTATACTCGAACAGGAAGGCCTGATCGTCCAAGGCATATGACGTGCAGAATCTCCTGTCTCAGTCGAGATTTGAATTGCTCGACGAGATAGAGAGACGCCTACTCAGTGGGAATTGTGTTATCAAACAGATCACCACTACTGCTGCTACCACCACCACCACCACCACCACCACTACCATCACTACCATAGGCACTACTACCCTCCTGCTGCCTGCCTCGCCCCCTCCCCTCCCCCCAAATGCTAGGCAGAGAGATCTGCTATCGAGTCTCGTGTCTGATCGATCAGGAACAGTAACACGGGATGCCTATACAAGGCAGGTAACTACATTACCCGACGACATGATAACGCTATGACTCTGTGATTTGGGTTTGTTGGCGGATGGCGCCAGATTCGCAAAAACTTGCGGCAATCCTGCTATTGTGACAATGTTACCATCAGCGAAGTTCTACCAACGGTGTTGGCCTATAACGACAGCGGGATACGAGCTTCGAGTCAGGTGCGTTGCGTATCTCGACGGTGTCGGGTAACGGTGGTAGCAGCGGAGGTAATAGCAGTAGCAGTAATGGTGGTGGAGGCCGTCGTAGTGGTGGTGATGGGCAGAAATGGTAGTATGTAAGTGGTGGGTATGCCTACCTACATAGGTAGGACCAATGGATATTTCCTTTCTTCCCTTCTTCTTTCTCTTTTTCTTCTTCTTCTCTCCCTCGGCCAGGACACGCCGGCAACAAGGGCATGGGCCGGCAGGACACGCAGGTTGGATGGATGGGACAGGGCCTGTCGACTTTCTGTAACGGGGGTTTTCGTGGGTGGCGGTAGTGTAGGATCAGTGCCAAGACAGGGACCTTCTTAGCCGTGGCCGTCCAGCGAACCGTTGAACCTGAGGCCTGGTCATATACCTATGTACCATGTAAGTGTCGTAGCCTGTAGAACAAGGACGTATGTATGTGTGTATATGCACATTGGTACACTTGATTCCAAGGCCATGCCTCCGCTGGACACCTTGCGGACACTCGGAGCGACCCCTGCTCGCTTCATGACCCTGAGGCGAAGCAAGCCACGATGCGTCTGGTAGGTTATTGAATCTTATGTACTTACATATGTACCTACATACTTACGATGCCAACAACCCCTGCCCCTGCTCTGCGCGCGCCCCCGGCGGAGAAGCTGTCCCAATACATCACTTACATAGCAGGTAGGTAGGTACCTACAGCTGCAGGACCCTCAGAATCCGAGCTAATCTTCCTCACGCAGCTCGATTCCGCACGTTCCAGGGCTAGAGAGGGAGAGGAAGAGGGAGGGAGGGAGAGGAGAGAAGGAGAGAGAGAGGAGGGGGTGTCAGAAGAAAGAGTCTCCCTCGGCAAGTCACACCTCCCATGGTCTAGCCTGCGAACCACGCAGGCGATCCGTCATGTCAACCAGGTGGTCTGGGCCTGGGGGGCTCCTCTCGAGATAGCCAACCAGCCGGCCTTGGACAGCACGGTATTCGGCCAACTCCTGCCTATCAAGCGGCGTAACAAGGAGAGAGACGACGGACAGAGAGAGAGGCAGAGAGACAGGCAGGTAGATAGATCGAAAAAGGGGGACGGGAGAGATAGGATAGGGTAGGCTGGCCACCTATCGGGTTGCCATCGTTGACTTGCAGTCCCAACACAAATATCCCTGGCTCGTATGTGCGTGTGGATGTGTGTATGCGTGTAAGTGGGTGGGTGTTGATCGGCTACTGGGATACTCTCAGATTTCGTCATGTTTCTGGATGGGTAGCGCTGGCCCCATTAGCTGAACGCTCGGCAAGATCAGATGCATACTGGGGAGGGATAGGAGGAGGAGGGAGGGAGGGGGGGGGGGGGGGGCGTGTAGGGGAAGAGAGGCGTCCGTCATCTCGTTACCGGGTTTCGGAGGCGGAGGCGTCTAGCAGAGAGAGAGCTCTACCTACTTCTAGGGCTATTTATTTCCGTCGCCGCTAACTTCTCGTCAGTCGAATTAGGACATAAGGGATCCATCGGCACCACAGTCTGATCCTCCTGGATCATTTCTGCAGTCAACCAACTTTCTGTGCTACTTCCACATTTAGGAGTTGCCATGCTTCTGACACCCATGCTCTAAGTCAGGAATACTGAAGACATCCGGGGCGCGTGTTACATTTAATCCCCCTACTACTTGCTCGACTTAAGTATCGGCCTCTCCCCCACCCTCACCACATACAACTACTGCCGCCGTTGTTGGTGTTGTTGATGCTGCTGCTGTCGTCCTCGCTGTCATAGTCACTTCCCGCCAGCTACCATACCAGCACTCCTCTTCTCTCGACACAGCCATGTCAGGGACAGCTTCTCCCCGCAGCGGTCGGCCGCTGACAACATCGTACGTGGATCTCATGAAGCCGGACGAGGACTGGAGAAATCTGCCCGATGCAGCAGAGCGGAGGAAGATCCAGAACCGCCTCGCCCAGAGGGCATATCGTGAGTTCCCCGCCGCGTGTAGTGGCACACTTGCATGAACTCGACAGGAGGCTGACCGTCTCTACAGGACGTAATATGCGGGATCGGACCAAGGAGGTGGAGAGGCTGAAGAAGCAGCTCCAACAGCTCCAGCAGTCCATGAACGTAGCGGATCCCTCAACTACACCGCCGCCTGAGCACGAGCTTCCTTCTGGCGGCCGGAGTCCGTCTAACCTAGGGGACGTGTACACACACAATGCGGATGCAGCGGCCTCATCAGCATCAGCGACGACACCGAACGGATCGCGGCGGATGGGCGAGTACATCCAGGCCTGGTCTCACGCGTCCGGCTCGGAACAGCTGCACGGGCTCGGGCTCACGACGGACGGCGAGCGCCCCATGGGATTCGACACGACGTCCTACTTCCCTCACGTCCAGGCTTCGAACGACGTCGTGACCGATCTCCCCTCAACGCACGCCCCGAGCCGGCGTGCCCGCGCCGTCACCACCAATGTCGCCACGTCGAACGTGCAACCGCATCCTCACCACCTACGAAGTAATAGCATACCGCCGATCTACTCGTCTGCTTGCCCCTCCCCCATGTCCTGGGGGCAGGGTGCTGCCGAGGGCCACGACGGGCTCCGCGTCTCTACCAGGTAAGCCAGCCAGCCAGCCACCGAGCCATCTAAACCCATGCCCCATGCTCGGCAAAAAACGACAAAAACCACCACCCCACTACCACCGCTACTTTGCACGAGAATTTCCCTCCTCTCGCTTCCCTCGCAGCTAACCGCGGTTACGTAACAGTTTCAACGTATACAACAGCACCGAGGACATGCCCATGTACCACGCGGAACCGACGTATTCGCTCGACGACGGGGTCTCTCGCAGCGCCGCGAACGCGTACGCGACCTCGCCGGAGTCGGCCGACCTCAGCAGCTCGGCGGGCTGGTCGCCGCTGGACCGGAAAGCGGCGGCCGCGGCCGCCGTGAGCGCAGGCTCGAGTGGGCGCCCGGGCAGCTCGTCGCTGGCGTCGACGTACCTGACGACGCCGAGCAGCGCGGGCAGCGGCGGTGGCGGCGGTGGCGGCGGCGGCGGCAGCGGCGAGAGCGGCGTGCCCGAGACGACGGCGCCGCTGCTGCACTTCGCGATCGCCGGCGGCCACGTCGACACGCTGCGGCTGCTGCTCCAGCGCTACGACGTCAACGTCAACAGCCGCGACAGCGCCGGCTACACCGCGCTGCAGCGCGCCGTCATGGCCGGCCGCACCGACATGGCCGCCATGCTGCTCGAGCGCGGCGCCGTCGTCGACAACGACGACAGCTGGGGCGCTGCCGCCGTCGACATGGCGAGCCATCCCAAGATGGAGACCCGATAACCAGTCGTAGCCGGTTAAGGGTTGTTTTGATTTTCTACCTATCTGCCTCGTCTGTCCGACTCGCCAAACACACATTTTCTCCATCTTGCATTGCCATGCATGCCTTCCCTCGAATGCCGTTACGGAGTGTACGTCGTCACGTTCCCGACTGTTTTATCTTTATTTATTATCTTTTCCCCTTCATACTCTCCTTCTTTCGCCCTCCTTCTTTTCTTGCTTGTCTTCTCTTCCACACCTTTTTTTTTCTTCTCTTCTCGTCCTCTTTCGAATCGGGCTTCTCGATTTTCTCTCTCGTCCCCGCCTCCTGCGCAACTCTCTAATGGGGGAGCACGGGGCCACCGATGTGCGAATAACACGCCCACCGGGTTGTAAGGGTGTGTGAACGCGCGTGTGTCTATCGAGCTGTGCATGAGACATGGGTTGGTTTCGATGTACACAGCAAAACGAGCGAAGCACGAGCTGCTTCGATGGGAGGAAGCCCTAGCCCATACATGCATACATACACACGTACATGCACGATGCAGCATGGGTCGGGCAATCCTCGATCATGACTTTTTTTTCTCTCTCTCTCTCTACTATTTGCCAGGGTGGTGGGAGGGGGGTTGTTTGGATATACATACCATGCCTGCAGTCAGGTCAAAGTACATATAGGATAAGGAGCGAGCGAGAAGGAGGGGGGGAATAGGATCTTTTTTTCTTTATTTGTTGGAGGACAGGGAGGTTTACTTGATGGAGTTGGCGCTCTCTGGTGTGGGTGGACTTTTTCTATACCCGAGGCACAAATGGGTTTACTCTGGATTTTACAAAGCGTTAAACAAAATGTCTTCTACCAGGAAGTGCCCTTGGGTCTCGAGAGACAGACAGCTATTACGGGAAAAGAATTCTACTTTACTGCCTGCCTATTCTTCTCCGCAGAGACGATTCCACGCACGTATGATTCTTGTCCTCGAATACGCAACAGTGCCGAGGGCCCAGACGGACAAAGACACCACTGCTGGGTTTAGCTGCAGATCTACTACGTGCACCATGGATGTGAAGCGAAGCTTGGTATCCTCCTGAGACCAGGGCCCCCCGGCGCATGTGGTCGAAGTGGGCCGGGCGATCTTCGACGATGAACTCCCTCCTCCCACCCCTCCTTGCCTTCCTGTCTCCCTCCCGCTCTCTCTCTCTCTCTCTCTCGTTCCCACCCTGAGCAGAGGGGATGGCAATCTCAGAGATTCCGCTCTTGTTATCAGGACGGTCTCCGGTAATGTATCTTCGCAGGTTCTTGATGAAGGGACCCCCCACCCTCCCCCTGATTCCCTACCCCATCAGAATACGACCTCACAGGTTGAGGGCTCCAAGAGCTAGGACCGCATCATACGGGATAATTTCGTATGGCACCAAGCTTTCCAATCCACAGAAATCTCTTGTGCCGCTCGACAAACGGAAATGAACCAGAAGGAATTCCGAGATGGGATTCACGGGGGGGGGCCGGAGCTACCCCGACGGACGGGCGTGCCAGATTCGTTGCTCGCCCCGCCACGGTATACCTGCCATATGACCTACGTGCTTGATAACGATGCGCATTATCGAGGGAGGGGAAGCAAGATGACGAGACGCCAATGGTGGTTCAAAGGCGCGGTGCCCACACCGGAGGGAACTATACCAGAGTCAACCTCGGGATTTTAGGCGAAAAGGGAGGCCAAGTCCACGGTGGGCTATCACCCCCCTACCCTCTGCCACCCCCCTTGCCCTCTATGATCTGCTTCCTGTGCGCACGCATACATATACGCGCGTTTACCTGAGGCCCCCCGGGCCAGTTCGTCAATTAAACGAATTGCACAGAAACACGGAGAGAGAGAGGGAGGGACAGAGGGGGAAAGGGCTTAGACACCCGAACCTCGCGTTGTGTCCCCGTCACTTTGATTATGGCGAAGAGGGGTTATTGCGGCGGGCTGGTGGCTGCGGGCTATGCCGCTCGCACGACGACTGAGGAAACCTAGGATGCAAACTGGGCATCTTTTCCGCGGCCGAGGCACAGGCTCTTCCTCCTGGGTCTTGACTGGAACTTTGTCGGCCTACACGGGCGCAATCCCACGGCCGGTAGGGGATTGCATCCTACAAAAGCACCTGGCAGGATAGGTGCTTGTTAGGTTCTTATTCCCCTGTGCCCCTGGCCACTCCACCTGTTGCTGGTTTCACGCCAAGTAACGTTAAAATAGGCACCCCCAGATCTACATTGTCCATCTCGTTGTGGGGTTGAGGGAAAGAGGGTGTAGCCGGCCGCCCGAAGCTATCATCTCGGCTTGCTCCGCCCTGTGCGCGCGTTCTTCCCTGGCGGTCCTATATGTACCTATCTCACAAAGCTGTCGTCACTGGCTGTGCTCGACTTGCTCGGACTGACGGAACGAAGTGGCACAGCAGACGACGAGGAGCCTAGGCAGACATGTAAGATGCTAGTGGTTCTGGCTCGAGTCTGACCAACCGGCCTAGCGGTCTATTGTGCGAGGCTGACGATGGCAGCACCAGCAGCGTCAGAAGCAGCACCAGCACCAGCAGCCAAGGGCGGGGTTAGAAGTTGGAGAGAGATGTGCCGTGTAAGAAGAGCATGTGCGGGTTTCCTGCGAGTTTCGACAGACGTCTTAACGCCTTTCGGCTCTGCTAAGTGATTTGCCGTAGTCTTCCGAAACCACGACAGCGCCCAGCTTCACGCACGACTCAGTCGACCAATTGTAACCCCACGCACGTTTACGCCGTCAAGGGGGTCACACCGCAGACCTGCGGAACAGGAGCGAGGTGTGCCAGGAACCGTCGACAGTCCTATATTTTTAGACACGAAGCACTCCCAGAGTCATTCCCCAACAGCCACCATGAGACCTTATACTGTGGACCTTCCTCGGCAACTAGAGTAGGGGAGTGAGGAGACAGCAGACATTGTCAAGGGGCCTGAAGGATTTCTTCATTGCAAGGTATAAATTAACCTTATCACTCACCACGTGGGTGTCGAGCTAACCAACATCCACGTTGTGAGAGAGCAACACTGCCTACGCTACACCCTCTCTTCTTTCGTACCCCTGGAAGGATGGGCTCCTCGAAGATAGGCCAGCGCCATTAATCAGCACATGGGGGTGGTGGGTTGGTTGGCGGGTTGGCTGGTCGGCGAGATATCTCCAAGCCGGTGTTCCTTGCGGGACCTCCAAATAGATTTTATTCCGCTAGCTGGGTGCCCGTAAGATGTAGGTAGGAAACGAAGGTATGGTGTAGTTCCTCGGTAGGATCCATGTAAGCTACCGCATCACACCAATAAGTCTCTCTCGTTAGCTGTCCTCACACACATGCCACCCCTCCTTTTCTCTCCCGCACCCTCTCCCCTCTCTCCTGCGCCTGTGTTCTGCCTCTCTCTGACACACGCACACGCACGCACACCTATACGCCAAAACAGGCCAGAATCTTACGGCATCATGTACTGCAACCCACTGGCAGAAAGTGGAGAGACGATAGCGTCTCTTTCTTACGAATCTCTGGCATTACTTGCGTGCAGTCTAACCACCAAACTACCGTCGCGCTGTTTCATTGTTGAACAAACCCCAGATTCTCTTCAGCCTTATAGTAGTAAGTACATATCCACGGCCACATGGCAGGAAGGGCGAACGTCGCAGAGGGCCCGTCTAGCCGGCCGGCTGAGGAGAGTAGCAGTAAGGAGAGCAGCAGAAGCAGCAACAGCACACACATGATACACGGAGCGAGCAGGTTGTGCTCACGTCTTCTCAACCCTGCAACATCGCGTGGCCAGGGCAAGGGAAGTCGGCTGAGCCAGCCAATGCTACGTACGTACCCGCAACAACAATACATACCTAGGTATCACTATTGGGATGAATCCTTCGAAAAAAAAACACATCCATCTGCAAATAACCGCCTATGAAATCCGCATCTCACCCACCTGCGGCGGGGGGACGAGAGAATACCTGAGTACACATTCGCCTGCGTAGCCTGAGAATCCCACCACCGTCGAAATGGTTCGCTATTGAGGCACGGCAGAATGATGTATCTGTTTGTATGCGAATGCTTATGCTAATGCTTCCCGCGGGAATCGGCATGCACGGCACAGCAGGATGGATCGACGGATTAATTAAGCAGGCCCCGTCGCCGACCGCATCGTGGACGAGCTGCTCCCCAAGCCGTGGCGGAGAACCGAGACCAAATGCCTCGAGTTCGAGCTCGCATCGCGTCCCGTCCGACCCGCTTGCCTGCGCTTGAAGACAATACCCCTGAGAAAGCGAGGGACACCTAACCTGCAAAAGAAAGGCCTTCGAGATTGGGACGACTGGAGGAGAATACGTACAAGTGCAGCCAGCGCCCTCGCGGCCGCTGTAGCCCGCGCCTAAGCTCCAATTAGAGCGATCCTTCGGCTGGGATAGGAAGGAGGATATCCCGAATCGAGATGCCAGGAATCGCCATACGCCGACGACACCCGCCCCCCTCCAGGGCGCTTGTGGGAAAACCTTCCGGAGGCGAAGGGCTAGTAGCGGAGTGGTAATAGACTGAAGAGGGGATAGCCCAGGGGGGGTTTGCCGAAGGGTCGTGGTCGATTGATAGGAAGACTGGGCTCCTCCTATTTTAGGGACCTTGCCGTGCTTCGGCACTCCTTAACGGCGCAAAGCAGCCTAGCCGCGTAGTGCAGAGGAACGTCGTAGCTAGCTAGTTCGAAGTACGAACGCGCAACTAGGCTCTTTAGAGCCACGCTTATATATCAGACAGATCCGTCGCCATCGTCGGAGAGTTTGGACAAAAGGGCAGAGGGTTCCGCCGTCGATAGCTTCAGCATCGAAAGTCTCGACATACCTCGGCCAGGGGAACCTGGACGTCGAGACTCAACGCTCTGCAGCGATAAAAGCGGGAAGGATTAAGATGATGTGACAAGAGATATAGTAACACAATTAAGAAAGCAACTCAAGCTACGTATGACGCATGGCGTCCTAAGCAGGGTTGGTTGACCTTGAGGGAACGTCTATCGCGAACTCTGCTGTGGGGAATGGGACCGATCTACTCGCTCGACGAAGATACTCCCAAGGTCGCTCAAAGGCTGGATCGCATATGCCGTTCCCCGGGCTATAATGACTCTCTAAAGCATCCTGATCTCTTCCCCAGTAGTCTACTTCGATCTTTTTCGCATCGAGCGCAAGACTTAGCCTTGTCCGACGTCCCTCGCCGTCTGGTGATAGAGCATGGGTCGAATCCATTATGAACACTGCCGGCCCCTGCTGCCCGGGCACCTTGGTGGTTTCGGTATCCCGAGTTGAGAGGGATTGGGGGCCAGCTAAGTAGGTATTGCGGACTTTTCCTACAACGAGAACAGGCAGGGAGTCTTAGCAAATGCGCCTCGCCCTCCTCATGACCAATGCCAATACTTGAGTTTTATAGGGATTGGTCTTTGCGAGATGGAAATGTGCTAGTCGACAATATCGGGTAACCCGGCGGTGTTGGAAGTTCCCGAGTTCTAATGCTATGCATAGGTGTTTTCCGCCTTTTATTATAGCAAGTCAGTATAGCTGATATTACAACATCGCCTATCGCAGTAATATCTCATATTACCTGCGGACTCGGGACTTCCGGGGTAAAGGGCGTATGCTTCTCTAATATCTATATTTAATGCATCACGTACCTGCTATCTCGGGGACGTCGTATGGAAGGAAACGACAAACATATCGTCACCTAATTCATGCTTGTCTAGTTTGATCTCTCTTACGATGTCTGAGGAATACCAGCACGTTTAACTGACTTTTATTCATGAATGGAATCCTCCTTGCCATTCAAGACGTAGACGGGGTCGGCTTGAGACTAAAAACTACCGCGTGGATATTGAGATAGCGCAGACAACTCTTCAGGATATTGGCTGTTACGATAGCATTTCTAAAAGCACACGACTCGAGCAATGTATAGGGAGCCGTATGTATCCTTTGACAACAATCTACAGAGATGAATCCATAGACGACACGTCACGGGGAAGGGGATGATATGGTAAGCTGGAAGATTATCCAAGATACTTCCGCATAGCGTAGAAGCCGGCCATGGTATTACCTAGTAGGGGGATCATGGCAACGGACCGACACAGCCAGGGCGCGATCTCGGCCGGCAGCGATGTCGAGACGCGGCATCCTTCGATATTAATCGAACCAGATTCGTTATTCCGCACAGTGTTACGGCGTATCCCTCTCTTGATCCCATATCGAGTCGAGCGTAGCAGCATCTCCCGTGGCCGTCAGTCGCCGGCACAGCCTTCCAAAAACCCCAGGAATAGACCGATGGTTGAATTGCAATCAACATAGAGAACATGTTGCACTGGTCTTCCTTGCCAGTGGGGACAAGCCTCGTGATCCTGGAGTTACTTGCACTGGAAAGACGTGGCCGGGCTGCTTATGCTTTGGTTTATGGAGAAGGGTCAGGATTCACCGAGAAGATGAACTTCGGTCGAACGAAGCTGTAGGCGTTTTGCCTGGGTGACAGGGGGCACATGGTTAGTCGACAGAGGTGGCTCGTAATAAAGGGCATATGGCTGAATATAAAACTTCAAACATACTTCTTGAAGTTGTTGATGCTTCGAGTGGCGATGGTGGATATCTAGCAAAAGTTCGACCATCGGTTGAGCGATCTCGAAACTCTTTAATGTTAATACTGCATTGACCATTTGGGACCAAGCCAGCCAGATAAGCTGTCAGTATGTGTTGACGAATTTTCGGCCTATCTAATATAGGTATGAAAACATCTAACATGTCTACAAAACCTAATAGGCAATGGGCCTGCTCCTCACCGATACCTACTGCCGTGCTCTACAATCCTTTTCTTTCCTCCTAGCTGGCTAGCCACCCTCTAGTTAATCTACAGCCTTTCCTACAATCTACTCGCCCCACGCGCAACTCATCAACCCACGTGTTGCTTGGAACTAGCCACGCGACATCTCGTCCAACGGTTTCTTGGTTAAAGCCTTTGACGAGGCTCGAAGGAAAGGCGACCCCCGTGCATTGCTGTACGATTATGTTAGTGACCCTAAAACACTATACTACTATGTAGGAAACATATCTATGGCCTGTCATTGGGCAGCCGTGATAGTACGATAAATGTCTTTGTAATTCTCCTTCGTGACCTCCCGTGCCGGGTCGGAGGTTTTTGTGCGCTTACTGACATGGCTCGGCCCGCTGCTGGCTATTCCGTAAATGTTAGTATGGATATATTAAGGAGTACACGGTTCAGACTTACCGCTGCCCGGGGCGTCTCCTTCCGCCTCCTTACGGGAGGAGCACCCGGCGGCGCCACTGCCGTAATGGCAGCTCGCGCAAGCGCCCTTTCCAATGCCGTACATTACGACACAGCGCAGGAAACCTCCGTTCTTCTTCGCGCGGCCTCGGCAGAGAGTGGGCGAGATAGGTCGAGGCTGTACGGGAGCTCGCGTCTCTTGGTCCGCTTCGTTCTGAGCTCAACGTCGCGCATCAAGGGAAGGCGGTAACATGTGGGTTGATCTTGCCGAGCACCAACGCATTCCCGTTTCGGTGAGAGCCGTTGGCAGCGCGTCGTCAGTGGCCCGGAGAACTCATCCTAATCACCAGCTCAGTGGTCGTTCCATCCGGATGTTCCGTCAACGAACCAGGTGGGGTCCAGTGCTTTGACTTGGGAGTGTATAGCTGTGCCTGCTGCCGCGACTCCGAGCATACGTGGGAGATAGGCAGCGCCTTGTTGTATTTGTCATTGTTGTCTGTTGAGCGTTCTCCATCGGCCTGAACGATGCCTGGTATGTCCCCATGCTCGCCTCGCTAGATCGACTCTAATATTCTTTTTTTCGCCGCACCAGAACGTTCGTGAGTAGGAAGCATTAGAAACACCGGTGTTTACTAGTTCTAGGAGAACCTTGAAAATATTACTGTCAAGGTTCTGCTGCTGCCAAGCAGGAGGTCCCGCCCATACAAGCCTGCGTACTGGCGGTGTTGGTGTTGGCGGTGATGGTGGTGAAAAGAAGAAGAACGGAGGAGAGGAGAGGAGAGCAGAGGAGAGCAGACGACGTTTGATACTCGACAAAGCTGTTCCAGGAGACGGAAAGAGCATCAGTGTGGCACCTACCTGCTAGCTACTGCAGTCTTGAAGGGAGCGACGACCGGTGCAAAGTTCTCGCCGATAACTGCAGCAGGAGCCGCCGACCTGGCTTGGGTTTGACGAGCCTCACACAAGCTACGGTACTGTTCTGCTCTGGCCTCTCGACTCTTCCCTCCGGATCTGCCGCACGGATGTAGAATCGACGGCCACAAACGACACCAAAAGCTGTTCGAAGTCGAGGCTTCTATCGAAACAATAGATCTTGGAGCTGTATTCCGCGTCGCTACGGGGTTGTGTGCTCAGCTGCAATGTCAAACCATCGTGCCCCTTATATGCGGAGCAGGGCTAGGCTTTGGGCCGGAATAGTAAGCATAACCCGCCATAACTGTTGATACCCACAAGCACTTATATCTGCCGCGAGGAGAAGCCGAGAAAACTTGCTAAGGAGGATGTAATAGGTGCGTATCCTTTAGAAGTAGCCGCGGCTAGAAGCCTACCGCGGGGTGAAAACCTATGGGCTCTTAAGCGTGGTCGTGTCGATTCGACATCTCCCCCCTCACAGTATCACGATTAGAGGACGTGGTCGAGACGGTCGAAGGTGGACCGCTAGCAGAAATAAGACGCGCTGGTTTCTCTGGAGTCATTGAAAAAAAAAAGGCCATCCAGCCTACGCGTAGACCGGGCCGATACGAGCCTCGCGGCGACAGAAACGATAAGAATAACCGCACGGCTTCGCGCATACCGCCCGCTGCTCACTTCTATTTCAAGGCCCCCTTCCTCTCTTCCTCCCGGCCTACAACATCGCCTTCCTGGGCTCCGGATCGAGCGAGCAGAGTCCGTCCCGCATGGCGGCCATCTCCTGGCGGAGTACCTTGCCGGTCGCGTTCCTGGGCAGCGCGTGCACCTCCCAGACGCCGCCGCGCAGCTTCTTGTAGCCGCTGACCTGGGTATCGACGTGGCGCTGGACCGCGCGCAGCGTCGTCCGCCGCTCCACCTCTGGCGCCTCCGCGAGGCCTCCGCGCAGCACTACCCACGCCGTCGGCAGCTCCGTCAGCCCCCGTTCGTCCCACGTCGCGCCGGCCCCGACCGCCTCCACCGCCGGGTGCGTCCCCGCTAGCGCCTCTAGCTCCGACGGCGACACCTGGAACCCCTTATACTTGATGAGCTCCTTCGTGCGCCCCACCACGCTGACCCTGCCTGCGCCGTCGATCGTGCATACGTCCCCCGTGTTATACCACCCCTGTGTCCCCTCCTCCGATTCCCGTCCCCGCTCCTCCCCTCTAGCCATCGGGAGCCCGAACGCGCGCGCATTCGCCTCTTCGTCGAACGCGTACCGCCGCGCGATATTAGGCCCGCGTAGCCATAATTCGCCGGGGCCGCCCTCGGGGGCATCGGTGCCGCCGCCGGTGGTCCTAAGACAGGCCTCGACGCCGGGGAGCAGGCGACCGGTGACGCCGCGCGGTGCCGGCGGGTCCGCGGTGTGCTGGTAGGCGACGTAGCCCGCGGCTTCGGTCATGCCGTAGACCTGGACGAGGCGCCAGGGGGCGCGGCGAAGCAGGCGGCGTTCGAGGTCAGCGGGGAGCGGCCCGCCGACGTTGATGAACTGGGAGCGGGAGAGATCGGAGTGCCGTGCGACGAGGTCATCGTGCGCTGGGTCCGCGAGCTGCTGAAGTACAGATGGCACGCCCTGGAAGCTCGTCGCCTGGTCAGAGGCGACGAGCCGCAGGAACTCGCTGAGCTCGTACCGCGGCATCGCGTGGTGCAGCATGCCGGCGTAGGGCCCGAGGAAGAGCGGCAGCGTCGTCATGCCGATGTGTGCCCAAGGCGTGAAGGCAACCATGCGCGAGCGCGGGTGGAACTGGGTGCGGTCGTGCGCGAGCAGTTGGTGGCAGTTCGCGACGAAGTTGCGGTGCGTCAGCTCGACGCCCTTGGGCTTGCCCGTCGTGCCTGACGACAGGTGGATCGAAGCGACGCGCGTTGCGGTGTCGGACCAGTGCGGGACCAGTAGCCGGTCCTCCGCGATGAAGTCGTCGGGGAAGTGAGGGAGCTCCTTGGCTCGGCTGACTACCGTCATGAGACGCGGCCGTGCCCAGCTCACACCGCGGTCCGCAAGCTCTTTCCTCGCGACCTGAAGGGCCTCTTCGACGGTGGGCAGCACTACGCCGTAGACCACGACGAAGTGCGGTCGTGAGACGGCGAGCCCGTGGCCGATCTCGGCGGCTCTAAGGGCGTGGTTGATGGGGCAGAAGATGCCGCCAGTCCAGAGGATCGCATGGACGGCCTCGAGAAAGTCGACGCTGTTGGGGAGGATGATGGCCCAGCGCGCTTGGTCGGGTGGGTTGCATTTGGTCTGGATTCCCTTTGCAATCCTGGCTGCTCGTTCGCGCAGCTTCCCGATGGTGATACTGCGGTTCGTGAGACTATCCTTCGCGATTAGGTGGGATTCTGGAAGGTCTGGGTAGGCAGAGGAATGAAGGAGCTCTGTTAGGTTCTGGTCCTTAGAGACCTCTATGGTGTCAGAGCGGTAAATTCTCATCATTCCCTTGGTATCTCTCGAAACGACTGGAACGGCGGAGAGAGTCCTAGTAGACCTAGAGAGCCACCACGACGAGCTAGCGATTGAGTTGGGATCGGTTGCCTACGTTGGCAATGGATATTGGGAATGGAGAGCAAGTCATCGCCTTGACACTATCGTCTCGACTCGGATCGGGTCCTTCAGCTTTGCAAGCCATGATCCGTTCGGAATCCCTCCCGCACCCATCGCCACGCGGGCATGTAGGCGACAGTGCCCGCGCGTATATCGTAGTCACTGTACGCGGGAAAGCTACATCAACATCGATAGGCCGGACTAGATTCGCCATTGCGAGTCTGTACCTACGACAAACTCAACGGGGTAGCTCTCGGTGCTTATCCCCGAGCTAACATGGCTCGGCATTGCAGCTAGATGAAAGGGCTTGCCCGTTGCGACGCCACGGTGTGGTAAGTGCCGAACCCCAAGTAGCATCGGACGGGCAGCGTCAGGACCGGCGGCGGGCTTTGCGAGGGGAGGGCAGGTTGTGTTCTGACGAGCAGTTCTCCTCAGCAAGGATTCCTGTCAATCAGTTACTCATGCCCCTAACCGTGCGCGCCCCATTACCTACATAATGGAAGTGGATTTTGTAGGTAGGTACATGGGTACAAGTTCTTTGGAATAATCCTCACTTTTGAAGAATCACGGCGGAATTCAATCCGTCAATTCATCACTTCTCCTCTTCTGCCGCGCCGGCCTCCAGCTGATCACAGCCTGCTTCCGGATCACAGTGGTACATAGCACAGCACAGCAGCATAGAAGCACAGCAGCACGGCATAGCACGGCGTCACGATATCTACTCCATCTCCTATCGACTCGACCTCAGCGCCTCCGAGTCGCTGCCGAAGTGGGACATTTGCCAGGGTTGCTGTCGCTGGCAGCCTGTGGCCTGCGTCGCGATGGCTCCGAGCGTGCTGGCGAGCTTCCGGAATCTGCATCTATCATAGGCGATCCAACGATGCCCCGGCTCCTGTCCTGCACAGGCTCGCATACGCGCACTTATTCGCGGCCGCGGCCAGCCAGAGACCCCATCCGGCCCACCCGTGCCGCCTCACGACAGCCAAAGAGCACTCGATGCTCATTATAGGGATATCCCGTATCGCGACCCTAATTGGTGGCATAGCACCGGTGCTCCAAAGAAGGGATCGGAACCCGAGGTAAATCAGGTTCTGACCAGCCACAGGTGTGAAGACGGATCGCGCACCAGGACACCGAGAGCCACGGCAGACAACATAACAAACCTGCCCATCTGCCTACCTGTACCTACCAGAGAGAGCCTCTCTCAATCTCGACCTGTCTCACCCTCTCGCACATTGCCATCCGATTCGACTCCGCATTCTTGCCTTGCCTTTTGGCTAGCTTGCTCCCCTCACCACTACGGCCCGCCTGCCTACACCTCCCGCCATGACGCCGACCGAAACGCCTCCACCGCCCACGCCGGCTTTCCTCAAGCTGTCCTACCCGGCCCCACGCGTCCTCTTAGTACGGATGGACCGGCCCAAGGAACTGAATTCTATGTCCACAACGGCCCAGTGGGAGATGGATTCCGTCTGGAAATGGTTCGACCACGAGCCCCTCCTTAGCGTCGCCATCATCACCGGCTCCGGTCGAGCTTTCTCGGCCGGTGCCGACCTCAAGGAGTGGAACAACTCGATGTCTGACAGGGCCGACCCGAGGAACCGTATGGGAAATGCCCCCCCCTTCAAGCCGTTAAGCCGCCGGCTGGGAAAGAAGCCCATCATCGCCGCTGTCAACGGGCTCGCCATGGGCGCCGGCTGTGAGTTCGTCATCAATTGCGACCTCGTTGTCGCCGCCGAGGACGCCTATTTCGCGCTGCCCGAAGTGAAGCGGGGCGTAGCCGCCGTCGGAGGGGCGCTGCCGAGGCTCATCCGGACCATCGGCCTGCAGCGCGCGTCCGAGTTTGCGCTGACGGGTCGTAACGCGACTGCCCAGGAGATGTTCCAGTGGGGCGTCGTCAACAAGGTTGTGCCCAAGGAGTACGTCGTCGAGGAGGCCGTGCGGCTCGCCGAGATTATCGCGAAGAACAGTCCCGATGCCATCATCTGCACACGTGCCGGCCTGCGCCAGGGCTGGGAGACGGCGAGCGTCGAGCGTGCTGCAGACTGGACACTGGAGAAGGAATTCGCCGAGCTGCAGAAGGGCGATAATATACTCGAGGGCCTCAAGGCCTTCTCTGAGAAGAGACTGCCGCGCTGGAAGGCGAGCAGGCTGTAGGCTGGGGCCGAGATCCTCCCGTCGGCGTACTTCTTCCGAGTCGACGAACGGGCTGTAGTGCTACGTCCGCGAGTCAAACGGTGACAGCCCAGGATCAGGCCTGTTCTGGGACCTCACATTGTCCACGTGTGCACTAGCCCTAGGAGAAGCAGGGTTGCCCATACGAAAAGTTTGGGGGAGGACGACTTCCCACATGGAATACTTACCATCATATCTATGTACTCGCCTAGGTTAAATCGTGTCATGTGGTGACGTCTTGATAAGGCACGACATAGCACGGCAAGCTGTTCACATACCCCTAAGCGACATCACCCCCTCGATCAGGGTTGTATACCAAATAGTCTATAAGAATCTACCTGCCTACTTCATTTTCTATGTTGCGTCCAACCGTGGTTGAACGCCCTTCACTAGCAGGCTCGTAGCGAAGATCTTTTCTCGTCTCTGCATAGTCGCATATTATCGGCGCGGTCTTCAGTAAAGGGTCCTATATCGCGAATGCTACGTAGCACGGCGGAGAAGAAGTACGCCTTGGCATATGCAACTATACGGATAACGAAGAGGTATTGGATGGGTTCGAACTACCGAACACTCGTCTCTCGACGCCCTTATACCCTGTCCGAGGCTTCCCGACTCGCTTTGTAGTAACGAGAGCCGGCTTTACCAAGGATGGCGCTGCGTACGGTGGCATCTCAGCACGCAAGTCATTGCCACAGGAACCGAAGGGCCCGCTCCCCCGGCTTTCGCTGCGCTAGTGCTCACCTCCCTCCTCCAACACCATCATTCTCCAATCCAGCACAGCTTCTCGTGCCTCTAGTTATCAGGAGCGAAGTCTAGGTGGTATTAAAAAAAGGAAGATGGCTCGTTCGGGCCTCTTTTCCCCCTGTCCTTCCTCGGTAAAATCGCCGGCTTCCAGCTGCTAGGGGAGGTTAAGTCTGATAGACTAGCCATCCTAGCTGGAAATGGATATGTCTACGTACGAACTCTAAATATCCCCCGAGGAGGCCCTGGAAATCGGATGGCTTGTCTACGCACTTTACCTTTTCCGCAGTCGATCGCCGACTTCGTCGTCTGTCGAGAGGCGGCGCAGCTATCTCCTCTCCTCTTCCTCTTGTTTCCCCTCGGGCAGACTTTCCCATTCTCCTAATCTGAGAGCGCATCCAACCACGGCGCACTAGGCTAGGCTACATCTTTGATGGCGACAGAAAGGGGTATGTCGTCGGCTGAGCGACTCGAGAAGCTCGCCAGAGAGGCCGAGGATGATGGGTCCTCGATCCAGTCGGCAGCGCGCGGAGATGACCTACCGAAGGGTTACTTCTACTCTGTAGGGTTTCTGGGGGCCATGACAGTGAGTGGTGGGAATGAGAGGGCATTCGTTGTAGGCGAGGACTGACGGGAGCGGGAGGGTTTCTGCCTATCGGCCATCTCGGCCTTCATCTTCCTGTTGCTGCCGACAAATGTATTGACTTACATCAACGCAGATATAGGTGAGTTTTCACGGCTAAACCGGGACACGGAGACGTCAGTTGGTGAAGCCGATATTCTATCGAAGTGAAAATAACGGGAATCTAGGCCCTAGCCCCTATATCGCCTGGGTCAACATCGCGCGGACTCTCGCCCTGTCCTTCACTTACACGATCCTCGGCCGGCTGTCCGATCTCTTCGGAAGGCGATGGTTCTTCATCGGGGGCAACATCGTCGCCCTTGTCGGCACCGTTGTCTGCGCGGCTGCTCAGAACGTCAACAGCCTGATCATAGGCAGCGCGATCTACGGGCTAGGTGAGACCGCCCAGTTGAGCTTCAACATAGCCATCGGTGAGCTGGTGCCGAACAAGCACCGGCCGATGGTTCTGTCGCTAGTTTTCATGACCAACGCGCCCATCGCCGGTATTGGGCCCATCATCGGTAAGAGGCTGTTTTCATCATATGTATTTACTTCTGGTCAGAAAATCGCACGGCTAACCATGGTCGTTAGCTCGCGCAATGCTGCAGAGCCCAAACATGGGATGGAGATGGTGCTACTATCTCAACATCATCGTGGTTTTAATTGCAATAGTGCTACTATTCCTCTTCTACCACCCACCCACATTCGACCTTCTACACGAGCGAAAAACCAAGCGTGAACTGCTTCGCAAACTCGACTGTAAGTAATCATAACATCCCCCCCTTTCTTTTTCATAAAAATAAGAGGCTCATGCGGAAACAGATGCTGGAATTTTCATGTGGACGGCCAGTCTCACCCTGCTGCTGATGGGAGTGAGCTGGGGCGGGACCATTTACCCGTGGAATTCCGCGGCGACCATATCCTCGATCGTCATCGGGGGCGCGCTCCTTGTCGCGCTCTTCACCTACGAGGCGTTCGCGAAGCTCGAGTACCCGGCCATTCCGGTGCAGTTCTTCGCCAACCGCGGCTTCATTAGCCTCGTTGCTTGTGCCACGGTTGCGACGGTTAGCAAAACTCCCAGTGTATCTGCCATTATGAAGAGGGGTAGTATAGGCTAACTCCTCCAACCTCCCCCTTTCCAGATGTCATACTACTCCGCCGTCCTCCTGTGGCCCCAACAAGTTCAAGCCCTATACACCACAAACATTGCATACGCGGGCTGGGTCTCGGTAAGACATCCCTGAGGACGGACAATGGGGCGCTCGATATGGGTATGCCAACCCACACACTCACAACAGCGCGCTAATCTATCCCTCACATAGTGCACGGTAGCCAGCGCGACGGCGCTCGGGCAGGCGTTCGGCGGGTTCTTCGTGAGGTGGGGGGGCAACGTGCGGTACTGGATCATCTTCTCGACGTTCGCGATGGTCGCGTTCGTGGGGGCGTGCGCGTCGCTGACGCCGCAGACGCTGGGGGCCGGGATTGCGTTCACGATGGCGGGGCCGTTCTTCGTCGGCGTGATCGAGGTGTGCGCGCTCGCGCTCGCGCCGCTCTTCTGCCGCCCCGCCGACATCGGGCTCGCGTCGGGGCTGCTGGCCTCGATCCGGTCCGCCGGCGGCTCCGTCGCCGTCGCCGTCTATAGTAGCGTGCTGGCGAACCGGCTCGCGACGACGGTGCCCGCGGTCGTCGGCCCCGCCGCCGTCGCCGCCGGCCTGCCCCCCGACCGCGTCCCCGCCCTCGCCGCCGCCCTCGTCGGCAACCGCCTCGCCGCCTTCCCCGACCTGACCCCCGCCGTCCAGGCCGCCGTCGCCGCCGCCGCGCCCGCCGCCTACGCCCTGGCCTTCCGCACCGTCTACCTCGCCAGCCTCGGCTTCGGCGGCATCGCCATCGTCGGTTGCCTCTTCTCTCAGGACGCCCAGAGCGTCCTCACGGACACCGTGCACCGCAGGATGAACGGCAAGGCGTCCGGGAGCGAGAGCCGGGACAGCGTGTCTGCGTGAAGCGCTGGCGGACGGCGCCTGGGTGAGGAGAGAAGACACACGAAAGAGTTGTTGACGAGGTTGTTACATAGATCTACTCTCAACTTCACCTCGGGGGAGAGCTTCGTGACACGTCTGAGTTTTAGTGGCCCACGTAAGCTTACTATTTGCTGTTAAGAAATTCTTGTCGGTTACGATAGATATGCCCGTGCTACTATAGATACTAGATCCGGTAGCTAACTAGACCATTTGCTATATGCACTCTATTTCTGCGGCCACAGCTGCTAGGCTATCTTGCTACCAGCGAAGTCCATCCCAGTTCTGAGTCTATAGACATGTAATTAACACGTATGGCTCCACGTAGCAAGTAATGTAACACTATCTGACTTTGATTGCCGCTCTCCCGCTCCCTTGTTCTGCTCGAAGACGGGGGGATGAAGGATGGCCTAGGAGAACCTACAGAGGCCACAGATAGGGGGACGCCTAACATATGTAACCAGAATATCCCAACACAGCGTGTTTATGGTTATCCCGAGACCCAGATACTCGAGTTGCCTCAATCTTGTCCTCACCTACGGGTCAGTGAAATATCCAGCGGGCATCTCCCGTACAAACCGGTAGACAATCTAGATGTAGTAAGTTCTCTTCATTCACTTCTTATTGGATAAAAGTTGGTACCATCTAGGTTACGTGTTTAAGATTAATATACCTATGCTTCACTGTTACCTCCTCCACACAACAAACGCCGGGCCAGAAATTCGTATATAGTAATTTAAGGCCATCTGTAGCAGTGCGACGCTGATTCAATGTATCCTAAACCCGAATCGACAGATGAACCCGGGAGATGCGCCGTCTTATAATAACCTGGCAGCGCGGGGTCAGGACAGCGCGCAACTGGTGTCTGAGACAGCGCAGACGACTCGAACCTCTTCGGCGCGGGTATCACCCGGAGTCGGCTAGGCGCACAAGTACGGGGAGTGAGCTCGTCCGTGTTTGAAACGATACGGTTTCGTCGGAAGCGCTCTCTTGAGCTACCAAGGAACTGCCGAGGAATTCTGAGGCAGGGAGTTGCGAGATTCACGCTCAACTCGTCCCCCGTCTTCTCAGACACGGCTCATATGGGTTTTGCATCCCAGAGTAGTCGTTATAGCTGGGGTGCGACGTGGGAATCCCGCCAGTTAGCTCACACAGGCGCTGGGAGAAGTTATCTGTGCCTGAGACCAGCGAGAGGGTTGTTGTGAGTACCCACGGGCTGCGAGGGTCGCGAAGGAGAACGGATGTACGTGTCATCAGCATGAAGTAGCGAGACTGGGGGGTTGACTAGGGACGCTTATGGAGCCTAGGGTGCGGCGAGCGATGTGTCGCTCACATTCTCAGGGTTATAAGGTGACCTCGGGGTCGGATTAAGGTAGACGCCTGTCGATCTAATCTCCTGCCGGCCGCGATGCTGGCTCGACTAGCTTAGTGTAAAGGCTCGCTACGCGATGCCTGATACATTGCTGAAAAGAAACATCGGTCTCGCTGTACTAGGGGAAGTATTAGCAGGCTTCAGTGAGTCGACCCGGTCCGTTAACAGGCTGACCCGGACAGACCCCGCAACAGTCAACACACGATCGCTCTGCCTTCTTCCAGGTCTTAGGTTTCGGTGTATATAGTACGTAGATGAGGTCGGTAATACCCGGGGAGCGGCAACCCCAACGATGTCTTTGCAAGTCTCACCTCTTTAGCATGAGGAAGAGGTTAGCCGAGCATAGTGGTTCCACCGGTGTCGCGGGTGCTCCTTATGCGATAACGGTAAAGAGAGGATGAGAAGACAAAGCCGCCCTAGGTATATAAGGCACCTAGGTCAATGGTTGATTCGTGGGAGCATGACCCTGTTTCAATATCTCTTCGCTTGTCTCCTGTGAATCTGCAGCAGTCTGGTGGGGGCTCTAGGGAAAGACATCTCACGATTCGCAACCGCTTGCTCTCAGCGGAATCAATATGAAGACACCTATACTCGTCCGTCTCGCGGTGCTTGCTTCGTGGTTGGACGTGGGCTCTGCCACGTCTCGAGTGTACGTCCCGAAGAAGAGATACCCCTTGGAGTGGGACCCGGGAGCTGTCGGCACGAACAAGACGACCGATGAGACCTACCTGCTCGAACCCCGTCACGACGGAAAACACGGGCGACCCCTTCATAACTAGATACACCGCCGCCGACGGCCAGGGCTGATACTTGTTCACGTACTCGACACAGATCAACATCACCCTGCGGCGCTCGAGATCCCTCACCGACAACTGAGACAATGCCGAGTCGCGAGTCGTCTTCAACCCGGATCCTAACAGCGGAATGCCCTGGTCGACCAACCTGTGGGCGCCCGAAGTGTACAACATCGCCAACAATTGGTACATCATCTTCACCGCCGCGCCAGACGACGACGAGCCGCCGCCGCTCCTCGACGCCCTTTGCGAGGATAACTGTCCCGTAAGTCGCGATCCCGATCCTGTCCCTCGCTCGTCGTAGCTGCAGCTTCTCAAGAGGCAAAGGGGGAGGGCAGTAGCCGCGACGAGAAGTCTGAGGGCTAGGCCGGGTCGAGAAGGCCCCTCGGAGCTAACGGGTCCCGGCAGGCGATCAACCACCGGATGTTCGTCCTCGCAGGGGACGGGCCCGACCCGTGGACGGCGGACTTCAGCAAGAGGTCTATGCTCGACACGTACGGCCAGTTCGCGGTCGACGGGACGTACCTGCGGGTGGGCGACGGGCTCTACCACGTGTACTCGTGCTGGCGGCACTAGTTCGAGGCGTAGCCGTCGAACCTATGCGTTACGCAGATGTCGGACCCGACGCGGGTAAACTCGACGGTGCTGGAGCGGGGGCTAATTAGCGCGCCGACGGAGACGTAGGAGCAGGTGCCGCCGGGGCGGGGGCGGCGGCTAGCGACGAACGAGGGGCCGGCGTAGCTAACGAACCCGCGGACGGGGCAGCACTTCGTGGTGTATTCGGCGGCGCGCTTTAATACGCCGTACTACTGCCTCGGCCTACTCGAGCTCGTCGGCGACGACCCGCTCAACGACCGGGACTGGCGCAAGCACCGCGACGGCTGCGTCTTCCACCAGAACCCCGCCGAGCGCATCTGCGGCACCGGCCACGCCAGCTTCACCACCTCCCCCGACGGCTCCGAGACCTACGTCGTCTACCACGCCGAGACCGAGGTCGACCCCGGCCCCCAGATCTACCGCACCGCCCGCGTCCAGCGCATCGACTGGGACCCGCAGACCGGCCGCCCCGTCTTCCCCAAGGCCGGGAATGGCCCGTTCCCCGTGCCCCCGGGCCAGCAGACCTTGCCGAGCGGATAGGTGAGAGAGGATCGGGGGACACAGGCAGAGTAGGCGTCTCGTGGCCGTAGTAGAATAAGGGATTCTTCTCCCCTAACTTGTCGCCTCGATGGACTACTGTGTCTCCGTTATACGCTGTCGCTTAGCAAGTGAGATATATTAGGTACCTACGTACCTAGTTGACGTGTGATATGTGTGAGTTTTCTCGCTACCCTGTCTGTAAGTAGAAGTTATCCGCAGCACAGATTCTTCAACGGCGGAATCCCTTATTCAATTAAATTCCACTCTCCTCCCTCATAGAACCATCGAGCGGCAATTCGTGCTGCCTAGAAACAGTGTTCGAGTGTCTCAATAGTTTCAATTCCCTCCTGTGCAAATGCTAGGTAGGTGAGCATCGCATCTACCTAATATTAGGTACCTACTTCCACCACAGCATCGCACCCAACCCAGCGCAACGCCGTCCCGTTTCTCCTCGCCCGCGGCCGACACCGATGATAGGCTGCGACGCGCCGACGCTCGTTTCTCCAACCGCGGCCCCGACCCGGAAACGGGGCGCGTCAGCGGGGCGGCTCTACGCGCCGAGATGGAGGGAGGCGTCCCCAAACCAGACCCGTCTACCTACGTAGGCGCCCAATTGGGGCGCCGCAGCGCCTGTCGATTCGTCGAGCCGGGGGGCTGCCACCATTCGCAGGCCTCGTCCCCTGAGTTCTTCTCCTTTGTCCTTTGCCGCCGCCAGTCTGTGTACGTAAGTAACCCCCTCTGCACCGTCGCTTTGCGCGACGGCCGGCATGCTTTGTGCGCGCGACGACGCGGAGAACAAGAAGCAGAAGAATACGTTCTTCCGGTTGTCCTTTGGCGACGGCAGCCGGGAAAAGAACGGGAAACAAAGCGATTCTATCAACAACGCGCCATTGTCCGCCGACGGCCTAGGTATCCCACAGTCCAGCCCGCCGCCCGCCGTGAGCTTCGCGTTCGAGACAATCGATCGAAGGACCTCTCTCGTCAACGCCATCTCCAATCTATACCGACTTCCTCACGAGCACCACCAATATCACTAACATCTCTTCTTCTCCTACCATCACTCACCTCTGCATGCACCTCCCTATACACCTCCCCGCCACCTCCATGGCACCTCCCACATCTCTCTCCCTCCTCCTCCTCCTCCTCGCCCTCCTCTCCCCCCTCCACCCACCCCTCGCCGGCGCCAGCACCACCACCACCACCACCGCAACCACCACCCACACCGCCACCGTGACCGTCCCCCCGCCGCTCCGCAGCGCAGAACCCTCGTTCGCGGACCCAGACCTGCTCGCCGCCGTCATCCTCGCGCGCAGCAACGCCGTGCGCGCGTACCACGGGGCGGCAGCGCTGCGCTGGAACGCGACGCTGGCGGCCTTTTCTCTCGCGCACGTGTGGTCCTCCTCGGCCACCGACGCGGACTCGTGTGCGATGGCGCGCGCGGAGGGCCCGCCGTACGGCGAGATCCTGGCGCTGGGGTGCGGCGGCGCGGCGGCGTGCGTGGCGCTGTGGGCGGCCGAGGCCGCGCGCTACGACTACGCCGCGCCCGGCTCCGCGCCCGCTGATACCGGCCACTTCTCCCAGCTCGTCTGGGCCGCCTCCACCGACGTCGGCTGCGCCGCCCGCCTCTGCCCCCGCCAGCGCGCCTGGTACCTCGCCTGCCACTACTGGCCCCCCGGCAACGTCCTCGGCGCCTTCGCCGAGCAGGTCGGCACCCCGCTCCTGGCTGTCGCCGCTGGGACGCCGCGAGCGTCGGGCGGAGGCGCCGCGGGCGTGGTTGCGGTCGTGGTGGTCGCGGTCGCGGTCGTGGTGTGGGGTGCTGTTGTGTAGGTTGCCCCCGGAGGGGAGGGAGAGGAGAGGGGAAGGGGAAAGGGGGGGAGGACGAGGCGTTAGCGCTGGATATGGAGAAACGGGAAATGATATATGATATTTGATACTAGGAGTTAAAAACTAGGATGGCGTTATAAGAGGTGTTCTGAACGCGAAGGAACACCAGTTTGTATAGGTATATCTACCTATTGTCAGCGGAGCATACTTCACCTAGAGAGGCGGATGATTAACGCGTGTCTGTAGGTATATAGCGATAGGGAAAAGTATGATCCCGTCGAAACGACCACATTTCTCTGCGTGCTTCGAGTCCTAGATGATGACCTCAGTGACAGCAAACGGATACGGCATCTTCACGATCAAATTCAACCCTATAAACGGACGCAGGAGCATCAACTTTTCTCTTCACATCTGACGCCTGGCTCCCAACCCCTTCTCACCTGCTCCGCCTGTCTGCCGCCCGCCGCTCCCTAACACCGCTGCAAGAAACGTACCGATCTCTGTCCCCTCCCCGCTTTACGGGATCAGCACCCCGCGGAACCGCACCTTTCCGTCGCCGCACGCCTGCATCGCGTTGGCTGCGTCGGCGAGCGGGTGCCTCTCGATGAGGCAGCGCACGCCGTGGTCGCGCGCGAACGCGATCGCCTCCTCCGAGTCGAGCGCGTGGCCGCTCGGCCAGCCGTGCACCGACGCCGCCTTGCTCACGAGCTGCTGCGTGTTGAACGCGACGGGCCCCACGGGAGCCAGCACGACAAGCTTGCCGCCGGGCTGCAGGCCGCCGACGAGCGGCGCGATCGCGTCGCCGTTGGGCGCCGTGGCCACGATCATGGCGGCGCCGCCGAGCGCGCTCAGCTGCTCCACCACGTCGCCGGCGCTCGCGTCGAGGTACTCGTGGGCGCCCAGCTGCTTCGCAAAGTCGCGCTTGCTGGCCCCCGAGCTGATCGCCACCACGTGGTAGCCCATGCGTGCCGCGTACTGGATCGCGAGGTGGCCGAGCCCGCCGAGCCCTTGCACCGCAACGATATTTCCCTGCTCGACCTGCATCTTGCGCATCGAGTTGAACACGGTGACGCCCGCACACAGCAGCGGCGCCACCTCCGCTGGGTCCACGTCTGCCGGCACCCGCACCACCGCCTCCTCCCGCAGCAGCACGTACTCGGCGTAGCCGCCGTCCATCGTCACGCCGTTGACCTGACGCGCGTCGCACATCTGGAACTGGGCGCGCGCGCACTGGCGGCAGGTTCCGTCATGGCCTGTGGAGACCGGCGCGTGGCGGCGAAGCAGTCAGCATTCAGTCTTTTGTGTTGAGGCGACATCTTCTTCCTTTGTCACCCTTAACGCGGCTCTATAAACCGGTTATGTGGGGGAGGGATGGAAGCTGAGTAGCAGCAAAAGGGAGGGAAGGAAAAAGGCGAAACTAACCTCCGTGCCAAGGTCCGCCGACGCGCTCGCCGCCCTTAAACCGCGTAACATCGCTTCCGATAGCGACGACGTCACCAACCAGCTCGTGGCCGGGGATCCGGGGGAACGCGTTGCCGAGGGCGCCGCTGGCCTCGAAGAGATCGGTGTGGCAGACGCCGCAGGCGAGCACCTTGACGAGCACCTGGCGGGGGCCGGGCAGCTTCAGCTCGACGTCGCGGATAGCGATGGGTTGGCCCGCCTTCTCGAGGACGGCGGCCTTGAAGGTCTTGGGCAGCGATGAGGCCATGGTGTGTAGCTAAGCTGGTTAGATAAAGCGGCAAAATTTTCTCTACCCCTCCCCCTCCCTTCTTTCTGCCCCTCTCTCCCCTTTCTCTCTCTCATTCTCGCCCTCTCTCACTCACTTACTTTGTTCGTATATGCGGGTGTGTGGTGGAAACTAAGGAGGTGGCCTAGATGGGATCGAGCCAGAGCAAGAGGGGAGGGGTCTAGTCGGTGATGAGGCCCGATATATATAGAGAGGCATACGTCCTTCGAGGTGTGTGAGCGGGTAATTAGGCCTCGACGTGCCAATGAGATTCTACGAAACAAAGACGCCGAAGCAGTGGCGCTCTCGAAAACCGGATAGGCACGTCGGGCGATGAAAGGTAAGACAGACGTGTGGTGTAGGGACGAGCTTACTTATCCTCCGTCTGGCGGGGGAGGACGGGAACGATGCGACAATGACGAGTACGTCGATCCACTAGACCGCCACGCGAGATCAGGCCAATGAGCAGTGCGTGTTGCATAAGTTGGTAGGTGAGCGGGAGGCAACCGACAGACGGGCCGCTGTATGTACTGATCGGAAGACGCGGCGTCGACGTGGAGGAGGACGCGGGCATCGCCGACAGCTTCCCCGCCTCTTGGGGCTAGGGCACACACCCCTTACGCTCATGACGCAGATCCGCAGCCGAGGTTTCGCGCCTCGTTTACCACATAGAGAGGACGTGTCATATTTTATGGGTATGGACGGTGAGTTAATGCGCGCTGGAATGTATGTCGTAGGTTCGTGGGGTGGTTAGTTCGGCTTCGCGAATGGAGGACGATGATGATATGAAGAGAGGCTGTATACCTACCTAGGTGACGCAGTAGGATAGGTGAATGTAGGTGAGTAACTAGGTACCTACCTGTTACCACAGAGTGGGGTTACCTAGGTAGCTACCTGAGCACCTCCCGTAGGCCTAACAGTCATTAACCTCTGGCCGATTTTACCTACCTACCTCAAGGCTAGTAACAGCATAAAGTCGCTACTAGATAGCCCAAGTAACATAGGGGTTATTACCTTAGGTACCTAGGTATGCCCTTCTTCGTGGCATGTCCATGTTCATCGGGTAAGATACCTCGTGATTAACACCTGCCTACCTCTACTAATCAGGTATTCATCGAACCTCGGAATAAGGTGCGTATTAAGAATCGCCCGAAGCAAGCTGTCTAGGAGGTAGCACCCGTTCCGTCCCGCCTTACGCACTCCCCTCCACGACCCCGCTTAGGAGATAATAACCTGCCTATCTTTACAGCCGAAACATATTACCTACGTACCACCTCAGTCAGCGCCCATCCCTTACCTACCTCCCACCTACCTCTCTGCGCGCGCCGATCGCCGCCCTTCCGCGCAGCGCCCTCGCGTGCGTAGCTTGCCCATCCGGCGCCTATTCCCGGCTCAGCTCGCCGCCCGACCCGCCGCTCGGCCCGCCGCCGGGCCACAAGCGCAGGTGGACAGCGCCAGGCCCGACGCCGCCTGCGTCGGCTTTCTCTATCCCCGCCTGCGTCGGCTTTGCCTATCCCTGTTCGCGTCGGCTTTCCTTATCTCCGCCCCCTCCTTACCCCCCACCAGGAGGGTAGGGTAGGGTAGGGAGGAGTTAGTTGCCCCTGGTTCTATTCGGACATAATAAGCATCTAATCTACCCTAGATAAGCAGGGAGGCGGGCGGGGTATACTCATAGTCAGCATAGGCTCTCGTCCGCCCGAATGCATGTTAGAAAACATACCCCTACCTAGTTTGCGGCCCCGCGCGCGCCAACCTACTAGCCTACGGTGAGCATAGTATAAAGACACCTAGACATCTCTCTGTGTCGGCGGGCTCGGAAATATAGTGTGTATTAATTCAAGCCGCCAGTCGACGAAAAATCCGAAATGGCCTTATCGTATAAGTATTACGCAGGTAGGCAGGCAGGTAGGTAGATGCCAAATACCTATCCCCGAGACAGGTAAGGTCCCCATCTCGATACGTACAACACCTAGCAGAACGGACGACTATGTAGGCTGGACGCTTAGGTAGGTTCACCTACTACGGCCTCTCAAATAATCCCCACGCCCCGACTCCCAGCCTGCCACCTCGCGGCGATACACCTCCTCCACACGCTATGCGCCGTCGTCACCGCGCGCCGAGGCTGGCTAGTGCCGCCTGCAGCTCCCGCACCGCCGTCGGCACGTCCTCGAAGTTGAGGGCCGATATCGCCCACTTCGCGTGCTTCTGCGCCTGCACTATCGTCATGTCGTCCGTGTTGTACGAATGCGACGGCGCGCTGCCGCTGCCGCTGCCGCCGCCGCCGCCGCCATACCGCTGTGCCGGCGCTGCGGCGGGCGGCACCGTGCTGCGCGCGGTTTGCTGCGGAGGAGGTTGATAGTGATGGCTGGCTTGAGGCACCTGGGGAGGGATTGCCGGGAGCGCACGAGTGGCCTCTGGTGGCGGAGACGTAGTCCGGTAAAACTCCTGAGGAGCCGAGGGTATCTCGCGGCCAGCGAACGAGTCGTAGCCCTCGTGAGAACTGGGGCCCCGTATCCCGGGAGGGAGGCCTGTCGGCTCAAAGATCGGCGGCCCCGGGGGCGGCATGTCCATCGTAGACGGTAGATCCAGGGTGGCTTGGCCGGGCGCGTCGGGAAAGTAGCTCCCCGGGTCCGATGTCGGCGCACCGGGAGGCACTATGGGCGAGACTTGTTCGGGGGCCATCGCAGCTGTCCCTGGAGGCGACGTCGGCGCGGACACGAGCGTTGGTGAGGTTCGTGAGTACGGGTTGGATGGAAGCCGCAACCGCGCCTCATCGTCCGAAGCATCCTCCACTGTCGCCGCGCTTGGACGCGCCATTCTTAGTACCGTCTTGACTTCGGGATCGGCCGGGTCGAGCAGCGGCATGGCTTCGTCCTGCTTCGCCTCGTCGTCCTTCGGATTCGACTCGTTCGGGTCCTTGCCTTCTTTGATAGCCTTCAGTATGCGCGCAGCATTCCATTTCGAATACTTGATTTTCACTTGCGTCTCGGCGTCCGGCAGGCCCCAGATGTTAACTAGCTGGAAGAAGGTGGCGGCGGCTTCGAAGGTGCTGGCTGTTTGTCTGTGTGTTTGGCAGTTAGCATACGTATACTTAGCGGCCTCCGGGCGGGTGAGGATCCGTACTGGGTGACCCGGTTCGCCTTCAGCGGACGAAGGGCTCTCTCGAAAGTCTCTTGCGCGAACTGCTCGACATATGCTTGGCCGGCGGCGTCGTCGAGGATCGCGTCGTTGCCGGCTTGCTGGTCCTTAGTCTGTAGGGAGAAGAGGGCTCATCGGTCAGCGGGTCGCCATCAGAGCAACGAAGGGGAAGCGCGCCCTGTTCCTCCCTCCATACCTTTTCTAGCTTTTCCATCAAAGTGGTGGTAAATTTCAGACAGTCGTCGTCTGCAGAGTGGAGTTGCTTCTCGAGAATCTGATTGACGGCCCAGTAGAGACCTAGCCGGTTCCCAGCGGTCAGCTCAGCTCCGCTCCGCTCACAGAGTCCCACGCTCTCGGACGGGCGCGAAGACAGTGGTAAGGCATACACCAATAGGACATAACCGGCTTCGCCGTCTCGAGCTGGGTGGCGCGCACGACGAAGGGCGTAATGCCGGCCTGTTTAAGCTTGGCAGGTATGTTGGCTGCCATGGTGAGATGCGCAGGCGCCGCGGCACGGAGAGCAGTCGGACGGTGGCAATGCGAAGGGGGGGTTGAATGTCGGTTGCGAGCAGCGTGCGAATGAGCGGGAAAGGTAGCCGTCCGCTGCGCTATGAGTAGGTATGTGATCGACCTAGGCACGCGGGGTGTATGTATAGACGAGCAGAGTAGAGCAGAGTAGAGATAAGTATTTTGGGCTTCGAGAGATTCCGGTTGAAGATGCGACTGCGATTGACCCGCGACTTATGAGTAGGCAACTTCGCCCAAGGTGCGTGGTAAATAAGGAGCTTACGCCACGGTGCTTATCATGCCTTATCGGGGCAGACAACCCCTCACCATCGAGCCACAGATCTACCCCGGCTTCGACTGCGAGCTGCCGCTGGCCAATCCATGAACATAGCGACCAGCTTGTAATTTGTATTTAGAGCTCGCAGCTCATGTACCGATTGGGCAATTCCGTGCCCGTAGGTATCGCTACTCCGGGTTGCCTATGGTACCTCTCGGTTACCCGCAATAGGCGTGACCGTCTATGCCTCCGTATCGAATATACCTACCTATAAAAATCACAATCAGCTAAAGAGTAGAAGAGGTGGTTCCTTTGATTCCCGATGCAATTCGGTATATTTCCCCCTTCCAGTACGCAGTCAAATCGTCTAGAGTCTTCTCCCGTGTTCGACGTGGTGTGTGGTTGAGAGGTAGGTAGGTAAGGCACCAGCTTATAGAGCACCTATGCATGTACATACAAGGTACACTGCCATGTACCTATCCGATGTAACCCAGCCGCCGTCCCGCACTGGCAGCACCAGCATCGGCAGCTGGCGAATGGCGTCGAATTTCCACCGTGGCCTTTTTCTCGATCGAGCAACCGGACAGCAACCCTACCGCCGGCCAGCCTTGTTATCCCCTCGACAGATGTCTGCCCACCTGCTCTGCTTCATTCTCCGGACTTGCATATCTGTCATGAACCCCGTTGGATATTTATAAACCCCATAGGCATACCCGCGTCTGCGAGGGAGGACCCGAGAGAGAAGCGAGAGTGATACGAGAAAGCCAGCAAACTTGACTGACCATTCGCCTTTTCATTTTTTTCCTTCTCTTCCCCCCCGATCCAAACTCACTCTGCACCAAGCTAAGGCTACCCGCGATCCTCGTCGGAAAGCTCCCCCACCACCTCTCTCTATCCCTCGAGTTTCCCTCGCTATAGCTAGGAGCCCATCGTAGTCGTCGGCGGCCGACCCGTCTTTCCATTTCTTTACGTCTCTGTCCGTCTCACCCGCGTAAACCACATAGTCGCCACCGTCCGTCCGTCCGCCCATCCGATGCATACCTTCGGCCTCAAACCCGCCGCGGCCGTGGCCGCTGTAGCCTGCCTCGGCTCCCTGCCGGCCGCGCAAGCTGCCCTCTATCTCAAGAGCTCCCCCGTAGTCCAGGTCGACGCCAAGGACTACGACAGGATAATCAACCAGTCCAACCACACTTCCGTAAGTCAGGTCCAGTAAAGTAAAAAGTCAAAAAAGCACCGTCTCGCTGACCGGGTCACCCTCAGGTCGTCGAGTTCTACGCGCCGTGGTGCGGGCACTGCCAGAACCTGAAGCCGGCCTATGAGAAGGCGGCGCGCAACCTCGAGGGCCTGGCGCACGTCGCCGCCGTGAACTGCGACGACGACGCGAACAAGCAGCTATGTAGCGCCCTGGGCGTCAAGGGCTTCCCCACGCTCAAGACGGTGCGACCAGGCAAGGGCAAGGGCGCCAAACCCCTCGTTGAGGACTACAATGGGCCGCGCACAGCCAAGGGCATCGTCGACGCCGTCGTTGAACGCATCAACAACCACGTCAAGCGCGTCACCGACAACGACCTCGACGCCTTCCTAGCCAAGAACAATGAGTCCGCCAAGGCCCTCCTCTTCACCGAGAAGGGCACTACCAGCGCCCTCCTACGCAGCATCGCCATCGACTTCCTCGACGTCATCACCGTCGCCCAGGTCCGCGACAAGGAGACTCGCGCCAACGAGCTCTTCGGCGTCGCTTCCTACCCGACCCTCGTGCTGCTGCCCGGCGGCGACCGCGACGGGCTCGTGTACGACGGCGAGATGAAGAAGGACGCTCTTGTCAAGTTCCTCTCGCAGGCCGGCTCGCCGAACGTGGACCCGGCCCCCGCGAGCGCTAAGCCCGCTGGCGAGAAGAAGAATAAGAAGAAGGCGGCGAAGCCGTCCGACAAGGACAAGAAGGCCAAGAAGGCGTCCTCCGCCAAACCCAGCGCCGAGACCGAAGCAGCGGAACCCGCAGATGAGGAGGAGACCCCCGTCGATGCCGCCACCGCAAAGCCGGTCGAAGCGGCGCCGCCCATCCCGGCGATCACCGACGCCGACGAGCTCGCGAAGCAGTGCCTGAACCGCAAGGCGCACACGTGCGTGCTGGCGTTCGTGCCGGCGGGCGCGCACGCGGACGAGGGTAGCGCGGGGTCACGGGCGCTGGCGAGCCTGGCGGCGCTGGCACACAAGCATGCGCTGAGCTCGCGGCGGCTGTTCCCTTTCTTCGAGGTGGCGGCCGACGGCGGCGCGGCGGCGCCTGTGCTCGCGGGGCTCGGGTTGGCGGGCGAGATCGAGCTCGTGGCGCTGAGTGGCAAGCGCGGCTGGTGGCGCCGCTACGAGGGCGCTGACTTCGGCCTCGAGAGCGTCGAGGCCTGGATCGACGCCATCCGCTTGAGCGAGGGCGTGAAGCATAAGCTGCCCGAGGGCTTGATCGCCGAGGAGGAGAAGAAGGCTGAGGAGACGAAGGCCGAGGAGACGAAGGCCGAGGAGACGAGGGTGGAGGAGAAAGAAGAAGAGGAGGAGAAACCGGCTGAGACGCCGGTTCAGCACGAGGAGCTGTAGATTCGCGGGACAGCGTTAGTTAGTGAGTGCGGGTTGGATGGTGCAGGGTATATATATATGATGCCGTGACTGCGCAAAAAGAGAGAGAAAAAGAAACCAAATATTCCGACGCCGCTCGTTCGTAACAGAAACCTTGGAGTTTACCTACCCGCACGAAGGAATTCGATTGAGACCGTGAACCTACCCGCCAACGCCAAACGCTACACGAATATGCCCCATCTACCTATCGTCTCGTCTCGTCTCGCCCCCTTTTCTCCGCCGCCATCTCATCATCGCTCTTCCATCCTTCGTTAATTTTTCCTCTTCCCTTTCCCCTTTCCCCCCTCCGTCTCCTTCTCGAGCCTATCCAGCACCTTGAGCGCCTCCTCCTGCGGCGCGTCCGCGTCCGAGTCCGAGTCCAAATCCATACCCACGTCCTCGTCGCTGTCGCCACCGCCCGTCGCCGGGACATCTGCGGCCCCGCCGAGGCCCTCGCCGGCCAGGACGCGGCGGCCGCGCCGCCGGACGGCGCGGTCGAGCTTGGCGCGCACGCGGGCGCACCCGTCGGCGGCGGCGGCCATCATGGCCTCGAGGCGGCGGGCGTCGGGGACGCGGGTCTCGCAGACGAGGGCGACGACGCGGTCGGTGGCGCCGAGCGTGGCGAGCGTGAGCCACGGCAGCTCGGTCTCCTCCTGGGCGTTGAGGTCGATGAGCGGGTCGGCGGCGTCGTCGGCGGCGGCCGCGGCGGCGCCGCCCCGGGCCGCCGGGGGCAGCGACGGCGCGCTGCCCGCCGTGCACGCGACCAGGTAGTCGGCCATGGGCACGCCCGCGTCGACGAGCGCGAGCGTCGCCGCGTTGAAGAGCGCCGCGAGCAGGCTCCCGTCCTGCGCGAGCACGTACAGAGACACGCCGATGGTCGACCGCGGGAACAGGTGCGTGTGCAGGTTCGCGGCGAGGCCGCGGCACACTGTCGTCTGTAGCTCTAGGATGCGTCTGCGGACCGGAGTGTTGCTGTCAGCGTAGGTGTGCGTCTAGCCTGCTTTTCTCGTGGCTTATCCGATGGGCGGGGGAAACGGGGGGGGGAGGAAGAAAGAGGGAGTCAAAAGAGAAGGCACATACTTGTCGTTGCGCGTCCTCTTCTTGCGGTCCACGGAGCTGAACCCGGCGACCACGATGCTCACGATAACCTCAGCGTTGCCCCCGGAGCCCGGGGCAGCACCACCGCCTCCACTCCCGCCGCCGCCGGCGCGCCTCTGCTGCTGTAGCTTGCCGTCCTCCGTTGGTCCCGCGACCACGCACATGACCTTGGTGTTCCCCATCTCTAGGTATGAGGACCCGTCGGCGGAGGCCTGGGTCCGCATCTGGGCGCGCATTTGACGTAGCTCATTCCACCGACGGCCGTCGACGCGGAGCAGGGCAAGGCCGTATGCTGATGTGTCGAGAGGCATGGTGGATGGTTGTATGATTATTTATTCCCCCTTCCTATTCTTATGCCTCTCTCTCCTTCTTCCGCTCTCTCGCCTTGCTTGTTCGCCAAGGAGAGACTTGCGGAGAGTGAGAGACGGCACTCGAGTGCTCGATCCGTTTACGGAAATTGTGAATGGGGCGAGGCAGGTAGAGACTTGAGAGTCGAACCTTGGAAATCGCTGCCTTGAAGACAGCTTAAGGAGCGTAAATTGGGTGAACACAAGACGGTGTAGGCGGGAGCTTTAAGGTCGGAATGTACCTGGGAGAGGTCGTAATGCCTACTGTACCTACGAGAAGTACTGGAATTCTTAGTGGGGCAGATAAGCAGATAAGATTAGGCAGAGACGAGGGTGTTATGCAGATTCAGATTATTGGATTAGCGATGGGTTCGGCGCGTGATACAGGTAGTAAGTTACCTGCCACCTGCAACCGTCTCATATACCCAGGCAAAACTCATATTACATATCCTGGGGTGAGTAAATCCTTGGATATCATTCCGTTACCTAAGTGCTAGATTTCATATTTGTGTAGAGTTTCCTAATGTGTATGGATAGAGGAGAATGTTATAATAGCGCATGACCGCGACCGAGAAGAGCGGACGCAACGCTAACTTGCCGGATGTAGGACCACGAGTTCCTCCCACCATCCCTATAGTGTGAACCACTACATTCGGGAATGGCAAGCGAGCGAATGAATGAGAGGCGAATGTAGATAAGACCTTTCCTGCCTACCTGACCAGTAGAGCCATCCCGTCATTACCATCATAACCAATTGCCACGGGCTGAGCCTTGCGTTGTCCTCGCTCGTCGAGCAGGACAAGCCTTCGACCCTAACCCAAACCCGACCCGAGCGCCGTGACCTGCCCTCATTCCCCGCCCCATCTCACACCACCACCATGATACTAGGGCTCCCCTGGGGCACGAAGAGCGGCGCACCGAAGCTCGGCGCTGGCTTCTTCTCCACTTCCTCGGCGTCGGTCCAGCCCCGTTCCTGGCCCCAGGTAATCCTGAGCCCCCTCGCGGTCACGACTTCGAGCAGGCCGCGCATGAGCAGTCCCGACTTCCTCACGCTAGGCCGGGCGTCGAACTCGACGTGGCCGACCCACGGCATCTCGGCGAGGACATCGGTAAACAGGGTCTTGGAGAAGCGCTCGAAGAAGTTGTCCGGCTGGCGGAAGCCCTCGAAGTAGTCCATTCCCGGATCGCATTCGACGTAGACGGCAAGCTTCGTGACATTGATGCAGTCCGATAGGCCCAGTGCCGGGTTGACGACCCAACTACGGGGCGGCTTGCTCCAACCGGGCCCTAGGCGCAACTGGAGCGTCGTGATGAGAGCCCGCTGGTTCGGCAGCATGCGGGCCAACAGCGGCTTCTTGGTCTTCAAGAAGCGTCCGTGGTTTGTCGGAAATATGCGCACGTGGAAAGTGCTATAGAAGTAATAGGAAGCCTCCCGGTATACCGTCCGACAGGTTCGCAGGATGGCCAACTTCCGATGAATCCTCTTGTAATTATCCGGGTCGAGGTCTAGCACCTCGCCGACGCCGGCGAAGTGGTAGTCGTAGACTCTGAGCCGTAATTCGGACGGAAGGTCGAGGAATCGAAAGGACTTCAGCTTCTTGCGGCCGGGTTTGGGGGGGTTGACGATCGATCCACCGAGCGTAAGCGCGGCGAGAGATAGCTTTGACTCTGTATCGTATCCATCATACTCGGTTTCCGAAGCATAGGTAGAAGGCAAGGCCGAGCTGAGAGGAGTGGCTGCTCCCGACGAGACGGGACACGGGCCTGGAGCCACGTGAGCTGCCCGCGACCTCTTGGTGGCACCCCCCCTGCGCGGCATCTTGTGCAAAATCGGGTTGCGTCGGCGCTCTGGCGTCACGCAAGAAGCGGAATAATTCGACCAGTAGGACAGGATCGGCGTATAGGTCGGAGTCACGCGACAATTCTGGTGTTGGAGAAGGAAAGGCGACAGGGAACGGGAGGTCCGGTCGAGTGGGCTCGCAGGATGTTTTGTAGAGACAAGCTCAGCAGTTTGTAAATCTAGGGCAATTGGTTAAATCGAGAGGTAAGGTGGCATCGCGAGGGTGGTGCCATCGTGATGCATCGACGACTGGACAACCACCCTCTAAAATGCAGCACTCTTGGCTGCCATGGCGAAGGATGTAAGCGAGGAAGGTAGGTATTTGGTGGGAGATGCAGAGACGTGGTCGATAGAGAAAGGGGGGGGAGGAAGAAGAAGGGTGAAATAGGCTAAGAGCCGGCAGCGGAAATAAATAAAGGGGAGAGGGAGAGAGGGAGAAGTAAGTAGTAGCACCAGGGAAGAGGAATCATTCACTGCTGCTCGGGAGTAGAAAGGAGGGGGGAGAGCGGCAGGAGGAGGGAGATGAAGAGGGACAAGGTACAGGGAGAGGAATCGGCACCTTAGATTGGCCACAAACCCACAGCAGGCTAGGCGGGCCAAGTCAAGCCGGGGAGGACAGCGAGAGAGGAATTTGGGGTTCTCTATCGGGACGTGACAGGACCGGGGGAGGGTGAAGGGGATGGGAGAGGGCTTGGCTGGCGAACGCGGTGACGGTGACGGGGAGATGTTACGTTGACACCTTGAGGTTGGGGTTGCGTCAGAGACGACGAGGTGGGCTGAGCGGACAGCGGCGACGAGGTCAAGTGATGTGATTTTGGGGCAGATGTCGGAGCTAACCGAAGAGGGACTGGAGGTTGGAGCCATGGCCCGAACTGGCGACGACACGATTCCTCAGCAGAGTCGAACCGCCATGACGTGATGTGCTTTGGCCTCGTAGGCAGGCAACTCTCAGCGGGCTTCGGTGGTCTTACGGCGGCTCTCAGGGGGGTTCAGCGTACATAAATAGGGCCACCACAGGTACCCCTTAGGTACCTAAGGCCCTGCAAGGCGAGGCGGCCTCTGCGCTTCCCGCTATACAGGTCGAAGCGGGGCCCTTTGGCGGAGAAAGTTATAGCCGAGTTACCGAAACAGCAGTCATGGACTACCTCGGGGTCGGCCCTGGCACAAGTACCTCTAAAAGTACCTAACAGGTAGGTACTTCCTATTCAGGTACCTTAGCTAATTTGCACCTCTATTATGTAAATATAGTAGAGGTACCCAGGTACCGTAGCGCTATGGAGGGGCAGACGGAGGCTTCCAGAACCGCACCGCGGCCGCACACCGCAGTAGAGCGAGACCCGCGTCGCTTGTACCTTGCAGCGCCAATCCGCCCGCACATATACATGCACCGCAAGTACCGGCAGAACACCGGCAACCTCGAAAAACCTGCCATGAGCTGGAGGAGGAACAACAGTGACATCAAGCACAAGGAACAGCTCCGTGCCGCAGAAACCAATGCCGTCGGCGTAGAAGGCGAAGAAAAAAAAAAAAACACCCCAACAGCCCACCGATTAATCCACTCAGCGCAATCCACCATACCTACTTCGCCCTCCCCTTCCCTTCCACATATCCGCGACAGCACTACCGCCCCGGCCCTTCACCTAGCTGCGGCCCGCTCCCATCTTGTCTAGCCTCCTCTTTGTTTTCTTGCTGAGACGATTGGAACGCTGCCAATTGAAGTCGCCAATCGCCCGGATCCTCCCCTCCCCGCGCGAGCTTTGGCATCCGCCGCCATGCTATCCAGGGCTCTCGCGCGCTCCGCGCGATTGGCGCCGTTATCGCCCAGATTGGCTATAGCAACCCCGATGGCCTACAGAATAGCGAGGCCGACATACACCATATGGGCACGAGGCATGGCCAAGACCAGGCGGCCGCCAAAGCCCCGATCGCCGGACCCTGACCCGAGCCAGAAACCGGCAAGCGAGCCGCAAGCAACCCCAGCCGATGCCGGGTCTGACCAGTCCCGAGCCGAACCCAGCTCCGGTCCCGATTCGCCGCCCGAACAACAACCCACCCAAGACACCCTCTCCCAGCACGACACGAGCTCCCTCCCCGACCTCACCCAGGGCATCCCGTCGACGCTCAAGTACGAGACCAGCGGCGCTACCAACAGATCGGCGCTTGCCACCCTCGAGCAAGAGACACCCGAGACGGAAGCCGGCGCTGGCGGTCGCGCGCGCGGAGAGCTGCCCGCCTCGGCATACATCAGCTCGACGGAGAAGCGCAGGGCAAAGGTGGCCAATCGCCTGTATCTCCTGTCGCTGCTCTTTGGCGTCGCCGGGCTGGGGTACCTAGGCCGAGACTGGGACGAGGAAGAAGCTAGGGCGCACTCGGATATCCCCAACGGTTGGGCCATCGGCCTGTGGTGGAAACGCATGATGGCCCGTTTCGGAGACGTCCGAAACTACTACAGCGAACCCGCCTTCACCAAGCTGCTACCCGACCCCGACCCCATGTTTGAGCGGCCCTACACCCTATGCATCAGCCTCGAGGACATGCTGGTACACAGCGAATGGTCGCGCGATCACGGCTGGAGAGTCGCCAAGCGCCCCGGAGTCGACTACTTCCTGCATTACCTCAGCCAATACTACGAGTTGGTACTTTTCACGAGCGTTCCGTTCGTCATCGCGGACCCTATCGTCCGGAAGCTCGATCCCTTCCGGTTTATCATATGGCCCCTGTTCAGGGAAGCCACCAAGTACAAGGACGGCGAGACCGTCAAGGTGAGCCCCGCCGCATCTCCTCCTAGCCGCCTCACGGACCAGCGGTTGCCAAGTCGCTAACGCGCAATGCCCACGCAGGATCTCTCCTACCTCAACCGTGACCTCTCCAAGGTCATCATCATCGACACGAAGGCCTCTCACGTTCGGGACCAGCCCGATAACGCGATCGTGCTGCCTCCGTGGACCGGCGACCCGAAAGACAAGGGCCTAGTCGCGCTAGTCCCGTTCCTCGAATACATCCACACGATGCAGTACAAGGACGTACGGGAGGTGCTGCGGTCGTTCAAGGGCTACGACATCCCGGAGGAGTTCGCGCGGCGGGAGGCAATCGCGCGGGCCGACTTCCAGCGGCAGTTCGAGTCGCGGCGGCCGCCGCGGAAGAGCGGCATAGGGGCGCTGGGCAACCTGCTAGGGCTGAAGCCGGGCAGCATGAGCATGGTGGTGCCGGCGGAGGGGGAGCAGAGCGCGTCGGAGGCGTTCGCGCAGGGCAAGATGCTGCAGGACATCGCGCGCGATCGCGGCCGCCGCAACTACGAGATGATGGAGCGCGAGATCCGCGAGAACGGCGAGCGCTGGCTCAAGGAGGAGCAGCAGGCCAACGAGAAGGCCCAGGCCGAGGCCCTCAGCAGCATCAAGACCTCCTTCACCGGCTGGTTCGTGCCGACCTCCGCAGCCGCCCCCGGCGCGGCCGCGGCAACGGCGGAGCAAAGTGCCGCAGCTGGGACGGGGCCCGCCTCGGCAGCCAAGAACTAGGCGTGTGCGGCGGCAACGTGTAGACGGCGAAGCATCCGTGCGCAATCACGACGGTGTGCATGAAGGCGGGGAGGGGGCGAGGAAGGGGGGCTTGTGTACCGATATACGGGGAAAACGAACTATACGATAGAAGGGCGGGGGAGGGCAGGGGAGGGCCTGTTCACCACGGCTGTCTGCATCGCTCGTGTGCATTATACGGGGTGCCGGGGGAAGGTTTTTTTTTTATATAAAAAAACAACGATTCAAGCCCTGCGAGAAGGGGTAGGCGGCATAATGGATGGATAGATGGATGCGCACAGCGGACCAGCCACGCCGCCTTCGCCGTCGCCTACTCCGGCTACTACCGCCGTTACTATTATTATTACTACTACAACTGCGACAACCCCCAACCACCACCACCACCACCACCGCCACCATTACTACTACTACTACTACTACTATCAACCCCCCCCTACTACTACTACTGCTACTACTAAAACTCTACTCTTGCGGCGGATCCATGTAATCGGTGTTATTTCTGCTTCCTCTGCTTCGTGGTTTGCATCGGCAGGATATCAGGCCTGGGGAGGAAAATAGGGGCGAAGGGGGTATCGTCCACAGGGCCCGGACGCGGAAGGGGAGGGCAAGGGCGAGGAGAAAATAATTAGGTACCTAGTGAAGGGATGGCAGCATGTGTTCGAGTCGTCAGGTGGATGTGTAACTTGTAATATACCTATAGGTACTGGACGCTGGGAGGAGGCAGCAGTGAATAGTAGAGCGGGTTGTGCCTAATAGTAGCTTCTTGGCCGGTCTAGGCCTGGGCGTATAGATGGAGGAATACGAAGGCGGATCTGTGAGCTCGGTTATAGAGAGGGCCTACGTCCCCTCTAGTCGTATTCAAGCGCAACTAGGTGGGATGGTCTGTAGGCAAATGCGGCAATGGGTGGTTGCGTATGGGGGCGGGTGGTAGTCATGACTGTTAATCGTTGATCAGCGCCTGGGGCAGCTGTATGTAGCAGTTGTTCAGTCTCGGTTCCGAAACCACACTACTCTACATTGTCCCTCTCTAATACGAATCGCTCCTGAACTACTTACCTTTATAGTATTGCGTAAGCTAGGCCCTACTTAACATCCTCTTACCGATAGCCTCGAGTTGCTGCGATAATTAGGCTCGAAACGGAGGTTTTAGCGCCAAGATCGCCCGTACGGAATTGTGATATCTCAAGTCGCATTGGCGTTTCCAACAGCCGGATAGAGGCGATAGGGGCCTGCGTAAGCCTAGGTATTTAACCGCCGTTTCGGGGTCGGCTTGGTTGCCAAGGGAGGCCCCGATCGGGTCCGGCATCCCCCTGCGATTGATTGCCGTGAATTCCAAGAAAGTTGCGGTCTTGGCCAATGGAGAGGGTCACGTCTTTCTTTCTGTAAACGGTGTTGTGTGTTGGCCGTTACTTTTCCGAAGTAGGTCAACGCCTGTTCTTATAGCAATTTCGGCTCCTTAACACCGCGTTTGAACCGATATTACAACTTTCTTATCGCCGAAGAAGGGGTGAAACTCCTCGACTTTGGACGCTTTCGGGAGAACGCGAGCCCTAAGTGGATGGGCAAGGAATTGGAGAATCCGCGTCCGGGATTGGTCGACGAGTCGGGACGCGATAGAGGTTTCAGTTTCTATGGCTCTGGCAACTGATCTTGAGGCTTGAGATATACTAGCTAGCTGCCTCTTTAGTTGATAATACTAGCTAGCCAGCAAACTTGGAAATTACCACATAAGGAATCCCACCTGTAGTATAGTCCTACGTCTCCAAACTAGAACCTGTAGGCGTCTACGCTTTCACTTAATAGCAAGGTTATAGTATCTGTTTTGAAAAGATTGGATTTCTTTCAAGGGGTGACAAATTTTCAGCAGTGCCCCAGAAGGAAAAACTCGTCGTCCTTATCCGCTCCTATCCGCCAGCAGTCTCAGCCTCCTGATGCGGCAATACGCCCTGAGAAACCTGTGCCTTAAATCACAGCAACAGTTCCAAACTCACCTAGAGCCTTAAATAAGGTATAGCACTCTCCCCTCTCGCTATATCCGCGCAACGGAGGCTTGAATATACCTACCCGATGAAACTCCTCTGAGTTTGCGACCGGACGCAGGATGAGGCCGAAAGCAGCGCCTTCCTCCGATAGTTCTTCTGGATCAGACTCTTCTCTTGAGGTAGGCTTTTCAGCTGGGTTGCGCTCTCCATTCCAGTGAGTCCCATTCTCTCCATCGGGTTCCTCCTCTGGGCTGAGCTTTCCATCCCCGTCAGGCTCATCATCATCTTGATTGGGCTTCTCCTCTGGTTTACGCTCTCCGTACTCATCAGGCTCATCGTTCTCGTCAGGCCCACAGTACTTATAAAGCTCATCGTCTCCATAAAGCTCATCGCCCTGGCTACCGAGTAGGACCCATCTCAAGGACCCAATGTTTACAGCAATAGCTTCTGCCTCATCCTTATCTTCCCAGGGTTGGTGATCAGGATATGTCGTGTATCGGAAATCCAAATTGAACCATCCCACCGTTGCCTTGTCGTATTTTAGTGTATATAAACACTCTCTCCCATCGTTAGCGTCAGTCCCGCATGACACCTTTGATGTATCCAAGCGCGAGAAATCGAGAATGTAGCTTGTGATTGTAAGTCTCCCACTTTTGATGGCCATAAAGGCGTTTGCATCTGTCCCTTCATATTCGACCTCCGGTTTCAACCTTGCCTCACGGCGAAGGTCGTCGCATAAATAATATACGTGGCAGAAAGTCGGTTTATAGTAGTCCCGACCCAGCATACTCCACGATGGGGCAACGTAAATTCGGTCGGGGAGTAGAACTTTGTCTGGCGGTGGACGGTTTCTCTCATTCTGGCCATATATAGTCAGCCACATCAGGCTTTCTAGGAGGTCTTTTTGCCAGAATCCAGCAATGTATTGATCTCGCAAACGATCGTGAAAGGCTTGAGCCAATCCTGCCAGGCCAGGCAACCTATCAGTAGGATGTGTGTAAGACTTCAACGGACTTATTGATGCATATTTTCTCAATATTTCACGCCAGAGACGGTAGACCCATTTATGGGAGGTCGCCATTAGCATCTCGGACACCCCGGGATGGTACGGGAGATCTTGTAGTTCTCGGCCGATCCTACGGCTCCTCCAGTCGCAGTAGAAATATAGGTAAGAATTCCCAAAGACTATCCGGCACCTAGAGGAGTATCGCTCCTGGAATACCCAGCCACGATTTGCCCACGATACATCTGACAAATCGTATTCTTCGACATCCCAAATCGCACCACCCATAGACTCTATATCATATATAGAAGCTTGGGCGTACTTGAACTGTAGGTTGAAAGAGCCCTGTATACCCTCCCTGCGATGTGATTTGAAGGGCATGCTGATTTGATTGCCCCGCTGGCGCAGGAAGCCTTCGCTGCAGGACATAGAAGAGGCAGCGCAAAGAGTAACCAGTGCGCTGTTATAAATCATGGACATTTGAGGTGACTGTTCCTCCCAGTCCCTCTGGTTTTGTTGTATGATGCAAAACGCGTCGACCCAAAGGTAGGGGATACCTAGCTTCCGTGTTATAACAACGGCATCTTTGATGACAGGTGACATCTCAGTAAAATTGATACGTTCCCGCATCCTGTTGAAGGTGTTGTCTGTTGTTTTAAGATACCGGTTGTGATCCTGTGCAGGGCCCCAGCAATAGCTTAAAGCAGCGTATTCTGGGATCTGGGAAGAGGACGAGGGTGATTGATATTCTCCATGGAGAACCAGCCGTAGGTTCCCTTCAGTGACATCAATAAGTCTGGCTGGGGCGAAGGATTTGTTTAATAACATGTACCGGAAGCCTTTATACCTCAAGTCTCGTCCCATCCATTCCACGCAGGTATCGCTCGAGTAGTCTTGACTTAATGGGCGTCGTAAGCCGAGCCAGTCAATTGCAGCCTTAGTACCTTTACAAATATCCGTCAGTTGTATGATTGTAATCAAACTTGGATGGTATAAATACCGGAATGAGAGTCTTTACCTGATACTTGTGTGGCATAACAACGAAAATAAAACGGCGTCTCGACCCCTTCCATATCCAGCCGGATCAATAATCCTTCCAGCCAACAATTGTTTTTCTTTGCATCAAGCGATTCAAACCTCCGAGAGCCGCTTTTTCTTTTTTGTTTCGGGTGTGGTAAAAAGGGCCATCGCATCTCTCTAATCGCCATAAGATCCAGAATTGGCGGAAGTTGTGGGTGGCTTCGATTAACTCTAGACTCTTCTTCTGAGTTAGGATCGTCATATTTAGCGCCCTCCCCCCAATAGTATGCCACAGATATCAGTACAAGACATGGGCCTAAGGCCATTAGGTTCTTCCCAGTGATGCCCCTTGTCATGTAATCGGCGTCAGGAGACGAGATGATAGTGCGTAGGAACGAACAAAAGTCACATTGCTTGCTCGAAGATTCAAGCGCTGGGAGGTTGGGTATGGAGTCTCTCCAGATTTCGCGAAAGTCTTCCCGATATTCTTCGTCGGGAAACACCAGAAATCGACGTCCGCCCTCACTCAAGCCTTCCTCGAACAGATCTTGGCCATCATCAAACAAAGCTCCGCTGCACTTTTCACACAGCCTCGCAACGTTAGGTTCAGGGTTGGGGGGAGGGGGAGGCAGAGCCTGGCCCTGCTCTTACGTAGACATGCTGAGTGGTAACGTGCGGCGAGACGATCCAGGACCGAAGCAACTCCCACTAGTAAATAAGGGCGACGGAAGTGCTAGCTGCAGCGGAAGAGACGAGCCAGCGTGTAAGCAAGAGACAACTTGATATAGACGGTAGCCGTGGGAAAAAAAAGAAGATAATAGCAAGCCTGGTGGTGCTCTGTGGATCAACTACTGCCACCGGAGGGAGACAGCTGACCTGTAATATATACCTGAAATCATGCTCATCTGCGGCCGAGGCAAGTACCTCGCACGCAGCCGCCTCCACTCCGCTCCCGTCTCTTGCCCTCCTTCCTAGACACTCCGACGATCTAGTCACAGCCCGCATGCCAAACCTCAGCTACAGGGTAGCAATATGATATCAGATCAACGGGACATCTGACCGGACAAAACGCGAGCCTACAAATCGTATACGGGCCCGTATGCAACGCCCATCTCCGGAGCAAGGATTCTCACGTAGAAGGCTATACAGCCTGCCTCACGATGTACCACCCGGCGCCGAGGTGAGCATGATATGTATCCAACCAGCGTCGTCGAGCGTTATTATTAAATGTGTACTATTGAAATCAGTCCACACGCAGCGGTCGAGATCACGGCGGTTATCGAGGAACTGAGCGAGTTACTGACGTCGCTTGCCTAAGAACTCGATTCCGATCGCGTGGGGAATATCTACGGGAAGCGCACGAGGACGAGTGGTTAGACGGAAAGAGCCGTGATAGATACGTAATGTTATCTCTTTTATTCGTCCTTTTCCATGCTCATTATCCGTCAGGTTATGTGACACCCACACACTCAGCGCGATGGGTAGATAGCGGTAGAGAGCTCCCGCGAAAGCCGATGATCCCATCCATCCGACCTCCCGTCTATGTTGCTCGCTGTGATACCAAAAGGAGGTCCCGGTTAATACATATGTACATATATAGATATCTAGGTTATACAATGATATAATATGGCGATTCTGTGCCTTTTGCCGCCGTGTTGGAGCCGTAGAGTTGTGGGATGGTATAGCCATCAAAATTGTTCGGTGTTTGTTGTGAACGTTATCAACTCCCAACTGTCGTGGGAGTCTTTCTGCAGGTAGATAATCCACGTATGCTGAAGCCCGACAACTACCGCGCTAGTTGTCCTGTTGAAAATTGATTCTTATCTCGGCAGAAGATAAGAATCAAAGCATCCTAAGAGCTGCCTCCGCTACGAAATACTTTTGTTTGGTTAGTTTTGCGAGGCTCGACGTTCGGAGGGGTGGTATTTCCTAAGTACCGCCGCCAACTCCGTTAGAAAAGAGCAATAACGGCCATTGCAAGTTTGTCGCAGTCGTTGTAGGGGTACTGTTCATGTCTACTCCTATACCCATCTCGTTCGCCCCGCTGTCGTCAACATTGTCGCCCGGCCGCGGACCGGAACCACCTAGAGACATCAAGGCACTGGCGCTGTACCTGTCCTGATTGTCGACAATCGCGGCTGTCCAGTCGTGCCAGGTGTTCCCGCCTGTGGGTTGTGAACGCCACATCATATCCGATTGTGTCATCTGCGTTGCTTGTGTGGCAAATGCCGCCAGTGGGTTATGATCCGGAGCCTGAGCCTGAGCCTGGGCCTGGGCCTGGGCCTGAGCCTGAGCTTGAGCCTGAACCTGAGCTTGAGCTTGCGCGTGGGCATGCGCTTGTGCGTGGCTTGCGGCCACATGGCTAGCTGCCTGGGCATATAGGAAAGAGTTATCGGAATCGTAGGCTATGGTATTCGTTGGGTGAGGCGTAGAATCTGCATATGGCATCGAGGAATATGGCGCAGGCTCGGGTGGAGCTTCGGTGTAATAATTATTGCGAGACGTCGAGATGACGTGGCCCGCTGCGTTGTTCACCACTTCAGCGTCGCTATGGCCAGCGATGGTGTTCGTTGTGGCGGACATGTTAGTATAGGATGGCGAGTGAGGTGATTGCTTCGATATGTCTTGTGGCAGTTGTGCCTGTGGCACCGTCTCGGCGGCCTTTTGGCGGTCATGCTCTATCCAAGCAATAGTCCGCTCGATTATAGAGGATACAGCATCGTGGTGACCCATACCGCTCCCTAAGAAATCGAGCAACAAAGTTAGCGAGCTTGAGGGCGCGGGTCGGCAAGAGGATCGCGAACTGACCCATGAGATTACCCGTCTCGGCCAGGATACTTAACCAAAGGTTCATATCCTCTCGAAGGGCTTGCACTTCGGCGGAATTCGTGCTATGCCTCCTCTCCCAATGCGCAACCAGGGTCGAGAAAATCGCAGCGATATATATCGCAAGACAATACCATGTCGTGTCGAGCGACTTTAGTCGGTAAAGCTTATGGACGGTCATAAGCATCTCCTTTGACGTCTCTTCGCATATTCTCGTGTTTTCAGCCAGCAGTTTTGCATCATTCGTCGCACAGGCGGCGGGGTGGCGTAAGGTGAGTTCTACGGCAGTTAGACGATCATCTTCCGCTGTAGGAGGCTGGGAGAGTGGGAAACAAGAAGAGAGTACGCGATGCCGGGGGGGGGGGGCTGCTTACTAAGTTCGAGCACCATCCATTCTGCCCACAGGGCAAACATAGAATTCCCGGGGTGGGTCTGGTCGAGTCTCAGGCTCGGAGGGAGGCTGTCTCGCAAGGCCTGGAGCTGCTCCTCGATGGCCTCGACCGCGGGCAGATAGTGATTCGGATCCCGCTTCACGCAGTATATATTGGAGTACATGGCAAGAAATAATGTGGAGATTCTGAAGGAGAAAACACCAATCTCAAAGGGACACCTGACTGAGCTCGTGGTATCAACGCCGTCCTCGGTAATGAGCTCATCGGCTATCGTCTCGGGGAATTCGGTGTCGATGTCCTCCAGCTGAATCGGCATGGGCTGTCCCATCCGACCATTCAGCGTGACGGACGTAGCAAGGAGGATCCACCATATCCTCTTACGAAGCTCGTTCTCTAGGTTCGTTCCTTCGCCCGGTTTCTTCCAAGCGCGATGCAGGCCGAACTGGATGGCCAGGCCCAAGGTATAGTTGCTCAGTATGTTGCTGGTACTGGATTTAGGGAATCGCATTGTGTGCGTGCAGAGCATGGTCAGAGCTTGGATGTCATACAATGTTTTGGATATGATTAGGTCGAAGAACTTGCTCAATGCGAAGTGATAATGCTTATTCGACAAGTCGTTTAACCGAGCCCTCTGTTCGGGCTGCTCCCGATTCCGAATCCCGTACTGCAGGTAGATGGAGGCGAACACCATATGGACCATAGTTGTCTCAGCCACCGTAGGCTCGAAACCGGGATCATCGTAGAGGCGTGCTAACTACGGAGAATCAATCAGCACCGGATTAGACCGGGCACCACCAGCGACAAGCAGCAGCAGCATTCTTACCAGGGCGACGAAGGTGGGTTTGTGAAGAACCGGGTGGAAGGGATATATCATTAGAAAATACCACTCGGCGTAGGTGAAGGCGTCAGACCTCGGGGGTAGATCTGCCAGTGGGAGCGGGTTGATGTTCCAGCTGGATTGCAGCATAGCCTGAACAGATTTGTTATACAAGGGCGACCGCGCTGCTGCGTCAGGAGGCGGTTCGTCTATGTCAGGAGCGTCAAAAGCGCCGATATCTATGGTGCTGCCGAGAATAGACAAAGCCGTGCCCTTGATGGAGCTTAAGGGGGCTTGGTCGGCGCCGACGCCTATGTGAGCGTCTGCCGGCTTCGGGTCGTCGGTAGAACGCAGGGTATTCGTGAAAGGTATCTTGTATGGCAGATCCTTCACCCAGGAAGCTGGTGCCGGCTGGGTCCATTGCGGGTTTGCTGCCGAGTCCTGCAGCTGGCTTGCCGCGTTATCAGGAGCACCCTCGGGAGTGACACTGGTAGCCGGGTGGGACGACTGGCGAAACGGCTTAACCTCAACGCCATTGTTGTGGAGGAGGTTCTCTAACTCTCGAATGCGGTTCAACATATCCGTCTTCTCGCGCTCCAGCTCCTGCATGTACCCTCGCCTTTCCGTCCGACCAGTGACTCGATCGGTCACGTAGCATTCGAGACTTTGGTTTATGCAATGCGAGCAGCCCTCGGGCAAGGCATCGCACCGAATCTTGCGAACCTGGAGGAGCGGCGTCAGATCCAGCTAGCAGAAGAGATGGGCGGGGATGCTGGTGCTTTCTGGCGAGGATATGGCAAGCCCAGACACGAGAGTCCTTCTCCGTCAACTTCCTTGGACGGTATGCGGAGGGGCACAGGCGTAGGACGCGACTCGCAGGTAGAGGACATACCTTGCACCGATCGCATGCTTGCCCGGTTCGTGTGTACGACTGCAACTTGCTCTTGACGACGCTGGAAAATTCATTCGGCGCGGTGCGATCGTGGTCGAGGCGAGGTAGCTTGCATTTCGTCCCCGTACTCGCAGCGGCCGCAGGATCGGGAGGATCGATGTCGGGAGCATCGCCAGACCGTTTCGGCGGACGGCCCAGAGGCATGGCGACGCGAAGGCCGGCGAGAGGCCGCGACGAGGCGAGGAACGATGGGAGATTATGGAGAGAGAGAGAGAGAAAATATGAGGTATTATGAAATTTAAGAATAAAATAATACTACTAATACTACTAATAATAAATAATAATGAAATGTGATAAAATAAAGGTTAGGAAAAGAAGGTGCAGGCAGTTGTTGGCGTACAATGGTTGGACCTTCCGTGGCCCGCGACAAATGAGAAAGCTTAAACCTAGCGACCGGAGGGCAGGTACGGGCGAGGTCGAGGAGAGAGGGAAGGAGAGAGAGCGCGAGAGAGGGAAGGGACAGCGGGCGAAGGTTGCCTGACTAAGCTGGCAGGTACCTGAGGCAAGGTATATATACCTCTTATAGCTCTACCACGCAGAACTGCGCGCGCCGGAAAGTCAGGACCGGTCCTGTCCCGACGACATGGATGTACGAATTGATCTGCTGGGCAGGAGGCGGATAGCCTGGTCGATGGGACGGTCGAAGATGGCAGCCTATCTCGGCGTATATGGATATAGAGTGCGTATATAGAGAGGCATGTGTAATATATATTGGTGTGGGCGCGAGTGTGTGTACTATATGTGGGTGGGTGGGCTGGTAGATGTGGATGTGGATGTAGGATGGAGGGTAGAGTGAAGTAAAATGAGAAGGACAGAATGAAATAACCTAAATTAATAGAATGGGAATAGCAGTAGTTACGGCGACGATAATAGTAACCAGCGGCCGGCTTAGGACAGCTCGGCATATCTATACAGGCCGCGGGTAAGACGAGAAGTAGAAGGACGGGAGATACGCAACAGAGGTATAACATAGAGACTTGATGGTCTAGACTTGCCAATGCATTCCCAACTTACTGGTTACCTGTGTGTAAGTGGGTGCCCAGGGTATCGGTATGGGCGTAGATGCCAACAACCCAGCCTGCCGCGTGCTGTGAAGATATGCAATGCACACCTCCATGCCCGTGCCTAATTGCCTTATCTACCTACCGACATAACTGAGACACATGCCTACCTGACTAACTAACTACACAGCATACTACGTGGTAGCCTGTCGTGGGAGAACAGAGCGCTTGACACACTACGTGGTTGCGTCGACGCACCACGGACCCCCAGGACCCGTGCGCGCCGAGAAGCAGGACGAGAAGAAAATCGCGTATGTATAGCCACGCTGTCGGGCCAAGTCTCGAGATAGACGACGATGCTCGAGAAGCACATCATGCCCTAGGGATCGGTCCCGACACGACCAAGCTATGGGTGTGGGGACGGCGAGCGCGCACCGCGGATCCAGGCTGTTGGCGCTAGGCAAGGTACCATCGGATTTGTGCTCGACCGACTTCACCGTCCCTCGCCTGGGGGGGCCACTAGTGATACCTACCTGGAGCCGTCTCGCGCATTGACGCGACAACCTCGGACGCAAGGAGTCGAACCTCGGCAGGGTGACCCCGTCTAGAACCGCGGAATCAGGAAAATGATCGACGACGAGAAGAAGAAGTGGGGGGGGGGAAGGGTTGTGAGAGAGAGAGAGAGAGAGAGAGAGAGAGAGAGACAGAGAGAGAGAGAGAGAGAGAGAGAGAGACAGAGAGTGACAGAGAGCGACCGAAAAGCTAGCAGGGACTTCTCTCTCTCTCTCTCTGCCTTTTTCCTTGTATGTAGTCTACGTGGCTCTCAAGCTAACGGCCTAAACTAACGGCCTAAACTAACCAGCCTAAGTCTTTCAGAGAGGTAGGCAAGTTGAGTAAATACCAGGTACCTACCTAGGTACCTACCTACATGCCGAACGCAACGGACAACTGGCGGACAAGGATCCATCCATGGACTGCTGTACCCATGTTTACACCTACATACAGGGTACAAATGTAGGGAAATATTCACATGCCTCCCGTCCATACAGGATGAATCCAGCGCATGTAACAATAGTTGCACTCATGAGCACGGATCTGTATAACGTTCCCCTTCGTGTATACAACCACATACCTCTATAAACCCCTAAATGAAAAAGAGGAAGGGGAGAGACATCCACCCCGTGATGCCCGGCATCCTGCAGGAGCTCTGCGGTTCTTGGCTATGCATGCACATCACACCCATGTCCACAAGGCATACCTGAACACAGACACATGGGGGGGTAGGTAGCGCCAGTCGGGACGAGAGAGCTGTCGAATCTTCACACACCCACCTCTACCCGAGACGGAAACCTGCCCAACATCCAGCTATGCGTATGTAGGCACATCTCCCTACGCCGACAGGCGGTTCTAAAAAGATACGTGGCGCTGGCTCCCGTCTCGCGCCGGCGCATGCGAATAAACGTCTGACGACAGGCGTTGGCGTGGCGTTGGCCATATCGGCATCTCCTCCTCGTCGCTAGCGGCTCGCGGACCCCAGGCGCAACCCACTACGTCCTTCGGCGAAATAATTGGTTAGCGTGCGGCATATCGAGAGCGCCACGCCTGTGGAGTCGCAGAACCCGCCTGTCCTAGCTTACTATAACTACGGATCGACCTCGAGTATCCGTCCGTCCCTCCTGTATCTCCCGCGCCCCAACACTCAAACCCAACCTCTCCCAACCCATCCACCCCTTCACTAACACGGTAAGCCGGTGTGTACGCGTGCCGTGTTACGTGTGCAGATGCTTGCAAGCCCGCACGTCAGTACGGAGTCACGGCGCTGCTCTGACAGGATGCTCCCAGCCTCTGTCGCATACCTGCATACATGCCTCCGTACGTAAGCACGCAGATCAAATACCTATACACGACGGAATACACGCTACATATTTGCACTGCATGGGACGGCAGACATCGCGCCTGGGCAGAGCAGAGGCTTAACCGTCTCGAGCGCAACCGCGGATGGGCCGGAAGGACGGGTCAGCCCTACGTGCCGTCTGCCCTGCCGCGGTAGCGCGGATCTAGGATCTGATCTGGGAGGTGAGAAGCGCGTCCGAGCCGCGGTAGCATTGGCCACTTGAGTAAGCAGGTAAGTTACCTACCTCCCTGGGTAAACAGATGCGCCCCGCGCGGTCCGAAACTACCTACAGAATGCCAGGCCCGTCGGCAAGATTGATATCTGCTCGTCCCAAACACTCTTATTGGGTTATCGCATATAAACCAGCTGCTTGTGTGCGGCGCTGGATGAGGATAAGAGGGGGGGGGATGGGATGAGGAGCTCACCGCTGCCATTGGCCGCCGGCGGGCTGGGCGGACGCGAGGGGACCGCCTCACATTACATCTATCTGCAGCCGCACGAAAGCAGACTCGACCCAAATCGCGGCGAGGGGATTCGTGAACGACGCTGCCGAATAACGGACGTAGGCTATGAGGCCTGCGCCCAGCCCACACCGCATGTCGGTATGTATGTGGGAGGAATCGCAGGTATGTGGATGGGTTGTATGCATGGATTGGAGAGTAGACGAGTTGCTTGACGAGGATAGGATGGACGGTCGATGCGCCTGCCACGAGGCTTAGCACATCGTCCCACGCGATTTATATGACAGGTTGGAGAGCTCACATCGAAAAGAGCTCGGATCTGAGACAAGTTGTCCGTGGATGGCGTCCTTGCTTTGTCTTGGCCAGGAGGTAATTCAGGATGAGTAAGTGTAGTAATCAAGGACAGTACTTGCGAAGGGGCCCACGTGACTGTCCAGCCCGCCAGCTGGCAAACAGCCGGAGCATCAGCGTTGCCGTGCCCCGCCATACCCCACCATCGTCTCGATTACCCCGCCGTTACATACCCACCTCCTAGCTACCTACCTCCTAACCCCCTACAGCCTACAGGTACTAAACCAGCAACCCGTAGGTATACAATCGCCGCCGAGTATTCTGCCAGGCGCCTCCTTATCGCTACACCGCGCCGAACCAAGCCATCTACCTCACCACTCCGTCCCCAACTACCTAATCCCGAACCACGGCGTCCGCCCACCTCCCCCCCCCCCTTTCTATCCTCGTCGCCACACACCATGCCGCCGCCCGCCGACGCGGCCCCCGAGCTGATCCTCGAGCCGATCCAGATCGAGCACGTGCCGGCGACGCACACGGTGCACGTCGCCGTGTTCCGGGACGTGACCAACGCCGCGTTCCTGCACGAGCAGCTGCTGGGCCGCAACGCCGCGTTCGAGTACGCGCTGATCGACGCCAGCTCGGTACGGGGACCTGCCCGCCCTCTGCCCTCCTGCTCTCGGTGCGCCGCGCGCTAAAACCCAGCCGCCTACAGGTCGTCTCGCGCCTGCACGTCCTCGCCGCCGCGTACAAGGCCGTGTCCGCGCTGCTCGCCGGCGCCCTGCGCACGCCCAACGTGCACTCCGAGATCGTCTGCGCGCTGAGCCCCAACAACAACGTGCGCTCCCCCCCCCCAAAAAAACCGAGTTCCCCCCCGCTCCGCTGACCCGCCCAGATAGATCTCCGAGGCCTACCGCCGCTTCGGCGTCACCCCGGCCACCCGCCACCTCGTCGTGGTCAAGGTGCTCGTCGCCCCGTCCGCGCTGACCCCCGACGCCGTGCGCGCCCACCTGCGCGCCCACGTCGCCGGCGTCCCCGTGCCCTTCGCCGACGCCGCGCTGCGCGGAAGCGGCGGTGCGCCCGGCCTCGCCGACTGGCCCAAGGTCCGCCGCTACTACAAGCTCAACGGCATCCGCTGGCTCGACGACCTCGCCGACGCCGACGCCCGCGCCGCCGAGACCGAGGCGCTGGTGCTCGGCGCCATGGCGCTGCGGGGGCTGTGAAGGGGGAAAGGAGAGGACGTCCGGGCGGGGGGACAGTTGGGGAGGAAATGAGCACAGCGGTGCGATGTACGATAGAGGGGAGAACGAGGCGAGAGGCGGAGAGTAGCAGGATACGCGAGGCTCCCGATGGGAAGACCGAAGATCCAGACAAGCTGGGTACATAGGGGAGGCACAAGATGTAGTTTGTCAAAGAATAACACGGCTCAGAACAATACCTATCGAAGCTACAACAACCGGCGCAACCGCTACAGGCGACAATGTCTCTTCGCAAGGCATCGTAATCGTCGTAATCATCGTGATCTAGCACCGCTAACGCTAGGTACAACCACCACTCTAACCGCATGTAGGCCGCATAATTCATGACGTCGGCCTCTGCACATATTATCCCTTGCGTTCCTCTTCGTCGTATTCCCCTCCCCATCTCCATAGCTCAGTTCGCTCCCGTACTACTATTATTTCCCCTTGCTGCCACCTCTTAATACATAACCTCACGCCCCGATCCCCAACCCCACTCGTACTCTCCTCCCAAGCTCTCGCCACATCGCATCGCGCCCGCTCCGCGTCCGCGCCACCGCGTCCCGGTTCTCGTACGCCCGCCGCAGCAGGTACTTCATGCACTCGCCTGTCGTGCCCCACACGATATACTTGTACGCGCGCGGTACTTCGACGTCTCCGGCGCCGCCCCCGGCTACGATACTACTGCCACCCGGCTTCTCGCTTAGTAGCTGCTGCTGCTGCCGCACGCGCGCCGCCGCCACGAGCTCGCAGCTGACCTCGTCCGCCATGCCCTGGAGCTGCCCGATGGCGAGCTCCGTGTGCGGCGCCGCCTCGGCGCTCTCGCGCAGCTCTCTCGCCCGCCGTACCGACTCGAGATTGTGCGAGCCCAGCACGATGCTGACCCGCGGGAACGGCGCGCCTGCCTCGCCTTTGAGCACCTCCCCCCACTGTCGCCGGATCAGGCTTGCCGCGATCCCGTCGTACGCTGCGTCCGTCTCGGCCTTGGTGTCGTGGATGATGTGCCGCGGATCCGAGCCTAGGTACGCGCCGCGCACGAGCTTGACGCCGAGGGTGAAGCCCTCCCGCGCTGCCGTCGCCAGGTGCGATCCCAGCACCGACGGCGTCGCCTTGAGGTACGCCTGGTACGTGCCGTAGATTATGGCGTGTCCCGGCCGCGACATGTTGTACTTACGCTGGTACTCGAGCGTCCAGTCGTCGATGCCAGCCTGGACCGCCGTCTGCTCCGCGTCAAATAGCAGCGGCACATCCAGCTGCGCTGCCAGCTCACAAATCTCATCGATGGCGGCTCGGAGGTGCTTTGGGGGTGGGAGGCGGTTCTTCAGCGCGTACATAGCCTGCCTCCCGGCGCCACTGAACTTGAGGGCTACAAAGTCACCGTGCTGCGCGAGCCGGACCGTTGCTAGGGTGCCAGCGGCCCAGGGGCCGATCTCGTTCCGAACACATTCCTCGGCAACTGGCCCTTCGTCGCAGGCCGTTAGATTTTTCGTTTGCGATTCGGACAGGACGATCTCCTTCGCATAACCAAGAATGACGCCGGTGAAGCCGATCTTCTTGAGGTTGTCGATAGTGTGGCGGACTTCCGCGGCGTTCTCACCGGCACAGAACTGGGCGTAAAAAGTTCCTTTTAGGAACCACCGGAGCAGCGGGTTCTTGTCGGGATTGAGGACGGGTTGGTTTGTGTGGGCGAGCAGGTTCATGATAGCGAGCGAGGGAGGAAGCAAAATCCGGGATGACGAGATGCTAGTCGTGGCTAAGTTGCGGAGCACCGCGGACAAAGGAAGGACAGACAGCGGCGCCATTTTAGTCGCCGGGCGCGGTTGGACGGGGGGCTCGGAAGGAAATCGACCCAGAGAAGCGGGATCAGTTAAGGTGGCCTGGTCAGCAGGAGACACTAATCTTGTTGGGGACGAGTGTATCGTCCTCTTCGCCGGGTAGAGTGTCTGGCTGGAGCCATGGCGGATGATGATGTAAGGGCTACATCGTCGAAGCCCGATCGTGTTTACATAAACGGGTAGGCGGGACGACCTTCCTAGCGCCGTGGCTTGCACCATGGCTGGCCTCAGGATATGTCGACGGTGGCAGTAGCAGTCTGGCTTGGTTGGGGTAGTCGGATGGGGGGGAAAGGGGCGAAGGTTAGTGCGAGGTTTAGGTAGGTAGAGAAAGGAAGGAAGAGGCAGGGAGAGAAAGAGGGGTATCGTGTGAGTAATAAACAACAACAGAAGGATAGGACGATGGATAGAACCAGAGGGAGAGCTTGCTACCACCGGGTGGAGGGCCAACTATGCTTTTTAACTGTCGAGCGCGGGCCTCTACGTGTTTGTCAACTCTAGGTAAGTGGCTTCTTTATCTCCGGAATCGCAACGGGCTCAGTCCTCGCCCCAGGGTGAAAGCCGACTGGAGCACATCCGCCAGGATCCGGGTAGCCCCATTTTCGTGTTATTGGGGATGGCGACACCATGCACCCCGAGAGCCCGATATCCCAATCATAGCTCGACGGCATTTAGAGACGCAACAAGCTCCCAACCCGCCGCGCTCTTATCGTCCAAGGTCACGTGGACCCCGCGAGCTCAGGAATGCCGTCGGTAGCCGGCGACGCAAGAGGCGTTCGGCACAGCCATTGGCCAATGAGTGGCGGGATAGCGGAGTGGTCGCGTAACAATGTCCAAAAGCTGGGGCAGCGGGCGAGGGATAGCGCGTGTAATCAACCTGGGGGGGGCGAGCCGGGGTGTGACTGAGAGTGCTCTGGGCGGTGCTGGTCTGCGTAAATCATGTGCTTAGCTTCTTCCTTGGACCGCCGGCCTAGGCTTTTGGCCGATGCTAAGAGGGATAAGCCGCGCTGCCCTCCTGTTCGGATTCGAGGGGTGAGGGTGTGGGCCAAGCCGACTCCGGTCAGCCTAGCTGATAGCACCGTCGCATACAACGGGTAGATGCGACGGTGGCCGAATGCGCGCAGTCTGATTCATGACGACGACGCGCCGAGCGAAATTATAACGTAACCCCTTCTCGCGTTGGTGGGCCGCTTGGCTTGATGGACACATGCCAGATTATACCTACGTCGAGCACAATTCATGCCGACCGTCTCCCTATTGCATTATGTCGCGATCCCCAGCGCGGCAAACTCGGGAGATCCCATGCATGCGTGGGGGGGGCCGCAAATGCGGGCAAGCCTACAGGGGTGATGCAGACAGCTTATTGCCCATCTGTGTGTAGAGCCGCCCACTGCGACCGGCGTGCCGAGGGCGATGTCTCTTCTAATCCGCGGAACTGGTCTAATGGTTTCATGTTGTTCTCTCGTCACTCTGGGTGGCTTTTCCGATATGTCTGCGGATAGACTCGACATACCCGACGGGTCGGCCTTTAGCAAGGGAGACGGCGTCCTGAACCAGACCGTACGCCAGCCCAAATGCGAGACCCTTCCTTGCGGTCCTCGCCGTCTCGGGGGCCGAAAACCGATCTGCAAAGGGTCTCGATGTCAGATATGTGCTAAAAACGGGCACGGCCTCGCCAAACCGCTGGGAGGGGACATACTCCAGAAACTGAAGCCGCCGGCTACGGCTAGACTGGCCATGCCGGTGCTGAGAAAGTCCTTCTTTCCTCGGTAGACATCGAATAGGTTCTCGGCGCAGAACATAGACGCACTCAGTAGCCCAAGCTTCGCGCCGACCTTGATTCCCTCCTTCAGGCCGGCGAGTGCCATATTGTAGTTCTTGCTCTTGTGATATAGGTACCAGCCAGTCGTGTTGGTGGGGAGCTTGTGAGCGTGCTCGGCACGGAACCGCAGGCCGGCCGTCTGGCTGCCGTGGGCGACGCCCAACGCCATGCCGACACCGAAGGCTGCAGCGGTGGCGGCGGGGATACGTATAACGGGCGGGAGGGACAGGCGAGACTCCTTCCAGTGCTGTTCGTATTCGTCGCGGCTCCATTCGCGTCTAGCATCTCTTTCGGTTCGGGCCATGATCGGGTTGCGTCGCCACGAAATACGGGCTAGCCAAGTAGCGCGAGTGTATAAGAAGCGATGCGTCGAGGCCGGCGCAGCGCAAGTGAGTAGTATCTAAATAGCTAGCAGGTTGCAAAATGTAGTCGGAAATGGGTGTATGAGTAGGCTGTAGGCGTTTTGCAAATATTTCTATCTCACAACATCGGCAACTGGCGAAACCCCTTCCATAGCCGAGTTGCGCTTTACCGTCGCTGAAGAAAAAAAAAAAACCTTCAAACTGCCCTCCCTTCCCAAGTACCTTGTGTCGGTGGGGGAGAGGGGCATGGGGCAGGGATAAGCCACTTGATGAATTACCCGTGGTAATGCGCTGAGTCATCTAAATAAGTAACCCCTACCTTTACACGTACCTATAGTACGCGACCACGTGCACCCGCGTATATTGCCTCTACCCCATCCCTGCTCCGGAGGCGCGTCTCCATCCCTCCCACAACCCCGAAATTCGACAAATTATATCTCCCGTTTGGCGGCAGTAGAGAGTGTCAGAGGTCTATCCTGCGTAGAGGCCATGGTAAGCCACCCGAAGTTGACTTATCTAGCCCTGTCGCATGCCCGGCCTTGCGATGCTTTGGAGCCTGCCGCTGGGAAATGCCTTGCCGCGCACCTGCTGACGTCGGCGCAGGTTCGCCGGGGCGAGATCCGCGACATCGATCTATCGATCCGCTTCAAGTATGGGGTCCACACCGTCTTCCTATTTGTCGACCCCACGAAGCCCTTCGGTGATGCTGCCGGAGAGTTGCTGGAGATCCTGAAACTGCGTTACCCGGCGGGACTGAAGGCCTCGGCCGAGGATCCGGATCCGACCCCACTCCCCGCCGATGCCCTCCAAATCGAGTTTGCCTTGCCAAAGGTGGCCGCCGACCTGAGCCAAGGTTGGGCGCCCCTCCACGTCAAGGAGGGAGATACTCCGGCCAACAAGGGCCTCAAGGACAACAGCGTCATCGCCTTCGCCTTCCGGCCCGAGGACGCCGACGAGGACTACGAACCCGTTTTTAACGTCGACTTTCCTACCTACGAAGATGAAGGCCTGGAGGAATAAGCGTGGAGCCTTGCGAGGCCGGGTGTTCAGGATAGACTGCTGCTGCTGTACCGCCACCGCCACCAACATCGCCTACAGGAACACTTCACGGTAACGAGGGGGGTACCGTAACGCTAGCGCCGGTCTTTTCAGACTTAAAGGGGATAGGTGTATAGAGGGATGTGGTACCCGCTTCTCGCACCTGTCCATTGTAGAGTAGGAAGGGGCTGATCATAACAAGTGCAGTTATAGGTAGAACACCCTTGATCTGCACTCGATGATAAATCTCAAGTCACATTCTAAGTTGCGAGAACAGCCATCTATTAGGATCTCAGAAGACATCCGTCCCTCCGGAGGGGACGAGCATCTCGATTCAAAAATCTGAGGGCATTCGTGATTGCCCACAGGCTACTGGCACCCAGCCTTGAAACGATGGAGGGATTGGGAGTGCTTACGCGTTACGTAGCAATGCTGGCGGGCTCAGTCCCGCTACATTTGGCGCCGACGCTGACGGCTGTCACACTTACAGGTACGTAGCGCACTCGCCTAGCCCAGGCCCAGACTTCATGTACTTGGAAGGTATAGTGCTTGCTTAATATCGCTCGAGTGTACCTGGCGGGTACAAGTGGTATATGCCCTTCCCAGCTGGCAGAGACGGACCCCTTTTTGTTCATTATTATTTCTCGAAACCTGGTTGGAATCCTCCATCCTCCATCCTCCACTCTTCTTACTTCCCCATCCCAATCACCACTCTCCAAATGTCTTCTCTTTTTCTTGTCCAGTGCCCTCTTTAGGTACCTTTTATTGTTAATTGCCGGCTTTGGCCACATGCTGTCGTCTACATGTTCCCTGTGGCTCTCCTTCGCAACGTTTTGCGAGTCCTCATCCCGCTCGCCGTAACCTCGACATTTTATCTCTACCTCTACCCCGTCTTCGGGGGGTGTGCTTTTCCGCTCCCGCATCCTGTTGACCAGGTCGAGCAGGATGCCGCAGCCGCATTCCAGGATACAGCGCGTCAACATCTTATCTCTTCCTCGAGCCATGCCGCGCCCTTCCGACTGCTCGCCCTCGGCGATCCCCAGCTCGAGGGCGACACTTCCATCCCGAATCACAATCGCGAGGCCTTCCTCCACTTGAACTGGGCGATCCGTCACCTCACCTTCAAGACCGACCAGCCTTCGCTGCGGCTCCGCCTCCGACAGGCATGCCACGACCTCGTCGACTTCTATTTCGAGGACATACCCAACACCCTCGAGTCCATCCGCAAGCACATAGACTTATTCGGAAACGACTTTTTCCTCGCTCACATCTACCGAACCCTCCGATGGTGGACCAAGCCTACCCATGTCACCGTTCTTGGGGACCTTCTGGGCAGCCAGTGGATCAGAGATAAAGAGTTTGACCAGCGAAGCTGGAGATTTTGGAACCGGTCCTTCCAAGGGGGCGAGCGTGTCCCTGATGAGGTCGCAACCCACCCTGGCGCGGAATACGAAGTGGATGGGCTGCTCGGGGTTGAAGACGGCAACGCTACGGCATGGCGGCGTAGGGTCATCAACGTCGCAGGTAATCACGACATTGGCTACGCGGGCGACTTAACTGTCGAGCGACTGGAGCGATTTGAGCGCGCGTTCGGCAAAGCTGCTTACGAACTGCGGTTTGAGTTACCCATCCAGAACTCCACGATCAACGCGACTATATATAACGCCGAAACGAACCCCGACTCGAATCGTCTATCCCCCGAGCTCCGAATCGTGAATATCAACAATATGAATCTCGACACTCCAGCCCTAGAGCCAAGCCTCCAGGACAAGACCTACGCATTCCTAAACGACGTTATCAATACGGCTTCCGCTGTGGAGTATTTGGGACACTTTACACTTGTCCTAACGCATATACCGCTGTACAAAGCTGAAGGCGTCTGCGTCGACGGGCCTTATTTCACTTTCCATCCTCGCGGAGGGGTTAAGGAGCAGAACCAGCTGTCGGCTGACGCTTCTCGCGGATTTCTAGAGGGAATATTCGGACTGAGCGGCGACCCGAATGCGCCGGGTCACGGTATGGGCCGGAAAGGCGTCGTGATTAATGGTCACGACCACGAAGGCTGCGATACCTACCATTACATAAACCAGACGGAGGGCGACGACCGCCAGTGGCGGGTCAAGCGGTGGCCTGCCGCGCAGACGGAGAACCTACCCGGACAACCAGGGGTTCCCGGGCTCAGGGAGATCACGGTTCGCAGCATGATGGCTGATTATGACGGTAACGCCGGCCTTCTCAGCGTATGGTTCGACCAAGACGCCTGGGAATGGAGGTTCGAATTCACGACCTGCGCCCTAGGCCGCCAGTATTTCTGGTGGGCCGTCCACATCGTGGACCTAATCGTGCTTGTAGGGCTTGTGCTCTACGGGATCTCACAGGCAGTGGCGGCGGCCGGCTTCGATGTCGAAAATTGGTCGATTGGGACACCTGCCCTCCCTTCCCCGACTACTAATGGCATGAGCGGCAAGGCAATACACGCGCAACCCGCCCACGTCGCAAACGGCAACTCTAAGAAGGGATACACGGGCCCCTCTCAAGGAGCAGAGGTGCAGGGCTAACGAGAGCGAAACGAGTCACGAGCATGCTTGCACGGGTGTGAGCCACATATTAGAAACCATTGGAGAATAAAATTAACTTGGACTTGAAGTAGGCGTATTCGTTATTGCTGTCGTGACTACGTAGACAGCTAGGCCTTCATATGGTAAATCCAACGTTTCACCTCTAACTAACCAACCCCTGTTATATGCCTAGTCTATAGCGCTGCGATACACTACGATCAGGCTGCATCTCCTCGCCCTCTATCTGAGCGCCGAACTATCCCTCTTAACCGCCCCTCCCGCTTACAACTGGAAATCTAAAACTGCAACGGCAACCCCCTCTGTCTCCCCCTCGCCCGTTGCCACACCTTTCCCTACTTCCATCCTCAATGCGCCGCTGCCGGTATGGATCCGCGTGAACACGGACAACACGTCTTCATCCTCGAGGCGCCCGGTGTCGACAAGCGGCTCGCCGCCTGCGAGCGCCGCCGCCCGCTGCCAGACGCGCTCGTACTGCGCATAGCCGTCGGCCTTGGTCGTGCGGAGGATAGTGAGGCCCATGGGCGCGTTCAGGCCGTCTGGGGCCGCGGAGGACGAAGCCTCGGGGAGAATCAGGTACAGCGCGTCGTCGCGGCTCACGGCGAGCCGGCCCCGGCGGCCTCCCACGACGGCGCAGACGTAAGGCAGGGGGCGCTGGGACCAGGTGCCTGTACTCAAAGGGGCGTCAGTCACAGTGAGCGCGATTGCAAAGGAGAGGGAGGGGAGAAGGCCCTCCGACCTTCCGGTGACCGGTAATAATGCTTCCACCGGAGCGTGCCGTCGGTGGCGTCGCGGTTAAGGACGTGGACGCCGCCGGCGCGGTCAAGGGCCTGGGCCTCTTGGTTGGCCAGGCCCATGGCCTTGGGGATGGCGAAGGCGGTGATGCCGGGGGCGTCGGGGCGGACGCTCTGGCCGCGGCGCAGGTCGGCGACGACGTACCCGGCGCCGTTGCGCCACGTCCGCCCGCCGTCGTCCGAGTACGCGTGACAGATGTCGTAGTTGTTGGCCGCCGAGTTCGGCCCCGCCTGCGCCTTATGTTGCTCGTCCCGCGCGTCGTCCCACCCCGCGTACCACACGAATCCCCGCCACACCCACGTCGCGTGCAATTGCCCGCCGCGATAATCCAGCCCGTGCACGTACGGGTTGTTCGACACGCCCTGCAGGTGCGTGCCGAGAAGCGTGTAGGCGTAGACGGGGCGGTTCCCGCTGCCTCCGCCGTCGTCGCCGCTGCTGGTATTTCTGAGTCGGGCGTCTGCAGTGACACCAACAGGGGTGGCAGCGAGGTCGGTGGTGGTGTTGGCGCTGCTGCTAGCCGGGGATTGCGGCTCGTATGAGCAGAGATGGTCGTCGCCAAGCCCGGCCTTGCCCGTGCGGAACGAGAACAGCAGGTTCGGCCCGAGGGGTAAGAACCGCGGGTACGTCACATAGCTGAAGAGCTGGTCGTGCTCCGGCCCGAGGCCTGGGAGCCGCGAGAGGTGGCCCCCGAAGAGCGCTGCGTCCCACGAGAAGGCCTCCGGATCGTGAGCCACGCCTGTCTGGGAGTAGCGATAGCGTATCCTGCGGGTTTATGTGAGCATGCAGCTGGTTAGGGTGAACTATCACTTACACGTCACAGTGATGGTCGTACGAGAGGTGTATGGTGCCGTCGCCAGGGCAGATACCGAGCTGATTCGCGACTCATTCTCAGCTTGTTTCGTCTCTGTTCCCTCCTCCGCCTCGAAACGTGATTTGCACGCTTTCTCTCATCATACAGGTGGGTTATAGGCATGTCATTACCTGGACTGTGTTGTGGCCGTCGTCGGTCGTCTGTGGATAGTCCTTAAGGACCAGTGTCTCCCAGGGCCCCCCCGGTAGCTTCCTGCGTGACACGTGCACGTACAGCGGCTCTCTCTTGCCGACGTCACCATCCGACGACGCAAGAGAGCTATAGAAGCACGCGTACTGCCAGCCACCGAACGACCGGATAGCGTCCTGCTGGAACGCGTTCCCGTTCAGCACGCAGTTCCGGTGCGCCGGGTCGCTGCCAAGAATCGATACCGTCGGATCTGCCAACATTCTTGGTTTTTACTAGTATTATTTGGAATGTTCTTTTCGGTCTAGTAACGAACCTCAACTTAGAACTAAGCAGTTGATAGGCCGACGCGGCGGAGAGACGGTGAATGCGGATGAGCTTGGCCAACAAAGAGGCTAAATGCGATGACGGGGATTATTCGATAGCGTCGAGACGACCATCCTGATGAGCTTTACACAAGTCGAAAGTTTAGCAGCGTAAGCGCCGTGCCTTCGCTTCAACATCTAATCGATCTTATAGCAGAACCCGTACCATGGCCTACGTAACTGGCCTTCGAGCGTGATGTTCGCCGCGGTGGTTTTGGGGAAACGAGGTTCCCCAAAACGAGGCCCCGGTATATAATCACCCGAGCTCAGCGAAGAGATTCGAGAAAACTCACGGGGCTATCCGAAATACCCCGCGTGCGCTGCAGAGACAGACGCCTGACGGCGCAGAATTCCCATTCAGCTGGGTCGTCACGAGCGGGTGCCATCGACTGCTTCGTCTTTTACGTCGAGACATCGCCTAAGAGACACACCGTACTTCACATCATTTGGAGTCGTAGGATATAAATTTATGCCCCTGCTTTACCTCGCGGCGTATAAGCTGACCTCAGAGAAACCTCTTGTCCCCTTTCTCCTCCAGAATCATATTCCCAGAGGCGAAAAAAGCGAATATGCTAATTGGGTCTCCTGAAAGACATGTGATCAGTATAGTGAATATATAATATCACTCATGGGAATATAAGACCGATACTCAATTACACTTCACGTCAACGCTATCGTCGAAGGGTCCATCACCAAAGACCTGTTCTAGCCTCTTCAGCTACCTCTTTCGAGTCAAGGCCCCGGCTCCCCCCCCCCCCCGCGAATTGAGCCTAAATTCATTGACTACCTCCGTGGGAGGGATCGGCTATGACCTATGCCTTTGACCGGAGCGGAGCTGGTTGGTTAGAACGAGGGTCGAGAAGCGGGAATAGCTCTCCACACCGTAGTTCCTCTATTCGGCCCTCTCCTCTCTAGAGGTCCATCTCCACTCCCTCTACAACCCCAGCTTGCAACCCTGTCAGCTTCCTTCTGCCCCAGTTTGAAGCTGCCGCGGTTTGTTTACGGCTCATACGATGATGGTGCGGGCGTTATTGCCGGCGAGCCTCTCGACACGTGAAGTACGGGCTCTAGATTCGAGCAGTTGAACCTGTATCGACAGGGAGTATGAGGATACCGAGTAGGCGTACAGAACAGATTCGGTATGGGATATTACGCAACGAATACATACATAGTATCTGCCTAGTGAGAATCTCACTTCGAGATCTCCGAAATGATGAGCCCCAACCTTGGCCTGCTCCCGCCTCCGGATTCTTACACCTTAGCCGCCCATGGGGTAAGGGGACTAGGGCCCACGTCAGTACGTGTGCATACTGGATCACCCCCCAACCTGGCCGGGGGTCACTCGGTGGAATGATTTTCACACCCGTTCGTCCAGACCATACAATTAATTTCCTTGGTGGAATTTCGCTCAGTATTCCTATTCCACCCGTCACGCCGGCCCAGCCATGGTTCTCCAAAGGGCTACAGGTCCTCTATATCTACTATCCCGCCAAGCGACCTTCCGCCCAATCTACGGCAACCAAAAAACGTGGTACTCGGTGGCTGTACAGCGTCGTAGCTATTATACATAGGGCAGATGTGAAATATCTTATCGGCAGCTCATCCGCGGCATGCATACTTAAAACGGAGGTGTCTCGCTGCTCCTCTTACTCGGTTCTGACCACTCTCCTCCCTCCTCCTTGCGTGCTATCGAAAGCATCACCAGGAGACGGCAAGTATATGAACGACAAACCGGGAATCGAGACAGCAGGCAGTCCAAAGCAGGACTTAGGGGGATCCCTCCTACCCAATCGGCAACATGTCGTCCATTTTGAAATACATCGTCAAAAATGACGCCATGAAAACAGACCCCAGTGAGATCTACGGCTGGAGGGTCTATCTGTTAGCCTGCTCTGTAAGTCGCCGGTCTTTATTAACGACATCTAAAAACCACCTATCTCATAAGCGGCTAACCAGCTTTTCATACCTAGGCTTGTTTCGGTGCTATGTCCTTTGGCTGGGACAGCGGTGTGATTGGCGGCGTCATCAACCTTCCCACGTTCATTGCGTATGCCCCCTAGTTTCCTCCGGTCTATACCAGCTTGAGACGAAGTCGCTGACAGTCCGTCTATTCTGCGATAGTGACTACGGCCTCGGGAGCAGGGAAGACATCGCGACGGCTAATCTCCAGGGTAATATCGTCTCCGTACTCCAGGCTGGATGCTTCGTAGGTGCTCTGGCGGCCTACCCCTTGACGGATGCCTTCGGCCGCAAGTACTGCCTAATGGGCGCCGCCATGTTCACGCTCACCGGCGTAATTATGCAAGCTGCTGCTTCCGGTCATCTTGAGCCTATGTATATCGGTCGGTTTGTTTCTGGTAAGGCCTCCTTCATAGCTGCCTAGGTATGCAATGGCGCTGACACGTGGGAACTTAGGTCTTGGTGTGGGCGCCTCCAGTGTTATTAACCCGATCTACGTTACGGAGAACGCGCCTCGCGCTATCCGCGGCCTGCTCACCGGCATGTATCAACTCTTCATCGTCACCGGCGGCATGATCGCCTTCTGGGGAAACTACGCGGTCAGCATACACCTGAGCGGCCCGAAGCAGTACATTGTGCCGCTGTCGATCCAGGGCCTGCCCGCCCTGCTGCTCTTCTTCATGATGGCCCTCTGCAACGAGTCACCCAGATACCTGGCCCGCCGAGACCGCTGGGAGGAGGCGAAGGCGGTGCTCGTGCGGATCCGGAACCTCCCGGAGGACCACCCGTACCTGCAGGAGGAGTTCCAGGAGATCGCCGACCAGCTCGACTACGAACGGCGCCTCATCGGCGGCGCCGGCTTTTGGGCGCTGCAGAAGGAGATGTGGCTGGTCAAGAGCAACCGCAAGCGCGCCGTGCTCAGCATCATGCTCATGGTGTGCCAGCAGATGACGGGCACCAACGCGATCAACACGTACGCGCCGCAGATCTTCAACAACCTCGGCATCACGGGGACGTCGAACTCGCTGCTCAGCACGGGCGTCTACGGCATCGTCAAGGTGATCTCGTGCGCGTGCTTCCTGCTGTTCATGGCCGACTCGCTGGGCCGGCGGCGCTCGCTGCTCGTCTCGGCCGTCGGCCAGGGCGTCTGCATGTTCTACATCGGCCTGTACGTGCGCATCTCGCGGCCGTCGGCCGACGGCTCCATCAACGGCGCCGGCTACGTCGCCCTCGTCTGCGTCTTCGTCTTCGCCGCCTTCTTCCAGTTCGGCTGGGGCCCCGCCTGCTGGATCCTCATCTCCGAGATCCCCGCCGCCCGCCTGCGCCCCATGAACGTCGCCTTCGGCTCCGCCACCCAGTGGCTCTTCAACTTCGTCGTCGCCCGCGCCCTGCCCAACATGCTCGCTACCGTCGGCGAACGCGGATACGGGTGAGTGCCGAGAAGAAAAAAAGTCCCGCCCCGTCGGCGGCCACGTGTGCTAACAGTAATGCTTGTAGTACCTACCTGATTTTCGGCAGCTTCTGCGCCTGTATGTTCGGCTTCGTCTGGGTCTGGATTCCAGAGACGAAAGGTACGCCACCCACCACCCCCTCGCCTACTCCCTTCCCTCCCAGGGAGATGTCTTCTCGTAGCTAACACGGCCGCTAGGTGTGTCGCTCGAGCAGATGGGCAAGCTCTTCGGCGTCTCAGAGGAGGAGAATGACCCGGTCACAGAAGGTGTGAAGCGCGACGACACGAGAGTCGAGGTCGAGGAGCACTCCAACAAGTCGGATAACCGAAGCGTGTAAGGGCGCGGGCTGGCGGGACATATGAAAGCCAAGAGAAATCTCCAGTATCGTATCGTGCTATCGAGGCCACGTAGTTGGGAGTTGGACAAAACTGAGGGTCTACATATCTAAATAGCGAGCGGATACCAAACGCATTCTCGGTGTGCCAGCCCCGAAGTGCCTATCGCGCCGTGGCTTTAGCTCCAATAAATCTGGTCTTTTAGCAATCGATCCGTAATGGGGTAGTCTGCCACATAAAACATTGCCATGGTTGGTAGTTTGAACTTCGCAGGTTAGGTTTCTTTTCGTCTACCTTCAAGTCGTACTCCTCAGCGGAAGTACTAGAGGAGCCAGCATCGCACGAACCAGCTGAATAGCATGAGTACAAAAACCCAGCACAAGAGCCCAGCTATTGTATGGTCTCTGAATACCTGGGCTGCGTCGCTTTTGCTATTGTTATGGGGGAACGGGCGGTCCGGAACGGGAACGTTCAGAATCTTGCACAGCGGTTCCCACCCCTGGCCGGCTTCGTAGAAGAATAGCTTTTCCAAGTGGACGACCTGCCGGGTGTGCTCTTCATGTTTTCGAAGCGTGTCCTCCTCGATCTTCTCCTGGATGTAGCGCCATTTCATGATTCGGTGGAACCTGTTGCGCCATACTCCGTAACTCTGCGTCTTGTGCAGCCAGAGCACGACCAGAGGGAGATACCACGTCCCCATGAGGCTATTCAAATAACTCATGCTCTTCCACCAGGACTTCTTGTCCCTGGTTGTCACTATTACAATCGCGTCTGGTATGCCCGCATGATCTCCGGGGTGAGGGTTGCAGCGGGACAGTCCATGGTTGCGACGTAGCCGTCGAGCACCTCCGAGATAAGCCAAGTGAGCTTCTTCTGCTCTGAGAACGTCCGGGTCTCTGGAGCAAGCTCCAATATGTCGAGCCAGGCTTTCATCCAATTAATCGGACCCCCGAGGGACTGGATCCCAGAATCGTGAACCGGGCCATCGAGGAGAATGGTCAGAGCTTCGTTGAAGGTCTTCGCGCCGGTTCGCGACCTATGTATTTAAAGTTAATGGGTGTCTGAATTAATGACGAACGTTGCAATAAAACAGGCTCTACCGGATTCTCCTATTACTGTCGGAGCAGGGAGCTCGCGTATTACCCTGGCGACCTCGGGGGAAAACCCGATAAGGGGCATCCCACTTCGACTTACCTACATTCCAGCACCAATGACGCGGAACCTCGTCCCTGGTGGGCCAGGAAGCGAGGGACCTTGACCCATGATACCGGCTCGAGATCGCCAATGAGAGAACCAGCTTAACTACACAGACCCGTCGCCTGTATTGACAGGTCAACTTTCTAGACGCACAGCTCGTGGACGTACCGAATGGCGTCGCGAGGGCTGCAAATGGTGTCATCGGCGGTGACAGCCTCTCGTGATATAGCTCGCCAGAACTCATCCCGGCACTTTGGCACTCTCTGCTAAAGTCACAACGTCTTGAGGGTCAGCCGACGTATACGCTATGCGCTGCCAGCGATGATGATACGCCGATTACGCCGGTGGCTTTTGTGCCTAAAGTGCACACGCCACTCCGGATGCGTTCGTCGCTAACACTCTCCCCAGGCCACAACCGAGCGGCTGAACTGGATTCTTCGCGCCCGCGAACCGGACTACCGCACGAGGTCTTCCGGCAAAGAAGGTTTCTATCCCTATCTATCTCCCCTCTCTGCTAGAATTCCTAGCACCTCTCTCGCCTGTATTCACCTGTCCATTGGGATGCCAAGCCGGCTGTAGTGGAATTCGGGAGCGCAGACGCAGGTCTGAAGATCGCCGAGCGCCGGGCTTGGTCGGACTAGGCAAGATCTACGCCGTCTCCTCTCCTCGCGATACACATATAAAGGTCGGCCGATCGTCGTCCAGAGTTTCGCGAAGTGGTAAGGCCCCGGACCCCTAAAGCCCGCGCAACGCGATGAGTCCCGTTCCGTACTAGCACATCGCATAGCCTATCGTCGGAGTAATAGCAACGTTGCCTCGTGAAGAGCCCCAGTGCAGCATCTGTGAAGTTCTTTCATTATTAGGATGGCTAGCATTCCCTACGGCCTATCTACTTTGTTTTCATTGGAAATGAGGTCTATGTTGGTATTCTTCAAAGCCGCTCTCGGGATTTTCATGAAATCTCATCGTGATCAGTGTGCCCTCTGGGGAAAATAATCTGTCGTCTTTGCGTGGCTCACTTCTATTATGTCACGTAGGCATTCCCCCCTAGTGGCAACCACCTTTCGACCCCTGGAGCAACCTCTGGTCCCGTTGTTTCCTCTGCTCCCGCCGCTCCGGCTGTCGCTCTCACGACTCCAGTTGCGCCGGCTGCTCCGGCTGCTGCGGTGGGAGCTGCTTCCGCCTCCCATGGTCGCGAGCATGGTGCTCGACGTGCTGTCCCTTGCCTGGCGTGCGTTCGATCCCCGCGTTTCATTTGAAGAGTATCTCCATGGTGTTCCCCACCGCCACGCTGATCTCCTCTATGAAGAGATCTTGGAGCATTGGAACGAGCCTGCAGATGATCGTGGATCCCGCCAGTCTCGTCAAGCTCATCAACCCCGTGGTGCTGCTCGATCTCGAGGTGGTTGAGTTTAGTTTTAGAGCAACCTGTACTCATTGAGGTTCGGGAGCAAGGTCAAGTTTGGTGTTTGGAGATGAGGGGAGCATTCTATGTATGGTACTAGGGTTCTTGCTCTACGTATTAGCTTCTTGAGGGGAGAATTGACGCACCGTTGGTGCTTGCTGAGACTCTTCGAGCGTTATCGTGACTATTTCTCCGCGAGCATCCTGTAGGTTGAGTAGAGATCTAAAGTGCTCGAACGATTGGCGTGGTAGAGCTTTCGTAAGTCCGTCTGCTGGCATTTGGCCAGTAGGGAGGTAGATCACTTCGAAGGTACCCTTCTGGTGCTCCTGGCGTAGCTACATGTTCTGTATGTCTACATGGCGTAGCCTGGTGTTGATCCTTTCTTTTTTCTCCCCTACTACCAATCTAATCGTTTGCTGGTTGTCGCTAGGGGGGAATGCCTACGTGACATATTACATATCAAGTTTCAACAAGCATGCATTGCAATAATTTCTAGAGTTAACCCTTTAATATTAGAAGATCATTAGAGCTTAAAAGGCTTGTTTCGTTACCAAATATGTTCTGGTTCCTGAGATAACAGCGCCCAACTTTACCTAGAACTTGACTCTAACTATTCTATAGCGTTGTTTCTCTGTGCGTGTTTTGGTCTTTTATGTCCATTTGAACATCAGAACTTCCGAATACCCACCTACGTAAGAAGGCATTGGTCTATGGGACAATTTGCCTAGGGGGGTTTGGTCGAGGAAATAAGGATAGAAATCTAGATCTTCCTCCACAAACATACAACTTTTATTAAACACAAAAGCTCTATAATACGAGGAGCTCATCTATATCAGTGTATCATAGGTGAGATAGGCTCTGGCTTTCTGGCATGTTTAACCCTGCCTTATTAGTCTCCCCTAATCCTACAAGATTGTCCTTAATTCTGGTCCTAGGCTTATTGGATGCTGTAAGCTCTGGAACCGTGCAGCCCAGTACTAGCCCCTTTTGCAGCAGCTTCGTAGCATCAGTGTGTCCTCCTTTGGACACTATGAAGAGCTGTCACGTAGGGAACCCTACCTATATAAGCCGGTCTAGCCCACGAGGGGTATGTAGGCGTCTACGTTTTTACGTGACAAAAGCACATAAAGCCGTTCCTGAGATTCACGATCTCGTCCGTCTATGTAGACTACCTTAGTTTATAATACGAGGTTTCGTTTAGAAGTTTCCTAATACATCAATTTCCCATCTGGCTTGTCAATCTCTGAAACACTTATCTTAATTCAGCGTTTACCTCGGCACATCCTTTGTCAGCTGCGATAGATAAGGTGGTCGTGCCATATAGGCTTCTTGGCCGACGTTAATGCGAAGGTTCTCCGGCGATATCCCGGTTCTCCGAACACCCTACCTCGAATTCGAGGCGAAACCGCCTAGTTAAATGATACGCGGATGATATTCCCTTCTTTCAATATCTAGCTAGCCGACCCTGAGGTTCTATGCTCATCTTGCTGATACCTACCTACCTAGGCCACCCCAGCTTCTGACATTCTTATAAGAAAGCTGCCTCCTTGTTGTGGGGTGATGTTTCATGCCTTATCTAATATTATGGAAAGAGATGAAATTGTTGGTCAGAGGCGATACGCCAGCTGTATGTCCTCGGCCTTGGGCATCACACCCACATTGGGAAAACAATTGCATGTTGTTACACTGCCGTTCCCTAGGTCAACCAGCAAGATCAGCCGTCCCTTGCCGGTGACCTTACGTTGCATCGTGCTACGAGTTACAACATTGATGCACACCAGAATATGGGTGGCGTGCATTAAGGGTCTTTACAGTGTTGTATCGGCAGGGTCCAAGGCTGGGAAGTGAGGCTCTTGTTGGTACCCGAAGATGACCGATTTCTAGGACGTAATCATGTTTCCCCTTCCCACCGTTACAGTATTAATTTGGTACACTATGATTCCTGTGCCCGTCCTGCTTTTGAATTCACCCCCCAGTCTATTTAGCGTCATAAAGCGTGTTAGTATTAAAGTGTCTTCTTTACTCAGGTTTATTTGCTCTCTGCCAGCCTTGGCCGTAGGACAAACGAAGGCAGATCTACCAGTTTCGAAGGAAGTAGAAATGTCACCTGGCGCCCTGATTCTAGTCGACAGAGATCGACGAACATCAAGAGTTGCCGCTGCGTTATCCATAGCCCGAAATCGACAGAATTACTAGGTAAATCCATGAAATGGTTTATATGGGCACTTACGACTCCGAGGCCTCCCCATAATGGCCCCATTGAACGATTTCTCGGATCTTTATTTATACCATCATATGAAGATATTCAGCTGCTTTCACACAAATAATCACGTATGGCTTTTGTGTCAACATATCTCAAGGCTCCAAGCCGCCTAGAGGGGGCGAGTCCCGAGTGAGAGACCAGGGATAACTGTACGGGCCTCGGGCATCAGAAAAGCCCAAATTGATTGCAGCTCTGATTTCGGGGGGCAACATGTCTAGACGCTCTGACTTCCCTGATTCCAGAGACCTCGGATACTCTTGTTCCACCCGTATCCCAATATTTCTCTCTTTATGGCTTGTTTTCACCCCGACGTTCTTTCGAAATACACGTAGCCATCAATTGCCTCTTCACGTCACTTAAACAAGTCGAGTAGGCGATTTAGTCCGTGGCGATTAACCTCACGGTGCCCCACTGCTGGGATCATCATGTTGCTGTCCAATATGTTCGCGGCGTGTACCCGTGTTCCTCCACTGTATGTCGTGTCCATCTGCCCAGCTTTGATCCATCGACTACGCTAGACAATATGCTTTTACATCAATATATGGAAATGTAGCCTTTAGATACTCTTCATGTGTCGAAGAAATGGATAAAACCAGCCATTCCCTAATTGGTTGAGTAGAAGTAGCCGAGAATGGGCTTCGAGAGACTGTCAGCATGTCAAATTAACTTGATGACTACGGATATTATGTTGTATGTTAACCAAGAAAAAAAGCGCTCTTCTTAACCTAGTGAAGCCCATGTACACCTATTGATAAAAGAGGCACAGGGGACAATGCAGGGTCTCTAGGCGGCTTCGAGAATCCGTTCATCTACACGGCATCTCAACTCTCCAATGAGCGAGTTTCGAAGTGGTGCCTAGATAGTGCCTAGAATTTGGCGCGGTTGGTCAGTAATACCGTGTGTAATATCTGACATCCATCAACATCCAACTCATGATTGTCAATGCTACCTCGATAACGAGGGTTTCCGATGCTACCAGGATAGCAAAAATAGGCATCATACTGCCCAACTATTTTCCTAATATGGAAGTAGGGCGCAGGAACAAGGAACCTTTATTTTTATGAAGAACGCATTGACGCCTGGAGCGTATTAGTCGCTAACCACGGACGTCTTCCCGCTGGCAACTCCTGATCTGAGAATAGGGGTCTTCGGTCCCTCCCCGATCGATCCGGGCTATCTCACGCTTGCATCCGCCGGCCTAGCACGGCCTCCGCGGCTACAGATACTTGGTTGAGATTGACACTGCTGTCTCCACCGCGAGGGACGGACTAGGTTCCTGAAGCCGAAGATCGTGGCTGATTACCAGGACCGATCGACGCTCTCGCATATATTATCGCCACGGTTGACGTAACTTAATAATGGCGACGCCAATAAGCTGAATGATTGACTTCCACAACTTCCTCTCCGAACGTACAATATCCGAATCCAATTGGGACGACATAAGCGGGGAAGACAGTTGTTGCATATGCCATCGCTCTACGCAGGGCTTCTCGCCACCCCCCGACCCTTTATGTGTCTGGTCTTCCCCGGGGGGAGGGGGGCTCGCTGGTTTGCCATAGGAGGAAGAGGGTGGGCGTGTCCTGATTGAATTGATCGTCTGGGACAGCTTCGACATAATCTATCCAACGTGTCCAATCCTCCTGCATCGAAGAATATTCTGGTGACTCTGTAGCCCAGGATGTAACGTTTTGGGCGATACGACAACTCGCAAGTCGTGGTCATTTCTCACGAGACGGGCATTTTGTGTTTCCCCTGGGGGATGTAATGCTGCTGCTCCCTGTACTGCTCCGCGCAGGCTGATATGTCGAGAACCCACAGGGGGCCTTCGGGAATCTCAGCTCCTAGACCCTTCGATTGCCGGCGGCATGCCGTTGCTGATCCCTCCCCTTTCCCCCCTTTCCCCCCCTCTCCCCTCCCTCAGAAGATAGACCTTAGAAGCAAGGCATCAACTTCTACGTATCTCTCGTCTGGCCATGCTAATACCCGATGGCGCCCAACTGGGAAGCTGGTTTTAGCTCATGGGAAATCGGAATGTTGATAGCAATTCCGCAATAGCCATGGGTATCGCCGTTGAGGCCAATATCGAAGATCCCACCCCCCTTTACCATGCCACGTAGCGCGATGGGTGGTTAACCTTATTGGAACGTCAGAGGCACGACATGTCAACTTCGAGGGTTACTTTGCGCGTTCTCGATGTGGCCTCGGGATAAGTTACTGGTCATAATATCGAGTCGAGAAGGGGAGGGGGGGAGGGGGGAAGGGAGGGTTCCAACGTTGAAAACAACGTCTGATAGAGAAGTCGGATGGCCTACAAGAAACGAATGTATCCACGTGCTAGCATTCGCAGGCTAGATCGACAGGATTCGCTGCTCGCCTACCCCCTACCAGTCGACCTGTCTGGCCCTCTTCCGAGGGCATCCTTGAGGGTATTGCTAAACAGTGTCCTTCCTGTTTGTAAGCTCCGTGCATTAGTTGTACGACGACATCGCGTCGTTTTTTCGCATTCTCGAAGCGCACTTGTCAGATACTATTCGCAATGCTCACTCACTAACTCACTCACTCACACCACACACCTTTCTTCCTTTTCCCTACGACCCAAAGTGGCACCCGGTATACGCGCCAAGGGATATATCGAAAGATGATGCCATCATCGACAGATTCCCCGGGTCTTGTCCCCCAGGCATGGACGCGGCAGAGCTTTGGCGGGCGGATCCTCACGTCTCCCATCGACGGCACGACGGAGCTATACGCTGGCTTTACCCATGGCAAGGGCCGATACGATATAGCCTCCCCGGCACTCGCTCTACATATGTACGTGCTCTCTCGACAGCTACGAATATCAAGCCCCTTTAGCTTGGCCACCTTGGCCGCTTGGCGACCCTTCGTGCACTTCGGGGATCTGCACTACCACACTTCCGATCCTCGAGGGGTCCTTGGAGGGAAAATGTCTTGTCGGGGAATCCTGTCCGATTTAGTCTGCGGTACGGGTCTATTACCCGTAGCTAAGTCGGGGAGGGGGGGATGGGCCCAAGTCATATGTTTGATTCGGCGCCATCCAGTTGGGAGCCGGTCAGGCCCACAGCGGATACGTTGGCTCGATACAAGTTAGACCAAGCTGGTCAGGATTTTTCTCTGTGGTGTAGGTAGATGCCGAAGTGGCGCTGAGGATAACACCTACGTGCATAGACGCGTAAGGTAGACAGACAGACACGGGAGTTCGCCTCTGAATCTAATACGTGCCTATCATGATTGTGACGTACGCACAAGCCGAAGATGAATTTGCCGCCTACTTCTGGCTCTGAAGAATTTGGACTCGTACTCGGAATTGGACCGGACATGAGAACTGATGCAGAAGTCCGGCGGCATCGTCGCCATTGGAGGAGAGGCAGTGGTCAAAGAAAAAAAAAAGTTCAAATGATTGCGAATGGAGCACGCTCTCGTGGCCGAGACGAGCAAGATCAGCAGGGAATACGAAGGCAGTCTCTGCGAGAGGCGCGAAAGCACACGAAGCCAATAATAGAGTGGATTTCTTGCTAGATGATGCCGTCCTAATAAGGAGAGAGAGCCTCAGCATGCAGCCAGATAACCTATCCACAGAGCAGCAACGCGGGCAACGATATGGAGGGAGACAGAACGCGGTGGCGTTGCCTGTACCAGCCATACACCGACAGAACAGGGGGCCACAAACCGGACCAGGGGGGTGGGAGACGGCCAAGCCAAGAAGTACGTAGTATATATGGAGCCGTGGCCAGATTTCAGACCTTTGCCAAATTTCCTTGATTAATGGGTTCCATTTTCTCTGTGCGCTGTCAGTCGAGGTGCCCCGAGAGATCATCCACCTTGGACGGGGGGCGGTTTTGCTCCCCTCTCTAGTGCGGGCGAACCGGGGCACAATCAGGAGACCGCAGGCCGGTCCGTTTATCCTCATAGGAGCTCCAGAAAAGCTCTATATGTATCAAGCGAACAGTGCTGCGATTTGTTCGTTTTTGCCTCAACCTACCAACCAGGTGAGGGTGATCGTCCTCTGTTATTTTCTTATGTGCATGCCGTACCACGGTTCTCAGCTTTTCCATCGGGTTCCATCGTACCCGCGGGAGGAGGATGAGAAGAGAGAGGGGGAGGAGGAGGGAAAGGAGAGGAGAGGAGATGGGAGAAGATGGAGGGGGAGGGAGAGAATGGGTGATGAGGAGGAGGAAGAAGAGGAGGAGGGGGGGGGGGGGAAGGAGAAACAGTGAGGAGGGGAGAGGGGAGGGAAAGGGGGGGGGGAGTAAGGAAGAGAGAAGATGGTGCACGATGAGGGAGATAGGTAGGAGTAGGAATGAGAGTGTACATACGTACATACATGGACAGATTTACTGGTAGGACGACAGGACGGGACGGGATGGGATAGGGCAGACCTCGAGAACTTTTGATACGATATCGGTGGGATTGGAATTTCGCGCGCAGTCTTGGCTGCGTATCGAACAACCGCTTTGTCCACACAGTCGACGCATTGTCACGGTGGTCAGAGTCGGTAGCAGCCGATGATGCCGAAGCCATCGAGGAGAGAGAGGCGCCTTTCTAGGCGACTACCACGTGGAAAACGTGGACAGCTAGTCAGCTTCTGATTTCGGACGCTGGACCGGCTGGTGGGGTTCCTAGACAACCTCAGAGACATTCTATCCAGGCACCTCACGTCAATCGCTTAGACGGCAATACATTCCTGCTTACCTGTAGCACGCTATCGAAGGAGATCCCCCCCTACACCAGAGAGCACTGGAGTAGGCAGGTGGTCGTGGTGGGTCCGGATGAGGGCCAGATGGGATCATGCATACAAGCCAAATTGGTATGGATAATATAAGTCGTTAATCCCGTAGAAGCAGAAGAGGATCCTCCAGGGTCTACACCACTCGTCCAAAAAAGTAAACCCCCAGCTCACCAAATTTCGACTCGAGGATCCCCAGAGAGGAGTTAAAGAAAGCAGTCCTCGCCTCTTCTTGACTTGCGTGCTTCTCTCCGTTCACTTCCACTCGCTCATCCTATATCATACCCTTCCTCGTCGTTTCACCCCCCCCAAGCAACATACACACTGCCTTTCCACACATACACATACACGACTACACACGTACACGACTACACACGTACACACGCACACGCACCTTGCCGTGTCCCATATATCTATCTCTCTGTCTATCTATCTCGCCACCCATCTACCTATCCTCATCTGCTAGAAGAAGGGTAGACCAACCTCCGCTGGACATATAAAGACCTGTGAGTCCCCCGCCCACCGGCACCTTCACACACAGCCCACGGTATAAGAAACCCCATCTGACTCGCTTCCAACAGGTGGTGCACGTCTACTTCCCAACCATCACAGTACAGATACACACACATACAAATACATACCACACACCACACACACACACACACACACACACGCACGCACGCATACGCACACCTACGCTCCCACCCACTATACGTGACTACCTAGTCCTACATCCCCAGGCCAGACCAACTTCATCGACAAAATGCATATGCACACTTGCGGAAACTGCGGGACCGAGTACACAACAGGCAGCTGTTGGTACTGCCACCCTCAGAACCGGCCGTCAGAGCAACAACTAGCGGAGGCCCGAGCGGTGCACGCCCACTAAGCAGGAGAAGGGAGAGAGAGGGCAATGATAATGAAGGGGGTTACGACAGGGCGGGGTCTTCTTCTCTCTTACGTACCAATATGACGGAGGAGGGGAGGAGGAGGGGGAAACAAGGAAAACAGCTTCGATTCGGAATCGACAACCATGGATGGGGAGGGGTGCGCTCTTCTGGGCACACTCTCTACTTGGCCTACCTTCTCGACATCGCCTCACTTCACGAGACGATGCGCTCTCATATCTTCTGTTTTGTTTGACCTCGTTGCCCTGTCTAGGGTGCGCGGTGTCGTATCCCGCTGCTCTCTCACCAAGAACAGTGACCCGCAACGAACTGGCCAACAAGGATAACGACGCCGCACCGCTGCAACTAGGCGAACAAGGCGCATCGTCACTTCACAACCCACACCACTATCACCATCATCGTTACCATTGCAACCAGAAGTGGCCCCCCCTCCCTTTCCAAGGGTCGTCGACGCCCCCTTGTTTTTTTATCTTTCTTCTTCTCGGGGGGCCAAGAGTCCCCCACCGTGGCTTCGAGCATACCCCTCTAGCCTCCATAGCCTCGGAAAGGCTTCAAGGGATATCGGGGCGTTACGGACATTACGGGGCCTGCTGGCTCTTTTCATTTCTATGTGCGGTTTTGTTTAACGAGACACGATCAGGGCCCTTTCCGGACAGGAGAGGGATGCGCCACAGCAACACCTCGACACCCCCGGAGGGCTGTTTGGCATTTCTAAGGCGTTAAACCATTTTTTACATATACCAGGACATCACACCCCTCACCGCCGCCATCATCGTCATCGCCACCATCGCCATCACCACCATCACATCACATCACACCGACACATGCGCAGGCACACACAAAACCGCGAGGGGGGGGGGGAAGGAACTTGAGGTACTACGGGACGGAATCAAAAGGACATCTTAACTTCTACTGGTAATTCTAGGGGGAGGTTGGGGGGGGGAGAGAGACCCCAAAAAAACCGAAAAGCAAACGCATCTAGTTGATTTTAGAGGAAGACGAAGACGAAGAAACGGGAAAAAAAACATTCAGAAATGGAAGAGGCGCGGTGTCGTAGTATGCACGCATGCGATGGTTATGATGACGATTGATACCTCCTTGAGTGATTTGTTATATCGAGAATGTTCAGACAGACAGAAAGTAGCTAATATTCGAGAAATACCAACACCGCTTCTTCGATAGCTTTACCTGAACGGGGCTTGGCCACAGACAGGGACGCCCGAAGGCCCCCTTCCACCCCAGTATCCCTTGCTACCGTGAGGACCAACCAACTAACCGACCAGCCCGGCCCAACTAACTCTGCGCATTCCTTCAGCGACGGTCTCCGTCGAGTTTTGTGCGCTGGCTGCCCTCGTCGTCCTCGCTTATACGTGGAAAGCTGCAGGTACCGGCATTTCAGGTGGTCTTCCCAGCCGAAAAGGGACGGGAGAACTCCGCAGAGCGGGTTGTCTCGATCCCTCACTCCTTCGCTCGCGTTGGCCCCCGCTTCTTCGTCGTTACGACCTCCACTCTCTACGACGGCTCGAATCTCGTCAGGTAAGGGGTGCGGTTAGGACCGTCCGGTCCAGCAGCAACGGCGACGACCAACACTACACCCACCTACCGATCCGTAATACTTACATACACACGTACATACATAGACATATCACACACTCGCACACACACACACACACACACACACACACACATGCATATCCATCTGCTCCGATAAGCAATGGGGTCGAGACAGAGACAGAGACAGAGAGACACATACAGAGGACGGGAGGGTGTGAAGAGAAAAAAAAAAAAAAAGGTCTGACATCCATGGTACCAAAACCCACCCTCTCTTACTACAAAGGCAATAATACGCAGCTCACTTCCACTCGCCAGGTTTCTCGCTCGCTCTGGCGCATCTCACCTAACCCCATTTCTCCTAGTCGTCCGGGGCGTCAGACAGCTGGACAGGCGAACGAAGAGACAGGTCATGCTGTTCCCAAAACCGGAATTGGCTCCGGTTCGACGATCGCGGGAACAATCCCATGCCCAGGGTCCCTCCTCTCTCTCTTAGCCTTTCCCTTCTCGCTCACTCTCTGCTGTACATGCCATTTGTATCTCGCAACCCCGGAAGAAGGGGGGGAGGGGAGGGGAGGACTAAAGTATGGGAGGGGAGGGGAAACCGTGCCGCCCCTGTCCGTCTGTCCCCTGCTCACCTTGCCGGTCGGTTTTTACCAGGGGGGGGGGAGGGAAGGGTTTCTGTTTCCACCCGCGGCCGCGAGCATATACCACGTACGCACTTACATAGTAATAACCCCGACAGCAGAGCCGTCAGCGCATATGGGCCTCTAACCCCATGCGAAACTGGCGGCCGCGAACAGTTCCTATACGGAATAGCTACATACTCTAGGTGCTGCATGTCGAGTACCGGGTCTATCTTCTTCCAGGAGGAGGTTTCGGAGGCAGTGGGACGTTTCCATTCGTCCCATGTTTAGTACACAATGCCGACAGATGCATGAGGGGATATATGCGCATACTAGGTAATCTATCTAACCTCCCTGCCTCCCTACTTACCGACATACCTACTGACCTGTCTTGGGTATGTATGTACGATCAAGATGCGCATTTATAGATAGCTGCCTACATACATCTGGACCGTCCCGGGCGGCATATACCTACAGGAGAATAGGTACCAGGTAGTATGTAGGTACGGTACGTATGTAGATACTCACATATGTGCCTAAAGGTATGCAGACCTCGAGGGAGGAAAACAGGGGTCAGGGGGTAAGACACGGGCTACGAGAAGGAAATCACCACGTTACCGCGCGAGCACCGATCCGACAAAAATCCCACGCATCTTTTCGTAGAGCGTATGCATGTATGTACTGATTCGTGCAGGAATGGGAGGGGGGTGGCCGAAGAGGGAAGGGAAGGGAAAAGAACAATTCCAATTCCTGCCGCGAGCGAAGGAACCGCGCGCGGCATCCGTAAGTAATATCCTTAAAATTGCAATATTCCCTCAGGAGGAGGGGTGGTGTAGGGAGGGGGGGGGACCTGTCTTCGCAGAGACAGACCCGGTTAGAGATGCCAGCAGAGAAGCGAGAGAGAGAGAGGGAGAGAAAAGAAATCAAATAAACCGAAAGACCCTCTTTTCTATGCCTGCGCCTATACCTACCTACCTGATGCCCACGTATGGAGACACATACACAGGCACACACGATGTGTATCGTAGATTATAGCCAGCCACCTATAGATGCCTACCCTTGCCCGTATCGTTAGGTGCATACATCTCGACACCCAACCCCTGGAAGACGACGGCGCCGTCCAACCGCGTAGCCATTTGACGGGTTTCCCAGCTCTGGCGGTGCCGAAAAGCGAGGTGAGCGGTCGGGAACAACAGGAGCGAGGGTGCGCGTTGCGTTATCTCACGCAGCAACCTGGAACCCTTCCCCTCCCCCGGGCCACCTCCCTATCTGCCTATACCACGTAGCAGGACGCAGCGCAGGGAGGTAGGTAGCACTGCTAACACTCTAGAAGAAGGCGGCCCCCCCCCCAGGACGTTGCTATAATAGCTCTCC